TAATAACTACCTATATTATAAAGGCTAAATAGTAGTCCCTAATAAAGATTAAACTACTTTAATATATATATAACTCTCCTATCAGGAGCTACCTTAATTACTCTTAGACTCTGGAACTTCTATCACACCATTATTATTAGCTAAAGATATATAAATCAGTAAGATGTTTTATAGCCTCCTATTATATCTGCTTATAAGTAAAAGCCTAGAGGACTACCTATACCAGTATACTAAAGCCCCTGCCTATACCTGAATAGTATTAGTATAATATTTCAGTTAACTTTATAGTTAAATTACCTATATTTAATAGTAATATAAATATTATAGTAGTAGTAAATTACCTATCTAAATAGTAATACTTTATTAGATATTCTAAGATCTTAGTACCTATAGTTGCCCAACTATTCCTCTATTATATATGGAAACTCTATAGCTTACTAGATATAATTATATTAGACTAGGGAAATATATTTATATCACTTTTTTAGAGATACCTATATAAACGCCTCTATATTAATACCCACCTATTAACTACCTACCATCCTGAAACAGATGGCCAAACTAAATATATAAATAGGGAAATAGAGTAGTACCTCTGAAGCTTTATAGACTATATATAAGATAATTGGGATAACTGGCTACCTATAACAGAATTTACTACTAATAATAGCTAAAATAAGATAATAAGAATAATACTATTCCTAATAAATACTAGCCAGCACCTGTAAATAGGTTTTAAGCCACCCTTTAACAGCCTATAGTCTCTAATAGTTAGTAATATTAACTACTTTATAAGCCAGATATATAAACTAAACCAATACTTATATAACAAAATAGCCTGGGCCTAGGCTATCTATACTAAAAAGGCTGATCATAATAGATAAATAAGACCTAACTATTAGGTAGGTGATTAGGTTTAGCTGAACTTGAAGAATATATATAACTACCGCCTAACTAAAAAACTGGACTGGAAGAATATGGGCCTATATAAGATTAAAAAAAAGTATCACCTTACATATATGAATTAAAGCTACCCAGCTTAGTATATATATAGCCTGTAATTAATATGTTAAACCTAATACTATTAATTAGCTATAAACTGCTACCTGGCTAGTAGTAGGAGCCACCACCCCTAATCAAGATTAATAGAGAAGATAAATACCTAGTTAAATAGATCCTGGATGCATGAATCCGCCACTACTAACTATAATTCCTAGTTAAATAGCATAGATATAATAATCTAGATAATAATATCTAGGAACCTAAGGATACTCTACTTAAAATAGTAGCTCTTACTAAATATAAAGTATAAAATATATCCTATATTAAATAATTATAATATAAGCTCTAAGACTATAATAACCTAACCTGAACCTGAATAACTAAGCCTAAATACCTAAACCTAAATAACTAAACCTAAGTGCCTAAATCTGAATAACTAAACCTAAATACCTAAACCTAAGTAATTAAACCTAAATGCCTAAATTTAAATAACCAGGCCCGAACACCTAAACCGGAATATCTAATAATCTAGACCCAAACACCTAAGCTTAAACTCCCAGAACTCCCTCCCTAGGCCCCTCTCTAGAGGCTTTACCAGCTAAGAGGGGGATACTATTATATAGTTACCCCTATAATATATAATTAGTATTATCCTATTACCTATCTAATTAAAGTAGTACTAATATTAGTTAATATAACTTAATATAACCTAATATTACCTAATATTAGTTAACTAGATTTCTAAATTAAATTAACTTCCTAATTCGATTTCACCGCGCGCACATCTAAATCCTAATTAGGAAAGGTATAATAAGGCCCCCTTTATATTCTTAGTAAGAACTACTTTCGGGCCTTCCCTTCTTTATATAATATCTTAATTATTATACAATACTTTAGTATAGTATAACTAAATAGATAGTTGATAGCCTTATCAGTTTACCTTATATAATAACTTGAGCAGATCACTTCTAGTGGTTCCGTGACACTGTCTGGCGAAGTCTGCCTGACCAGGTATAGCTGCTGACTAAGAGTGGCTAAAACCGAGTAGGAATTCAAGTCAAGTTAAGTCAAGTAAAATATTAGGTAGACTCTATTAGTTAAAAAGAATATATAAATCTTTAGTTATAAGAGGGTATATGCTTAACCTGGGCTCATAACCTGTTAAGCTATGCTATTGGAGGGCGGATGCTTAGTAAGATTTATATAGAAGAAAACTTATATATTTAAGATATATATTTTGTTTTACTTATATTATAAAACTGAGGTAGGTCCTGTTGCTTATATAGACCAATTACCCCGCTTTTCATACAACCTCGGTTAGTTGAATACCTCGGTTATTACCTAATACCTGAATGACTAATATTTTCATTCTGTTATTTAAGAAATATATTATAGATCTCATTCTGGATTAACAAAGGTTAAGAAGATCTTAAATTATTAAATTAGATAATATTAATATTTTTACCTTATAAAGTAGAAAGGTTACCTACTAGAAGAAAATACTTAAGAATTATATAAAAACCTTAACTATCTGCTTAAGTTATCGTAATATTATTATAAGAATCTAATATATTTAAAACCTCTTAATTTCTAATAGTTTAATTAAAGATGGTAAGATTATTTATAAGTTTATATAGTTTACTATTAGAGTAACTACTATTTCTTATTTATTCTGCTTCTTCTTTCTCCTCTAATTTATCTATTAAATAAATTACCTTTACTTTTATATAACCCTTAACTACCTTTAAAATTTTCTAATTCTAGGAAAGTTAAGCTAAAAGCTTCTATTATATAATATTTAGTTTAAATAACTTTTTAAGATTCTTTTCTATAGCTAATTTAGCTTCTTCTCTAATTTTATCAAGGACTTCCTATAATATATTAATATACTTTATACCCTTATAAATATAGTTTATATATTTAATATTTTTTAAGGAAGATATAGTAATATAAGTTAGATTATAGATTAAATAATATTTATAACTAAGGATAATAATACTTCCGGACTCCTTAAGTTTAGAAGTAAGATATTTATGGTGAAGAGAAGAATTTAAAGATATCTTTATTTTCCTTTTAGTAATCTCTAAACTCCTTAAATACTAAAGCTTAGGATAAGCTTACTAAAGAGGGGAATAGTGTTATGGAGTAATATATAAATAGTTATATAAGAAATAATTATAATTATTTTGCTTAATAATAAGCAGAATAAGTATATTAGTTAATAATTAATAATTAAGGTATTATTAATTAATAGAAGCAATTATTTTACTTAAAATAATTAAAATAATTATAGTAAGTAAGGTAATAAGGATGCTAAGAATAAGGTCTACATAAGTACCCTGTCTCTATTAATATTGCACTTCTTCATAATTTAACTATCTAGTTTATCTAGTAGTTAGTTTAAATATATTCCTATACTTTTAAAGCTTAAACTATTCTAAGTTATAAATATAATTATCTTATTATATTCCTTCCATAATAAGCTCTTATTATATCTTATTCCTTTGCTCTAGGAAGCTAAACCCTTCCGAAGTGGCTTACATTAGTGAAGCTAGTCGGTATTGGGAAAATATTCCTAACAGAAGCTAATCCCTTCCGAAGTGGCTTACATTAGTGAAGCTAGTCGGTATTGGGAAGATATTCCTAACACCCTATTAGACTTCTTAGATGCCTTATATACTTACTTAATTATAGAAGCAGTCTTAGCTTATATAAGACCTTCTTTAGTACTAGTTACAGAGTCCAATAAGCCCGGCTATCAGCATATTAATTAAAGGATACTAAATAGTGATAAATTCAGTAGTTATTCTTATAGAGGAGAATAAGAAGCTTTATATAGAGAATTAATACTGGAAATAAAAGCAGTAGTATTATAGAAGATATATTATATAAAGAGGTATTCTATAGGCTTAATAAGGCCAGTTTCTGCTCTAAGGAGATGGAAATAGTCAGACTTAGGGTATTATAGATGAGGTTGCTATTGTATGGTAGTAAGTATTACCAATATATAATGGCTGCGGCATTCAAAGCCATCAGATTAATTAGTATTCTAGTACCTAAAGTATATATTTTAAGAATATTATTATTAATAATAAAGGTTGTTATTATATATTATAAGATAAGTTCATATTTAAGTAGTGAGGTGGACCACTGAGTGGTGAAACACGTTATATCAAATTTATATATTACTAAGTAATATTGATTTAACCAATATATCCGTATAATAGATGCTTACGGTTGCGAAATGCTGGTCAATTAAACTCCGCCCTTAGTAATTCAATCTCACTTATCATGTAAATATGGATATCCTCAAATAGGAATATGGATGATGCCATCCTAGATATAGACTTTATACGATTTATCCGGATGAGCAGGAACTCCATTGTATGGGGTAGTGTCACGGCGTATTTGGATAAGTGTCTTATTTTCAATTCCAAAAATTATTCACTAGGTCAATCGAGATCTAAGTTTAAATAGAGGAAAAAGAAGATTACGCATACTTTTTTCAGAATTCAATCAATTTTACTCCAGATCTCTAGGGATTAATTTTGAAGAGTTGATGAGATAAATCAGCAAATTCATCATGAGGAAATGCGAGGAACTTAGCTAGAATCGTGATGCCTAGGAGCACTAGTTAAGTTGCTGATACTGAAACTCATACTAAACACACAGTTAAACTGCCAGAAGATTATGTTATATCCTAGTATAATTTAAATAAGCCAGAACCACGTATGTAGATAGCGCTCGCTGTTATTGCATCGCGACCACTACAGATTTGCCACTCACGTGGTGCGTAATGCTCACATTAAGATGAAAGAGGCTTGCTAAAAGCGGTTCAATAGTGCCGCTTTTGAATAAAATACACAATTTATTTTGAGCTAAATAGTTTCATATAATCTCCCTGCCGAGGTTCATGGTTTTGGATCTCCAGCTTTGCGCTTAGCTTGAAGCGCCAATACTGCTGCCTGCGTCTATTCAGCCGAAATTTCTTCGACCCCTCCTGATGCAGTCCTCACAAGAGACAGATCATCCGGCAACTGATGCTGTCATCCATAATTTTTATTCTATCAACTGATCTCTGTTATAACACGAAATTGGCAAATGGCTCTCAATATCGCAAAGTCCCCTTTGATTGGTCCTGTTCTCGCCCTCAATGGCTGGACATTCGTCATGGAACTTTGGCTGTACAGAAAGCGCATTCCAGCTATCAATCGAGCCGCGGAACAAGGAAAGTTGAAGATAGATGCCAGCATGACCAAAGCTGGTAAGCCCCTGGATGCCCGTACGCTCACTTAGGAAGATGTATACTTATATACATGAGAAGACTTGGATAAAGCTCTTCCTCCTCATGTACGCTGGCCTGCGTAAGTTGTTTAATGCGCGCCTTTCAGGCCAGATAAGTTAATATCAAGGTTCTTCGCAGAGACAATTTCGCTCACTTGCATGAGCAACCTACATTGTTTTACGCCACTACACTATCATTGGTGTTGCTTGGGGCAGACAATCCGCTCAATATCAGGCTTGCGTGGGGTTATGTTGGACTTCGCGTGCTCCATTCACTTGTTCAGGCCAGCGTCAATAAGATCATGCTTCGTTTCTCTCTATTCGTCGCAAGTAGTATCGTACTTGCTGGAATGACTGCAAGAGCCACGCAAGCTTTCCTCGCCTAACGGACATTTTGGAAAAGCTTTCTGCGCAAGGCTTACCAAAAGATTAGAAACAATTTATTGTGTATATAAGGCATTGATTCAATGTAAAGAACGAATCACTCGAGAGTTTCCGAGTAAGTCGAGCATCACCTTTACGACAACAGTTCCTAGTTGAAAACTCGATCCGACGAGAAGTATAACAGCAATAGAATGCTAAGCTTAGGGCCTCCAAAGGAAAATCAATATTATTCTTTTGATTCTCGATTTGATGAACCGTCACACATAGTAGCTATGAGGGTCTAAGCTCTCAATTTTGCCCGAGGAATTCAAGTTTAGAGAATAGGTATGTCCATGTTAGGTAATGCTAGTTATAATTATACCAGACAGCTTTAAATTGCGTCTTATGTTGAAACAAGACGTATGCTACATTCACCCGAAACCATACCCTGAATTCAACATAAATGTGTGGTTGTTACGCTTTTAGAAATATCCCCATCTTTTATAGAGTTACTTTGCCAGAGTGAAACCACCGTAAACGTTGCAAGTCGTATAAAGAGTTGCACTTGTACTTATAATTTATCATGAAGAAATACCAACTGATGCAACAAACATGTTTAGATAGTCAACATTTGAGTGTAGTGAATCTGCATTGTATTAATGTATGCTGTTTCCGAGTTTGCTCGTAGTTATGCCGCTACTATAGCAGCAAGGTTCTAGATGTCCTAAAGGAGGGACCAATGGTTAATATCGAGTAATAGCAATGTATATTCTTGTATACAAATTTCCTCTTTACAGCACTACGAGACGTGCAAAGGGCGCAGATTCCGCATTAATTGAAGCATGAATGCGCGCAACGTGTATTGGTTGCGCTTCATCTGTCCCTAGGAATGACTGGCTCAAAACCATTGCTTCTGCTCAATGGATGACATACAATTGACACACACAAGCGCCGCCGCTCTGCAGAAACATACTGTGTTTATGTATATATTGCAAAAAGTCAGTCTTCAACATCCACGTCTAGATGGTTTTCCTTTTTTTTCTTTTTCTTTTGTGTCCCGTCTTTTGGCCTCTCTTTCCTGACCGAACGATTGTCTTCCTCTGGCGGTTGGAAGTCCTTTTCTCTGGCCTTGCGCTTTTCTTCCATCTTTTCCCTAACCCTCTCCTCTCTCAACTCCTTGGCCTTTCTTTCCTTTGCTTGCTTGCTTAAGAAATACTCGCCACTCTCAATCTGCAAATCGACTTTGCTCTTCTCCATTGGCGGTGGGAACGGCGTGTACACTTTCTTACTTTTATCTGTCACCTTGTGTGGCACCCGTCTCTTACTTAGCGTCCTCTTCCTGAAGTTTGGAAGGAAGCGATCCCACGACTGGTTGGCCAACTCAGGATCCTTTGCCAGCTCTCGCTTGATCATGAGCTCCTTGATATGGTAGATTGGATGTATATTAGCCATGCAATCCGTTACAACGCGACGAACTTCCTTCAGGCCCTTGTAAGGTCCCATAACGGCGACAGTGTTGCCTTGCACGAGAATGTAAGTTTGAGTGAGCAGTTCGAGGGCTTTCAGAGTGGTGCCGTTAGGACCGAGTATTCGCTGGCGTCGCTTGACAAAACGCTCCTTGTTGCGGACAAGATTGCGGATCTTGATAATATCGCAGGCAACACCATCGTCGAGGATTTTCACAGCTTGAGGTGAAGGCACGCTCCGAGCGAGCAGCTTGATAAGATCTCGAGCTTTAAGTATGGCTGCTGGGTCGAAGGTCTTGCGCGTTGTCTTGACTGTCATGCTTCCCTCGACCAGGTCCAGAGTGCACGCAATGCCATGCTTTTCAAGTGCGCGCGTGATCATTGGCCACGATTCCTTGAGATAGAATTCGCGGTACTTGGGAAATAGGGTAGCGAAGGATGATTCCTCGGCGAAAGCACCTCCTACATTGTCTTCCGGTTTGAACTCCTCGATCTGAACAGACCGTAATTAGCCGTTGGACATACTAGCACGACCTGCTTTGACATGCTGAGACAAGGGCGGGTGGTTGTTGCCGTGGAAATTGTCCCGCGCTGCGGGCAATTGCTCACCTTCCATTTGTCTATGTCATCCGTATCCCACGGCTTTTCCCTCTCGTGTGTGCCTCCCATGGTGAGTATGAAGCGGGTCGCCTACCGTTATGTACGTATGCGTTCTCTTGTGAGTGATGTTGTTCGCGAGCGAATACAGCGAAAACCAAACGTTTTTTTCCTCGGACTTGGCCAGGGTCAGAGCAGGGGTTGGCTGCACGACAAAGAATTTGTCCCCACCGATTCGACACGGTACTCTTGCTCCTCAGCCTTAGCGCACCATCCCCCGCTCAAATATCCACGAGGCGATCTCCACGGCTCCCTTCAAAGTCGAGCTTCTTCCACCCGTCTTGTTTCTGTAGCAATTTTGCCATCTGTTCTGACGATGTGCGAGAAGCCTACGCTCCCTCTTGTTTTCCTAGATGTATCCATTGGAACAGAGCCCGTGGGTCGACTTGTTTTCGAGCTTTACACAGACAAGGCACCCAAGACATGCGAGAAGTAGGTTCATGGCTTCAGCAGATGCAGACGTGACATAATGCTCCTTATTACTCTCTTGTTGACTTTGCCATAGCTTCAGAACACTATGTACGAGTGAGAAGTCCTCGCTTACGTACAAAGCGTCACCCTTTCATCGCATTATAAACGGATTTATGATTCAAGGTGGTGACATCACAATGGGCAATGGTCGTGGTGGGGCTTCTATCTATGGCGGAGAGTTTGAAGATGAAAATTTGGAATGGAGAGACATTGACGAGGCAGGTTTGCTGTGTATGGCGAATCGTGGCAAGGACACAAACAATAGCCAGTGGGTATCTTCATGGTAGAGCGAGAAGAGAACAGTGTTGAGGTTTGCGAGAACAGATTCTTCATCACCCTTAGGGAGAGCCCACATCTCAACGCTAAACATACCATCTTTGGCATGCTAGTCGAAGGCAAAGAAACGCTCAACCAAATGGCGAAAGTGCCGGTCGATAAAGAGGACAGGCCACTCACGGACGTAATAGTGGCACATTGTGGAGAGTTGGAGTATAGGAGGAAGCCTGTAGCCAAGATCGTGAGTATGAATCAGGACAATCATCGCGCAACCGTCAGCTCCACGTCACGGGGTCGTCATAAACGTAGACACTCGTCATCACGATCACGGTCACGATCGCCCTCCCCATCTCGCGGGCACGGGAGGCGGTCTGGGTCGAGACACCGTCATAGACACAGGCGACACAAGCGAGACGATACAATGTCTCGGAGTCGTAGCCCTACGCCTCCTATCCGTGTCAGACGACGAAGTGACGCATCGCCGGACCATACATTTCGCGGGCGGGAAAGGCGGAGATCGGGAAGTCGGACGCCAATACGAGAAAGCGACGGTGGGAGCCCCGAACCGGAAAGGAAGAGCAATCGCAAGCGAAGTTCGCCTCCGTCACGCCCATGGTCATGTAACAGCGTGCCGGGACGTGAGGGCGAGGAGCAGAGACGGCAGAGAAGTCTACCAAATCAATATCGAAAAGAGGATGTGAGGATTGGTGAAATGCAGAATAGGCAACTCGAAAAGGTTGGTGGCAATGCAAGGGAAGGTAGCAGTGTGGAAGGGGTTGTGTACAGGGGAAGGGGCTTAATGAAATATCACGAGCGAAGAAGCGGGTGGTAACATGTTTTGCGTTACCACGAGGAAAGGGACGGAGGCCTGTTTTTCTGGTTTCTTTACATGTTTTTGCTCGTGCATTCTAGATACCCCAATACTGACGTTAAGAACTGCTCGCTTCTTCCTGTCACGTCGTTCTTCCGCGTCAGGACTTGGTGTTTCGGAGACAAGTCGTTTACGACTAGATTCTATGCCCCTGCTTTGTGACATTCAAACGATGCGAATTGCCAATCCACCGTCTGACCTTCTTGCAAATAAATGAGCAAAAGTGCGACATAGTTGCGAGCAGAGTCCTGCAGGCAAGCATGCATGACGAATCATAGCCAGCGCGGCTATGTCGTTCCGAGATGTAGAATGAGAAGCGCATTCAAAATCACCGCAAACCTCTCGATACCTTTGCTAGCAGCGCTTAGTCGTTGTGGAACACTCTACAGCAGGCTGGAGTGGAGTCGCGGTGAGTCGAGGTGCCCAACCGCAGTCGCCTTGCACCAGGCGCTAGAAGCAGCAGTAGTGGGGCGGTGGCACTGTGGCCTAACTTAGCATAGCCTGGTTCCAATTAGTAGCTCGTGCACTTGTACGGACTGCAGCGCCCAACTATTTACGCCTGAGCCCCCACCCCCCCGCCAGCGCACGCGCCTGGCGGGGTAAGTTTGACAGCGGCGGTTGCTGACAGGCGCGGTCAGTTCAGCGACAAGAAACCTGCGCCAAATTCAAGGGGGAAACTTGGTCTTCTGCGTACAGTGCCTTCACATCCACCGTGAGCAAGTTTGTCCGGATGTTCAGACGCTTGAGCAACTGCGTCGTCTCGCATCCTCATTCCTCTCTTGCTGATTCGGGTCGACTTTCGATCGTGCATACGAGAACGTGGCGGGGACTACTGTGCACGAGATCCGCGGAAGAGTCAGAGTCTGTTTCTTTATGGAGCCGCTATTATCTTGTAAGTCGAGATGATTGTCTGTTAGTTGACCCTGTCATTCTTTTTATTTTGCCTCTTCTCTGTTGTCCCCACCATCGCCGTACTGCTGTGTTTGTTTTCCTTCTCACCACTTCTTACTCGAGTTTGACATGCAATCGCTTATCTCAATGTGCTGACATATCAGCCTATTAGTACCGAAATGCTACTAGTGTTGCAAGGCATGTGTAGCAAGTGTCGCACCTCTCGCATCTTGGAGCCATCGATCTTCCACAACGAAAAGAAAAACGTTATCCCATCACCATGGGTTCACTACGTGTTTACGCCGTCTCCGGCACGATCCTCCGATCCCGCAGATACCCGCGGTCTTCCTTGACATTTAGCCTCGATATGACCACTTTTGCCAAGCTCCACCCCTCAGATCTAGCTATCCGCGCGTGCTCTGCATGGAGGCGCGATGGGGGAGACACTCTGTGTTGGCATGCTTATAAACGACATGGAAAGAGCAGAGATGAGCTGCGCATTGCTAGCGAGCATGCGGTGAAGAGTGGGCGATCTCAGTCGTTGAACTCCGCACATGACCTACCCCACCGGGAGAAGATGTGGAGAGAACGTATGGAACGTGTACGTCGTATGGTTGAGCTCGATCCCTACGAAGCGCTCTTTGGATATAGTAACAGAATCTTGAGAGGAATGAGACCTGATTGGACCAGTGATTCTGTAAGCTGGTGGCGCAAAGAAATAAACTTCGTCGTAAAGAACCCGTCTGCCGCGGGAAAAAAGGTCGAGATTGAGAGCGACGGATCACAAACCGCGATAGGAGCGAAGCAGCAGTCAATAAGAGACGGCGATGACATGGCCTCCCTCAATACCCGCACTGAATCTATTAGCTCTGAGGCTGTACCAGAAGTTAATCTTGTGTATGACCCAATCACCAACCGTATGGTAGAAAAGGATATTACGGACAAATATCCTGTCGACATCCGACCTTCTAAAGGAGAAACAGAAGTCATCCACGAAAACACTGAACATGTAGACATCATGAATCCCCTCGATGACAGCGTCAGACCGGTCGAACAACGAAAAGATGGGGATGCTGATGTTTCAATCAAGCCTCGTAGCAAAGTTACGAGTTTCAACATGCCGAAGGAGGAACTGCCTGAAGAGTGGAGAGCTTTTCCGAATATTTCTTTAGAGGCTGGCTCTCCTCCGCGCGCAGAATACGAGGCATACAAGTCGAGGCGCTTTCCCAAAATTGTCGAATCAGAAAAGTGGCTCATGGATGAAAGATTAAAAATCTTTGACGACTCAAGCACTGCCATGGGACTACGAAGTAATCGGACAGATATGGAGACTCAATTCGATATACTCCATTCTGGCGAGCAAGAGGTAGCAGAGGAGCATCTCGTAGATAGGAAGCCTTTGTCGGTTCGACAAAACAAGGGAGCAAATGTGTCCAGCCCTATATTAGCTGAGTGGCGTGAGAAAGCAACGTTCAATATGGCTGCGTATGGCCAAGAACAGGCCGAACAGAAACCCCGCGATCATACAATTCAAATTCTTGGTAAAAACTCGAGGACTCAGGCGCGGATTGAGCAAGTGAACTCAAAAGAAGAGGACCCTCTTAATAAGCAGATTCTCCATCCTTCATTGAATATCAACGCAAAAAGAGACATTCTCAATTACACAAGAGAAGTCGCAAACACCAATATATGGACAAAGTACTTCGCAGATCAGGTCAAAGCGAGGCAAGAAGCAGAGGACCTTCTTTGCGAGATTCGAAACAAGAACATTCAATCATTCAACCATGGGAGCCAAAATTTCGAGGAGGGAAGCAAGAAGCGTCATGAGCTGCGCGATTTGCTATTAGAAGGACTCCATGAAGTCAAAAAAACGCTGCAGGAGGCCAGAGAAGAGATCAAGGCCATCGAGACACGTGGAGATAGAGAGGAATTTAAAGCGGAAAAGAGGCTAGAAGGACACCTAGAGCAGCATCAAGAAAGAGACGGTGCTTCTGCAAACACTCCTCTTGAGACAAGTCTGCAACGAATGAATAAGAAATCGACATCAAATCCAGGGCCAGTCGAAATCTCTACGGAAACTTTCAGCGCGCAGATAAGAACTCATGATCCTGTTGGGTATAGCCATGAACGTGAATCGAAGCGCCTTAAGTATCTCTCGTTGGAAACAGATCAATCCTTGAGAGATCGATCTTTGGCTGACATGGTTGGAAACACGATGAAGGCTAAGCAAAAGGACAGGGAGCCGATTGTAATGTCGAAAATAAGCTTAGAAGCTGCTAAGCTTAACAATGAGATCGATGCCCAGAAGACCTCTTTAAAAAGCTATGAGACATTTCGAAGATCCTCTGAGGCACAAAATATAGCAGAAGACGCCGCGAATAGAGGGAGCGAGTTGTCAGACCCGCAGGCTGAGACTAAGGAGTTGGATCCAAAGGAGAGTGATATTGCGCTCCTGGGAGAGAACCGACATGTCGACGAGGACGCGGATGGACCAACTACGGCAAGCCATACGCACCCGTTGAAAGTAAAAGCAGATTCGACTGTTCAGAAGAACGACGAGAATGAGGTGTTACCCGATGTCAATATGCCATCCTACGACGTTGGGGCTGCTCAAAATGCCGAGACACCGAAAAAGATAGAGGCTCCTACACCAGCATCTCAAGTCGAGTCAGTCGAGCCGGAACCTGCAACGTGTCTCTCACCCCCGGCTCCAGCCAAAGTAGTGAGATACAAGATCCTGGCCTATGACGCCAAGTCAAAGAAGATGACAACCGCTTCATTTGAGAGTGTTTTCTTCCCAAATGAGACCATAATCCCTACGACAATCACGCTCCGCCATCTCACATATGCAAACAGATTCTTACCAAAGCTTGTCAAATGGCAGCATCAAGGCTTTGTGCCTGTTCATGCAGAAGGAAACTTACTCATCCTCCGTCAAGATGCAGAGAGCAAGGCTGATGCCAATAGTGCTTTTGATCTGAGCGATGCTCTTGTACAGGAAGAGAGCGTAGCCGACGATGGCAAGCCTGTGGAGACGAAGGAGCCTAAGCGTTTAGAGCCCGTCTTTAGCGGCAGATATAGCCAGAAGTACGCGGAAAATGCGTGGAGAAAATGGAAGGATATGCGGCGACAGGCTCGAATTGCTCAGAGGAGACGCTTCAAGAGAGTCATCAAATTCATGGCAGGATGCGTAGTGGTCTCCGGTGCGATGATTTATATTGCAGGCGTTGTGGCGGAGGTAAGGCACGATCGTGGCAGGAGAAAGTTTGTGGTAAGCGAAGAGAAGAGAATTTAATGATGGGAACTAGATGTACTGCATAAGACGTGTTTGAGACCTTCGTTGAGTTGTTTTCTTGAACAAGATAACTCTGGAACGGTAAGAGACTGTTCATGACTAACGTACAATACATTTCTGACATCTTTTCAGATGGCTGGACTTCTCCCTACTCTTTATACAAGTCTCAAGCAATGGCGATTGATAAGGATAAATTCACTTCTTGTACATAAAACTTGATCATCTTGTCATGTTTGGGCAGGAACGATGTCTCGTCTCCAAATGGCTTCGCTCATCCTTGTGACCTGCGTCATCTCTTCAACGTCATGCACGCGTACAATGTCTGCTCCACCATGAACCGCTGCAGCCACGGTGGCTGCTGTGCCCCATGTCCGTTCACTCGCCTCCTTCACTCCCGTGATTGCGCCTATGAAACCCTTGCGACTCGACCCAAAAAGCCACGGGATCTCATCCAACGTACGATATGCGCCATTGGTAACACGTCCCCGCCCATTTGCTGAGGTGAATTCTGGCGCCCGCCTCAAAATTTCCAGGTTCTGAACTGCCGTCTTCGCGAAACCGATTCCTGGGTCCAAGATTATCCGCCAGCGACGGATTCCAGCATTTTCTGCTGCGATAACACGGTCGAGCAGCTCGTCTCTGATCGTAGTAACGAGATCATCGTCGTATGTCGTGTTCTTTCTAGATGACATCGTTTGTGGAGTACCTCGCATATGCATAATTACATATGTGCAACCAAGATCGGCAACTGTGGACAACATACGCTCGTCTTGTGCTCCAGCCGAAATATCATTGACAATATCCGCACCAGCCTGAATGGCAGCAGCAGCTACTGAGGCGCGATACGTATCCACGCTAATCGCAAACGACGGCGTGCTTGGGTCTTCACGGAGTGAAGACAGAACTTCAAGGGCAGGTCTAAGACGCGCGATTTCATCCGCGGCAGACACGTCTGGTGCGCCAGGACGAGATGACTGGCCTCCGAGGTCAATAATTGTTGCACCAGATCGGAGATGGGAGAGTATCGTTGAGTGGAGGTATGATTTATCATCCGACACGTGCTGGCCACCATCGGAGAAGGAGTCAGGTGTTACGTTTAGTATAGACATGACGTGGGTCTTCTTCGAGGCTTCACTGGGTACGATCGGTCGTATGGCCTTGCCCAGTAATGTGCAAGGATTGATCGGGCGTAATATGGGAGAGCTCCCTGACTTCATTTTTTCGTTCCACAAATGTTCCAGTATAACTCTATAAGGTTGCTTATTCCGGTTGTGGATGAATGTTTCTGGGATCGAATTCGTTGATGACTCTTTCGCGCAAGCTGTGGGTAATAGTCTGAATCACCTGATCAGCATGTCCTTATTAAAATTTATCTTGGTTTTTAGGTTGTGAGATTACAATGTACTACAATATACACAGAGGCAAAAGAGTAAAAGGGGAGGGCTGAATTACTGGCACAAAGGAGCCAAGACGAAGTCACGTTCCTCCATCAGCGGATGTGGTATAGTCAGGTCCGGTTCTAGAGATCGAAATTGGCCGCGTTCCCAGAGAATAATATCCAGGTCGATGTTTCTCGGACCTTTGTCAAGAAGCTTTACACGGCCCATCTTGCTCTCAATAGCTTGCAGTACCTTCATCAACTCAATGGGCTCGAGAAACGTTTCGGCCATACAAACGCCGTTGAGAAAATCGTCCTGGTCTTCAACGTACATAGCCTTAGTTTGCCAAAGGCCACTAGTTGCGTAAATATGGATGCTTGCTTCCTCCATCTCCCGACACGCTCGCTCGATCCAATGAAAGCGGTCGCCCATGTTGCTGCCAAAAGCGATGACGTATTTCATCATATGCTGATTGAAAGGCTCTGTTACTCTCGTTCTGCTAGTCGATGAGGTGTGGATTTCGCGAAGTGAAGCTGGTATATGTGCTCGAAGGCTGACGGCGACATTAGGCGACAGTGTTCTGACGCCACAGGAGCAGCCGTCGTATTGTGACGTATCGGTGTGAAGTATAGATGTGGTGCTCAGGAAATGCCCCTTACGACTGCTGGTCCGGGTAACCTTGTTCTGGGTAGGAGGCCAAGTTGTCTGATACGTTCTTCGACACAGCCAATAATGCTGGGTTGAGATAGAGGACCAGGGGCGGATACAGCCTGCTCTGGCATCGCAGCACTTCGCCGCGACGGTCGCTTTGACCGGTGATGACAGTCGGCAGAGCGCGAGCAATGTTTTTCTCATCGTTGCACATCTGAACATGACCATCGAAAGGATAGCGCAGCTGGACGTAGTAGGCAACGGGAAGTCCCGATAGCACGTGTCTTGCTGAACAAGCGTGGACTTTCTTGCCTTCCTTGTGGCTACTAACTTGCGTCTCTGCAACAAACAAATTTGTCCATCATAGGCCGGAACCGGCTGGCGACGGATGGAAAAATCCCCCAAACCGGACCCTGCATATGGGTAACGAGACCCCGGATTGATTAGCACACACCCCGCACGTTCGCTCTTTCCTCAACACACGCCAAGCTAAGCTCGGTCCTTCTTTCCCTCTTCTCTTTCCCTATGGCTGACTGGAGGAAACGCGGAATCTAGCAATTCAATACGCAGGCGCTGCGGTACTCTGTACATAAAATCATCCATAAAAAGTGATTGATCATCAACACAGCTTTTCAATCCCTTTCTACTGCTCGCTTGCCGCACAAAAATCTGAACCGCTGTCACGATTGTCGACCTCGATGCTGACATGGTCCATTATACTCCCATTGCGGCGATTTCCCTGTTGCAGGCATATTCATTCGAGCACATGTCAACCGCCCGGAAAATAACTTGAGTTGGAGGTCAGAGCACTTTTGCTCACTCACGTGATGCTTCACCTCAGCATCCATCTCGCCCTTGCTTGAGTCTTTGTGTCTGTCTCCACATGCTGCGACTTTGCGAGGGATCACTAATAAGAATACTAATGAACATTTACTCTAACCATTCCTAGTTTAGACTACTGACTTTCTCTTCTCTAAGCATCAGCAACACAGCAACTGCTTGTGCTCGTGTTCTCGTCTCCGCTAGGCCAAATTCAGCAGGCCGAGGTGTTTGGCTTCCCTTCTGTTGACGGACCGCGGCGTCTCCTCCACGACGGATATATACCGCGAATAATCAGGTCTTGCTCCCGCTTCGCCTGATATCTTCGATACTTTTTTCTCTCATCCTCATTATACCCTTCTGGTCGTACTGTTTATTCTCCTCGATCCGGCATAGGTCCAAGGAACTCTCTTTCTCTCCAGCCTCTTGCAGACACTGTGACAATGGCCTCTCCACGTATGTTCTACATACGCCCATCAACTGCCCCTACTCTTACTTGCCTGGATGTGATCAAGGATTGCGCTAAGATGTTGCACTGCAGAACAGATCAAGACCGTCACAACCGACCTTCTGGGCATTAAGCACCCAATCCTGCTAGCCGGCATGAACGTTGCTGCTGGCCCGAAGCTCGCTGCCGCCGTCACCAACGCTGGAGGTCTCGGCGTCATTGGCGGTGTCGGCTACACGCCAGATATGCTCAGGGAGCAGATCGCCGAGCTGAAGGCTGATCTGAAGGACAAAAACGCTCCTTTTGGCGTCGACCTGCTCCTGCCGCAGGTGGGCGGCAACGCACGCAAGACTAAGTAAGTCTGAGAATACCGATGAATGCACAAGTTTTGCATTGGAGATACAGAAATGCTAATAAGTGCCACAGCTACGACTACACTAAGGGTAAGCTTGGTGAACTCATCGACATCATCATCGAGTCTGGCGCCAAGCTGTTCGTTTCTGCCGTTGGCGTGCCACCGAAGCAAGTTGTTGACAAACTGCACAAGCACGGGGTCTTGTATATGAACATGATCGGACATCCTAAGCACGTTAAGAAGTGTCTGGAACTTGGTGTCGATATCATCTGCGCCCAGGGTGGAGAGGGCGGTGGACACACTGGTGACGTTCCAACCACAGTTCTGATCCCCACAGTTGCTGCGTTGTGTCGTGGTAAGAAGTCGGCGTTCACAGGCCAGGATGTGCAAGTCATCGCTGCCGGCGGTCTTTTCAACGGCCAGTCGCTCGCCGCTGCGCTGAACCTTGGAGCCACCGGTGTCTGGATTGGTACTCGCTTCGTCCTCTCGAAAGAGGCGGGAGCTCCACGTGCGCACAAGGAAGCTGTGCGCACTGCAGGCTTCGACGACAACATTCGCACCATCATCTTTACTGTAAGCACATACAAATTATTTCTCACCAAGAATCTGTGTAGGATTATGACTAACAAGCTAATGTTTATAGGGCCGACCTCTCCGCGTGCGCACAAACCCTTATATCCAAAACTGGGAGGAAAATCGCCAGCAAGAGATCAAGGAGTTGACGAGCAGAGGCAAGATTCCTGTCGAGCATGACATGGAGACCATGGGAGACGACATTGACGATGACACGCTGGACAATGCCAGGCCATTCCTCATGGGCAAGGCTGCAGCGGTCGTCAATGAGGAACTGTCAGCCAAGGAGATCATCGATGATATGGTGAACAGTGCAGTACAGTGGCTCGCTAAGACGAACAATTATGTTGTGACCAAGAGCAGCTTGTAAATTGTGCAACAGGCGGCCGAATACATAATTGATGTTTTGGAAAGTATTCGTCATGACTTCAAGATATGAACGCTTCGCGGAAAATCTTGTGTAGAAATACGAAAAAAGGCTCAAACGGCTTGCTTCTCTTGTAGCTCGTGGGCATATCGACTGTCTTGTTCTGTCCATATAGCATGCACCGAGAGTTTCCATCAGGCCATGCAATGAAAGAATAAGTCTTGACGTTCAATGATTGGTGATAGTGGTGAGCAAAGTGTGCTTAAGGTAGTCGTTGATTGCATCAAGGATTTCAAAATACCGAATATGAATCGCTAAATAGATTATTTAACCAAAATACCTCAGCTCGTGATACCGGTTTCGCTGCTCCGTAACTTGATTTAACTTATTACTATTGACTTGCCCAAAATCCTGCACTGGATGGACCTCGCTAGGGCAATTATTCCAAAAGTGTCGTCATTGTCCCACTTCCCGCAGAAATAGTCGCAGAAAGAAACAAACCACCGACGTATGATCTAAGTTAATAAGCTACGGCGGATCCTACACAGATTCAATTTTCATCCTCCGCACATCCTCTTCCCAATATTTAACATCCTCGCGATTCCAGGTGTCTTCATGTATCATCACACGCAAACGTGCCACCAATGAACTTTACGGACTGCAACTCAAGGTGAAGCGCAACTCAACGAATCATCTACCGCGCTCGCGTTTGCCGCGTTCTGGCCCCCATAACACAGCAAAGACAGTTTACTAAGATAAGCATCTATACCAGGCCAGACGGGATGATGGCTGGTGACGGGAAATTGCGTCCTTGCGAATGCGTGTGTCCATTTTGCTTTCTCCCCCATTCCTTTCACGTTTTGTTCAGCTTTGCAACCCTGGCCGAGTCTGTTGACCGGTGAAAGAAAGCTTAAATTTGTTCTTTCACCGCAGTTTTCTCTCTAGCAACACTCCTTTCGCAGCATCTACTGTCTTCTTCAAGAGCACGGCTACGTTCGAAATACGTCGCCGATGCCGCCAAATTCTGTACAGAACCAATTCATACCGTACTTCATCTCGTAGCATAGTCCTTCGCACACGAAGAGCCGCGCATTCGTATCATCTCAAATCGCAGAATATCGACAACTTCCTCCAGTACATTCTACTCTCAGCGCTCAGTCTAAGATGGATCTGCCCGAGCCTGTACTGAACCCTTCTCCGCCTCCTAATCTAGAATCTTCATCTGGACCGAAGCACGACGAGTTTTACAAGTATTGGGATCGTTTTATAAGTGTAAAGGAGAAGACGAAAAAGAGTAAGTCCAGAACGTCTTTGATGGTCACCAACTCTGCCACAACGAATGCGAAAAGTGAACATCCAAGTGGCACTTTCACAACTGCCCGCACATCAAACGTCGACTCGCAAGTGTACAATGACGGCAGGAGGCAAGGTACTAGTCTTGAGAAAGACGTCGAAGGTCGTCCAGGTCATCCTATGGTGCGAAGTAATACTGAAGGCGTGATCTCAAGGCAAAGAGCAACGACGTCGTACGAGGAGGCGGTCGCAAGCTGCCGTGCAAAGGTTGACGCTATTAGGCGCGAATGCAGGAGACTTAACCTGAAGTATTATGACCGCCTTTTTGATCTACCCGCTCAAGACACGCTTCTCTCTCTTGACTCAAAGGAAACCCCTGTCTCTGTTAAGCAGCTGGTGGGTGTTGGCAGTGTGAAGCGTGTAGAGGACATCTATGAGGAACCAGAATTTTTTATCGACGGTGCGACAGCCAATGACATTCGTCAGGGTACCAATGGAGATTGCTGGTTTTTGGCCGCTATTACTGCTCTATCTGGAAAGCCGGAGCTGATCAATCGCATTTGCGTGGCGAGGGACGAGAAGGTTGGTGTCTATGGGTTTGTGTTTTTTAGGGGTATGTTGACCATTCCTGTCGTGCGATTGGCGTACGTACTAATCTAGTGATAAGACGGCGAATGGATTTCGGAGGTTGTAGATGATCGACTCTGCCTTCGACAATCGGATGACTCAAAGAACTACCACACAGAATACATGCTGACCACAGGAGGCGATCAAAATCCTATGACCACCCCGTTGACCAATATGGCTTACGGAGTCTCAAAACTTCCGCAGGAGTTTAGGGAGAGCTTACGAAGAGGTTCGAATGCCCTTTATTTTGCTAGTTGCAAGGACAGCAACGAAACATGGCTGCCTCTGTTGGAAAAAGCTTACGCAAAAGCACATGGGGACTATCAAGCTATAGAAGGCGGCTTTGCTGGTGAGGGGGTGGAAGATTTAACTGGCGGTGTCGCCACATATATCTCCAGTGAAGATGTTTTGGACAAAGACAAGCTTTGGAACGAGTTATTGCAGGTCAATGATAAATTTCTCTTCGGCTGTGGGTCACGTCAAGGTCGAGATTATGACCCCGCAGATGATGAAGGATTTGTCCGTGGGCACGCGTATACCGTGTTGGAAGCACGAGAAATTACGAAGCCGAAGAATATCGTCGACGAGGAGGAGCGACTGGCTATAAAAGCAGGACGTAAATACACTGACAAGAAGCGGAACGAAAAGGTGCGACTACTGAAGCTGCGGAACCCATGGGGCCGACAGGAATGGAATGGAAAGTGGTCCGATGGCTCAAAAGAATGGACACCAGATGTGATGAAGGAGCTTCAGCACACATTTGGTGATGACGGCATCTTTTGGATCTCATACCCAGACTTCCTCAAGTTCTACCCCGAGATTGACCGTGTGAGGCTGATTGGCTCGGAGTGGACAGTAACACAGCAATGGACTGCTGTCAACGTTCCCTATACAGCTGAGTATCTTGACACTTCTTTTACTCTGACCATCAAGGAGCAGGGCCCTGTGGTGCTAGTATTGAGTCAGCCGGACAGCCGATATTTTCAAGGATTGGTTGGTCGTTTCTCGTTCGATCTGCACTTTAGGCTGTACAAAGACGGCGAAGCGACATATTTGCTTCGCTCAATGGAGTCGGCTGGCTCGAACCGGAGCTGCTCCGCTGAACTAGACCTCGAGCCAGGCTTGTACACCATTCTCGTCAAGATCACAGCCACACGTACCGCATCTGATAGAACCGTAGAGGAAGTGATCAAACAGTATCGTGAATCCCGACGAGATAAATTACTCGCTGTTGGCAAAAGTTTTGATGCAGTCCATTCCAAAGGCCGGTTACGTGCATTGGAGGAGAATGATGCTCAGCAGGAGAAACTTGACGAAAAAGCTAAAGACAAACAACGCAAAATTGAGGAAAGAAACCGAAAACGAAAAGAGAGGCAGCGAGAGAGGCTTAGGAGGAAGCGGAGGGAAGCAGAAGAGAAGAGGAAAAAGGAAGAGAAGATAAAGACTGCAAAGGAGAAAAAGAAAGCAGACGAGAAGACCAAGAAGCGTCAAGGAAGTCGAAAGAATATCGAGACAGAGGACGCTGAAATGGGAAGACGGGAGGAAGTGAAGGATTTGAATAAAGAATCGCAGCCTGTGGAAACAAGGGTGACGCCAGATACTCAGGAACTTGCCCAGGCTAACCTAAAGGACGCGATCGTAGCTGACAATGCTGCCAAAGAGGCCATTGATAAGCACATCGGGAGTGTTGACACTTCATCTCCAGCTTCCGAACTACCTACCCTAGAACTAACACATGAGCCATTATTTGATGGAAGAGAATTAGACAAAGTTGACAAAAGCAACTGTTCTGAAGATAAACCTGTCCATGTGGAGACGGAGAGTGGAGCCAAGGTAGTTGAAGGTGTTCATATTGCCCTAACACGTGACGAATCCAGCACAAAGGCTGAGAACCTGAATGTTTCCAAAGCAAATGAAGGGAAGGGCGAACCAAACAATGATAAGGTCGAAGGCAATGAAGGCATGACAGTGGACAGGACTCATGAGTCGGCTGATGATGAACTCAACGAGGAGCAGGAATCTTGTCACTCATCAGACGATGAGGATCATGTGTCGGACTGTTCATCGGTTGCAGATAGTGATTTCACTTGGGATGATGTTGTAGACGGATCTGGCGCAGAGAGCGACAGCGATATAGACGACGATTCCGATGACGATGATATGTTCAAAGATGATCCATGGCGTGCACGATGCGTAATCGGACTCCGAGTCTGCAGCTTGGACAAAAGCGTGGTCATTGGATTCAAACACGGCAAAAATGGACCTGTGGGTCACGAGGAGGTTGAGGATCGAGGCTAAATATCTCCTGTCGTATACAAAATCGTGTCATTGACTGCGATATTGATTTAACTGTTACTTTCTATGTTTTAGCTAAATGTAAGGTGGTGATTGCATATTCTAGGACATTACGTTGATAAGTGGTCTTCTTGCTCTAGTATACATACACAATGAGTATATAATGTTGGAAAAGCCGGAGTATATCTCTAACACATAATGGAGATATGAATTTGCGGTGAAGATAATGCCACAACCTGATCAACAGACGTTGGTGACAATTGAAAGTTAGGCATTAATTTGGCATCCTTGGAACGCGCTACTTCTAACGACTTACGTTAAGGTAGAACGAAGGGCGGCACTGCAAATCATGAAAAGTATCATTTGCTTATAGCGCTTACGGAAAGACCGAGGAAAAGGTTCATCTTTGGTGCTCTCGAAAATGAACTGTACCAACCTAAAATTTTAATAAATGCATAACGGCTCCTTGGAGGAACTCATATCAATTAGCTCATAAGCAAAAACAAACAAATGATATATGCTGTGAAAATCTGACGAACTGTGGACACTTTCTGATTGCTGTCGTATCCACGAAATGTACCCACGTATCCAGCACTTCCGTGAAAGACAACGTAGATAAGCCTATAGAAAGAGAAGACAAAGAGCAAAGTGAAGTGATAATTTTATGCATACAACATTCCATTAACCCTTAGTCAGCTTCTCAAAACCATTCGAGATTTTGGATATAGGTCTCTTTGCTCGTACCAGAACAGGAGCAAATGTACTCCAAGTGCAAAACAGATTGTTGCTCATCGGTATCGTTTTCTACTTTATCTCCTACTTTAGTCTTGAGAACTATACTTGATCATAGATGATTTTTTCTAATTGAGGAAAAGGCATGTTCTAACCGCTTGGACAGAGAAATATAGCTTTATCATCAAATGCCTGCATGGACCTAATGTCTCTTCACAACACGTAGAAACAAAAAGTAATTATCATCTCGTGTTGAATAGCGCAAATGGAGAGGACTATAGTCTTTAGCTTCTCTGATCTATTTCAATTGTAGTTGGAGACTTACATTGAGAAGTCGACGACAGTCCTTGATGAATACGGATCCCAACGTTGCTTACAATAAGGGAGTAAATACTGCGGCGAACTACAAGTTCTGCTAGCCCATATCTGCGACCCAAATAGCGGTGCTTTATTTTCATGTCAGAAGATTTTTCAGATATGGGCAGAGATTCTATGCTTCCTTTATCCAATCATGACGTTCACAGTATTGCGGATCATCACGACGGGGACAATAGCATCGGCTCCATGGTCCTTATGCGAATCGATACAGTAGCTCATGGAAAGCAAGGAATTATACTCCCCCTAGAGCACAAGTGGAAAACGGGATCAGTCTTGCGTACCGGTGAGCAGTAAAAGAAAACAGAAAATGCTACCAGTGATCACAATTTCGAGCGCTTCTTGTGCTCTGATTGGGATTTTGCTCAGCGTCTTCCCAAAAAGCGTCTACTGGTAGAAACCATCTTGACAACCACATTATCTTGGAGAAAACCGTCAAGTTGTTGCAATTACGAGAAATATCCTTTCTAATACCCAACAAGAAGTAATTTGACTTCCGAGATCGCGAATTTCTAAGATATATGTATCCTAGTTCGAGGCAGTTCTCTCCTGAAATCAAATATTCTATTGTACTTCATTGGTAAGAGTGCTTGAACATGTTCATTTCGACTCTTCATAAAGTGAACTGCTCTCGCATCAGGCAGGGAACTATCCTTCTTCATCGGCGCGGTTATTCGCATTTCATGTCCAGCCTATAACCCAGCTACGCAGCAGCTTTGTATTTCATCTCTAGTTGATCTTCCAGACATGACCAAGAGATCTAGGAGCCGCAAGATAAAAGGCCACATAAAATATACGCTGCATGCATAAATCTCGCTTGGTTGCTGCTAGACGAGCAGATTCCTCTCCGGGATAACTTGAACTGCCTGGGCTTGTTGAATGGCTAATGGCTCTTTTACATCCAGCAAGACAGCGAAAGCCTTCTCATTGCACCCGTGTAGGTCAGCCACTGCTCGGTTTTGTAACCTAACTCAAGATTGAGGAAATGTGATCTCGAGCAAGAATAGCTAGATATATCGTGTGCACTAAGATTGCGGCGGAGGATGTGATAATCTCTCGACCGCCCACTATTCCAAGTCAGGACGAGTCAACCACAAATCTCCTGGGTTGAGTAGTCATCCAAAAATTTAAAAAAAATTAAACAAAATAACTCGGAAATATAAGAAGTTGACGACTTCTTTCACTTTCTCGCACAGAACTCCGTGTCAATATGAACATATATCCCGTAAACTGTCATTGGCGCTATAATTGTCACCACATCTTGTGAATAGACACAATTCTGACGCATGATACGTTGAGGATAAAATCCCGGTTATTTGAGAGCTCAAGTAAAGGATTGGGAAGAAAAGTAGTAGAGTGTTGATATATTTCGCAAAAGACGGTACACGCGGAACGAAACGAAGAAAGCGAATTGGTCTTTGAAAAGGGGGTAGTTAGTACGACTTCATTTCCGACGTCTCAGATCCAACTCGTGGTTTATTGGTTTTCCCAAATGAATTCTGCGGTCTTGCAGAGCAATTCCACCCTTCAAGACAACTCAAAGCAGTTAACCCTGGTTTGACTTTTCCTCTTTTGACCCATCGTTAGACTTAAATTGTTGAGTTTATATTTGCTCGCCTTCCAAGATTGGCTTTGCCTCCTCGCTCTTCCACCAGCTAACTCCTTGTTCACCGGGGTATTCAAATCGTTTCATACTCTCTGGTTTCATCTCTACGCTGTAACCCGCAGCAGTAGGAGATACGAAATGCCCATTCTCGACTTTACACGGGTACTTGAAATGTTCATGCAAATGATCAACATACTCCAGGACGCTCTTCTTTCCAGACACTACGACATAGTCGATCGTGCTTAAGTGACTCGTATACTCTGGCAATCCCACACCTCCGCTGTGAGGCACAATTGGAATACCGTACTTTGCTGCGATCAACAACACGGCCAGAACTTCATTGACACCGCCCAATCGACAAGCATCAATTTGACAAACATCTATTGCGCCACTCACGATGAGTTGCTTGAAAACAACTCGATTCTGACACATCTCACCCGTAGCAGTACCGATATTGTACGGTTTCAATGCTTCTCGAATTGCTTTGTGGCCAAGGACATCATCAGGGGATGTTGGTTCTTCAATAAACCAAGGCTTGAATTCTGCAAGTTGTTTCATCCACTCAATAGCTTCTGGCACAGACCAAACCTACACTCTATTAGTATATCATTAGAAGGACAGATGATATCATTCACCTGATTTGCATCAACCATAAGGATATTTCCTTTGTCATAGCCAATAACGCTACGAGCGATTTCTAGCCTTTCGCGATCCTGGGATACACTTGTTCCAACTTTGAGCTTGAAGTGTTTGAACCCTTGGTCCATGGTTTCTTGCAGCAACCTTTTCATCTTGTCCTTGTCATATCCGATCCAACCTGCGGATGTTGTGTATGCGGGTACTGCTTGGTTTTGCTCGGCCTCCTTGATCCTGGCGGCCTTTCCGGATTCAGACTTCTTCAGCAAATCCACGGCTTCTTCTGGAGTAATTGCATCGGTAATGTACCGAAAATCTATGCATCTTACGTATTCTTCTGGTGACATGTCGGCAACAATCCGCCACACGGGTTTGCCCAACACTTTGCCCCATAAATCCCATAGGGCATTGACAACAGCTCCAAGAGCGAGGTGAATGACGCCCTTTTCTGGCCCTATCCATCGTAGTTGGCTGTCGTTAACTAGATGGCGCCATGTCTTGCCCCAGTTTTCAACTAGACTTTCCAAAGTGCGACCCTTGATTCTGTTCGCAAGAAGAGCTATAGCAGCACAAACGATCTCATTGCCACGGCCAATTGTGAACGTCATCCCATGGCCAGTATATTCCGAGTCTGTTGAGAGCACGCAATAAGCAGCTGAGTAGTCTCCGGCTGCGTTCATTGCATCGGAGCCTGTCTTGTCTAGGGATGTCTTGTAACCATCGGGTTAGAAGCTTAAAGCAGCCGTTGCAGGAAATATTGCCTACCGGAAAGCGGACATCTCGGGTCTCACAACCTGTAATTGTGATCATCTTGAGCGGGGAACGCAAGCTATTCCAATTGCAAACACCCTCTCCCAATAACGACTGCAGTTCAAGGATAATAAGACAGGAAAGAGTCAAGCTTGTTTGTGCTTCGGTGCTGCCGGTATGCGCAATTCAATTTTGACCTCCAAAAACAGAAAATTTCGTCTACTTATATACATGCCGAACATAATGGCCCTGACGGAAGAATCGCGACCTTATGACTACCCTGTAAACCTTGCAACCATGACTTCAGGTGGGTCCGAGGAAGGACTTCTGTCAGTTCCATTCGTGGAAAAATTGTTTCACGGGAGCTTCTCTTCCAGTCTAACCAACATGAGCGCCAAGGACCTCACAGAATCTCCCGCTCATGCTTCACAGGCATTTTTCAAGCGCTCGCGTTAAAGTCATGGTAGCGCATGTGCTTTTTGATGTGCTGAAGCTGAGAATATCAATCGTGAGCGGATGCGCTGCCTATCAAGACCGAAGGAAATGAAGAGAACGATTGATTTTAGACGCGTTGAAGCAGCCACAGCGACCTTAAAGCTGTACTAGAAGGAAAGCCTCGTGTGAGAGGCCTTGTGTTTCGTGCTTCATTTTATGGGTCCTATTGCGACAACACTGACGACAGTGAAACAGGCAAGTGCCTACAAAAAGGGCGGACGTAGTGAGGTTCGTAACCCGCTAATAGCTTAAAAGTGGAATAGACGAGAGATCAAACGTAGAGAACAACTTGCAGCCGAAGCACAAGTTAGTTCAGATCAATACACCCTGTCCTCAAAATATCCCTCGTCTTCCATATCCATGTCATCATCGTCTAGGACTTCTACTTTTGTGCCAAGAGCCTGCCGACCTTCCCTCAACAGTGCCTTCAGTTGCTCATTCATCCGCCGTATGCTTGCGTCTTGCTGTTTCTCATCTCTCTTCCTTTCAGCAAGATACTTTCGCGCTTCTGGACTTAAGGGGCTTTCTTTCGGTACAACAGCAACATCAGAGGATGCCCGACGATGAACATGCGATGCTGACCGCTGCAACATGGGAGAAGTGTTTGAGGTGACAAAGTGGGAGGTGCGACGAGAGTTCGGGGTGAAGGAACGTCTGCCCTTGGTTGCTAACCGTATGGGAGACGGCGGTGGTCGGTGGAAGGTCCATTTGCCGTGCAGCTCTTGTTTCTTGGGATCCGGCACAAACACCCAGGGTGACTCAGTGTCCTCAAGATGCATTCGCTTCGCCGGTCTTTGCTCCTGCTCAAACTCAAAATCATCATCATCTAAGGGAAATGAGCCCGGAACTGGTGTTGAATCTTCCCCAAAGCATAAAGAAGGCGCCCCGTTTATCGACTCCCAAGTTCTGCTATTGGCACTCGGTTGCGATTCGCGCCTTGGGGTAGCCATTGCATAGCCCTGACCTCCGCCAGCGTAGAATCCTTTAAATGCACTTGTTCCAAAAGACCAGACCTTGCCAGCGACTGAAATCATAAATTGGCTCCAAGTCTGTTGCTGCTGTGATTCTGCCTTGGCGTAAAGCGGATTGGGGGTGGTTCGGTCGTGTATCGACTCTGCATGCGTGCTTCTCCATCTCCTTCTCAAGCCAAAGTCATCCTGGCTCTGGCCCTCTTCTTTGCTCTCTCGCGCAATTTTTGGCGTGTCCAGTCCGCCAGCCAAATGGTATCGCGTGTTGACGAACGGCTCGGGGCTGGCGAAATCACTTCGGACCGCGATATTGTCTCGACTGAAGATCTTCTGCGTTGTCCCCAACTCAGATCGCGGCGTCACTATCGACGATCGACCTTGCTCCTTCAGGTTCGTTTCGTGCCTTGACCGCTTCTTGCTTGCGCTCGTTGCAGTAGCTTCGGCATATCGTGGATTTCGGCTTTTTGCCATGTAGTCTGCAGGTCGTTGGATTGGCGTCGAAGGGATATGCAGCGGGTGAACTTGGCTCGATTTTCGTGGGCCTGCCTTTCGGCGGCTTTGCAATTGAACGCTGATTGATTGTGGCAAACTGAAAGCTGTTTGGCTCGTGTAGGCCATTGTTTGCGGGGTTGTTAATCGTGAACAAAACGCTTTGGATGTTCTGTTGAATGCGAAAAGCTACGAGAGAAACAGAGGGATCACTGGCCCATATCTGTCAAAAATTCAGGGATGTTGAATTAAGACCGAGAATTCGGTCTACGATTCGCAGTCAGACAACAATTTGACGAGGAGCAACAAAAGATGACGGAGTGCAGACGCCCGTCGTCGCGTAGCCAGATTTCGGAATACGCTACTGACGGCTTCATACGGCTTAGTCGCGGCGTGGGTTGGTGAATTGCGTTTACGCGAGCCTGAGTTGGCGATAAGGGCCACGTCTGGATGCCGTGACTCACTAAGTTGCCGAATGTGAACCTGCTTCAGCTCCCAAATGACTTCTTACACGCTCATTCTTCCGTGACAAACATCCTCTCAACTTTTGCACCTTATAGAAGCCTAGGTTTGAACTCTATCCACATCACAACACCTCCGTCCGATTCGGCATGTCAACCTGCTTCAAAGGTAGCTGCTCTTGCGTAGCAATCACGGTACAGGTTGACGGCGAGCCTTCTATGGTAGTACGTAAAAATTATTGCTTTTGATAAGATCCACGGAAAATGACTGAAAAGGCTCTGTGTCATTGTTTGAACTGTCAGAAGACTACTGGTTCAACGTATAGTATGAATTGGGTTTTGCCTAGATGTGCGTTCAAGGTATTGTCCAGTGCACCAGTAACATATGAAGCTCTTGGCGACAGTGGTAGTCCAGCACTTCGCCGGTTCTGTGGAACATGCAGCTCGACGATGTGGACCGAGTCTTCTCGTTTTCCGGACATGGTTGTCCTCAAGGCCGGAATCTTGGATGAGGGCGGACTAGCTAGATTTACACCTTCCGCTGAGACATTCACCTCCAGAAAACCTAAATGGGTAAATGAAGTTGCAGGTGCAGTGCAATGTCTAGAAGCGTTTAGTTCCTGAATATTGTCTATGCTTGGCAGTAGAGAAAATGGGAAGGTGTGCAGAGTTAGAGTGTTTCTCGTTGGATGATTCCCTGTTACGTGTGTTTATGCTCTCTTTTTCGGCTATGACGACAAGCAGTCAACACGACGAAAAACTCATGAGTCATCAAGATTCCTCATTGTAAAACTCCAGAACAAAGCCATAGCGGCCACGACCATGAGGTAGAACCACCAAACCATTCCCACCATATTTTGCTCAATACCCTTCGCCAAAATCCACCCGCCCAAGGCTGGACCTACAGCTCGTGCAAGGCTGGCTCCTGCATTACCTGCACCATGGATACGTCCTAATGCGCTCTTGCTTGGAGCTGACTGCGTAAGGAGAATGACTGTACTTGGTATGGCCAGCGTCCGTGCCATGATTTGACTCCACGTTATAAGCCCAACACAGATCCAGCGCAAGACGCCCTGTTCTGGAAGCAATACAAGAAATGGAGTCAGAAAATATGTGATTGGAAACATGTACAGGGCCACTCTGAATGTTCCAAGAGTTCCTAATCTAGCCTGAAAGCGCGGATATACGAACATTTGCAGTGCAATCCCGCATAATCCGAAAAAGGACAGGTATAGGCCGATACTCGATGATCGAAGGCCCAACCCACCATGGGAATGTAATTTGGACTCCTGGTAAGATTTATCCATGGGTAACGTGCTCATAAACACTGGATATATGTGCATAAACGCCGAGTTATGCAAAGGTAGTATACCGAAAGAGATCAAGGCACATAGAACATCTCTCGTCCATAAGTTCTTCGGCTGAAGAGGTTGCATGACTGGTTTTTTTTGCGCAGCATCGGAATGCATTGCTGTTATTTGCTGATTCAACATTCTATCGTCCTCATCATTTGTAGGCACAGCTGCATAATCAGCGAAGCGGCTCGAAAATCTCCTCCGAATCCAGAGAATGATAAGACTACCAAATCGAAGCCCAGTGTCTTCATTTTCCTCACAACCCTCCAGTGTCTCCCTAAGTCCACAAAATGCCATTAGAAGGCTTATGGTCAATAGGAAGAAGTTGAAGATTGCTGGAAGAGCAAAAGGAAAAGCAAGCGCAAAGGGGGCACCGTCTGGATTTCCAGAGAAATTCAGGATTCCATTGCGTCCGAAGGCCCACGCCATATTGGTGGTGGGATCTGCCAGCCAACCACCAATTGCAAGACCAAAGACCATGCCAGCATTGAATATCAGTGGCAAGAGCAAAAAGGCTTTGGTCTGAAATTTGCGTTCTTTCACAATTTCAGCAGTAACCGTTCGCATCACGCCAACATTACCATTGAAAATACCTGCAAGTAAACGCCAGAGCATCAAGCTCCCGAAACTTCTAGAGAATCCGAAGCCGAGATTCGAAACTGCGGACACAAGCAAGGCGCCAACGATGACCGGCCGCCGGCCATATTTGTCTGCCCACCGCGCCCACAACATTGATGTCGCTAGTTGGGCCAATGGGAAAATGGCCACGAGGATCCCTGATAGCTGGGCAATCTGTTTGTGCTGATCTTCGTTTGGTGAATCCTGGTTCGGTACGACAATTGACTTCATCAGAAAATATATGTATGGTAGAAGACAAGTATTACTGAGTGGCTCTGACAGTCTGCATAGTCCTAGAATGAATAGTTGATCTTTCTTGGGTAATGAAAGCCATGGTATGCTTTCTTTTGTCGCAACTGTCCCTTTATATTCGATAGCTCTGGTGCGCTGAGAGTGATCAGTGGGGTGAGAAGAAACCTCGTTTGCTTCAGCGAGCTCGATGTCGTCTATGGAAGAAAGCTCTGGTTCACGCTCAACACGCGCCATTGGCCGGAATAATGAGAATTCTCAACTGGATTCGTGGTTTGAATTGAGCTCGTTTTCTCATGTTGTTGCATCTAGATCGTCGAACGGGACGTGCCATTACGCGTTTACCTAGATCAGGACGATCAGGGGTGTCCGAAAAGGGAAACTAATCCGCAATGCGGACTGGATTGGGGTCCGAAGACAGAAAATGTAATAAGCGTCTCCACAATATCTGCTATTGGTTCGTGAAAGTGATGCCATTAAACACAAAAGAAAGTCTCTTCTTTTCTTTCAAGAATGTACGTTTACTACGTGTTATTCTGCAATATTAACAGTGGTTTGCTCCTTTCCAAAGCCACTATTAATGACCTCGACTCTAGAACTACGCCAATCCTGAGCAATGCTGTCGCTGTTATCAAACAATACATTAATCGTCTCCAGTGGCCTCTTCTTTGTTTCGGGATAAAGGAACCATATGACAGGCACACAGGCGAGATTGATGGCCATAAAATAAAAGTAGATATTGGATCCGACATTGTCAATACCGACAGGCCAAACTTGAGCAGTAACTATTGAACCAATTGCACCAAATGAAGCTGCAACATTTAGGCCAACTGCTCGATGCGTGGTTGGAAAGATCTTGAAAAAAATTAGCTTTCGGAAGAAATGGATGCTAGAGAAGAGAACGCACCTCGCTTCCATAAACCCAAGCTCCCGGTCCAAACCCTAGTGAGTAGCTAAAGGTATATATGAAAATGAAGACGATACAAGCATAGTCAGATGCACGGTTTGCATTATTCGGGTATACGATTGGTAACGCACCATTAATCTGTTCCTGATTCAGCTGGAAAGTCCGAAAGACTAGATTGTCTAGAACTTACAAGCATAGCTATGCTCATACCGAGAGCTCCTGCTGCCATGGTGTTTCGTCTTCCAGCGCGATCTACAATCATCATCTCAATGACTGTGCAGCCGATCTTTAATGTTGACTCGATTCCACCAACCATCAACGCAAGACGCGTCCCAAGGCTGAGCTTTCGGAAAAGTGTGGGCAGGTAGTACTTCATGGCAGTAGCGCCACACATTTGAGCCATGAACTGGAGCAGTGCCGCGCGCCACAGACGCTGAAAGAGAGCTGGTTTGCTGAAGAGTTCTAACCAACGCGTGAATGTAGGCATCTGTGCACCAATACTTCTATGAATGTCTTGAAGCTCATCACGGATTTGCTCATCGGAAAATGTGCCCTCTCTAAAATAGATGAGGGATTTGAGTGCCTCATCGGCACGGTGTCGTAACAGAAGCCATCTAGGACTTTTGGTCGTTGGCATTAATGCCGTAACAGTTCTTTTAACAGACTTACGTTTCAGGTACGAACGGCATACCCAAGCACATGATCGCCGCCGGGAAAAATTGGAGTGATATAGATACGCGCCAACCTACTGAACTGCCTCGAGGGCTGTCCCAGTGACTGATCCCATATCCGACCCTGGAGGCGTGTTTTTAGTATTGTTCAGTAGAAGGTTCAGACAGTTCAGACCAGAACGCCACCGCTAGTCCTGCAACAAGTCCAATGTGGTTCATAACAACCAATTTTCCGCGCTGTTTTGGAGGCGCTATTTCACTGCACTTATTTTAGCTTCCCTGTAGTGGGGTTCGCAGAAAGCACGTACGTACCTTTGATACAATGGAACAGAGGTAGACACAACAGCAATGCCTAGACCGCCAATGATTCGTCCGATGATTACCATAGTGTAAGCTCCTGAGGGACCTCCTGACGCTCCAGCTATCAATGCTGAGCCAAAGCAAGCTACGAGCATCCCTACAAGTGCCGCATAACGTCTACCCAAGAGGTCGCTTGTAGGATGTGAGAGGAACAGATAGCTAAGCCATGTGCCGAGGTAATAAATTGCGGTAATTAGACCAGTCTGTGAAGATGATGGGTGACCAAGTGCCTGTTTAAAACCTGGATGGACATATACTGTCGACAGAATGCCGATGTTGTAACCCCACACGAACGAACCGAGAGCGAAATAGCCGCACAGAAAATGAAGACGAAGGCTCGATATATTTATCGGCATAGCTGATGGAAGCACAAATCAAGGCAGTTTGAGTTAAAAAGATCTAGAAATGAAAAAATTTTGGGTGACATCTCTGTATTTCAAAGGAACAAAGTTCGGTGTGGATTGTCTGATTGACCTTATCTTGCATCCGACAGCGGCTAGCTATACAAGCACCGACTCTCAACGAAATGCAGTTCTCTTGACAACAGCGGAAAATATGAGCTTTGTATAACAGCTATCACCATTCCTGCTCCGACTCAATAATTGGTGCATCCTCTTCACCATTTGGTATTATTGGGAACGATGAAACAACTGGGAAAAAAAATCAAAATTGGAGGTGCATTTGAACGGGAGACAGCACATGAAATCACACGAACAAAATATTTCCCAATCAAGGATGTATCCTCGGAACTCTTAAGTGATCCTGTCTCTTTTGCGCTTGTCTCAGATCAAAAGATTCAAAACTGCTCAAGGGCATGTTAGATGCATCACGTGACTTTAAGACCCTCTTTGTCATATCGTCATGAGTGAATTTTTTCTTGAAAAATAGGAAAAGAAAAGAGGCCTAAGACTTGAGATGTAGTCAGTAAACGTTTCAAGTTAGAATTCGTATAGCGAGCGTAGCAATCTTCACGACATACTGCGCAGTCTGACGTCTTTTGTTTACGGGTCTAATTTTTTGGAATTCTAACCATCTAAAATCACTTACACAAATTCATTTACAGTGAGAGATCTCCTAGAGCTGAGATCCACATTCGAGTCTACGTTTACGATGAGAGGTAGTCGAATGAAAAGAAACGTCATGTCTTGCTCACAGAGTCTCAAGACTTGGCCCCGTCCCGCTAAGTTCTTCCCAGCTGTTGTGTGGCACCAAGAATTGTCAGCTTGAAGGGGGATATCCGAGATAGGTTTGCGCTTCGGGTGGAAAGGTAGTGAGGTTGTTTACTGTCAGTTTTAAAGACAAAATAGTGATGTGAAAGAATATGAGGTTGCAGATTTTCCAAAGGGCTAATTTGACTCGTTCGAATAAATAATAAAATATAATGTCAGATTACCCTGGATTTATGCCTTTAGCTTGCACATGCACAAGGATTTTAGCCTTGTTCTCACGCGTAGTCACTTATGGTCCTATGCGATTGCATGATAAAAATAACGATAAATATATCTCATATAGTGCTCAAAATTTCAGATGATCTATCAAGTACTTAACCACGGTTCTGCTAAAATACTAACCGTATAAGCAAATTTAGCTCAAGGGTTGTTGAGAAAACTGAACGAACCGAAAAGGCGGAGGATTCTGAATTAAACGAACGCTCTGGGATGACGGAAGAGGGCTGATACCAGAGCCTGCATATGCCCTGTCCTACAAAGTTTAAGTTCGGAACGAGGTGGATCAATGTAACAAGGCTGCTCTTAACGAAGCAGGCTGCTCTATTGATAGGAGGCAAAACATGTGATTTCCTGGCTCAATCTTCATGCTGACTAGATCGTACAAAGTCAAAAGTAGCTTGCCCCCTGCAAATACTAAGATAGAGAGCGCAGATATGGTGGGCTTATATTGAGGAAGATCCAGATATGGTCTCGCTGGCATTTGGCGGTATCAACGAGCAAGCGCTCTCAGAATAATGCTCAGGGAATACAAGAGCCCCGTGACGTGAGAAGTATTCAATTTCGAAATAAGAGTGAAATCAAGTCACTTACCAACGGTAGCGTATCCATTTCGTCGTGTGGCGCTGACCCTAGCGAAGGAGAGTCCAGCAATACATCCATGTCAAGATGTCAGCACATTGATGGCAGAAGGGGTGCAGTGCCGCGACACTCACACGCTAGACTGTTTAAAACCTAGCGTCAGCCTCAGAGTGGGTGTGATGGCGTTTGCTTCTACCGCGAACGAGGGATACTATTTTGGACCACCCGTAATTTAGAATCTCAGTAGTGGAAAGGATGTGGAATTCCTCGGCGAACCACGGCAAGTTTTCTTGTGACGCATGAGCAAGAACAGGCTTTGACGAAGAATTTAGCCCTCTGCACACCTATTGTTCAAGTCTATTGTGCCCAATAATTACAGCAAGTTTTCCATTATCGTACAGTTAAAGCGGCTTCAAGATTGAGCTCCCAACGTTAACAGATCTCAAAACTTGGTAAATTTTTGGCCTTCTGATAACCATGAGTTATGCCTATCCTTGCGGATTCCGTAGGATATGAACATTTAAGCTGAATGGCAGTCCCAAGCATTACTTGTTGCTCCGCCTTGTATGACGACGTTTCAAAGACACTTAGCATTTTTGTTTGATGAAGAAGGGACCGGATTCATTGCGTGTTCGCTCTGGGCACCAAAGGGCCCATTGAAAAAGTGCCATTCGAACTCGGTTCTGCGAGGCGCATGCGAAAAGCTTGGGGTTGGCGAATTGGCATCCTTCTACCCGTTCTTGATTGGATATTCTTTAGAACACCCGAACTCTAAATTCATGACTCGTGACATGTGCTCGGCAGCAGGAACTAATGCACTTTGCCGGATTCCGGAGGATCATTCAACGTTGACAGGAGATGAGCACCGGCCAATAATGGAAAAATAGCAGTACTACTAGGCCAATTGAGACAAGAAAGAGTCGATGGATTCTGGGGGTGGCGAGACGATTTTGCCTGGGGTTGGTTCTTGAAGACTCCATTTACCTCCACTATGTTCCCTTTGGCGACTTCGTATTCCACTCAACTTTCTTCCTTCATTATCAATAATAGCCGTGGCCGTAGAAATCGTGGGCTTATAATACGAGGCTCGGCTGCTCTGGTCTGAGGGACATTGTTTTACATACAATGGCCGGTGGAAGTAAGTAGAAACTCCTGATTCTACGGAACGACATAACTGACAAACGTTAGTCCACCCTCCGCCAGAAGTGATTGCGGAATGGGCCGCCAAAGCCAACTATGTTAATCCAGAAACACGAGGCGGAGGTATCGTCGCGATGGAAATTGTACTACTCATCGCTTGTTTCCTTGTAGTAGCTCTTAGAATATACACCAGGATTTTCCAATCAAGGACATACGGCTGGGATGATACCGTGATTATTTTCAATCTGGTGGGCGTCCCGGTGTAACTTTGTGGAGTCAAAACACTCACAAAGCAGATTCCCTTAACCGGTATGGCTGTGTCACTGTGTCTTGGTATGGTCAAATAGTTGCAGCCGTGTCTACGACACAGGGCTAATATGTGTCACAGCCCTTTCAAAATATGGATGGAATAGGCATGCATGGGACATTCCATTGGACATGCTATATTCTGCTAGAAAAGTATGTAACCTCGCCGCGACTTTGATATTCATATTTGATTGATATTCTTTAGGTAGGATTTTGCGTTCAGATCTTCTACCTATTATCGACGGTAGCGACGAAGATCTCCATTCTACTCTTCTACCGTCGCCTTACATCTCGGGTTTCTACCGCGTATCTGTGGGTAATCTATGGGTCCATTGCATTCGTTGCAAGCTTCGCAATGGCTGGGGTGATCACTATGTTTGTTGGCTGTCGACCGTTGAGCGCTTACTGGCTGCAAGTAAATCCTCTCTGGTTTTCTGCGAACCAGGGCAAGTTCTTTTGCTACAATGAAGGAGTTTACATTGTGATCGCTGCTTCGATCAGCATGGTTACAGACTTTGTAGTTTGCGTGCTGCCTTTGTGTCTCTTTCTCAAAATACAAATACACTGGAAGCAGAAGCTTGCACTTACAGCAATCTTTGGCGTAGGCTTCTTGTGAGTAAAGGTTTCTCAAAACAATTCTAAGTCCTTGTACTAACACGTTTCAGCCTCTGCATATGCGGAATTTTACGGATGGTCAAGATAGTACGTACTTACTACGGGACCTTCGACATCACATGGTCTTCTGAGCCTGTCTGGGTATGGACAGGAATCGAAGCACACATGGCCGTTGTGCTCGCATCTCTTCCGGCACTGAACCATTTCGTTCGAAAATCTTGGAACGACAGCTCACTTTCTAGCCGTCTCCGATACTTCACAGATCGTCATGGCAGTCGTTTCAGTAGTGGCTATAAAAGGACGCAATCAAAGTCTAACAGCGAGTGGGATGGCAACACTCAGCGGGAATTAGCCAACGACAAACAAGGTATTCATGTGGTTCAAGAGGTGCATCTCGAAGAGTTTTTGCGAGACAAGTCGTATGATGACAGATCAGGAGGAAGGAATGGCGTAAACATTGATGAAGAAGCCATGAAGAAGGATAGAAGAGCTTGGCTGGATGAGACGACATCTGATGATGATTCGATTCGACGTCATAGACTCAAATAAAAGACTCGAATTTTGCTACGTGACTCTCATGTATTCTCACACCTTCATGACGTCTAAGTCGCTAGCTTTCCGTTTTATGCAGACGTTGCCTAAATCAAGTGCCTCGCAATGGCAAGTTTTTCAATGGTAGCAGATCATACTAATCCATCATAAAATGTTGACATAGGTAGACACGCAGATACTGTTCTGGACTCTTCTGAAGTCTATCTCAAACTTTGCACAAGTTCACACGAGGAAAGGAATACGTTTACGCGTGATCAGAAACGAAATGAGCAGACCATCACCGTCGATGGCACTGAAAAAAGACGTATCAAGCAAAACTATTTTGTAAAATACACCTTGTTAAAATATCTCAACGGCCAATAGGGTCTAATGAAATAGCAACGAATAACTTTCAATTACTTCCCGTGTCCAGGGAAAATAGTGCTTCATGATAAGGTATTACTCTAGGCGTGTATGGCCTGTTGAACATGAGGGTATACGGCAACCATCTGCGCATACAAATCGGGGTGGTCTCTCATAAGCACCTCAGGATCCCAAGCACAGGCCACAAAGATTGTGTCGATGCCACTACTCAATGGCGTCGTGAAGATGTTGCAAATCTGAAGGCCAATGAGGAAAGAGAATGCGAGCACAATTGGTGTATATGTGCCGTCTCTGTTGTAGGCAGGAGAGGTAAAGATCAGGTAACAGTATGCCATGAGCGCGCAGGCGTACGCCACAAAGATGGAGCCGATTGAGAGAACGGGACCAATTAGACACTCGTTGACAATTGCATCGATTCCACGATCTTTGATCATACTAATTCACAATATTAGACGTTCCGCTTGAGACTCGAACAAAACATGTCAAACTTACGTCCAAGTATCCTTTGCGGCAGAGAAGTAGGGCTTGCCGTAAAGAGCTATGTGTGAAAAAGCATATCTGTTCACAAATTGAACGGCCCAATCAAGAAGTCCAATAATACAGCCAAGTATGCAGAAAAAGATGACGCCGATGATATTGCCATCTTGAGCACTCTGTTGCTGCGCAACGCTGCAAATTTGCCGTAGCATGTTGATGATAGCCACGATTAGACTACCTAGACTAATCGAGCCAAAGCTGTAGGTTACAGCACGCCTAAAGGCACCACGTGTCGCATTGGCTGGGAAATTGTGACTGCAAAAATACCAAGATCCGTATACGCCGGAGATGGTTGTATGAATCGTGTTCTTAATCCACTCGGAGATCCAATAAGCTGCAAATGTAATGACGACGATGAGGCCAATGACCTTACCTGAGCTGCACCCACCGACGCCTTGAGAACACGCTGGATTCTGGCCTGGTTCGTACTTGACATACACAGCAACAAGGGTAACGGAGTACCACGCGCCAAAAGCCGTTGCAGTGAGACCGCCCAAGAAGCTGACGAGGTAAACGTGGCCGTACCGTTTGGAAACATCGATGCTCGTCTTCAGCATTAACGATGAGAACGGTATCCTTGGGATCCAGGAAATAAAGCATATGCTGGAAAGTCCAAGCAGTTAGAACATACTGGGCAGCTCGTGACAGCGCCAAAGCACCTACACAGTAAAGATGCCAAAGATGAGAAATACGATGCCTCCAGACCAGTACTTGCGGCTCAAGAAGTAGATGGCGGTCGCAAAGGCAAAGATGATGTTCAGAATGCCTGTGATCCAAATGAATTGCTTGGTGAAGAGCCGCGCAAGCCATATATATCCGTAGCCAAGCACAACGGCTACAGCCAGACAAAAGACAAAAAGGACGAGCGTGTTTGTGTCGAGGCCGAAGTCATTGCTAAATCCGCCGCCTTTGTCAGCGCTACGTGATCGCCGAACGCCCCTGCGTTCAAAAGAGTTGAAGACAAACATACTGGCTGTCGTAGATGCCACCTCCGTTGAAGCCTTTCGTCGTGGAATATCCCTGTATGCTGATCCCACTGACCACGACGAAGCCGGCGAACGTAGCCAACAGCAGCACACCGGCCCACAAGTCGTTCCACTTGGGCCTGTCCACCTTGAACGCCTGATTGAAGTCCAATTTTTCGCCAGTCGCCTCATAGCCCTGGGGACCGTAGGTATTGATATGATTGTACTGGGGCGGTTCCTGCTTGTAGCCGTACGGGATGTTTGGCATCGTCTGCGGGTTGATGTCTTCCCTTGGTTGCTGTTGAGCGGGTGCTGGTGCTGAGGGCGCGTTATAATAACTGGCAGCTTCACCCGACATCTTCTCGCGACTTCGGTCCTCGATTTTCGGATTTTGCCTTGAATCTCGCTCTCTTCTGGAAGAAATACGCGTGTCGCGATGACGTGCGACTTGCACCGACGCACTGCACTTGCTGTGGTAGTTGTAAAATAGAACAGGTTCCGGCCAAGTATTTGCGCAAGAAAACTTAGCTCATTGCTGGCATTGGAAAGATGAGTTCTGAGCTGGATCGAAGGATCCCTGGTGATTGGCTCCGTGTCCGTCTTAGGCTTTTGAGATTAGCGAGGCGCTAGCTCCCAAGGCGAAGATCGGTCGTATCTCCATGGAGACTGGATCGCAGTCCCGCGCATTAGTTCACAACGATCGGACGTCATTCTACAAGGCTGCAATCCTTGCCAGACGACCACGAAAAAACGAACACGTCATATGGGAGAGATATGCGAACGAGGAAGAATTGCAGGAGATCGACCACCAGAGGAACCCAAGCTAGGGAAGCTTCATTTCTTGGTGTATTGAGTGAGGCAACGATTCAGGGATGACTTGACCCTGGCAATGCAAACACGCAGACAATTAGTAGACAAATACAACTCCGTCTTTCATTAATTGGGCTCCTATATACGTAGAGCCTCGGGAGATGAAGGGCAGTACATATATATATATATATATATATATATCAGACAGCAGCTTCTTGTGATAGACAATAGACAAGGCCCCCGTTCTCGAAATTTCTGCATTCCATGTCGTGAGCGAGGCGTGAAAAAAAAGCTAGACGGGCCTCATCAAAAACCGGTGCCGATAAGTGACAACCAGCAACTTTTCTCCGGTCCAAGTCCTAGAGATGTATGTGGTATCGAACGCCAGACGCCATGCTAAAATGCTTCGAGAGTTCATATTCCACAGGTAAACAAACACCGTTCATAGCGTTGCCGCCGGGTCCGATCCTGAAAAGCGCGCCCGCTTGTATATGGGACACTAAACCTTCGTAGCCGAGGAGATGGAAAATACAAAAATTCATGAAACAAAATAAGAGCGTTCTTAACCAACCGCTGATCGTGGGGTGTCGGCCAGACAATAGTGAAGCCATGCTTAACGATCATGCAGTCTGCGCGCTCGCGTTCACCCTCATCGGAATCTTTAATTTCATTTCGCTTGCGGGGATTTGCCTACTGATAAGGCTCGCCTGGAATGCTGCCTGCTGAAACGCCAGCATCCTACGGTACAGCTGTTCGTTACTGACCTGCAGGTCGAAGTCCATCAAATAACATACGGCTACCTCGAGCAGGTGTAGCTCCGTATCTTTGACGCCGCCTACGCCAGCGAAGCGGTCTTGCGGATAACGGAGATCTTCCAATGCTTTCATCGCCACGCGCAAACACCCAAGTACCAATCTGTGCATTGTTCGTGCAGTGCAGGGAACCACTCTTTCCTCGACGCTGAGGCGAAATATGTATGTTCCTGCAGCCAGCCAGACGGCAGTGCTCATGGGGCAATATCTTTGGAGGCGAGCAAAATACTGCTCAAGCGTTACCGGTGGCGGCACTCTGCAGAAGAATTTCCGGGCAATGGCTTGCAGCTCGGCATGTGCCTCAACCGCATCAGCGCCGACCACAGGCGTCGCAGGCTCCTTCTCTGTTGCCTCTGGGGAGCCAACATCTACCTTGAGGAAATTCGGCGCCTTGATATCATCGCTCGGAACGGGGGTTGCAGGCCTGCTCGATGTTCGACGATGATGTCTGCGCGAATTCTCCTTCCCTCCTGCTTCCGTAGTCTTCAATTCAACTAATCTGTTCCCGCTCGCCGTGCGTCTGATTGGAGGAGTGGGAGGAATCTCCCCGTTCGCATTGGCTAGCGCCTGTACAAAACGGCACAGCATTTTCATAGCTGTCTCCGGCAGAATGTCATTAGCGTCCCATACTCCGTTTATTGGCGGCGAGGGTATGGCACTCTGGTCGACGGGGGATGATATGTTGGGTATTAGGCCGGTATCTTCCGAGGGATTGGGCGGCGAAGGCGGGCGCTCAGGAGGTGTAGTATGCTCGCTACTCATGGTGGTATTGGTATCGTCGCTCGAGGTCGGGGTGGTGGCGTTGGTAGCGTTTGCCGTGGTGGGCGTGGTGCTACTGCTTGTACCGGCGGTGGCGGCAAGGGTAGACGCTGATCGCGACGAAGCGGAGGAGACGAGGCGCGTGACGTATGCGACGCGAGAAGCGCGCGCAAGCACGAGTGGCATAGTTTGGGAAGTCGCCTCGGTGGGAAAGTGTCAATCACTGTCGGAAGGAGCTTCCTGGTCCGTTGTATGCCATGTGGCACGCGCGAGGGTGAACGTGTGAGGGGTGACGGTGACGACGACGGCCTCGTAGCAGGCACATGCCCGGACACACGGTGGCGTGGGACACAACGAGACACAGAGGATGACGAGGAAGATGACGATGATGGTGATGGTGATGGTGATGGCGAAGAGGATGACTGCGATAGGCAGGAAAAGGGAAAGGTGGTGGATCTGTCAGCAACAGAAGCGCACTAGCAGAGTCGCCAGTAGGTGCGATCGTGGCAACGGCGTGAGTGGGTGGTATCGTGACGGTGAGTATCCTAGTAGGGAAGGCGCTAGGCTGATGTGGAGGGTCCGAAGGGTGGGTGAATTGGGGCGCCGGAGATTGGCCTGGTCGTGTGAGCGGGTGAACGAGAAAGAGGACGGGGCGAGGGCTGGAGGCGAGCGAAGCTTGGAGCGTCGTCTGTCCGCGGCGGGGAGGTTCACCTCGAGCGCTCAAGATCCAAAATGACAGGCGATGAACGACGGTCAGGACGAGGAGGAGTGGACGGACGAATGGATGAATGGATGAATGGATGGTAGACCGTGACGACCAACTGGGTGGAGGGCTGGATGAAGGCGTCAATGAGACTGCGCAACAAGAACAACCGTCCAGCACAGCGCGAAGGCTTGTCTACTTGTATTAAGGCAGCTCACGCTAAAGTGTCAAGTTGGTTACCACGTTTTGACGTAGCCCGGCATGAGGGTTTGCTGCTGCGTCTGTCGATCCCTGGCCAACTTAGCGAGACGAACTAAGTCACTGCTACTCTGCAACTGAGCAGGCCAAGCTGGCAGCCCAAACGTCGAAACAGAGGGAGAGGTGCAGATGGACGGCGGGTCAGCTTAGGCCAGGGCCGTCTTCGTCGGCTTGCTTTGGCCGTATCTCGATTGCATGTACGGAGCATCCTTGTCTCTGCCTCTCAGTCTGACCTGTACGTTCCCCCGACTTAACGTGAAGAGGTGAAGAGCCACGGCGCTGATGCGACAGGCCTCGCCGTGCAGCGCAACACGCACAAGACACATTCATGCGGGAAAAAATACACAAGCACGAACAAACACACGGTGCACGCGTGCCTTCATGCACACACTATCTCTCCTTCTCTTGAGCTCGCCAACTCTCCTCTGTGACTCCTGTCCGTCAGTCGGTCGCCATCCCGATGGTATGGAAATGCCTACTTCACGCCCATGCATTCTGCAGGGCTTCGTTCATCTAAACGCCAGCCCGCGACTCCAGTCCGTCTGCACTGCGCCCAATTCGGCCGCCAGCGAGTCTGTAGTCCGCATAGCTTCGCCGACGTGGCCAGGTGTCATGTGTCGTCCATTTCCACAACATCTCGACGCCGCTACGCGTTCTTGGGTCGTCTTAAAATCCTGTCCCGAGCCACATGCCAGGTCGGGGCAGACCGTGTTGCCTGCAGCATCCACTTCGACGTACGTCGGCCCACTTGCGCGTCACGAGCGTGTGTGAAATCTCAGGAACAGTGTCCACTCGTATCGTCCTCCACCTCTAACTTACTCCACCTGTGCTGTCCCTGGCCGGGCTCTTTCCTTCCATGGCAGTGCAAGCGCTCTGCCACCCGATATACTTTTACGTGGATCTCCGAGAAAATGCCCTGTTGCTCTGTTCGGCCAATCCCAATCCGTGCTTCGTCATGCAAATCCTGCGGCGGTGTGGGTTTCCACTGCATTTCCACTTTTCTTCTACGTGGCTTCCAAATGATGTTCGATAACATGTCCTCGACAGCCTGACTGTTTGGCATGCACTTTCGTGAAGCAATGTGCGATCGGCGGTAAGCTGGCCGACTGGTTCCTTACATACGGGGTCTGGAGCACCCAGTCAAATCTTCGCTCTGTTCTTGGTTCCGTGTTTAACCACATGATCACCTGGCATGAAAGCAATCTCATTCGGCCACCGGAAATACCTCACGATGCACTACTACTGTACGGTACTGTAGGCTCTTTCAGTCGGCCTCGTACCTCGGACTGTGATCCACATCGCGTCAGACATGGCGCTCCCGACACAGTGGGTCAGAGGACCACGAGACCCTTAGGACTTTGTTCTGTTTTCTTTCTGCCAGTGTATCTTCATCTTAATGCTGCGAACATCGTTTCTCTCTGTAATAACGATTCCTTGCCGTCTGATCGAAACTTGTGTGCTGATGCTCACGTGGTCATACAGAAATGCGTCCGCCTGTTCTCCTTTGCTTTGCCTTGTCTCGCTTTGCCTTACATGCGTCTACAGCCCAGCCCCGGCCCAGTCCAGCTCACAACCCCACTAACGATGCGTTGAAGAATTGTTCCCCCCCACACGTGGTAAAGCCGATTCACGAACCCTGTATATCATCACTGCGGCATGGCTGATAGATTTCCCTGTTTCCTTGACCTCGCTCAGAGCAAACATCCTGGAATATGTGACCCGAGGACTTCTCATTTCTCTGGCGCCAACCGGTGATTATGCAGGGTCTAGAGTTTCCTGGCACGAAGCGTCTGGTCTAAACGGTACGTCGTTAATCTACCGAAGCGGTGCCATCTCCGTCATCGGCCATTGCTGGATTGAATTACGAGGATTGAGAGAGATTCCGTCTCGAGCTATATTCCGGAGGACCCGATTGTCGCCTATAAACTAGGAGGGGTCCTAAGTATGCAGATCTCATGAACCACAGGCTGGACGAGCTTGAGCCTGAAACGAATCAGCAACCTCCCATAGTATCTGAGTCAGGCTCAATTGTATGTTTCGTCGAGGCTCAGCTGCGTGAAGCCATCCTCGCACACAAGCAAAGATGCCCCTCTAGCGCGCAGAAGCTGGTAGCTGATTGAGGAACGTTCATGTTGAGACTATTTACGTGATTTGTTCGAGTTGAATTGGGTTTGAGCGATTATCGCTTTCTCATCTGGCCACAGCTTGATATTAAGACTGCTCTCCACTTCATTCGCTTGAAGATGTGCACTCGTCTACACGCGGCTTGATGTTATCAACCACGAAAGACTGCACCCAAGGCTTTCCCGTCTACATTACGTTGACAACGGCTAACTTGGCAAACGAAGTCTAAACAACACTGATCTATGAACTCCAGGCCATTTAGCCATAGAATTACATCGCTTCATCACGCCTTGGCTCATCTGCGTACATCTATTGCTGGGAGCAGCCGACCTTCGCTTTCCGTCTCCCATGTTCGGGATTTCGTGCTTTCCTTCCTGCTTCTTTGTCTCCACTGCTCACATCTTGGATTTGGGTCCATAATTGATCAAGGACAACCAATACGTCATCAGTTATGCCATGCTACCATCTCCTGCATACAAGATATAAATCTGTATATTGACGTGGGTGGCACGGTCCTCCATCGTGCCCTTCTCTTTTCTCCAGTCCTCGTAAGGATCGTATTTTCTGCAAAGAAGATAAAACTATCTCATCCACCTCGGCCAGCTGGTTAATCCTCTCGCAGAGACAGACTTGTTACTGAGCTGTAAGTGCTGGTAAAGTTGATGTGGATTTCGGCCGTCCTTGGCGACATTGCCTTCGTTGTCACTTTCACAGAAATTTGCGAAGCTAGTTGGCTTTTGGAATGTCGGTGATGATGACTTTCCAAGCAAGAAGGGTGGTGCCTATTTGAGAAAGTGGTTGTTTGACAAGGTCATGGACGAAATGGGAAAGAGCAACAGCGCGAAACGTAACCCTTCTCGACATCAACGGGAAAGAGCCACAAACCGGTTAAGTTACCGTGCTAGGCTGAAAGTCACGTGCGTAATAAGACTGTAACTAAAAGAGGAATGGCTGACGTAAGACATTCGTTCTGATCCTTCCCTGTGCTGAGGCCGTAAAGCGAGTTCTTCAAAGTGTCTTTATCTCATCCAAAGACTACGTACACAGCGTGCAGTTCTGGTCTGTGTTCTATCTCTCCGTAATTATCGAGAAGGACGACGTAGAAAATAAACAACGTTGCTATCTTATTTTGCTGCACTATCAGGATTGTAAGAGGATCGGAAAGCTCCGCCGCTGAAATTGTTCTAGGTGGTGTGACAATTGTCATCGGCTCACACCACACCTAGCAAACTCACACCACTGCCCCCGTTCATTTTCGTAACCTCATTTCTTCGTACCGTGTATAAGATATGATCGTCGAAGATGCGTTCCCACCTTGCAATCACTCAAGTCTCAAGTCTACGGCAAGGATATATCTTGATCGCCAGCAGAGCAACAAACGAAGTACATTGCAAGCCAGGGCGAACCCTCGCTGATAGTTTCATAAAATTCAGATCATAATTCGCTGCGCCAAAATAAAAAAACATCATCCTCAAGATGTTGGCAGCCCTAATGAGACCTGCTGTCGCCTCGCACAGCATCAAGGGATTGGGCTGGGTAGTCTTTGGGTCATTCACAGGTGAAGTTGAGAGTTTCGCAATTGTCTGAACGCTATACTAACTGAATAACAGTGCTTAGTGCTGCATATCTTATGAAAGAGCTGCCCCGAGAGGCAGGTCAGATCGACAGTGCCCGAGCGCGTTTCCAGACGGCGAAGCAACTTAACGAGCAAAGGGGAATGTGAGAACGATTGGTATGGCGATGATTTGTGACGCACTCACTCATCGTGGATGCTCTCATTGGCTAACAAAGCCCCGATTTGGATGGGCCCCAGTGAGCAGATGTGTTTACATGGAGTCTTCCTTGTCCATGGGATACCCTTTTAGACCGTTTCAAAATTCTTGATCATTTGTGTAGAGCACTACTGGCATCATCAGATAGCATCAAGTCTATTGTTTTTGGCTTTCCGAAACATTATGCCATCTTCTCCGCAAGGCCTGCTTGTCCTTCAATGCCTCATCGAGTAGCCATCCTCAATCGTGTTCCACTTTTTTAAGTCCCTCCGCTTCCCTCCTGTACTCCATTATGCATTTCATATTTTCACATTCCAAAACAATGACGTTGTACCAAAATAAAAATGGCTTTGAGAACTCCATAGGTAATGTTCACAAGTGCCTAAATGATAATAGCAATCGTCTTCCGACTGGAGCCAGCAAAGATCGATGGCTCGGTCAGGAAAGATTCTGATTCGTGAAGTAAAGAATGAATATGGATTAGTAGAGTTTTAGTATAGCGTACAGAGCATGACAAGAGTGCCATTTCTCATCTCCAATACGGAGGTCCCTGGTATTTGATCCTGTCCCAAGCTTGATCTAGGATCTGCACAACCTCATCTGGAAGCGGACCTTTCTCAAGATCAGCAAGATTGGCCTCGAGCTGCTCAAGGCTGCTCACGCCAATGATAATCCCGTCGTGGCCACCATCCTTCGCGAACACTTTTAGGACACTGTGATGGACAATCCATCGTAAAGCGGTCTCGATGAGTGTCAGATTGTATTTCTGCGTCACGGGTTCAATGCTTTTCAAGGCGTCAAACAAGCTATCTCGGAAGTACCGCTCGCGATATCTCTGCGCTGTCGTCAGTACATATCACCAAGTTGATGCTGCCTCGACTTGCGTTTCCCGTTTCCGAGCTGGTGGTTCCAAAACGGCCTTCGTTGGGAACATCCTTGTTCTTGTATTTGCCGCTGAATAAGCCGCCAGCCAACGGATTGTACACTACGATATCGATGCTGTATTTCCGGCAGCACGGAACTAATTCATTTTCAAGGTCTCGAGTGATGGCATTGTACATGCCCTGATAGATTGTCGGCTTGACCCAGCCGCGCTCATTTGCAATGTTCCAAATCTCAGCCACCTCCCACGCAGCATAGTTTGACAAGCCTAATTGCACAAATTTGCCCTCCTTGAAGAGGTCATTGCACGCCTCGAGAGTCTCAGCGAATGGCACACTCCGATCAGGTGCGTGCAAGTAGAAAATATCAACACTCTTTGCTCCCAGCTCTGCTAGCGAATGGTTGAGTGTAGCCTTAAGCTTCTCCGGCTTATGGTCTCCAGGAGCAAGCGGGAAACACTTTGTTGCGAGAGCTAGTCCACGTTCCTGCCATCTGGCTTGACGAGTCAATGCCTCCTGCTCTCCAGAGATATACACGCGAGCTGTGTCGACTTCGCTATAGCCGGATTGTTGGAAAAAGTCGAGGTTCTTGTTGAAATCATCCAGGCCTGTAATGCGAGCGCCTTTGCTCTCTGTACCTGGTGGGCCAAAAGTCATCAGACCCAAGATGACGCGAGGCTTGTCGCCTAGAGCACTTGTGGACGAAATAAGAGGCATTGTCGCTGTTGTTGTCAGAAGGCTGAAGTTTCCCGACCGAAAGCTCACGAATCAAAAGATAATAGGATTGCTACACAAGGTGTGCCGCCGTTCCTTCATTGTGTAGCTATGGGCTAGAAGTTGCGGACGAAAGCTCCAGCTAAAGGTACGTCATGCACCTCCAGGTTTTTGCGAACTCGGGCGGAGGTTGACCGTGAGTTTCTTTTATCGGCTGGAGGTTCCCGAGGCCATCAATCTTGCGTCGGCAGGTCTGCCGCAGCAGGCTCAAACATACCATCGCCTAACCAGCTATTCTCGCCTGCGCGATGCATCCCACAACGCTGATTCGACCATCTCATAAACCAGGCTAGACCTTAATGCTGACACAGAAACATGTGTCTACGTGCCGCGGAAGTCGCCCAATCCACTCTAAAAACGGCTTTGACGACGGACTGCGAGGATTGCTGAAGGTGAACGTGTTATTGAACTTTTACAAATGATTGTACCTGACTGTGTGCTCGTGTTTGCTTCAGAAAATCCCTTGGCGGAGGAATGCAAAGGGTGACAAATCGATGTGGCTGACAAACGACTGTGAGACTTCGCAAGACAAACGCAATGAATTTACTGCGCCCAGCACCGCAACTGCTTGGCACATTGAGCCAGACGCAAACGTCCTGGGTTGAAGTGGTCCCAAATAGCTCTTGGATTTCAAAACAAATGCAGAGCTAACTGAACTTCGTAAACACCTGGTGGCAACGATCATGCTCACTTGGGCAACAACTGTAGCGCCTCGTGCGTAGCACAGCTTGCGCGGAACGTTAAGCTTGTACAGTATTCCGAGATGGAGACTAAGCTTGTATTCCGAGGTGCTGAATCATCCAGGTTGTGGACCTCATGGCGGATAGTTCTACCTTCAGTCGATACTTGCAATACGCATGCGCAGCTTAAGCTCCTAAAACCAAAGGCTCTCTGTATATAAAAACTACTATGATCTCATTGATGTCGGCCGTCTTCCTAACAGCGTTTCAATTCTGCTTTCCAGTATTTGCACTGATCCACAATTTTCTTCTGGATTTTGCCCATACACAAAGCAATTATACTTCCCAAACGTCTATCAAGCCGGGAACTCATTCCAACTTCGGTTTGCATCATGTCTGTCCTTACCATCCTCGTCTCCCCAAAGATTCAGAGATCCTGATCACCGGCACTACAGGTTACATCGAGTCATGGGTAGCGTATGAATCCCCTTTCTCTGGGCTACAAGGTCTACGGTGCTGTTCGCTCTATCGAGAAGGCGTCATGGCTGCAAGAGGTCTTTGACGCCAAATTCGGCCCATGCCAATACTCGCAAGTCACGCTGTCAAATATATCTGATAGATTGCAGCTCTAGCCCGCGATCAGCGGCGTCGTTGGAATTGCGCACATCGCTGTAAACATGAATCTCAGTTCGGACCCGGTGCCCTACATTCCGAACATCGTTGCGGAGACGCTCGCCATCCCTGAAGCCGCACAGAAAGACGGGGACATCAAGGCCGTTGTTCTGACTCCTTCATCCATGGCTGGCGTCCCGTGGGGGGTGACAGGACGAATAAGCGAAGACGCATACAACCAAGAGTACATCGACCTTGCCTGGAACAAGGAGTCATTGCACCCACTAAAGACGACGGCCGTCTACGCCGCTGCGAAAGCCCAGGCCGAACAGGCTGCCTGGAGGTACGCCGCGGAAAATAAGCCCGTACATCGTGAACTCGGTCTTGCCGTCTTTGAACTTCGGACCTACCGTCTCGTTCGAGCACCAGGGCTTCGTTTCGACCGGCCAGTAGCCCAAGGCTCTGTGCGATGGAGATCTTAAGCTGATTGGCAACATACCCGCGCACAACTTCATCGACGTGAGTGACGATGCTAAGCTTCGCCTTGCGGGACTGACCGATCCCTCGACCGAGAATGAGCGGCTGTGAGGCTTTGCTGGCGGCCAGAACTGGAATATCATGCTGGCGATCTTTCGCAGAATCTTTTCCGAAAAGGGTTTTATCGATGGCCTGGAAGGGATCGCGACAGACTCGAGTGTGCCGCCGACTGAAAGCGCTCTGAACGCGCTCAAGAACGTGTATGGAATCACCGAATGGACATCCCTGGAGACGAGTCTCAAGGATTCTCGTTTTGAAAGGACCTTGGTGAAATAGTCACGTCCCTTTACGGCATGAGAAAGCGGAAGGAAAGCACAGAAATGGAAATGAAGGTAATGATGATGATGATGATGATGATGATGATGATGATGATGATGATGATGATGATGATGATGATGATGGTGGTGGTGGTGGTAGTAATAATAATAATGGTAGATTGGCTTCAGAAATTTCCGTAGTGGAATGTACAGTGCAGAGAATCTTCCTTTTTTTTAATCTATCTCTTCTAAAGAGCACACTACTCGCTTCCACGTTTTGAAACCAGTCAACTCTACGCGTCGCATACACAATGCGACTATTCTCCGACATCTACGAGGTCTCTTTGACCACTTTGCTGATTGCATTCGCAACGTAGTCCACGTTTTTGGTGTTGATTCCAGCCATGCTTATCCGGCCATTCTTCGTCATGTATATGTGATATTGCTCCCTCAACGTCTGGACCTGCTTCTCATTCAAGCCCGTGAAAGAAAACATGCCGATCTGGTCCGTGATGTGGTTCCACGTTCCCGGTGTGCCCAAGGCCTCAATCTTGCTCCGGAGTGCGTCGCGCATCTTGATGATGCGTCCGGACATCGTGCGGAGATCATCCTCCCATTGTGCGAAGAGCTTGGGGTCGTTGAGGCAAAGGGACGCGATTCGTGCGCCGTATGCTGGAGGGTTGGATATCTCGGAGCGCTGCAGGATGGCAAGCTGCGAGGCAACACGAGTTGCAGTGTCCTGGCTATCAGGGCCAGGCGCCGCAGCGAAGTGGAAGCAGCCTGCCCGTTCACCGTAAAGACCAAAATTCTTGGCGTATGACTGGGCGACAAGTAGCTCGAAACCTTGCTCGATAAAGTACCGTATGGCCCAGGCGTCTCTGTTCAGGTCTCCCGACGCGAAGCCTTGGTAGGCGGTATCGAAAAACGGGAACAAGCTGCGCTGCTTCATGACTTCTGCGATCTTGGCCCACTGTTCTTGCGTAGGATCCACGCCGGTGGGGTTGTGAGCGCAAGCATGAAGCAGCACAATGGAATGCTCCGGCGCAGCTTGAAGCGCGGCGATCATGCCGTCAAAGTCCAGACCGCGTGTCTTTGCCGAGAAATACGGGTACTGGGCGAGTTTGTGACCAACGTTGGAGAAGATCTGGTTGTGGTTTGCCCACGTCGGATTCGACAGGTAGACCGCAGCGCCCGGGAACTGCTTGAGGTAGAACTTTGCCAGAAAAGCGGCGCCTAGATGGACGGCGCCGGTGCCGGAGATGGTCTGTAGGGAGGCGACACGCTTTTCGGCGATGGCGGGGCTGGAGGAGCCGAAGACTAGCTTTTGCGAGGCCGACGTGAACGGGGCGAGACCGGCGATGGGGAGGTATTCGTGGTTGAGCTCTGGGTCGTTGCGGAGGATCTCGTCGGCCTACGCGATCCGAGTCAGGAGGAGATCAACTGGACGTACGCTAAATTACTCAATGTGTGAGGCACGAAAACTTACGGCCTTGACGACGGGTAGAACCCAGGGTTTTGCGTTGTCGTCTCTGTATGCACCAATGCCCAGGTCGACCTTCTTCTCGAATGTGTCGGCCTTGTAGGCGGCCATCAGGCCAAACAAGGGGTCTTCCGGCGCCTGCGGCACCAAACTTGCTCCAAAGACGCTCATGGTTGGATTCAATTGATGTGAGAGTTGTTGGAGTCGGGCTCTGGAACGAGACTTCTCAGTCATATTTGGCGGGGGGCGGGTGGTGGGACGATGCTAGTATCTGGGGTAGTCGGTGTGCCAGAAGCGCTAGTCTGCTTCAGGAAATGTGACTGGTCTGTTTTTCTTTTAAACTTTGTCGCAGCCTTCGTGTTCCGGATGGATGGACAGATGGATGGATGTGTGGACGTACGCTATGGGTGAACGGAGCGACTTTGCTCTCCTTTTGCCTACACGCGCCCCAGCCTGGACTCCCGGCCTTCTATGTACTCAGTCTCGATGGCACAACGGCCGAGCCGGTACCCAGAGCTTGACCGAGGCCCGCTCCGTCATCGACACACCACACTGGCCACAAGCGGCGGCATGACATCCTGATCAACATCCACCAAAGGTTGGTCTTCACTCCGTCGTCGTCATCGGAATCAGCATAACCATGGGTCTTGCGAACCTCAGCCTTGTACACGGTCATCGACGGCACGGCTCTGCTCTTCATGGCGTGCGGCATGCAGGTTCCCGTCCTCGACCCCGTCTCTCAGTCGGTGCGACACGGGCGAACGTGCAGCACGCCTGGGTACCGTTCACATGCGCTCAGCCCAGCTTTTGAACAGGCGTGTCAGCGAAAATCACCTGCACATGATTGGCACATGCATCGTTGGCTGGACTGTAGCTCGCATGACCCCTCAAGTATACTTGCTCGGTTGTGTTGTGCCAACGCATCACTGCGTCTTTCCAGATTTCGTATTTGGTGCTGCTAAATTCTATATCATGAACGAGTGTACCCGTAATGGAGTGTATTTACAAGTGTTGCGGTGCAGGCTTTTTTTTTCTTTTTCAAAAAAATTTTTTTTGCTCCTCCCCCATAGGTGAACCAGACAAAGAATATGCAGACAAAGAATATGACGACCATCTCCCGTCATTAGCGTTCATGTAAACAACATGCTATCAACACAACCATTTCCGTGTTTTTTTGCCACACCTGGAGAGTTCGAGGCTTTTGCGGAAAGAGGGAAGGGGGTATTATGCAGACAGAAAGAAAACCGAATGATGAACGACGAATGACCAAGAAAGGAGCATGGATACCTGTGCCCGCAATGTACAGAGGTGACGAGGCAGAAAAGGGAGGAGTGGTCATTGAGGATATCTCTTCCTCAGATCGCGGTACACCTGTTCGCGGTCTCGGTCCCGACCGCCGATGGTGTTTCGTCTGCCCAAGCCAGGCCCGGCGCCAATGGCCCGCTGCAGGCTGCTGCTCGCCGCCCTGGCCTGCTCAGCTTGCAACACGCGCTCACCCACGGCTCGTCGGTAATCCTCGTCCTCGTAAGGACTTGTCGTTCTCTGTTGCAGAACTTGCGTCTCTTTCGTGGGCGGCAGTCGTGTGGCTGATGGTCGAGGTGGTGCAGGGTATGGGGATGCACGAGGCAGATACGACGGCGGAAGCGGAGAGTAGCGCTGGTTATCGTAGCCTCTGTTGTAGAGGCGCTGCTCGATACGTCGGAGCTGCTCATCTCTCTCCCGTTCTTCCTCCAGCTCGCGAATCTCTTCCGAAAGCACGTCCATGTGTTTGATCTCCTGCTCGAGCTGCTCGGCGCGCTCACGTGCCTGCCGTCGCTCCTGGATCTTGGCAAGCTCAAACTCCAGCCGTGCAAGCTCGGACTCGACTTGCAGTAGCTGTTTCTTGCTCGAAAATTCGCGCTGCCGCTCGATCTTGGATAGTTCCTCTTGCAGTTGCCTTTCGATCTTGGCGTCCTCACTGCGTAGCTTCTTTTCGTACTCGGCTTTTTGTTCGAGGCGTTCTGCATCCTCGCGAGCTTTACGATTTTGCTCTTCTTCGATCTTCATCTGCCTAATCTCCTTTTCTAGCTCGTCAATCTCGTCAGAAGGACCATGTGACTTCTCCTCGGCAAGCGCGGCGTCGGCGCGTTCTCGCCTCTTGCGGTCCCGCTCCTGTAGTCGCGCGTACTCGAGCATTGAGAAATCATCCTCGGCCTTTTCACGACGTTCTCTGGCCTCGAGCTCTTCTGCGATCCTCCGATCGTCAGCCTCTTGCTTCCGGCGCACTTCGTCCTCGCGGCGAGCGCGTTCGCGGTTTTCGCGGCGCAGGGCCTCACGTGCGTCTGCACGGTCCTGCAGCTCTGTGTCGAGGGAGTCGTCATCGAAGCGGACGGCTGCGTCGGGGGCGGTCGCGGTGCGTCGGTGATGAGAAGGTGCTGGCGTGGATGGGCGCAAGCGGGGAGGCTGCGGCTGACTTACTATCGCGGGTGGTTGGACGACTCGTCGCATAGATAGGGGGAAGCCCAAAGGCGAACGATTGCGTCGCAAAGGCGAGATGGGCGAGATGTGTCCATCCTCCTCGATGGCAATAATGGAGTCTGCATCGCCATTGCTGGACGCGCTCCGTGAACTTCCGTGATAGGATCTACGCTTCCTGCTGGGGCTGTTCGGGCTTGACGACTTCCTGCTGCCTATATCCAAAGACAACCCAAAGGTTTTCCTGGCCCTGCCCTTGGACGAGCTGGGCTCCCGTGCATCGTTGGGTTCGCGGTAGACGTAGTGTGCGGTCGCCATAGGCGGCGTGCCCGGCATGCTGACCGAGGCTGGAGTGGGGACCTCGTCGCCGGCAAGCGACGGCGTTCCGGACGAGACTAACTCTGTCATTTCTGACACTTCCTGGTGAAGGCATGGGTTGGTACCATCGCTGCGGAAGCAGAGCTCCTTCCGCTCCGTCGTCCTGCGTCGCCCGTCCGGCGACACGTACTTGATTCTGATGACCTTACACATTGCGATCGCTTCGGATCACCTGTGGCCCGCTTCGTTCGGTTGAGGTTGAAGATTGCGAAGGAGAAGGTTGGTGTGAGCAAGGTCACATCACGTGATAGAGAGGATCAGTATGCTGGGGACATGCCACTGCAGCAAAAAGCTCCGGTTTGACGTCTGGACTGAACGGCGGAATAAATGCTCAAGCCAAAAGGATGAACGGACTTGAAATCGTGCCTAACGAGAAGGGAAGAAGGGCGAATGCAGCGAAGGCTGGGATCGAGGAGCCCGACGGGTTGGGTTCAGGATATGGATTCAAGGAGGCAAGCCAGGCCACAGATATGGCAGATCCAAAAGCGGTACGCTAGAGACAATGGAAGTATTGATGATCAGGATGTAGAGGTATATGATTAGGTCAGTCGTTACTCGAATTAGCCAGACGGTGTTGTGCATGCGTACTGTGGGTTGTATGTACGGTCGGGTCACCTGCACCCTCCTCTGGTGAGACACCGCTGCAAAAACCAAGGGTGTGGCAGAACGCGGCGTGTAGGTGGTCGTGGATGTGCGCGCACGCAACGAGCACAGCGACGGTCGATAAAATAGAATGAGGGCGATGGAAGAGGAGGGCAGCAAGAGGAAGCGGACACGAAAAGTATTTAACCGCGCACGCGGACGAGCAAGAGCAAGAGGAAGAGGACGGACACTGCGGAGCGCAGCGGGCGCTGTGGTTGCTGTGCCGGAGGGACACTGGACCACGACGACCGGGTACGGGCACGAAGAGATGGGAGCGCGAAGGCAGCAAGGGTCAGGTCGGAGCAGCTGCCTCAGCCAGCCCGCCGATCATGGCGATTTGAAGAAATTTCTTTGGGGAAAAGACGAAAAAGAGGCACAAGCCACAAGACTCTGGCACAAGTTCGTCGGCGCTGTGCCGTCCGCATGGGGCCATAACCCAAGGGGTTCAGCTTTTGGAGCGAACTGCATGTTCACGACGACCATCTTTTGTTTGGCGGGCAAGGGCGGGTGGAGAGGCGGTGCAGGTGTCGAACGAGCCAAGGAGGCCCCCCTCCTCTTCCCAGCCAGGCAAGACGAAAAAAGATCAAGATGTCATTCGCTGGGGCGCGCGGTGGTGCCCGATGACGCGGAGGCGCATGGAACTGTCCGAATGTGGAGGGGAGGTTTGGTAGAGGAGGAGGAGGAGGTGGTGGTGGTGTTGATGATGGTGGTCGTCGTGGTGGACGCGTGCAGGAGTACCATGGGCTGGAAAGAAACAGCGTACGCGACGCACTGGCTAGAGGCCCTGCGAGGATGGACCTGCGCGGGGGCCGAATTGGTGGCGCGCCGCGTGAGTGCGCACCTGGATGCAGCGTCTGCACGAACGAGGACGACCAAGCCGCAAAGGGAGGGGGAGGGATGTGTATTTTTGATTGTGGAGAACAGCAAGCGCGTGAGGGCGGTGCGTTGGACGCAAGCGCAGTGAAGCGTCAAGAGAGCAAAGTGTGAGTGTGTGAGTGTGTGAGAGTGTGAGTGTGTGTGTGCTCGGTGGGCCGGGGGGTGCGCATGCGCCTGAAGGCCCAAAGGGCAACGGCGACGTGCGGATGCGCTAGACGCGTGATTGGTCCGGTGACGCTGCTCACAAGGCTGTGTTGATCAGTGCACTGCGGGCCAGGGGGGTGCCTGCTGCTGCATGAGCCCGCGGTGGCTGCTTCCGTCTTTCGCTGACCTCCTCTGCGTTTCTCTCACCACTTTTGGCAGCCACCACTACCATCATCATCACCTCCACCACCACCATCATAACAACAACGACTACTACTACTACCACGACTACCACCACCGCTGCGCCGGCGTACAAGGTCTATGGAAGTAGAGTACGCTACTGCTGTTTTCTTCGGCCCCTATCCAGCACCAGCCACTGCTGTCCATTCGCACCACCGGAATCCAGCGTTCCTCCTGACGGGTGGACCAGAATGCGCGTGCCCATGCCATGTCGCATCTGGTCCATCTCACTTGTTCGACCCAGCACATCCCATGCATCCACCCGTGAACACACTGTTCCGCCGCATGTTGCGGGAGCGTCCGTCCCCCCGCGACAGACGCTTTCTTTGTGCTGTCTGGTGTGCGCTCGGCACGCATCTCCTAACCTTCGCCTGCATGAAGAATCTGCTGTGTTCATCCGCGCACTTTCTGCCCTCCCAACGTCTGCTTTACTCGTCCCATCCGTCCGGCTCCGTGCTCGGTCACGGCTAAGCATCAGAGTCGTTTCTGCCTGGACGCCCAGAGCACACAGACGCGTGCTGCTTGTTCCAGCTAGCGTAGGTCTCTGGCAGCGCTTCTTGCCCTTCCCAAACCCTCCTTTCCGCTCGTGCAGACGGGTTTCTCGCTTCCCTTGCATCATCGCATGAAGAATCTCTCGATGACTCGTTGAAGCGCCGTGAGCGCTGACCTGGAGCTCGGACGTGGGCCTTGATGGTGGCCTCATCTTGGTCGCCGCGTAGGACTCGGCACGACCTGGTTCATCCGTGGAAAGAGTGCCACAAGTGGCGGTGCTGAGGCTCGCCCTTGTGTCGAATCATGCATGAAGGCCAGACCGGGGCGCCCGGCCCAGCAAGAGGCAATGCAACACGGAGCCTCATCTGCTGTTCGCATAGACGATGCCTGGCTCCCTGTCCATCACGATCGCGTTGCTGCTCACTGGGATCCCCCTTTGCCATCTTCTCCCACCACGTCCAAGTGTCCGTTCCCCCGCCTTCTCAGCCCTCCACTCGGCCAGACACTGTTTCTCTTTGGCGACGCTCTGCGAACTCCGATCAGGGCCCCGTCTGACACGTTCCGCCCTGTTTCCATCCCTGCCGAAAGCCAACGCCTCGATTTAGCACACGTTCCCCTGCGAGCAGCCACTGTGGCGAGTGAGCATGAGGAGCCTCTTCGCTGTCGAATGCATATCACGACGGACGCGTGCCGCAGTTTATCAGAATCCCCACTTGAGTAAGCGCTAACATGAAAAATCTCAAGCTACTGTACACATGCATCGACTGTAGATCGCGAGCCTTTACTCTGCCGGAACGAGGCCGCAGTAGATGTTGTCCTCACCCTCTAACGAGGCTTTGGCATCATCGCACAACCCAGCCTTCGTTCTTGCTCATTCTTTACCAACCACTCAAGCAGCTCAGCTTCACTGGATGCTGGAAGCCTGCTCGGATCATATGATAATCTCTTCCAGGTCAACTCCCATCATCCAGGGCTCATGGACCTGGTGTCCATCCGGTCCGTCCGCAACGGAACACACGCGCTCGGCACCGCTGAGGCAGTGATGCGCAATCAACTTCTGATTCTTATCTCTATCTCCATCCCCAGATCGCCGATCACCCCCAATGTCTTTCAGCCTGGAAGGAGTTCAGAATTTGTTTCCGCTCTACATCTCAGGCCACCCGTACAAGTCACGACTGCGCTTTCGCCGTTGCCTTGTCTCAAACTCCTAGCCCTTCAGGAGAGTAGCCACACAGCCGCTACCGTCAGGTAACAGCAAGCATAAAGTATGCTGACAGGAAGGGTAAAATCGCCGGTGCGTGGAGGACGCTGATGCAAACTGTACGTTGCTCCGGCCCACGATTCAGTCCAGTCTAGCCTGAGACATCAGTAACCGGCGCGACACTCTGCCATTTTGTGAAGGCGACATCATCCCCTCCTTTCTCTTGGACCGTTCAACCTTTTCGTCAGCTTTAGCTTTCCCCCTAAGGCCTATGGACGTCACTCTTGGCAAGTAAAGCCGCGTGGTAATGCTATACAACCCGGCTTTCAGTCCAAAAGGGTGCATCTCGTCATGCTTTCAAGCCCTCAGTGGTCCGCTTCGCCGCTTGTTGCTGCCTACCGAATGCCCGCTGAACCGCAAGCATCACCAGTACCGCTATTGCCGCCTCTGTTTCAACATGCAAAAATAGAGTGGACTGTCTGCGCGAATTTGGCCGCAAGACTACCATTCGCTGATCATATCTCCTTGCGTGACGCAGACCCTGCTGACCCACAATGCTGCATGAACGTGAAGGATACACTAAATGTTCAAGTCAATTAAACCTTTGCCAACATCTGAACTTGAATTTTTTTTTTTCAGCTGTCAACCCTGAAAGTTCTCATATCTTGTATTGTCTGCTAACAGTTTCTTGATTTCACCCAGCTTCACCGGTTTGGTCCAGAACTCATCCATGCCGCAAGCAAAAGCCTTTGCCTCACTGCCTTCGTCACCCAGTCCCGTCAAAGCAACAATTCGTACAGGTGGGATGCCGTTGGTTTGTTCATACTGTCTTATTCCTCGTGTTGCATCGAAGCCATTCATGACAGGCATGGACACGTCCATGAAAACAATGCTAAAAGGTCGTTCGGTTACTCCTCGTGTATACGCCTCCACAGCTTCGAGACCATTCATCGCTGTAGTGTACGCGTGCCCCAGATTGTCGAATAGTTTCGTCAAAATCTTGACGTTGATGGCATTATCGTCGACAATCAGAACATGATGACCGGAAGCACAAATGTCCCGTGCTGCTGCGAAGGAGTAGTTAGAATCGTTTGCACTGGTTTCAGAAGATTTTGTGGGTTGCAATCGTTGCATTGCTTCGGGCGACAATCGGGCTACCTCTGGATTGATTGGTTCTCCTTGAGTCTCTTCCTTGGCACTTTCCATGGCTCTAGTAATCGCTGCTGCAAGCTGTCGAGGACCTAAAGGGGTTCGTACGTACGTGACAGCCGAGCCGAGCAATCGGTATCGCGAACGTGAACTAGTGATGACGACTACCGGCTTCTTACCCAGCACAAGTGGACTCACGGATTCCAGCGAGTATTCAAGAGAGCCGTCTATCACAAATACATCCGCGCTGGTTCCCTCAACGGTCGTGGTACGTGTTACTTTCATACCAAGCCAAGATTTTGCGATTCTTTCAACGGACTCCTCTAGGCGTTTGGTGTAAGCGCATCGTTTCGGATCCAAATCGAGGTGGAGCAGATTGGGCGGCCGAATCAGGCAGAGCTCGTTACCATGCAGCTGGCCGAAGGTCTGATTCGTGCAGGGAGGCGAATGAGTCGTTGAGAGGGGAAAGGGAACGGTCACAGAAACCAACGTTCCAACACCAACTTGGCTTTGCACGTCGAGACTGCCCTCAAGATTCCGCACAATTTGCTTTACGATAGCCAGTCCAAGGCCTGTTCCCGAAGAGAATGAGTTTTCTTGTGCGAAAGGCGTGAAAAGCCTATACTTCAAATACTCGTCTCCGATCCCCACGCCTGTGTCCTGGACTGACAAGCGGATAGTGTCTTGACACGCAGAAAGTGCGACATTGATATATCCGCCAGGAGTGTACTTCAATGCATTCCCAACTAAGTTCATGACAATGCGTTTCCACGCGCCAACGTCTAGTGTCATTTGCCAGCGGTTCGATGGTTGAATATCAAGCGTGACCAACACTGGTAACTCTGGCCCATTCTCGACAGCAGGTGTGGAGGCAATACCGTCTCTCAAAACGTCATGTCGATGTGGAGTCATTTCAAAGGCATATCCCGCGCTGACACTTTCAACAACGTCCTCTACTAAGCGACTGAGGTCAGCTTTCTTCAATATGCCAACCTCGCCCTCTCCCTTCCTGCTCTTTGATTGACTGAGGTTGTTGATTTTTGCAAATTCCAGCAAATGATTCATAGTGTCCAGGAGTGTCGTGCCACAGGAGCGAATCATCGCTAGCATCGAGCGTTCCTCACTTGATACGACGGTGTCGCTAAGAAGTTCTGTTGTGGCCAAAATTCCATGTAGAGGAGAACGCATTTCGTGGCTAATGGAGGATATAAAATCACTTTTTGCATTACTAACTGCGAGAGCTTCGTAACGCATGACTTCATTCATGATGCTGTCCCCAAAAGCACTAAGATAGGTGGTGTCACACGATTCGAATGAATAAGTCGAGTCACATGTCCATCCTATGCCTGCAGCACACCATCTTTCCTTTTGGAAGTGCCACATTGGGAGAAAAATTGCCGATGTGGCACGAGGTAAATGCGTGAATAGTGCTTGCACATCCACACTGGTGTCCTCTTCCTTATCGGTGCCCGAGTTCAATGTTGGCGTTACGTTGCCGCTTGAAGCCTCCGATACCGTTGATCTACCCAGTACACCATATTGATCTGCCAAAAAAATTTGTCCTCGTGGAAACCGATCCGCGAGTCTGTCGACCAGCACCCGCGGAATGGCGATGTCGGCTGAATGCCCGTGAGCCAAGCTTACAGCAAATACCGGAGAAGCTTCTACATCCTCGGGTTTCTTTGATACATGTTCATCGGGAAACTGGATGTTGAGGAGTGTGGCGTGGTCTCTCAGTGGACTGTTCATGTACGGGGGTGAAGCATCAACAAATATCATACCATCCATCATCAAACTCTCACGTATTAGAGATGCCGAGCGAACGAAGAGTGTGCGAATTTCTCGCGAAAACACATTAGTCTGTATTTGATTTTCGCTCGTGATTGGAATTTCACTTGGATCCGATTCAGTCAGATTCATTCTTTCCGTTTTACTTAGGAGCGATGATGCTGCGGATTCGGACTCCGTTATTGAGGAAGGCTGAGTCGCATACTTCATCTTTGCTGGATCCTCTTTTTGATGCAAGCAAGCATTAGGTTTCCTAAACGAAGTGCTGGATTCTTCCTTGATGAACTGATCTAGTCCTTTGATAAGCTGGACAGAGCGTTCCTGGTACTTCTTGATTCGAACGTGTTCTAGATGGGACATGATTATTCTTCCAATCTCGGTGAGGTTGTTGACAGAATCATCATCAAACTGTCGGAGTTTGTTGTCAACCACGGACAGACCACCAATGACATGGCCGGAGGAAGAAATGATAGGTACTTCCAAATATGATGTTATGTATGGCCAATTTTTGACATAGGGTCGCTCGCAAAGATTTGGGTCCGCGCGAAGATCTACTATGATGTAACAGGTCTTATTGGCGATGATGTTTGGATCTGAGCATCTCAATTCGCTTTTAGTGTCGCAGAAAAAGTCCATGGCTTTGGGGCAGATTCCCCAGTCTTTGTCCATGCACATGGCACCGAGAAACAGATCATTTTGTCCGGCAGCATTGCTCAACGATGTCTGTTTTGTGGCCTCCGCGACAATGAAATGTGTGGTGCCGTCGATCAGTGACAAGAAGGATCGCTCAGCGTCGAGCCGAAAGGCTGCGAGCTGGACGAGGGAAGTCAGGCTTCGATCGGAGGACGGCTTAGGAGCCACGCCACGTTGGATGTCGTCAAGACGTGCTAGGTCTGTCGTGATCGACGCTGCTGAGAGGTAACTGTGCGAACGACGTCAAGTCAGCTGCCACAAGATATTCGACATTTTACGCGAGTAGGCTTTTGAACATTGACCAACCTCTGTATTTCACGTTGTCGCGTTCGCTCAGCCAGCGACAGACTGGCTTCAAGATTCGCGCTTCCATTGGATTGTTCGCGCTGCGCATCGCTGCCCTCGTCCATTGTCCACCCTCGCACAAGGACTCAATGGGAGCTGCTCGATCGCCAGTGCTGGAACGTGCGGGGTATGTGGGAGTCGCCAGATTGAGACGAATATTTGTTCACAATTGAATCCCAAGCGACAAGGGTTGCAGAGTACGGGGTTTTCACCCTCTTCGCAACCAGCGTCCGACGACGCTGTTCATGGTTTCTTTGCGGAGCAAGCTAAGGACACGCCGATGACGAGATTTGCTGCAGCTTAGTGACAATCGCGCCCACATCGGCTGCCGTCCGTGCTCGTGCGCCGAGTCTAGGCCTTGGAACAATGGCCAGCAACGTGCGTATTCGGTGCTCGGACGGCGACTCTTCAAAGCGCAGAGACAAGCACTGTGTGGGATGCACGCACGTTCTGAGAAGAGATTCAACGGTCAATGTGTCGCAAGTGACAGGCAATGTTGCTTGTACGCTTCTTGTTTTCGACAGTCGTCGCGTATAATGGTCGCTCACTTGGACAGTCCGATTCTATGCCGGGTATTGCAAATGGCACTCCTGCGTCTATCCATTGTCTGATCAGAATCCAAGTCCGTTATCGAGAGGGTCTGCTTTCAGTCGTATCGATTCTAAATGGTCGTGGGTGAGCTGGTAATTTGAGACGTTATTCGCTGTGTCCGATGATCTCCGAAGCTAATCCTTTGTGCCGCAAATGCAGACACATCCCATAATTAGTACTACGCCGTAACAATATTTTACGCATGACTGACAGAGATCCAGGCGCATCGGCGAAGGAAAAAGTTAATGAATGTCTCCCATAAGTCACATATACAAGTATAATCCACGTACATGTGGGTCTTATGACATCTTCGGCTCGGCCCGCTTATACAAAGATCATCGAATGCTCTGCGCTCCTGCTGCTCCTGAAATCACGTCAACTGATTCATACTCGGCCCGCACGAACGATTTTGCGATCACAAGCATAACGTAGTCGAAACACATGAGCTTTTGCAAACTCATGGATCAGGCAGCTAAGACGTTCTTCTCATCACCACAATTCGCTGTGGCAGGCGCATCCTCGGATGCCTCCAAATTTGGTCATAAGAGTGAGAGATTCCGGTAATCCGGCTCTATTTTATTCTGTGCTGTTAATACTCTTATGCAGTATTCACCTGGTACTTGGCACACTCGCTGCCAGTAACACCTCTGAACCCTCGCGCATCTTCTATCACGGTCGGATCGAAGGAGTACCCCACCCTACAGTCTCCCTCACAACTGCCTGCGCCACGAGAAACCTCGTTAAGTGTGATCACTCCACCAAAAGTAACTCTTGCGGTGCTGAAAGAGGCGAAAGAAGCAGGTATACCGGCGGTTTGGCTTCAACCTGGTGCATTTGATGATGATGTGTTAGCATATGCGAAGGAAGCCTTCCCTGGTGCTGCCGTCGCTGGATATGAAGGGGGAACAGTTGGAGACGAAGGCTGGTGCGTGCTTGTTGATGGGGAAAATTCTCTTCGTGCTGCAGGGAAGAAAGTACAGAGGACTAGATTGTGATTCAGTGTCGAGTAATTGCTCAAGTCCTGTGCGGATAAAAAAAATAGCTATCGCAATCGTGAAGACAGCCTTGTGGTCATTAGCTATGATATCATACTTTTATCGGTTGCTGAAAGCTCATGAGTCCAAGTATGAGTTCGTGGATCAGCCCTCATTCGACCAAAAGCTTCTATTCTGTGCTTTAACACTAAACTTATGGGGAGCATTACGAAGCATCCACAACGATAGTTGAACTTCGCACAGTTAACTTTATCCCTCCACGGCTGTCGCAAAAGATTTTGTGGGAGGTAATCTGTCTTTTCATATTCTTAGTCACCGTGTGATCTTAATGCTGTTTCTACGGATATTGTGTTGCAGACCCAACCAATTACCCACGCCTCTGGAGAAAGTGTGAGCGTTACTTCATGCGTCTCTTCAGCGGCTGTTTCGTCAAGTTTGGGCTATATCTTTGAATGTTTTGCGACACTCCCAGGAGCAGAGAACGACCGACTTTGTGATGATAAACTCCCCCAAGGCTGACATGTACACATTCCTTTGGAAGACAAAAGCAATACTACAGTTCGTCTGTGTTGTTTCCAGCACTCAAACCCTTTTGCTGTCGAGTACTACTTAGGTTCAACTCATTGCTCTTTAAAGACGTGGGCAGCTTCTCGTCCCACCTGCTGAGCATGATCTATACGTTTGTCACTTGACTTTGCTCATTCTTGCCCACGATGTTGATATAGGATTGCCAAAAGGCGCGATGCTTATCCAAGAGCAGATATTTTCATCAGTATGAATATGAATCGGCTTTAAGAGCACTTTGAAGTCACTTGTTTTCCGCTCGAAGCATTCGACCTCTCTGGCAAGGTCGCAACTTTGAGTGATTTAGTCTTCCACAATGTCCCTCCCGTTCTTCTGATTCGTTTCGTAAAATTTCGAAAGCTCTAACTCGAACCCTCTCAGCGCTTCGCCAAACTACCAAGGTTCCGTCAGCATGTATCACTTGATCATATTTTCGGGGTTGGCTAAGCCTGCATTTGTCGGTACACCGTCATTGTAAGACTTAAGAGTTAGGATGGCAAATTTAAGACTATGAACACAGGATTTGAATGTTCTTAAACTTTAGCAAATGGAAGTCTTAGAAATTTCAAGACTGCGAGAATGTCGAAGTATTATCGATTACCCTATTTGTAGTCGGCCGCGTAAGGATCCTAGATACGACTGACCTAAACCTTGAACCCAGGCCTTCTCATTTTCTACAGAGAGTTAGAAGGAAAATAAGGTTCAAGAGCCAGCAGATTTCATCAATATTGTAAAAATATTCGCTGCCTTTGGTGTGACAACCAGCTATCCCTACTATTCAAAATTGTGATGCAGCATCATGAAGAATGTGGTAGTGTTTAGGAGAACTGATTACAATGAGCTGGAACCCTTAGTTGTGGACACATCCAGGTTTAACGATCAAAGAGTAGCGTTAAAGAGGCATCGAAAAAAGTATGGAGAGATATATCAGCCAAGGAGGAAACATTTCACTTCCACAGTTCAAAGCCCACCTCGTTCCCTAACGCAAGCGTCCCAAGCCACTCTACTGGAGGTTAAATTAGGGAAGAGCACGTATGAACCATGAAGCATTCATTCAAGTGCAAATATCTTGACAGGAACTCCATGATCTTCAAGAACTCCTCCGTAGGCATTTGCTGGTACGCATAGCGGGTCTGCGGTACATACATCAATATACATTTGTGGTAACTTCTTCAAGAAATCAGATTTCGTTAGAAGCGGTGACAGACAACATGAGCTTCTTGTGGCTGGATCGGGAGCAAAAACCCCAAGCATTGTTGCCAAGGCAGCGTCGTTGAATATTGGTACCTTAGACCGCTCGGGCAGCTCGCCTTTGAATTGAAGTGGATCGCAGACGAATGGAATAGGCAGAATCTGTGCAGCAAAGCGTAATCCATACGCGGATTCGCTTGCTCTCAAAGCAACTGCGGCAGAGATATGACCTTTTCCTAATTTAGCGAACTTCAACTTGCTGAGAGTGGTGTTGAATTACTGCCAGCCGAGCTGCCTGTGACGTATATCTTCTTCTCGTCAATGTTCACTTGACTTGCATGTTTGACTATCCAGATGAAAGCGTCATAATCGTCGTCAATGGCGGCTGGGAAGACGTGCTCTGGAGTAAGGTGATACTCAACACTAACGACGACATGGCTCAGACCTCTTGAAATCAGGCGACAGAAGATGTCGTCAGCCTGAATTTTGCCAAGGGCCCAACCACCGCCATGGTAAAATACTGCTCCTGGTGCTAAATAACGGAGATTTCTGGTGTGTAGATGCAAATTGGAACCATGTGCACTGCACATGCCTCAAACTCACTGGCGCTTGCATCTACATCGTACTCAAGTGAATCTCGTTCTTTGAGAGTCGAATCGCGATAAGCTGCGCCAGTATTCAGAACCTCACGCTGCTGTCCAACGGTTCTATCAAGATTGACGGCTGGTCGAAACCCCAGAGATTTCTCGAACTAAGTATATCTGTAAGACAGTTTACAGTCCCAATTCCTGTGAGACATCCTCTTACTGCGAGCCATTCTTCGGATAGTCCATCTATATTTAAATCGCCTGACCTGTGCCAAACGATTGAATCAGAGCTTGAATAGTTCTCAAAGCTCATAGCTGATGTATTGTGAGTCTTAAGGTGCATAAGACGATTCATCTCGTTTAGATCAGAGCTTTTCCTCCAATATCACTTTTCAAAAAGGGCTCACAAAATATAAAAATCATCAAAAGACTAGATAAAGAGCCAAGTTGAAAGTTATTGTAAACTGTGTGGCGAGTAATCTTACTTTGATACTTATGAGACGCCCTTCATAATGAACTCCACCTTTCGCGCTGCTAAGGTTTTGCGGATAGTAATTCTCGCTTCCGGAGCGACACCTAACGTCTCTTCTCTGCTTTTATAAATTAGAATACGATAGAGAGTACTGATTCAAGTCGGAAGTCACGCAGATTGAGGAGTTTTGAGAAGCTGCTTATAAAACTAGCTAAACTCTCCTCTCACTGAATCTTTTCCAAGAGCTCTGTTGAAAGTTCGTGCTCGGATATTCAAATAGCGAACGACAAAGGCTGGACAGGAAAGACATTACTCTTGTTGGAAGCGAAAAGTGCACTGATCTATAGCCCTAGCAATAGCATATTGTCATATAGTCGCGGTAATTTACTTGATACAACTTCCAAACTACCTTAAGACTCAACGCCATTACCTGGTTGTAAGCCATTCTTTTTATCGCACTCGCTGTGATGGTAGGTGCTCTACTGAGTCACCCGAGAGTATTGCAAGGAACATGTGATATCATACAACAATGCATCATTGAGAACTAAGCTTGAGCGAGGTTAAAATCCGTGAATCATTGGGATACTGGGCGCGCCGTGAAGCATGAGGCTCACATTGAGATCCTCAGTATGTTCAGCAAGCCTTTCCTCCCAACATCACATACGGTGCCATGATTCTCAAGAGGGGTTCTGAGAGGTCTCTAAGCAAAGTACATGAACGAACTGTTCTTTGAGAAATGTCAAGCCTCTGTCAGAAAGGTAGAAAATTTAATTTGAACTCCAAAAGTTCTCAGCTGATGTTCACCCTTTATGGTATTTATGACTCTTCAACACTACTTCAAGGCGCTAACATCTTAACATATACTGGATGGGTCCAGCTGCGCTGAGCTGGACGATCTTCAGTCCGGGGGTTTGTCATGTCTGTCTGCCCAGCTAGCTTCGATGCGGGAGCAAACGTTGACATAGTCCTTCCATCTTTCAATCTTTTCATCTTCAGACCTATCAGTGTTCGTAAAATCAATATCATTTCCGGTCCAGAACATGCACCATTGACTGTTGGCCAACTTCCACGTGCCTACGCTTCGTTCGAAATACCACTTGTTGACTGGGTTATTCTTCCTGCTCCTCCACACAACACCATCCGGTAGACAAGTCCGCACCATGGCGTTGAAAATTATATCTGCAACACCCCCGCTTCCCTGAGATTTGCGCAGAACAGCGAATTTGTCCAGATATGGCACGGCTGGCCGAATCCGCGAGTTGTCTGGGGAAGGATCCTCCCATGTGAGTATGGCGCCGCCTTCATATTCGCCTGCGACAATGATTCCTGCTATACGACCATTGATTCGTGACAAATAATGATTAACATCAAGGGGCCGACCAAATGAATCTTCTATGAGATGTAATAAGCGTGAAAAATTGATCCGTGGATCCGAATCAAGGCGCAAAGAGGTACCCTCTGGTCCCGGTGGTACCCAGGGAGCGACCTTGGGATCGGGTATAATGGTAAGTGGCATGCCCCGCTTGAAGAAGGTCGCAGGGATTAGATTTGTATTTATTGAAGCTAAATCATAGTCCTTGAGTGACGAACTCAAACGACTGACTGGAAGAGACGAAGAGATTGTTGGCTTGTCCGTAAGCAAATTGTGGATAAGGGGGTTACGCTTCGGTCTTGTTCCCACACTAGAACCGGTTGGATTTGGAGCTGGGGTCGTGCTACTGAATAGTGCTGAGCTTGCGGCTTCGGAAGGAGTAGTAAGCAAAGCAGATGAGGAGGGAGGAAGAACCGCAAGACAGCTTTTCATCAGCTTGAGATTCTTGACATGTTGCTCCAGCTCTCGTACTTTAGCCAAAGACTCGGATGTGCTTCCCTCCATCGATTTGCTATTGTCTTTGTGTTCTTGCTCCAGACACACTTGCGTCAGTTGTAACAACTCTTTACGGACACTCGTATACTCTTGCTCAAGGTTAACGAATATATGACTCCTGTCGGTCTTGTCTGCCGCAGGAAGCCCGCCCAGAGGATCTAATACGATGACCTTGTCAACGAAAGTTGGAGTTCTTTTATCCGCCTCGTGTTTGTCTATAGGGCGAGACAGACCAGCAAGCTCCAAGGTCAGAGCCAACATTATGTCATCTGCTTCAACTCGACGGGCTTGTAAACCGTCTGTGTATGCGATGGGGGGAATGACAGGTATAAAGCCTCGCTGCAGGGTTGCCAATAAATATTCGTGCATAACAACTGAAATCTCGCTCTTTACAGAGACCGAACTTTGGATATTTTCGCCATGTGTAGAAATCCCTAACACCTGATCAAGTACTCTCGCGCCAGATTTGCTGTGAGCACTGATGGCGTTGGCAAGTTTGAAAGCATGCCTCATGACAACTTTCCTCCAATCTGTCCAGCTCTTCTCCATGACCTTGACTGACGGTTCAATTACCACACAGCTGAGCAGGCCTAGTCTCGCAAGTTGTGAAAGTGTCATAGCGACGCCGGTTCGTGTTTGCTTATCAAGATCATCAATCGCACGTATCTTGACCACAGCGACGTGTAGAGGGCCATTCATATCCAGATTAAACTCTTCCGGCAACTTGGACTGGGTAAATACCGGGCTCTCCTCTATGGCCCTGGCCTGTCCATACAATCTACCTAAATTAACGCCGCTCTTTTGTAATCTTTCTTTTCTCTCATGCTCTACGGAAGGAGAAAGCATCGAAGTTGGCTTGTCTAGTTTGGTCCTTTTGTCGTCTTTGTACCGTGAAAGGTAGGCCTTGGCATCTCGTTTCGTGGCACTTGCGCTGAAGACCGAGAGGAAGAAATTGCGGTCAAGCATCTTTTGCTGCTGCTTGGGTGACACTCGAGGCCCTCCATGGCCTTCTTCACGTGCTTCATTGCCGCTGCTGTAGTATTTTGGTCTACCAAAGCATTGCAGACATTTGTGATCGCGTCCCTAAGGCTCGTCAACACAACCGGCTGGTTGCTATAACTCGGAACAAGACTCACTGTCCGAAGCGTCGGGCTTCTCCCAACCAAACCAAACCTTCCAGGTCTCATCTTTGAGCGTTCTGGTTATTTCGAAAGGCTCGGCCAGATTCATAGTGACGTGCCTGCTGCCATTGACGCTAGTTGTGGTGCAAAATTTTGCGTTCTCATATGGACAATTGAGTGTCGTGACTGCAGATGGGTGAAGTCGGTTCTTCCCCACAAACAAAGGACGATGACTTTCTTGCTTGCCATGTGGCTTATCGATAAGACGCTACTGTCATTGTCATTTCCGGTCCACACCGACTTCTCCTCTGACTCACAACCGGGCATGTACATCCATGCAATTTTCAAGCAACCATGACCACAAGAGTTCTCTATGTAAATGAGAAATGTCGGACGCTTCCTCCGCACAACATGTCTGAGACATGCATAACGGCGATGGTAAGCGCAGCCGATGGTTAACGCAGCATGAACGTCGAAGTTGTCCTGGAGCTGCGAGCTCGATACCGAGGCACGGAGGATGGCGCACGCGTTGCAGATACTGTGATCAGACCAGTCAATCCTTGAGCTATGAAACGCGCAATGTCGACCTCTAGCTGCATGATCTGGCGCGATGCTGAAAACTTGCGGTGGCCAAAAGGGAAGGGTCTGAAGACCGCAATGCTTGGGTTCGGCCAACAGTCTGTAATCTTGGTACTCTCGTAGAGTCGGACATCTTTGGAGCCTCAGATTTGACATTCGGCACAAATTCGTCATGTTTATGACTATGGAAAAGAGTGCATCTCTGATTCTGTGATTCATCAAGCCAATACTTCTGTTGAAAGTGGCACCAGAATTTTGTAAAGAACTTAATTTTCAGATAGTAATTGTATCTCTAGGTGATGATTGTTATGACAGCTGACTTATGTATAACTTCAGTCGCTTCAACGAGTCACCGTTCAGCTGTGGCTCACGATTTACGGCAGACCTCTTGTACCAAAGTGTGGCAAGCAACCGAGTAGACCCCTTGGCCGAATAGTCATCCATTGGAATCTCGACGCTGCGTACTCCCTTAATGCTCTAAAAAGAAGGCGTTATGCCCCACCTCTTTCTCTTTTTCTTCTTCTGTTGTTGCACCACCAAAAGTCGTATGCCGCGTCAACGTGGCTTTAAGGTGGTCCTAAGCATCCATGTGTGAATGGCTAAACGAAATGATGATTCCAACATCGTCGCTTGGCCAACGCATGTAGCCCGCCTGGTCAGGTCGCAAAGAATGCAATGGTAGCTGCCGAGCTTGCCAGATGCAAGACGGAAGTATGGAGATTGTGACCGGACTCTGAGGTTGCGAACAAGTACTGTAATCTGCGCGGCTACATAGACGGCGTTTGCAATACGGCGAGGCATGCGAGCGGCCAGAAGCACGAAGACGATTCGTGTCCGGCGTAGATAGAAATTTAGGCCGTAATTCTGTGCTTGGTACAATCCGTATCTACTTGAACATGGAAAGCCATCTACTGACGACCTCCGCACTCTCAGCAAGCACCCCTACCCCATCTAGGCCCCAGCTCCTCTCTTGTAGGCCAACCATGCCTAATACGAACCAACCGACGACGGCCCTACAAACCGCGCCTAGCATTGCCAATATACAGGCCCTCCCGAATCCACAGTCCATGAGAATCTCGATTGCAGCCACATTGTTTACTATGACAGCCCATGACACAGCACTGGCTGCAGAAGGAAGATCGTAATCCCAAATAATGAGCAGAATTGGGAACAATTTCGTGCATGAAGACACGATAAGAGCGGTAGAAATTGCCGTACTGTGTGGATAGTAGGGAAGCAGCCTCGCGTTAGAGCCCGGTATCATGGATCCGGGCCACGCGCAGAGGACTCGGATAGGTACGTGAAATGCTATTGTACTGAGGAGGCACAGTAAAAGGAAGAAGAGATATTGGAGGAGTAAGGGGTAACTGCTGAGCGGAGTTGCGACTGGTGTGGAGGAGGGCGCTGCCTTCTCAATGCGCGCCCAGGTAAGGTAGACGTCGAAGAGGAGGAGGAGGATGCCGAGACGTATGATTGAAGGCTAGGACCCGTTTAGCTCACAGAGAATTGCGCATTGCTACAAGAGAATACGCACGTCAAAGCGGTCATCCTCGCGACCCAGACGATTGAAAAGAAGATGTCTGTAAACCTGAATCACTTGTCTTAGCTGGAACGCACCCGTAGGACTACTAATTTTGTCTTACTAACCTGAGGCTTTATCAAGACCAGGTCGATAAACAGCACAACGAAGTCATGCTCAACATATTTGTCGGCGAATCTCTTGCACCTCGGACACTGGGTCAGACGAACGCCTTTTCCCAGGGTACGATCATCGGCCTTGGAGTACGTGGTATACAAGGTGTTAACGGGGAAGCGGCATTCTATGCATATCGGCATTTGTGGACCTTGATGCTTACATGATCGTGGGATTGCAAGCTGAAGGTTTGAGGGACTAAGGGTGCGGCGGAGCATGTAACGTGGAAGGCCAGATCGGGAAGGAGGTCCGTGGGTTCTGATGGCCATCAGCTATCCAAGAGAGTCGAGACTGTTCACAGAGGGAGGTAAAGATCGAGGTACAACATACATAGCTGTTGTGAGTTTGGCGTAGCATCATTTATGATTAAGAGATCTGCAAAATTTGCACAGGATGATGCGATAATGTTGCAGAGAAACTGTTTGAAATGTGTCCAGCTGTCTGCAGAGAAGTCCCGTGACTCTATTGTGCTGAGTCGGCTTTCCAGTGCCTCTAATCACTTCACATTACTACAGTATGATACAAAGCCTGTACGTGTAGCATTCGGCATCTCGTTGAGCTCAAACTCTTAGGCTGTTCTGAGTTCCATTGCATTGCCAACAGACAAGCTTGCACCGGCCTTGCCTCGAGATTCCTCTTCTCCTCCTATCGGCATGGCTGGTCACTCATAGCCCGGCCGCAGCGTATTGTTGATAGGTGATATAAGCGGATGCCATTGTGCAAGGAAGGTTATGGCTATTCCCCTTGTCAGCGAAGCTTTCTTTATGACCTATATTGCACACGTACCCCACATGAGGAAGCATGACCACGCTGACAAGATCAGCGACGACCGCCACACTCTGTAGGAAATCAGCCCATATCATTCAGAGGAAGTGTATAGGCGTCGTACGTCTGATTTTCGCCTTTGGGGCTCAAAAACCACGAGGCGATAGAGAAAGCGATGATGAAGATGAGGCCGATGATAAGGCTCCAGCTGTCCAGCCGTCAGCCAAAGAACTTTCAATTGATCGATCAGTGGCTTTTACCCGTTTGCCATCTTTGCGACTGTTTCTGCTCTGAAGCGGTGGTGGTGTGCTAACGAGAGCAACGAAGGCGCCTGAGATGCGGATGGAAGCGCAAGCGGAGTGATCTCGCACCATTCCCAAATCAGCTCTAGTGGCCGTCGCCTCAGCCTCATCCGTCACAACCATCAGGACGCCGAAGCTTCTCGCTTCTGCTTGCGCAACCGCTCTCACAGCCTAATACCACCCTCATTTGCCATCATATTACTAAACTTCCACATACGAGACACGCACATATATATATCTACTCTCCGCCATATACCCGCCATGTCACGACCATTTCCTGACGCTAAACTCGACTCTCAAGACGCCGAAGCAGTCGCCCGCGCAAAGAATATGTCCATAGGCGACGTCGAACAGATCGGCGCGCACTGCTCGTCAGAATTCTGCCACATAAAAACTTTTCTACCATTTACATGCCAATTTTGCAAGCTCAAGTACTGCGAAGACCACTGGCGGCCGGAGTGGCATGCTTGTTCCGCAGCCACGAAACAGGTGGAAGAGCAAAACAGGACAAAACTCCCGGGGCGACCAACAATCAAAGATCATGAAAAGCAGTGTTATAACGTTAAGTGCAAAACCCTTATCGATACTGCAGCACAGCCCGCCGTACACTGCGACAGCTGTAGGAGGGATTACTGCCTGAAACATCGCATGAAAGAGGACCACGACTGCGATAACGTGCCTCGGCCGTCCCCGCCAGGCCAGTCTGTGCTAGATGCGCAAAGGGAGAAAGGACTCTCTGCACTGCGGAATTTCAAGGCTTGGGCGAGCAAGAAGAAAGAGGAGTCCAAAGCGAGTGCATCAACGCTCTCCATTCGTCCGAAACCGAAACAGCCTGCAGGACTAGCGGCAATCAATAAGCTGAAAACCGAAGCAAAGGGCGATACGAAACTCGCTCCGGAGAAAAGGGTGTACCTTTTCGTCGAAGCCAGTGCCGACACGACGACCGCCAAGTTCCCGACAGGCAAATTCTTCTACTCACGCGACTGGAGTATAGGTCGTGTTCTTGATGCTGCCGCCAAAGCCCTGCAGGTCCAGAATGTAAACAATAGAGTACCAGGAGAGGAGGAGAAATTGAGAGTCTTCCATGTAGAAGCGGGAAGACTGTTGGAATTTGGAGAGAAGGTCGGCGACGTGCTCGTAACGGGAAACACCATTGTGCTATTACGGGGAGTGGGGCCCGCGGTGCCTGACTTAATCGGAACGTAGATCTTCTTTGTCTCCAATATTGGAATGGCAGGCAAGAGAGATGTGTTTGGATTTATTAATGAGGCTTTTGATGAATGGCTCATGATACCATCCTTCTTGCATAGCATGGCGTTTGCTGTTGATGGTCTAAGATACTCCTCATGATTTTAAGACATAATAGAAGCTTTTGCATGTAGCAGTTTGTACCGTCTTTTCTCTCGTGATGTTCTTCTCTACCTTTTCGCAAGTTTCTGTTTTTTGCCTTCGAATCTGTGTCCACGGAACGACAAATGGCTACTCGAACTTCCAAGAGTCTTGATGACACAGATCCAGCCACGTATACGGAGAATTCGTCTCTCTGGATCTTGACAGAGGGTAAGTGCCAGCTACGAGATAACCGTTGCTATTGTAAGACTAAGACCGGCATGAGCCAAAAAGCCATCAATATTTGATATGATTTTTGTTGGAAGGTCAATGGGTCAGGCACGTAGGTGCAAGGTCGCTCTCTGGAAGAGATTAAACTTGACTTGCCCAACTGATTGGATTGTTGCAGTCGATTCTTCACGACGATGAGATGTGTTTTTAATTCCAAGCGCAAGATATATCTTGAGCTTAGCATACAAGAGAAACATAAATGCTCCAGCTCCCACAACCCTTGAATCTGATACATGTTGGTTCTGAATTCAAGCTTGCTTCCTTGTGCCCCAAGAAAAGGCGGCAAGAAAATGCCTTCATGAAGTGTATCCCCGTATCGGTCATTGTTGTCGATGTCTAGAAAAAGATGCGCTCCTTGCACATGCCCCTTCCAAGTTATAACGTCGGCAGGCTGCCTCAACCACCAATATCTAGTGTTCGAACCGGAGAGATCTGTAAGGGGTCAACGAGCGAGGGCTTCACTCCTTTCTGGGGCTCGCAGCCCCGAACTTTGCGGGGAGGGCTTTGCTCGCGCGCACCCATTGCGCGCGTTCTGGCCTTTGGGAAGATGCACAGCCTGGGGTCTGCGAACCACACAGCGTGCGTGCCTGCAACGCAACTACAAGGACGCCTCGACGAATTGTTTCAAATAATCCAGAAGCTTTTCGACAAGGTGTTTGAAACATGATGGCATGCGGAGCCTAGGAGTCAATGTTCCGAGCTGGACGATGAATGTTGATGAAGATGCACAACGCACTGAGCGCAGTGCTCACTATCTTCTAGACAAATATAGGAGGTCTTCCTATACTGTCTTGGAATCTTGCCATTCGCCTGCTGCTCCTACAGCATCCCGAGACGCGATCACTCCGAGCATTTTCTTGGACCTAGTACAAGCTATGGTATGACTCTATACTCCACAATCGTGCTAGGCAACTCAAGTGCTCACCAAAGGTCAAGTGTAAAGCACGGCAGTTGAAATTATGTCGTCAACCACGAGCTTAGCCCCAACACTGACTGGGTCGGAATCGTCCTTCTCAAGCGCAGCATTGGGCCAAAGGATTCTCCTATGGTTCCTCCAGGTCTTTGGTGCTCTCGCCGTCGTCATCTTTGGCACCTTCACAGTTCTGGCAAGGGATCGGCCGAGCTTGGCAACAAGCAAGCCGATGTTGCAAACATGATCTCATTTTTGCAGCTTTGCGACGCCGTACTAAGTGGTGGAGACGCTGAAAGTGTACGCAAAGCGTTCTGAAGCTAGAACCGTGAATATGCCGTCTTGCAAGCTGACCATGAAAAGATCGAATCAAGCCTCGTCAGGATCTGCTCCCAGCATTTGTCTGTCGCTTCGGAGCAGCTTGATCGCTTCGCAAACGGCACTTTTCCTTCGCCGGCGATGGCCGGCTTATCAGGCGCATCTGGCGCTGCATCTCAGTCCTCAAACTATGGTCTCATCACCGGAATCGCCATAGGTAGTGTTGCCGTCATCATTGTGATCACTACTTTGACCCTGTTTTCTTTCGAAAGGAGGCGAGCCATGAGACATTTTCCTGGCTGTGAGTGCAAGACGTGTTTTCGACGATTACGCGAGCAGCGGTATTGTGTGAAAGTTCTCGAAGGGCAATTCGGTGTGAACAGCGTGTGAGGCATAACGTGCCAAACCAAGTGCTTACCTGATTCTTGGGTCAGATCCTGTATCGTTTTGCATCTTACGAGAACGAATTTGATCTGATCTTTTGTCGCCTCTCGATAATGGCAGAGCTCCGGCTCATTCATTTATGGTTCGAAGAGATACAAAGGCTAGACTTTTCTTAATCCCTGGTCCCAGCAGCTTCATGATATTTTAGATGAAACTCAACTTCTACTAAACTCTATGTGGCTGGGTCTGTAAATTGCGACCCGAAATGTGCAGCATGGAGCACTTCTTGGTTGCATTTTGAAACGCAAAGAATGAAACATAGTTTATCTCATCCGCGCGTCTTAAAATAGGTAGGGCGTTACGGCTCTCTCGCAAAAGAACAAAATTTAGACGTCATATTTGCTCACAAGGATCACGTGAGTATTGCTCATATCTGAGTTTGTAACAAGAAATCCAATGCGTATATTGAACGGTTTGCGGATCGAGCAACGGTCCACCACGCGTCCTTGGCAACATTGGGATTGCATATATTAACGAACACTAAGAGTATGTCGATCACCCAATTTGTGCCGTCAGCATTTTGAGGACTTAGTAGGAAAGAAAATATATCGTCTCAAATCGCTGCTTAGGCGCCCAGTACTGCTGCCAGCTATACGGTCACAGTTCCGCAGTAATGAATATTGCAGTCGCCTGCTCCATGCTCGTACAATTGCAATCACTGCTTCAAGCATCGCAACATCGTTTATCAGTACAGTGCCTCCCCCTAGAGTTCTTGCAAAGCTTGTTGGGTACATCGTCATCTAAGTGGCTGAACTTATACCAGATCGCACCCTTGCTTTTGATGACCTCAACTTCATAATTGGGTTTTTTGGGATTTCAAGGGAATCAGAAGCTGTCTTCATCGTCATGCCGGCATTATAGATATTGGGATGAACTGGTGCAGTAAATGTTCACCCGCTCCTTAAAATACTTCTGTAGTCCAAACCTGACCTACAAAAAAACCGTAGAGATGACCCGTGACATCAGTGTGTACGTAAGTCTCCTGGCCCGTGAATCAGCTTGAACGTGAATCCACGAGTTTTTAGCGGCTATGGTCAATTCAGTGGTAATATTTGAGAGTATTTTTGTTGTGCAAGGGGTGTTTGACTCAAGCTGTGAGTGAATCAGGCAGGAAAGGTTCTTTGAATGTGCCAAATAAAGGAACAGGCCTGATGAGAGCGGGTTCAAGAAGTGAAGTAGATCTTGCAAAGCAGCTGCTTTCATGTGCAGGTAACATCCAGCATGTGTTTGAATTCGTCCTACAGGTCTTGTCATCGTTTGAGAGGGTGTGTTAGATTCACGATAAGGGGCATCCATGCTTCAAAATAGCGATAAGGATTTCCATCAGTGGGGATTAAAGGCAATGGTAACGAGAACGGTGGCGAGTAATGAAATGTGGACGCGGAGTCATGTTATGGTATCCAGAAGAGTATTTTACACTGATAGACAATGAGGGACACATATTCTAGTGAAGTACTGAAATTTGCGACGAGCCCAGGTCTTAGAAGGATAGGAAAACACAACGCCAGATACGTGGCTAAGGTGGTCAAGCACCGATTTTGGCCTAAAATATGCCAAGCTCTTCTCGAACAGATGGTAGAAAGGTAAAATCATACTTAAAGAATAACACTTGCCATTACGTGGGTATCATACCCCAACCTTTCGAACACCGCAAAGTGCAACTAATGCTTACAATGCCTCACATGCGACATTATTAGAGGCTCAATCACCCGCATTTACCGCCTCCATTACTGTTTCCACTCAAATCTTATTCCTTATCTTCCGTTTTGCCTTCCTCATCCTTCGTTGCTGCCTCGGTCTCCTTTAGTGCGGAATTGCCATCGGCTATTCCACTCGTCTCCTCCTTGATGATAGCGACGGTCGTCTCATTGTCCACCGTCTCACTAGACCCTGAGACCAACTTAGCTTCATGTTCCCCTTCCTTGTCTACCGCCTGCACTGATGACTCTGACCCTTGCGATATCTCCTGTGATTCTTCCTTAGGCTTCTCTATTTGCTCAGTCACCTCAACCTCCGTAACCGAAGTCGACGGTGCAGCTGCTTCGTTGCCGTCACTGCTCGGCTTGGACTCGTTAGTCAGCACTTGCCACGATCCGTGTGAGTCAGTGTCCGAAGCCACTGAGGCTGCCTCATGCTCCTTCTCACCTACATCCAGGGTAGCAGGGGTCTCGGATGCCGGACCTTTTTCAGCCTCTGTTGTCGTTTCGGGTGAAATTTCTGCTTTAGCAGAATGCTCATCAACGGGAGAAGGTTCCTCCACGGCAATAATGGGAACCTCCACATCGTCCTCTGCTTCTGCAATCTTTTCTTCTTGTTTCGGCGGTTCAGACCCTTCTGCTGCAGAAAGTTGTCCATCGCCACCGTTTTCATCAACAGCAGAATACCTTAGCGGCTCAGCAGTCAAAATTATAGTCTCCTCCATCTTGCTATTAGATTTGTCTTCCTCTTCTTCTGGATCCTCCAAAACGGTCGTAATGCTCTCACTACCAATGCTAGGCGTGGCCCTGTGTCTCTTGGTCGTCGAGACTTCTGTAGCGGATAGCATGCTCTTCGGTAGCTGCATATCAGTGGCTGATGTGTCCTGCTCTACCTTCGTGTCCTCTCTCCTCTTCATGATGGTTGGCTTAGCATAATCCGTCGCTGTGGTTGCTGGCTCGATGCCCTCCGCCTCTGGCGGCACAGTGTAATTGTCCTGAGGAATGAGATTGTACACGTCGCACACAGTTTTGAAGAAAACATAGAGTCCAGTCTTGAGCTCAACCTTCCAGTACATTTCCCTGTGCTGAAACCAGGCGTGCGCAAAGATCCGATAAACTCTTCGGAAAATGTTTGTAAGCTGTCTTAGTTGTCCAGAAGCGGATTGAGAGCCACCGCCTTCACCGAGCGCCATTCTCGACGGGAAATTTTTCTGGCTTGTGAGGACATGGTTTGTCCAGTCCAGTGTATGGCAACAGTAATCTATGGCACAGCACGGCTTGGGTGGGTCATGAACAGCGCAGAGATACTGCCACTCGCTGGCGCGCATTTCTGAACATGTCTGTGCCGAGCATGGAGGTTCATCTTGAAACAATGCAACGATCATGGCGTTGATTTCCTTGCACAACAGGCGACATAACTCATAGAGCCAAAGGTATTTGTCCACGCCATCTGGAGGATGGGCAAGCCGAGTGGCTGTCTCGCGATCGATGGGACATATGGTTGTGGAATTGTCGCGGTGAAGGGCGGCATTGTGGAGAGATTTGAGATGCTCTGTTAGTTGAAAGGGACTGTCGATCTATCATGTGTGAGCTAGTCAGTCTGTGTGCCTTGAGTTGTATGGTCAAGTCGTGAGCATATTTTGTTTCACAAGCGTAGAAGAACGTACGTCAGTCAGTGGTACGAGAGGTGGGCCTAGAGACATATCCGCGGCTTTTGTACCCGGACGTATCCTTCTCGACGCGTTTGCCTCGAAAGGATTGCGTCCCAGTTCACCATGCTCATTGGGCATAGCGACGGGGGACTTTGGTCCCAACTGGTCTTCCGCGATAGGGGGTGGGCTAGGAAGCCTTGGCGAGCTCGACGGCGACGCGGCCATTATGAATAGCTTGTATAGATATCTGCGGGCGTGGTTTTGTCCGTCTAAACCAAGGCGGTGGGTACGGATGATCGCGAGGAGCAGGTTCCCGCCAGGTGTTTGCGAGGTGTCTGTTCTGAGATGCACAGACCCGCAGTACGAAGAATACTGTATGTCTCACGTGCGAGGCCGATTTTCAGCCTTGTCTACACGTTCAACGCATCTTTCCTCATCAATGTACTTTGAACGTTGACACCGTAAGGTTCACGATCATTGCACCCAGGCTTATTTTGTATGGTGAAGAGCTGAAGATATAAACAAGGGCGTCTGCAATCAGTGAGCCTACAGTTAGTAAATACCATCAGGCTAAATTGTCGACCAGGCGTACAAATCATGCTCTATTACAAAAAGTACCTCTGGAGAGTTTTCCGTATTTTAGGGCCTGAAGCATTAGCCATGCCTACTGCTCGCATGTTTTTTGCGCCAAACGCTCATGATCTAAATCCGTCATAAATTTTGCTCGGCGTGTCGTCTAGGCTTTATCACTGCCATAATACTCTTCATGTCCCCTATCTGGCTTGCTTTCGTCATACTGAGGGGTTTGTTGGTGCCCGACACTTTTCCAGAATGCCTCTCTCTCGGCTAGAATCTCTTTCCACCACTCCTTGACCTCGGGAAGCTGAATCCGTGTCCCTACTCTCGCAAATTCGCTCAGATTCATTTTACCTCCGTAATCCCTCTCGTATTCGATCATCTGATGCATCAATTCGATCTTGTCCACATCATGCACAAACATACTCTCGTCGGTCTCTCCGTCTTCATACTCCTGCCACAGCTTCCGAATCTCCTCGCCGTTCATTCCACCATTCACTTTACCTAAGAGCCTCCGACATAGATAGTCCATTGTCTCTGCCTCGCGTCTGCTCTTCTCCGACTTTGATACTCCATCTCGGGGTGTAATGTCGCCGACCAACGCCTCAGCCATATCATGTATAAGGGCCATCTTGGTGCACTTTGCCATATCGAGACGAGATGTGAGAGAAGGCGGTGCGCATAGCGTCATAATCGCCATGCGATACATATGGTCACTTATAGATTCGCCATGAGCGATGCCGAAGCGTCTCCAGCCCTCGCGCTTGGTGGTCTTAAGGCGGGAAATGAAGTGGAAGAAGCTGACCGGGGTATTTGTATTCTCAGATGGAAGATATGGGATCTTACTGAGTTCTACCAGAATCCTTCGTCAGAATAGCTTCTACCGTTGACTTGGACTCAATAAAGAAGTACGGGGAGCGCGTACTTTTTGGCCCCGCTAGTAAGCTTTCACATACCGTGGTCTAGTTGCCAAGCTTGCGGGGAGCCATTCGGTGTCGAGGATTCAGAAGCGACTGTTTTGAGTGTCATTATGAAGCCATCACGGAGAACAAGGTGATGCAGCGAACTTACCTGGTGGGGCATTGGTTTCCCCAGCGTCTTGCGCAGTCATGATCAAACTGTTTCGAACGGTATATCTGCTCCTCTCGTTCAGATAATGAGCGTGTAGAAGAATTTTCTTGTCAGGTTCACAACGGGTGAGGAGCGCAAAAGGAGGACAAAGAGGAGCGTTCAAGTTGGGCGGATGAAGAAAAGGCGATAAACAATGGTATCTTTGCTTTTACTCGAAAAGGAAAGGCGCCGTTTCTGTGTTTTCAGATGTAATCAAGAAAGACACAATACGCTTGAGTTTAGTAAACTAGTACCTGCGTACATATGCCGATGGACACGCCGACAGGGAGATAGGGGATCAAAAATTCCTCGCTACGACTCACTCGTCATGTCGCCAACATAAGAAGCGGAAACGCTGGTGCTTACGTGCCTTCATAACGATGCTACTTCCAACGAGCAAGCCCGAGTGAGCCGTGAAGAATATAGGCCTTGAAAGCCGAGGGAAATGTTCTGAGATGTTTCTATACCAGTACTTCCGTTCAAGAGGCTTCTTTCTCGTTATAAAATATAATAAGAATAATCCTCAGATGTGTATGATGATCCTTATCAGCCTCGATCGACTGAAACCTCAAAGACATGGTATTGATTTCGACAAGCCTTTGACACTGTTTGCTCACGAAGACAAGCTCAAGACGCCGAGTGTCGCCCTTGATGAGTGGTGGGGCCTGATTTCGCCACGGATATGCTTGTTGTCAGGAATTATATATCCTTGTCAATCTTGCGAGTGTCATGCGGTCTCGATGTGCAGAGTGAACTGGACCTCCATCTGACGTAAAAAGTGCAGCGAGTGAGCAACATAGGGTGTAGACGATGTCCAATCCGTACAATGATGTTCTTGACTTCTGTTCGCAATGTTGAGACATGGTTCTTCAAGCAGCGTGATCTTATGACAGTGCTTCATCGGGCAGGGGTTGCACAAGCATGTACTTGCGTGCTGACCGTGTTAGTAACGTTACAAAAACAACGACATACAACCCCGTCATAAGCATATCAACAACGCTTTACTTGAGCAAAAGAAAAACGGCGCACAATGCAGCATGTCTCGACCAGCACCTGTAGCAGTTGTCAGCGGCGCGGTTACGCCAAACACTGGCAGCTTTCTCTGTTCAGAGAAACATCCCCTCGCCGAATTGCTCGTTATCAATCTACGCTTGCTGGACTTACATCTGCGCGATGACTGGCCTGGAATAACGGCCAAGACTTTTTCGACCAAGGATACACAGCAGAGCCAGAAGCTGCGTATCAAGTGTACAGAATGGATGCTATACCGGCTGTTCGAGCTGTGGGATCCTGACGAGACTCGCGATGTTCGTCTTCACTATATATCACGTACATGTGAAACCAAGAACTTGTGTGCTAATGGGCCAGAGCAGAAATTGCAACCTTTTTTCCCACCTTTAGAACCGCTACAATCCCTGAATCTGCGCGCTGCCCTCTTTCGATGTCTCAACGAGCTGAAGAAAAATGGAGTGCTGGCCCGCGAATCCGTGCTTCGCAAAACTATGCTGGATGAGTGTAAGGGCGAGAAATTCATGGAACTGCTCGTAATCTTCTCGACTCTCGTTCTGCGTAAGGTAGATGCCTCTTCTGTGCCAAAAAAGGCCCGCTCGACCGCGTACCGAATAGCAACGGCCCCTGTGTTGTCTGCAGCGCAGCAGGGCTCACTGATACCGCTTTCCGTGGCGCATATTGCATCTTTGAGGAATATTCTGAAGACGCGGCAAGAAAAAAGGCAGCGATATGCACAATTTGAGGAACTACTAGATTGTAAGCGGCACCAACTTCGGCAGCGCGTTAAATCTTCGGTTCAGTCCAAACGACGAGAGAGCAATGTCAACGAAGAAATGCACATAAAAAAAGTCATTGTTGATAACTGGGCTGGCAATCAATCCAAGTGGGCACAGGCACTCTTGACCGGTGATGATATCAAAGCTGGCGACTTGCCTCTACAAATGCCGTTTCATGATTTATGGCCCATCATATCAGATGGAGGATCCCTAGACGGCGACGCCACGAATATGGGACTGCTAACAAACCTACAGAAGAGAGTGCAAACTCAAAAAGAGAGGCTTTCGATGTGGCAGGAGTTTCAGGAAAATTTGAAAGATGATGAACACGACGGTGTGCGCGATGCAACAGAGAAGACAGTAAAAATCACGAATTTCAAATTTGATCGTCATCAGCGATTCCAGTTTATTCCTGGCCGCGTCATCGATGGGAGCCGCCAAACACCAAGTGCGATCAACGAGACATACAGCGGTATCCTCCATTCATTGCGAGCTGAACTTAACGACGCTTCAAAGTTGAGACGTACAGGCGGGCCCGGCTGGACCGAAAAATATGTTCGCCGCTCCGAATTCCAGGATCATGATGTTTTCTCACCTATCAAGTCATCGAGCTCTGTTATGATGACGGGGCAAGCAAAGAAGCTGGATATTACGCAAAACCAACCCACCCTCCATCCGTTGTCAACAGTAGAGAGATCGAACATTAACGGATTCAAGATACATCGCCTCGGCAGGAATGATTCAAAATCTGACTCTACGAACTTCTCTACGACTATGGAACCGAGTACTGGCTACAGAAGGACTCGCGATATACTCACAGGGGAGAATCGGCAACCGACGCGTTCAGCGACGCCAGAGATGGTAGCGTCACCAATTAATATCACGCAACCAAGTCCCGAAAACAGCACGGATGTGACGGTAGCAGATCATATCATCTCATCTATCGTCAATGCTACTCCCTCACCTGCAAAACAGTCGTACTTGTCGCTAACAGAGCGCACGCGCATGTCCATGGCTTTCCTCAATGGGGGAAACAACGCAGCAGAATCATCCGAGACTGACATTGTTATCCCTTCCGCCAATTCATCAGAACTCGATCCTAAGGAGCTTCCACCATCAAACAACGTTCAACGTCGTGTCAGCCTGCTCGAACGAACTCGTCTCTCCATGGCTGCTATACCGGCCCAGGCGCCAAAATCACGCAAGTCTCTCGCTACCAAACAAAAACGCGAGTCGCTTTATCCCATTAATCAATTCGAGACACCTGGAAAGCCACATCGACCTCCAAGCCCTAGACGTGATGCGACACCAACGGAAAAGCTATTCAGCGATGATGCTGAGTATGCAAGTGTGTTTAAGAGCAGACCGAGAGTGGCGCTGAGTCCGGTATTCAGCCCTGAGGATGCGGAACGGCTTAGTTTGGGTGGGCAGAGCCCAAAACTCGACCTGGATGAAATCGATCGGGCCGAAGAGGAAGACGATGCGGGACAGATCTCTGGATTTAGAACCTCACCGCTTGCGACGAGGAGAAGGATGGCTGCTGGCTAAGTTGACGACGAGCAGTCTTTCGCGTCCCCTACGTAATCAGGCACGTGATCGAATGAATGAGCCCTATATCCTGGTTTTTCTGGTGCATCAATGCTCATTACCCCGCGTTGATGTTCATTCAGGGGGTTCCAAAGCGCTGGGACATACCTATGACGGAAAACTAAACCTTCGAGCGGGCAATGTTCCTCGGTTGCGGTCCCATCTTTACCTGCCGAGTGACGTGGTTGAACCAACTGGCTAGACAGGCGATGTCAAATAAATGCTCGCTACAAGGATTGTAAAGCTGAGAAGAAACGTTACAGCGGTTGCTGTACAGCTAGACGAGGATGGAGGGCGCTAGATGAAATGCAGAATTGTTTTATCGTTTTGCTACTCCGAACTACTCGGCGCTAAGAAAACTAACATGGATAACATGGATATCGTGGAATATCACAACCTAGTTCCTGCTTCATAGTTACACTCCACTCGTGTACTACATCCTGTCCTGAGTCTGGCATGCAAACCTCGGCTCTTCGATCGTCCGTCGGAACAAAGACGACGTGTTTCGCCGCGCTCAAGTTACGGACCCTTGACAACAGAAGTGTCAGCGTCGAATACCTTTGTGCATGACATGCGAAAGTCTGGGAAGCGTTGACGGAGCTTGACGAGGAAGAGAACCGGGATTTTAAATCCGGACGGCCTCCGCTCTTTTCAACGTTTATACCCGTTCGTATTGTTCATGGTCTCTTCTACTGGGCATTTCCTCTCCGGTTGAAGATTTCATTCTGTGTACTTGGCTCTGGCTAGGGGAGAAAATGGCTTGAGTTAGTGATGTCCGAGAGGCCATAGATGGCACGTAGTTAGCTCATAGTAGCGACGAATATTTTCTGCTTATACCATGGAAGGGTGGGAGGATGATGATGATGATGGGCAGATGAAAGGGAGTTGAAAATGTGCCTCAGAATTCGGTTAATAATGTCTTCTTAGCTAATGCGTTTGTAAACCCCACGCTCAAAAAAAAAAAAAAAAAAAAAAAAAAAAAAAAAAAAAAAAAAAACCCCTCTAGGGCTGTCCAACCCCGACTAAACCCACATTGGTTGAGCCGGCCTCGGATGTTGACACTTATGCTTACTGATTTGCACAACCACGTCGAGGAGTGATGCTGCTATGACGGCAACGACAGTGTCTTAACAAATCACCACGCACTTTTGAGTGCAGGCGCAGAACGCGCTGGACTAATGGCATATAGACAGAACTTTCCGGTAACATCAAACGCCTCGATTAGAAGCATTTGCATGAACACGGGGCGGTTAGGCAAAGAGCGTTAGCTTGTGCATGAGATTGTCGTGGGATCTCTAGACGGCCAAGCAGATGCAATTGCTCGAAGTGCAAAGCAGAAGCATCACAACAGGAGCGCAGGCTCAAAGTGAGTTTCTGCCGTGAGATTATGAGCGTGCAATTGACCGAGATCTTCTGGCTGGCACGTTGAAACCGCGTTGAAATGCCAGCAGCCAGCTCGTCTGCAGTTCTTTGAGTGGATTGACCAAGGCGTCCATTGGCTGCAACGTGACGCGAGACCTGATGTTCGCTGCGTGTTCATTAGGCCACATCAGGATGTGGAAACAGGCGGCAAATCTTGAAAGAAATGGGATTTCGGGTATCGGATGTGAGCTTCGGGAGCGTCGAGCGTCCGTGATGATCGTACGAAGTCGACCTCAACCCCACTCGACCTAGGTCTAAGCCCAGTTGGTCGACATCGTCAGTGCTCAGCCGCCGTTCGTCCATCGAACCACTACGCGAAGATCCATCACATATTACGCCGCCCGCTTGTCCGAACGGATATTGCGCCGCGTCTGGAAGCGAATTGAATCCTCTCGGAACGCTAGCCGTACTGAATCCAGGCCAACGAGCTTCAATACCGGCCGTTTGATGCTATAGAGCTGCATGCTGGGCACACATTCGCAGTGGTAACGGTCGCGTCGAACACATCTGACCCTAACGTACCCAGTGCAATGACGCACACGATGCTTGACACGTACTTCGACGAGGCTGGGTTCCAATAGTAAAGATCTGTTTTCCCCGCCTCTGCTCACGCCATGTGGCCCGCCCGGGACATTGTTCATGCGATCATCAGCTCTTTGTGCTGTTTTGGGTGTCAGCCTTTCCAATTTTCACGACCTCCTTCGATCCGAGCAGCCAGGTTTCATCCGCACTAGATACCAAGAACCCAGTATACGGCCAGGCCCCGCGCTTCGCCAGACGTCTTCGATTCACGGCAGTTGAGCTTCAACGATCATCTGCAGATTCGGACGTCTTGTTGCTCAATCGAAGCGCAAATTGGATGTTCATGGGCCTGGCCTTTCAGCTTGCTCGCCCCGTGGACGGAGTAGCATTCCTCCAAGAGAAAAAAAATAAAAATGTGGATTAGTGCACCCGCCTTCATCCTCCCCCAGGCTTGGGATCTGGAGAAGCTTCGTTCCCATGCACGGACAGGATCCCTCGAACCGCACGCTTTGCTAGGTTGAGGCAGCTTGCAGCACGCGGTCGAGCGCTTGAGAAGATCCGGATGGCGCTCATCTTGCTTGCTAGATCGACAGCGGCGAACAGGAGGCATGTCTCCGTATCTGTTTTGACGCACTAGCGCCAAAGAAGAAGAAGGAGATTGTCGATGCTCTCTGCCCCTTAAAGAAGGGCCACCGGTTCATCATCTTTGTGTCACCTTAACGATACTCTCATTGTTTTCTTATTGTGCCCATCGTCTCATCACGTTCGTAACGAGATATATCTAGTCATTCCAAATTTCCTTTCTTACTAAAAAAATCAAGTGGCTTTCTTCTACTGTCAATATGACAACAGGTAATGCTCCCAGTATTCCCTTAGAAAAAGATTTCAGCAACGGTAAGTTGTCTTACTGTAGACTGTTACTTTTAGGCATATACTGCCATGTATTTGTCCATTATTCTACGTCCTTGGTTTATATTTGCATCTGAACAAGCTTTCCACATCTTTATTGATTTCTTCTGAATGCAAAGGATACACAAACGGCAACCACCAGCATCTCGACGCGAACATGAATCATGACGAAGCTTTGAAACGCATCCAGACCGCTGGAAGCATCTCCATCTCTCCTGAACTCTTCGAGAAGATCTATCTTTCACCGCAGAACCAGGTCAAAGGAGAACTGCGAAAGACCTTTGCAAACCCAACCCCCATGTATGTCCCAACCCACCCGTTCTAGATCATCCATGTAACCGTGATAGTGCTATGCTCGGCTTCTTGCTGTCTCTCACGCCGCTCTCGATGGAACTGATGAACTGGAGAGGAACTGGTGGGGCTGGAGTTGGCTCTGCTGGTATTGGCAATTACTACTTCTTCGGTGGCATGCTAATGATCTTCGGCTCCATTGGTGAATGGATTGTGGGTAACACGTTTCCCTTCGTGGTCTTTGGTAGCTTTGGTATGTGCTCAGCATTGGCTCGGTAGCGATTGGCTGATGTTTGATTCACAGGTGCCTTTTGGCTTGGATTCGCGGCAACGTTGCAGCCTTTTTATAGTGCATATGGGAATTATGCACCATCGGGACAACCAGCAGCAGCAGGGCTTGCGACTTCGGAGTTTTTGAATTCTTTCGCGTTCTTCCAGATCGCCATGGCCATGCTCGACTTGATCTATATGATCCTCGCCTTGCGAACTAACGTTGTTTTTGTTGGGATTTTCGCAACGCTGACCGCGGCATTCTCATGCCTAGCGGCGTCTTATATGTATGCAGCGAAAGGCAACACCGGTGCTGCTTACAACTGTCAGATCGCGGGGGGTGCATTGACTTTTACCACCACCATGCTTGGCTGGTACTTGTTCTTCGTTATCATGTTAGCTGCTTTGGATTTCCCTTTCCAGCTTCCTGGTAAGTTCTAATGAGACAAAGTTTTTTTAACCAAGCTAATACACATTAGTTGGTGACCTTTCACGAATGATCAAGGGCGCGAGCGAACGCAATAAGGAGAAGGAGCACGAGGTCTAGTCATTCAATGTCACTCAAGTTCAGCATTCTCACAACGCAAAAGCCAAGAATTGAGAACTAGTCACTCAATATTGGGTGAATTTGCACATTGAAGTCCTAAAAAGAAATCTTAGCCTCATTGTATTGCTCTTGCTGTACATAAATTCCGTAGTAGCATCCAATGAAGAGCTAATTCTCCAACACTGGCGCGTTTAGTCTTAAATGAAACTATATGTAAGCATTCTCTGCCGTAGGATTCCATTCGAAAGACGTTAAATCTACCATTAGCTTCAATTGACATTTATTCCTCGTCCAGGCTCGTCAAGTTCTGCACAGAGCCATCCTTGCTCTTGGTAGAGTTGTCGCATAATTGTCACCACCTTCTTTTCTGCTATGGCTGAAGTACGGCTAAATTTTGGCCGTAAACATGACACCAACAAGCAGAGGAACGATTGAAAGCACTAAAATCCGTCCGATACAAGAAAATTTGTAATACTGTGGCTCAGGTTGTCCAATGTAGTGGCGCATCGTATACGGGAACGTACGCATCCATCCATCCGATCATTGCAATGGAACCGATTTTTTTGATCGGCAGACACATCACACAAGGAGGTTTCCATAACGGTACAAGTTCTCGTTCAATAGACCGTGATCGCATTTTCTATGTTACATTGTCCGATGTTCGAGGTTTATGTGTTGTCTTGATAAGATGCATGATCTTTGTCGTGTTTCTCACGTCCAAGTGTTAGGGGTGACTCAGCAACCAGTTACGAACTCGTACTGCAATAGCTTGGAAATTCCGCCCACCACTTCTTCCGTAGCAGTAGTGGGTTAAATGAGAAAAGGGGGTTTTCGAAAGAGTGGCAGCCCTCGATCTTGTCCTCTTCTCTCGACCACAACCTTCTCACTATCTCGTTTCACGCCAAGACTTCTAGTATTCAGAGCTTGTGCTCGCCATTGGCATACACCTCCAAGCTTTCAGAGGTACTTGCTCTTGCTTGCTTGGTTGGGGGTTCCATTCTTTTGTCTAATCATTCAGACTGGCCATTTCGTGCATCGTGCGACACCTAATTTTTTGGCAGGTTACTATTTGTGCATCCTCTAGTTCCTCATTACTCCACGTAGTATTGTTTGGACGATACTCCTTGCTTATTTTAAGCATTTGGTGGGTTTGAATATCATTTTATGTACAATTTTTTTTGTGTCGGAGTGCAGGCAAGATGAGTCGAACTACGTTGAGTTCTTTCATATCAAGGCATGAGTGCACCTTTCGCAAATTTAAATTTCGAAGCTCGACTTTATACATGCGCCCGCCTCCAAATATATTTTGGTTCTATCATGAGATTCCTTCCATATCTTGCGCGTTGAAAACGTGTTGACTACATCCCGGTGTTCACTGGTTTGTAACATATTCTCCACCAAAAACACTCGTCTAAGTCTCTTAGCATCGAGGCATAGTCATACCTTGCCAATTCTCATTTAAAAGAAATTCTATACTGAGACTTTTCCAGATTTTGAGGAACGAGTTCATCCATGAAGCAAGAAACAGAGTAACTCATTAATCAACGCTAACCTTGAAGATTCATGCCCTTGGTATTCCACGATCTTTGCACTTAAACACGACAAGTCGGATCAACTTCCTCAGTCATCATTGGACGACGTGCAGACAACCTTCACTACTCTTCATCATCTCTTTTTTTTAATTCAAAGAAATTTTACTCAGACATATTTATTGCACATATCCTAGTCGTCTTCAGCGGGATGCATGAGTCACAGCCCCCGATACCCGTGGCTCGTAAGTTGTTGGAATGAAGAGCATTCATTGCAGCCAAGTCGACAGCACTAATCATTTCAAACCCCCCTGACACATTATGTTTTCCAAATGGGCAATCTTACGCGGCACGTTGGGACGAAGGGGCTAGAACTTGTTGAGCAGCATCTCTCTGAAGTCCTAAATCAACCTGCTAGTATGTCGGCCATTAAATCTCCCCCAGAAATCGTCACGTGGTAAAAATCATTGACGTTGTTAGAATAACCATTGATCGAAATGATTTACGAAGTAATCGGTAGTTTCTTTCATCCTCTCGCGATCATACGTTCATGAAGACTAAGTGGGCAGAGGTTGGAAACTAAAAGTCAAACTCGTAGTAGTATATGAGCACTGCTAGACTTTTGGTGCCTCAATAGCATAGCTGCTGTATCGTCCACTATGACGTAATGTGTAAAGACGACTCACTATACTAGAAACTTGAACATCTGAATCACCATCCTTCTAATTCCTTGAAAACCACAGGCATCCCGTGTCGGGGCTTTGCGGTTACCCATCCCTCAATATCCGTGGGCAACTCCACCCCATTTTCAAAGATGACCTCAAAATGGCCAATCCAAGCCGCGAGCAAACACAATATCTCGGACCTCGCGAAATCTTTTCCTATACAGCTCCTAGGGCCATGAATGAAAGTCAAGTTCGCAAAGTTGCTCATGGCCCCTCCTGTGTTAGCCTGACCAGCCCTAAGCCAGCGGTCAGGGTTGAAGTCAAGAGCGTCTTCTCCCCACAGATCTTTGCTAACATTGATAGCCCACGCGGAGATTATGACTCTAGTTCCTTTAGGAACATTCCGACCGCAGATAGAAGTGTCGCAAGCTGCATCGCGTGCAGTCATCGGCACCGCGGGCATGAATCGCATGATTTCGTTACAGACTGCACTCAGATACGGAAGTTTGTCGATCTGTAAAGCGGTGACCGTGGAGTTTGGGTCGGAAATCGGAGGTAGTTGTTCCCTGATTTCAGATCTTAGACGTTCCTGGACGTCGGGATACTTGCAAAGAAGATAAATCGCCCATGTCATCGTGCTCGCACTCGTTTCGTGCCCTGCCGCAAGGAAGGTCATCATTTGATCCACGAGACCCTGCTCGCTGAAGGACCCTGATGCCAGAGCCACAGATGCGATATCAAGAGCCTGGTCTTTTGCATTACTCAGTCTCTTCTTCTTTTCTTCGATAAGCCCAAACGATAGGCTGTTTATCTTGCCCGCAGCCCTGCGAAGGGTGTTGAACTGACGAGTAGGAAGCTTTAATATATATCGAACTGGCAGATCAAGCCCTATCGAAGTCCAGTAGAACAGCGGCCCCTCTTCAGAAGTCAAGTCATGGTAGGCCAAGACCGCTTCTCCATTGGGATCTTCAAGTGCATTGAAGTCATGGCCAGTTCCAGCCAGCCCTATTATGTCTAGAGCAGTTCGGCCGGCCCAGAGTCTTACACTTTGCGCTTTTGGTGTTTGACTGCCCGAATGAAACTGTTGCGAGGCCGCGATTGCTTCAACACTCTCCCGCGCCTTGGACCCTTTATGCTACATTTAAAAATTGAATGGACATCTCACGGGAGTAGCTTACAGAAGATAGGGTACAGATCCTTGATGTGCCTGAAAGTGAACGCAGGCATCATAGATTTTCGTTGTATTTGATGCTCTTCACCTTCGGCAGAGAGTAACCCATGTCCAAGCAAGGTGCGAAAGAGATACGTAGGTTCTGAAGGTTTGATAAAATCATACGTCTTGGTAACAAGGACTTCTCGCAAAGCTTGCGGTGATGTTAACAGTAATCTCTCTTGATTTAAAAGCACACGAAATCTTATCAGGCCGTCGTTAGGTACGCTATTAATCCATCGGCGATAAGGCGCTCCGTTATTAGAGCGTCTTATTTCGCTGGCGTGACACCACGGGAAGCGAGAGCCCTGTTCGGGGATGAGCCAAGAGCCATGCACATTCTCCCAGACCCAATACTGACTGTTGGTTCGGGAAGATTCCTAAGGGGACTCAACCAGAAAGGATAGATGAAGACTCGGAAAAAGCCATAGAGTAAACTAGGCGTCGTAGATAATATAGTCGAAACCGTCGCCCATTCGGGCTTGAAACGAGCAACAAGAATCGCTCCAAGTAGAGGAAGCAGCAAGACAGACGGATTTGAAATTGCCATGGTCAACGCTACAACATTTAATCAAAAAAGATTTCAATCAGTGAAGATTAGTTACCATTCAAATCTCGTATCTATTGGCAATCGTCCGCCTTGTGGCTCTTGCGTAGAAATGCGCTAATTTCCGTTTACTTTTCTGCCCTCGTGGGATTCGTTACGTCTCCGGGTTGCCTATACTGATGTTGTACAGGCCGAATTTTGCCAAATGCCTCGTCGTCTCGACGTCTGGCAAGTTACGTTCCGAGGCTGACGTCTTGTCGTTGCCTGCAACAGCGGTACGGAAACTTTTCCGTCCTGCGTTTGATCGTCTCGGCGAGCGTCAGATGGATTTAAAAGTAAACGCGATGAAAATTGTGCTCAGCCAAAAACAAACACGTAAATAAGGGGTGAAGGGATGAATTGATAATTGTATGTGTCAAAGTGCTGAAGCAGAAAACAACGCCAGCAAAGCTGAGTTGGCTGCATTTTTCCTGCACCGCCATCCCCTTTCCGCTGATAAGCCAAAGCTTCAGTTCAGAATAGTGTTAGCGCTATGGCCATGCTTTGGGTTTCAAAATCAATACTCCAGGATAAAATCGTGACGACACTGACGTGTGAGGATGCTAATTGATTGAACTTATTTGGCCTCTCGTTCAAATTATATGGCAATCTAACCACCTTTGGATCTATTTCGTGGATGAAGATCATTCGAGCTTTCAAGCGAGGAAAACTTTCCGTCTGAATTTAGACTGTTCACAGAGGATGACGGCTGATCTGGATACATTTCCAATCGAATGTCACGTGAGAATGCAGTGTGAGAAACGTCAGCCATTGATTGACTTGCTACGACTGACTTTGATAAATTCCTTGGCTACATTGCGGTCTGCTTGTTCTGATGGACGTAGCTGATCGTACCACAAGAATGAGTCAGGCGAAGACGATGTGACACAGTTCGACTCATCACAGCGGCACTGATTTACACGTCCCGTCACGTTCAACGGCTCAGAACCGTTCAAATAATCTGGGTTGTGGTACATGTCGCTGAACTGAGAATAATTAGTGAATTCGAAGCCCACCAACAGTGATTTAAAAACGGATCAGACTCCACGCGTCGAAGACTGCGCAATTGGCACCTGGGTAACGAGTGGCTACTCGCACATCGAATACTGTTTGGTACTTGAAGTGGGTACGAACGATTCTGACCGAATCAAGGATTGTCTGATGAATTCTCGCGAGGTTCGCCATAGTCGAGAATAGTTTTGCCCCTTGGTTAGGATTCAGTGGAAAGTATACCAAGATCATTTATCCCAATCCGCAGTGAGTAGACTGTATCGTTGGATGGAACATCAACGAATGAGGTCTTGTTTGGGGATGTTTGAATTCCTTATCTATTTAAAACGCAGCCGGCTGGTAGCTCTGGACATCTGGAAATGGCCGAGTGACGCCGCCAAGCGCTATGATCCGTAGCGTAGCGGCATTTGGGTAGACGGCACCACTCACTGCGTGCTAGTGATTCTTTAGAGCATAAGCAACCGGACAGGAGGTAGGATCTTATATTGTACACATTGAGGCCAGAACACCACGAAAGGTATCTGGGCCAAACGCAGCCTCTAGTCGATGTATGGCTATTCTGCAATCGAGTATTAGCTTCAAGAACTACATCGTGTTGTTAGCGCATCGATGGACACGATTTTTCCTCAACGCCTGTATGCTTGGGAACCGAATGGAGGAACCTGAGGTAAGGACACACGTACCAATGGTTCAGCCCATCCCTGAGGAGGAGCTGTGCCACGATTGCTTGCAAAATATGCCAATCTTGACTCATCAGTATACGAGTCTCCAAATGTTGTCAGGCTCCGAAAACTCTTTTTTGTCCATTCTTTCCTCGAATCTACGACGGTAGCATTGATGCTGCTCACCAAAGCCAGAAATCGAGAAAGAAGGTGAAACATGATAATGGAGATTTGAGAAGCCAGTCAAGACGACGTCTACCCTCGGAAGGTAGGCTGTTCTTGGCGCTCTGACTCTTGAACTCTGGCCATCGTTGCACGATGAGCACGGCGAGTCGGCTACGATCATTAGTCATGGAGAGTAAAGGATGTTTTGTTGACGATATAAAGCGTGAGTTTTGTTATGCATCCTGAAGCGTGCTAGTGCGGGACTGTCTCCACATTACCTGGGGGAGAATATCGCCCGACGTTCGACTGCTACCATAACGAATGGACATCTCCTAACTTCATCATTACAAGGCGAGAATGCCCGCCGCTTGGTTGTTTCTGCATTGGTACCACACGGGAAGCCACTTATGCGCCCGCGTACTTCCACAGGTAGAGTCCATCTTCGATTCCTTCTGCAAAGAACAAGATCACTCTACGTCAACGGTCGACCTAGCGCCTCGAACGCACTGACAGCGCCACAAAAGCATCGTCTTGGAAGCACAAGTACCCTGCGTCGATGGACTGACAATTGGGTGCCTGGTGCCGTGTCAGCGATGTCAGCGACGTCAAGTTCACACTCTTTGGGATATCCTCGTTAGGAAGTATAAAGCTAGCTTGCCAGACATGTTGCACAAACCATTGGCCAGAAGGTCCTCACTCTTCGGTGCAAAAACACAAGCGAGCAATGAACGCAGCCTTTCGGACGCAAGTGCCGCTCACTCGACAACAACAGCCTATAGCCAAGGCAATCCTTTTCCCAGGTCCAATCTGAAGCGAACGATGACACCAGCGACTTCAGAATCGCCAGTCGAAAGTTGGCTGATCGAGGCGGAATTTTTATCTCCGAAGGCACCTGCGTCAGCAGAGAATCCCGTGATCACTGCTGAAGTCTGCCGCGTCAAAGGGTAATTGAGCTGCCAGCGTTTGCGAACATCCTAACTGTTTTCTGACGTGTTGAGACAAGCGGCCCTGTAGGAGTTCTGCGCGTCGAGCGCCACTCTCTGCGGAAGCAGATTGCTCCCCATCGGGGCAAACGGCTGCGCTTAGCCTCGCATGGCAAGGTCACTTAGATCGACTGTCAACTGGGCTGTCTCTATCATCTCGCAGCTCTCTTGCTTTGGTGTAGCAATGCATGTCAACGTATATGCTCTTCTCGACAGCCAAAACGGCCATTTCTTTTGCGAGAAGCGGAGCAGGAGGATCTTGCTTGTAGCCAGTCATCTCCTCAGACGCTCTTAGTCCCCTCGCGAGATGCACAGAACGCGACGACGATGTCGCCATTGTATTTGAAGTTGTGAAGTGCGAGGAAGACTAAAGGATTCCCGGCTTTTTGGTACGCTATCTACGCCTTCCAGCGTCGCTACTTCGCAACTTAAACTTTCACTTTTTTCGACTTCGTCTCTACCTTGCAGTTCTTCATCCTTGCCATCCAGATCTTTTTAATGTGATGCCTGAGTTTTTGCTACTGTTTTTCTCGAATACCCGAACGCTCATCAATATCTATTCACTTTCCTTCTCCTGCTTTTCCCTTCAGAGAGCGTGAAATGATTCAAGGAAAGGCAGCCAGGCAGGGCTCAGTCCAGATCAACACGGGCTGTGCACCTTCAACCGGAATCACGGATTGACGCGACAAAACCTCATGAGAACTAAGCTTTTCGGCTCCAGCCAAGGGCCGAGAGAAACGTTGCATAAATGAGATGTGATGAGAACACATTCCGATGTCGAATCAAGCATCTCCGAGGTGGGAATGATTGTTACCCATTCAGCTATGAAATGTCTACAATATGCAAGAAACTGTCTCAATACCTAAGCTGTTCCAAAGATCTGCAATGCCCTCTCGTATCCTCGCCTACATCTGAGTCGACCAACTTCTGACTCAAATGAAGCCTTAATTTCATCTGTAGCGGTACCACTGTTAATGCCTGCGAGAACTCCGACCACGAATTGACCGCTAACGCTGGCCCCAGGCTACATATCTAAGACTCGTCAGCATAAGCTCAAGCCAAAACACAAATACACACAAGACCACGTATAGTTTTAAGCCAGGGTCGTTAATCTCGCGCACTGCCCATGCCTTGTTGTTTTCGACGTCTCGTGCTGTCCAACTGTCCGGTCCCGCATTCGTAAACGGATATATAGAGTGCGAATCAAGTAGTTGATCAATATTCGCTATATTCTCCTGGCCGATACTCCTCATTAGAGCATCTATAACATATGTCAGCATGGAGAGTCACATATCTAGCCAACACGTCAACAATAAAGGAGCACGAAAATTTCTGCTTCTCGTACAACGCAGCCGAGCTAGTCCGTGAAATGAACACGCAGCATTCGAAAAGAAAGACTCCTCTTGTATCGGCCAGAACGATCTATCTGCGCACTATTCTCTGAAGCGCGGTTGTTGTCGGAGTGCGCCAACTACGGGATGAGTTGGGTGGTACCAAGACAATAAAAGAAGAAGGCATGGAGAGTGCTTGAGGCAGATTCAGGGCTTTCTTTAAGCTGATATGCATGCCAGAACAAAGCCGTCAACCAGCCAAAAGAAAAACAAAACAAATGGTAGGAACTCAGACAACTAGCAGATGACGCTTTATACTTGAATGCCAAATAAAACTGTGGACATACCTTCATGCCACGGCCCAATGGGTATCTTATATTGCTTCGAGCGGACGTGGCGAAAGCGCTGGCTGCGGAGTTTGTCCGCCAGTTTGCGACCGATTCGAGGGTCTCTGTCGTAATATGATTCCATAACGCGAAAGTACATCTGGCTCCATCTGTACAAGCCAGGGTTCGTTGTGTCCAATTTTCCGTTGTCGGATTGAAATAGAAGATAGTATTCAGCCAGTTGAACGTAGCCGCCGGGTCTCAGCATGGCTCTAAGATCGCGGATATAGCTGTCCCACCTGCTCTTTCTAATGCCCCCTCCGACACAGCGGGAATGGATAAAGTCAAAGGGTTCCTCGTCTCTAGAGAGCATCAAACGCTCGTTGAGGTCACAAATCTCCGCAGTGAGATTCTCCGGGCCGTCCGACAGATGGTCGACAGGATGGATATCGTAGGCAACGACCTAAAGACAAAACGGTCAGTTATCCGGCATCTCCACAGTGCTTATGATCTGCATTAATGTTCCGCCAGTATTCCTGTAAAAACTTGACATAAAATAACTGGAGAAAGAGAGAGCAAAGCACTTACTTGGGCATCAGGATAATCTTCCGCCATCTGGACGGCCCACGTTCCCAGCCCATAGCCACAATCTAAAATGCGGCGCGGGGATCCAATGTCTGGCTCAAAATGCCTCGAAGAGAAGACATAGAAGAACAACTTGTGCTGATTATCTAGACGGGCTTCCTCCTCCTGTCCATGCAAAGTGAGTGCTGTGTGCTCCACATCTACAGAAAAGCAAAAGTTATACGAAAAACGCAGAATGGCTTACATCGTCAACAGGCACAAAATAGATCTGTTTTTCAATGGAGTAACGTTGAAACTGTCTGTTATGTATCTCGATCGTTTCATAAAACTCGGCGTCTGGGTCTTCAGCCATCTTGTACCAAAAGAAATCCCGAGACTATGGCTCTGGGATGGCCTAGTCGAAGTAGGGAGCGCTAGAACGCACTGAGTGACGAAAGGTGGTACAAAAATGAAACTAATAGGCAGAAACTCCTTCAGTCGTGTTCATGAAGGATCCTGAAAGTGAGAACCCTCCCATTCGCCGCCAATATCCTCCCCGATAACTGACACAAGTAAGGCGCAAGCGCTGATCGTCACCGGAACTCACACGAGATGAGGACCACGATTGGAGGCAGTCATTCATTCGATTGGGCAATTTACATAACGTGCTTCCTTCGTTTCCAGCACAGTTAAGTTGTGAGGAAAGAAGCAAGTTGATGTACGTTGTCACGATTTAACGTCTTCTAGGACGAGTGCGTACATGGGCCCAACTACCGAGCCAGGAAAAACACGATGAACGAGGACTCAGGGGCAGCCTAATTCTTGTGCGATGGCTAGCTTCACTTGCCTAGAGGTAAGACACATATTCTTATGAACTTTTACTACGTGATTCTGCTATGCTATTATGAAATTCGTACTGACAGCCAGTACGGGAGAGTCGAGCATCGACGGGGGCGGCAAGACGAGGGGACTTGTCCGATGTAACAACGAACGAAACCCTCGTGGCTGAGATCACCGCAAGAGGGGCATTTAATCCCCCGGAAACCCGACCACGCGGCAAGCTCTCAGGTCCATCAGCTCGGTACAGCTTGTACACACAGCGCTCGTGGCAGGCACCCATGACCAAAAGCATGAATGTTAGAGAGCGTATCAGCTTCGGGCTGCTTGTGCAACGGGCGCCAACATATCAGTACCAACAGAAGAGCAAGTCCCGGGAGCGATCGGACGCGAGATCCAGCAGATGTACAAGCTATGAACGGGAACTCCCGACGGCTTGAACCACGCAATCGGGAACGGTAAAGTCCTTCAACTTTCGCTGGTCAAAGATGTTGGCATTTCCGTTGTCTAGGTGAGAGAGATAGCAGGGAACATTGATGAAAAAGGGCCATTCAATACATTCTTAATTTCGTTGCCAGGTCCCCACCGGCGACGCTTCGCGCCGTCTAGCATCGCGCATGACGCTAATATGTGTGCGTAGTCACCGGATACAAGTATGCCATGCTGTGAATGACGAGCACAAAGGCTACGGGACTCGGAAATCCAATATTTTTCTTGATAACGGACCCAACAGAATGATGAGATAACGCCAACTAATGCGGAGCCTTCCGCTTCAAATGCTAGCGCATGTATCATCCACGTTGAGGCTGTTAGTCATTCCCAACGTCGGGCAAGTGGATGTGTGAGATCAAGCCGCCAAAAACGTCAAGAGGAAGATACCGAATTCAGTCCGACAGGACTTTCCACGCACAAGTTGTCGAAAATAAGGCATGGTAAGATCCTCGCTGTACTTGATGAGATGTTTGCAGATTTTTGGACCGTACCCGCGACAAGCATACATAAAAGTCTCAATTTGGCAAGACAGTCAGCTGCAGCGTAACCGAGCGACCGGCACGGAGACCCTATTCAGAACAAGTGCGTGTCTTGGAAGGTTGGTCTTCCAGAAATTTTCCAACCACCCTTGTGTATCATCTTCTGCCGTCGTACGTTCCGTTTTTTGCGGGCCTCCTCAAGGTCATGACTCGTGTTACGTGGGTCATCCGCGAGCACTGAGCGAACAGTGCAAGAACCAGATTTGATTAGCAGAGCCGTCGAGGCTGGAACGCTTTGCTATCGTCAGCTACACGGCCAAGTGGTGGCGCTCTGCTTTCCGGGAAAATGGTCGCCGTGCGCAAACAGAACCCGTCAAACATCGAACGAGGTGCGGATGATTGCGTCTACGGGCGTGAAAGCTTGTCAAGTTACGATCTCGCTTAAAAGAAGGATGCAAATTGCTTGGACCGGATCGATCTCCGGCCGTGACCCGTTCGCCAGACTTTTTCGTTTCTCTCATGGATCGGGCTTGTTTCATAACATGTCCTCATCACGAAGCTGCCCAAGAGCAGTAATTCAATTACGAGAGTCGCGCCAAACAAAAAAGAAACTCGAAGCAGCGGTCAATCGTCAGCATGTGGATCGGCGATCTCATGACCTGCACGTACATCCAAAAATGGTATTGACAAGGTATGAACAAGGTTTTTTTTTTTTTGGGGATGACTTAGTCCATCGCGTTGCAGACAGGCAGACAGAGAGTCAGGTCGCGACCTCAGCTAAATTAAGAGCTGGAGGTTGGTCTACAACCTCATATCCACCAACTCGATACACTTTGACCAAGTAGCAAATCGTCATGCCCCAGGCATGTTACTCCAGCGGCCGGGCTTTTCAACGTGGCTTGCGAAACGGTCTAAGCCCCTGACTGCTCTGTTACATGATTGATGTTCATCTTGTGTCATCTCGAAAAAATAAAATAAAGGGTGGTCTGCTAGGTTGTAATTGGCTTTTAGAGCGGGTTCTGTGAACGAGTTTAACGTAACGCTTTTGCTCCTTTCTAGCCCTAGCCAGTCACAAGAATCTCATCATCAAGAATGCAATAACTATGACATGTCAATTGCCACAGGTATCTTGATAAGAGAGAAGGGACGCCATCCAAATTCTAGGACATAATGAGAATTATGAATGCAATTGGTGCAGAAAGCGTTTTGCAACCGAGGTCTTCGAATTTCTCACTTTAGATCTGCAAGCACCACTTTTCCATGACAGCGCTCATCTCTACGCTAAGGGGTATTTCCTCTAGCGCGATATCTACTCGTACCAATTCCATTCCTTTTCCTGCGCCAGTGGCCACCGAACCCAGACCAAATGCGCCGCTAGCGACGGGAACAACGATTCCATAACCGACGAGTTTCTCCCATTCTTTTCGGGCGACCGCCTTTCCAAACACACGCGAGCCTGAGCCAGAAGCCAATGCGCCGCTCGCTGCGCTGTTGACTCTGGCCTTGGACGCTAAGGACACATACTCGGCGTAAGCAAGCGGAAAGTTCGTGGTGTCAGTGGAGTGTATGATGGTCAACCGGCACGCGGCAATAAGGAGCGAAAGAGCAAGCTCTGAGAGCGCCGGCAAAATGTGGAGATTAGAGTCAGGTGGTGTGAGAAGTCGGTCTGCGGCGTTTGTGAAGTTAGATTCCTCCGGGAGGGCCGTGAGCGAGCTGACAGGGACAAGGAGGTTGGCGAACAACGCGGGTATCGACTTGGTGGTGTAGTAGATGGGATGCACGTGTGATTTCAGAAATGACGACGACGTGAAGAGTGTCTATTATGAGTATTAGTGAGGTTGAGGCAGGTCAAGTTCCGAAAACTTGGGAAATGCTGCTTTTCCACCTCCTTGGTCCGGAACGGACCGCAGCCGTTGGTTTACCAAACGCACGGGATTGGCGTTTCTCGTGAGGTCTGCAGCTGGAAGAAATATGTTGCTTACCTCAACAGCAGCGTTCCAACCCTCAACTACGCTGACGCTCAAATTCGTGTTTACCGACTTCGTATTGATCGATCCACTGTTGGGTCCTCCACTGAATAATATCGCCTTCTCCTCGATTGTCAGCTCGTCCGGCTGTACTTGCAATGCAGACTTTGCCACATCCACAAATTCAGATAGAGTCTTCGGCAAAGAAAGATGCACGTATCGGTGACTGAAACGGCTCTTGACACGCTTTTCTAGTGCTTCTGTAACATCTATGCGTGTAGTAAGCCCAATGACCGCAATGGGTGCTTTTCGAGACTGCGCAATGTCCAGCAGATTATATAGCAGCGTTTGCCTCGCATGCGTAGCAAACAGATCGAACTCGTCCATGATGAAAATGATGGATTTTGCAACTCTTCCTGAATCGACGCGCCCACCTGCAATTTCTTCAGGATGTGATAGTAAGGCGAGAAGCATGGTCAGAGTATCCGCGTAGCTCTTGCCGCCTCCATTTTCCATCTCAGAGATCTCCATTTCTCTGCCGAGCTGCCGCCATATCTCTCGTAACGCAATCTTGTCATCTGTCTGCATAAAACCGTTGAGGCGAACGGTATGGAAATGTTCCTTTTGCGACCGAGAAAGGTCATTTAACACCGAGTTAATCATGGATGTTTTTCCGCTTCCCCGCGCGCCTATGAGAAGCAAAGAGTTGGACTCTCCTGTGGTCACAGTCGCGTGCAAGAGTTGGTACACTTTCGCATATTCGGCGTCTAAGTTTATGAGCGGTATGCGACGCCGTTGTGAGAGTTTGGACATGGCCAAAGACCTGAGGATCTTCATCTGGTTGTCCGGTACTTGATGGCATTGTCCAGATGCAATGGGGTCATTTTTCGCAACGCCAGCACCATTGAACGCCGCATCAGGTACCAAATCCTTGCCATCGACATCCATTGCGTTTTCGTCAACCTCAATGTCTCCTTGTGGCTCCAGTTCAAGCACTTCGCTCCGGTTTCTTCGGCCCATTGGCTTTGAATCAGGCGCTTTTCTGCTTTGCGCATCAGAAACCAATGCTTCTGCACCAGTTTCTCGCACGTATGATTTCCTTGCAGACCCAGGGTGTTTATGTTCAGCAGAAGAGGTAACTGTGTCGAGATCTGAACGGCCGTTTTGACGATCTAAGTTCATATCCTTGTCTTCATTGCCGCTTATATCCGTCGCATGCTGACGCCTCGATGCCCTTGTCGACATTTTGCTCTGCGTAATGCTTCCATCTCGCCGTGTCGTTCGGGCTCTTGAGCCGCTCTTTGTTGGTGTATCTGCATGTTGCTCTGGGGTCGGATCGTGCGCTTGTGAGCTTGCTTCCATATTTTGCCGCAATGGTATCGACCGATTCGCTTCCACACTCCACAGCTCGTCAATATCATATATCGGGCTCTCTTTCACTTCAATAACTTCGAATTCAGCACGATCCGAGGGCTTCACTTTGGTAGAGCGTCGCGTCGATCGGTCGTTCGATGGTGATTCGGAAGAATTGAGGCGCCTGCGTTTTGCTGATCGCGGAGTATTGAACATTGCTGGTACAGTATATGAGGATTCATCAATTTGTATATAGAGCGCAAAGACTCGCGGTGGCTTTAGGACTTCTCGCGACAGAAGTGTAAGCCGGTGTTCGAACGCGGTTGCCCAGATCGGGCTCGCGTCCAAGCTCCCGTCTCGACATCTGCCCAGTCAAATTGGTGCTCGAAGTGCGGAGGCGGCGGAAGCGTCCAACATTACTAACCACGCATTTTACTGGTGCTTCATAGGCTCATTGACTTGTGTGATTTATTCATTTGACTCATTAACTACATCTGAACACTGCGGTCCTTTCTGCGGTCCCGCCTACGTCTCTAGCTCGAAAGAAAGTTTCAAGCATAGAAGATCGTGCCGTGCACGAGACGAACCTTAAGGGCAATGTCTGCTGGGCATGACTAACTCGACACTAGACATCCTCCTGTTTTGTTCCTTGGTCGCTCTAAAGCAAACCTAAAAACCTTTCACCTATCAGCTGCATCACCATGGACATTAATTTCAGGCCCTTGTGCGGGACCTCAATCCGTTTGCGCTTGACTTTATAGACTGAATTGATTCCATGAAAAGCTACTTATCTTAATCTCTTCACTTTCTAAACAAGGTATATATCTCACTCGTCGCCGTATCTTTGGTTAGAAATCAATCCGGAGGATGGAGTACGTTTGAAGCCGTTCAAACTTCTATGGAATACTTCGTCTGGTAGCTTGACATCAATGTCGAACAGCTTAGACACTGTCACGCTTGCAGCACCTGGGGAACACACCCGCTTCTTCGTCATATCATCGAATGAAGAATGTTTTGCACTCTATCATGTCAAAAAAGACGGAGATGCTAGCCTTTGGGTTGATAGATTGGAAAAAATTCTATATTGTCAAGTAATGAAGCCCTTTAGATCCACTCACTGATTCTCCCTAGTGCCTACTTGTTGACTATCAAGAACGAGTACCCCAAAAGGTCAGAAAAGGGAACAGTAATTTACTATATGGAGATTTACGTTTCTGCCGTTTGCCGGAGGTCAATATTATGCTACGCAACCTAAAGAGTTGGATGTACTTGAACCAAAGCCTTTGTCTGCACAAGGGACCATTTTCTATGCATTTCCTTGATCAAAATTTGTGCTTCTAATGACGTCTCCCCATATTTGGAGCATGCGCTTTGTCTCTTCAAGTTTATTCAAAATTTCATCATAACAGTCCAATCCCATTGGCAACCTAAAAGGGATTTGCTTCCCCCAAGCAATACCCTCTCCACGAACGAGATCGACTACAGTCTCGACCAGCTTGACTGGATCACCTGGCTGCTTTCCGCTTTCACCAGAGATGGCAGCGACCAGGTTCTTAGAGTACTCAGCGTAGTCTGGAATGTTGCTCGTCGTTGGTTTCATGTTGCCGCTCGACAAAAGTTTGGTTCGGTAGCGGCCAGGTTCGACCAGCAGTGTTCTGATACCGAAGCTTGCGACCTCACCGCTCAGAGACTCAGCCCAGCCTTCCAACGCGAATTTTGAACCTGCGTAGGCGGAACAACCCGGGTGGCCGATCCACCCAGACAATGAACTTAAGAACAGAAGCGTTCCGGAGCGGCGCTGGCGAAAATGGGGCAAGACGGCTTGCGTTACCTTTATTGTGCCAAAGAGGTTTGTGTTGAACTGCGCTAGATAATCCTCATGCCTTTCAACGTGTCAATCTCTGAGCGAGACACTGCTTAGAACAAGAGAGTCGTACCTGAGATCCTCGACCAATCCGATTGTAACGTAAGCTGCGTTGTTGACGAGGACATCAATTCGGCCATGAATCGAAATTGCTTTCTCAATGGCACTGTTGATGCTTTGCACCTCGTCTGTGACATCCAGCCGCATAATTATGACTCCATCGACTTCAAGGTGTCTTATCTTGTCGAGATTACGTGCAGTCGCAATGACTTTGTCGCCTCGAGAAATGGCGCTGCGAACGAACTGCTCACCAAAGCCACTCGAGCAGCCGGTGATCAACCATACAAGGCTTGACATATCAAGAGAACGTTAGCGAAGTCTTTCTGTTGGACACTGGCTTGCCTTTATGTACTATGCGTCTTCTCGACTTAACTCCATGAAAAGCAGCGGCGTGTGGGGATGCGTACGGTGAAAGTGTCCTCCTACGCTTGCTAGCTATGCCCGAATTACTACCCATGCAAAAAAAAAAATCAAGTTTGCTTGTCATTTACCTGAATCGGTGTCTCGATTCGTCACTTTTGATGACGATGGAAAAGTCCGGCTGAGATTACACTTACAAATTGAACCGGCATTAATGAGTGCAAGACCCCTAATTCCGTTGTCACTGGAATCGCGATTCGACTTGAGGTGGTTGATCGTCGGACTTATGTCTAGTTCTCGACAAATGAGATCGGTTTCTTCCATTCGTTTACTACAGGAAAACGAAGTAATTCTTAGCTTACCAGGATATGCCTTGCGCCCTAATATTCTCTCGAAGCACATTGCATAGTATAACAAGACTTTCGTCTGGCTTGCTTTCTACATATTGCGACCAGGAAGAGATATCAAAAGAGTGAGAAAATGGCCAACAGGAGCTAGAGCTGGGGAGTGCAACCAGTGGAAAGGTTGTTATGGGCATCGCTGAGGCACAATTGAGTGGGTAACGTCTGCTAGGCGACCAGTGATGTCGTCAATTCTATAATCCTGAATCTCAATTACATACGTGACCCTTGTTCACCTTGCTTGGATTCTCATCCGGTGTATAGAATCATTTCACATAGTATCCCCATTGAGACCACATCCAGTACAAGCTGCTGCTCGCCACCACGACGGGTCCAGCCAAGCCAGCGCCCATGCGGGTGCTGCCAAAAACCAACCATTCAGTGAAGAAGTGGACCCACGCGACGCCATAGCTCCAAAAAGCAAGCTCATAAACCTGCGGGTTGCTTATATGGTACGCGGCGTACAGTCTGATCACGCTCGAGAGCAAAGTCCAGGTCCCGAAGGTACGCGCTGAGAGCGGCGTGACGGGCGAGGTCGCCGCGGCTGGAGTAGCGGCTTTGGCGGGCGCAGGACCACAGTATACCTTCTGGGTGGGCTTTAGGGAGACGTACGCTTGAACACTATTGAGGACGGAGACGAGCGACACCTACAATGGTTAGCAGCCAGTATCAAGATGCGGCGCGCAGGGGGTATATCAGGACATACGAACAGGAGCCACTTCGGAAGAAGCCCATCGTGCTGGGGAAGGTATCGCAGTAACGAGTCCATGATCAGAGCCTGTCTGACCTGCTGCCGCAGGGAGAGGTATGAGATGGCCTGAAAAGCGGCTCGTAGTGGTGCGGACACGCAATTGTAACCAGCGTCAGAGCTGTAGTTCCAAGAACAAGCTCCGTTCAGCAGCTGAAAGGCTCAGGGATCGTCAGGGTCCAGGCCAAATGTTGGGTTGTGCGTGCCTGCGTCAAACGAAATTGTCCATTGTACATTTGTCTGTGTTAAACTAAGCCTCCGATATATTGTCGTGCGCCAGGGAAAATCCCTCCCTCAACATCAGATTCAATCCCATCTTCGATCATCTATCGACCTCTCTGTCGTGTTGTGTCTGGCCTCTACCTACTGCTGTCCCGCCGCCGCAACCATGGCAATTCCCTACGTCGACGAGCTCGACTTCAACAATACCGAGACGAAGCTCGGTCTCTTCGTTCTCGCGCTGATCGGGGGCGTCGCGTTGAGTTATCAGCTGCTGCGCTGGGGGGGCTTTTTGCTGGGCACATTTGTGCTTCCAGGCGCTTCTGTACGCCCGCTCCTACGCCGACGTACTTACAGGCCGTCTTTGCTAACGTATCCTCTTCCAGCTTACCCGCTACGCCCCCAAAGGCAGCTATGCCGTCATCACGGGCGCCTCCGACGGCATCGGTAAAGAATTCGCCCTCCAGCTCGCGAAGAAGGGATACAACCTGCTCCTCATCTCGCGCACCCAGTCCAAGCTCGAGGCCCTCGCGGCGGACATCAAAAAGACGTACGGAGGCGTCGAGGTCTCCACTTTTGCCATGGACTTTGCCCAGAACAACGAGGCCGACTACACGCTGCTGGGCGAGCTGGTCAAGACGCTGGACGTGGGCATCCTGGTCAACAATGTCGGGCTCAGCCACAGCATTCCGGTCTCATTCCTGGAGACGAGCGACGAGGAGATGCGCGACATTGTGACGATCAACGTCACCGGCACGCTGCGCATCACCAAGCTGGTCGCGCCCAGGATGGTGGAGAAGAAGCGCGGCCTCATCCTGACCATGGCCTCCTTCGGCGGCGTCTTCCCCACCCCGTACCTCGCCACGTACTCCGGCTCCAAAGCTTTCCTGCAGCACTGGTCCGTCGCGCTGGCCGCGGAGCTGGCGCCTCACGGCGTGCACGTGCAAGTCATCCAGTCTCACCTGGTCGTGTCGGCCATGTCTAAGATCAGGAAGACGTCGCTGCTCGTTCCGAGCCCCAAGGCCTTCGTGCGCGCGGCGCTGGGCAAGATCGGCGTCAGGGCTGGCAGCCAGGACATTGCCTACACGAGCACGCCGTGGTGGAGCCACGCGTTGATGCAATGGGTCATCACCAACCTTGCCCCTGGCGGACAGATGGGAACATTTGTGCTGGGCAGGAACAAGGTCATGCATGAGCAGATTCGGAAGAGAGCGCTGAGGAAAGCGGAGAGGGAGGCGAAGAAGCAGTGAGCCTGACCGGACGGAGCGCACGAACTCTCATTGTGACTGTTTCGGCGTGTTCGAGACGAAAAGCAGTAGAAGCCATGTGAGAAACAGGTCAGAAAAGTTGTCTTCAGGACAGATGCATGTATTATTTACTTTCTACCAGTTGCTAATCATACTCCGTCCTGCATCAGGCCGCACCATACGCATATCAATTTCACCATCTTCCCCTCCCCCCCTCCCTCTTTTTTTTTTTTTTTTTTTTTTTAATAATAATATTTTCTCCTTTGTCTCTTCGTGATCGCGCGAGACAGCGATGCAGAAAGTATGGCGTCGGCTAGCCGTCGCCAGGCGAAACTTTTACCATCGCCTATCTTTGAATCGAGACCTTCCCGCTCGGGAATCACCTTGAGCGACACCGCGATCGCTCTGCATAACGTAGTCGCTTTGCCAACGAATTCTGTCCAACCGGTCGTCCACGACCGCCAAATCCGCATGAACCATCCTTTGCACCGAGCCTTTCCGTAGGTCCGCCCGTCGAGCATAAGTGAGGCAAGGGTGTGCGCATTCAAGGAGGAGACGGCTTGCTTGGCTTGCTTGTAGTTCAACTTTTGTCGACGAGCCTTGTCGACTCCATCTTCCATCCAACAGTCAAGCCCGGCTTGTGGACGTATCCCACCTGCGTCGCGTGAAAAAGACATTAGATTCCAAAAGGCCAGGTGGTCGTCGGTATTGCGACCACGCTGCTCCAGGGGTCCGATAGATGGGCTGACGAAAAGAAAACGAAAGTGGGAGAAGAAGAGCAGAAAGAGATTTGGACAACCGTTTCAAATACGCAGCACCTCTCGATCTTTTTTTTTTGTTTGCCATAACCCAGCCATGCCCACAAGACTGTTCTTTGAAGTATAGTATGTAAAAATAACAACAAAACTCCCAACTCGAACTCGACACCAAGCATCGATGGGGTATCTAAGAAGCCAAGGTCAAAAATTATATAGAAATAAAGCGAGAACCATAACTCGACAAACTGCAAACAAAACATCTCCAAGCTGCTGTCCACACAGAACGAATATACTCTGAACTCTGAGGGCCTGTCCGACCAACTGCCTCCCCTCGCCAGCATACTGGTATTCCTGATTTCCATTGTGCCAAGTGGCATAAAAGGAAGCTACTTTGCGGGCGTGTCAGGCACATCCCAGACGGTCTTGTTATCAACGGCTCCTTCATCCTGCTTAATCACAACCTGAGGATGTGTCTGGGACGGCGGCGGCGGCGCCGGTGCGGCAAACGGCAACGGGCCTGTACTGTTCCACGTCGGCAACACTGGCTGACTCTGCATTGGCGCAGGAACGCTCGAAGGTGCGGGTAGCCCATTGCCGTAGCTTGGGAAAAATGGCTCAGCGGGCGAGGATGTTGGCGCCACATCTGAGGACACCGATGTTGCCGATGTCATCGAGGGAGTTGGCGCCGGTTCGAGCTGAAACTGTCCAGTCATAGAGCCAAGGCCGCCAGTAGGTGCACCTGGAGCAGTGGCGGTCTGTGTCTGATGGACCTGGAAAGCTCCCGTACCAGGTATTTCAGGGGTGAGGTCGGAAATAGGAGACTTTGTTTTAGTCGTAACGTTAGGTGTTTTCTTCACGACGGTTGCGGCAGTGCTAGTAGCGGCAGTTGCAGCTTTGGATGGTCGGACGGCCTTTTTAGGTTCCACAGCAGGTTTTCTCGCCGTAGTTGTAGCAGATCTTGCCGTCGTTGGGGCTGACGACCCTGTGCGCGCCTTTTGCCTGGCCAAATACTCCTCGTCGGAGGGCATGGTGATCTTGAGCCTCTGCGTCTTCGCAGTAAGCGCGTCAAGGTCTCCGTTTGCACTCCTGCTGCTATTTTCGCGGGGAGGTCCAACGGGTCTCTGCATGCCAGAAGCGGCTGGCTTTGTTGTCGACATCGTCGTCATTGTCGAGGGCGGTGCCCTGGTCTTTTTAACCTGCACGCCATTTCCACTACTGCTGTTGGTGGTCAATTTTGGCCTTACGGCGGCAGCAGCAGTGGTGGTGCTTGGAGCCGCGCTGAGGTTGCTGACTGTCGACGCAATACTGGACCTTCTTCTCGGGCGTTCGGCTGCCATCTTCGCCGTGCCGTTGGGGCCGGTGCTCGCAATCTCGTTTGCAGCAATCGTGCGTCTTCGATCCGCACCTACCTTTGAAACAACGCGTCTCGGCTCTGCCTGCTCAGGAATGGGTGTGGGCGACGGCTTAGGAGGGGCTCCGCGCTTCTCGCGCAGCTGGCGTCCTCCGGCTGCAGGTGCGGTAGGCACAGTCGCAAGCCCGACAGTGGACGCGCGCTCTTTCTTGATTTTCGGCACCGCAAGCTCTGCGGCAGTATGGCTCTTTGTCTGGCGATTTGGGATGAGCAGTTTGCAGAGTTCTTCGGCCGCGACAGTCCAGTGTACAGCAGGTGGAGGTGGTGTTGCTGGCCGCGAGGGTGCAGCTGACGCAGGAAGACGATTGAACTGCGTGGAGGACTTGCGCCGTAGCGTAGATGGGTCCACAACCTTCATCTTGGATGCCTGAGTGGGAGATGCGAAGTTGTTGGATCGACCTGACTTGACAGCCTCTAAAGCGGGCATCTGCGGGGCGGGGTTGAGAATCTCGACAAGCGCATCTAGATGCTCTGAGGTCCACCACTCGGCGTTGTAGCGCAGCTGGAGCGAGGCATCGTCGATGCCCGACAGCTGGCCTGTGCCGGGGATGCCACTCAGGCCGCTGAGCCCGGAGCCGCTGACGGTGAGGCGGGCCATCTGATCCGCAAGACCGTTAGCGGGCTGACGCTCTGAAGCAGCCGCTGCCGTAGCCGCGACGTATTGTCCGTGGCAGAGCCCACTAATATGACTGAGAACGCCACTGATGAGGGCCTTGTCGCTGTATCCGCCCTCTAGAACGCTGATGACCCGGCCGTCTACGCCAGTGCCCTCCTCCTGAGCGAGCGCAACTATGTCGTGCGTGAAACGCGCATAGAACTCGGTTGGAACGTTCACACTGTGCCTTTGCATTCCGGCACCCTCGTGCTCAGACGCATCGAAGCCAGCGGAGATGAAGATAGCGCCTTTTGGAGCGGGCAGATTTGGATTAGCACGTAGGCGGGCCGTATGGTGCTTCAGGAAGAGGCGGGCCTTGTCCAACACAGCGAGGTACTTGGTCTCATAAAGGTGCCAAAACTCAGACTCGGTCTTCCACGGCTGGAGATGCACGTTCCAGATGGACTGGTTGTGAGCGTTGTCAATGCAGATGCTGGCGTTGGTGATCTTGTCGGGCTCGCCGTTCTCGCACGGGTACGAGTTGATATCATGGATACTGTAGTAGCCAATGGCTGTGCGTTTGATGGCGGGCGTGTTCTTGGGCATGCTCGCGACCTTGGCGTTGTGGTCCCACGTGATGGCCTGCGAGCCGTCGCCGTGGTGCAGATCAAAGTCAATAATGGCGGCATGGGTGAGCTGATGCTCCCGCACGGCGTGCTGGATGCCCACGTGCACGTTGTTCAGCCAGCAAAAGCCAGAGGGGAAGTCGGCGGAGCAGTGATGGCCAGGGGGTCGAATGCAAACAAAGGCCTGAGAAGGTCCGGTGCCACTTGCTGTGCCTGTGAAGACGGCATCGACGCCCTCGCAAACGCCGCCAAGGGCGCCCTCGAAGGCAGCGAGTGACTCCGGACAGAGGTACAGGTCTCCGCTGTGGAAGACGGGCTTGTTCTTCTGGGACGGGTCATGCGGCCGCTCTGTCTCTCGACCTGTAGTGGCCAGCTTCTCTGCCGCCGCATCGCACATGACCCTTAGCTCGTCCATCCACTTTGTGCCGTGCACGTGGGTGACGGCTGGCGCGTCGATGGGCAGCGTGCGGGCAGTCCTGTGGATCTTGAAGGGCACATGAGGCGGCGGGCGCAGGCGCGGGTCTGGGGCATAGCGGCCTTCGTTGTGTCGTTCGCCCAGCCTGACATAGGCGGCGGAAATGCCCATAGTGCTCGCCTCGATGCGCTCCGGTCTCTCCACGATCAGGCCCAGGGTGGCCTTGGTGGTCTTGGGACGCGCAAAGCGGTGGCCATAGCAGGCCTCGTGCAAGATCACGACGGTGTTCACGGCGGCCTCGGCGCTGTCATGGCTTTCCAGCTCCTGCCTGAACCAGTCCCTTGCGATGGTGTTTTCCGTGACCGGGTCCTCCTCGACGGCGGGAGCCAGGGGGGAGTTGGGGTTGAGCTGCGACGAGGACCGTCTGTTGACCAGCCTGGTGGGCGTAAGAGGGCTGTTGCCGACGTTGCCGTTGTTGATGCTGTTGTTCGAGCCGTCGCCGCGCAAAGACGAAGTGGACGACTTGCGGAACAGGGCGGGCGACGCAGAGCGCCTGTCGGACTGCAGGCTCAAAGAGGAGGAGGCCCTGCGCAGCTGAGGGTTGGGCGAGGGCCGCGGCGTCGTCATGGCGGGAACGACTACTTCGAGACGCGGTGATCTTAGTGCTGGCGACGAGGGTGGCCGTGGTGCTTGGGACGGGTCTTGTCGCGAAGCATTGGGGGCGCCTGCGAAGTTGGCCGTCAGGCGGGCGGCGGAGGTTGTGGCCGTGGTTGTGGCGCTGTATGTCGCGCCCGCCGCAGTGGTGCGACGGCCGTGGGCGAGAACGGGAGGGATCGACGGCTGAGGGCGCGGCGGCGGCGGTGGTTGTGGTGGTGGTGGCAATGACGGAGCGTAGGCCATGATGGAGACGACGGCACGAGCAGTGTTTGGCCTTCTTGCGCGGCGCCCACACGCGCTCTCACGTCACGTACACACAACCACGCACGGCAGAGACGACGCGATCACGCAGCAAAGACGTCGTGGTGAGGTCGACTTGCGCGATGGGATAGCCCGTCTGACAGCGTCCGTGGCCGCACGCCGGTCCGCTGTAGACGACTTGTTGCCTCGTGTTTCTTTTCCTTTTCTTTTTCTGTGTCTGCGTCGTCAGGAGTCTGCTCCCGGCATGAGATCACTTCGCGTCCATAGCGTCTTCGCCGGCTGCGCGTGAGGATGCGCCGCACAGCCAATCGAATATCCCCTCAGCCTTGCTTCGCCCTTCCCACATCCGCGCGACCCATGAAGCGGTGGTGTGCTGGAGATTGGGGATTGGAATCGTCGCGCATCGGCAGCCGAAGACCAGCTTTGCGTCCGTCTCTGCTCGTTGGCCGCGCCAGAAACAGCAACACTATTTCCTGCCTTTCCCGGTGTGTTCTCAGCACGACGAACTTGAACGAGGAAATCTCCAGTGGAGAACGGAGCAAGGGAGCCTGTCGATTTGTACGGTGCTAGATAACACCGCCCGTGGTCACTCTGGACCAGCGTTGATGCAGTGTGTTCCTACGCCAATGGATCGTGAAGTCAACAAACCGCCAACAAAGAACGCAGATCGCGTTGCCAATTCTGTGTCTGGGAGCGTTGCCGTGCTGGGCCAACGACGACCTGGAGATGGCATCGACGACATGACCACTCAACACCATTGATATTCCGAACGCCCCGTTGATGCAAGGCCCAGCAGTCGCCGGTGCATGCCAGGCGAGCCTCGCGCTGTGCTGATGGCTGGCGGCAATCCAGACACATCATCTCCAACAAACACTCAGATCGACGCCGTAAACTCAGCTTGATTGCACGCATATGGGCTGGCAACGGCAAAACGTCGACATCCTAGCCAACCTTTGATCACACCAGTGCGTCCCCGCTCGCTCCACAGAGCGGAGGAACCCATCTCCATCGTCCTCGTCGTCCGTAGTCTTGGCTCGTCAACTGTCTCTCGTGCTCTCATGTCCCTGGCAGCGTTCATACTCGACCTTGTCCGGCGTGCATTAGCGTCTCGGTGCTCTGATGACTTCCGCCACCGGTGGGGATCTGCCAGAGCTTGAGACGGCCTCGTCAATGATAGGATGCCGCAGTGGAGCTGGCAAATGTCCGCTGCGGAGACCGAGACGACGCCGAAGCATCAAGCGGCTCAGATCATGCGGGCAGGGATGGGGGAGGCCTTGACGGGTGGAATTCCATCCTGGCTTCAGCATCACATGTGGTCATCTTTGGCCCTTTTATTTTTTCGCCTCCCCTTTGAAGGCAGCAGAGCTCGCCTCATTGATTTCTGGGCCGTATGATAGGTGGACGACGCCAGAAAGGCGAGGAGCGGAAACCAAACGCCAATCAACGTCATGGGCCTGGGCCGGATTTTTTCGCTTGAGCTTTGGGGCGACGAGTGATGGATCCTGACGGCGACACCGCCAGCGCCCGCAAAACGACCACTCGTCACGTCACAACGCAGCTCTGCACTGCACTGCGCTGCACAACTCAACGCTGCTCTGCATTCGCACCGTACTCCTCGTCCTATTCGCCCTCACGCCGACACGCGCTCGCACCTGACCGACCAACGGCCGTTCTTGCAGCAAACAGGCATCCGCTCTGCCCGCCCAGTTACTGCGACGGCGAAGAGGACGTGCCTCTCAACGCCTTATATTGCTCCTTCTCCACCTTCACAGCCTACACTACGCACCCACACACACACGCTTGCCACTCGCAGATAGCAGCCTACACATACGCCTCCCACGCAGTAGTGATCACCGACAGCGGCGGCCGTCTTGTCCTCGTCCGCTTTCCTACCACGCCCCTCACGTTAGACCGCCCCGAGTGCCGCCATACCTGCGCCCTGCAAACTGTGCACACTCAGCCTCGCGTGTGCTCCGGCGTGCCTTTGACACCGCAAAGAGATTGAAAGACAGAAGGACGCGCGGAGCAGACATCATCCGCCGCGCCTGCAACCCCCCTCCCAAGAAGGCCACCACTCGAGCATGAGTGCGGGCGCTTGGCCTTCAGGCACGCTACTATGACAGTAGACAACTATTGGTATGTTGCACTGCCTTGGCGCATCCTTAATACCCAGTACGCCGTGCAGAGATCATACTGACTGCCACCAAGCACGCGAGAGACGGACGCCTTTGTGCTCAAGCATGTCAAATACTACCCAGAGAAGATCCCCATAACGTACGTCTCCCAAACCAAACCCCCTTCACTTGCATCCTCCAGCTCACCCTGACGGCCCGCAGGCACTGGCAGCTGCGTCACTTCATCACCAACCCCGAACCTGACATCCTCTACTATGCCTCGTCGCGGGATATTTTCGCCCTCGACACCTCCACCGGCGTCCGCACTCACATCACATGTCTTCCCTTCTGGGCCCGATGCACTGCCGCCGGCTACGGGTATATATGCGTGGGCGGCGGCGACAGCGGCCAATTCGCCGTCGTCACCCTCAACCACACCAACACGCTGTCCAATCTGGACGCCTTGAACTGGGGCCAACGGCCTCGCCCGCCCAGTGTCCAAGTCGAGCAGGCCGGCCGCGAGATTGTCAACTCTATATCAATTCACAAGCTGGAGGGAAACGATGAGGCTGGTACGCTCGACGATGTTGTCGCTGTTATAACAAACAACGACAAGAAAATTCGCATCTTCTCGCTCACACAGCACGCACAAAACACAGTGCTGGAGCTTCCTTTCGCCGTCAACCACGCGACCATCTCACCTGATGGCCGAATTCTCGTTGCTGTGGGCGACTACCAGCAGGCCTATTTCTATGAGCGTTCCGAGCTGCCTCTCTCGCCAAGCGACTCCAAGTCCCACCGATATGCCTCGGAACGCAGCTCGTGGGAGCTGATTACTTTTGTCACACTCCATGTGCCCAAGACCATCGCGGCCACCGGCTACTTCACCACGGCCTGGTCGCCGTCTGGCAACCTGTGTGCCGTCGCTTCTGAGTGCGGCTACGTCAGTGTGATCGACATAGAGGCCCTGCACTTTTTTGAGAACGCGGAAGATGCAATCGTTGTCGTTGTGCCCTCAACACGGCCGGAGAACGTTCATCCCAGTGGTGCCATCCCTGGCGCAGTCCGTACCATGCTATTCGCCCCACATCCGTGGGATCTTCTCATCTGGGCGGAGGATCAGGGCAGGGTCTGTCTGGCTGATTTAAGGTCGGGGCTAAGAACCGTGCAGGTCTTGCTGTTAGATCCAGCTCATGAGGGTTACGAACGTGTCGACATGGACGTCAACACATCCGACTCGTTCTCAAGACGCGGGGATCCGGAATTGGAAAGAGAATACGTCCGGAACTTCAGGACGTACCGACTGCTTCTTACGGATGACGTTGCCGATCCATCTCTTGAAATCGACAACGAACTGGTTCTGACGGACTCGCGCGCCCTGGCCGAGGGACGTAGTCTGGCCCGGGCGGCGCTTCGGCTGGCGGATGACACGCAGCTGACCAGAAGGGAGCGTGAACTCCTCGAGTCGCTGCGGATGGCTGCTCAACCGGACGAAAGATCGAGCCTGGGCTCAACGACGCGAAGCTTACACTACTCCGAGCTGGCCAACGAGTCCCGACGATCCACAGCTGCGCAGTCTTCCCTCTTCGCGCAGGACTTTCCAGCGCTGGCCCGACAGAACGAAGAAACGAGCGCGTCAACAAGCACTCTTCCAGCCACCTTTCGTATCATGCGGGATTTCATGCGCGACCGTACGGATGAGCACTCCAACGCATCCACACCCACGCAACGGCGCTCGCTTGCCGCCAGCCGTGCTGCCGAGCTCGAAGACGCGCTGGCAGAGTCGGCAGCAAATGCCTCCAATGACGCCCAGGCACCCACCTCGTCTGAGAGAGGCACACTCTATCAGATCGATCTGTCCCGCTCGTCGGCCTCTCGACTGCTAAGCACACTCCGTGCCTCACCTCACGCCACGTCCAACCCGACGTCCAACACTGCGTCCAACAGCGCCGCCAACACCGCCACCAATGCCGCACCTGCAGCTACCACAAACGCTCTCGACCCAGCCGACACTCGGCGACGTCGTGCCTTACTCCGGGCCCGAGAAAGTGCTCTCGCCTCGGAATCGAACGGGACCGGTGCAAATGCCACGACACGAACATCTGCGGCCGAGACCGCCGCAAGGTATCATGCCCGTTTGGGCAACTTCTTCACGAGAGGCGACTACTACGATCCTGCTTTTGGCCTGAGGACCGCTGGCTTGGCCATGAGCAGGGATGGGCGGAAGCTTTGGGCTGCATGTGACGAGGGCATCTTCGAATTTCAGATCAACGTCCGTGAGAGGATGAGCATGGCCGCCATGGATTTCAAATAGTACCTCTTCGATTTCACCGGCGGTCTACCATGTATATATCTGTCTTGTTTTTTTCTCTTCGGCTTGTTTTATTTTACGAAACATCTTCATAAGGAGGCGGCTCTTGCTTTTGCCATGGAAGGACATTGGGCTGCCTTTTCTCTCTCTCACTCTTTCACTATTTGAACGCTGTCGCTCACGGATTGTTGGCAAGGCTACCTCTTCATCCTTCTTTCGCATGGTGTTTCGGGATAATGGGAAGGATAATGGGTTCTTGGGCATTGCTTGGATCGACTTGTGTTTACTTCTCTGTCATTTGGATGCTGCAAGTGGACTTTGCTCGTCTTCATTCCTACGTGAGAGCTTATACATGTATGAGTGCTGTATTCCTTTTTTTTAATTAACATGAAAAAAAAAAAAAAATAAATACCGGCGGTGCCACTCAGATGGTCAAAAGCATAGTGGCGGATCCTCTCTTTCTATCATTTCTAGACGTTCCCGCCTCATTTTTTTTTTGGTGTCTTGCCTTCGTATGTGAAAGCAGATATGGATTCTTGGACATGGCCCTCTACGCCCCGTTTCGTTTTGAACAAGCTCGGGCAAAGTTCATTTGATATCTGTACTGACCGTTCCCGTCCCACGATGTGCGCGAACTGATGGGTGAATGATGATTTTTGGCGTCTACCGTAATCAGAGGATGCGTCTTGAAGAGACAGAGTCTAGTCGCTGGCCCTGTACTTCTCTCTGTACTCCTCGAGCCGCTTCAGATCCTCTTGGGAGCCCATTGCACGCAACGACTCGACGACGTCGTCCAGGGTCAGGATCGCGACGACGGGCACGCCAAACTCCTCCCTCACCTGGCCGATGGCGCTCCGGCGCGGGGCCGCCTCGTCCTCTCCGTCCTTGGCCGGCGTCTTCTCCAGGCGGTCAAACGCCACGGCTATGCCGACCAGGTGACCGCCCTCGCGGCGGATGATGTCGATGGCCTCGCGGATGGCCGTGCCGGCGGTGATGACGTCGTCGACGATGACGACGCGCTTTCCGGCCAGGCCGGCGCCGACGATGCTGCCGCCCTCGCCGTGGTCCTTGGCCTCCTTCCTGTTGAAGCTGTAGCTCACCGCCCCGAAGCGCGCCCCGTCCAGCTGCGCCAGCTTGTCCACCGCCCCGACCGCCAGCGGGATCCCCTTGTACGCCGGGCCGAAGACAACCTCGAACTCCCACCCGGTCGCCGCCAGCGTGTGCGCGTTCGCCGCCGAGATCGCGCCCAGCAGGTCCGCGCGGTGGAACAGGCCCGCGTTGAAGAAGTACGGCGACTGCCGCCCGGACTTGAGCGTGAACGTCCCGAAGCGCAGCGCCTGCGCCGCGATGCACTTTTGCAGAAACTCCGTCTTGTAGCTCGGCATCGGGCTCGCCATCGTTGAAGCTTTTCTTTCCTCTTTTTTCCTCCCTTTCTTTCGTCCTTTCTTTGCCCTTGTCGTTTTTTGTTCTCGTTTTTATTTCCTTTTCTTCAACCTTGGCAGTTTTCTTCTTCTCCTTTCCTCAGGCCCGCTATCTCGTTTCTTAACACAATAAAAAAACCCGCCCGCAGTCCTCCTTTTGTTCCTTTCTCGCTCTTGGTCTTCCCTCTCAAACCTTCCCTTTTCGCGGTGGAAGAGGGTCGGAACAATGGGGTCAAAGACGAGTGCCTCCGGTCAAGGAATTGCTTCCCTCTTAGCCCAAGCCGCGTACGGAATTCTTTTGCAGAATTTGTGAAATGGTGACGCTGAAGTACCTTCTTTGTACGAGCTCTCGGGCAAGGGTAAAAAAAATTTGCCGATGTCGGCGGCTATGACAATAGTTGTAAGCTACGGTGGAGAAGTTGGGACGGGTTCGTGAGTTTGTAAGGTCCTTAGCATGGCATTGTACCTCGAACATGCGATCAATTGTCGATCCGACGACAGCTGGGTCGAACCTTGTGCTGACCTTTCTTGGAACAACGGTCAGAAGCCAGAAAGGGTTTCTTTGTTGACTCACCCAATTCGGAGAATTGCTACATTCTACATCCATACCAGTTCTTCGTCATTGATCCAGCTTCGAAGGACTCGCGACGCCAGCTCGATCCGAGCTAGCAAGATCTCTCGCTGGGTCCGGGGAGCGTGTAGAACAGGTTTCAAACCAGTGTAGCAAGAAGTGGTATTCGTGAATCAAAACTTGGCCGTCACACAGTGGTCAAAGTCATTGGTGTACTTGACGGATGGTCTTTCCATCTACGCCTTAGCATTCATGTTGAATCCACCTCAAGGCGCCTTATGCTCTATTCATAAGCTTTCTATGTTTGCGAGTTGAACATGCCAGCGCCATAACTCATCTCGTCACAACCTTGAAATTCAAACCACCCGTGGAGGACCGCCCGTTGAGGGCAAATTACTCTTTAAAGCTGGAAAAGCAGTTTCGCGACCCATCCCTCAAGAACTTCCGTTTGCGTGGCTCTTTTTCGCCCTCACCATCCACGTCAAAAGATCCACTTTGGTGACTACAGCCACAGGCTTTAATGATCCGTCTGCTTGCTTCTCCGTCACAATCGCCGCGCTATTCCACTCGAAGAACCTGCTTAGAGCGCTAAGAGGCGTGTCTTTCGTGATTTCTACAAAGCCTTTGCGCTTGGGTCTCTTTGCGCTCTCGCCCAGCTGCTGGGACGCCGCCCCCTTCGTCAAGACTAAAGATGTGTCCGTCGGGTCCGTTGTGACCTCGCTTAGATGCGTGAAGTCGAACATGACCTTCTTGACAGGGTCTTCTGGTGAGGCGCGGTTGCTGGAAATGTAGGAGAGGAGGTTGCCCAAGGTGACGAGTCCGACGAGTCGATTCGGCTGAGAGGATGAGGAGACGGGCAGTTGGTCGAAGCCCTTGTCACGCAGCACCTCGATCGCATCTGCGCAGGTTTGGTCTGAGCTGATTGTCGTCACAGGCTTAAGCCGCAGCGAGGCAATCGTGGCACCCGCGAACGGATCCTTGGCACGCAACGTTGGAGACGACGGCTCTGCCGGTGTAACAGGCGGGGTCGGGGGTAGGAGGTCGTTGGCGGCAAGCCAGTCGTCGTCGACAAATTTGCTCAGGTAGCTGCGAATAGAGTCCGGAAGCACGACGACTACGACGTCGTCTGGCTTAACGTCCATCTCTTTGACTGCTTTCACCATCGCTGCCATCGCGCTGCCGCTGCTGCCTCCAACCAGCAAGCCCTCCTCGGCAATCAATCTCCGCGCATACATGAAAGACTCTCTGTCTTCGGTCTTGTACCATTTGTCGACAATCTTCTGGTCCAGCACGTCTGGGATGAAGTCGTATCCTATTCCCTCAACTTTGTACGGCTGGTTCTTGAACTGCTCGTTCAGCTGGGCAGGCAGAGCCAGGATGCTCCCTTGTGGATCTGCAGCCACAATCTTGACGTCCTTGTTATGCTTCTTCAAGCCCCTCGCAATGCCCGTGATGGTGCCTCCCGTGCCTGCTCCTGCGACCAGCATCTTTACCTTGCCCTCCGTCTGCTCCCAAATCTCCTCTGCGGTTCCGTACTCGTGCGCCAGAGGGTTGTCCGGGTTTCCATACTGGTCCAAGATGTGCGCGTTCGGAAGTTCTTTCTGTAACCGCTTTGCAACGCCAATATGGCTCTCGGGGCTGTCAAAGGCCGCAGCGGTGGGCGTGCGAATGATCTCCGCTCCCAGCGCCCTCAGCACGGCAACCTTCTCGGGACTCATCTTCTCCGGCAACGTGATTATGGTCTTGTACCCTTTTACGGCCCCTACCAACGCTAATCCAATTCCCGTGTTTCCACTTGTCGGCTCGATCAGCGTGTCGCCGGGCTTGATGCGTCCCGAGCGCTCCGCCTCCTCGATCATGCGCAGCGCGATGCGATCTTTGACGCTGCCACCGGCATTGAACATTTCGAGCTTTGCGTACACGGGACATTGTATGCCTAGAGACTGAGGGATCTTGTTCAGGCGTACGAGGGGCGTGTTGCCGATTTGCTGGGTGATCGAATCCATGACCACTGGTGGGATCCTGGGCTTCGTCTTGGTGGACATGTCTGTTTGAGATTCCTTACAAATGAACGCGAAGAAGTAAGTAGAGCTTCTCCCTCCAGCACACCGCCAAGTAAGGATTTCCGTGTCAATTGAAGGCAGGTGCAAGAAAAGAGATATGTAGGGAGGTTGGAAAAGTCACCGTGAAAGCGGTGTCATCGTAACTTTGCAATGCGCAAATCGTTCCGCGTATAACCGCGTTCAGCCCATACTTAATACGACAATGAGATTGCAATTCAAACGTCACCTATTCTGAGCATAACTTTGCACGCGCGAAGATAAAAGTTGTGAGCGCTCCAGCCTCAACAGCAGCTTTCTCCACAAAGTCTTTCTAAGCTGCAAAGGAGCGACATACCTACTTACTTGAGGTACGGTCATGCATTCGAGCTAGTACGCTTATTGTGGTCGCGTTCAAAGCAACGTCTGGATTTCAGCTACCCACTATGCACATGTGTTTCCAATAGGATAATCCGTCGCCCAGAAGCCACGAAGGCGAAGAAAAGTGAGAAAAGGCCTTTGCCAGTGCAAACCATGTTGAAACGCCACGCATTCGCCGAAGAACGAAGAGATTTAAAATGCCCCAAATGCTCGCGCCAGAGCGCTCGCCTCACAATAGCACACTCTATTGCCTGATGTACAATGCAAATTTTACATCCAGGATTCAAAGCTCCACCTTGTCAGCTTTATGCTGATTCTTCTGCGTGTCGCCGGAGAAGAGCCATCTTAATCACCTGTGAAACCAGACATCGGCAGTGAGGCAGGTAATCTTTTCCTTGTCCTTAGTGTACACGTCTGCGAGCACTGAATACTTGCCCTGGATAATATTAAGTCAGTTTCATATTTGTAAACACGATGCACAATTCAATCGGGCTGGAGACATGCGTACAGGTGGTATTTGTGCCGGCAGGTCGACTTCCTTCGTCAGAGTCAAGTCACCCGCTTTCAGTGGACATTCCAATTCGACGTTCTTGACTTGATCGCAGAGGTCCGCTTCCTGGTTTATAAGCGTGATAAGACCGAACTTGACTTGCAGGTGAACTTTAGCGCCCGGCTCGATGTCTTTGTGTAGGGTGCCCGATGCGACAATCGAGAGTTTCTTGCCACTGTAGAGTGCTGTTAGTCCGCGGCCGTCTCGCAACGGGAGAAGAGTGGTGTAGAGAGGCCCGCCACCGGCTGCACGGTGTCCAAACGCAGTGTGCTTGCTATTTGGAAACCACGCGGCCTGATAAGGACAAACCCATGTCGCCGAGAGCGCTTGACTTACGCCTCTGGTGGATTGGGATCCAAGTCAACGTTGTCGATGGTCAAGATATTGTCCGTTGGATCTTCGCAGAACAACAGTGGGTTCGAACCGGGAACCTGCAAGTCCTCTGAGAGACGGATCTGGTCGCCGTTGGAAGAGCTCCAGCCGAGTGCAGCAGAAGCCGCAGTGACGTAGGCTATGGTCGACAACAGCACGGAAAGCTTCATTGCGGGCAGCGGCTGTTCTTCTTTCGTAGCCTGTATGAGGGACGGGTCGCGAGGGTATGCGAAGCTGGAGAGCGGAAGCAAGAAGAGGTGTTGGGAGGCGGGAAGAAGAGGCCCAGGCAAGGCCGAACGGGCGGGCGGTGACGTTCTGTTGTGGCTCGTGATCTGGACTGGTGGCCGGGCTTGTTGGACGGCCAGGACTAGCACGGGGGTACCAACTCATGCTCTCAGCCTGTTCAACCCCGCCCCCCGCCAGCACAAGTCTTCGACGACGTTTATCAATCTGCGCCCGCACGCATGCGGCTGCGACTGCCACTGCTTGGATTCCAGATCGACTGGCAAGAATGGAACAGATTCTGGAGCCACGAAAGATGTCTTCAACGCTGAGAGGGGCTTTGTTAGTGAAAGGAAGGCCACGGCACAGTCTACAGACGAGCCATAACATTTGCCTTTCTACCTAACAATTTGTGCCGTTGTCGCACAAGACGACGAGGTTTAGACCTCGTGCTATGACCCCCCGGCACGATATTCAAGGTTGACTGATATGGCGCACAATATTCTTCGTGCCACCTGACTGCTGATTCCACTGCCTGCGAAATGCGAGGGAAGACGTAAATACGCAAGCGCTTTCCTTTGCAGGCCTTTAAAATCGCCCCGCCAACAAAAACGGATGATCGTAGCCTTTAGGCCGATGCCGATGGTAGATCCAAATCTGAATGTCAAATGTTTGTTGTTCATCAATAGCTAGAGGGGCCAAGCTTTGACCAAGAAACGAAGCCTCTTCCCTTCCATTGACATGCGCTGTCGTGTGGCCAAGGGAACAGACCTGGGACCCTTCGCGACCCAGTCCCAGCCTTTGACAAGCCATATTTACACGGAATAGCAGAAAGCATTGAAATTATGGATGAGGACGGGATCCGGCTGAAGCTGTACAAGCGTTTGTACAGAGACTGAGGCACCTACGCTAGAACACTTCGTAGATCATTCGAATGTTTGCCAGCGGACAGTACTGGCCTACCTGTCAAAGGAACATCTCGAGTGGTCTTGAACTTTTCCGTAGAGTTCTTTGTCGCTGACGAGTGGGAACTTCAAGAGACCCCGTATTTGAACTAGCGCTAGTCTCATAAGTATGCGTATTTTCAAACCGGCTACGAATCATACCAAAAGCAGAGGATGTGCAAGAAATGGTGGAATTTTTCGAGTATTACTTTTTATTCTTTGCGATTCATCCTGTCCTGACATTATTTCAAAGTTCGCCGTATCTGATTCAGTCTCTGAGGCCTGGATAATTTGGAGCTAAGGAGCTCTTTGGTTCGGTGTTATCACCTTGATGATAGTCACGTTGAGCATGACGCTTAACTCTATTATACTAGGTTACTTCAAGACTCAAGCTTTGTTTTTGTCCGTGTTAAGCTCGAAACTTGGCTCGACGTCAATCACTCAGCGCAAGGCATAGAGGGTATATGCGATCCGAAGAAACAAAAATGGCCGAACGAATGGCTGTTGTACAAGGGATGCTTCAATATTCAAGGTCCTGGCCGTACCCAATGGTTCTCGAGCTCTTGTGCGGGGAGAGACTCGGGCTCTCCGCTACATTAGGGTAAGGATTGCCTGGAAGAATGCATTCCGCCAGAACTGAGGGAACGCAGCGCCGAGATCTTCGTGGATCCGTATTTTGACTACGGAGGCGTCAGCGCGAGCCTTTTCTGGAATGGCAGGACCGAGGAAGATATCAAGCCGTCTGACGGTCTCTCGGGTACGGCACGACCCTCAACTTTCACAAGGACTGGGCATTCCATACGGTAAGTGGCGACACGCATCTTTCGACATTGGCAATTCTGTCACCGCTCAGTTCGCGGACGGCTCAACGGTGGCCGGTTCAATGCTCATCGGCTGCGAAGGAGCCCGTGAGGAGACGCGAGAATGCGTCGCAGGGTCTGAAGCCGCGAAGGGCTTCGAATCTGACTACACGATGATGAACGCTGGGTCCCGTCTACCCGCACCAACTGCGCTAGCTTTGCGTGGGGAGAATCCTATGGTATCGCGTGCCATTCCCTCTCAAGCGTTCAAGCAGGGAGATGTTGTACAGGTGGATTCAGGATGGAGTTTGGGCTCCCGTGCGGATCTCAAGAGGAACAATCGTGACGGCAGGATCACGCTTGCGGGCGGCGCCGCACACAGCAGTACGTTCACCACCAAGTGACCTCTCATCTTTTGCCAGATACATGCTCACTGCAGGGTTAGCGGTGCCACAGCCGAAGCCAAGGATTTGAATAACACTGTTTGCGACGCCGCCCATCTTGTTGATGCGGTGATAAAGGCGGTTCGTGGCGATCAGGTGCTGTCTAAAGCCGACCAGGAATACGAAGGCGAGTTGCGGCCGCGCGGCGAGGCATGTCAAAAGTTGTCGTATCAGCAGACGGTTTTGATGCGTGAGGATGCTTGAGGGACGCTTCACCGAATCTGCACTGTTCAGGATCGGGTTAAACAAGAAACGCAGAATATACACAGGCCGTATGAGGCAGAAGAGGGCCAAGTTACCGTCGCTCCGAGCATGCCGCCATAGAACGAGGTTGAAAGTCGAATCACGTGATATCCAGATGCGTTAGACAAGCGCAGTACTCGAAATTGGACTAACTTATGTGTGGTATCGTCATAATTCACTAGTTGATCGCTGCGGCTGGATGAAGACTGGAGACGATGTACTTCATCTGCTTCCTCATGCTTCACAATGCGCCATGCCCGTAGCGGACATGATTAACAGATCACGGAAAAAGTCAGACGAGGATTTTCGTACGTGGTTTTAAGGCGCGCTCCTGGTGCTGGCTCAGCCTGGCCGGTGGGGCGGACGCCGTACCCGCCTGGACCAAAAATACTTCGGGCCGCTGATTCTCCTGTTGGACACCTTCACAAGATTCGACGCATGTCTATGTGATTTCCAATAGCGCGCTGAACGGTGTGGTAACGCCCGAAATGTGTGCCTCTCGCCCTGCGGCCACAATCTGGACTGCATAAGCTTAAACACGGGCGACTTAGCTGCATTCCAGGATTGTTCGAGCCCGTCGAATCGGTCTTTACCTTGATCCACTGGCGCTGTCTGGCGATCACGGGCTGACGAGCCTCCACGGTATCTTTCGCGGGGCCCGCTTGTTGAATACGGGTTCGTGGCGCATGCGCTTTGACATTCGGCTTCTCCACGAGCCGGTCGGCGTCTCTTTTGGAAAGGAAGGCATCCGACGATCGATGGCTAGAGGAATGCATTTTGGGATGGACCTTCGGATGGATTGTTATCGGGGCGAGGGCGAGGGCGTATCAGAATGTGTGTGTGTGTGTGTGCCAAAGCGAGCTCAACAGGCATGCATGGCAGATCCCAGGCCGTGATGACGCAGGCGAAGACCATTCGCCGCTGGTTTGGGCTGTAAGTTAATTAAGTCAAGCGGGCGCGAGAGGAGCGGGCTAAGGCCAGCTGCGGAAATGCTGACACCAGAGTCAGCTTGCGCAACGCAGAACCCATTCCCAGCGATTCCCTTGCCGCTTGTTGTCTGGGGCTGAATGTGCCATCGCTTTCGCCAGTTCTTCCTTGCGTGGGATAATTAGTCGCCTTCCTCACTTTCCCCGCGTGCGACAGCCTTCCACACGCACACACACACACATACACACAAGCAGTCACACCCATCCGCCGACGTACACAAACGTCGGTGACTCGAAAACATCGCAGAGATGATGCGCAAGAAGATAAACTACACGACGTGTACGCCGATCCCCTCGTACATCCCGCGCCAGCTTGCTATTGAGCTGCTGCACTCTCATGGCGAGATCATCACCGTCAGCCCACTCGTTCTGAGCTACAAACCCATCAAGCCCCCGGCCAACGCCCCCGCCGACGAGTACTACAGCTCATGGTACGAGATCGAGGAAAGGGTTCAGTTCATTCCCGGCGTCGGCAAGATGGGCGCAAGCAAGATCAAGTTCAACGGGTGCTTCCACGACCTGCCGTGGGGCCTGCAGACACACGTTTACGCCCCCGCTGGCGTGGAGACGAGAAACAAGTACAGAATAGCAGGCAACCAGCCCGGCGAGCCGCGCGAGCCGGTGGAGATGGGCATCGGCGCCCCGCCAGAAGGCCTGTACCTCCGTGAAGACGTAGAGATCAAGTGTAATTTTACCATGGCCAGCTTCGTCAAAAAGGAGCAGATGGCGGCGTCCAAGGTGCTGATCGAGCGCATGCTGAAGAAGGCGGAGCTGCTGGAGGAGGGCGTGCTGCAGGCCATGTTCGAGAACGGCAGGATAAAGACACTGAACCCGAACGACAGAACGACGACCTTTCCAGGCCATCTGCCGCCAGGCGCGCCCGCCAGCCCGAGGCCGCAGAGCACTCTCGTTACATCCGGATCTTACCACCCGTCATACTATGAAAACGTCAACAAGCATGGCTCCATGCCACCGTATTCACCCGGCGGCTCGCAATATGGCGGTGGAGTGTCCTATGGCCAGCACGGCTTTTACCCGACGTCGTCTAGTTCGGGCCAACCGGCGCAACAATCCTTCGCAATGGAACTACCTGGAGACATGCCCGTGCAGCCGGTTCCTTCGCCGTCATACCCTATGGACCAGAAGCTGGCACCGCCGCCGAACCACCTGCATCCCGCGAACCGCTACTCGACCATCTCTGAACTCGCGAGCGATTCGCGCCCAGACTCCAATCGGCGGTGGTCGGAGCTCCAGGACAGTTCGTCCCGACACTCAGATAACGAGTCAAGCTCGAGGCCGACGTCGTACACGCCGACGTTGTCTGATGGCGGTATGCGCAGCCCCAGCATGGCGCAAACCAGCTTTTCAAGTGTGCCGGAGGAGCAGGAGCCTCAGTATAACAAACATCAGCCTTTGAACCAGGACAACCTCAAGAGACTGGATGGCGCGCAAGCTCCTCATCAACCGGCTTTACCACCGTACAACCCCATGGACTACGCAAAGGTGTGAGGCTTTCCTACTCCTTTTGCTTTAAAGGGTGTCGCAACGATAGAAGAGTTGCGCAAGGTTGGCCGGAGGAAGCGATGGTACACAAGCCTGGATGCCGGCTTCTCGCGGGAACGATCTATTTTTGCAACTTCTGCGATCCTTTCTGCTCATGACACTCACGAATGTTTTCTTGGGCCCCTTCCTTTTGGTAAACCCCGTGGCTCGAGCAATGTGTGTCGATCTGTTCTGTTTTTTACCTTGGTGAAAGCGTTGAATTTGTGATCTTGATACTCTCTCACCTAGTCGTGCATACAGGTGATCTTAGCAATGACATATGTTTTGATCTTTACAGTGATCGGCCGAACATATTTTGCAATCTATTGTATCAAGTCTATTTCTTTCCGTTTATGGACAGTCGAAGAAGAAGGCGGAAATGATAACGACGAACTGCAGGGCGAGGGGACTGCAACAGCCGGGCATCATCCACATGCTGGTTAAGGACTGTTATCGCCAGCAGTTCCAGGACGGACCACATTGATATCAGAGATAGCTTGTGGTAATCGCAGCTAGTGTATACCCATGCCATCTCGCTAAATATACACGAAGTGTCAATAATAATCATCGGCTTAGGCTGACTTGAAAGCAGTGAGGCGCAAGTGAATGTGATTTCGAGTTTGTACTGCTTCATCATTGGCTGGTCACTCGTGTTGGCACTAAGTGGGGTCTTCAGGCTGATATAGAGGCTTATTTCACTTATACGTGCCCTAGTTATTAACCGGTCAAGATGCTTCACGTTCAGATGGTTTGCTCGAGTCAACATATAAGGTCTTTCAGATAAATTCGTCAATAACGTTCGCTGTCAGTTGATATTTTGGAAAAATCTCTCTTCTTGCCACTGCTTACTCTACTCTGTGATACTGGACGATCTTGTGCGCCTCTAGAGCCTGACGACCGCTAAACATGCAGCGCTACACAGTCAATTTCAGTGCACCAGGCGCACCGACACGTCGTCTACTTGTTCCATTCTCTGCTTCTTCTCCTGTCAAGGACTTTGCTCAAGAAGTTCAAACCCGTCTCGCCAAGCTTAAAGTGTTCGCTGAGGCTGAAGCGATCGAATTTCGTCTACACGATGCACACGGACCTCAGATTGACCCAGACGATTCCCTACAAGACGTTGTCTTGAATCCTCTGACGGAAAATCTTCATGCTTCAGTACTAATGGCAACGGCCTCCAAGGACGGACCTTCGGAACTCACACAAGGGCAAGCCGACCCAGAAAAAGAACGCTCTGCTCTGGTGATGCAAACAAAATCAAGTGCGTGAGATTCGATGCTAACATTGTGGAAGGCTATTCCGGAAGATACAAGTGGCGGCTTTCATATCCGCGTGATTACGCCGGCGACGGCCCAGAGTGGCGACATCTCAGACATTCCCTTGATTCCAGGCCGTTTTTCAACTACAATCACAATACATCAGATCAGACAGCTTGCACTTCTTCAATTGGACCTTCCACTGAGGAGCACCATCACCTGTGACAAGCCCGCATACTGCAACTGCGCTTTTGCCAATAGCCTCCAGTCCGGAACCACCTTCGCGATTGCCAATGACGACCATCAGCTTAAGTCCTCATTTTTCTTCCTTCATTCTGCCGGGGAAGTAGTCAAGCTATCGTGTGCTTCTGGAGACCAGAATTCTCTTCTAGAGTGTGGCTTAGCATTTGCCAAAGAGCGTTTCGGAATCGACGTCTTAGATGACATGTGCTTGACTGTAATCCGTTCGCCCGACAATCAAATTACTCCGATTGTCGCCCTTTGCTCAAAGTCAAAACACAGGAGTCATGAGAGCTCAAATTCCGCCAACGAGGACTTGCCAGTGCGCCTTGACTTACACACGGCTGAAGCTCCAATCGACACTCCACTGTCTCATCTAACCATGGCTGAACTTGGTCTAGAGGATGTCCTTGTTGACGGAGTGCTCAATATCTATTCGTTGTCGCGAAAAGAGTGTCCCGGTACGCGACTTGATGCCGGGAAAGGCCAAGCAACCATCTTCGGCGCCGCTCCTCACTGGGAGCCTCCCATTGCGCAGACAGAACGCGGCATGGCGGTGTTTCTGTCCTCATTGCGTATCGTCAGCAACACACTCAGTGGCCATCCGCCGGATCTCAATATGCAAGATGCAGTTCTACAATTGCTTCACAGGCTTACGAACTTCCCTCCCTGTGTGCGAGCAATGCATGTTCTGATTCGAAATGAGACACCTACCACGTCTGAGTGTGCAGCTATCGCGCAGGCATTCTACTACATGCTTGAGAAGTATGTGCCGAAACGGGTCACCAACTTCGACTCGTCTCGTATTTTTGAAGCCAGCAGGCTTTTCTTCGGCCTGTTTCTAGAGAAGGCCAAACATCTTTGTAGAGCTAACTCCGGTGAGACCTCATTGCCGTACTTGACGTCGCTCAAGCCCGTGACACTCATCAACCCTGAGACAACTGAGCCTTTGTTCTTCGCGGTCGACACAAACGTGGGCCTTTTTGAGAAAGGACATCTAGATGCAATCAAAGAGGGATTGATAAAGTTCACTGATCCGTCTCTCGGCGAGGATCTTACGGAATTATCCCTCGACGGTAGAACTCGACGGGCAGTCTTATTGTCTGGCGGTGTAAAAACTAAGATTTTCGTCTTTGATACGGATTTTCTCCTCGCAAGTGGATGTGCTGAGGACTTACCCGCACAGCAAGACATAATTAGGGGCTCGGAGGTTGAATTGAGCCAGCTCTCGGCCTTGTGCAGTCGCAACAATCTCTCCGTAGTTGCGCCTGCTCGTCTTGCAACTAGCTCGTCCCCCGCACTGACTCTTGATGGGGAGGGTTTGCTTAGTTGCTATCTTGGACGGCAGCCGTGCAGTGAACCTGGCAAGGATTTCGTCATCTTCCGGCCAACTGCTGGTGGGGATGAAACTATTGACATAGCAATCATCACAAAGCTTCTTGCTCCCATTCTCGAGGCTAGACGCGCAGACGGCAGCGCAGTATTCGATGCTCCTGGCGATGTTACTCAACGCAAGATTGATATGCCGGACGAGATACTGATGGTTTGTGTGGACTGCAGCGCCAGTATGGACTCTAGTGCCGGTTTTACAGATATGGTAGAAGATGTCCCACCACAGCCCGCTTCACGCCCTGTGCTTGAGCGACTAGATCTCACAGCAGAGGCAGACATGTTGGCAAGCCCATTAGACGAGGTCAAAGAGTGGTTAATGGCACACGAATCGTTTGAAGATATTGTCCGCACCGTATATCGCGCTGAGTACGAACATCAGGCTCATGCTGCCAAAGCACTACTCGAGGAGATTGCTTATCTAGCAACTAAAGAGCTCATACACAAGAATGAACAACTGTCACAAAGCAGACGCTTTACTTTTGCCTACCGTAATCCGCTTGAAGATTCAGCACGTTCTCGTGTCGATTGTCTGAAGAAACTCATTTTCGGCGTTGAGCAGCATCAAGCCGCGTTGATCGACTGGATCGTATTTCGCTCCCGCATGCTCTCACCGGGAAAAGACGAGTGGCTATGGCAAGTCGGTAATCCTGTTCCAGCGACCCAGATGCCTCCAAGGTCCTTTGAGTCGGATTCACTTGACCTTGCCATTCCTGATGATTATCGATGTGCTATCACACACGAATTGATGTTCGACCCAGTGGCAACTGCGGATGGACATGTGTATGACCGTGGATCTATACAGCAGTGGCTACAGATCAACAGAACATCGCCAAAAACAGGGTTGGAACTCTCAAGCTCCTCGCTCACATTTCAGTGGACGCTCATGAGAGATATCAATAAGTGGATCGAAGGCGACAGCTATCGCGGGCCCTCTACGTCGGGACAAGGTACTTTGAAAGTCAACTTTTCAAGTCGTCTGGGAACCTTTGCACGTACTCTGAAAGCATCAATCACCTGTGAAGAACTTTATCATGTCGCCTTCCAGGCATTGCGCGGCCGCCACGCCTCCTTTGATCTTAAGCTGCAGGGCCGTCTCAACGCCATTACTCCCAGCAATGATGCTGCGACTGCGAAAGGGTTACACTACAACTGCACGGTGAACATCATTTTACAAGACACCGGCAATCACACATCTAACAGTACGGGCGATAAATGCCTTATCAAAGTCTATAGAAATACACGGAAATGCCACTTCTCTTATTGGGTCCCGAAGGACTCTGACCTGTCCGTCGCGTCAATTTTATTCAAGTATTGGCGTCAGAGGTGGCCTCCTGAAGAACCGTTGACAGAAACTTGTGTCTGGCACAATATGAAGGATTCTGGAGATGGTCACTCCACTGGCTACATCCTCAATCCTTGGGAGAAGTTGAAGACGTATCTAACATCAACCCACGCCAGAGGCTCTTTGAATGATGAGGCAGTATTTGATGACCCATCTGCGCCATATCAGGGGGTTCTCAAAATCTTTATAGGGAGGAAGCCAGAGAAATTGCAAAAGGTTCGCACTTCCCGCATGGACGTGCTCAAACAGATCTTTGATCAGTTCGTCAATCGCACCATTGCGTACAATTACAGCACCCACCTCGGACTGATCATCTTCGATTCGACTGCTCGTGTGGCGAGGCAGCTGAGTGATGTAGTAGAAGACTTCAGGGCCACGGTCAATGAACTCAAGCCAAGTTCAGATACCGCAATATGGGATGGACTCGCACTAGCCTGTCATCATCTTGAGCAATATGGAACCAGATACCCCGAAGCGAAGAAGCGGATACTCTGCATTTCAGATGGCGAGGATACTAAATCCTCAAAAGATCCTGCCAGCCTTTGTCATGAACTTGTCCGAAGCAACGTCGTAGTCGACTCATTCTGCCTCGGAAAGGCAGATCATAGGAAGCTTTTGGGTATCTCCCATCTCACCGGCGGATACAAGTTTGCGCCCAAGACATTATCACATGCGATGGGGATCGTCGAACTTGAACCTGTGCTTGCGTTAAAGGATCGTGAAGACATACCAAGACCTGTGATACCGCGGAACTCGACCATGTGGAGCCAATTTCAACGCGCACAGCTCCACGCCACTCCAGAGATTGTCACGGAAGACGTCTATCCAAAGCGTCCGCCGCATCCAAACCTCAAAGACGATGTCATTGAGCTTGCTGCCGCGAAGCGTATGGCGGCAGGACGCCGATCAGGAGCAAACATGATGCGCAACTCTCGTCTACTTACCGAGATCCAAAACATGATGGCAAAACCTCACGATTATATCGATGTGTACGTCAGCGAGCGGGACATTTCTTTCTGGAAGATCGTAATGAAGGGCCCTCCGGACTCTCCGTACGCATCTGGTACATTCTTGCTCTATCTGGATATGGACGAGTCTTATCCTACCTTCGCACCGAAAGGGCGCTTTGTCACGCCCATATATCACGTTAACGTAAGTCGGGAGAGCGTCATGCGTGTCCGAAGGCATGTTAACACCGCCTCCAGATCAACCGCAACGGCCGCATCTGCCATTCCATCTGTAGTACGTCGGACGTCGATCTATTGATGGTACTCGCTGACCAACCCGCAGAGTTATTACCTTCCCTTCGCGCGAGCATCTCTTTTTCGAAAGAAGGAAAGAAACGTGCTAACGATATCAAAGTCGACCGCAACTGGACGGCGGACACATCCTGCACAGACATTCTCAACTCAGTCTACGGCCTGCTCCTTGTCCCTGACTACAGCGATCCTGTGTAGGTTGGTAACTGCTTCTTCCACAGCACACACTGACCGTTCTAGTAATGTTGTTGGCACGCTTGAATACCACGGCGACCAAGTCGAGTTTGCGGATGCTGTCCGCCGTCATATCAGCAAGCATGCGTCCAAGTCTCGCGAGGAGTGGCGTCGGGAGCTGCTTGGCCAAAGCTGAATCTTTTCTTTCTTTTCGCCTTTACGAACGTTGGCGAACGGGTTGTCGCAGCTGGTTGATTGATTGGCGTTTCGTGGACCGTGGTGTATGACCTGCCGGCCCAATGGATCGCAATCAATGAGGGAGTTTGAAATTTTTTTTTTTTTTTTTTTTTTTAAATCGGAGTATTGTAATAGAATCAAGTCTTGCGCTTCAGCCACTTAGTTCTGTGATGATCGACCCAGGTCTCTCTCATAACATCTCGTAGGCAGATTGGAGCCTTGCAAGATGAGGACAGTGTCGAATCTGGCCAGCAAAGAGCACAATTGTTAATCATGTATTCGCCACATCGTCGAAAAGTAGCCGAGATCGTACAACACCTTGCCGTTGGGCATCTTGGTTTCACGGATTTAACATACGTACTACGATGAGAGAAAAAGAAAGAGAGAGAGGCAGAGAGGAGGCCAGAATGCTTTGCAAAGCCTTGGCTTCGACATGCGTTTATTGAGACGTCCGAGGAAGCGAGAAGGAATCGCCGAAGCGTGCAGGAAAACTTCACGTCGTCACCGCTACTAAACAAACTCATGCGCCCCCATTGACCCGATCCGTGGCTTGTGGCATGCCCAACATTAAGAAGCTCCACCCGTTACAAAAGCCGCATGATTGAGTTCCCATCCATTAACAGAGCCAAAACCTCCCCGCCGGGTCGTCAAGTTTACGCATCGCCGGCGTTTTCGCCGGCGAAGAGAGAAGAGGTGGAAGCAGAAACGCCAGTCCATGATACAAAGGGAAAAATGATGTTTTTAAAAAAAAATATGCAGCCAGGCCCCTCAGCAGAGGCCGTTGTAGCTGCCCAGCAGGCCGGCCAGTCACAGGAGGTCGCGCTGGCTGACGGTCTTGCCCTCCTTTGGCGCGACTACGAGGTAGCCCGCGCCGAGCGCCGAGACTCCAACCAGCGTGTAGACGACGCCGGCCTTGAAGGCCTCGTCGCTGGCTTCGGCCTGGGCGCGCTGGATGCTGCTGCGAATCGTGCCGCTGATGGCGGAGGCGCGGGCAGTGGACGAGTTGCTCGCCAGGCGCGAGGAGGTCTGCGACACGGAAAGGTTAGCACCAGCTGGGCCGTCGCAAACGGAAAGACTGAGCGCGGAAAGACGTACAGCGAAGGCGCGGCGAGATGCAGCGCGTGCGGCGGAGGCGACGAAAGACATGTTGGTCTGAGGTTTTCTTTCCTTTTCTTTCTTCTTTTGTCTTGGGTTCGTTTGAAGTTTTGCTACTCTGTCCTGTTCCTGGACGGGGGATTTAGCAAAGCGCTGGCTACGATCGGGCCACGAGGTAAGAAAAGGGCGGCGGCAGGATGCCAGGAACCGCACTCACCTTTTTCTAAGCGACGCAAAGGATGCAAGTCTATGCAGAGGTAGAGACGGTCGATGCGGACGCGGTCTATGGTCTATAGTTGCTCTATTGCGCAAAGAGGGAGAAAAACCAGAGGCGCAAAAAAAGAGAGCGGATGTGGTTCTAGATGATGGAGACGACGAGTATCGGGGCCGGGAAATGGCGCAAGAAAAGGGAGATCTCTGGGGAAGAAAAACGAATATGGGGAACGCACCGGGGGCGCTTGCACGGGAGCAGCAGCCGCAAACAGCGAGCCCCCGCCCGCACAGCCAAAAATGGTCACCCACATGCGTCCCTTCGTACATACCACGTAGCAGCGGCAAAGGCAGGCCGCAGCCGTGGTGGGCGGTGAAAAAGGACGCCAAACATCGCGAGGAAGCAAAAAGGACCAGCAAATGAGCGGCTGCGAACCGTCCTCGTTGGCTTGACCCGCTGCCATCCACGACCAGGAACCGAGCGTGGTTCGAGAAGATCTCCTCATCTGTCTTCCCACCGTGGGCTGACACCTCCGTTTCACATTCCCACCTCGCCTCTGCCATCTCTCACACCCGTCTGCCTGATGGGGCACCTGGACGAGATCTTTTTTTTTTTCGCCTTCCTCCTCTTCTCGCACACTTCGGTGGCGATATGTGCGTACCATCCTTCGTCACTTGCACGTGCTGCCGTGCGTTTTCCCTCATCGTGATGTAGATCTTCTCTAACGATGACCTTGTGCTTTCGCCACCACTCACGCCCATGAGGGAAAAAGAAGGGGGGGAAGTTATCACCGACAATGTCCCTTGACCTCCGCTGTGATGGGTCGGCGTTTCTCGTCGGAAAATTCGACCTGCCCATCTCCGCCACGGCGGCGCTCTGGAATAGTGATCGGAGTATCGGAAGTCTCGACGCGGGGAGATCGATCTCGGTCAAAAGCAGTTTGAAGTGTGGAGCTGGCTCTAAAAAAATGAAAAAATTGAAAAAAAATGAAAAAAAAAAAAAAAAAACCCTTCGGCGAACGTAATCAAAAAGCCGACCTCTCTGGACGGTGATGCATCTGCTTGTTCTCGACCGCTTCGAAACCTCCATCAGCGCAGACTACCGTCGCTGTAGTTCGCCGAACGTGAGTGAAAAGTCTCGACCATATGCGCCGCGAAAAGCGTCTTTGCGTTCCGCTCTGCACCATGGTGGCGGAAAAGTTTTCGCCTTGTATTTGCCTTGAGAGGCATCTTAGTAGCCACGATCCGTGGCAGGCGACCTTTGAACACGCCGGTGACCCGATGAGCCTCATACCAAGCTCTTGCCCTTTGTCTACGCCCAACCGAGTGTCTGTGATGTCTCGTGGTGCGTCACCTGTGGACATTGGTGAAGTCGCGATTGGCGACACCGCGAACCGCTGCCTTTGCTATGATGCACAGCTGGAGCGACACCTCGACGGCTCTCAGGATCCCACCGCTAAAAGTGTGTAGAGTGTGTTGCGCTTCATCTACGCTGGTTGTCTCCGCCACGACATGCAGCAGCAAAGATCCGAGAGGCCTTTAGTCTTGTTGATTATGAAAAATCACATCAGCTCTGTCCTAGAGCTTCGAAGACTGGCAGCCTAAGAAGGAACTCGTCACGTCGAGTCTAGACCGTTAGTTGTTGGGACTCTGAACGCGCCCTGGATGCATGCAAATATCTGAGCCTGTCGCCATGATGCTGACTTAGCACATGAAACGGTTGGGCTATCAAATGCCGAAACGTGCGTCCGGTCGATGAATCAGACTCGGCAGCCACACTCTGTATGGACTGTTAAACAGAAAGAGATAAAGAGAGAGGGCATGCAAGTACGAGTTTGTCCATCTTCATTCACTCAGAATCACTTCCGCCAACGACACAGAAGCACGAAGACATAGAGAAATGGCACAACCTCCCTTGTCAGTTCTCATCGCCATTGGCAGTTGGCAACAACATTGACCAATCATCACCACCAAAGACTCCGTTTATGCTATATGTCCTATGTAGTAATACACAGTAGATACACAATGCACTAAATGGGGTTTGACAGCGCTCTTCGGCTGATACATCTTCGTCTACTCAGCAATGGCCAGCAGCGCGCCTTCCGGCGGTCTCTGGCCCATGTGTGAACCGCGGTGGGCGCGGGCATTCTTATCCAAGATCGCCAATCGCGTTCAGCCAGGTACGTGCCTGCGAGACTCTGCACTAGCAACGTGCGCTCGCAAGTCTCGTGGCAATTCCGTACATATCCAATCTAGTCGACGGCACGACTTCAAATAATAATCATCGTGAGCTTTTCCTTTTTGCTTAACCCCTGGCTCTTTCAGCTTGGCCGTCGAAACAAATGGCCTTCCGTGCTGTACACCCAATCGTCAAGACTGCCCACGCTAACATCTGCAAAGATAAGCCAAAGATACTTCAGCGTCTCGGCCGCCCAAAAACTTTCACTCTCGTCTAGCCAGCCGCTATGGTCCTTCTCTCCTCCCGCACCCTTGGTCTTAGGCAATAGCATGACGTCTTGGAGCCCGGCATAACCGTACTCAGTTTTGCAGTGCTTCTCTATGGCCTGGAATGCCTCCCACGCCCATTCGCGGTAGCGTTGTTCGCCTGTGATGCGGTACGCGTAGAAGAGAGACTCGACGTACTCAGGACGGAGTTTGTACTTCGGATTGACAGTCCAAAACCCGTAATCCGCGTGTTCTGAAAGTTGTCGCTCGGTTTCTGGTGCAAAGGTGCCGTTGCGGTATGGAGGCGCTGGTATCCACGACCAAGACTCTGGTCCGATCCCTGTGGGCGTTGCGGAGTAAGAGTGCCGGCAGCCTTCAAGAAGAGCTTGACCGAGGACGAGAAGATCTTTCCGATTGAGGTGACGTGCACCAAGAAGCAGGTTGCCGGGCGCGAAGCACGCAAGGTGGCTCTGTTCATTGAGAAACCAAGGGCCATTCAGCTTTCCCATGTACAGATGAGAGACCGGGTGGTCTAAGGATGGAGAAGCCCGGCTAGACAGGTTGTGTCGTAGCGCGTCAGCAGCTTCGAGCCAACGCTGAGAGTACATTTTGCTATTAGGGGAATGTGGGCGCAGGAGGGCAGCCTTGATGAGGTACTCGTAGTAGCTGTCGTGGCCAGCATCCCAGTGCTTCTGCCGACCAACTGGCTCTCCAGTGATGATGTCAATGGGAGCGTCGACAAGACCGGGAGCATCGACGATCCACTTGCTGTACACGAGCGGGAACCAAGCCAGTGTGCTCTTAGCGCAATACTCCCAGTTGCCCGTAAGCTCGCTTAGTACGCAGTTCTCGAGGATGTTCGAGCCAGCACGCGCGGGTCCTATTGCCGGATTGATGTAGCGAGGCTTTGAGGGATCCTTCTCGTACACCTCTGGTGGGTCTGGAACTCCAGAACGCTTGCTGAAATCTACACGGGGCCACGGCATCCCCGTAGGTGTCGAATAGGCAGGCAGCAAATTCTTTGCCAGCATCTCAGTCTTTGCAAGGAGCTTCTTCCTCTTCGCCGAGTTTATGACTTTTTCTGGAATCACCTTCTCGTCCACCAACTGTATCAAGCTCACCAGACCCCCCAAGTATCGTATGGTCGTCTCGAACGGGTCGACCAGAGCAAAACTGGACGAGAAATCGATCTCGTCGATGATGTAGTCCACGCACAGTGTCAACTCGTCCCACATCCCCATGAGCGCTAGTGTGGTGCTGGCGTCAACGATGGTAGCTCCCCAGCCGTTCCGTGTATTACCAACACCGCCCGTTACGGGCAAAATCTCGTCGTTGCCCCAGGCACGCTTCCTGTATCCTTCAAACGTATGTCGCATTGCCTTTTTGACAGCGTCTCTCCGCTCCACGTCCGCCTCCCCGGTGCTGTTGACCCACTTCTCTTGCTGGATCCATTGTCTCACACGCTTTGGGTACTTGGGCGCGACGACCACCGGCTTGTGAAAGGCAACGTAGAGGAGGTAGAAGATGATGACGATGCTGGCGGAGATGAGCTTGGCAGTCGTGACAGGATCTCGGCTGCGTGAGAGCGGCCGCATGTTGAAAGAATTCTTCTATGGGAATTTAGCAGGCAGAACTCCCATCCGCAGCCGTCCTCTGCTACTGTCCTCTGCTAGTTGAGCAACCTTGAGCTCCAAGCATGCGCATCCTGTTGGACGCCAGATCTCAATGTAGCTTCGCGACCTTGCCTAGGAACTTGCTCTTCGCGCGGGTCGTTCATAGACCAGACATCTATTCTGAACGAGCGACTCGTAAATTGCTATCGCCAGTGGACAGAGCCCTTGGGATTGATGATTCAGCGTAGTATATAATCGACTGAAGTCCGATGGTAGCAAAGTGGCACTTACTCGTTTGGTGTTGGGTCCTGGCGGCCCTGCATATGATCGACTGCGGCCGTGCGGAGCCCGCTTCAAGCTTGCATTTCTCCATTGAGCCTCCATCATTGCTCGTTGTCGGCATCAGCATAAGTGCATTAAGGACCTTCAGTTGAATATGAGTTCCTGGCTGGCGTAAGTCTCCTCGCTCAGTCTGTCAGCAGACCTCAATCCCTTGGATTTAGCTTCATGTCATCACGAGATGCGTCTTCCCGCTGACTTTTCTCGCACATAGAAAGTATCAGGCCTTGACGCCAAAAACAAAAGCTCTCATCGGCTTTGGCGTCATGGGCTACGCGGCCTTGGGTTTGTATCTGTCCGACTCTGCGGAAGAGAAGTTCGGGATGAAGGCGACTGAGGAGGACAAGGAAAAACTCAAGGCGTTGATCCCCAAGGTCCACACGATCGAAAAGGGCGCCTCGCCGCTCGCGAAGGACCGTTGATGGACCGGCTCAGCTTCACCTTTACAAGCCATTGCAACGCACGGCGAACATAAACATCCGCAAATGGCGACCGAGGCCCTGCCGTGATCTCAGCGCAATGCACTGAGGATAATTCAAGCTCGTTCGACCGGCCCCCAACGGTGTGTCACTCTCCGTTCTTCCGCATCTGCCACGGATTGTGATTCAAAGAACTCTTCGACATTTGCCATTTTGGTGCTCTGGGCTGCTCTTGTCTGGATCACCTGACCATCAGCGATAGTCATGATCCACATGCCCGGACAGCATGCAAAATTCTACCATTCAGTGTCGAGGCTAGTGCCCTGTGCCACTTGCAATGATCAGGGCGGGCAGATGCTTTGCTCGTGCATGTGTTGTTGTCCTTGCTTGTACATAGATAGACAATGATTTCGAGCAATCGAATGAGGTCACGAAACATTGAGAAGAGTTCTGCAACTGCGTTAAGAGGCGTGATCGTGTCGGACATTTGGGCGACAAGGTATTGTCTGCGTCTTTGCGAGCCGCGGCATCAACACCCGAAGCCCCAACAACAATCGGCCGAAAGGTGGACTTTGATCTCTCTTCGACGCAACATCTAGTACCATTTCTTCATCAATTTTGACGTACAGAACAATCGATCGGCAATTGTGCACCGCCTGTGAAGATCTTGCGAGCGTCAGCATGACTCTCTCCGAAGGGCCTACTGGCATCACAACCACGTATTATTGACGTGGATCATCAGCCATTTCAGTACGCAAAGGAGAACCTAGCTCGTGCGAGATCATGCTCATCCGACCACTGGACGTTAGGACAGAGAAGTGGCCAAAAGCATCATCCCGTAACACAGGAATGCCCGATTCATCAGCAAGAGCTCTTCTCGAGCTTCTGGTGGAAGCCGGCGTAGCCATTCATTTCTTGTTCCGACCCCCGTACTTGGCTACATGCTACTGAGTGAGAGGCCATGAGGGCAGCATTGCAAGATCAAAAATACAAAAGTCCAGAAATGGTACGATAGGATGGAGATGAGCGTTAGGTTTTACAAAGGTGAAGAGGCCGGTATAAAACGCCACGGCCTGACAAGGTAGAGGGACAACCACAAAGGAAGACCACCGTCCAACCGGTCACATAAAGAGAGTCGAGACCAAACCGCGGTCCCAAAATTTTCTCCGCGGGATTTGCATCACTTGAAATGTTGAACTAAGCAGGATGAAACTAGACTTGAGCGTGCTCCAACCGGCGGTCAAATCTTGTACGTGTCAATCTTGATCCAAACGAACGTGGTGACGGCGGATCAGGCGATGATAAATGAGAGAGGCAAGAAATATATTCCGGATAAGGCTAGAATATGAACGTCGCATTCAGACGGGCTCCTGCAACAGAGCTACAGACGAGCTGTTGGAGACTTTCTTATCTTTGTCATGACTCTTGTTTCGTTCACGGAACAAACTGTATTCGATGATGCTTCGCACAGGCTATGTTCACATAAAATTTTTGCAAGTGGATATTGCCGCTTCCGTTTTGAAAAGCTTTTGGGGCTAGAGAAGACAAGCGGCATCGCATAGCAGAACCAAGATTCTCTCTAAATAACCAGCAACGATGCTGCCATGGAGGAATTCAGGATGCGTTTTCTTCTCTTTTGCAGCGGAATCAAAGAAAGGAAAAGAAAAGTAAATAAAAGGAACGACTTTAAAGTATATCATTGAGTCTGGGAACTCATTTGTTCCTCCGAGGGAGTAGTGTCACGCTTCTCTTGAGCCGCGCCTCCCAGCTTCTTAAAGTCGAAACATGCTCCTGGGTGGAACAGATTGAAGCCGACGATGGCGATCGAAACCATGCTTGATGGGATGTCAGCTTTTGCAAGGCATGAATGGACAGAGTGTGGCCGCTTACAATGAGTCTAGAGCAAGAAACAGCGTCTCGTCACGCAAGATTTGGTTCTTTCGGCTCCATCCACCAGCCAGCTCTGCGACGCGATACACGCAACGGATGAGGATCGTTGTGTACGCAAGTATGATAGCGCAAAGGAAAAGCTTGAATTTCAGGGTGCGCCGGAGCGTCGACGTGGCCGGGTTGAGCTCGTGCTTGTGGGTCTTCACGGTTCGAAAGAGGTACTCAAGGGCTAGCATACCGAAGACTAGGAGGGTGAACACTTGAAAGGCGAGACCGGCGATGGTGATGTTGTTGCCGACATTGAAGAGACTGTTGGTCACTTGCACGGTGGCCGCGATTCCCCCACCAGCACCTTGAAGTGCTATCGAGAAGATGTCGCAGATGATGAAGATCCACGTGTATAGGCTTGGCCTTAAGACAGACCATTCGGCGCCAAAGGTCAAGACAAGGTGCTTCAGCTGAAGGTATATACCTGCGGCGAGGAAAGCAGGCGCGAACGTGAGAAGGATGATTTGAATCTTGAAGCCCACGTCGCTGAACGGATTGCGGTGCATCATGAGTCTCCCAATCTCGCCTACGGCTTCACAAAGACCGCCGATCGTCATGGCAATCATGAAGCTCCACGTCTTGTAGCGGATGCCCTGAACGGTGTGGGCAATGGTAGAGACGGCGAAGATCCCAAGGAAGAGAGCACTCCACACGAGGCTCGGTGCGTAGCCATAGATGCTGTTTTCAACCGGACACGACGGGCTGACCTCTTTACAACGCAAGGCTCCCGCACGAGCATAAAGATTGGCCATGGTAAAGCGTGTCGGCCCGGTGATGTTCGTAAAGGAAGCTCCAAGTGATATGGAGGAACACGATGAAAAACAGTAGAAGAATGAAACACCGTCTCTGGGGTCAGAAGAAGATTTGAATTATGTCCTCGTCATGAAGGCAGCGAAACATGCGAGCCTAGTCCTCATTTAATATCCTGATGTTCTTCTGGGCGCCAGAAGTGACATACCTTAAGGGGGGGGGGGGGGGAAGACCCACACATGCTCTTTTTTTTTTTTCTTCCGTAGCGACCACGCAATGCCATCGCATCTGTGCTGTGGTCGAACCAGTACGGTATCAGAACCTGTACTTTCGAGCCCGTGGATTGTCGGATTGCACGGTTGAGGGAATGGGCAGTGTCACTATTTGGACGGGGGCGTGCTGCAGCTGCGTAAACCATTCCGTTTGGGGTCACCAATGCGCGGGCCAAGACCTTCCCTTTGATACTTTCTTCACACGCTGCCCCCGGAAGATATCGTCTGCCCGGAGCCCTCCAGACCAGCAAATGAAGCCGGGTAACGGTACGGGTGGCGGAGTGAGCCAAGAGAACAGGAGGTTGGAAAATGGGTGATCGCTACGTGGGCAACTCAGACAGCGTTGACCTGTTTGTCCTTCTCGGTGTCCGCGTCTTCGCAGTCGGGATAATTTGAGTTAAGAAACGATGCGACCAATTTCTCTTCAACGTTTCAGCTGCAAAAGAGAAACTTTCCTCAAGGAGCTTACAAGGCAGAGTAGGGAGCCCAGATCTGCCTTTCGCCTGTTGACCCGCGATTACTTGAGCTCCTTGGTATAGCAGTATATCTATATCGGTGTTGCACCTTTTTTGTGAGCGACGGCGAACGAATATGCAAACAACTGACCCTACCTTTGCCTCCTTTCCACAGCCAAGTATCGGCCGTGTGTTCGCTGTGACGTGTATCGGGGCGCTTCGCATGCTTAAGGCGTCAATTTTGAATAGCACCGCCTCCTTCTTTCCGCTACCCTAGCTGCTGAGACAGTGCTACCTCAGTTTCGATCACCCATCAAACCCTTGGCGCTATCGGAAGCCAGCCACAAGGTATCAAGCTTTCGAAACTAGACATGGTGGATGTCAAAATTTAAATCATGAGGAGCTTCGAGCCATGAACATAGCAAGGTAATCACGTACTCTTGTACGGTGGTACAAAGTAATCTATCCCAAAGGCGGGGATAAATGCGGCAGTGGCAGAGAAGAAATAGGAATGGTTTGCGGCTCGCCTTTGCTCGTGTGCGAAAGTGGCGTTCAACGGAGCTACTTGGAAGATTCCCAGCACTGGACTAATAGCACGGTCGCCCTCTTGTAATTTACCCTTCGCTACGGCAGATCCTTGCACTGACTACTTGTTACCGTGCACGAAACTGATCTACCTTGGGCCATCCACCTACAAGTGCAGGGCAGCTGGTTGCGACAACTTAGCGCTTTTACATATTGCTAAACAGGAAGACACGTCAGTTCCTAGAGTCCGGGTCGCATGGGTGGATCTTTCTTGCGGTGGGCGGTCAGAGTTGACTCGGAAATGGCTGAAGTAAGCATTCCAACTCAAAATAAAGATAATATGTTCGACCAAAAAGAGGAAAACATGAACAGCAGATTCAGGAGGACGTCGACATGTCATGGACAAGACACACGCTGGATTTATGGATCTCCTCATATGACTTGCGACCAGAGTCCGAGGGGACCAATCATCTGCTTCAGGAAGCCATGGAAGCTAGAAACAGCCTCTGAGTAGGCATTTGCTAACTCGTGGTCCCTGCGGCGTTCGCAGGGCAGAAACAGCCATTCGTCGCGAGCATATAACTCGTCCGGCTCCCTCCACATGATGCAGGTTAGTCTGTTCGCTCGAGAATTGACAAAGTCGCTCTCATCCCGAACTTCGACCGTGGGATCGAGCATGCATTCTCTGACCCGACTCTCCTCTGGCGGTATGTCAGAATTCCAGGTCCTTCGATCGTTCACGTCAACGCCATGTTCGATCTCGATCAGCCTTTGGGCCACAGGAGCCAAGGTGGCCGTCTTCCACAAGCCCTCTTGCTCTTCCGATAGCATCTTCATGTACGCAAGAGCGGCGATACGCAACTCGAGTACGCGGCATTTGACAGCGGTGAAATATAGAAGTGGCAAAAAGCACATATCGAAACTGAACTTCTTCCGTCCCGCTGTTGGCGCAAAAAGCTGGTCTTCCGCCTGAAGTCGCGACGCAAGCGCGACAATTTGACCAAACCGATGGTTATGTTCGTCGTACCCGATTTCTCTGCGATACAGAGCGGAGTCGAGCCATATTCCTTTGACAAGTGAGCCCATCTCGAGAAGAACGTGCTGGCGAGTGTTGCGGATCGACGGCCTAAGATTCGCATGGAGGCCTGCTAAATTTTGCCTCCATGAAGCTAAAGCCAATTGGATTCGGTGCTGCTCAGCAAAAAATCGCAGATGTATGCGTTCTTGCCGCTTGGCCCCCAGCCTGTACTCGTCTGATGACCGAACCAAGCGAATCGTCTGGACCAACAGCGCTTGAAGTGCTGCATGCGCCTCAGTAGCGTTGGAAAAGGATTCCACCAGCAACGAGTCCAGCGAGCCAAGCATAGGTACCGCGGTAGCGTCCGCAGCAAAGAAGAACAGAATCGCGTTCAGTCTGACCAAAATAGGCAGCAAGGTTCGACGCATAGCGGGAGTAAGATTTTTAAAGTTGTTGAAGATTAGAATCGCGTGTCTGCAATGATTTAGGGCCGCAGAGGCGTTGCCTTGCATGAATTCTACGCAGGTGAACAGCACGGCCATGGAGATGGCCAGTGCCCCGTCTGTAGTTTTCACGATATGCTGAATCGCCGCGTTGTAATGACTGACAGGTGAGGCGTCTGGTGCGTCGTGACTGTACAGCGAACTGATTGCCATCAGAACGTGTCGGACTGCAGGTTCGCGATGGCTGATCTGCAAGATCAGTCTTGTCCAGAAATCGTCATCGAATAGGCCAGCAAGTCCCGGTCCGGCCACGTGGTAAAAGAATTCCAAGCCTCTCGCCTCGTGTGCTTGATAGCCGGTGGCATTCAGACCGCGAGTAGCGACCAACGGCAGATCCTGTGTGGGAATGGCTGTGGGGTAGCCATCACACTTGCGACCTGTACTCGTGCATCTGGTGCAGGTCGGTCTTGTTTCGTCGCATTTGACCTTGCGAATCTTGCAGGTAAAACATCCAGTTCGGACCTTTCTGCTCCCTTTTCGAGCCATGGCAAATCTCAAATATGAAAACTCCAGCCGTCCGGATCTACGTCGCGTCGGAATCGTTCGTCATCCCAAAAGAAGTACCACCCGTCGGAGATCCGCGATTCGAATCTCGTGCGCAGCGTGAGGTTCTGACATCTGCAAATCTCTGCCCGACCCTTCGGTTAGCGACCCGTGGTTGAACGCACTGAAAGCGTCTTCGAAATCCAGAGCTGAACCAAGAATCGTCGATAAGAGATTCATCTTGGGAAACAAAGGATCTCCGATGATGGTCAGTAAGAGGAGGGCCGTCGGTGCATCTGGCCAATACGAATACGAAGCAAGTCCGATCTGACCAATCAAATCCTTGGATTAGCCTCACGCCGCCCGTGTGGATCTAGAGAATCAACTCTGCTTCGAAATGGGAGGAGGCCTGATCATTTCACCGTTGAAGACCCATTTTTGTCTCCCGGCGCTACCCTTGAGGTTGTGTAAGGCGGCCTCCTTGAGGCCTTCGAGTCCAACCAACCATCTGCCGTTGTTACACCAGAAGAGCACAAGATGCCAAGTTCTTCACGACAACCCAAGTATCAACCTTCCCCTTCTGCTGCAGAAGGGTTTTGCGCAGGACGATTGGTGACTGCATTCAATGACACAGGCGGAATGGTTAGCTGACCGCATCAGTGGAAGTCTTTTCTATTCACGAAATGTATACACACGAAGCCAAGCGCTACCTAGAATTGCCCGTGACAAAACAAGGCTGTCAAAGAAGCAGTGCATGTATGATCCCGCCAGCTCCATCGCAATGCATAGGCGTTGCCACAAATTCTTTTGCAGTAAAGGGAGTTGCGTGTGGAAAAACCCAATCAATATTCCTACCCACAAGTTTCACACCTGTCGGCCAAGCGACCAGGCCTTTCACGTATTTGTCTAATTTGTATCTTCTAGAACGCGGACTTTTTTTTTCTCTGAACGTAGGGAAACGCAGTTTTCCCACTGAAAAATAGTTTGGAGTGCCAAACGTGGAAACAGGAAACCCCCAATAACGCCGTTTTATGAGTCTAAGCCAAAGCTGTTGGTGACAACTTTACGAACAATGCCTTTGCGGCGCGAGTCGTACACACGGTAGATCCAAGTTGGACCTTCGTTGTTCATGCCCCTGTCTATGTATGGAAATATCGTAAATGAAATTCGTTGATGCGTGAAGTGGTAAAGTTGCAACACGTGTCAAGTCGCCTAAACCCGGAGTGCTATCAAGAAGATGATGACGGTGATGAGATTATGATGATGGAAAATATGGTTTGGATGGCCGTAAAGAGTCGCTTTCGAATGACTAAGGTGTCGCCACTGCATTTGCGCCATGTCTGCTGGATGTCTCCTCAGAGCCTCACATGATCCACGTTCATGTTGACACACGCTTGGCGTCCGGCAAGGTCACGAACAGATCCCGCATGTTCAGCCTCGTCATATCAACGGCGTAACGTTCATTGATGTCGACAACACTCCCTAGTTCCTTGCCAAGTCTGTATCCCTCCTTGGCAACGTACGTTCGGATTTGCTTGAGGAGAGACATGACCAGACTCATGCGTTGGTCAGGTTCCCAGTTTGTCTGCCAATTGAACATGCGCGGGGTCAGGAGGAACTGCTTCGCAAGCCAATAGTAATGCACGGCATCGCGACAGTACCCAAGACGGCGGATTTGAGCGCCCGCGGCGGAAGGAGAGCTCGACGGCGGATATTGGAGGTCAATGTCCGTTTCCCACGCACGCTTGAACTTCTCAAGGGCGAGCTTGATGACCGAGACCTGCTGTGCATTGGGCTGTGGCCCCGGCTCAGTGGGCGTTACGCGTCCGCTGCTTGGGTTGCTGCTCGGATAGGAATTGCCAGAGGATACCCAGTCGTGTTGACTGAGAGGTGTGCTCGGATAGGAAGCTGTGAGTGGATCATCAGCGGCTGCCTTTTCAGAAAAACAGCGGAGACAAGATGAAAAGAGTAGGTGCTACTCTCCACACGTGCCCCGGTTTAGGACTTACCGAATCCACCAGGAACAGCAACAGCTGGGGCCTGGGCCAGAGCAGACTGGTTGTGCAGATTCCATATGGCCACATGCAACGCATGGATGAGAAGAAACTTTGAAAACACGTTGGTGGTACGGGGTGCGAATTCGGACTGTGGAGAATAGAGCAACTGTATGCACAGGTGGAACTCCGGCTGGCTCAGGCGGCGGCTGCCTGAGATGTTGCTCTCAACCTGGGCAAGCTCGCCGTTCAAGCCAAGCGCCTTCATGCACGAGTGGGCATCTGGGGCGTCCCAGGCTGCGTCGTCGGCGGGTAGCTGAATATGTATCTCGGAGCACGACAGCTGAGGCGGGTGGTTGAAGAAGATGGCCAAAGCACAGTCGATCAGGAACATGAAAAACATGGCCCTCGAGCGTTCCTCCTGCCTGACCCATGCTTTCCAGTCCCAGGCGCTCAGATCGATGGACGATTGGTAGCGTCGGGGTTGGTGAAGGATGCTGCAGCCTTTCTGGCCGAGGGGAATGGGCCGCGTCAGTCCACATCGTCTTGCAATGACAACCAAGCGTCTGAAGTCATCCTTCGCCTGCGCGCGATGGTTCGCGTCGCCGTGCCAGATGAACATGGACTGCAAGAGCATGAGAGCTTCAATCTCCTGAATATCGGACCACGACGGCACGAAGTTAGAGAGCTCTCCAGACGCATCTTCAGCAAAATGTAGAATTCTAAACGACCGATCAACCGCCTGTCTGGCCAAAAGCATTAGCCACCGCTCCATCTCCAGCCCTAACTCGTTTGCATAGACAGCCCCAATGCACATCATCGAAAGAAGCAGCCCATTGTTTGCGTCGAGCGTCGAGAAAGTAGGCATGTGCACCAGGGGGAAGTGTTCGTTCCAGTTTGTTCTGAAGAGCTGTAAGTAGCGCTTTATATTCTCCGCCGTCAAGATGTGCTTTAGCCGATCCATGGCTTGTAGTTCGTTGCGCGTGCGAGGAAGTCCATCTGTGAAACAGTACGCAATGAGTGCGGCCGCCTTAGCGTCGAAAGGATCACCTAGGTTCCAACCGTCAAAGACTTGATTCGAAGGCAGGGAGGAAGTGGAAGAATACATTTGTGTGTAAAGGCCAGCGTTGCCGTTTCCGGCATCGTTGCCCATCATATCAGATTCAGGCTTTACCGACCGTTCGTTGTTGGCTGCCGGTTGATACATGAAGTTCTCACCGGCTTGTGCCGGATAGGCGCCTGGCCAACCCATGTGCTGGTTCATGCCGTTCGCGTCGGCCGTTCGCGTCTGATTTTGCGCGGCCATGTCCGCAGACGTGATCGGCGTCGCAAAGGCATACGGATTCGCCGGCTGTGGCGCCATCGAGTACGCGCTCATCGGCTGGCTGAGACCCGGCATCGTGACCGCATAATCCTGCGGTCGCATCAGGCTGTTCGACCGTGACGAGCGATTGGACAGCGACTGTTGGTTGTCGAAACCTTGGTCGGCGACGTAGTTCGAGACTGGGTTCATGAACTGATTCGTTATGGCCGAGTCGTACACAGCACCAGAGGCAGGGACGCCGTTCATATAGCTGACTTGGTCGTTCAGGGTGCCAGTTGACAGTCGATTCTGTTGGTTCTGCTTGAGGTGGTTGCGCGAGCCTTCCAAATGGTTCTGGTCTCCGGTGTGGCCTCTTCTTATCGAGCACTTTTGGAAGTGGCGCTTTAAGATGTCACTACGGGAGAACGTGTCCTTGCAGAGCTTGCACTGGTACGGTCGGTCGCCGGTATCTGGCCGTCAAGTAAGCTGAGTTCACACCAATACGACTTACAAGGTTCAAGAAAACAATGCATATCCTAGAGTCCCTCCCCGACGAAGGAACGGTCGGGCCAGCCGAAAGACAGGATCCCGGGAAGGATCGCATCAACGCGGAGGGTTCTTTGGATGCGCACTTTTTTCCATCTCTTCATAATGGGCTGCTGGGCCGTTTTGAAACACGGGAAAATAAGCTTACGTCGCAACATGTGCCGCTTGAGATGCTTCGCATGCAAATACGTCTTTGTGCAATGCGGACACGGAAACTTGCCCTCTTCGTTCTTCGCTGGGATCGGCATCTTGCCGTTAGGTGCGGCGCGCCCGGGCGCGCTGGGCAAAATGCCCCGCCGTCCCTGTTGTCCGACGACGTGTGTAGGTTCCGGTTCGCGCTGGGGTACGTAGCCCGGCTGAGAGACCTGGGCCATCAAGTTGTGATTGAGTCGAGGGAGGAGGTTGTTCTGCTGCAGAGAGGAGGCGGCATAATGCTGCGGAGCCTGCATCGCGACAGAGCCAGGTTGCGAGGAGGGGAAGGTCGGTGGGTGTAGCGTCCTTGGAGGTCCACCAGGCTGGCCGGGTTGAGGGTACGCGCCCGGGTCCGGCGGCGCTGACGAGGTCTGAGGAATCGGTGTATGAGGAGTGATCGGAGTTTGAGGCATGGAACCAGGCACGCTGCCGCCGTGGCCGTTGTACAGCTGCTGGGTATTGTAAGCCGACATTGGGAGACCGTTGATGGGAGGCAGAGTGTTGGACTCTACCTGCTGCTGTGAAGTTTTGCCAGCAAGTGCGTAGGACGGCCCCTCCATTACTGGCGGAGGACAAAGTGTGTCTGAGAGAGAAGAATAGGAAGCTCGAACCACGGACAAATGTGGGCCTGGAGGGACCTCATCCGAGTGTGGTATAGATGAATGTCAAACCCGGGGAAGGCCTGCCTCTTGAGGAATATCAAGATGGAGCAATTCGACGTTCGCAGGTCAACGGACCATGGGACGCAGCAGTGTGGAGCCCGAGATTGGCCTTGGGATTGGGATGGCCCGTTTTTTGTTGTTTATCGTCGATGATGCAGCAGGCTGGGTTGGCCGAAAAAAAAAATAAGGCGTCTCTTGGAGCTGCTGACAACTGAATGCGGTATCGGTGGATGGTCAGATGAAGATGGCTGATTATTCCCGTGACGGGCCGAAAATGATGTGACTTCTGACTCTGCGTGTATGCTGAGCCGAAGCAAGACTGAATCGATGCAGACGGCAAGATGGGAACGGAAGCAGATTTGGGGGGGTCGGAGGGGGGAAGGGATGTGGAATTGGCCGAAGGACAGTTGGTAGGTGGAATGGGGGGTGTGCGTATGTGGTAGGAGGGAAGCCGGGAGATCCGAGCTTTCGCGCCGTCGATGAACAGGAAAGCGACGTCGACGGTGGTATTCCGCAGCTGACGATGAATTTTTTTGGTAGCGGCCAAGCGTAGCAACAGGAGCAGTCGCAGCAGCAAACAGCAAGCAGCAGACTGCCGGGAAGGGCTTTTGAGTGGATGCAGATCCGACCCACTGGCTAATCGTGCTTCAAGCCTCTCCCGCTTCAGCAGCGCCCTGTTCTTCCAACGGAAATGGGTGGGGGGCTGTGCTCGCGCGACTCAACGTCAGGTCGTTCGCGGACCACGCACGCTGAGATGCACTGTACGGGTGCTTGTCGACGGTTTCAGGAACAGGGTAAAATCCGACGCGCCCTGGCGTTGCTCTGCAAGTCAGAGTGGAGTTTGAAGCGACGGATAGAAGTGGAGCTGTAGACCTGGAGCGCTGGAGTGCTGTGAAGCTGCCGGAAGCTCGTCGTCGACGAATGCCCTCAGGCCAAGCTGTGCTTGCGAGTCGCACGGGAAGCCGAAAAACAGGCTTTGCGTGTGTTTAGCCGGACCGTGAAAGGCGAATGACGACAGGAGTGAGCGCAGAAGGAAAATTTTTTTTATCCTTTCTCTGCCTCGCACGCGCCCGTGTGATTAGAAAAGGGAAAAAAAAAGCGGGCGATGCCGAAGTGGGTGTCGGCTTTGCAAGCTTTTTTCTTACGTATGCGCTCTTGGGGGAAGGGCAAAAAAGGAACGGACAGACCAATGCAGACAGAAGAACGCACAGCAGGGCGTCTGTGAAAAGTGATGAGGATGGCGAGGGGAGGGACAAGCAGGTTGGAGCGATTAGCTGGATGGAATTTGATGAACAGCGAACTGGGACGGGACGAGGTGGAACAATGGCCGTACCGGAGCTGGGCCGTGACGTGGGAATTTCCTCGCTGCTCTTAGCACCAGCACGTCGTGAAGAAAGCGGAAGGCTAGGGGAAGACCCTTTTCGGCGTTTGTTGGGGCAGGTCACCTTTCAGGTGGCGAGGAGGGAGCTGGCCGATTGGTTCGCGGCTGGAAGGCAGATGGCAAAAGAGATAGAAGCGTTCTAGCAGCTCCACGTCGAGGAAGGGCGGGAAGGCCGAGCCCTGATGATGGAGGGAGGCAAAGAGCGAGGTTGGCCGGGAGAGCGACGTTCGATCGTCTGCTCGTTCGTTCGACGGGGACGACTGTCTGGCGCGAGAGGCACACAGGAGGAGCAAGACAGGTAGATGGGATGAGCAGGGGAGACAAAAGCGAGAAGGAAAGAAAAAAAAGAAAAAAAAATAGAGCCAGGCGCTAGTATGCAGGCGGGCGTGCGTGGTGCCGCGAGTTGACGTTAGAGGCACAACACAGAGACACGCACGCGCTCGCAGCACAACAAGAGGACAGGCGGCGATGAGAAAACACCGTACCGGCTCGACGCAGATGCTCACGACCGGCCCCAAGAATAAAACGAGCAGGCCCAACTCCAGGCCGACGCCAGGCCGCACGCATGGGAAACTACTTCACGTCGCCATCGCGCTTGGCACGCCAGACACATACCACTTGTCTGTCCACCCCCTCGCCTCTCAACGCGTCCTTGTTGCAGGCAGAGTTGCACTGCTCGTTTCGAGTAGAGCAGCGAACAAAACCACGGGCCAGCCACAAGGCCCAAAAGCCAAAGCAACGGCTCCGGCCAGCAACAAAGCGCAGGGCGAGCATCCTGGCGCCCTCCGCCGCGTGCGACTCGGTCGCGCTTCTGTTCTGCTGCGTTTCCGTTCTGCGATGCGCTCTGTGACCGCACACTGTGCAGAGCATGCTGTGCTGTAAGCCAAAGCGCCGCTCCGCAGTCGCTCGACCGGGCTCTCGTATCTTCTGGCTCGATCGCGCTTTGTTCGCAGTCTCATGCCAGCATCGCCCAGCCCGTGGTTCAACCATCCGTCCCGGCTGGTTGGGCCTCGCCCAGCTGTGAACCATCGTGTGCCAGAAGCCGTCCAGAATCTGCCGCCCACACCACGCGGTCTTTGCGCCGAGCCTCAGCCGTGGTAAGTCATGCTCTGGACGAAGAACACGCGCAATTGCGTTACATTCTGAATCATGCCGCCGTCTTCCCTTCCGCCGTCCACTGCCAGCCCGTCTTGGCCCTTACGACTTGAGTGCTTCGTCGTGTGTTCGCTGGGAGATCGTCTTCTGTCTGATACGTCACCAGCCGACGTGTCCTCGAAACGCTCGAAAGGCGAACTCCCAGCAAAGCAGAAGACAACGCCAGCGTCCCCCCCCCCCCTTCCCCTCGCGCAGTCCGCGGAGGCAGCGAAGGGTATTGGCCCTTTTCTCCCTCGCCGCGGACTGCGCGTCCACCTTTTTGTTGTTCCCCGTCGGCGTCCTAGCCACGGCTGCTGGCCTACTACTCTTACTGCTGCTGCTGCAACTCCTGCTACGGGCCACCATGCTCTGCTCCTGCTGCCGCCGCCGCCCTGGAGTCAGTAGCTTCGTCAGTAGTCAGTCCCCTTTCAGGTGTTGGCCTGACCTGCGTCGTAACCCCGGTCGCATTCTTTAATGATCCGCTTAGGACGGCACTTCTGAGCAAGCCACTGAAAACGCCGAGCACGCACTCCATGGCATTGGCTACGTCTAGCGTTGGCCGCCCTCGCACGAATTATTCCCGAGAATAGCGAACCCAGTCATCCTGTTCCCTGCTTCGCTGGCGTTCTATCACGTGTCAGACCTCCCATCAGCGGGTGTGCGTGTCGCGCTGCCTCAGAGCCAATGACTGTGGACGGACGGGCTCAGAATGCATCGAGAGCAAAAGCCAGAAGACTCTCTACCGCCACACGTACGCGTTCGCATACACTTACAATGCTCATTCGCACACACACACACACACACACACACACACACACACACACACACACACACACACACACACACACAAGCACAAAGGACCCTGCCGTGACGTGCATGCAACAGCAGGAAACGCCTAGGCCCCTCGTGTCGTTGCGCGAGGTCCAATCAATGCCGCTTCTGCCTTGAAGCGCGTGTGCCGGGATAAGCATGGCAGGTACAACACGAAGGCTCGACCAGAATCGTTGACCCGCGTTCCATCGACCTGTAAGGCCTACAAAGGCCTGCAGAATAAAGTTTTCTCGCCACCAGGATCGTCGCTGTGCACTTCTTTGCCAGCGACCCTGTTTTGATGCTGCGCCCGACAGATTATAGACTTGGTCAAATGGCCGCGTTGCGTCGTTACGAGCACTGCGATCGAAATCTCTTTGAAACGTGCTCATAATTGGGATTCTGCTTGCACGTTACGGCGAAGCCTCATTTCTCCTTCTCCGTCAAGCAGCACAAGCCAGTCTGCACACGTACACATCTACACACGCACACACACACACACACACATACACACACACAAGAAAAAGGAAAAACACCGAGAGGAAGATTCGTGTCGCGTTTTGAAGAAATTGCCATCTGGTCACCACATCCCCGTCACGAGAGTGCAGGAGTGGAGCCAGCATACAGTCACGTCTTTCCTCGAAGTTTCGACATCGAATGTTCCATGGGCAAGGATTAGACGATCTCCCGCGCCTGACTCCACCAGAGCCCGTCCTGATATTTTGGACGATAAATCTTGACCACCGTGCAGCGCTATCCCTCCCCTGCTTGTAAGAAAATCAAGCTCCCTTCTTGGGACAAGACGCATCCTAACTTATTTTGTTTTTTCCCCCCTTCCCTTCCCTTTTTAGTGACTTTGCCCCTCTGCGGACGATAGCACCATGTTCTCTCTGGTGAGACGGTGTGCCCGAGAAGAGCTCGGTCCTGGTGTGTCAGACCGACGGTCAGACCTCCTCGGTTCTTAATTTGCTCAGTAATGTCTGTTTGATTCATGGCTTTGCGATCCGAAGATAATGCATGCTGATAATCACAATCGGATGACCTTTTCGGATGTGATCCTGGCTGAATCTGTGCTGCTACCTTGCTTACTTGACCAACGTGCGCAAAGAGGCGAGTTCACGACGTTGCTGTCGATGCTGCTTCAATCTTCTGCGAAGATTTGCGCGAATTTGCTGGAGCACGGGGCCTCTTCGACAGAGCTGGCCGTTCAGCTGATCAAGAGATTTGACTGCTGAAGAAACACGCTCGATGATCGAGCCTGTTTATCGCGGCGGCCCAAGTTGGCCCCAAGCATTCCAACCCCGCCCTCAGTTTTGTGGTTTTTGACGCGATTCCACCTGTCCCACATGATGCCCACAAAAAAAGCATTCGATCCGCTGCGTAGGCTTCGAACTCTATATTGACCTCACCTGGTCACGACTGTGCTTCTGCAAGAGTCGCTTGTCCAATTTCTGTGTATTTCAGGCTCAAGCACTCCTGGAGCGGAATTCACGATCACAACAACACCTGAACCGTCGGCCAGCTTTGCGGGCAACTGGAAATGGGTGACAAATTACGACGCAACTCGCCGTTTACCGCGCTTGGTGACTCCTGTACTAGGAATGTCGTCCCGGCAATTCTTGAACGAATCATGGTCTCCCGCTGCTTCACACTTGGTGATTTGTAATGACTTAGAAAGAATTCTTCGCGGCAAGTTCGGTCATGCCCAGGCGACAGCGATCCGGTCACTGCAGACGCATCTGGGCAAGTTTAAATCCTAGATTATCGGATCATGGCCTTGATCTAGTAAAACGGGCTCTTCACCGAAAGGGCGCCATGCCGGAACGATAACAAGACCAGAACGGCACATGCCTAGAGCTAAAGAACCAAGGCAAAGTAGAAGCGGCAACCGAATTTTAATTTGCGCCAACCAGATTCGATCTACCGACATGTGGTTGTCGCTCGTCGCTTATCTTTGGTCTGTTATTTAATTCTTGTCGGGTAATCGGAGAGACTTCGTCCCGGTATGCCGCCTGTAGACTGGCAACATTCCTCGGAAAGGACAGCTCAAGAAGAAGCATGCACATCACTCTGCGGTGACCTTGTGTGCCGAAATGATAAAGCCGCCACCAGCGAAGGATGATCATCGAACGACAAGCTCACGGAGTTTTCCTTTCGGAATCTGCTGCGTCATTGTCACACATATGCTGTGGAGCACAAAGACACCTTGTCTAGTGCGGCTGATTTTTTCTCATTGGGCAACGCTTGTGGCTAGTCGAACCACACTCACCTAGCAGGTCACATGGTGAGAATACAGGCCCGAGAGCAAGGGGGGAAAAAAATTTCCGCCGAAACAAACGCCATAGTCCTGTGAAATGTTGGCATTGAAGCGTCAAAATTTTTGTTCAACGCATCTCTTGTCATATCCGGGTCGATGTGCCAAGAGAATGAAGATTTTTTTTTGGGAAAACCACGCTGATTTTGTCGGGCGTGGATGAGAAGCATGAGAATCGCAATTGTAAGACAACAACCATCGGGTAGTAGCACCATTCGCGCGGCCTCAGCGTGAAATCCTCCCTAAACCATGACATGAATTTGTTCAAGGAGTCGCTTCATGGTTCGACGTCCAGACTAGGCAAAAGAAAGCAAAAGAAAGGGAAAGGATGGAAAAAAAGACCAGCGCCAAAGAAGAGACATTTCGACAATGCTGTGCGAAGTCTGTCCTGAACCCCACAAGCCGGTAGCCACGGTCAAAACGCGACACCTTCGCACGAACAAAGCTTGACTTGGCGACGAAGATCATTGCATGATCGAGTTCGTAGCGAGGTGAAGGGGAAGAGAAAGGGATGAAAGGGGAGAGGGCGGAGTGAGAGCAACGGCGCTGGGCTCGATCGCATGTCGAATGACGGCTCACGCCAGCGCCCCATTCTCTATCCTCCTCCTCCTTCTTCTCCTCTCGTACGGACAGCGTTAAAATGCCCATAATCCCAGGTCTTTCTGCCCCGTCTGTCTTGCTGCACGCATGGACGTCAACTGTGACGGCCAGCATCCAAAACGACCGCGGCTCCAGCTCTTTGACGCGTGTGTTGACGTGTCGTTGGGTGCGAGCGCGATAGCCCGTCGTTGCCAAGTATAGCAGATGACGTTTCTTGCGACGGCATTCCCTCTGCGCGGTCTGTTGGCTGCTCTGACCTGCCGTCTCAAGTCGCAACGGGATTGCCTTGCTCCCCCCCCACGTCCGTGGTACGAGCCCCGGGCACGTTGAGATTGAGGCACGTTCGACACGCGTCTGTTCGCTTGACGATCGTTGCGCGTTCGGCTGTCATGTTCGGCATGACGCTGGCAGCAACGCGCGGCGGCTGGACTCATCGATGCCCTCTCTGCACAGCGTAGGGAAATGAAGGAAGGAAGTTCGGCATGCAATTCTCTCAAGCCTTTACATAGTTCGCCACGACTGTACACGCCAAACGCATGGAAATACATTACACGCAAACCAAAAACCTGTCCCCAAAGACGCCTTTTTCTCATGCAGCGAGCCCTTCGGGAGCTTAACTCCGTTAAATCGTACAGCAACAGTGGGCCGTTCTTCCCTCTTAGTCTGTCTTTCCTCCGCCAACGTCGTGACCTACTCCCAGAATTCCACCAAACGCATTGCCCTTTTCGTCCAGCCAGATGCTGCCGCCGTTAGAACCGCTGCGTCTGCGTGCCCTGCGTCCCAGCACCACGGCCACCCCACTCATGCTGATGAGTCCGAGGAAGGACAGGTACGGATGCCTGCTCCAGGTGTTCTTCAGCTTCCAGAAGAACCAGAAGATGTTGCTGTGCGTGCTCTTTGGCGGCAAAGTAGGCGGATTCTTCAGCGTTTTCGGAAGCGTTTCCAGAATCGACGTGCGCGAGGGCACAATGGGGTTCCCCGTCGACGTCTGATCCCAGTACCGGCGGCTCTGTTTTCATTTACCTTTTGTCAGCTGCCGTCCGTTGTCGTTCAGCACTTCCAGAAGGGAAGGAAACCAAAAAAAGGGAAAAAAAAATCACGTACTCCTTCGTCGTAGATGATGACCCGCTCGCCATCAGTACGAACATCGACACCGAACGTCGTCTTGATCCACCTCTCCCAGAACATGCCGTCCACCCACATGAACCGAACGTCTTTCCGTTCAATGTCTTCCATCTTGATCCTAATGGCCTTCGCCGCCCTGAGCGCCTTTGCGTCGTTCCTGTCCTCCGCTTCTTCGATTCTCAGCTGCTTCGCGTCTCTCAACTCCTGTCTCTGGAGCTTGATCGCGTTCTGCTCACGATCGATCCACTCCAGCGCCGCGTTCTTCAGTTCCTTCTTTGCAGCGTTGAATTCCGATTCACGCTCCTTGCTCAAGATACCGAGGACAACGTGTTTGTTGGTCATGATTTCGTGAGCATTCTGGGCTGTAAGCTCAGGGACGAGCGGATGCCACACAGATTTCATCCAGGTAAGGACCTTGCGGGTGTCGCGCATGTCCTTCGGGGCCAATGGCGCATAATAAGAGGGCTTGCCTGAGCGTGAGACCATGAGACGTGGCCATGTGGAGATCTTGAAGCGCTTGTAAAGCTCTGGATCGTTGGTCTTCACCAGCTTCGCGTGGCCGACGAGTGAAAGGGTCAGTCGCTCAAGAGCCTCGAAGTCCTCGGTAACGGTCGCGTGGTCGTAGAAGTAGACAAATATAACCTCCTCCGTCTTCTCGAGCTTCTCAAACTGCTCGGCAGAAACTCTCTGTACGCCCGCTCCGACTTCTGAAGCCTTCCTCGCGAATGACGTGAGATCGCCGACGCCGCGAAGACCGTCGTATTCGACACGCTCTCCGCCACGGAAAAACAACATGGTGGGATAGCCTTTGATTTTCGCGTCCTTGCACAGTCGCTTTTCCGTCATGCAGTCAACCTCTCCAACGTTGATCACGCCCTGCATTTCCCGCGCCATGGAAGCCCAGTTGGGAGCCATGGCTATGCAGTGACTGCAGACGGGAGAGTAAAATTTGACGAACCACGGGTCGCGGGTCGTGGTGACCAGACGTTGGAATGACTCCGCGGTCAGAGGGACAGACCTGCCGTTTGGATTCGGAACACGTACGGGCTTTTTGACCGCTGCTGTCTCGGTGGTGGATTCTGGCTCAGACGCTGAAGCGGCAGCTTCGGCCGCAGCAGCAGCATTGTGCTTCTCTCCAGCCTTCCTGCCCGCTTCGGGATCCTTATCCTTTTGCTCACTCTTCTCGAGCTTGGCTGCCGGCTCAACGGAGTGCGCACCAACTTTGGGCAGCTTGGGTCCGTCCGCAGGTCTCGAGCCGGGTCGTATGCTCTCAAGCGTTTCCTCAATCCACTGGCTCAGTTCCTTGAGTGACTGTGTGCCAACTTCTCTCTTGACCTCAACGCCGTCCTTGAATAGGATGATCGTGGGGAAACTGTCGATCTTCTTTTCTGAACACGACGTTCCGAATGCCACGCAGTCGACTTTGGCGAAGTGGAAGTTGTAGTAGCGGGTGAACGAGTTGAGGTCTTTCGTATCGTCATCTGTTGTAGGTTTCGACTTTGACGTAGCAAGAGGGTCCAGAGTGTAGTAGTATTCGTACATAGTCTGCCATATCGGCGCCTGTTGCTTGCAATGGTGGCAATAGGGCGAGAAGAACTCAACCAACCTGCGTAGCAAGTATGGAGCGTTAGCCTTCCTCTTGCTTGACAGCCATTAGACTGTGGGCATAATTCCTACCAATAGCCATTCTTAATGTCTTCATCTATCGACGCTGCTGCTTGTATCTCCTTGATGGGTGGCACCTCTATGTCGTTGAACTTCGTGGACTTGGGCGCATCTTCATCTTCGGTTGCCGCCGACGCCGCCTTCACCAGGATTGGCGATGCAAGAGTTATGAGCGGTAATAGCCATGAAATTCGCATGGTGGAGGTCGTGTGTGGGGATCACCGTAAGGAGGTGAGTGATTGCAGCGCAACGAATGCGCTTGTGTCTGAGGGTTTGTGCCAGGAAAAAAAAGTATGATCTTTAGATCATGTATAACGAGTGTAAGGGAAGGAAGAGTAACGTGCCTACCGGCGTCAGGATGTGAGGAAACTGTTCCAGGTGGGAGGGTTAGATTAAGTTTCTGTTCGGTATGTCGTTTCTCACAAGGTGTCCTGGATCTGCGACATCTCACCCTCGCTTGCTGCGTCCCTTGATGCCAAGAAAACCCGCAATGCTATTGGCCCGCTGACATCGACCTTCAGAAGAGCTTCAGAGAAACACACCTCATCAACCCGATCACCAACCCATTGCCACTCTCACAATGCGCCCAGCGATTCGCCTGCTTGCTGCTGTGAGCAAGCGTCTCGAGCCCGGCAGTCCTACTGGTCTGGCTGGCCTCACCACGCACGGCGCTCCCCGCAGTGCTCTTATTTTCCTGTACACCTCCACACTCCGCAAATTGCAACAGATACCCGAGCACAGCGTATATCGACAAGCTACCGAAGCCCTCACGAAGCAACGGCTGTCCATCATTGAATCCGTGAAGCCGGCCGGTTACGACTCTTGGCTGGAGAAAGTTCAGTGGCAGATCCACAACAGGGGCGAGTCATACAGGAAGAATTTCGGCTTGGAGAACGAGGGCGAAGCCGTTGGCGCGTTCGCGTACACCAGATTTAAAGACCCGGAGAATCTGAAACCAACTAGTGGTGACCATGCAGGCGAGATTCCCGATGCAATGAAAGATGAGGTTCCGGACTCTATTGTGGAGATTGAACCGGAGCCACAAATGACTCTTGAGCAGTATGTTGCCACAGACGAGCAAGCGCGCATGATAAAGACTAATTCAGCTGTCGTAGAGTCCAAGAGATTGAAGAGAAGATCGGTGCAGGCTTGCTCGAGGAGGTCATCCAGGTCGCAGAGGGCGAGATGAGGTTGGTAGATAAGATGATTGCGAGCAAGGTGTAAGTGTTTTTTGCGTCCAAGACCGCATCAACAAGACGTGCTAATGAGTATATAGCTGGGAACCACTAGAAGAGCAAGCACCGGAGGGTCAGTGGTCGTATTTTGAACGAGGCGCACATTAGGAGAACTGTATCGCGATAAAGCTCATGGGGCTTATTGTCAAAGCAGTCCACCTAGCACCTAAGTGGACGTGAAGCATCAAAAAGCCATTAAGATAAAGCATATCGGATCGTTTTTCTATCGGCATATGCTGACACACTTAGATACTGGCGACCACGAGATCATGTACATATTACCCAAGTAAACATCGTGTAAAACATGGACCTCTTTCAATTTCTTGAATATTTCAGCTGTAGATCTTGACACTCTGCACCATCAGCACGTCTCTCTGGCATCACACTAGCTTTACGTGCAAAGGCCCTGGGTAGACGTTTAATGGTTTGAATCCAGTTACGAGCATTTTACAGCACATAGCATTAGAGTTTCATGTCGCTGGCTGTGACCAGATTTGTGATAAGAATCTGCAGCCCACTCTCGTACCTCCAAACTTTTACGAAATAATTGCGGATTGCCTTGTAATCTACGTGGACAGGCATTCAGACATTGATGGGATTAGTATGAAGCTCTCGTCAGCCCTTGTGACGAAGTCTCCAGAGTACGTTTTTACATATAGAACGAAACACATGCATGTGGGAACTTAGGATTTGTGGAGGAAACGACGAGGCATATGCTGGCTCCCTTCTGATGTCAAGGTCTCTTTCGTCTCAACCTCTATCGACAGGATGCTCGAGAGAGCCTATGCTTGATGTTTATCAAGAAGCACGTTAAGCTAGCATGAGTGTTGCTTCAGATTAAAAAGTCACAATTCTATCGCGACACCTTGAAGTTCAGAGTCTGCCATGTTGAGACAAGATGGCGGCGCATCTAGATGCTTTGTGCCACATAATCTATTGGACCAACGCTTGTAATCACCCATCGAATGTTGTGATTTTGATTGTAATGTGGCTGATTCTGCGCGTGACACTTTTATATGGTCTACCTAACGAATGCTTCACCATCTGTTACCAACGTCTGCTAGGTCCTCGCGGAATGCGCCGTAAGCAGGCAACGCTTCAATGTGTGTAGTATCTCTAAGCATTGAGTACTTATGATGTCGGATTTCACAAGTAGCGTTGACTATATTTGAATTATTCATAACAATAATAATGATAATCATATATACATTAACCGTCAGTCGAGCACGCGTTCCTGGAAGGTCAGTTCCGTGGTATGCTACCATTTTTAATTCAATTAATACAGCTCTTTCAGCATAACGAACTAGACCTGACCAGCGACCTTTCGCTGTTGTCAAACGAACTTGGTACTTCTCGCAATATCAACGACATCCGTGATTGGACAAACACTTTGATCCAAGCATGAAGTAGATTTGACTTTCGCATTTGGGAGAAGACCAAATCAGAAGCCGCGGAACTGATATGGGGAATTATGTCTCTGGTTCGACTTTAGACCCTTCACAAAACCTATCAGTTGGTTGGCGAGACCTATAGAGAGCAACATAGGGCTACCCCGTCGATCAATTGGCTGTACGGCCTTGCACATCGAAATGGCGAGATTATCACGTCCAAACACTGGACATGGTATTAAAGCTCGCGTCGCCGTGAGGCACTAATCTGATGCCTTTTTGTATGTGAAATCTTGATAAGGCGCTAAGAAAAAAAGCACCGTGCCACGTATGGTCTCAGAGGTCGACATTCAGCCAGGCCCAAGTCGCAAGCACTCGCCCAGCGTCCTGATCAGCCAGCTGATCAAATACGCTGGTGGTGACATCAAGATCGGTGGCTTTACAACCGACGCACCGATCGGTGACAGTCACATCAACACTCCTTTGGGCACCAACCTGCTCATTGTATCTCGACACGCGAATCTTCTTCCCGCACAGTGGATTCTGGTTAGGATCGCTGCCAGTTTGGGCCGCATCAAACACTAGATGACTGATTGCGACAATACTATCAGAGGCTGTGTTTGTGATGCCGCAAGCTCCAAGGCCGGGTTCATAGTACGTCAGATCGCCTGTATGGACCTCTTGATTGCTTGGGAGGGGAAGGTTCTGCGGGCTGGCTCACACAAGCATCAGCAATGGCTAACTAGTTGCGAATTGAGTAGACTACGAACCGGTGTATTCTCTTGAGACCCACGCCGAGTCCAATGGCCACGGCAAGGACAATGAGAACGAGTGCGAGAACACTGAGATAGAAGCTTCGACGAGTCAGGCCGAAGTACCTCTTCTGGCCTCCCAACTCTTGTCCATATCGCTGTGACAGCCTCTTGCTTTGCGCCGACAGACGCTTGCTCGCATTCTTCGTGCTGGGCTTGAAATCTCTGAAATGGAAGCTTCGCACTTTCTCAAAGGCATAGCCTCCGCTGCCAAAATCCCCAAAGCCTGTAACAACGCGCTTGTATGCTGGAACGGGTGGAGCCAAGTCCTCTTCGGAAGATGCGCGACGCGTCGTCTCCGCTACGGGGTTCTTCTCCACATCCTTGGCAAGATCTTGCTCTGATACGCTGGGTGTGATCTCTGGTACGTTTTCGAGCTTGGGCGAGCCATTCGCGATGCTTAAGGAGGGTACGGGCTTCCGAGGGATGGACATTGTCTCGGGTTGGCTGGCGAAGAGACGTGACCGAGAAAAAACATTAAGCGTGAAAGGAGTGGAGCTTTATCGCGCAGACACGAGAAGATCACAGGAAACAGATTCAGTTCATATAGAGAGCACGTAACGCCGCTTTTCAGGGGCCGCCGACGAGAATGATTGTTCCTGGCGATGAGCTCAGGCGGCTGGACCAGACGTCCCTGGGCAAAAAATGTGTGCAATTTCGTGGCGTAAAGAGGGCAACACAGGCTGACCTCGTGCTGTTCCTGCATCGGGCTAGCCGGATGAGTTCAAGACTGTCGCTCAAGCGGAGGGCTGCTGACATTCCCCATACCGCGTCAAAAATAGCGATACTTCAGAGGAAGGTCGCGCGAAGTAAGCAGCCTGGTGGAGATTTCAGCGCGACGTCCTCGCTAGAAGCCGTTGACGTCCGTTTTAAATACCGCAAGGCTGGGAGAAGTGGGGGACAGTGCGAGCCCGCATTCATCCTCCCCGTCGTTCTTGACAGAATATCAAACAGACGCCATCGTGATAGCGAACATCTTGAGACACTCGACCTATCCGTTCGCAACGAGTCTGCTCGCCAGTGCGCTGATGTCCTACTCGATTTTATCGTGCCTGGAGAATCCGTCTAATTGTTTCGCCGTCTTATCAAGAGCTCGCAGAGAAAGCAAATTCAACTAAAACAGATGGTAAAAAGGGCTTGAGAACGAGTGGAATTTCATCGGCCCATCATTCCGCTTCATACCACGGCTCATAAAGTCCCGAGCCACGCGCATGCAAGACCAGAGAAGTGTTTCTGTTCTCCAAAAGCCAAGTATTCTTTCATTCGATCAACCGACATGCGGAGCTACTCTAGAAGATATAGATGCTTCCAATCTCAATGAGGCAATTTGATGCTTCAGATTTGTTTGCTCATTTCAAACATTCTCAGGTCTCTGGTTGCTCGCATATGCGGACGATGAGCAAACGCTGGCCGTATAACTTTAAGAAAATACTCGTGGATCTGGGCTCCAGCATCACAGCACTATAGTATGTGCTCAAGAAGAGCAAAGGGGCAATATGCGGAAGAGACAGCCTGAACAGGTCCCAATTCAATGATGGGCTATGAGTTGGACTTAGTGATTAGCATGAGCCTGCTGAAAATAGATCCCAGCTGTGGTTGCGGGGAAGCTCTCAAAACTTTCACAGTCTGGTTGAACGTTTGGTGCCCTGAACTTCAAAAGGAAGGCCCTCTTAACATTACACGGACAAGTGCTGAGAGGTCATATCGTCCTTTGTCCGGATAATCTTGCACGAGATGATTTAAAATTTCAAAGCGATGAGCATGAAGAGGAAGTTGGTCTTTTAAGGAGGTAAAATAGCTACACTTGGGTTCAGAAGATTCTGATTCTCAATAATCTGCCATAGGAGGACGCCCAAACTCTCCGTGCTCAGCGCCTACCTCGACATTCTAGCTCTGGAGATTCGCACGTATGGATTCACTATCGCACTCACGACTTTGTAGTCCGCCTACGTTCCCGTGAACCATTTAGGCAGGCAGAAGCTTCTATCTCGTTTATTTAGGTGAAAATTTGTCATCTCTTTCAAAAAGAAACTGAGGCTATCTGTTGTTAGGATGATCGGTTCTTCGCAGTGTATTCGGAGAGCCATTCTTCTAGTAAATTTCTTTTAAATTCGAATCAAGTCCCATGTGCAGGAATGTCTTTGAAATGATCATAAATTCGGTGTCCTTAATGTTCCTTAGGCGGTGCTTGCACTTCTGCTAGAGTTTATTTGATTCTGAAATTCTAGCTCTTGGAATTTTGCTATCGGTTGAAGCATCCAAGTTTCACGGCAGCACAAAACGAGACTGCTTTAGCTGTCCATCTGGTTCCAATTTCTGCCTGAAGTGACGGTGAATAAGAAACATGACACAAAGCACACGGAGGAAGTTGTGAAGGTTCTAAGCAAGAAAATGATGAAAAGGAGCTGATGACGACGATAGTTTTCAAATATGCCGTCGACGAGTTTCTTATGTCCTACAGTTGGAGACTTAATCGACGGACATGCCAGATAAATATGATAAATATGCTATCAACACAGTTCGTAAGGGCGCAAAGACGTCTGTCATATTGGATAGTTTTGATAACGATAGTTGAAGTTCCAAGTATGACGACAATACCACAGCCAGCTAAGCACTTCTTGTACAACTTCATCTTTTGTCTGGATAATAATGCACTCCTTTTATGTGTTTTGGATCGAAAGTAAATGACGATTGATATAGCATTATGTGAAAAGTGGTCAAATCATTCGAATCTCGATGCTGGACATCTTTATGAAATTTGAGCTCCGTATATGCAAGCAAGAAGCAATAGTCTTACAGTCTCGTAACAGTCTTACAGCGTCAAGAGAGAAGACAGATTCAATTCCAACCGCGCTGACTAGATGACCCCTACGAAAGGGTTTATTTTCCAGTTTCAGCGCGCTCCAGTTTTTGTTATTTTGGAATGCCCTAGAATATCGAAGCAGGAAAATGAGTCCTTCTTAACAGATTAGGACTTGAGCGAAAGCATGAAGTATGTGAGACGTAAAGGGGTGATCATTTCGCGCTTACATTCCTATTTAGTGCTAGCGCAACATGGAAACGACAACGGACCTGCGTAGTCGATGGCGATCAGGCACATTAAAGCAGAACAGAAATCGCATTATCAACTACTATACCTCCGCCATCATCAAGCTATCGCTGCTGAAGTTGCCGATCTACTGCGATCTCATTGAAGACCTTTTAAAGTCCGCGTAAGATCGTTTACGTCGGCAAGGGCACTGGTGGTTTCGGTCTTCAGCTCTGCCCTGGAGATCTTAATCGAGCATGCAACAGCCACCGCTACAACCTGTCGATGAATACAACCATGTACACGACATGGCTCCGACATCTGAAGCAGGCGATGAACCAAACATTCGAGAGCTAAATGATGCTCTGCGCGTGCTCGTTGATTTGTTCCCTGATGTTCAGCCCGATGTCTTCAGGGAGATGCTGGTCCGCGTCTCCCCCAGCAGTCGAGTAGAAATCGTTGCTGAACAGCTGCTCAAGCATGATGCTGAGTACATCCAAGGTCGCTACCGTCGAGGCTTGGTCCATGCTTCAAGCCCTAGAAGGAAGAGGCCAAAGACAGCAGAATCTGCGTCCCGAGAAAGGTCGTCAGACGACGACACGCCTAGGCTGCGTGTTGAGGAGATGTTTCGGAGCCAGGCGTACAAACAGACGGTCAAACGTGCGCTTTACGATGAGTTCAAAAGTCTCTCACATGCTACCATCAAGGCTGTGCTTGCCGAGAATAATTATCACTACACCCCTTCGCGCGGCGCGCTACTTGATATTGCATCAAAGTCGTGGCGTGCATCGATTGCGGACTTTTTCTTCCGACGAAAGACACCGTCCTCAAGTACAAACCCTTTCGTGTCATGGACAGCATCAAAACATTCTAGCCAGAAATTCCCGAATCTGATGAGCTCTGGCAATGCTGAGCTTGACGAGGAGCTAAACAGGACGCTAGTCCTGCCTGCTCTGCAGCGAGAACGAGAAGCGCAGAATATCATAGATCACGCCTTCGCCCATCAACTTGCAGAGCAGGAAGCACAGGAGGCACTCGAGGAGTACGATTGTGAGGTATGCTATACCACAGTCTCCGTGAACAAGCTGGGAGTATGTGATGATGGCGGACACTTCATTTGTTTCACTTGCATCTCAAGGACTATAACGGAAGCTCTCTATGGGCAGGGCTGGTCACGCAGCGTATCAGACTCAAGAGGCACGATGAAATGTGTCGCGCCAATCCTGGATGGCTCGGGCGAATGTAATGGATGCATTCCTTTCGCTCTGGTCCGCCTCGCTCTTGCGGATCGAGAAGTGCGAGGCGAATCAACTCTTCAGAAGTTTGAAGAGCGGCTCGTCAGCAGCGCGTTGCAGAACGTGTCCGCGATCATGGTCCGCTGCCCTTTCTGCCCATATGCGGAAGTCGACGATTTGGATCTTTGCAGATCGCTCAGTGTGCGCTGGCGCGATCCTCGAGAAGTAAAAGTTTTGGGTTTCTCGCTTCTGCTCTTTCTGGTTTCCATGGATAGATTTGCCTTGTGGTTGCCTCTCTTGCCTTTGCTCTACGTGAGTCTAGCAAATGCATTGCCGGGATCATACAACCCGTTGAGACCCACTCTCCTCCGGCTTGCGCGGAAATCCCGAGGCCTTCGTTTCACTTGCCGGTCTCCAGAGTGCGGAAAACGCTCTTGCTTGCGCTGTCACGCTCTTTGGCGCAATCCACATGCCTGTTACTCCACACAGCTAACCACGCTTCAAAAGTCTATTGAAGCGGCGCAAACCGAGGCCATTAAGCGTGTTTGCCCAAAATGCAATCTATCCTTCGTCAAATCCTCTGGATGCAACAAGCTGGTCTGTCCGTGCGGGTATAGCATGTGCTACCTCTGCCGGGGAGAGATAATCAAAGGCGGCATTAATGGAGGATACGATCATTTCTGCCAACATTTCCGTATGAACGGGGGCAGGTGCACGCAGTGCGATAAGTGCGACTTATACCGCGAGGAGGATGAGAGGGAGGTGCTAAAGTTGGCAAGAGAAAAGGCTGAGAAAGCATGGCGAGAGGGCGAAGGTAAAGACATCACTATACCAATGCCAGAAGTTGCAAAGCTAGTTGAGATCCGTCCCGGCTGGCGCCAAATCCTTGATCCGCGGTGCTGGCAGATGTGGCTGGATAGACTCGTGGAGCACTTTGTAATCGTGACTGTCGAATAGAAGAGGGTAATAGCACAAACATTTCTAGTTCAACGTCCTACGGATCCACCTTTAGCATCGGCCGTCATGACACAGTTGTCTACATGGGTAGCACAAAGCATGAATCAAGTCATGTCCGATCAGCTTCACGGCAAGGTGTCTCGGTAGATAGGAACGTTCTACATGCCACGTCTGATAGAGGGATCATCGAGCAGCGATATAGACACAGATTCAATTGTCGCACAAGAGAAATGCTTATGTAACCACAACACTGAAAGAAAAAAAAAAAGCCGAGCGTTTACCAACGGGTTCGATTTCCAAATCGCCCCCAGCCGTCAAGTACGAAAAGACTGGTTCGAGTGAACTCAAAGAGCGCAAGACTCTCGGATATCGCGCCGGTGAGTCATGCAAAGCGATAAGGCCGCCGATTTACCACGGTCTAGTTTAGCGGCCGAAACGTGACCAGGATCCTCCGTGCGCTCCACGCAGGCTAGAAAGCTTCCCCGCAAAAAGGGCTCGCACTGTTTTTCGCTTAGGCGGGAAGCCTTTAACCTCATGTTGCAAACGCGGGTGGCATTGCAAGAGATCATGAGATCACTGCCAAGACCCTGGATCGCATGCACGCACGAGTGTCTTTGAAGTCGCGCAGCCTGGACAAGTGCCGACGTAGCCGTTCTCAAAAGACGGACGCGCCAGTCGAATGGAGCAGTGGTGGCCGTGAAATCCTGGAGGCTGAAAGGGCAGTCGCTGTACGACGAGGGCAGAAAGCAGAAAACGACGTTGGAAGACAGTCTGGAAAAGGGAGCGGGCAAACGAAACCGTCAAAATCGATTCCACATATCTAACATTACGCATCTAACCTAAGCACGTTGATGCTCTGCTGAGGCGAGTGCTGTTCGAATTTACGCGTTCGTTGACCACGTGGATCCACAACGATAGAACAATGCACACATGTATCGTGTTGAGATGAGCCAAGATCATTGTCAACATTGACATAAGAGTACATTTCAACCACGCAGATCACGTCATTAAAACAGACCAGTCACAAGCAGAGTAGCTGGGTATCAGAGGTGCATCGTTTAGTGGACGCTGCCCTTGCGCTGTGCGGCGTGTTAGCGTAATTTCAAGAGCGACAAGTATCGAGTGTACATACCTCGACGTCCATAACGATCTCAGGGTTGAGCTCGCCCTTCTCGGTGACACCCATCTCCTGTGCGAAGGTGGTGGTTGGCTTCCACTTGGCGGACTGGCGTGGGCTAACCTCCTCGAACATGCGGTCGACTTGTTCGAGGGTAAGACCCTTGGTCTCAGGAACGAGGAAGTACGCGTAAACGAAGCAGCAGGCGCAAAGGGAGCCCCAAATGAAGAAGACCTTGGGGCCGAGGTTTCCTTTGTCTTCACCGACCATGTAAGGAGTGATAACGGCGATGATGCAGTTCCACATCTGAATCGTGATGTTAGCAAGTCGTCATTTCCATGTTGAGGCAAACATTTGATACGTACCCAGTTGGAAGCAGTGGAGAGACCAACACCGCGGGATCGGATGGGCAGAGGGAAGATCTCGCCAATGACGACCCAGGCAGCCGGGCCCCAAGTAGTTGCGAAGAAGAAAATGTAGATGCAAATGAAGGCGATCATAGCGCTGACGGTAGCGTGGTTGCTTCCGTCAACGGTGCCGGCAATGGCGACGATGAACTGGCAGACAACCATACCAGCGGCACCGTAGATGAGAATGGTTCGGCGACCGAAACGCTCAATCATCCAGAAGGACAATGGTGTGGAGCAGACGTTGACTAGCGTGGTGATCAGGGAGATCAAGAATGGGTTGGAAATGGTACCGAGAGACTTGAAGAACGATGTACCGAAGTAGAAGACGAAGTTGACACCAGTCCACTGCTGCATCATCTGAAGGGAAGTACCAAGGATCGTGCGGCGCACGTTGGAGCCGGCCTTGAAGAGGCTGCCGCGGAAGCAGTTGATCCAGCTGTTGAAGTAGCTGCCCTGAGGAATGACCTGAAGCTCGTACTCGTGATTGGCAACAATCTCGGCAAGTTCCTGCTGAATGTACTCGGAGTCCACGGGCTGGCCACGAACACGGGCAAGCACCTGGGCGGCCCTGTCGATGCGACCACGCTTGACGAAGTAGCGAGGAGACTCCGGAAGCAAAAGCAGACCCGTGCCGAGGATGAGCGACCACAAGAATTGGATGGCAATAGGAATGCGGTAAGAGCCAGTGTCGCGGCGGTTCTGGGTGCCATAGTCCACGCAGGAGGCAAGGAGCAGACCAATGGTGATGCAGAACTGATAGCCAGAAACGATGGCACCACGGACCTTGCGAGGCGCGATCTCAGACATGTACAGAATGATGATGGCGGAGACGAAGCCGACGCCGACACCGGCAATGACACGGCCAACGATGAGAAGCTTGTACTCGGTGGAAGCGGCCTGGAGGATGACACCGATGGTGTAAACAAGGCAGCCGGCCAGGATGGTGGTTCTGCGGCCGATGAAGTCGGCCAGGTCTCCAGCAATGATGGCGCCGAGGAAGGTGCCGAGAGACAGGAAGGAGACAATCATCGACTGTTGCCAAGATGGAAGCGCAAAGGAGCTTGAGCCGCTTTCACTGTAAGGCAAGCCGGTGTACTTGTGCACGACGTACTCCATGGACAGCACACCGTTGATGTAACCGGAGTCGTAACCGAAGAGGATACCGCCGAAGGAGGCAAAGACGCACATCAGGTACGCCTTCCAGGTGACGGGAGCCTCGACCCGATTGACATCGGTGGTGGCGTGAAGAGTGACACCTCCGCCAGGCATGTTGGTGGTTGTTGGACTGTGATCCTCCTGAAGGGTTGGCGACGGAAGAAGAGCTGAGCAGCCGGCGATCCTGTTCTAGACGAAGCACACGAGAGGCCTGATGGTGCGCGGGGTGGTTGGCACTTGGGAGGGACAGGCACTTCAGGTGACTGAAGCTTGACCGCGAAGGCAGATCGTGAAGGAAAAAGTAAACGACGATCGCTCAAGCAAACGTGCGGGGGGATCTGGGCATTTGTACTCGCAATCTGGCCGTGGTGGCACAAAATTTCGTCTGCACTCTGCGGCCCAGCTTAGAAGCTTGCCTAGCACGGTGGTGACAGACTGGAAATGTGATTTATGCCGCCTGATTTCCCCAATCCTACAGTTCTGCTCCGACGCTAGCCCATCCCGCAAAGCGAGCAGCAAACCGCGGACGATGATCACTGGTCGAGAACGGCTCTGGCCAGTGTGGTCGCCCCATACCTGGGGTCATGCTCGAGCCCGCATGCAACAGATTTTCCACGATCCATGTGCTGATGAGAAAGCGGTGCCCCAGCTGGGGGTGAACTCCACCGTCCGCACGCAACACGCGTGACAAAGCTGCGGGAGATTGACCTGGCCCAGATCTAAGCTGAAAGGAGACACGGCATCCGCTGGAGAGGGGCAGGTCCAGCAGTGGGCGGGCATGAGGCCGGCGTGCGATCCCAACGCGCACAGCGGTTTCACGGGGTGACATTCGCAACGCGACGAGGTGGTGCATCGCGAGGTGTCTTTGGCTGAGCTGCGACCGTCCGGCGCTGGTTACGTCGACGGCACAGCAGCGCATCGTGTGACTGGCCAGTCCCAGAGTTAAGCCGCAGCCACGCAGCGGCTTCGCAGAGCGCCGTTTGTGGGGAACCGCATCACCACCATCGGCCCGGCCTCGTCATTGGCGACAAAAATTTCGACGCACTCGGCGCCCGCGCAGGCCGCTCGTTGGACGCCATCAGGCCGGTGGAGATGACGATGTCGCTCCGTCGACCAGACGCTTCCACGCCCTTCAAATTTGCCCAGCACGAGACCGGGCTCGCCACCGGCCCCGATCTGGGCGCGTCGGCAGAGCATCCACGGCTGGCGGCGCAGGACGTGGCCGTCGCCTCCTCGCGCTCGACGACGATGCGCGCGCCTTGCTGGGCCTTGTGCTGAGTGCACCCGCGGTGTTGACGGCCTCGTCTGGACGGCTCTCTGGCGCACATGAGTCGCGCAGCCCATTCGGAATGCACTCTCCCGAATCCAGCAACTGATCGCCGGCAGATGCATCTTGCAATCACGGCTAGGCCCCTCGGAGATCATACAAATGCGCCGTAATAAACGCATCCCCAATCGCGCTGTAACGTCGCATGGGTGCCGCCAAGCCAGCCCGCCACCCTGGACTGACTTTCTCGCCTACCAGAGCTTGTATACGTCGAACAGTGGAACTGGATCCTGGCTCGACGGCCTCCCCTTGACTGCAACTCGGGTCCTCCTCCAGCGTCTGACATTGTTGGGGGAAGAGGAGGGGGTGTGGGGAGATGACTTCGGGCGCATCGCCTGCGTGTACTCCATGTTCCTTGCTTATAAACTTCGTATCTAGAAGCGAGTTGCTTGCTCCCGTCATCCTTCTAGAATTCTTCCATCTCGTTAGGCCAGGCAAGCGTTTCTGGAGTCCACCAATCAACACATCTGCCTTGGCTGCCGCGATTCACAGCTTAGCTTTTTGGATGGTTGCCGTCGCAAGGGTCAAGGGGATTTCTGCCATGCAAAGAATATCGAATCGACAACACAGCGATACGAGGTCTGCATTCTGCACGATCTGTCATCAATACATGACGCCCTAAACGCCGTAGTTCCTTCTAGTGGCGCTCTCTTGCGGTAACCGAGCCCCAAACTTTCTAAAGGAGGCTGGACCAAATCGACCGATATTCGGGGCCTCCGCACTGTCCACTTCGGCCTTCACTGTGGGCGGCAAGCTCTACGACCACGCCATATGTATTATTCTCTCACCACATGCAAGCACTCTTTCAAAACCTCTCGTCATTTCTCATTTGTGGGAGAATCGTCTCCAAGCCCGTAAGCAGCGCACAGGCTTTGATTTTCAGAAGCGAACGATGTCCCGTGCGACTGTTGGGCATCAATCCACATCGTCTCGAGTCTGGCAATCTCGTTTTCTTTCCCGTGGAGTGACTCCTGTTCTCCACTTCAGAGTTTGAAGGAGAAAAAAAAAACGGACCAAAAATTTTTCACATGTGACGACGCTAGCACTACTAACTTAACTAGTTTTGAAAGACGCCATGTGGAAACCATCATGGCCGAGAACGCTAGAGGCTCTGCGGATACGTTAAATAAGCTCAGACGCAAGCGGGACCCAGTCTGTTACGGGTAGTAGCTCCGTCAGACTGTCGCATGCTTGTACTGCCAGGAGCATTCTGGAACGTGGACATCGCGGTAAGGATGGTCGGTACGTTCTGGTAGCGTACACAGCGTGCGCGTTGTCTTCGCACTTTTGTGACCGCGAGACGAAAGCGTGCTGTATCCAAGAGCTTTGATACCGTCGCAACTTGCCGGATGCAACCATGATCCCCAACACGCATTCCTGGGGGCGCTACCGACCGTCTGGCTTGCATCAGGTTGTCTGCGTTCGCTATAACTTACATATGTCGACCCTGAGTAAGCTGCCGGCATAGCTGGTCGATCCTTTTGAGCGCACCTTAATTATCAAGTGGCGCATTGCTCCGTCGTCAAACCTCAACAACAAACACAAAGTATCGCATCCCCAGATTCTCAACCCGCTGTTACACACGAGAGAAAAACCGGACGTGATTCGGCCTCGCCTAATCGTAAGGACGTGCGCCGCTAAATGTCACGATTTGTAAACTTTTGTCCGAATTTTCAGGTCGATTTCGCTTGGCTTCCAATCTCCTACACCTCGAGCACGGAGTACACCACAGACCCAACTTTCCCCACCTAAATTGTCTAGATCTTTTACTAGCTGCTGGACTTCGTCAGTCTCTCGATCACTCGCGCCGTACCTGAGTATTTGTGCTCCACTGTCATAGCCACATGGCTTCTTATTTCTTCATGTCCATGTGGGGACAAAATAGTCTCAACCATTCCTGTGTTTTGATCTTAGCCGTTTGTTGCGGCTAACTTGACGGTAGCTCCGAACACTTGAGTTACTTCGGTGTTAAGATGAGTTAATTATTAATGAACGGCGACCGAACTACGTCTTGAGTTTGCGTGTCGATGCTGCAATCGCAGCATTGTCCATCTCCTGACACTTCCACTCAGCAATTGCATCTGAACTCATCTTCGCGAAACTGTTTTTACTGAATTCTCCAGTTCAGACCAGTAGCGGGATCAGAGACATTGTGATATCTCTAGTAGCATCCTTGCGAAATGCCTACTCCGTTTTTTTTTCAACGTTATATCTGCCTTCGCCTCGTGAGAATTCTCGAAATAAGATCGGGACATGAATTTGAATCTATCCATCATCTCTGGTAGCGGTGCATCAGTTGGTCCACGTCTGCTTGCTCTTCGGACTCGACTGGCAGTTTGCGACTAAAGCGCTCAACACATCCTGTGCTCGGTACGACGTCTGCGCGCGAAGTCAGGAACTACAACTAGAGATACGGACACACGACTCCTCAACTTCCCTGAAACCCGGCGTGCTTTGTCGTAATTCGATTTGGAGAAGGCTCCACTCCAAGCTATGCTACAAGAATGCCTTTAATGAGCGGATCCGAGACTAAAGAGAAGGAAATATCAAAATGTGAAAAATGCTGATATACCAACTGGAGCTCATAATCATATCTTTGACAATACTGTAGACTTTCAGACGGAGCTCAACGTGGTCTGGGTGTTCAGAGTGTGCACAAATCCGCCAAGATAACAGGCCAGTCAATTCGACATTACGCATGTCTGTACTGACATATTAAGGTCAAGCCAAGTCCCAATCACGATTAACAAAAAAAAATTCGACTTATGTTTCCGAGGGCTGTAAGAGGGCTAGTTCCGTTATGGATTCCATATTGAGGTTTCTTCGCTTAAGACCTCGAGACGATTTTGGCAATTTTGCAAAATCCGGACAATGATCCAGTCAAGGCAACACTCTTTGTAAGACTGACGACCGTCGCAATGACCAGAAAAACTCCAAGGCTACTCATAAGTGACTCAGGTTAGAGCTACTCATAGCACTTGTGAGCAAATGATCTCCAGTAGCATGATCAAAGTTTGTATTCACAAGGTAATATATGACAAGGTATCATTGGCCTTCGTTACTCATTTCCTAATGTCGAATCTCACGATTCCACAATCATACCAAAAAGAGGGTGGCCGAATGATTTACTTGTTACGAACTTAAATTCTCATTCTGAGCGATTGTTTGATCAACCTAGTCAACTTGAGTGGATCCTGTGAACGGGGGTGGGCTAGACGTAAAGAATTCCTTCAAGCACACATCTTTGAGAAGGTTTTTTAACGTACTGGTTGAGTTCAGAGTCGATCGTTTACTGCTAGGAAAACGAACGGGCTACTGAATTAGCATCATGTCAGATATTGAATGGACACATGGTAGGCTCAGCTGCTACCGGTTTCTGGAATTCACCCTCCAAGTGGAGGCTTAAGTAGGGTACCGTCCCATATAGTACGTTGTGGATTTCCACTCGGGAAACAATGTAAATTGTGATGCTGGAAGTTCCTCCTGATAAGTATGGTGCTACTTCTTGCAATGATAAAGTGCTATCCGCCAAAAGTTTATGCTAACAATTGGGTGCGCATCGAGGTCTTCGATTTGTGCACTCAGCGTACAGATCCAGGTTACTTGTCTTGATAACGCGGAGCACAGTTTTGCTAGCGGGATGTAGATAGGGGTTTTTGACATGCATATATGATTTCTCACATCGCAGGCATTGTATTTGTGGATCACAGAATGAGGAGCATGCTCTCATCCAAGTGCACGCATGTCACGACATCAATGTTTAAATCAATTTGCATCGCTCCGAGCGTTCTTCATAAAGAAATGAGTCAAGATCAACACGATTGACTTCTCCGACCAAATAATAACCGGGATGCTATATAGTCTATCATGACGTAGACTATCAATAGTAATTTCCTTGATTTTTTGGTAGGTTATCACGATTGATCTAATTCGTCGGCCGCGGGGCTGAGCCTAAACATTTTGCTCATCATCGAGCAGAATACTGGCCACAATGCTTCGTACCTCAACAAATAACCACACTGTATAGTTCTCTTGTTGATTTGGGAGTTATCGCCATTGTGTCATCTAATCCCTCGCAAGTCCACAAAGTACTTTTAAGAACGCAGAGCTTTGCAGAGCGTTGAAGAAATAATATCCGATACTACGTTAAGCAGATTTTCTCTCCGAGTAGAAAGACCACAATTATGGCTCAGCTACATGATCATTCGAAAGGTAGTATCTGCACGTATGAAGGCAAACAAGTAGCTAACTAGATTAATGTCGTCATGCGCTAGGGAAAGACTCCGATTTCTCGCCAACAGTGTCAAACGGCAGACGTTCTCCGCATTTCAGGTGGCCGATCGCGCATTCCAATCAGCGATCCAAATCCTAACTCCGCCATATCCACCATATATGCTCTGTTCAACAACGTAAGAGGTTTCCGAGCCACGATCCGGATGCCTAGAACGTACGCTGAATGGCAACCGTTTTAGGGGAAATGTCACATGAAAACCGTAGCAAGAATGGCACGTCTAAAAAGCCGTCTCGTCAGCGCCCGCTACCTCCGGATGTAATGGCTCGAAACTTGGCGATTGAGAAGCAGCGTCGAGAAGCGCTCAACGAAAACTTCTTGGTAGGTCTGCTCAACCTCTGTCGGCCAAGGCAACACGGAATGGACTGCTTAAAGATATTACATGTGTAGGATTTGGCTCGCTTGGTACCAGCTCTAGCCTATGCACGGCGGCTATCAAAGGGGCGCATCATATGCGAAAGTATCCGACATTTCCGACATCAGCGCGAGATGTGCATAGCTGCAGCTCAGGGCGTGCAAGACTTGCTTGCGGAAAACGATCGACTGGTTTCAGAAGTCAACGCACTGCGTGCCCAGCTTGGGGAAACGATACTCCCTCCTCGGGAACCCATGCCAGCAACCGAGGCGATGATAGAATTAATGGCTGTCAAAGACGAAGTTTATGGAGAATTTCCCGCTGGATTTGGCGATAATTGGGCATACAGCCCACAAGAAGCACATTACAACCCAGCTCCCGCTGAGATTGGGGGCAGGATACCGTCGCCTAATGAGATGCTTACAAATTCGGATCCACCATGTCATACACAGCAATCTAGTCAGAGTGGTTCGAATCTGTTATACCATGGGGCATCTCCTACGATGCTTTCATTAGAACATTGCGAGCTTGATTCAGCGAGATCTGTTCCGTGCTGGGATGGTCAGTCTTTGCATACTATCAATCCTCTCGTGAATCCGTTCACATATGCTCCTGTTTCGACAGGGCAACTCATGTCGACAGAAACGTTGCAAAGTTTTCCTGAAACGATGGCAACGTCCATAGATCCCACCGCTCTCTTTTGGACCCAAGGCGCTGAGTTGGGAATTAATAAGACCAACGACTGCATTACTTCTGCTATCTGGCAATACTAAAGATCAAAATTTTTCTGAACAGTTTGACTTTTAACTACGCTTACAATATTCCTGTTTTGTCTACAAGGCTTCAATCCGAACTTCATAAGACTGAGAAATTGATTGTTAAGATCGTTGCTTCCGCCTGTAATGAGAACAGCCCACTACTATGCTATGGGACAGAAAGTCGTAGGTAAGAAGCTCTATGGTGTTTACCAATATTCTGCAACATCTTTCACCCGACTGTATCAAATTCAACAAACGTAAAGGGTTGTAGGGACTTCTCCCTTGACTACTTGCTTTCCATGTACTACCGCCTTTTGTAGTGGAAATGGACAGTGGCCTGTCTGTAACTTCGTTTTGACTCTATATGAACTGACGGAAATACAGCAACATTCCTCGATGTAGTTTCTTCCACAGTGATTCGTTTACAGTGACTTGGATTCACATTCTGCAATTTGAAGGCAACGAAGATGAGCCGCCATGAGCGATGACATATTTAAGAATAACTTTGAGGTAAACTTTTGTTGATTTCTTCCCAAAGTTCTCTCTTTAAAGCCTATTTCCAAATTGTGCTGAGACTGCATTACATTCGATGCATCATTCGATTCCCGACGTCCGAGATCGCATTCTGTTCGCAGTATTTCCGCTCAACCCGCCGTGTTCCTGTTGACATGGATCAATAACGCAAGGGTCTCTAAGCCTGTACAGGCAATGCATTAGCGTGGCAGATCATGCCAACTAGTGATTGCAAACGAAGTTCACATGAAGTTTTCCAATGCCTTTTGTTAGCACAAGGCTACTCTCCATCCCGCACTAACATACTGCCAATTACCGTCCAGGTGATTTTGCTGCTCGAGCTAGAACTGCAGACAAAACTGCACAGCATGGTCCTCGACTGTACAGGAATTACGTTGCACGATACAATCTTTTGTTTATTGTGGAACCGATGAACTGTACAGGTGGTATTCTTCCCAATTGGCTAAAAGCTCCTTGTGCAGCAGGGAGTATAAAATGAGTTTCTGGAAGAATAAATTGGACAATAAAGCACCGTTCACAGTTCAACTTACCTCTTCGTCTAGAACGCTACCTGCTCTGTCTTTGTACAAACTCCGTTGCAGAAAATGGGAAGCCAGACTGCGACGACGTGGCTCGATAAGCTCCATGAGCAACGTATGAATTACAGCAACGTACTTCCTAGCGAGATATTAATTTGGTCATCTAGTTAATGTTGATATTGATTGCATGGATCCCGCTGAAGCAAAAAAGCTTCCATTCGTGCCAATGGATCAAACTAGCAATCAGCGCCTAGTCTATCAACAAATGGTAGCCCCGGAAAACAGGGAGTTGTTCCTTGCTGTCGCAAAGGAGTTGAAAGAGGAAGGCTGGAAGGCCATTTACTTTCGCATGGTAGGTCTAGCAAGTTGTACTTGTTCCAATATTGCAACACTGACTCAGAGCTTCAAACGTGACAGGCCGCTGAACTTTGTGCTCTCAACATCGGGAATCTCAGGGGTCGTGTCCTTCTCCAATCATCACCTTTTCATGCATATGACACAGAAAAGGTCATTGATGATGCTCGCTCTTATGTTAAACAGCTGGAAAAAGTTGGGATCATGAGAGATCGTGTGTGCATCAAAATTCCTTGTACAGGCCCTGCCTTGAATGCTGGTCGAATTCTTCTCAAGGAAGGGATTCGCACGTTAGGAACGTCTCTCTTTGGACTCCCTCAGGCGATTGCTGCTAGCCAAGCAGGTTGTCTCTCAATTAGCCCTTATTTCAACTGTAAGTTTTATCTTCTGCCGGGATGACGGCCTCTTTTCTTAACGTCAGAGCAGTACCATGGTTTCACTACGACCCAACTTTGTGGCCCGACGTTGAAGATCCTGCCCTCGAACATCCAATGTCACCAAGAATGGTTCAGATTGTCGAGACATATCGGCGTTTGCATAAAGAGACGGGCCAACCACAACCGTTGCTAAAACCCGCCAGGTAGGCCGTGCTTTCATACTCGCCTCTCAAAATTTGCTTCTCTATGCTTATCATAGTCATGTCCAGTTTTCGATCGGCCAAAGAGACCATGGCAATGGCAGAATTTGGTTGCGAACACGCAACGATTCCCGAAGATATCCTTTCTTCTCTAGCATCGCTTGACTTGGTTGCGAATCCGCCACCAGGCGATTATTCGACTAAACACTGGGGTGTTCCTAATTCGAGGCTAGCTCATTTGATCAACGTTGACCCTCTCGCTGGTCCAGACTGGGATGGAAAATTGGCATCAACAGATGTTGATTATCTTGCCAACAATGGCGCCGCTCTCGATAAAGCGATCGAGGACGACGACGTAACCAAAAGAGGTCTTGCTCTTGCCCTCAAGGAATTCCAGGGGAATGAGCTTCAGACAAAAGCTGCAATCGAGGAGGTTTTGAAAGAAATTGCGTGAAAGGGTGTTTTGATACTGTCAACGCGGCCTAAGTGGAGTACATGTCGATATATCTTGACTGCTATAGAGGAAGCTGTGATGCCTTTACGCAATTTTCGTAGTTCAGAGATAGGACCTTGAAAATTTACAAGAATATCTTGTACGACATCGATTTCCTCAAATTATCATGGACCATTTCATCAGGGGTCTCGCATTGATCATATTGCATGCACACACAGTTACATAATTACAAGTAGTAGATGTGAACCGTAATATCGATAAAAACGTTGTGATACGTCATACAGACTTAGGAAAATACTCTCTCAGTTGATTCCTCAATCACGACACGGGCTGTTGAAGTAGAAAATAGACTTCAGAGGCCCGAGCTAACTGGCACATTAAAGTCCACGGCCACAATTTTGGAGGCAATCAACAAAGGGCTTGTACAGCTAGCCACGTCTTGAATGAACCTTTCGCCGTCAAAATACTGTCTCTAGAGAAAGAAGGCCTTTGGCGATGCGGAAATGCGCCGAACTTTATGCGTAAACTGCAAGCGTAGCAAGACGGTTAGCATTAGTAAGCGTTGACTTGCCGTCACAGCCCCGGACGTTCCGCGTGTTAAAACTCTAATAATGCCGACCTGGACTGCTTTTGGACTGATTGTGGGATAAGCGCTGTGGAGCTAATTGAACTTGTGGCTGCTGTTCCTTCGGACAGTCGCCGACACCCGTCGGAAAGACCGTTTCAACGTTTAGTCTTGTGCCAAACGTGCAACTAGTCTTAAGATATGACCACGGTGTCTTGGGCGCCATTTTGCATCATCCGTATTTCTCACTGCTTACGATTGGGTGAAGCTAATGCAGGTCCTGTACAGGTCCTCTCCAGGCGTTACCCCAGGATGGGGTCCCCGCGCAATCCACCCACTTTCGGAAAAGGTTTCGCCGAGTTTTTTTTTTTTTTTGGACCTTATGTCCATCTACTGTGAAATTCGGCATGATTACCGCCTTCAACAGGATTCAAGAATTCTGACTTAATGTGTAAAAAATTGCGTAATAAAAGAATGAAGCTTTAGATCGAGGCTTTTGATTGGCACAAGGCTTGAAACCTGGCTCTAGAAGAGACGATGAATACGTAAACAAAATAATATGACTGTGCAGGCGCGCGGAACTAATGACAACTTGTGCTAACGGGAACTGCATTGCATGAGATGGAATGGTCGTGTGAATGTGGATCCATTGTCCGCACTTGAGGTGTGAGACTGTACAGGTCCATTGGAGACGGGTAATCCAGGGCCTAGAGACCGATTCACACCTATATAATCCATATCTTGGGCGGTAAATGATCGTCAGATACGATCCACTGGATTGATCCAGTACATACTAAGATATTTTCTTTTGAGACGTCTCCTCAAAACAGAATCTCAGGCGTCTTTTAAACTCTATTGTCGTTGTAATTGTTCAGGCTGAAAACAAAGTGTATCCCGCCTAGCAGCATGGGCGAAACTAAAGCAACTCAGGTGCATCATGAGCATATTCATCACGATGCCCAAGATCCAAAGACTACATTCTCTCAGAATGTAGATGGCGAGTATGCTAGCATTTAGAAAGTAATGTTTTCTTGAAAATTAATGAAAGCTCAGAATCCGCAATCCTCTCCTTGGTATTCCCAAACTTCAGCTAATGGAGGATGTCGAAGCCTTCTGCAACACCTATGGATTGACAGAGAAGCTAGAAGTGATGAAGAAAGGTGCTCTGGTTGCTCAAAGTCCATGGAATTTTGAAAATATCCCTGAGCTAAATGAAAGCGACAAGCATGTTCTTCGTCGTGAGATTACACGTACGTTTATTACACGTTCGATTGACATCTATTAATCAAGTTGAGCCAGACAAATGGCATCTTTCGAGATCTCTTTATTTCACAGTGGGTCTGTGTTCACTTGGATCTGCGCTTCAGTAAGTACGACGAGACGTGTAAACCATCTCGAATCTCGCAGACCACACTGACAAAAAGGCAGAGGATGGGACAATACAAGTGCAAATGGCGCCAATCTGTCCTTTCCAGTAGAGTTTGGAATCGAGGATAACAGCTGGTTAGTCGGATTTATTAATTCTGCGTAAGTATAAACTGCTGGACCTATAAATCAATCACATTAATAATTTGGTTTAGACCGACTATCTCCGGCCTTTTGGCAGCATGGTTGGCTGATCCGTTGAATAACTGGCTCGGTCGCCGTGGAGTCATCTTTCTTACGGGTCTTTTTTGCATATTTCCCATACTTGGCCAAGGGTTGACTCATAACTGGTGGAGCTTACTGATCTGTCGTCTAATCATGGGTGCTGGTAAGTGCCTGAAGAATTGAAGATTGAGGTGTCTCAAAGGCTCTGAACATACTTACGCTCCAAGGTATGGCAATAAAAATCACCACCATTCCAATCATGACATCGGAAATTGTACCCGCTCCAATTCGTGGCGCTTTAGTTATGACTTTTCAACTATGGGTTGCCTTTGGGATTTTGGTGTATGTGTCGAATCATCTTATCCTTTGCGTATTCGACAATTGTTAATATATGAACGTAGCGGACTGTCAGTTAATTTAATGCTTTTCCGAATTGGACATCTAGCCTGGCGCTTCGAAATGTCAGCTGCGTTCATCCCGGCTATTCCTGTTGTGATCTTGGTTTGGTGGTGTCCAGGTATGTATTCGTTTTGCCAATACAAGCTCTTCGGATACTATTACTTAAGCTTCCACCAGAATCTCCAAGATGGTTGCTTAAGAAGCATCGAATTCAAGAGTCGTTCGCGTCATTTTGTCGGCTTCGAACTTCAGAATTAATCGCAGCCCGAGATTTGGTAGGAGATCTCTCTCGTAGTAACCTAGGAGTTGCGGGCTAACATTTCATAAGTACTATGCATACCGCCAATTTATTGTCGAAGAGCAAGTGCTGGGCGGTTCTACCTTTTGGAGTCGGTTTGTAGAGCTCTTCACCGTGCCGCGAGTTCGTCGTGCCACCTACGGCGCAGCTATCGTGATGATGGCCCAGCAATTTTCTGGCATCAATATCATGGCATTTTATTCATCTACGGTTTTCGCCGAAGCTGGTCGCGACACTCGTGATACTCTCTTGGCATCGTGGGGATTTGGTCTAGTCAACTTCGTATTTGCGTTCCCGGCTATATGGACGATTGATCGCTTTGGTCGCAGGAACCTGCTTCTCGTTACGTTTCCAAACATGGCATGGTGCTTGATTGCGGCAGGATGCTGCTTTCTAATCCCTACCACCTCTTCTGCGAAGTTGCCATTGATAGCCATCTTTGTTTATGTATATACAGCTTTGTACTCCCCGGGTAAGACTCACATATCAAATTCTTTCAAAGACTGACACATTTTTTTTTCCAGGGATTGGACCCGTTCCCAACGTATATGCGGCAGAATGCTTCCCCCTTTCTCACCGAGAGATTGGAACTGCCCTGGCCATCTTTGTCAACAACACGCTTTCAAGTATTCTCAGTCTCACATATCCTTCGCTTCTCAAGGGCCTTGGTCCTACAGGAGGTGAATAACCTCCTTGTAAGAGTTCCATAGATGGGGAAGTTAACATGTGCTTATAGCTTTCGGGTTTTATGCAGGCCTTTGTAGTCTTGCATTTGTCATCATCTTCTTGTTCTTGCCAGAGACTAAGTACGAGTGCTACAATTTTGGCTATTTCAATAACCACGAATCTGACTAGTTTGGCTATAGGCAACGCACTCTCGAAGAGCTAGACCAGGTATTTGCTGTACCTACAAGTCGCTTCGCCTCGTATCAATGCTGCGAGTGGCTGCCACATATTTTCAAAAAGTATATCCTATTCCAGCGCAAATCGAAACTTGACTCACTATACCATCTTAAAGGTATCAACGATGGATTGCAAGATGAAGCTTAACAGACACCAAGAGAGCAGCAAGAGGGTTATATCACTGATGTGTAGGATGTGAGGAAACAAGGAAGATTACAGCAGAACTCACGAAGCAAGCGGATTAACTAGCTTTCTGATTGTATACTGCTGTGATGCGGTTTTGGAAGCCTAAGCAGTAGTTTCGTATTTAAAGTTGAGATTAGTCTGTTCATTCACAGGGAAGGAGCGGTTTCTACTAATCAAGATGTTCGTGAACGTACCTCTTGGGCTAAGTCCAGATCTGGATAACAGCAGATTAACATGTCTCACTGCATTTTATACCTATCGTTCCTGGTCATAATCTTAGCCCAGGTCATTGTGTTGAGGTCAAATGTTAATGAACACGGAAATCCTAAGCTAGCACACAGACGATGAAGTTGTGAAACATTCCTCATGGCGGTGAAGGATAAGTCAATCCTTATCATCTGCACTTTAATTTGTAACGAACAGGAGCAAGTGCTCTCTAATCTTTGAAGGAAAGAGAGTGGTATGAATGAGAACGTGGCGGAGCAAAGTACACGATCCATCAAGGTCAAAATCACGTGCATGAAATTTCCCCTTTTGTCTAACCTCCGCTATTCGCCGCGTCGTGTTCTTTATGTAGTGTCTTCACCAACACAATTTGCGCTGATCTCAGCGTGTCGCTCCTTCTAATCAATTCAGAATGGCTCGTCTTGGGCGACTCGGCTTCTTAGCCGTGGCGGTCGTTTTTCATTTCACGTACATATACTCAATCTTTGATATATACTTCGTGAGTCCCATCGTGGGTGGCATGAGGGAGTTTAGTGTGCCAGGAGAGGCGCCGGCGCGAAGACTGGTGTTGTACGTTGGTCAGTAGATGGCGCATTATATAGCGAGGTAGTGAATGTAGTCGCTGATCCAGAGTTGTAGGCGACGGTCTCCGAGCCGACAAATGCTTCCAATCATTCCCTGATCCCTCACCTTCGAAAAATGATACCGATGCTCTCACCCCGCGACCGCTTACACCTTTTTTAAGAAATAAGGTGTTGAAAGAGGGTACATTTGGTGTTTCACATACCCGCGTCCCTACCGAGTCCAGACCTGGACACGTTGCGCTCATTGCCGGCTTATATGAGGACGTGTCGGCTGTGACGACAGGATGGAAACTTAACCCTGTGAATTTCGACAGTGTTTTCAATAAAAGCAGGCACACGTGGAGTTGGGGCTCTCCAGATATTCTGCCCATGTTCGAGAAAGGTGCTGTTCCTGGACGAGTCGATGCGTTTACTTACGGCGCCGAATATGAGGATTTTACGTCCAATGCTGTTGAGCTCGACATATGGGTATTTGACAGAGTTAAGGCTCTCTTTGAGGAGGCGAAGACGAATCCAGACCTAGATGCGCAACTACGCCAGGACAAGATCGTTTTTTTCCTACATCTGCTTGGTCTTGACACCACTGGACATGGGTTCAGGCCATACTCGAAAGAATACTTGCATAATATAAAGATTGTAGATCAGGGTGTAAAGGAGATTACGGAGCTCATAGACAACTTTTACAATGATGGCAAGACTGCATATGTCTTTACGGCTGACCACGGCATGAGCGATTGGGGAAGTCACGGAGATGGCCATCCTGACAATACGCGAACTCCCCTCATTACGTGGGGCTCTGGAATAGCAAAGCCAGTCAAGAAGATGCTTGGAACTGCACCTGGCCACGAAGATGGCTTCTCGGCAGATTGGGGCCTCAGCAATATACAGAGGCATGATGTTGCTCAAGCTGATGTTGCAGCGCTCATGGCATATTTGATAGGGGTGCCATTTCCCGTCAACTCGGTTGGCGAACTTCCTCTCTCATATCTCGCCGCGAGTCCTAAGGTCAAGGCAGAAGCGTTGCTTACCAACGCGAAAGGAATTCTTGAAATGTACAAGGTTAAGGAAGCTGAAAAGAAAGCGACAAAACTTCGCTATCGACCATTTTCAGGCTTTGGGGACGAGACACACTCCATCGAGTATCGAATTGCGCAAATTGAAACGTCTATTGAGAAAAATAGAGCCAGCGACGCGATTGCACAATGCAAGGAGCTCATTCATCTTGGCCTACAAGGGCTCCGTTACCTTCAAACATACGACTGGCTGTTCCTCCGCGCTCTGGTCACACTAGGTTATCTTGGTTGGATTGTGTATGCCGTCACACTTGTGATCGACCTTCACGTACTGCAAGGCTCAACTGAGCCACAACGAACGGTTGTGAGCAACATGGGTTTCTCTTCTGCGCTGGTCGCATTATTTTCACTGCTCTTTGTCCAAAAATCCCCGATCACGTATTACATTTATGCTGTATTCCCAGTCTTCTTCTGGGAAGAGGTATTTGCTAGACGCAACGCAATAAGCAGAGGAAAGGACATTCTTTTTGGCTCAACCTCAACCAAGTCCAGTCCAGCTGGCAGTTTACTCAAATTCCTAGGTTTTCTTGCACTCTTGGAAGTTTTGGTAAGTTTCTTTAAGCAGGTGATTGCACATTCTAACCATACTATCAGGTACAAAGTTACCATCACCGTGAACTATATACAATTTGTTATCTTCTTGCGATCGCATGGCCAGCATTTTACGGCACAGAATTTTGCAAGAAACACGCGATCCTAGTGCTAACTTGGATGACTTCTTGTGCATCAATGAGTGTGTTCACACTTCTCCCGGCTATGAAAGTTGAAAATCCCACATTAATGTAAAATATGCTGTCCCATTGTTAAAAAAGGTCTTGCGCTAATGACATCTCTAGTTTTTCCGCGGGGGTTTTAATGGGAGCCATCGGAGTCATGTACCTAGTATTTGAGGATCGCATCGTCAATCAGCTTGAAGGTGTCACAGTTGAACAGTCGCCTTTTGCTCGGACAATTTTTGGACTACAGGTGAAATATTTTGCTCTCTGTCATTGTACTTGACTAATAAGGACGCAGATTGGCTTGGTCTTCCTCTCTATGGTGGTAACGCGGTCAGGCATCTCGTCAATTAGTGCGAAGCAAGGCTTGCCAATTGGCACGCAGATTGTTGGATGGCTCACATTGAGTTAGTTATATATCTTTTCGCACAAATTTGGTCGCGACTAACGCGCAAAAAGTCGCATCTTTGACCGTACCCTTTTTACACGGCATCGAGCCTAACAGCCACTACATACACCGCCTTATGGTCATATTCCTGACTTTCTCGCCACTCTTCATCATCCTGACGATATCCTACGAGGGCTATTTCTATATTGCCTTCTGTGTGACGCTTGTCACATGGGTGCGCCTTGAACACGCCATCTATGTTCATACGACGAAAGCGGCTATTCAAAAGACACATGTAGTAAAGGGAAAGTCGAATGGTCAGCCCAGCCCATCTGGACGTGCTGGCCTGACTCCTGTCAAGCAAACTTCGGTTACAGCACAAGATCAGCACCAGGCCGTCTCTACTGGCCAACACCGACCGCTCACTCTTGCTGACGCGCGCGTAGCACTGTTTTCGCTCTTCCTCCTACAGTCAGCATTCTTCTCCACTGGCAACATCGCTTCCGTCTCCTCGTTCTCCCTTGACGCTGTGTATCGTTTGATCCCCGTTTTCGACCCCTGGTCCCAAGGCGCGCTTCTTATGTTCAAGATTTTTGTTCCCTTCGTTGTACTATCTGCCAACCTGGGAATACTGAACCATCGATTAGGCGTGGCGCCAAGTGCGCTGTTCATGATTGTCATGGCGATTGGTGACGTTCTAACACTGTCCTTTTTCTGGATGGTCAGGGACGAAGGCAGCTGGTTGGATATTGGAACTAGCATCAGCCATTTCTGTATAGGTTCTGGCCTTTGTGTCTTCGTTAGCGGACTAGAGGTGGTGTCTGAAGTTTTCGTAAAAGGAGTGGAGTTCGGCGATGACAGACCGGGAGTTGAATTGGTAGGTAATGGGACTACGGGAAACGATAAAAAAGCCAACTGAGTTGAAACGAGCTCGGTTCTTATTGTTAGATGCATATCAATCTATAATTTATCATATTTTTTTGTTTGTCATTTGGCATTCGAAATTTGCCCAACCGCATTGCCCTTTGGCATGAAGGCCAGGTTGTTCGCTCTTCACTTCTGTTGCTCCGCAAGAAGAGGTGTGATTCTTGAGCGAACTGATATAGGACGGCAAATATAATTTATCCTGCTTTTGGACGTCAGCCACCGCTTTTTGACACGCTCTTTGCTGATTCCAAGGCTCGAAAGTTATTTAAATCACTGTGTAAAAATCACCAAGCCGGACGAATTGGTTCTTTCGGTAAGGTCGAGAATAACTACCAAGCTTTAACGAGAGCCTTGTCCTCATGAGCAATGGAAGTCATCAGCCACAATAGACAAAAATGTCATGACGGAGGTACAAGGCACGTTTACGATAGAAGAAGCTACCAGCTACAACATGTGCACCGGATAGCCCTCTCTTTGGATAGTTGGTTGCATAGTTATGCCCTTCTGCGCGCATGACCGTGCGAGACAGCAAGTGAACACACAATTCAACTGCAAAGATAGTGCGGTGACGTAACGAATTGAACAGAGCTTAGAGTTATTTCGGCAAGCGATTTCTCTCTCTCCTCTCTTCTTCCTCGATCGGTCCTGGTCGTTTGCTTCTCGTGCCGCACCAAGCGCCATGAAGGCCACACTAGTGCTGAACTCATCTCCGTTATCGAGAGATTATCTTATCTGCAAGCGACTGACGTCCGAAGCCTCGAAGCTCTTCATCCTTGCTCTGATCGATCTTGGCAGGTGAGCTTGTCCAGCGCTCAGTCTTCAGTGTTTACAGCGTTCCTTGGTTCGCGCTGATCAGGCGACTGACGCTAAGCAGAAATCCGGTCGAGAATCCTTTGCCTTTCCGACCCAAGAAGAGATCTGTAGAGCGTAGCACGCCTCGATCCCAGCTTCTGGAACATACTCGCTACCACAACGAAGCGGCGGCTTAGCTCTTCTAAGCGGCTTGGCTATGCGTTCATCATGAAGCTATCAGGTCAACGCGGTTGTCCATATGCCAGCGTCGCTCCCAGATGTACGCTATGTATGCATGGACCCCGCCAGCCGCTCGCCACCGCCGCCACCATTGCCTTGATTTCTTCAGCTCTAGACGCGTATTCGCTCCATGGGACGCACGAGCAGATGCCGCTTTTGGAATGGAATGAATAAGTTGCACCGATGGAGGTTTGCTGTAGCTTGCTTTTTGTCCCGCTGTTTGATATCGTGTGACATTCGGCCTGCTTCTGATTATCTTACGCCTGCGGCCTCCCTGGTACTCATGCGACTTTTCGTTCTGGTCCTTTTGCTTCAATGCAGCTCCAATTTCTTTACGCGCTTTGTCTAAGCTCGTTGTTGGCTCCTCTTGCAGTATTCGCGGGAGACAGCATCTCCACTGACTTGGATACATATGGCTCTGGTGATTCTCAAGGAACGCCTTACCAAACATATCTGTCGAATGCGGACGTGAAGCCTCCCCAGCTTCAGATCAATTCAAACTCGTCTGGTACTGCGCCGGGCTATGTATTTATTGGTGTGGACGGGAAACCGACATCCGGTCAAAATGTGCCCGTTATCTACGACATGTCAGCTGAACGGATGGGAACGCTGGTTTGGACGGGAAACTACTCAGAGCCTTTCGACTTCAAGGTGCAGACCTATAAAGGTGAGCCCGTGCTCACATTTTGGTCGGGGGAGTTGTTAGACGGTATGTTCGTAGTCGATCCGGCGTTGAAATTGGAGGCATTAACCGATCGCCAGGCTACGGACACGGCTCGTACTATATTCTCAATCAGTCCTACGTTGAGATCGCACATTTTAGTGCTGTTGGGTATGAGGACTTGGGAGATCTTCACGAGTTTACAATCACCACGGATGACACCGCACTGGTCACTGTTTATGCCGTATCGCAAGCAAATCTCCTAGAGTTCGGAGGCCTCGCAGACGGTTATATCTTCGATGGCGTCTTCCAGGAGATAGACATTGAGTCGGGCAAAGTCGTCTTTGAGTGGAACTCCACAGAACACGTCGCGCTCAACGAGACGTACAACGACCTAGGCAGTTCCGGCACGCTGGACTCTCCTTTCGACTACTTCCACATCAATTCCGTCGAGAAAGATGCGGACGGCAATTACCTCGTCTCAGCACGTGTCATGGATTGCGTGTACAAGATCGACGGCAAGACAGGTGATATCATCTGGCGCCTGCACGGCAAGCGATCCGACTTCGACGTCGAGGACGCTGCCAACTTCGCGTTCCAGCACGACGCGCGCTGGGTCGACGACAAGGCGCAGACGCGCATGACCATCTTTGACAACGGACCCACCGACGAGGTGGCCTACTCACGCGGCCTCCTCCTCGACGTCGACCAGTCGGCCAAGACGGTCAGGCTAAACACCGAATTCGCAAACGGCGCAAAGACGTTCGCCATGTACGAGGGCTGCCTGCAGCCCATCAATGCCAGCGACGAGAAGACGAACTACTTCCTCGGCTTCGGCAACCAGCCCTTCTTCGCCGAGCTGGACGCGGACGGCAAGATCCTGCTCGACGTGCAGTTTGGAAAGACCAACGCGGTCAACTCGTACCGCGCGTACAAGCTGCCGTGGACGGGCAAGCCGCTTACTTCGCCGGACATGTACTACGACGCCGGTGCGAAGAAGGCGTACCTCAGCTGGAACGGCGCGACGGAGGTAGAGTCCTGGGCCATCTACACCGCCAACACGACCGGCGCCAACGCAGAGTGGCTGCCCCTCGTCAACGTCACGCGGACGGGCTTCGAGACGGAGCTGGATCTGTCCGGTGTGGAAGGCAGACTCGAGACGTACGTGCGCGGCAAGGCCGCAAACGCCGCGGGCCACACTATCGGCTGGACGCGAGCAAGTAACGGAACGGCGATGGTGGACGCGCCCGTACCCTCCTCCGAGGCGGTCGTGGCGCAAAGCTCCTCTTCTTCTGTGTCGGCGACGTCGACGAGCTCGACAACCGCGACGCCTTCTGCGACGAAGAAGTCGGCTGCGGTCCGCAGGTGTGGCTTCAGCGAGTTGGCTGCTTTGGTCGCTGCCTTTACTGCGATGCTGTTTGTTTTGTAGTGATACATCATGTATATACCCCGCTATAGCAGCGATAATGGCAATCTTCAAAGCACGATGAAAGGGGAAGAAAGTTTTGCGCCAGTACTTGAAATCGATCTTAAAGTCTGCCATGTATTGCGGATGGCCATTGAGAGTCCCATAGGAATGTGCGATCAGAGGCAGCGTTCAAGGAGTCATCCGAGATAATGCACGCATGGACGCAACACATATACAAATAAGGGCAAAGTCATAAAAGTCCTCATTCGAAATTGATATCTACCATGAGACCATGTCTCCCTTGTCTTTGTTGGATGTGGGTCCAGAGGATGAACGGCTGTCTCGAGCAGAACAAAAAACAGATCCCGTAGCAAAAAACGCCCTCGCCCAAGCCTCTGTATACACTATGCGTCAAGAACAAAAAGGGAGGGCTAGATGTAGTCTCTCTCTTTTTTTTTTCTCATGTCGAAAGAAGAATAAGGGCGACGGCGTTGAAAAAGGAGCATGTGGAAGCAGCATCCGCCACGCTTTGAAAAGAAAGGAGGGAAAAGCAAAGAACTGTATAAACCTAACGAAGTTCCCCCCCTTTGTGGCCTAGGCCTCCCAGCTTCCCCGAATTCTCACATGATACTGCTTCCGCCATCGTCTTGGTTTTCTCTTGGGCATTCTCTACGCTACGTTTTCGAAGCTCGGGTCCTTGACACTCCCTCCTGCATCCCCCAGCCCGGCGACAGGTCTATTGTACGACCAACCTGCAAACTGCTGCTGCATTGTGGATGACAGCATTGGCCCGTCGACGTACGAGTCAGTGGGTGGCTCGGACGTGAACTCACGGTCGAAATTGGCAGTGTCACGTGCATCAACCTGTCATTTTACATCAGTGCTGAATGCCTTTATGGGGTGGAAGGGAGCGGCGACATACAACGCTAGGTTTGAAGGTAGGCTCGTACTTGCGATCCAAAAGCTTCCTCCAGTCGATGCTATGGAAGAAATGGTGCGTCTTGATCTCGCTCGCACCCTTGGCACCTAGTCGCTTCTCTGCATTGCGATCAAGTAGCCTCGTCAGGAGGTCGCGTGCAGCGGGTGGAACGATCTCTGGTCCCGGGAAGTGCAATGGCTCTGTGAGGATCTTCCGATACATCTCATTTGTATTTTCGTCGTAGAAGGGAGGAAGGCCCGTCAGCATTTCGTACAGTAGAACACCGAGAGTCCACCAGTCGACTGTCTTAGTGTAGCCACCGCCTGTCAGCAGTTCCGGGGCGAGGTACTCAGGTGTACCGCAGAAGGCTGAAGTTCGAAGATTAGCAAATCAATGTAGCGCGAATAAGACGATAGGAAAAGAAGAGGAAGAGACGTACTATTCGTCCTATCTTCGTCTTTCATGTCCAACTTGCACAAGCCGAAATCGCACAACGCGATGTGGCCGGTGTAGTCAAGAAGAATATTTTCTGGCTTCAAGTCACGGTAGATGACATTGAAACCATGCAAGCACTCAAGAGCACAGAGCAGCTCTGCAGTGTAGAAGCGCGCGCGATTGACGTCGAAGCGCTGCTCCCGCTGCAAGTGATGGAACAGTTCGCCGCCATTGACGAAAGCTAGCACAAGGTAAAGTTTCTCTGGCGACTGGAAGGAAAACTTCAAGGGAACAATGAAGGGATTGTTGATTTGGGCGAGGACGGAGCGTTCGGCCAGCGTGTGCGCGACCTCGGACCGCGAAATAATGTGCGCCTTGCGGATGGTCTTGAGCGCGTAGATACGATGGGTATCCTTCTTCTGGACCTGCATGACTTTGCCGAACGAGCCCTTGCCAACGACCTTGAGTAGCTCAAAGTCTTCGATCTTGAGCGAACGCTGTCGGTTCTCGACAAAGTGCACGCCAACCTTCATTTGACCGGCGCCAAATTGAACGTCAATCCATTGCGTACCTACCTGTCCACCTTCCTTCTCTTGCTCAGATCTAGCCAGGGCTGCCTTCTCCTTGTCCTTCTTGCTTAGTTTCGCGTCGTCCTGCGCCTGCGCGGGGCCGAGGGCGACCTCCTCGAAGCGCGGATTAACTTTCAGCGTGCCGATGAAGGCATCGTCGGTACGAGCCGAGTTAGGAGGTGCATTGGGATTGCGGATGTACAGCGAAATGCTGATGTCGGTTGGGCGCGAGACGTCAAACTTGTACTGTGTGCTCTCGCCAGCCCAGAGGGGGTTCTCAGGCGTACCAGACACGGCGTTGATGAAGACCTGCTGCTTGTCGAAGTCGATGAGCGCATAGGGCAAATGTCTGCTGTTGTAACGACCATGAATTGTGGGGGCTGCGTTGATAGCACCTGCCGAAGACTGCGGGCGGCCGCCTCGCACGTACGAACCTGCAAGGTTCGGATCTCTGGACGAGTTGGGCCGCATGGAGCCTGCGACGGAGAATCCACCGCCCTGCGACAGCGAGCCTGCGTGATGGGACGGCTGCCATTTCTCCTCCAGGTGGGCAGGCAATTGGAAGCCTCTGCCCTCGTGCAAGGTGACTATGAGGATGCCAGGCTTGAGCGGCGCTGCCGGCGCTGCCGCGTTCGCTTCTGAGTATGCTGTTTAAAGGAATTTCTGTCAGCCATCTGCTCTTCCTCGCATACGCTGTCTCACTGAAGGCTGTGGATTTCCCAGTTCGGAGATGCCGAAGCAAAGAAGTGGATACGGACCAACATTGTTCGGGTCTTTGGCGGCCGTCAGTGTGCTGACCTGGGAGAGAGGACTGCCGTCGGTGCTAGATGGCCGTGGCGTCTGTTGGGGGGCTTCTGGCGTGATGGTAGCGGTGGATGAGCTTCTGCTGAAGGTGTTGGCGAGCGGCGCCAGATGCGTCTCTTTCAACTCTGCTCGACGTCAGCTATGCGGCCGGACGTTGCTCTTGGCTCTTGCAGTCTCGCCGTCCAAGATGATCAGCACATACTCTTGGTCAACTTCCACGACATGGCGGCTGTGTGGGTACAGTCTAGCAGTGGGTGATGGGTGCAGCGGCGGTGCGCTGCGAAGTGTTGGTTCGGAAGGGAGCGAGGTTGATTGTGGGGTAGTAGTACTTTACAAGAAGCAACAGGAGATGGGCGGTGGCAGATCACTCGGGACAGGGCAGGTTTGACAGGGGCACAAGCGGAAGTTTATGAAAGGGGAACGGGTCACAAAGGTTGACAGTGAAGGTGTTTGCAGAGTCGGATGGCGACGTTCGGGGAGGGCGACAGATAGCAATCAGGTCTGCAGGCGAAGTAAATTTGAGTCTTTGGCCACTCTTGCCGTCCGTCCTGGCATGATACGCGTACGCACAGCCTCGCAACTCGCGGTGGGTTAGAGGGCGGTGGGTAAGGGGTGACGAGTAGTGGGCAGCGGGCAGTGGGCGGTGGGCAATGAGCGGCAGACAGCGGGCAGCGGGCAGTTCGCAGTGATTTGGAAGGTCGGGGTCAGTGGATCGTAGCAAGTAAAGGGAGCGGGCGAAGGGCAGTCAGCTGGCGGGCAGAGCACAGCGTGTGGGGCGCCAACGGCAGAGGGTGCAAAGGAGGGATGCCCCCCTGCCGCCATCGGCTGCTGGGCTGCCTAGGCCGTGTCGACTGATGACATAATGTGCAGAGAGCCTGCGTGAGCTCACTTTACGTCCTCTACAGGCCAAGTCGCAGGTGCGACCTTTGTGGGCTCTCTTGCGGGCGGGCGCAGCGGGCGCGGACCATGCAGAACCGCGCCTGCTCGGGGGGGGCCTAGGGGGAGGCTGCCTGGCCGGCACGCCGGGGGAAAGCAAACTTGAACAGTGATCCAACGTCCACCTTGGCCGGAGCCCGCCACGCTAAGAGGTTTTACGTGTGGTGCGAGACCCGACCCTCGGAACCTGCGACGACAGCCACCTACATCTGCACTACCAACACGTCAACAAACACCGGCCACTCTCTCTTTGCGTTCACACGTTCGCGGCCTCTCGTATTGTCACGAATCCTCACCTGCGCGGTACTCACACGTCCTTTCGATGCGATAACCGATCCTTAGCGCCTGACGTCGGCTCACTGAAGCCTCCCCTTCCGACTTCCAACGCTCCCGTATCCTCCCTTACACCGCTCACAGGGGCCGATATGGGCCTCATCAAGAAGAAGACAGCCATCCGAGGCTCCGAAGGCGGCGTCAAGTACGTCTGCGACGTGTGCAGCGTCGACATCACGGCCACGGTAAGTCCGCGCCGCATTTCACACGGCAGGAGTCCACTTTACCACGTTTCGCGGTCGTGAGAACAAATGATGGCTCTGCGACGCCAAGCCCCCGCGCTCGACAGTCAGTCGCGACATTGGGATCAGCGAGACATGTTCGGTTGCTGCGTTTAGGTTTAAACTACCTGTGCTAAAGAAATGTGTGAACTAGGTCCGGATCAACTGCGACGTGTGCGCCGACTACGACCTGTGCGTGCAGTGCTTCGCCGACGGCAAATGCTCTCGCGACCATGATCCCGCCACACATTCGTACCGCGTCATCGAGCAGCACTCCATACCCATCTACTGCGAAGATTGGGGTGCGGATGAGGAACTGCTGTTGCTCGAGGGCGCTGAGACATATGGTCTGGGCTCGTGGGCTGACATAGCCGACCACATTGGCGGTTGCCGGACAAAAGACGAAGTACGCGATCACTACATCTCAACGTACATAGAGAGCTCCAAATTCCCGTTGCCCGAACACGCCAGCCCTTCAGACAGGACATTTGAACACATTTCGCGTGAGGAATTCCAGACCCGGAAGAAGCGGCGCATCGAAGAGCGCAAGGAGGCGATCAAGAATGCGCCCCCTGCGCAACCCAAGCAGAAGCCAACGGCGTCAGTGCCTTCCTGCCATGAAGTGCAGGGCTTCATGCCGGGCCGTCTGGAATTTGAGACAGAGTACTTCAACGAGGCCGAGGAGGCCGTTCAGCACATGCAGTTCGACCCAGGTGATGGCGTTTTACCGCTTACCCCCGAACAGCAGCAAGAGTTTGACCTGAAGATGGTTATCATGGGCATCTACAACGAGCGACTAACACAACGCATCGAACGCAAGAAGATCATCTTCGAACACAAACTGCTCGATTACAAAGCCAACCAAGCCAAAGAGAAAAAGCGCACGAAGGAAGAGAAGGATCTGATCAACCGCGCCAAACCCTTCGCTCGCATGATGCGTCACGAAGACTATGAGACCTTCTGCCAGGGTTTAGAGTACGAACACCAACTGCGCACCGCCATTGCGCAGCTGCAAGAATGGCGCCAGATGCAAATCACCGAATTGAAGGAGGGTCTGAAGTACGAAGCGGAGAAGCAGACTCGTGCGACTCGGGCTCCCTTGGGCGCATTTGATCGCCTGCAGTCGCGCAGTCTTGGCAAGCCCACGCCTCCTGTTGAGGCACCGAATGGAGCTACGAACCTTGTTTCGCCAGACTTACAGTTAAAACCTTTCTCGTCTGGCCTCAACACCCCTCCTGCCAGTGACGATGGATCTCAGCAGCACGCGCTCGCAAACGGGAACACAAACGGTGCGCTTACTCCACAGTCAGCCCCAAAGCCGAAGTTTTCTCCCGGCTCCATACCTGGTATTGTGCCGCGCAAGCTGGATGGTGACGCAGATGCTCATCTGCTGACTCAGGAAGAGAAGGATCTATGCAAAGCGCTTCGATTGCAGCCGAAGCCGTATGTGATGATTAAAGAGGCCGTACTGAAGGAAAGCTTGGAGCACGGTGGCGCTCTGAAACGTAAGAACGTCAAGGAGCTCTCCAAGCTGGAGAACGCGAAGGCGAACAAGCTCTTCGACTGGTTCGTACAGAGCGGCTTGATTGCCAAGGCGTAATGAAATGGAATTTGCTGGCTATCAGGCGTCTTTGGGAACCAGAATTGAAAGGAATGGGATTCGCATATATGCATTCATGAGATGGGTCATTGGGAATTGGCGGGGCCTTTGGTAGCATGGCGTTTTTTTGTTCCCATGGATGGGGAACGGGAGATGGGTCATCCTTATTTTTTTTTCTCTCTCATCTCCCACTCTGCTAGCTTTTGCTGGCCTGTAGGCCAGAGAGGCGAGCTAGGAGCTGTACACAGTCCAAGAACTAAGTGCTTGGCTTTGATACCCAGGGTTCTCTCCTCTCACGTCTCGATCTATCGAGTGAGAGAATTGGCCCTTCTCAATGGAAAGACTTTCGGAGAAAAAAAAAAAATTCTAGGTTGTTTGCTACTATGATGCCAGTCTATCGTTTAAAGTGCTTTGAATTATTTGCATAAGCAATCCTCCCGAGCCTTGGCTTACGTGTTATCCTTTTACACTGAAGTTGTTTTTACTTCTCGTAAGTGCCACGCGAACGCCATTCCCTCCCACCATGCCTCGTCGATCTCGTATAAACGCTACGCAGCACCGGCAGCAGTATCATCATGATCATCATAATTGATTAATTCACTGCGTCCTCCGAAAGCCGCTGTGATGTGTCTTCCCTTGCCCTCTCGGCCTCATCGAGTAACGGCAGGATCAACTTTGTGAGCATCTGACTCATCTTTCTGCCACCCTGCACGCTAGGCTCGACGCGCTCAACGTAGTCCTCCGGCGTCTTGCCATCCAGTACATCGAACAGTGGAAGCGGAATCACCTTGGTGCCCGGCACGGAGATCTTCATCGTGGCCTGCTCGTAAATGGCGCGGATGGCAGCCTGTACCTTTTGCGGGTGCGTGTCGTACTTGAGCGCCTTGAGTGGCGCGTCCGCCCAGCTGGGCTCACCGAAGCGGCTGGCCTCAAGCGGGTAGTAGATCATGCAGACGACGACGGCGGCAGGCTTCGTGGTGCCGACCAGCGCCTTGACGTACCGCTCGACCTCGCGGCCGAAGAGCTTCTTGAAGTGCGACAGCGCCCGCGCGGTGCCCTTCTCCACGCCCTCCTGGCTCGACAGTCGCGCGAGCCACAGCATGTTGAGCGCCGTGCACACCGTCGGCGACAGCGCGATGTCGTTGGCGCCCACGCTGACCACCAGCACGTCCTGCGCCCGGATGTTGTCGCGGACCAGCCGGTCGTGGGGCAGCAGGAAGCCGCCGCTGCGCTCGCGAAGCAGGCTCGCCTCGACGGCGGCGTTGATCGCCGTCGCGCGGTCGCCCAAGTAGTGGTTCATCCAAAAGGCCACGTCCGGCTTCATCGGCGTCAGGCTCTTGAAGCACATCGTGTAGATGTCCGGCACCGACACCGGCAGCGGCACGCCGCCGGACCCGTTGGCGGAGATCCAGGCCTTGTTGTCAAGGGACGAGTCGCCCGCGAGCCAGACGACGGGTCTGTCGCCGCGCGCCACGAGGCTGTTGGCGAACAGGCGCTTAAGGTCAGCGAGCAGATGGCCTTTCCATTCCGTGTAGAATCCAAGCGGCGCGATGCGTTCCATTCCTTTCCCGTCGTTCCCCAACCTGTTTTCTTGAAACCGCAGCGCCCGCGTTTGAATAGGAGTAACTCCCTTCCGTCCCCAAAAAAAAAGTGAGACTATTGGAAAGCAAGGGAATCTCTCCCCTGGTTATTTTTGCCCTCTGTTAACTTGCCGGGATGCAACAGTGTCACCGTCGTTCGTAATGTCGTTCATGTCGAACAACGGAGTCGCCCGAGATATACTCCTCCAGACCTTCGGAGTCAGCGGATGCTGGCGGACGAGGCAATGTGTTGGCCATTCTCAGCGACCGTAAACCTGGGGTGACCCCGTGAAGCTTACTTAGCTAAGGCCTGCTGAACTGACGAGTCATGTTCCGTCATTGCGCTCGTACGCCTGCACAATTACGGCATTTGCTACGAACTTTTGCGGAGTGCCAGCGGCTGTCGACAAAACAGTCGCAGTCGTACATTTCAGTGCTACAGGCGCGGAAGGGTTGGGCGTGGTGGTTGGGCTGCTTGTTTGTGTCGAGTAGCCATAGTTCTGATGACGATCGATGCCTCAAGACGTCCATGAAGATCGCCTGCATTGTCGTTTCGACATCAGGGCTTTCCTGGCGCTGTGGCTTTCGACAGCACATCAAGTACAAGCAGCAGGAAGTAATATGGGTCGTACAGTTGGACATGATCAACCGCGCTGGTGGAATTGTTCTTCTCCCGCAATCACGCCTCACCCTTGATTCAGTCATACCCAGATATATTCTTCATGCCTCGTGTTAAACCCTGCACCATGTCAGTCAGGATCAGCAAGGAGGCAAGACGTCTGCATTTCCAAGACAGATCGTTCATCTTATTGGCATTCCTCGTTCGACAATGCTCAATTGATGCCTGGATGCGTGTTGATGCTTGCTGCCGCCCCTCAACGCCCGACGAAGATCACAGTCAAACAGCGACAAGCAGGACCACACAGGTACTCTGATCTTAGACCTTCAGGCACAGAATGACTTCCATCAATACAGGAGATGATCGTTTGTAAGGGCATGCACTCCTGTGCTCTTGTCTGGAGGCAATACGTGTTCCTACACAAATACACGCAATGCCTGCGTTCAACGTCAAAAACGCAGGCTGAACTCGTGTTCTTCTAGGCGTCACACCTGACCTTTGCTCTTGTAATCTTGGAAGGATGTAATCGCCTAGCCCGATAATGTTGAGACCTATAGCACTGCTCTGCTACCTCCTTACTGATGTAAATGTAGGTACAATGTAGATTGCGACTCAAAGTGAAAATTCTCGAGCAGGCCTTCAGCACTGGAACTCAAGGCAATGAGCCGTTAGCTACCTAAATCTGTGTTCCGCTATTTCTTGCTCTGTTCCTCCACCAGGTGCTGGAGTTTTCGCGGACGTCGTCTTTTTCAGTCCTTGAGATCTGGGTCTTTACACTCTACAAAGGCTACCAGGTTTTTGCTGGTAGTGGGGTGGCGAGGATGCATTGCAGGCTCTTTGTTTTACTTTGCGTGGGACACTGATGCAAGGCGAAGCACTAGGACTACAGTTGCAAACAAGGGAAAGAAGGAAGATACGTGAATTGCTTTGATCATGGTCACGAGTATTTCAAGATGATTGAGACTGATTTTGGTTTTCCGCATGGATTTTTCCGCGGGAGAACCGTGGAGACATAGTCAATCTAACTAAAGTGTGTTTCCAAAACCATCAACAGGGCTGGAGAAACCGAGCAGATGCACGATTGATGGCAACAATGTGTAAATAATGTTGGCGATCTTGTGCTAGAGACATGGAAAAATTTGGGAACGCCCAGGAGCACACGCAAGCTACCAATGGCTCCGATATTTTTGGTACAGGATAACTCAAAGCCACTTGCGATGCGCTGGTGATTCGAGAACTGTTATCGGGTTTGTGTCACCTCGTTGGCACAGACAGGAACCACTCACTGTCCACCATATCGACTTCAATCTCCGGGCTTCTTGGCTTGACCCGATCCTGACTCTGGTGACCCCGCGTGGGGCATATTCAAGCGACAGCCGTCACGCCATTTGTCGTTGCCGGAGAGATAACGCCATCGCGAAGTCTGCGACCTGAGGCTTTGCCGAAGGATAATCATAGGCTCCGGCTGACGACGTTGAATCTCCGCGCACAAAGCAACTTTTCACCGCGAAAGAACGGACATAGAAGGCAGCATCTCCGGGGAAAGCCCTTTAGCTTTTCAATGTCTGCTCGTCTGCGTGACCAGCCTCGCGCGATTAGCCGTTAGTTCGACGACACCGCCTGCCGAAGCCGCAGATGAAGACTCAAGCGCAGTCGGAACGTGGATGGTGGCAGCCGATGGCGGGAGGAGCCAATGGGACGATGGCTGGGAGGAAGCATGCTGATGAGATACGCTTACAGAACGATGACGGACAGGTGGTGGTCGCTGGCGGTTCTGGAATGGTTTCTTACGAGTGGCAGAGCCCCACCATTGAATGCGCAAAGCAGAAACACACCCCGCCACGAGCCGTCACGTCACAGCACAGCACAGGTCCAGTCCGAAGCCCATTTTCACAACAGCTCAACATTTTTTCACTCCCCCCTGTGAAACACTGCAATTGACTCTGACGAGGAAAACAACCCAGTTTCAGGTCAGTGCGATACAATCTCCTAGCTCGAGGCTCTGTCGCCTTTTGCTCGACTCAAGACTAACACACGTATAGCTCTACGCCCGCCGAAATACAGTACACGCACAGTCACCATGCCCGGATTCTCGCAGGCTAATGAGCTCGGGGTAACGACATTTTCTTCCTTCTGAATACTGCCTATGTACTGAGACGGAAACCACAGGCCTGGACGGAGCTCGCCAAGCACCACAAGGAGCTCTCCAAAGACATCATCCTCCGTGAATACTTCAAGAATGACCCAAACCGCTTCAAGAAGTTCTCTTACACGTTCAAGAACGATGCCGATGGCACCGAGATCGTCTGGGATTTTAGCAAGAACTTCTTGACCGATGAGACCCTGGCCCTGCTTGTCAAGCTCGCGAAGCAGGCCAATCTCGAGCAGCTGCGCGATGACATGTTCGCTGGCAAGAAGATCAATTTCACCGAGAACAGAGCCGTGCTCCATGTTGCGCTGAGAAACGTGTCGAATTGGCCCATCGAGGTGGACGGCAAGAGCGTCGTCGAGGGCGTCAACGAGGTGCTCGAACACATGAAAGAGTTTACCGAGCAGGTCCGAAGCGGCGAGTGGAAGGGCTACACCGGCAAGCCGATCAAGACCATCATCAACATCGGCATCGGTGGATCGGATTTGTGAGCGCGCTCAAGGAAAATGCGGATCTGATTGACTCCTGCTAACATCATCGGGACAGGGGCCCAGTCATGGTCACCGAAGCTCTCAAGCCTTACGGCAAACGCGACTTCGATCTCCACTTCGTCTCCAACATTGACGGCACCCACATTGCTGAGGCCCTCAAGGTCTCCGACCCAGAAACAACCCTTTTCTTGATCGCCTCAAAGACCTTCACCACCGCCGAGACATGCACAAATGCGGCCACCGCCAAGAACTGGTTCCTGAAGTCTGCCACCGAGAAAGACGTCGCGAAGCACTTCGTTGCGCTGTCTACAAACAAGGCCGAGGTCGAAAAATTCGGCATCGACTCGAAGAACATGTTCCCCTTCTCCGACTGGGTCGGCGGTCGTTATAGCGTCTGGTCTGCCATCGGTTTGAGCGTGGCGCTATACATTGGCTACGACAACTTCCACCAATTCTTGGCTGGCGCTCACGCGATGGACAAGCACTTCAAGGAAACGCCGCTCGAGAAGAACATTCCAGTCATTGGTGGTCTCCTGAGCGTCTGGTACTCCGACTTCTTCGGTGCTCAGACCCACCTTGTCGCGCCGTAAGTTGGCACGCATCAGCGCGTGTGCGAGTGTCAATGGTCTAACAATTTCTACAGCTACGACCAGTACATGCATCGATTCCCCGCCTACCTACAACAGCTTTCCATGGAGTCGAACGGCAAGGCCATCTCCCGCGACGGCAAATACGTGCAGTACACCACCGGTCCTATTCTCTTCGGCGAGCCGGGCACCAACTCGCAGCATTCGTTCTTCCAGCTGGTCCACCAGGGCACCAAGCTCATTCCGACGGACTTCATTCTAGCAGCCAACAGCCACAACCCGGTGGAGAACAACCTGCACCAGCGAATGCTCGCCTCCAACTTTTTCGCCCAGTCCGAGGCGCTCATGTTGGGCAAGACCAGCGACGAGGTCAAGGCCGAGGGGACCCCAGATGAGCTGGTCCCACACAAGACCTTCCTTGGCAACCGCCCCACCACGTCCATTCTTGCGGACAAGATCACACCCGCCACGCTGGGAGCGTTGATCGTGTACTACGAACACCTGACCTTCACCGAGGGTGCCATTTGGAACATCAACTCGTTTGATCAGTGGGGCGTCGAGCTTGGAAAGGTGCTTGCCAAGAAGATTCTCGGCGAGCTTGACCCCAGCGCGCCGGTCGGAGATCACGATTCGAGTACCAAGGGGCTCATCGAGCTCTTCAAGAGCAAGCTGGCATGAATCTCAAGGGCTCCTGGAGGTCCGAGGTTGTGAAGGACACAAATTGTAGTTCGTCATACGGTGGACATGGACGTGAACGGACGGAGAGCGAGGAGAAGCTGTCACGAAGCAGAAAAGTAGGATGCGACCCAGCGGCAAAAAGAAGCTCCCCACCCCTATGTACATTGTTCTGACAGAGTGAAAACGTCCCCAAAAAATAAAAGCGCGATGAAACCGAGCCCGAAACTGTGTGATGGTTTGTTGTTCCGATCCTAGACCCTCGTTTGTTCTGCTTACGCTGTATTACCTTCCTGCGCTGCCCGATGACCTTGTCAGTCGCACATGTCGTAGCGACAGTCGCGAGCGGCAGAGGAAGACAGTGCTCAGGCCCAGCGGGACGAACGTTGGAACACTGATGCGGAGAATCTAGCTGCGGTACTCGGAAAGTATGCACGTTTGACGCCTCGCCATTGATTTTTTTTTTCTCCTTTAAATTTTTTTTCTTCAGCGCGGGTGTAACATCTCTTGCCAGACCTATGCCCGTAAAAGCAATTTGTTGATCATAAAAGGTTTAAGTTCGCCCATGACATCAAGGGCGACCGGGGTCGTCGTACGAGGCGCGACGAGCAAATCCATCCCACCTTGGGTTTCATTGCTTGACGCCCACTCCCACCCCCCCCGCAGTCAAATAATTCTCGCCTTCACCACCGCTCAACCACTTTTCAAAATCCCTCAATTCGCTCGACAAATCGATTGGACTCTGTGAGTGCTCCTCTCAACGACGCCGTCGTCGCGCCTGCACCTATCCACGTGGTGATACAAATTCGAAGCGGTGTGCTGACTTGTCATAGCTTTCTGCAGCCTAGACAGCTAGATTCGTCGGTCCTGCACACGTTTCCTGATAAACAAAACACACACGTTGTGGCCTTTTGACGCTTTTTCTCACCTTCTTCATCTCCTGCTCTTTTTTCCTCACATCCCCACTCGAGCTTTCAATTCATCAATCATGTCTGGCAAGAAGGCTGTTCACTTTGGCGGTGGCAACATCGGCCGGTACGTACTGACTTGCTTCGCTCCCCCCAGTGCCTAGCATTGTTGCTTTCTTTTTCTTTTCTGCAGAGGCTGACCAATGCAACAGTGGCTTCGTTGCTGAGTTCCTTCACAACTCGGGCTACGAGGTCGTGTTCCTCGACGTGGTTGATAAGCTCATCAACGATCTGCAGTCGATCGACTCGTACACTGTCACCGAGATTGGTGAGGACGGCAAGCAGGAGTTCAAGATTACAAACTTCCGCGCCATCAACAGCAAGACGAACGAGGAAGATGCGATCAAGGAGCTGGAGACGGCCGATGTCATCACCTGCGCCGTCGGTCCCAACATCCTCAAGTTCATTGCTCCCCTCATCGCCAAGGCGCTTGATGGCCGCAAGAAGGACACACCGGCTGCTGTGATTGCTTGCGAGAACATGGTCGGCGGTACAGATGCTCTCAGGGGCTTCATCGAGCAGAAGATCTCGGAAGAAACCAAGGCGAACCTGGATTCGAAGGCACGCTTCGCTAACTCGGCCATTGACCGCATTGTGCCACACCAGCCGGAAGGCAACGGCCTGAACGTGCTCATCGAGAAGTTCTTCGAGTGGTGCGTTGAGTCCAAGCCATTCGGATCCGCAGGCCCACCGCCAATCAAGGGTGTCCACTTCGTCGAAGACCTGAAGCCGTACATCGAGCGCAAGCTCTTCACCGTCAACACCTCACACGCAACCGCTGCTTACTATGGCACGGCTAAGGGCATTCCGACCATCGACAAGGCCATGGCCGACAAGGAAATCCACGACCACGTCCGTGCCGCCCTCAAGAACACCGCAAACCTCATCATCAAGGTGCACGGTGTCGATCCCAAGGAGCAGCAAGACTACGTCGAGGCTATCATTAAGCGCATCTCGAACCCAGCGCTCGAGGACAAGGTCGAACGTGTCGGCCGTGCACCCCTACGCAAGCTTGGTCGTAAGGAGCGCTTCATCAACCCTGCCAGCCAGCTTGCCGACCTTGGTGAGGATTACAGCGGTCTGCTCGGCCCCATTGAGATGGCGTTCAGGTTCCAGAACATCCCAGGCGACGACGAGTCTGTGGAGCTGGCCAAGATCTTGAAGGAGAACAGCGCCGAGGATGTGGTAAAGAAGGTGTGCGGCCTCGAGAGTGGCAAGCTGTATGACGATGTCGTAGCCATCGTCAAGAAGGTGCAGGGCTAAATCTAACTCGCCCCCCTGTAGCACATTATGCCGCACACACGATGTGACGGGTGGATCGTACTGTCACACTCTTAGGCGTATTTCACGATCGCATCATCCAGATGCTGCGCATAGACGGGCATGGGAAAATGTAAAATCTCACAATTGACTGCGAGGGACGTACAAAGTAGCTTTATGATGAAATGCAGCGTATATACGATAGCGAATTGGACGTGGAATCCCTCTCCTTGAGTGTCAGCGTGTCAATTTCCTGTTTCTTGTCATCCTGAAGCTATGTGAAGCTAATCAAAGCTACGAAAGCTTGTCACGAGATGAACTGATGACCGCCAACGGCTGACGAGCAGGCAACCGACACCAACGTGCATTGGCGTGCGGGCCACGTCAGCGAGCAAAGAGAATCAAGGCCGCATAATGCACGTCGGGTGCGACACAAGGGAGTAGCCCATTGAGCAACGACGTCGAGTTTGAAAAAATTTTCATGGAACAACAGGCCCAGAAAGGTGTGGCAGGCTGCGCACGTCGCGCAGACGATTTAATGCACGTACGAGGGGATTTGAGTGTTTGGTTGGTCGCAGTGGGACGAATGCAGGAAGGAATCACAGCTGCGCCACCTTTGCACGTGACCAGACTCCAGCACAAGGTCGCAATTGGCTGACGCGCCCGTCGACGTCCGGTGACGACGATCGCACAGACACCAACAGCGACGACATCAACGTTATGCTTCTTTTCGCGCACTTCGCGGCCCTGTCAGCGTCAGCCTCAGTGGGGCCTTCTCAGCATCTCACAGCCAGTCGTGCCGACAGATTTTGACATCATGCTGGTCTTGTGGCTGCGGCTGCGCATTGCACAGCCCAATTGGCCGAGACGTACATATACGATGTGCGCGCTTTGCCAGCATCCGGAGGCCGCTGACAGTCGAGCGATCGACCATTTTATCCTTTGTTCCACTCTTACCTCGTTCTTCGCGCGCTTCGTAATCTTCTTCATTCTTCCGACGAGCTCTCGCAACCTCACTGTTTGGTGTCCATATACTTGTTCGGTCCTCTCAAACCTCGCCCTTTGTTGCACCGGTCAGCCGTACTGGGTGCGACAGCCTGGCAGTACTCGACCCTAATGGTGAGATAAGACCTGCACCGCATGTCAATCCGTACTTGAGCTAACGCCTGCTCGCAGACCTTTCTGAACGCCCAAGTGCCGCCCATTGAGCTCAGCATGGACTTCTTAGGCTTGAGCGGCGACGAGGCTGGCACGGTACGGCCGTCAAGACTCCCCTGCGTTACGGTACAAACCCAGTACTGACGTAGCCATAGGCCTACTCACCCTCGTCGCTGCGCAACTACGGCGATGACTTCTCTGACTTCGGCGACTCAATGTTCCCCATGGCGGACACTCAGCCCAACACGCAGGAGTTGGACATCATCAGTAGCTTCACACAATCGCAGCCGCAGGACCTCAACATCAACACCAGTGTACCGAATACAATGGGTACTCAACTGCCCCTTGAAAGTGCTGATATCGGCGACACGTTCTACCGCATCCAGCAAGCTCCAGTCCACTCAAGGAGCTTTTCTCTCACCTCTCCCTCCATAGTCATGGGCGAACAACCATATGATAAACAGGTCCAAGAGCCGGGCCAGTACCTTGAGAAAGATTTTATATATCGTGGTGACAATCGCATATGTCTCAAGATCTCAGAGGATCTTGCTCATTCAGGACTCGACGTTGACCTCATAGCCAAGGTTAGCCAGGGCTTCTATATCCAGAGGCCGACCGTCAAAGGGGTGAACATGCACGGAGTCGTTGCTCTGCGTGTTGGCCTTGATGCGATTTGTCAGGGCCTCTACCGCAACCCGCCGACTGATTCTTTGCTGCTGTCTTTCCTGATTCAAGAACTGGCCCGTATCAGAGATGGCACTGCTCCACAAATCTATGGAACCAGCATTGACAGACCACTGACATTTGAGCACTTACTAATGATGCTTCATTGCTATGGTTTGCGCAACAGCGAGCAGTACAACCTCGGCATCATCCGGCCGTTTGAGCTACCATCTCAGTTTGGTCAGCTACCTACGTACGAGGTGACCCTCGAAGGCCCCAAGACAGCGGGCTCAAAGACGGTCTGGCTGTACGAGGAGAGCGGAGCGTGGTATCCCCTCGCTCAGGACAACTTTGTCCAAACAAATCGGTCATATGCTGACGCTTTGAGAGAGCCTGCTCCCACACCAGCGGGACTCCGAAGCTCACAGCTTGTGACATTCGGTGCCTCCTCATCTTTTCAAAACTTCTTGCAACCCACAGTCTCGAATTCAACCCCGTACTCTAAATCCGAGGCTGGCTCCGATGCCACGGGAACAACCGATATGTCTTGTCACAGCTGCGGGAAGCGCTTCGACGCCCAGTCCGACCTCGCGCATCACATGCGAAACCACCGCCACCGCAATCTGCTCTGTTCAATCTGCCAAAAGTCGTTCCTTTGGAAAAAGGACCTGCGCAGACACATCGTCACGCATAGTGATAAGGGATCAAGAATGGAGCATGTCTGCAGAGTCCACGGCTGCGAAAAAGCGTACACACGGCAGGACAACTTGCGGAGGCACTATCGGCAGGACCACCCGGGTCTGCCACCTCCATCACCCAGCAGCGTAACGAGCTCGCGGCACAGCCGTGGCTCTAAATCCTTCTAAGTAAAATTTGTTTTGCTTCGGCATATAGTACTTTGTGTTCGTCAATATCGGGTCATCATCGGGGGTTTTTCTGCTATATACCACTGGGTCGCGGAGCATTGGTCTTTCCGCATTTTGCGATTTTTTGCACATGTCCGTTGTTGGCGTTCGACATTGGCTGTCACAATTATGGGAGTTCACCTTGTTGATTATGATTAAGATATATTGTTCGGGATTTATATGATGCGATGGAACGAAAAGGGAATGCTGGCGCCTGTCAAGCTTTTGGAAAAGGGAATGAGCTGGTGATATCAAATAGAGTGATACGCTGGAGGTGGTCTGTTTGCAGTCAATCGAACGCCTGCTTTATACATAAGGGACAAACAAAGCAAATCATCACACGTCAATTTAAACAAGTGGGACCTTGGCCCCTGCCCCCTGTTCCTGCGCTTTGTCGCTGTCTTAAGCCGTTGGCTCATCGGCCGCGAGTCGTTTCTGTCTGTGTGGTAAGCTAGTCGGCTCGGACCGCTGGAGTCTAACATCTGCGTTCCTTAACTTGGGCATCAAACAGGCCCAGCTTCGCTGAGTCTCGGACTGAGCTGGCTCGCACCCAAGTCTGTGTGCTATGATTGGGCTTGATGGAGACATCCTCGTTGATTGGCTAAGTCTATGATGATGTGTCTCCAAATTGTCTATAGCACACGCTCTTCCAAGGCGTCGTCCTTTCCTCTGGCCGGCACAAGGGCAAAAATGTGCGGTGTGTGTACGGGTGCAAGCCTATCGATCTGCTGAGAGCATCTTTCCATCATCGACCAAAGAGCTCCTCAGCCTGAGTTGAAAGTGCGTACCACATACGCAGCCCCCAACCAACTTTGTCCGGAGCTACGTTCTGAACATGATTCACGCTGGAGCTCAGAGCCGAGGAGGGCACGGGGTCGAGATTGTGCGTGAGCTTGCCGAACGAAAATAAGTCAGCAACACGTGGAATTTTGCACTCCGCGTGGAGAGGGATAAGGGCGAGCGTGAGATGGGGCCAGAAAGCCAAGCCGGCATCATGATCATCTTCTGCGCACGATATATCGTAGCCTTTTGGATGCATCACCAGCTCCGCCAATTGGTCTAACAAATCCATCTAAGCTCTGCTCACGCCTATCGCCAACCCCCCCGGCTCCTGTCGAATTCAAGCTATCCCAGCTCTCCTCGAAACAGCTACTCTGTAGTTTTGGCCGTTGCTCTGCTGGAACTGTGGTCGAACCACCATCGCAACAGCCCAAGATTCCCCGCTGGACGAAGTGAAGAGCTTCATGAGGTTGGGGAATGGCTCAATATGGCTTTGGACTCGGCGAGGCAGGTCCCTCGCCTGGTTGAAGGTGCAGGTTTTGCACTTTGTCTCCCCAGTAGTCACTTCCAGACACCACGTACACGTTGCCATGCCGCGGTGCTGATATCAAGCACGCAGCGAGGACCCCGTCGCATATTTGAGATCTCGATCTTCCTTCGCGCGTCAGAGCACTTACAGCGCACATACTGACGACAGGCGAATCGCCATTTTAGACGCAAAAGAGGCATCCACACCAAGGCGGCGATCGTGTTGGGAGAGCAAACATTCATGTGCTGCTAAATTTAGAGTTCGTCACGTGCGCATCCTTTCTATGACGGTTCAATTATGTTAAACATTTCTCCGAGATGCTCAAAGGATGTTGTTGTGCATGGCACAGACCAGGGCGATTGTTCCGGATCGAACTGCGGATCCGAAACCTTGACGAAAAGATTCCTTGTCGAACAACAGGTTGAATCGCATATCGGTATGACAGTGGCTGCGCGAACCATATATCTACGAGCTGCGACGAAATCAATAATCAGGCGCATTAAAAGTGTAACGTGCCAGGAGTCTGCTGGATGTCTACTGTTGCAATTTGCCATAACCTAACTGCAACAATCCCAAGGATCATGTTGACGGAGGACGCAGCTCTGAACTTCATCATTGAAGCAGAGGAAGTGACGGTGACTTTTCCTGCATCGCAATACAAAGCAATGGCATGCTGATTCCTCACGATAGACTTTTGTCTGCGGCGATGGTTCTTCTCGTCTGTGGAGAATCTGCGGTATGCGTTTGGCATCGGGAAATACACGAAAGCATGTTTCTCGCATTTCCCCGGCCTCCCGGACACGTCTCTCCATTCATTGGGACTGGACTCATTGAAGAGCCTTTTCCCCGCTTGAAGGACGATGATCACAGTTTAACTTAGCGAATTGACATACCGATACAGGGCGTAACCCCCCTGATGCGAAGCGCCCATTCTACGAACGGCCTTTTATGGTGATACAACTTCTTCAATAACACTTTGCGGCTGGTGCTCACAGCTCCGCTGGTATACCACATCCTGTCCCGTCAATTCATACATCAGAATGCCCCTCCTTCCGATGTGACCAAGAATATCAGTCGAGAGCAGTTATATGAGTGAATGCTCATTCTTGAACTGTAGCCTTAGCTTTCAAATCAAATCCGTCAACATTGCTCTGCAAGTCAGACACAGTGATTGGAACCATGGATACTGGCCATTCCGCTGATTCGCTGATTGTCCCGATCCTCTTACGGAAACATGCTGACGGCTCGCTAAACTACACACGTATACTTGCCACCCTCGCAGTAGTGTATATCGGAGTCCTTCTTCTGCAGGTATCTTTTATTCACTTTACTCGTATACTAACGCCCTCTAATCACATGGAAGGCCCTGGCCCGCGCGTTCACATCTCCTCTTCGTCACGTTCCGGGACCATCCTGGTCTCGCTTCACACGTCTGCCTTTGAAAAAGGCAATCGTTAGTGGTCGTCGCATCTTCTTCATCGACGATCTACACCGAAAATACGGCGATGTCGTCCGTATTGCACCAGATGAGGTCTCCGTGGCAGACGTCGACGGCTTCAAAAAAATCCATAGTGTATCGTCCAAATTCGTGAAAGACGGCTGGTATGAGGAGCTCACGATCTTCCCACGACAGAGCGTCTTCACGATGCAGAACAAAGAGCTGCACAGTGCACGTAGAAAGCTGTTCGCGAAGGGCTTCAGCAAAACATACCTTCGCGAGAATTATGAAGGAATCATCGCTGAGAAAGCGAGACTCGCGGTCGAGGGAATCAAAAAACGAGCGCTTGCAGGCCCAGTGGATATTTTGCAATGGTGGACATTCTTAGCTACTGATACCGTCGGTCAGCTCGGGTTTGGCGAATCCTTCGGAATGCTTGAAAAAGGAGAGGTGAATAGCGCAACTATACCACGGTATTTTGAGTGCGATCTAATATTTCTTGACAGAAAACAGACTATATTATGACTCTTGAACGCGCTCTGGTTGGAAATGGCATAGGGGCGGAAATGCCGTTGATTCGTACTATTGGCAGTTTACTTCCTGGGAAGGTGCCAAAGCAGATGTTCAAAGCAACGGACTACATCCTGGAGTACGGCCAGAAGGCTGTTGACAATGCAAAGTCGCAGAAAAGCGAAACCAACTTGATGGCGAACGTGCTCAAAGAAGCCGAGAAGGAGAACTCGTCGCTCGACGATCTTGACGTGCGCGTAGAGGCCACTAGTTTGATCTTTGCCGGAAGCGGCACGACCGCGAACACTTTGTCATACTTCATCTGGTCTGTTCTTAAAGATCCTTCGCTACAGGAGAAAATTGAGGACGAGGTCGCGAAATTGCCTGCTGATTTCAAGGATGTCGATTTGGAGAAGTTGCGATGGATGAATGCCACGCTGGAGGAGACATTGCGCTTGTACGCAGCTGTTCCCGGTTCGTTGCCTCGTATTGTACCCAAGGGCGGCGTCACTATCGCGGGGCATTACATTCCCGAGGGCACGACAGTCGGTACACAGGCGTACACTCTGCATCGTAAGGAGGGCATATGGCCGGACGCTCATTCGTACGTACCATCCTATGGAGGAGTTAGAATATTTCACTCACGTGAAACAGTTTCAAACCTGAGCGCTGGTTGAAGGAGTCTGATCTGTCTGCTGCGGCAAAGACGGTCATGTCTGCCTTTGGTGCTGGTGCATACACATGTCTTGGGATTCATATTGCGTACATGGAGATGAGATACGCTGCGGCGTTATTCTTCCGCGAGTGTAGAGGTGCAAAACTCGCTGCTTCGACCACCGACAAGAGCATGGAGATGCAGAATTATTTTGTCATCACTCCAAAGAGTCATATGTGTGAGATCACTCTTCAGTGAACAGTAAAACTTTGAGAGATCGCCATGGGATAAGACGTCTTTGGAACGCTTCTGATTTGTTTGAACGAATGACAATCCTACTGGGTAGCAGTCTGGTTAAAACACATCATAGATGTCAACTTCAGTTAGACTTTCCGAAGCACAAGGTTCCTCATTATTCTTCATATGCACTTCGTATGTAGAGAAGTGAAAGGCATGGATAGACGAGAGGTTGCGCAGCCTCTGCCGATGTTGATGTTAGCTAGGTGATTACACTCCAGATCTCGCCAGTCTTTGCGCTATGGAGCAGACCTGTGTGAATTGTGAACGCCGAGTTGACAAAGGCGGTGTGCAAAAGGAAGTATTTCGGATCTGCACGTCGATTCGAAACCCCCGTTCAAAGCCGTTCTTCACTATTTCGTGATGGATCTCGGAATACTTCCCGCCACATTGAGAAAAACCCCCCATGCTAAGATGAATGCAACCGGAGAGTTTCATCATGGAAAGCTCCAATGTGTTAATTCATGAGCATGGTATATGCAAGCTCCCTAGCCTTTTGATGAGCATTCGGAGACAGACGTCGAGCTCAAGGGCATGCCAAGACACGGTCTCCATCAAACATGTCGAAGCACGCCAACGTTGCGCACGAACACGCATAAGTTCAAACGCGAACTTGATGAGCACGATTCCTCCTCTTGCAATGATGGTATGACTGGGTCCTAGCATGCCGCAAGGATTGGTTCTTGAACGGGCCGACTTTGACTCCATCCATATTCGTCGTGTATTCTGTAGCGTGAACGAAACAACGGACGAACAGCCGCACCCAAGCGCTGTAGGTATGGTCCCGCGGTTGGTTCTTCGAGCTTACGGAAACTGGCGTCCAGGCTGGCAGAGGATCGCTGGCCCGCACCCCCCTTTTGCATCGAGGGAGGCTGACAGCAACGCAAAATGCACGGTATGGGAGATGTAGTAGACGGTATCAGGTATTGCCATGAACACGCGTCGCTAGGCAGCTGGACCTGTCCGATGAAAACGTAAACTGATGTGATATCTTCCGCGAAATGTTTGATCGCACACATGGCGTTGACGTCGTCGGCAGACGGCTGAGGATCCGAAGCGTGCGGCCCAAGCTCTTTCGTCGTGAATGGAGATGCTGAACTGACGCTTTCCGACTCTTTCTCCGCCTAGTTCTTGTCGACGGGCAAGTGAAGGGCGAAGGATGATTCGAACGTAGATCGCGAAGTTCGTAGTTGTGATTTTGGCGTAATTTTTCTTCTTAGATGCTTTTACAGCCGCGAGCAACTGAGAGTGTTCAATTGATCACTGCCAGGAGACTAGATATACAAGCTTGTGAAAAACAAGGAAATGCGCTTCAGTAAGTAAAAAAGAACAAAGTTGGACGATCTTTAGCTTACATGACCCAGCTTGAACAAGTGCTATCGCCATTTGAACGACAATATTGCAGACGCCAGCACGATGCTATGGTCCAACACCGTTGGCGCTGTGCTTTGAAGATCCAAGTTCCTGAAAAATCGACTCCAAATACTCCAATAGTAAAGACTGTATAACCGACACCTTGCGAGCTACGGAGTTTTTGACACGTACACCTTAACCATGCTGACAGTTACGAGCGGCCACTAACCACTGCTTGTGCCACTACCAGTGTGGTTATGATGGTAGCCCTGCCAGTTTTGCTGATTTGAGTTGCTCTGCTGAGAGAAGAAGCCAGACTCGATACGTTGCAATGCCACTTCCGCTGCGTCCTCCTTCGCGTTGTGGATGTACTGACCATCGTACCAGAAACGGGCAGGAATTGTGACGCCTTGAACCTCGACCGTGCTCGACCAGGCCGTGCGACCACCTGTAAGGACAAACGATCAGAGAATATCTAAATGTGCAGATTTTAACCTTGATTGTGAAGATACGATGGAAGGAGATTCCCTGTTTTCTGTCTTCAGGAGGATATGCCCTGGCTTTGCCTGACTAATGGGAGGGGTTCTAGCGCAGTGGCGAGCGGATGGACATTTTAAATAGCGAACGAAAAGAAACGCACCGCGACGGTCAGATGCAATCTGATAAACAGGAGCGCGTAGGCCATGATTGGTGCATGCCTCTGTATTCCAAGTACTGTCAGGAATTGACATTCACAGAGTCAGGCGGGGTCACAAATTCGAACCTTGCAGTCTCTCTTGCCATGGGCCAGTTCGCTCTGAGGTACCATATCCTTGATTCGAGTTCGCCATTATTTTGAAAGCCGTGCAAAAAAAATTTTGGCGGGCAGGGAACACTAGTCAAACAAGGGTGGATCGGATAATATTGAAAGGTGCGAAGGCTCGCAAATCAAAGTAGATGCGGCTAAGAAAGCAGGCCGGAAAGCGGTGATGAGCGCACGCAGGAAGTATCCCAATGCGGACAAGGAGTGCTCGAACAGTCAAATCGGAGCCCGGCTTTCAACGAGGTGGTGTGTCGGTGATAAGGCTGGATGGATCTATTTCCCCAACCCAAGCCGAGACAAGCGAATGATTTATAGACTAGACGAGTTATCCTACTTTCGAGAGCGGTCGCCTCTGATCATCCCTACGTTTTTCCAGGCCTAGGAGTCAGTAGGTAACCGCAATGTCGTTACGTCGTGTGCGCAGGCCTGGGTCGTCACGGACGCCAACTCATCATGGACGCCAGCCTGTGCATGCGAAGTTTGATTTTCCTTCCGCCTTTGACTGGTCCTTGAACCTGGAATTGGCGTTGACATCAGTCATGGAGCCGTTCAAGGAGGCAAACGCGCAGAAAGCGTTATGTGGGTATAGTGGACAGCATCGGCCACACGGGTGCACCCGTAACGGAAGGAATGGCCCGGAGCGTGCGTGTCAGATTGACCAGGGATCCTGATCGCGGAGCAGATGGAGTATATCAAAGTGTGTGGGTGTCGGGCGAACGAGAGGCGAAAGAAAGGCGAACGCTCAAAGAAGCACACACCCTCGATAGCCTACACAGAACGTATCGTGCATATGCCGAATTGTACCTCAGACATCGTGGAGCGCTCTCATTGAGGGAATACCTGATCATTGGCGTGGACAGTGCTAATGGGGTTTGGAATCAATAGCGTCTCCATCCGCAACGGCGATGAGTTGTCCGCCAGCGTGTCCGCGCCCGCCATGCTTGTTTTTTTGCGATGCTAGCTCAAAAGTACCTGATGCTCCTCGGCTGCAAGTTTAGCCTCATGCACGTAACCCAAGATGTGTGTGAGCTGCAGGAAGCGGGCCAGCTCAACTCTGAGAGAACTGCCGTTCCCACGCGCGCCCCCAGAGAGAAAGCGGAACCGAACATCGTCGTGCGTGCAAATTTCCGAGATCTTTTCCTCTTTCGAAGCGTGGCATCGGCATGGAGAGCGGATATTGGTGTGGAACAAGATGAAGGTGCGGCTCAAATCGATTGTCACATACCCGTGTCGTCTGCGCCACACATCCACGGCCAAGCTGCTTCGGGTTAGACTGAAGGCGGAGTCACGGGACCACGGTCAAGGAATTTGTCTCGACACAAGAGGAATCTTCATTACTCTATAAACTTCATTATAACAAGCCTCCTCGTGGGTATCGTAACATTCGTAATGAGTCATGGCAGGACTTGTAGCTTTACTAGCTCCCTCCAAGCGTGCCGAAACATGCGGCTGATGCAATATGCACAGAAAATATCACAACAAAGTACAAGAGGCTGTCTCGATGAATCGCATGCAGAGAGTCGGGTGTGTGGCAAAGCGTAACATGATGCCACATAAATCATATCCTTCCAAAGAGCATCAGGACAGATCAGTCATAGCTTAGGCGAGTTGAGATCTACATGTGGTGTTTAGGCACTGCGCGTGTTTCCCGTTCTTGCAACAGGATGTCTGTGAAAAATCTCATCGATGAGACGTTTTGGCCCAACGTACTCCATATCTAGGCGGAAGGAGTTGCTACGGATTAGCGGGAGCAGCACCCGACGATGCTTGGTGCTATGCCACCTTCGCTTGATTGTGTCGTCGACGAGCGAGACAAGGCCAGTGGCAACAACGACGCTGAGCAGCCGATTAGCGGGGAAAATTTTACCAAAGCGGCAAAAGAACATACTCTGCAAGGTCGGGAGAACCTTGTACAACGTCGACATCCGCAATCCACATTGAGCATGGTTTGATCCAGCCGCCCTTGAGAATCTCTTCTTTGTCCTGTTGTCTGGTCAAGGGCACGGGAACAATATGCGCAAGCGGATTCAATATATCACTTCTGGTTAAGTGGAACGAAACCTCTTCAGAATCGCCTTCACGCTTGATAGTGCGTTTCCATGTGTATTCACGACCCCAGTATTCGAACTGGTACCCTTTGCTCTGGCCTGCTCCACGGCGCTTGAGTTCTACGTTTGCGTAATTTGAGAATTCCAACTTTATGGTATTTGTGGGTAATTTCTTTTTTATGGAGTTCTCTTGGGGCTCCTCAAAGCTTGCGTCGTCGTCGTCCTCATTAGCCGTGGGTGAGTAGGTCGCATCGAAGCCAGAGTCATTGCGCTGTAGCTGTTGCATATTCGGACGGTAATGTTCATCATGGTGTCGCTTAAGATGAGTCAAAACACTGCTCAACGACTTGGTGAGAGCAGATGTTTGTATCTGCTTTGAAGGCTGGTATTTGCGGATTGTCTTACAGACTTCCCGTCCGGAATCTCGGCAGTATCGCCTCAAGGAGAATTCTCGAGTTTTGAGGTCGTTCATCTTGAGATGAAAAAGGGTGAGATTTTCCTTACGAGGGCTCCATTCCGTGTCGACCAAGGTATCGACTCGCAAGTTCATATTTCCATCGATTGTCGAATCGTCATGGTGTATCGAGAGACGTCTGGATGAAGGAAACAATTCCGCGAAATCGCGTGGAGTCGCTGGGATGGCATCACTTTGATAGTGCTCGTCTTCAAATTCCAGGACTTCGTAGGCCGCCTGGCTTTCATCTTCGAGATCGGACGCATCGGTCGAAACGTACGTCTCGACCGAGTCCCTTGGTTTTTCCCAGTCCGTCAAGCGGTCAGACTGATAGCTTTCTACACAGCCAAGCAATGCTTCACGTCTTTGCAGCCACGATTCGGGTGTTGAGTAAGCGGTGGGTACTGTGCTGTATGATCCGTTGCTGTCGTACGAGGAGCGACAGTACTCAGCGCTGGATTTTTTAGGATTCCCTGTCCCTGATTCAATTTTGTCCGGAGAGGGCGACCTGGAATTATACATGGCTGGAATAAAGTTGTTTGTAGGAGAGGGCGCGAGAGAACTGGCGACGCTCGGTTCAAGGTGTAACGTGATCAGAGAAAATGTGAGCACAAACTTGGGTGGTTAATATAAGCAAACAGCTGGTCAACCTTTGCCCTGGGCACAGCCGAACGCCTCAACTCAACGGCAAGAACAAGCAGGCAGCATGTAAAAAGCTCCAGTTCACGCCGCGCAGGAAGTGAGAGGTTTGCAGCATTCGGTTTTGAGGGCGGACGGGCGCTTTACCGTGGGGTGATTGAGCAGCCGGGGCTGTGCTCGCACGAGCGAAACAAGACCCAATCGCACCGACACCGTCTAAGAATTTTCGCTCGGCCGCCCAATGGGGGCCATGTTTCCCTGCACACTTGTGTGTTTGCCTGCTGGGGTGCAGAAAGTCTCTCAGCCTTCAGTGGAACGCATCGCGGCTGGTGCTTAGCGATCCCTTTGGCAGACAACCGGATGACGACGTGTGCTGCGAATACGTGGGCTGGGCTCCGGCCGATTCCTGCCCGCTTGCCGTGCAACCAGCGACGGCTTTGCCGCCGTTTCCGAGCCATTATTTGCCCCCGTTAACGCTGCTCTGCGGGAAATTTTCGTCGGTGGCGGGCATGAGCGTGAAGAAGGCTCGGCTTCCTCGCCAGCACCGTCGCCATTACTGTCACGACACCGCCTGATGATCAGCCCGTCTGTTCTGGCGTCGTCTTCGGCCCTTCGTGGCTCGGACCGCCCGTGGAGCGAGACACCGCCCTGCCAGCGCGCGTTCTTTTTGTTGAGCCTATGGCCTTCTTAAGCTCGGCAAGGCAGTCCAACACGGCCCAAGACGTTGCATCTCGGTGCTTTCGCTTGTTCGCCTGCCGGGATTTGGCCACCAAGCCTCGTTCTTCGTGGTCTCCTGCAGAAGCGACGCTGGCTGTCTGGCCTCTATTTGTGGTATCGCCTTCGGGCCACGCATCACGTCAGCTCATCCACGGCGCCAGGCTGCACAGGTTACAAGCCGTAAATATGCCCGTCTTGCCCAACGAGCCGTCGTCTAATTGTGAACTCGTGTTTCTTTGGTGACATGAACACCTTCTTGAGGCATACAGACCAAGTACGGACAGCCACGTCAACACGCTTGATTGGACCACCCCACGACACAAACCGTTCATGCAACTACAAAGACGCCGAACGCGGAAAGACAAAACTCCGCTTCATCGGGGCTGAAGCGTTGCGAATCAGTGGTTGTCTGAATGTCGACATTATCATTGGGCTGAACTCCTGGTTTTGATCCTTTGTGAATGGTTGCTTTGTGCAACCACCGCAGCTTCTTCGAAAACCCCCATCGTTCCATCCCCGTCCTAATCTTTCTGGTATCGTCTCCTGCATTCGCGATTTGTTCCAGAACAGCCAGATGATCTCTGACGATAATGCAAGAATCCACTTTTGAGTCTGATTTCATGCAACCCCGCTCGTGGACGTTCAACGGCAACCTGCTTGCGCAAAGGGCCAGATCCGTTTGGTGCATTTGTTCTCTGTGACGAGATTGAAACATCTTGAACAGGCTCCAGGAAGCTCACTCTGGTCACTACCTGGAGCCAGTTCCCTCCAGCCCGAGCACCCTGTGTAGCGTTGATCAACCTGGCCCTAGGATACAACTGCACTCCGAAAGCAGAGTACAGAGCATATATCTTCATTCGGGAGTGCTTCACGATAGCCAAACGAGCTATGCGACACAGACTCAGGTGCTTCAGGCGCTAGACACTTTCAGCTCTACAATCCGCACGGGCTGGTGCTCACCAATGCGCAAAGGAACCTGAATCTCATGTCTCAACGTCTGCCAGCCGACTTACTTCTTCCAATTGCTTCACAAAGTAAGTAAGAACAACATCTGTCGAAGACCATGTGAAGCGATGATCGGCGATCTAGATCTTTGCGTACCATATGCTCTCTCATCGTGGCTCTTGTAGTGGACAAGGGCCATTTCGATGCTGCGACTTGCTACCCAACGCATCCGAAGACGGGTATCTTTTGCACTTGCACCATGCTACCTGACCCTAGGCGTATATTGCGGGGAAACGAGCAATCGGATTTTGTATCCACAGCAGACTTACCAATGTCGTGAAAGCAGTGCATTTTTCCGGGATAGGTCGCAAATGACAAACATCTGAAACCTGAAAAATTCTCCGTCTGGCGCTGTCAGCGCCAAAATTTCAAAACCATGGTTCTCGTCAAGCTTGTCAAAGTCTTTTAAAAGCTATGATGTTAGTGAAGATCTGTTCGTAAATATCTGAGATACTTATTCGTAATTCAATGATACTCAAGGTCTCAATCCCTTACGTCATGGCACTTTCTTAATTTTCGATTGTAGTTTTACGCAACAGCTTCCTCACCTCTTATCTAGCCCCGAAGTCTTTGTTCTCAATTGTTCCCTCTTCACGTTGCCCGCTTATTCCCGTCCGGATTTGCTTTTCAATGTTATAATATTGCTTTCGCCCAAGCCTGCATCCCTAGGGTTGAGATCTTCATTTCCTGCATTTGGGGGCATGATTCCTCTTATTTCAGCCTCTCAACATGTCCGTGAGAGTCCAGGCAGAGGTTTTTATTCGTCAACATTATTCTGGAGGTAAATCTGTCCGTAGAAGCGCTTGTGATGAAACCAAAATTGTTCACAGCACTCTCGATGACTTGTTGTGGAAGACAAGTATAGGGTGATCGCAATTTGAATCGAGATACTATTTCCAATATCTCTTCATCACAGTTTGGGCAGGTTTGCCTTAATTACAAAAAAAAGAAATTAAAAAAGAAAAAAAATTAAACCGAAGAGCATGAGGCTGGTTTAAAGAACTCTGTACTTTGGACTGCGCCTGTCGAGCATGCCTAGAATTCGATCATTGTCTGAGTATACATCTGACTGCTGCTGTGTCGGAATTTGTTTGTAAGTTAACATTTCAAACCCCAGCGATCATTCTTCGCATGACATGCTCGACCTGCTGCCGACGGGTGCGTTGAGATGCTTTAACACACTCTACTTGTTCCCCAGTCTCGCACTCAATTCTTCAATGTATGTCTGAAAACATGGTCTGTGATATGCTATACAATGTAAACTGAGTTAATTAAGCGCATAGAATGCCGTAAGCATATGTGGCGCCCTCGACTGCGCACATTGTGACTGCTTCAAACTTGCCTCGATTAGAGTGATACGTTTCAATCATAGCAGGAGAGAGCTTCTTTAATAAAGTACTCGCGTGAGGATAGTCCATATATTGCAAGGTAATGGGACTAGAACCTTGTGAGGCATGCAGAGCAGATGTTTGATGCTTGGCGGTTCAGCCCGCATCGGCTAGCTACCGGGTCTCCATCGGACCAAAACAAAGGCCAAGAAATCTGACGGGATGCCGCTGCTGCCCTGGGTCTACAATACGTCGTACAAGAGCAAAGCCTATTTTCGGATTGCCGTTGTGATATTCATAATAAGTCTATGAAAAGAGAGTAAACTCTCGGCAGCATGTCTCGTAGACGTTTTCCAAGTTCTCATTCTGAATCCATACACCACCCTCTTTCGAGCAAGCTTTATGATAGTGTCAGCCAGTGCCAGAGTGCAAACACAGCAATAATTTCAACACTACTTGCTGGACTGTCCCGTGCCCAGCCTTGGACATGGATATTCTGATTTTAGGGGGCGGCTTCGCCGGATTCACTACAGCGCTTTCATTGACGAAATTTGCGCCACCGGATCAGATACCTAACATTACACTCTTCGAAATAAGTCCAGAGCCAAGGACGAGAGGAGGTGCTGTTAATCTCACGCCAAATGCTCTTCGTCTGCTAGACCATCTTGGAGCGCTCACCGTCATTAAGGAGAACAGATGGGGGGAAACGATTAATGCCATGGAAGTGTTCAACATTTACACAGGCAAGATTGCTGAATCAAGTTTTAGAGGACCCAATGGAAAAGGCATTGGGAATCCCCCATACAAGGTGAACTTAACGTAATCGAGGCTTGGGTTGGTTATGCTGATGCGAAGTATAGGCTCTGCGGATTACCCGAGGCCATACGCTCCTAGGAATAATGGAAGCGGCTGAAAAGCACCCTAACATCAAAGTTGTATTTGGCAAAAAAACTACCAAGATTGATGAAACAGACGAAGCTGTGACTTTGACCTTTTCTGACGGCTCTACTGCAAAAGGCGACATACTACTTGGATGCGACGGCATTCATTCCGTAACGAGGCTAAAACATGTCGAGCCTGAGCGGAAAGCGGTCTATTCCGGTATAACAAATGCGTTTGGCTACGCGAAAAGGCCAGAAGGTTTGGAGGTTCACTTTGAATGCGCGTCGCTGAACTTTTGTCAGCGAGGCATGATCTTGTGCAGCTTTTTCGAGCCAACGCACAGCAAAGTTTACATCGGTGGACTGATGGAGATGGAGGAAATCGCGGATCGGGATGGCTGGACTGCTTACGCCAGCGAGCAGAAGCAACTCAAAGCAGATTTTGCAGATCGCTTCAAGGGAACAGTGCTTCCAGCCATCGACCCACTGCTAGAAGCCGCGGACGACTTTTATCTGTGGCCGGTGTTCACCCTTAGCAAGGAGGGTAAATGGGCAACTAATAGAACCATGCTTCTGGGAGATGCCGCTCATGCAATGCCTCCGCAAGGCGAGTCCACCGGTATTGTTTTCGAAGATACTGTTCTCTTCGCTCGATGCTTGTTCCGCTGGGTCGAGTTGGGCAAGAAAGGCACCGTCAAGGATGCATTCAACCAGTATGAGAAGCTACGCCGGCACCGAATAGCGGTCGCGTATGACGAATCTAGCAAGGTCGTTGCCACCGTAAAGGACTCCGGTTGGCTTGGCCACAAGATCAAGATGGCGATTGTGCCGTGGTTTTTATGGTGGACAAGCGGTTATCGACACAAACACTTTGTAGAAGACGTCACGACTAGCGATCTCGGCTTTTAGAAAGATCGAATTTGCCTGCAGTTGGAGTTTTCAAAATGATACTGATTGGTATTATTAGAGGTCTCAGGCACTTTGCAATATAGCCTTGTGACGGTGCCTATGTTACAAGATAGCTGGAATAACAACTAAGAGAATAAGCCCTTTTCTTCTGAGGATATATGTTTGACATTATTCACACACCAATTGATGCGTCTGATGTTTGAACTCGATAAGATAAAAATGTGTAATTTTTTTATAATACTCTTGATCTGCTTCCTTCATAGCTCTGGGCTATGTAAGAGGACAAAATCGTATGCATCATAAGTTTGATTCTTTGTCTAGGATATCTAAGATTGGTTTTACTGCTCTCTCAATTACTTCTTTTGGGACCTCTGCTCCTTTCATTGATTCAGCTGAATCAGAACCAGGTGGCCTGATACCCCATTCCGGAATAACACGCTCACCAAAAAGCGATATCTCCAAGATCGTACCTCCGTTGTAACGGCCTTCTTTAATCAGCTTCAGCTCTGATTTTGCTACGTCTTCGGCTGAGATTGCAAGTGCGTCGCTGTATCCATAACGTTCTACAAATGCTGGATTTGCTGTCCATAACGGAGTTCTCACAATTCTGTATGAACAACAACATATTAGCGGAAGACTATGTATGAACTATGATTCAAAACATACCCTGGACATATTGCAACAATCTTGACGCCACAAATTTCTTCCAAAGGTCCCATGGATCTAGTAAAGCCAACTAGCGCATGTTTTGTAGCACTGTACAAGGGAGAAGCAAAATGAGCAGAGTATCCGGCAATTGAACCCATAATGAGCACAACACCTTTTTTACCCTTTGATCTCAGTGCTCTGATTGCAATGCGTGTAAGCTTTATTGGGTGACTTATGTTTATTTGGACAGATTTATACTGCTCATCTTCTTGGTCATCCCAAAAGTTGGACCAGTCCTATCAGTATTAAAAAGAGACACATGTTAGTTCTAGGGCACAAGACTTTGGAATCCTCGAGACAGGAAAGGAGTGGAACAAACAGGCTCAAATACTCCAGCGCCCGCCACAAAGATATCGGGGACGTCCCCAAACTCGGTGATTGAGACATGAATAAGATTTTCCAATTCCGACCATCTGCTGACATCGCATTGCTGAAACACAATATCATTATCAAATCCTTTTAAATCTTCACTAAGTTTGAGATCTGCGATAATCACTTTAGCACCTTCCGCTTGTGCAAGCTTAGAAAATGCGAGGTGAATTCCTAAGACATGTAAGAATGATAAATTTGATTGTTTCAGCATATACTGACCCGAGCCTCCTCCTGTAACAACCACGATTTTGTTACATAGTGTAATGTCCCCTAATAGCATGTTTTAAGCTGTTTATCAAGTTTATCAAAATATGATAGTTGACTTATATAGCCCAGCGAAGTTTGCTGTAGGCAATTTATATTTATTTAACCCAATTGGAGATCCGGGATCATATGAGAATGACATACCGCAGAAATGAAAGTTGGGCTCCGCTCGGAATGGAATGCGCAATTTTGCCGGTCCGCGTCTCTATTTGCTCCTTCCGGGGGATGCTAGGCGGCACCGGCAAATTTTTGTAAAAAATAAGGAAACATACATAAGCTGGTTGAAACATTAAAAATAGATATCAATCCGGAAACAGCACGTCACAGTAAGCTAAGAACGAATGTACGGAAAAAGTTTTGAGGCTGATCTCTTTCGAGCGTTGAAGACTTGAAGTTAAGGTCAATCTTGGGGATATGGAAAACTGGAAGTTCCTTTTAGTATAGTTATGATAACTGGCTGCAGAGCATATGATTGAGATAGAAAAGGTAATTAAACAAAACAGTAGTATATAAGATCTTCCTGTAATAAAGAAGGATAAGTCTATCTCTGCAGAAGCAAAGTAAAGCAGCATAAGGTATATAAAGCATAGCATTTTCCGTTGTCTCTCTATTACGTCTCTTATAGTTATTTCACTTCTTATTAATCTTATAGTTTATCTATTCAGTATAACATTAACTAAAATTTTTTTGGTATTTCGCGTCTTGACATAGCACTTTTATAACAGATAGAAGACTAAATAGCAGAGAACTAAAAGTAATACATGAAAACAATAAACGTATCATCATAAAGAAAGTATTCCTAATAGTATAGTGATAACTTAGCTATAATTGTTAGCCTTTGGCCTACCTATACAAAGAGCTTCTTACAAGTTCCTCCTACTTATGGCAAGAGCAAATCTCTTCCGCGCTTTCCTCAACCAACAACTTGGCTAATTTTTGTCTCAATAACCATGTCTCCGCATTCATCAATAACAAAGTGCGCTGATCCCACAAATATTGCGTAGTTAAGAGCCCTCAAGCGTTCGTCGCCAGTCTATTTAAAGTTAGTCACCGACCATATTTGCAATTATGTAATCTCTGGGAACAACTGACCTCAAATTGTATTTGAGTAACTGCAGAAATTTAAAAAAAAATTCTTAAGCACTATTCCAACTAGGAAGACTTACAAGCTTTGCCAAAATTCGTAGTTTTTGCATCTGGGCTACGTGTGAAAATGGCAGTGAAATCCGGATCCATTTCAATAATGCCCTGGTATTTGTAGAATATATATGAGCCACTATTATTCTTTAAGAGAGCATTGACATTGATCCTTATATAGCCATGAATTGCTTCAATCTGCAATTGATCAGATCCGTATTGAACTTCGGCATTAATGGAAACTGGATAATCTGGTTCACTCTGGATCGTTCCCGAAGCTATAGGCACAACTTGGACTTCAATGCTGTTGTTCATGCTGCCAATTGCAAATGGATCAGCTGGTTTTAGCTGCTATTGTTTAGTGATTATGTCTGGACAGAATTTTATATCACAACTAACACGCGCAGTGAATGCGGGTTTCAAATTTGGAAAACCAGCCATGTCGGAAGAGGAGAAGACCAAGAAAACCAGCCACAGCTTGAATGCTAAATATTATGCTATCGCACTGAAGAAAGAGAATAAAACTGGTCAAATGCTGGATTTAGAGAAAGTAAGGGCTGGATTTTGATTAGGGGTAACAGCTTGTATTTAGGATGGGAAAAACGTCTAACTTTCAGAGGCATAGGTGTTCCGATTGGTTCGGAGTCGAGTAACTAAGCACTCCGAAACCTAGGACTAGTAATATTGCAGCTCTTGCTTTCAATATTAGCCTGATCTATTAACATTATCACCTTACCCCTAGATTTAGTATCAAGATGTTAATATTTCTTCTTGCAATATCGACTGTTGCTAACCTATTCTGGACTCATGCTTTGGAATTTGAACGTTTCAGAAATTATATAAAAAGTCATGATCTATCATAATTACCCAAGATATTAAGAAAAACATGAAGTTGGTAGATTATTTCTTTTATGTAACCTATCATGACAGATTTATGTAGCACAAGCTTGAAGTATAAAGCACACATAAATAAGAGACAGCTATTTAATATATCTGATTGAGCATAAAAGGCGATGAGATTTTATGGATATTTTGTTTCCGAACATAACCTGACTAATACAGAGGCCCTAAGGAAACTATCGTGGAAGGACTACATTATGAAGAAGAATATACTCAGAAAATTTCAGTTAAGAATTTTTGAGAATCATTTGTTTGTCATATTTCAAACCTAGATGTTTTTAGGTTGCTTAATGCGGTGCGTTAAGCGCTCAAAGAACTCTTCAGTGAAATTACCCTCGGAATCAAGGGACTGCTGTGCCCTTTCCCATTCTTTTCGAATTACTTCCACTCTTTTACTGCTTCGTGGCTTAATATGGCATCTATTAGGATCAGAATTTTTTAGTTCACGCATTAGAATCTGTAGTTACCTACCGAAACTCTACTGGTCGGACAATGAATCCATCTGTTACCTTATCTTGCTCAATCGTATCCCCCTCTATCTTCTCAAAGGTGAACGCCCAGAGCATACGGGATATTGCCATGAATAATCCTCTTTGCGCAACATGAAACCCGGGACACACACGCCTACCTGCACCAAAGGTAAAATGTGGTCGAAGAGTCGAGTTTGGATTAATATCATAATTCTCAATCATCATATCCTCAGCACTATGCCTGGATGGATCAAATCGTCTCGGATTTTCCCATTTTGCATTATTCAGAGCCCAGACGTTCATCATTATCGTCGAACCTTTAGGAAAATGATAATCCCTGTAGGTATCAGGTTTAGAGTTTGAATGAGGTACAGCAGCGCTAAGGGTTGTAGGCATCCATCGCAAGGTTTCAGTAATGCAAGCCCGAACATATGGTAAGTTTTGGCGGTCATCCCACTCTGGTAAACGATCTTCTGGTACAATACTATCTATCTCAATCTGTGCTTGCTTCTGGGACTCTGGATATAGTATCATTGCCTAAAACATAATTAGCAACGTAGAGAGGAAAGTATGTTGGCAAACCTTAATAAAGCCGAGGGTTGTATTCCATTGAGTATCACTAGAGTAATGTTAATCTAGATCATTTATGCTCTAATATACTTACGTAGCTGCGCCAAAACCGTGAGCAGCATTATGCGCTATTTCGACTTCAGTGAGGTGATCTTCGTCGTCATCAAGAAGCATGTCTCGGATAAAGCCTAATGAGGGTAAGCTATGCTGCTCAAATTAAATTAATATTTAGAAAAGCAGTACTTGGATAAACTTTCCCTTCGTCGATTTTCTGTTTCGCTTTTTCAAGAAGGTCGAAAAATAGTCGATCTTCAATCCTTTTGATAACCTGTATCTTCCGTTTGAAAGGAATAAAAAGCTCTGGTAAAGCCTTGAAAAGGGGTCTCAAAGATGGAAAAAAATCCACAAGCTGAAGATTTGCAGCTTCGCTTGTCTTATCCATCCACTATGCTTGATAAGATTACTAAATCAGTCATATAAGCAGAGAAACTTACATCCATCAAATCTTTAATATGACCAGTTTTTCCATCAGCTGTCCGCCAACCATAGATTACAGTTGAGGCTACACTCGTGGTATAGCGCTGAAGATGGCGGGAGAAATCATCAGGCCTTTCTAAAAGATCTTGTAAGAGTTGAATGGAATCAAACGCCTATCTTTTGTTACGGGTAATGGTTTTTGACTTATGATCCCAAACCTACTTGGTATGGTAGATACTGATCTGCAGATTTAACATTTAATCTGAGATGATACATTTTGCGCTGTCTTCTCCATGTGTCGTCATTGCTGTAAAATATGAGCGGTTATACAAAACCAAAAATATTTGACCTACTCCCTGAAAGCGATATTCATGCTACCATTACCAAGTTTGCGAATATATAAGTCTGGGCGTGCAGAGTATATATTACTCCTCTTTTCCAGAAGGTCTCTTACGACCGCTGGGTCGTTAATAAGGATTAAATTCGTTTCGCCAGTCTTCAAGCCTATGACAGGGCCATCTATCAAATTAGATATTATTTGTTCAATTGAACAGATATTACGTTAAAAAATACATTTGTTTGCCCATTCTTGGAATTTGAGGTGGAAATCTTTCACTGGCAGTTGGTGCAAGTTCCCGATCACAGGTAGAAGAGGTGGACCTGAAGATGCTTAGATACTGGTAGTATACTTAGCTTGAGTGTTACTATACCTGGAGGAAATCTTCGGGGCCGATCTTTGTATCCCAATACTCCAATGGTCAAGGCTATTACGCTTATGATGAGAATGAGCAACATGATTGTAGAACTGAAGATAATCATGTTAACCAAACTTCGGAATCTTCAGCCGTATATCTGGTCTTTCAATTAGAGCTGGTAATGGAATAAATACATCTGAAACCTACATGGTAATCCAATATCTTGATTCTAATCGGAAGTAGACGGGCAGGAGATGATGGATCTTGACGAAAGAGCCATGGCTCGGAACCATATATATCTCCGCATCCGATCAAAACAGTACCATCGCGGGATCGCGTGGTTCCGGAGCAGAAACGCAAATTTCAAATAATCAAATAAATTTTGTTAAAATAGTAGAACTCCTTTACCTCCTTATATACTGCCTCCCTGTAAAGCCGTAAATTTTTTTTTGTTGAATTTTAAGTTACTAGGCCTTGGCAATAATCATGAGCTAGCGAAATTAGTATATCAGATCCTCCATCAATAAATGAATTAAATATAGTCGTAACTGATCAGTTAATTTCTACTTAATAGATGCCCTAGGATATTTCATAACTAATTTTTTTTCAAGTTGGCCGAGTCCTAACGAGCTTGTCATTGCGAAGTTTGAAGTGCTGCGAGCTCAAAGCTCCTTTTGAAACTCGATATGTCAAGGTTATTAAGTCGCGAAGCCAAATTACAGAGCATTGTCTATGGGCATAATTAAGAAACTATGTTTCTGGAATGGGTTGAAAAACAAGATGATAGCAATTAGATATATTCTCTTTCGTCCTGGCCGAACAGTCGCATGGGAGGTATATGCAACTCGAAGACGTGAAAGGTGGTAAGAAAAGGCTTTTTAGGAAACTGTTGGATCGAAAATCGAAGATGGTTATGAAAGTGGAATGGATTGGTTTTGAGAATCACCACTCTGTAATAGTGTAGCTCCCTGTATTTTGACCCTCAGGGCTTCAGCATTGCAAGTTTATCCACCACCGAGTCGCCACTTTTTGTCCTGTAACTCAAAATTTCACAGGTTCATTGATTGGATTATAAGCAAATTAAAGTCCAGCTGCATGAGCACTTGGGACGGAGGCCTGTTGGTCTTATGAAAGTAGAACTCGTTAAACATTGCACAAGACTCTTTGATCAGTTGATGTCCGGACGTGGTAAGTAATGATTCCCTGCCGTGGGATGATACTTCCTTACCAATAGATGAAAAGCATCCCGACGCTGACTGGAGAGTCGCCGCGGAGGTCCGGCTAGATAAAAGTAAAATCCGGGCTCCGCTTCTGAGAATGTATGGTCCGGGCAACTGGCTGCCGCATACCCTTCAAATCTATTAAATCTGACTCAATGATCACCAAGTTTTACAAATAAAAAGCAAATACATTTGGCATCAATTTTTCAACCATCTTAGACAAGCGCATCGCAATATGTTCATCCCAGGAACAATAAGCCGTCCACCAGCAGACCTAGTTATACCCCAAGAAGAACAATTAATTTTCAATATTTTAACTTACATCCCATTTATATTTCTTTTATATAAGTCCTTCCAGAATATATATACAAACGCCGACCCAACCTGCCTTTTTTTCGCTACTGGTGGTGTCATCGCTTCCGTCTTTGAACCCATACTCGATGTTATGGGTTTCTGTTACTTTCCGCGAGAGGGGAACATGGTTGCGTTCGAGCTCTACAACAGGCCTATTCCTGTTCTCGTTCCAGGTACTTATGGGTGGTTCGTTGGAGGCCTTGGCTATTGGACATTGTCGACTTTCAATCAGAGCTGCCCACATAGGGAAGATATCTGGGGTATATGGTTGCGGAATTTTAGTTTTAATCTAGTCCTCGAATATACGGCATTGTATGGGGGAATGTATATTTACTACGGCTACCAACCCTTCTCGATCGGTGGTTTTCCGCTCTGGTTTCCAGCTTGCCATGCTTTTGCGCCCATCATGGCTGCGACACTTATATATTTGATTCAGAAAGAGCTTGTAGGTTGGAGGCTGCTCCTGATTATCCCTATTGTGATACAGACTTATGGTATGGCAAATATTGGACTTGGATGGCCTGTTTGGGTTGCATTGAGCTTAGATAAGGGGTTATATGTCTCTTATATTGCAGGAACAACCACATTCGCTATGGTTATGTCAAGTCTATGGATTTTGTCCTTGGCATTTGAGAGAAAGGATGTAAAAAAAAATTGACCTAACTATATGAGTTCCTGCAGAGACGTTTCAATTACCTTCTTTATTTGCAGGAGCGCCGAGAATCACTCTGTGCATGAAGCTCCTTCCTTAGACAGGGTAAAGACTAGGATTTGTAGCATTATCGTCGCCATAATCTTAGTAGACTATTACATATTGAATATGAGTAGTAGGTCATTGAAGGTACTACTCTTCCGTGTAATCCGTGAAGAATTGATATCATCCCATGCACTATTAGTATTACTATATCCAGATTTCCATCTCTTCGTGCTAAGGACTCTAGTACTTTCGTAGGGCAAAATAGCCACCAATATTTCAGTCCTAGATAAACTTTGATAGTCAATTTCAGATTCTTGCGAATAGTATGAGCAGTACAGAGCCATACTATTGCTTCATATGTTCGGTACGATGTAGATCGTAAGCTCGATGTGCTTTCTCATAAGAGCGTCACGAATCTGGCAATCCTTGGCTTAGAGTGTTGCATTGTTGGGATTGTGGAGTTATATTTTGCAGACATTCTTAATCAGTTGTCTACTTGGTAAAATGCAGGATCTACTCTATGACCGTCATAGGCCATCATTTCTTCAATTGTCCAATCCTGATGCTTATGCCCTTCAGGCACATTTGAAGACAGAAAGATGGTACCCTCCTCAAGATGCTTAACTACAGCGTCGAATTGCTCAAATGCGTACCTTTCCGCGTCATGTCCGTTCAACCATTCTGGCTGCGGGAGTTTCAAAAACTCAGGATTAGTTGCAACGACTTGCCAATCTGTTTGATGCCATCTGTGTCGTGTTTCCCATCCCATCCTTTGAGTTAAACTGGTTCTCTCATATCTGTCTTTCTTAGCTCGAAAGTCTTCAAAATTCGTTTATTTACTCATTTCTCACCTCAACCGCTCGTAGGCTTTTAATGCGAGGGGAATTCTTTCTTTCCCTCCTTTCTGAATCAAAGCAGCTAATGTCACAGCGTCCTCGACAGCTTGCGAACCGCCTGTTCCAGATGTGGCAAGATGGGGATGCGCAGCATCTCCAACGAGCGCTACCCTCCCTCTTTTGGATATCCATTGCTTATTTGGATTTCTCCAAAGCAATTTATGGTCAATCAACGCATCTTCAGGGATTGACTTCACAATTTCCTGAAGGACAGGGTCCCAGCCGTCTATGACGGCAAGCATTTCGTTAACATAACCTTTTAAGTGCCATGATTCCTGAATATCAGTGTTATCCTGTGGAATTCGTCAGCTGTGCCTTTGAATAAGGGGTACAAACTCGGGACACGAGCCTTGTGCGTTGCGAAGCAAGTACATTCCTGCAGCTTGCTGTTGGTGGTAAGTATTGCATGGGTGTCTTCAGCAATCCAAATGAAAAACTGGTCATGATCCGCCTCTGCAAATTGTGTAGTTAAAGGGCTATTTCGCAATTTTTCTAATGGAAAACAAGATCGATAAACAGCGAAACCGCTCTTCATCGCCTTGGATTCAGCGCCAGTAACAAATGATCGAGCTTTGCTATGCACTCCATCTGCAGCAAGAATAAAATCCGCATAATATTTTTTACCATCATGAACGACGCCTGCCATGTTTTCATCCTCAAAATATTCCGTTATTCTAGCGCTGAATATAAATTCAACGCCAAGATCTAGAGCGCGAGAATATAGTAGATTTTGAAGCTTCGTACGGTTCGTATATATATTGGGAAAGCCGTCAAAATCTTTGGGTAGTAGCTGATCAAGCAATAACTTTCCGTTTTTGTCTTGGATTTTCATGTGGGCCGGCTGAGCGGCCATTTTCCAGATTTCGTCCATGATGTCCTCTCCCCATTTGCTAAAGATACGTGTGGCGTTTGATCCCACCATGATGACATCGCCTGCGATATGTTCAATGGGCTATATCTTCTAACTTAAAAAACCGAGCATTTACCTTGGCGCTTTAAGTCAGCTGCAAGCTCAAAAACTCGGATTTTGGCACCATGCCGGGCAAGTGAAATTGCGCAGGAGAGGCCTCCAAAGCCAGCACCAATCACAATAACTTGTAGATTAATCAATGAAGCCATTATTTGTAAGATGCAATTTTGGGAATATAGCAAACTTTCGTATAATAAGTAAGCGGAGCGAGCTTCTAGAGGTGTAGATCCAACAGCCTTGCGAACTACGGCTGCCAAGGTCGGAATCCGGAATCAAGTCATCCGATGGGTCACCGAGAAAGCAAGTATATCTGTTACATGATTGGGAAGTGCAATTAACATTCACATCCGGATCTTATTACAGGCTGGACATTCAAAAAGGATTCTAGGTAGCTGTTGGCTCCAACCGTGTTGGCCTGACATTCCTTTTCATGGAGTTTTCCTTATGGTGTTGTTCCGTCATTCATTCCGGATCAATTTGCATAAACTTTCAATTAACCATTCCTTAATCCCGGTAATTGAGTCGTTAATAACTAGATTTATTTTGTTTCTCACAAGTGATCATCATGTCAGACGCACACACCGGGATTTATACAAGTGAAATCTTCGGCTCAACCTCACAAGAACCCCTCAGCGCAAATCTGCCCGCAGAATATGTTGAAATTAATTTTCAATTCGTTGGCCTGGCATAGATTATTTCAATGATATAGAGGCTGTCGGCAATAGCAGCTGCAAAAGAGAAAAATATGCGACTTGGACATTCGACGACGTCAGGGGCGACATGCCCTATTGACGATTTCGTATGCTTAGACAGGATTTTCCCTTAATACACTGTTTGAAGTGATGTGCCGAGAGATCGGACTTGCGCAAATGAATAATTTACGTTTCTTATGGCTGGCATTTGTTTTCCTAACACTGAAGACACAACCTCATCCGGAGGCTTTGGAACACATGCTCCGAAAATATGTCCACTCTGGCATGGATGCTATGCCTAGTCAAAAGTGAAAGGCATGGTGCTCTATTTTCGTGGCGCATTTCCCCAAGTTTACAGGGGCGAACAACCTGTTTGCGGGGAAACTAATGCCGGCAGACACGTGCTTATTTCTCGAAAACGCATGCTGCTGCAAGCTCATTGCGAACCGAGACTTAAGTCAAGCGCTGTGCGAGTCTGCGGATCATTCTTAATGCTATACACAGCAATATTGAATCTCAAATTTCAATATGGCTCCAAGAGAGGGTCCAAAGTGTCCCCTAGCCTGCAACTACTGCCGTCTCAAGAAGGCAAAATGTAAGCCCATGCACAGGCAGACAAATCTCCATGATGATATTCGTTGGGCACTCACCCCCACATATAGGCAATGGAGTGCGACCATGCAATAACTGTGTTGTGAGGTTCTTCAACTCTTAACAAGTACACGCAGTGTTGATCAGAGACAGAGTCGTCGAGAAAATTGTGTGTTCGCACCAGCACCGCAACGGAAGAGGAAAAAGGCCGCCGATAGCGCCAAAATACTAGAAGACAGACTCGCTCGTATGGAGTCGTTGTTCAATGCAGTCGTGACAGAAAGAACACCAAATTCAAGGAATGAGGTAGAGACTGAAATCTTCAGCATCGCCGATGCTCGAACACCTCACGTACAATCCAATCGAATTTTGCATGCCGCTTCAAAAACGTCTCTTTCAAGTCAACCGGAGCCTGAGATAGGCAATCTGCCCGTTAATCCTACATCTGATGACGTGGCTTTGAATATTGTTAACGAAAATGGTGTTGCCGATCAAGACTATCGCGATCGCGGTGACATTCCAGACATTGAAATGTCTCTTTCTAGCTGGTCTGACAGCGTCACGAATGAAAACAACCCAGCTAGGGCCTCTTATGCACCATTTGACTCTGAGCAGATTGTCGGAGCAGACCAAGATGCCAGGATTGCTATTGTCAAAGAAGCTCCGTTGCTAACTCCAAAGACATGGGCTGAAGATAGTGTTGTGTCGCCACAAATTGTATGTATAGTACCGTGATTTAAACTTCGGATTAAGGGCTAACAGTTTCGATAGAGCAACTTTGAGCACCATGGTTGGTCTTAACGCGCGCTCAGTTTAATAAATACACTAAGCAAATTACAGGCCCTACTTCATATCTATCAATATGTTCTCATCCAGCGGTCAGATGGATTTCGCAGATGGGTAGTGCTCCGGACTTCGTTTCAACTGCCCAAAACTTCTCACTAAACACGACTCGGACATTGAAGTTGGACAGTAAGCTTTCTACAGAGAGAGCACCGGAGCCGGATGCTGATATCGCTCGGATCTATTGCGATGGTGCGAGTTCCTAGATATGGTTCTTCGCAAATTGATACTGACATAACCCCATGCAGCCTATTTTCAATATTCTATGGAGGGAGTGTTTGGTGTGGTTGACCGCAAGCAGTTCGAGACAAAGTTAGAAGCACAGTTTTGTGGTGACCTCAAGAATGACGATCCTGAATGGTATGCATTGCGTAATGCTGTTTACGCTTCAGGATGTAAGGTTTATTTGTCACGCTTGTCACGATCTAATTCTTTTGTCAAGTCGCAAGAACAAGCCTGGAAATATTTTGAGAATGCTCTTTCTGTCCATACTGAACTCATATACATGCGGTCAAGCTTAATGGCCATCCAAGCCCTCGTCACCATGGTCAGTAGACCATACTATAGTTGAATCAATAACTGAATCGTGACAGGCTTTCTTTACCGAAGGGCTAGGTAATCCAGCTTTAGAGTATATGCTTATCTCTAATGCTGTACGGCTTGCTCAGTCCAAAGGTTTACATCGCCAGCCTTCCGATGCTTGGAAAATGAACGAGTCAGAGATCCAACGTCGAAGCTGGTTATTTTGGGTGATTTACTCTTACGATAAACATATAGCATTTCGTTCTGGAAGGCCCTCGGTATGTCTTGCTTTGATAAAACGTGGCTGCATATAAAATTCGCTCAACATAAGAAACAGGCAATAGACGATGATGATATCAGCTGCGACATGCCTAAGCTGAACGTGGAAAATGGCATACCGGATAAGGAATTTGTTGTAGAAGTTATTAAACATGCAAAAATTGCTTCGCGCATTGCTAAGGATCTAACATCGGCCAAAAGCTCAAAACAGTCTCCTGACCTGTTAGCTCAACGGGCCCAAGAGCTTGAGAAACAATTAAAAGAATGGCGGGAAAGCATACCAGCCTCAATACCATCATTGAAATCCGCGAATTCAACGATGATTCCTGGTGGTAATTCGTATCACGCAATTTACCTTCATTTCGCATATTTTGGAAGCCTGGTCGCTATCCATTCCATCTTTGCATACCCGTGGTACTATTTCGCGTACTCTGACAGGCAGAGCTCTTCCCTGAAAGATCAGGTCTCAACAAGCGCAAAAGCAGTTATGGAAGCATCAAGAGAGATTGTGCTAGCCACTAGGTATATCGATGCTTCTCGTCCGTGGCCTGCATGGTGGGAGACTCTTCCCTTGATATATATCGCTTTTGAACTGATGGTATTTAGGCTAGTTTTCTTCTATCCACTCTTGGGCCTAATAAATATTTTTATTCACATATTGAAGAACCCAAACCTCCCCACAATTGCATCGGACCTAGCGCTGATGGACATTGTCGCTGGCCATTTTGCATACCTATCATATCATTCTGATTCTAGGTTGTCATTTCCATTTATCGAAGATATCATTCGGATTGCCCGCACAGTTGTCAAAAGGGCAAAAGATAAAGATCTGGCCTCGCCCACTCAACTAGAGGGAACGGAAAGGATCATTTTGAATTCCATGAATGGTGTAGAAAGTCAAATATTTTCATCGGACGCGGTAGGTTGTGAAACTAATGAGTTGAATCAATTTTACTGATGTAATGTAGATTGAAAACTTTGACCAGTTCGATTTTACACAAGAAAGTTGGCCAACTTTTATGCCTTCAATTTCTCAGGTGTCCTCAATGGCAGCAGACTGCTTCCGGTTGGGTGAAGTTGAGCCATCCTTTGAATTACGACATCCGGAAGAATCTGTGATTCTTTCTGGGACATAGGAGCAACAACATGAATTTTATAGTCATGTCGATAGCATTGTTTCGAAATTGGAATCGAGTTATTTACGTCCGAGTAAATTTTCGGATTGATACAAAACATCATCCAAGAACCCTCGTTTCCTCCTGATCAAGCCGTGCCTCCTTAAGAGTCAATGTGCCTTTGAATACTCACTTTTAAGTCTTAATTTGTTCACTCAAACATTTTAGCGTAAAGATTCTCTCCAGACGTATTGGATAGCGTCTTTAAAGTCAGGACACTATCCGGTCTAGCCCATGTCGCTGTTCGCACCTCAGTTTGACGAAATGGTATTATTCTACAAGACATTTCTAGGTGCCGAAGCAAGCTATGAAAATGACTATTTGTGTTCTCTCCGCTATGAGGAGGAGCACCACCGCATAACTATCGGAAAGGATCTAGGAACAAAACCCAAAGTTCCTACAACTTCGGGTCTGGAACATATTGCTTTCGCATATTCAACCCTCAAGGATCTCGTCTTATCATATAAGCAACAACAACGTTTTTCCATTGAGCCCTTCCGGTGTGTGAATCATGGGCCAACAACAAGTATGTACTACAGAGACCGCGAGGGAACTCGGGTCGCAATCCGCGTGGACAATTTTGACACGCCGGAAGAAGCTATATAATTTATGGCCCACCCACGATATGAAATGGATCCAAGCGGGACAGATTTCGATCCTGGCAAACTTCGAACAAGGTTGGAACCTGGAGAAGACGAGGAAAGCATCAAAAAAAGGGTAGAGATTGGGCTGAGAGGGCTGGATTCCGTGCCACATTGAATGACTTAATATAATTTGATTTCTAATACCATTTTTTATTGCTTTTTTGACTATTATAATATTCTGTTGTCTTCTTGTGTCAGTGAATACGCATTTGATTCGTCGCGATTGCGATAGGTGACGTTAATGTAGCTTCAATGTAAAACAAAAGGCCTATTCATCCTCGCACGAAAAAATCTGTTGAAATTCCAATAATTTATTAAAGATTCGATGTTAACTGGGAAATAGAGCCTTTCTTTATAATCGTGCGTACTTCCACTGCTTCCTCAGCTCCTCATATTTCTGTTCCACATGAAGAAATGATTGATAGAACATCAAGCAGTCAGGATTTTGAACGGTCGGACTGACTTTGAAAGGTTGACCAGATATTATTTTTTTGACCAAGATTTCCACCTTCTTTCCGTTGATTGTATATGGAATTTCCGGAGTTGCAAAAATGAACTTTGGTACATGCCGCTTGCTCAATCTTTTCGCAATGCTTTCTTTTAACTTGTTATGCAATGTTCTTGACAGATTTTCTTTGGATCGCAATTGTACAAACAAGACTACATGTTCGTCATCGTCATCTTTTCGTCTCTGTCCCACGCAAAGACTGTCTTGGACCTCCGGAAACTCTTGAACGACGTTATAAATCTCGGCGCTACCGAATCGTACTCCAGATGGATTTAAGACACCATCAGACCTTCCATGTACAGTAAAGCCTTTGGTTGTGGGATTCATGGATACAAAATCTCCCTGAATCCAAGTGTGGGCTCCAAATTTCTCGAAGTAAGAGCTTTTGTACTGGACATTCTCCTTGTCTCCCCAGAAGAACACCGGCTGGCTTGGAAATGGTTTTAAACAAGCTAACTCACCAGCCTCGCCTTTGAACGCCACAGAAACTGGCTCTGTTTCGTCCATACTGAGTATATCCACTGCCATGCCAAGCGATGGCCCCTGAATCTCACCCGCAAACAGTGGAATCGTAGGAACACCAGTGACCAGGGAACAAGCAAGATCAGTACCGCCACAAGTTGAATGAAGGTGTATGTGCTTTGGAAACCCATGTTTATAGAACCATGTCGCGACATCTGCCGTCAAAGGACTTCCCGTTGAAGTGACAGTTCGCAAATGGGACAAGTCAAGGGTCTTTTTCGGGCATATCATCTTTGTTTTCAGGTGGGTAAGAAATTTGGCTGAAGTGCCAAAAACGTTCACCTTAAGGTTGCTCACCAAACGTAGAAGAACCAACTCGTCAGGTATGAAAGGAGATCCGTCATACAAAACGACTTTACCACCATACGTTAGCGATACCAACACCATAACCCACATGATCCATCCTGTTGTCGTGTATTGCATTACTGTATCACGAGGTTTGATGTCATAATGAAGTATCGCGTCTTTCTTGGCCTGTATGAGAAGTCCACCAGCGCTGTGAACAATGCACTTCGGTGATCCGCTTGTGCCCGAGGAATAGACTATAAACGCTGGGTGATTGAACGGTAGTTGCACAAAACTAAGTTTTCTCGGAGTTGCCAAAGCGAGAAAACGATCCCATAAAATCATCTTGAATTCCGTTCCGACCTTTATCTTCTTTTGGGATAAAACAATTATACTTCGCAGACTTTCATTTTGAGCTAGCTTGCGAGCCCAGATGAGGTTAGTACTAGTGAGATCTCGTCTTTTATTGTTGTAAACGGTCTCGCTCTCGCAAATGATGAGTTTGGGTCGAATTTGCGTAAGACGACTAAGTATTGCACTTGACCCCATCTCTGGAGAGGAGGCTGACCATATTGCTCCAAGACTGAGTGTCGCTAAACAGGATGCGATCGCTTCTTGTCTGTTGGAAATAATGGCTGCGACACGATCTCCCACCGAGACTCCAGAATTGATCATGGCAGAAGCGATTTTCTCAACTTGCGTACGTAATTCATCCCATGTGACATCTCGAACATGATTCGCACCCTCACTACAAACGTGAAGAATAACGGCACTCGGTATGAAGTTGCTGAATATGTTCTCTGTAAAGTTGAGCTTGATTTCGGGAAAGAAGTGCGGCGGTGGGAACATTGGAACCGTTGACATCTTTTTCTACATCAGCAAATTGTAGGTCCAAACATTTTCAACGAATTTAGACTTCAACTCACTTTCGCCGCAAACGCGATGCTAGGCTTTCTGTTGGATTTAATTCGAAGATACTCAAAGAGCAATATCCAGAAATCATTTGATGTTTCAGTGCATATAGACCATGCATGTAAATCGTGATATGATTTCAAATTGAGACCAAAACGGTTATTTGCCAAATTAATGAAGTCCTTAAGGTTTCCCCCATTCGCTGGTGACGGCGACCACAATTGATGAGACTGTTCGTTTGCCATTGCTAAATTATTCTCAATATTTTTTCTTAGATAATGAACGTTTCAGTCATACCATCGTGAATTTTGGCAATAAGAATGGCCTCAGTCTTCTTTTCGCTAATTCTCCACGCAAGACAGGTAGGTGCTGCATTGAACGATTGCGTTTCTGATTGGTCCGGAAGTAGGAACGAGGGCCAACTTAGCTCCGGAAGCATGCGCATCAGTTCAATTGGAACGAAGGTTCGAAATGGTCAGCCATCGTATTCAACAGCAGAAAACTTGTTCCCCGTCGGGAACATCCCTTCGTGCAATTCCGTGAGGTTCATTGTCTACCTGGCTGCAACAGGCTGTGCTAGTTCTAGTGTACGATGCACAAAAGGGAAATGATTCGGATTCGAATCGCAACACAAAAGCGGGAACGAACAAGTAAGCCATAATATTATCTGGAAAGATTTCTTGGAAAGTCTATTTGACCAGTACTTCATTCCTTCCGTAGTTTCATGGCGTGATTTACATCTGTGCCGCAGGTCGTTTCAGCAATCTTGGTCGCCATGTCAACGGGGAACGAAAAATGTTCGTGGACGTATTTCCATTCCCCGTTCTTCTTTCTAAGCAATGTCGTCGTCCTGAATGTAAAATCAAAAGGACTTCCATCTGCAGCAGTCCCCCAGTATCGTTGCAAAGCAGTGACGTAGCCAAAAGTATCAGTTACAGCCACTATTTCCATGTCTTTGAACCCAATTTGAGCATCTGCAAGGTATGGAGTGATTTTGTCGTAGTGCGCACGAAAACCAGTCCGAGGGATCATCCCCATAAGATCGAAGTACATTGCTTCATCGAGATCGTAAAAACGCTTCCCAGCGTCAGGGTTTTCTTTGCACACTTTATTACAGAAATGTGCGAACTCCTTGTAATGCTGCAAAATTTCCTCTTCAACAGCTAGCAAGTCTTGTTTGTGGTACTGGATAAAGATTAACCTGCATTGGCCTATCTCTAGATGCTTTGGATTTGACGTACCTCGCTCGGCTTCCCCGGAATAACTGAATACAAGTCTAAAATCGACTTGAGGTTTGTCTGTCTTCGATGTTAACATGAGTTCCAGTTGTTGCTTGGTCAAGAAGGGGAGAGCAAACTTCATCTTTCCACATGTTCATTTTTGATATCCTGAAAGAAAAAATATGGTGTATTTTTATTTTCAAGGCTTGAATATGTCTCTTCCTTCGACCGTCTTAGTTATCTTCCTGGGTGGCCTCAAACGCTTCCCGGAGCCAGATTTGACCCGGACAGCCGACTGCATATCTCCTGCTCCGGAAACGAGGATCGTGGAATGAAGAGCTCCACATTGACACTTACTGTCAATGCAATAGCCGGGGACTGGCGGTTTGATTCTAGATATTTAGAGTTATGCTGGTTTGGATTTAATTGATACTACATCATACTCAAAGTAGAACAACAATGATTATCCAAAACGACATCGAAAGGGGCTCAAAAATGCCCAGCTATATTTTACTATCAAGTATTGTAAGTTGGCTGGTTTGAACCCATTGTTTTGAAAAAAGAAGTAACACAAAATAGCTTGCTTTTGTTGTTTATGTATTATACTTTCACGATAAGCGGTACAAACAGTTACCTCCTGGACCCAGAGGCTTGCCAATTATTGGTAATCTGCTTTCGCTCAGAGACGCAGATAAGATACCAGAGATTACTACGGAATGGATGCGTCAGTACGGAGAAATTGTGTACACAAAGATGGGTGGAACACATTTTGTGTGGCTTAATTCGCCCAGAGCCGTCAAGGAGCTGTTGGACAAACGCGGATCTATATATTCCTCTAGGCCGCACATGCCCATGGTATTGACTTCTCTAATTGAAAGTACGCACATTCCTAACCTTTTCTAGGCCTTTGATGCCGTATCGAATCAAAAGAGACAGTTTTTCATGCCATACAGCGAGCAATGGCGAGCGGTGCGTAAGGTAAGCCATGCGGCGTTGAATCACAAGACTTCCCAGTCCTATGTTCCAGTTCAGGACTTCGAATCGAAACAACTTCTCTGGGAGTTACTTCATGCAAAAGATGATTGGGAATTCTATGATTTGAATAGACGGTATGCGAACAGCGTCATCATGCTTATCACCTACGGGCATCGCACAGCGACATGGGACGATCCTGTGTTTAAAAAGATCTTCCGTGTCCTAGAGCATTTCACTTTGATGGCTGAACCTGGTGCATGGCTAGTTGATGGATTTCCCAGTCTAGCCCGACTGCCCTCTGTGCTCGTTCAAAATTGGTGGAAGATTGGGCGTGAGTGGCATGCACACGACTCGGCTGTGTTCCTAGAGCTTTACCGCGACTTGGTCGCAAAGATTGAGTCTGGAACTGCACCAGACTGTTTTGTCAAGGACTTCTACCTTGCTGACCCAGAGAAAAATGGAATTGACGAAGAAGGTGCAGCCTATGCTGCTGGATCCATGGTTGAAGCGGGAAGCGAGTCAACATCAACGGCAATTAATACCTGGCTTCTTGCCTGCTTACTGTGGCCAGATGTTGTCAAAGCAGGCCAAGATGAACTTGACCGTGTAGTTGGCCCAGGTCGCCTACCTGAGTTCTCCGATGAAGCTAATTTACCATATATTAGCGCTATGGCAAAGGAAACATTGCGCTGGCGGCCTATAACAAAGCTTGGTACTCCACACGCAACTACGGAAGATGATTGGTATGACGGCTATTTCATACCGAAAGGATCGGTTGTGGTTCTAAATTGGTGGTAAGTTAGGAGTGTCTTAAACAAAGGAGCCCATATGCGAAGAATGAGCTTAAGATGACGATGCTGATCATTCACAGGGCAATACATTATGATGATCGACGATGGAAAAACCCTCATATCTATGATCCTTCCCGCTACGTCGACGACAAACGAACGACAGCAGAAGCAATGACTGCTGCAGACCCTGAAGCGCGAGATCACTTTACATATGGCGCTGGTCGAAGATCGTGTGCAGGCGTGCATATCGCCCAAAACTCTCTTTTCATAATCATGGCACGTGTTCTATGGGCTTTCAATATTAAGAAAGCGGTTGACGGCGAGGGAATCACCATAGAACCATCTACAAAAACATTGCCTGGTTTTCTCGCTATCCCAGAGAGATTCCCTTGCCACTTTGAGCCTAGAAGCTTGGAAAGGGCGAATTTAATTGAGAAGACCTGGCACGAAGCGGAGGCAACGGGGTTACAATGGACAAGACTGAAAAAGACCATGTGATTTCTCTGAATAATCTCCTCCATCAGATCAGCCCGTTTATTTGCAGCATGAGGATGTAGTCAATCTTTCGGAGTTTTAGATTACAATTGATTTGCTAATTCTAGCATATATTTTTGATCCAAGCTCTTCATCTGCTTGCTATTTCCACGGAAAATGCGTGAACTGGACGTTACTGATACTTAAATGAAAGACAGTTGGTTCATTAGTAATCTCCAGTGAATTTGAATGCCCAGTCTTTATGGCAAACATTTGATTGATTTGAGTGTCAAAGTGAAACTTCAGACTAAATTGTGCTAACTAGTATGCTAAAAATATCATCCTCATCTCTTGAGCTGAAGAGCAAGAGGTTCCTACCATTTCCAATGGTCATTTTGATAAGGCGTCTTCACCCAGGTTTCATATAGCTTGGCATCTCTGCATGACAATCTCCTATCACCCCAAGCCAATTGAGGGGCAGGTGATACAGCATGATAACTGCTGCAGCACAAAACCCGATGATAGCGAATGCGCGGACTGGCCCATGCAGTATTTGAGGCCAGTTCCAATATCCTCTTTCTATTGGGGAGAGACCATCCGGATCGTCGTGCGCCTTAAGACGCATTGCGGTAAAGAGACAACCCAAACTTGCAACAAAAATTGACTCATAGATCGGAAATTGGTATACTTTTCCCGGAAACAATGTCAATGGCCCGTAAGTTTTTGCGTAGCCATATCCCTGTGTCGTTCTGATGGCCGCATTCTCGATGACGAAATCGAAAATGAACTCCACCACCCAGACAAGAGTGAGAATACCAGCATTGGTCAGGGATGGAAAGCGCATTCGAATCTTGCGCGCCAGGTGATGCCCGAGAATTCCAAAGCCAGCGCAGAAGTAAACATACATTGGTGGGCCCCAGAGAAGAGACTCGGCATAACGGCTTGAAGATTTGTGGTTGTGGAAAGGGAGAAATTTGGCCCATACGCCCCGGTTGATACTATGAGAATTCCACATAAAGATATATTGATAACAATTTAAGAAGCCGTCCGCAAATACAGCTACTAATCCGCCACATACATGGCGTCCATCAAGTGATAGATGGCCGTTTTCTTTTGTGGAATGGACTTTCTTCAGACTGGGAAACAAAGGCACCAGAAGGCAGTACCAAAGATGAGTCACCAGAACGGCCACACTGAGTGCTTCGAAGACACGAAGACTCACAAGGCGCCACGTCTCAAACTTGTCGGGCCCAAGGACAGGTGCTGGGCGGAATTCCGTGGGAGACAGTACCCAGCGCACAAATGCCTGAGCGCAGATGATTGTCCAAACAATTCCAAATGCTGCGAATGCAGTTGCAGTCCCTTCTCGTGAATACTCCGTCTCCTTACTCACAGCGCGGCTGAGTAAAGGCTGCACTTCGGAAGCATCTGGTGAGCTGTGGCGACTGATTTTTACACGAGGAGTGTTGTAGGTAGACATGGCGGAATATCTGTCAAAAGTCGAAAGAGGGGGATCTCAGTGTTGGGCGTTCCAATGTAAGTAGGAATCTTCGAGTTAAAACTCAGAAACTCGACTCCCAGACGGGCTCATCGGCTGTCCGACGAGCAGCTTTCTTTGTTATATCACATCGTCGGAACATCTGAGAGTACACGAGACATGCAGCCAAATTCCGATAACTTGTCCGGATGCTACGGTTTTCCATTCCGGATCCAGAAGACGGCTTCCGGTTGTCACAACAAGGACTTCATGAATTTCCCCAGTCTAACACATGTCTTACTATAGAAATAGAGTCGTACAGATAGTGAAAAAATTGTCTCGCGAGATGTTTGTTTGACAAGAGTCAAGTAATCGTTACCGGCAGTGCTTATCCCTTGATGTGTTCAAAACTCTAAAGACAAGTCATTTGGTGCTTGCTGTTTAAAACTTTGTATCAAATACGACCGCATCATTATATTGCTCTGCCCTTGTGTTCGTACTTATGTGCCACAGACGTGTAAAATTCTGCGGATTATCTGTAGAATTGGATTGAAAATGGACACAACTACAGGAAGTGCGCATGGTTCTGCGTACATTTCGGGAATGTCGGAACTTGGAATCCAACTCCGCATCTTTTGCATACCTAGCCCAGGTAATTCATGTGTGACTTGACCAGTGACAAAGCTTGTGAGCTATCAGTGGTATCTGTAACTATATCAGCTCAAGAAGACTGGTCCAAGAGCCAGTCCTCACGACACCACCTAACCTTCTCAACTAAGTCGAAACCCACTGTCTAAATCAGACAAGACATTCTCTACTTCACTATCAACCTTGATATACTAGGCTGTGTTGTGCAAAATGATATTCGATAGCGAGATTTAACATAGATCGAAAACCGTTCCGACTTCCGTGATGAAGTCCATGGGGACGTGTTTCGGGTAGAGCCTGCTAAATTCGTCGCAGCTAGGGTTCTCATAACAGTAGTCGCTTACTCTAGCTGCCCTCTTGTCCAGTCGTTGCTTAGAGGCACGGATCTCAAGAAGCAGTACTGAGTTGATAAGTGCATTCCTTCTCGAGTGGAAGCTCGTTCCTGAGTGCGTTTGTTATTTCTTCTCAAATCTAAGCAAAAAAATATTCCAAGAACATATTAACACCAAAAAACGCGGTCTGTTTTAGTTTAATCACATTAGCTTATCCTACTTAACTGTTATTCTAGCTTCTGGAGAGGGCCATGGCATACTCGACTTCCATTTGCGTTGCTCTCATAACGACAGCCCTCACTGCAACGTGGGTTGCTACTAGTCTTCGATTTTACGTACGACATGTGATGCGACGTAATTTGTCCTGGGATGATGTGCTTGCATTTTTTGCTCTGGTATGAGGAAATGGACGCTTGTTCCACCGCATTATCGACTGACAGCAATAGGCTTTTTTCACAAGCCAAGGCGGATTATATCTTCACGGTTTATTAAACTATGGTCTGGGGAGTCACTCAGGATCGTCGCTGACCCTTGAAACAATGTCTAACGCTTCAAAAGTAAGCTCGCCATCTCTCGTCGCTGTACGGTCTTCTGATAAGTCGAATTGGCTAGTATTTATTCCTGTCTGAGCTCATGTTCGTTCTCGGTAGTGGATCAATCAAAATTTCATTTGCTTTGACTCTATTACGAATTGTCCGTGATAGCAGACATATTTACTGTCTTTATTTTACCTGTGCTGTCACAATCATTATTACAGTAGCCACTTTCTTCCTGGTTCTCTTCAGTTGTACTCCAATTGACTACTTCTGGAAAAGCTATGTTGAGCTCCCCACGGATGGTAGTTGCCGGAGCATATCCGTTCAAGTTAGCGACTCATATGCTCATGGTGCTGTCATGCTTTTCATAGACATATTACTTGGCATTGTATTACCTGTACACATCCTCTATACCATTCATGCCCCTAGGCGGATAAAACTGGTTGCTGGATTTGTACTCTCATTGGGTTCATTGTAAGTCATCCTTCTATAGAGAAGGCTTCAATCACGCAATATGCCCTTGCTGATATCTTTACGTAGTGCCAGCGTAGCTACAATTGCTAGACTGGCGTACACCGCCAGTGTTGACAAAGACGATATTCTCTATACAATTAACGTTCCATTTCTCTGGGGAGGCCTTGAGTTAGGGATATGCATATTTTGTACCTCTGCCACAACTCTCAAGCCACTTCTGGCTGCTATGAAGTTGTTTCATAGCAAAAGCGACGTCTTAGAGCCTAGAAACGAGCTGCAAAATGGTAGCTCACGGCCGACGAAAGCCATTTCGTTGGATGCGAAAGGGCTATTCAGTGCTCCGGGGAAAAACAACGGGATAAATGCAAGGCATTCCAGCCCAGAGGAGATTATTTGGGACGGCAAAGATGCGACGAAAGCGACCCAAAAGAACATGAATTTTGACTTGAGCTCCGAATAGGCACACGTGTGGCAAGAATCAGTCTATTGGCAAGAAGTAAGACGGGCAGACGCAGCGTAGGACTTGATTCGGTGACGGAGAAATCTTATCAAACATGAGCTGAAGTCACGGCACATATGAGCACGAAGAAGCCCAGAAAGTTCGGCGTATTAAAGACGTGAACATCTGCCCATCTTATTTACTCTTCCTGTCCATTCCGATAGCAAAAAGAAAGCGTCTAGCATAGTTCTTCGATGCAAAGGCTCTAACCATTAAGTTTTGATTTTCTGCGGGTCAGCTACGCGCCCCGACACAGCACATTGAACGGCTTTGCATCGTTGTTCAACCAGTGCCACGGACTTCTTGTCCAATGATTGTTTGGCCTTCTGATCCGCTTTGTTTGACGTCATGAGATCCTCCGGAGGTACACGACGAATTTGCTTTAATCACGCGGATCTCATACCGTAGTCTGTACAGAGCTAAACCGTCCGGGTGAAGAAGAATGCTTCTCTCAGTGCATTGCATTACATTCGACAATTGACAAACGGAACAAGCATTGCTGAAGAACGGAGACTAAGTCAAGCCATGGCGCTGATAGCGTCGTGATGCCCCCCACCCATTACCCGTTTGGATGGGACTTGAATTCCGTGATCGCTCTAATGTTTTTTTTTTCCCTCGCAATAACTGCCCCGCCTTGGACACTCCATACCCTTCTTCTGTTTTGTCTCTTTTCATCGCTTCGCCCCGTCAACTATCGAGTTTAGGAAGAGTAATCGTATCGATCCATCAACAATGGCATCGTCTGCCGACCTCAAGCCGACAAGGTCCACGGAGGACCCGTCAAACCCCCTCCAGTCGGACTTTCAAGATAACGAATCCATGGACTCGGATGAGCGCTACCTGGTAAGACGATGAACAGCCTCGGCCTGGTGTTTCCGCCGCCCGGAATATCCTGTCTTCGAACCCCGCGACCATATTTCTCCCAAACGCGCCAGGATAGCAGGTAAGTATCGCTCTCGATTCAAGATCCGGCGGGTCCCAACCCTTTCGGGAGCGGACGCCGACGGTCTTTACAAAAAGAAAAAAAAAAGAAAGACGACGATTTCATGGCACGCGGGTGTCCTGTTGCCATAGATCCTTCTATTCTGCCATATCAGCCGCCTTTTGGTGGGAGGCGTTCAGAAGGGCGGCGACAGGGCTGAGATCATACCGCTGAACTTGAACGCTATCATGAGCGCGTAAGGAGAGCTATGAAGTCCTAACCCCCTAGCACTTTCCCCTCGTACGAGAACGGCGACGGGCTGACACAGGTCAGCAATCGCTTGGGTACAAGCAGGTAGGTCACAGCTCTACTTTTCTTTTTGCGTACACGTACTAATCGGCTAGACCCTCCATCGATCTTGGGAGCTGTTTGAGAGCTTCTCGGCAAGCTTTGGTGACTATTCGCCTTCAGTAATCTCAATGTACAGCATTTTGACCCTTTCATAGCGGCTCTGTACTTTATCGGCGGTATCCGTGTCACCTTTACCATTGGAGTTGGAGCCGGTGGCCCAGCCGCGTACTGGTCCAGCTATGTGATCACTTGCTTCTTTGTGTTCATCACTGCTGCCGTGCTCGCTGAAACGTGCTCTGCCTTACCGGCGGCTGGCTCAATCTATTTGTAAGCAGAATCCACCGCAAAGACTTTCAGCTCAATGCTTACCCATTTATTCAGCTGGGCTGCAGAAGCCGGCGGTCCTCGATACGGCCGACTGTTCGGGTTCATCGTCGCGTGGTGGTCCTGTACCGCGTGGACCACCTTTGTAGCATCTTTGGGTCAAGGCACGGCCAACTTTCTGCTCTCCGAAATCACCGTATTCGGGCTACCCTACAGCACAGATGTGTCGGACATCAAATTCCGCGTCGTCCAGTGGATCGTGTCCGAAGCTTTTCTCTTCCTTGCCATCGGCATGAACTACCTCAATCCAAAGACGTACAAGTGGATTTTCCGTCTCGGCACCGGCATGGTCATGCTTGATTTCATTCTCAACATCATTTGGCTGCCCATCGGCGTGAGCAAGACGTACGGATTTCAGTCTGCAAAATACGTCTTCACGCAAACGTACAATGAGACGGGCGCACCCCCCGTGTGGAACTGGATGCTGGCTTTCTACGTCACGGCCGGCATCCTCGTGGGCTATGAAGCTCCCGGGCACGTCAGCGAGGAGACGCTCAATGCCTCGGTCACGGCCGCCAAGGCAATCTTCAGCTCTGCTGCGTCCAGCGCCATCCTCGGCTTCCCAATCGTGATCCTTTTCCTGTTCTGCACGCCGGATTTGAACACCTTGTACAGCTTCGGCGGACCGCAGCCCTTCATGGAGATCTACGACATGGCCCTCGGGCGTGGTGGCCAGCTCGTCATGTGCGTCATCTGCATCATCGCCCTGGTGTTGAACATGACCGTTTCCGGCGTCGCCTCCTCCAGGTTGATCTGGGCTGTCGCGCGCGACGGCGTCCTTCCGTTCAGCGGCTGGATCTCAAAGGTCGATTCGCAAAAGCAACCCCGCAACGCGATCACCGTCATGCTGGTCGTCTCCGCGCTCTTGCTCTGCACGATCCTGCCGTCCCCCGTCGCCTTCACCTCTCTGGTTTCAGCGGCCGGCGTCCCCACCATCACGGCTTACGCTCTCATCTCATTCGGCCGTGCCTTCATCACTCCCCACAAGTTCAAGCATGCGAAGTGGAGTCTGGGCAAGTGGTCGAGGCCCTTGAACGTCATTGCGTTTGTGTGGAACACGTACCTGGCCGCCGTCCTGTTCTCTCCGTTGTACTTCCCCGTCAGTGGGAGCACCTTCAACTACTCACCCGTCATCTTTGGTGCCATCACGATCTTCGGCATCGTCAGTTGGTGGGTCATTCCTGAGGACAAGTGGCTGCCCACGGCTCGGTTGAGAAAGGTTCAGCAAGCGGTCGAGGAGTAGGAGGTGGCTGCTAGAACGGTGGAAACCGGTTCAACATGTGGTCATCCACGTTCAGAGCTGATCGAAACTCCTTCTCAGCAGCAGTTGCGTCGAAAAGGCTCATCATTCCTTTGTATTTTCACTGGAGGAATAGTTTACACACACACACACACACACACACACACACACGGTCATTTTCACCAGAGAGAAGTAGATTTGGGTACAGAATGTTTGTTGTGCAAATGTGGAGGTTAACTTTCAGCGGGTTCTCGTAATATCAAATCGTTTGCGACTTCGCATACAAACATACGCTTAGCACTACACAATGCATCGGCGTGCTCCCGTTAATTTCATCGAAACTTCGAGGTCTACAAAGTCAGCTCAAGCTGAGAAGTGATCCAAACCAAACAGTCCGTGTGTATTGCAAGCAAGGGATGTCGAAACAGAGCCCTCATGACCGCAGCACGACAAATGGGGGGGATCACCTCCATGGTGAGCTGTCATCGCCTCCCAGATCAACGTTCTCATACTCCATTTCCCAGTTGTCGACCGCGGCAAACATCTGTCGAATCCGTTCAAGTTTCTTGCTCTTGACCGCTCTGGCCTTTGCCGTCTTCTCGTCGCCAATGATCTCGATTGTGTCCTCATCCTCATCCGAAGGTGTATTAGCACCCTCGTCATTTTCTTTTTCCGCGGTCCTTTGTCGGCCGTATGTTCGCTTCTGCTTCGAGTTGGCGGCCGTCTTCTTGCCCACGTCTTTGTTCCCGTCTTTCTTCGTCAGGGCCATCTTTTTGGCTGTAGGTCGTCGGCGTCCCGCTGGGCGTGACAGCTCGTCATCATCTTCATGTCCCTCAGATGAAGTGTCCAGCTCTGAATCGCTCTGTACGTCGTATCGGTTTCTTAACCTTGATTGCCTTGCTACTGACCTACCCCGCGGTTTTGGCAAGAGGGACTGCAGCTGTGCTGTTGAGATCGTCGACAACTTCTTCGCTTGTGAATTTGCTCCCTTTGCGTGATTGCTCTTCCGTCCATCTCTTGAGATGTTCTGTCTTTTTGGTGTTGCAGGCTCGCTGCTGGACTTGGGTGCAGTCATGATGTCACTTTGGGAAAGCGGGTCGGCATTGATCGGATCTTGTTCCTCGATCGACGCAATGATACGGCCTTCAGGCACGCTTGGGGACCTGGGAGATCGCGCCCATGTTGTGCCCTCGATCCGCGGCGGTGACGAGCCATAGGAGCTTGAGCCAGGAATTTGAATTTCTTCCTCGGTTTGGTCTCGTTTTCTCTTCTTCGAACTTGTTGTGCGCGGCTCATGTCTGTGAGTATCACTGGGCTGGCCAACAGAGCCGATGAGGGGCTTCTTCTTCCCAAAATTGAGTGGCGTGGACTCGTCTTCTGGCAGGAACTTATCAAAGTCGCGCAGTGTGTCATCCATATCGAGTTCTGCACCAAGGTACGCCTCTTCGTCCTCTTGTCCCAGCTCACTGCTCTGCTGAACCATACGGATCAAGCTCGGCTGTCGGGCCCTTCGCTTGAAATTCTGCAACATCAGCATGGACGTCTCTATTCCAGGCGTTCCTTGCACCCTTAACGCAGACACAGGAGGACGCGGCACGCTACTTCTGCGAGGTCTAATCCTTGCCTGAGAGGCTTTGCCCGCTGGGCTGAGACCGTAGAGATCATCGTCGGTGTTTAGCTGAACCGATGGTGTCCGTCCTCTGTTGACTGCAGCGTGTCGTTCTTGAGGGGTTGATGCAACATGTGACTGCGACCGTGTATTTCTTTCTCGTGAACTACTCTGTCGCTTCTCTGCGCGAGCTTCTGGCGAATGTGGAGTCGCGATGACTATGGTATCAAGGGCTTCGGCCTGGCCAGCTTGACCAGCATCCATTCGTGCTTTGAGTGCATCTAGCGCACTCGTCTGACCTTCATCTTCCACGTCATCCTCGACATACCTGTCCACTAAGAGGTCCTTCTTTCTGTTCGCTGGTGGACGCCGCGCTTTTTTCGTTTGCTTTTTTTGCACGGTCTGCCCTGAACTCTCAATCTCTTCGATTTGACTGCTAGGCTTGAGCCTTTGTGCACGCGCCCTGGTGTTCTTCGGCGCAGCCATTGAATCTGCTCTTCTCGGCTTAGATGTTGACGTGGTGGGTGCGCCCTCGGACAAGGTCACGACGCGTGCACCTTCGGACGCGACTTTGGTCCGACGAGGACGCGGCATGGCGCGCAAAAGCAAAGAGGGACTGGCCTAGCAATGCTTCAGGCTGTGCAGTTATTTTCAGGCCTCTTTTTGCGCGATGTGGTAGTTATGTGCGCGACCGAAATGGTGGTGTTGTGGTCTTGAAGACCTGAGCGTAAGAACGCTGCTTCGCTGCTTGGTGGCCCAGCGCGGCAGCCAATCAGGTGACCGTGGACAACCACCACACGCACGACCCCGGTCATTCTCGAAAGTCGATCATTATCAGGTCTGATCCTCTCGATCCAAAGTCCATTCTACAAATTTCCAGCCTCGCTTCAAAGCCTCCAGGGGTCAATCTAGCGTATATGCTGTGCTCTCGTTTTGATAAGAATGGAGACTTTGATGATGATTGTCCCTTTGTCTGCAATGCAGGTGGTTTGAGGATGGTAAAACGCGCATCAAATGGCGTTCCGTTACGATGACATCGATTGAGATTTCTCCTCTAAGAAAGACAGGAGAAAATGATGTAGATTGCAACAGCTACCTTGTCATCACCACCACTGTCATTTCCATGAATTTTGTAGACGTCCGGAAAGACCAGTGAAGCTCGGCTGCGAGAACCTCCCTTCTTTCGCTGCCCGCACACGATTCCTCCGCCCATGCAGGTTCACGGGACATGTGGCAGTAAGGGTCGACAACACGTTTGTGGAGCTAAGGAAGGATGGAGTTTGGATGATGAACGAATCTGTACGAGTAGAAGCGTGGCATCCTTGCAGTGCCTTCTTGTGCGTAGGACCATCGGACAATGTCTGTCATAACTACAGGGGCTATTTCTCCGCCATGCTGGCCATATTGGGGCATTACGAAGGCTGGGGCCTACTATGGCCATGGAAATCATCTACATGGTCTTCTTCGACAGGTAGTTGTGGGGATAGCAAGAAAAGGCAACAAGACATAGTCCGTGTTCAGGTTGAACAGATCAGAGCGGGTTGCCCGCAGTGTTGACGGCTGCAAAGCTACTACAGCACACACAAAATCCCGCCAGGTGCTCCTCTGACTGTGAGCGCGACAAGGCCGGTTGAAACTCGAGCAGCACCCGTACACCAATGAGCATGTGTCGTCCTGGTTCAGACTTGAGGATTCCCAGGACGCATGTGGCGGTGCGAGGATCAGAGCAGGATTTTCCGCGCTGTCGACATGGAAATCAAGCAGTCAAGGACAAGAGTGACACTGGGTAGTTCCAGGCAGGACGCTGGCGATTGAGACACAGCCGGCTGGATGTTTGCCCACGGCGGATGCTGCTCTGCTTGGCGGGACATTGCCAGCTGTTGACGCTGCATCATGACGCCGGCGCCCTCTTGGCCTTCTTGGCAAGACGGCGCGCTAAGTGGAGGAGCGGAGAGTGCCTGAGCAAAGCTTAAGAGCGGACAAGCTCACAAAAGACGACGCTGAAGACTCAACGAGGTCGACGGGCTCTGGTGTGGAGGCCAGACGCTGCGGTGCTGGCGACCCTTGGCCCAGACACTCCAGCTCGTCGCCCGGCTCTCCCACCACGATACGGCTTGCTGGCACGGCCGATGCCACACGAAGCGCGGCCGCACCGTTTCAGACGTTTCCCACTCGCGCCCCCGTGAAGGCCCAGACAGCAGGCGAGGATGAAATTGGCCAGAGCCTTGGCTTTGCGATGTGCAGCCTCCTTGCGCGTGCCGAGCCACTATGACAACAGCCACGTTGGTTGGCCTGGGAGACTGCAGAGGTCACGACCGTGGAAAACAGGTTCGATGCGCCTACCACTCGTTCTTTGTGCCCCTTCGTCCTTCTTCTCCACGCCCGTCCAATGCCTTTTGGCGAGTTTGCTTGAGCCTGTCGTGCCGTCAATGCAGATCCGCCGCGCTCGCCCTACACATCACATTGGCTTGCGTTGAACCGCCCATTCATGCGTAGCGTGCCTTGGCCTTCATAAAAAAACCGCATCTCGCCCTTCCGCCGTCCTTGGGTCCTCGAGCTGAGTGCACGTCTTCTCCATGACGACCAGAGTCAAGCCGTCCTCTCGCCGACGAAGCAATCCGCCGTTGCCCGTCATGGATCCCTACGCAACCGAGCCGAAACACCTCGACCACGAGATGGGCCCCAGGAGCGCCTCCATTCCCGTCAACCAAGGGAAGAAGATCACGCCCGGGGTGCGAGCAGAGGGTGAGAGCGGCAGAAAGGGCTTCCACCCGCTGAAGTTTTTGACCATCTGCTTCAGAAGCAGCTGCACGCTCTCCAAGCTTGTCAATGTTCTGTGGCCCTTTGTGCCCGCAGCGTTCGCCTTGGTACGCCGAGAAAACATGCTGGCTGCCGTGTGGATCACAAAGGAGACTAACTGATGTGACAGAGGTATGCTCGCCCTCACGAGGAGCTCTGGATCTTCATCTTAAGCTACATTGCCATGGTGCCAGCTGCCAACTTGCTTGGCTTCGCGGGCCAAGAGCTTGGACGAAAGCTTCCGCATGTCTTCGCTACCCTCCTGGAGACCACACTGGGCTCTGTCGTCGAAATCATCTTGTTCATGGTTCTGATCAGCCGTGGCGACAAGTCGGTTCCCATCATCAAGGCTGCTATCCTCGGGTCCATTCTAGCGAACCTGCTACTGTGTCTGGGCGCATGCTTCTTTGCTGGTGGTCTGAGAAGAGATGAACAGGAGTTCCACGAGGCCGTCAGCGAGGTCGGGAGCAACTTGATGCTTGTTGCAGGCAGTACGTTGGAAAAAAAAAATGACCTATGCTATGTGTGCTTTGATCATGCTGACGCGTTTTCCAGTGGGACTCATTGTCCCCGCCGTGTTCAGCTCCGCCCTCAACATCACGTCAAGTCAGTCGGATGACATTCTAAACATTAGCCGAGCAACGGCGGTCATCTTATTGTTCGGCTATCTTGTGTATGCAGCCCGTCTCCACGCAGGGTACAGTGCGCCTTAGTCTGCTAACAGACGTCGAACAGGTTCGTCTTTTTTCAGATGCGATCGCACCACGGCCTTTACGAGGAGGCTCTCCACGCCGATGAACACAAGGATGCAGACAGGCACAGGGATCTCTACAAGCAGAAGCTGACCTTCACCGAATGTGTCGTTGCAATTGCCATTGCGATCACGTGCGTCGCCTTCATGGCGATCTTCCTTGTCGAGAAGATCGAATACATTGTCGAGAAGAGAGGAATCAAAGATGCGTTCGTCTCACCGCGATTCATCTCATTTATTTACCCCAGGCTAACCGTCTTGCAGCTTCCTCGGTCTCATCCTTGTTCCCCTGGTGGAGAAAGCGGCAGAGCATCTCACAGCCGTTGACGAAGCGTGGGACGATCAGATGAACTTTGCGCTGTCCCACGTGCTCGGAGCCTCCATTCAGACCGCCCTCTTCAACGCCCCTCTCGTTGTGATCGTCAGCTGGGGCCTCGGCCATCGCATGGATTTCAACTTCGAGATCTTCGACGCCGGCGTTCTCATTCTTGCCATCCTGGTCATTGGCAACTTCCTCCGCGACGGGAAATCAAACTACCTCGAGGGCGTGCTCTGCGTGCTCGTGTACATGATCATTGCCATCTCCGCATTCTTCTACCCGAATCCGACCACCGGTCACGAGACGAGCTCGGGCAGCACCGCAGAATCAACGTCCGCAGAGGAAGTGGCTCATGCAATCATCAAAATGGCCAGGCAGGCCAAGATGATATGAGAACGGACTTTGTGCGAGAACAAGAAATCGTCGCTTATATTTTTTTTTTTCCTTTTAGGTCCCCTTTGGGATTGAGCACGCACGCCGCTCCCCCGGGGTGCCGTACGCAAAATGGCATCTACATTCGATGGGAAAGATCATCCGGACAAGTGCAGTTCTTGCTGGAGACGCTAGCTTGAGCCATAGTTGGGCGCTGCATTTAGCGACGGTGTTTTGGGAAAAGAAATCATTCACGTTCGAAGCATTGAGGTTTAATAGTGAGAAGAAACAAATTGGGCATTTCCCTTTCTGCAAGCCACATGTCTTCCGCTCTCCTCTTCTACCTTCTCCACCCCCTCCCTCCTTTTTTTCTTGAACCGTTCCCCATTTTTGATTTTCGATTTCTCTCGCAAACGCGCACCAGCTCACATTTCCTTTCTTTGTTTTTTTTTTTGGGTCTTTTTTCTTCTCTCTTCCGATCCAACGATGCGAATAGCCGCCCTCCCTCTCTGGCTCCTCCGGCGCGCCTTGCGTCGCCAAAAGGCGGCTCGAGCGAAGCCAATTTTCTAACGTCACGACTGAAGATCGGATCCGACGCATGGGAAACGTGCGCGACGGGGACGGGCGCAGCACCGTCCTACGTCACGTCACACCTGAAAGCTGCCCTCTGGCCCGCGCTGGGGTTGGCGTTGTCTTGTTCTTTTGGGGCGTGCGGCGGAGGGAAGCAATCTGGCGCAGGGAGTCCCGCGAGCCGGAACCGCTTCAGCAACGGCCGCGACACCTTTCACCGCCGTCGACGTTTGAGCGGACTGCGCAGCTTTTTCGTGCGAGAAGAGGGCGCCAGAAGCACGGAAAGCCCTTGGCTAGCAGGCCAATGGTCTGCAGCTTGTTCGTCGAAGGTTTCCTAACAAGGGGCTTGGCACGGATGCCAAAGCGATCCACCGACGTTTACGCGTCCGGGTGGAGCACAGCCTCGTCTCAAGAGCAGTGAGAGAGGATCCGGTTGCGCAAGCAAACAACGTCAAACGGTACGACGGCCAGGGGAGCTGACGCGAGCGATGAACACAAAAAAGACGACGGCTAACAAAACCTGAACTATTCTCGCAATGCACTTTTTGATCCCGCCGTGACCTCCTTGTGCGAATACCCCGTTGGTTTGTCTTTTAGTTCTCTTTTTTTTTTTTTTGTTTCACTCTGTTATATCTGGAGGTCGAGAAAAGGATCGCATAGGACGCCAATTCGCAATCGTTTGATCTCAAACATGCATCGCATTCGCTCGCTCATCTCGACAATCTCTCTAGTCCCGCTCGTTGCTGCACAGACGTACACGTCCTGTAATCCTCTCAAAAGCAGTGTGTACCCGTACTTCGTGCTTTGCCAACGCAGTTACTGATACGTATGCCAGCATCATGTCCAGCAGACGAGGGCCTGTCCTCGTCGAGTCTGACGAGTGACTTCACATCATCTTCCCTCCCAGCAAAATGGAACATCACCGCCGGCTCGTCTCTCATAGACTACGGAAGCGGTGGAACCACATTCACCATCAAGGAGTCCGGGGATGCACCGACAATCGAGACGGAATTCTACGTCTTCTTCGGCGTGATCAGCGTCTTCCTCAAGTCCGCTCCCGGCACTGGCATCGTGTCGTCCGTGGTTCTGGAGAGCGATGACCTGGACGAGATAGACTGGGAGTGGATTGGTGGTGACGACAGCAAGGTCCAGACCAATTACTTTGGCAAAGGAAACACGACCACCTATAATCGCGAGCTCTGGGTCGCGGCCGCAGATTGTCAGACAACCGCACACAACTACACCGTCAACTGGCAAAGCGACAAAACAGAATGGTACGTCGACGGCACGCTGACCCGGACGTTGAACTACGCCGACGCCGTCGATGGAACCAACTACCCTCAGACGCCGATGCGGGTCAAGGTTGGCATTTGGGCCGGCGGTGACACGTCCTTGAACTCCGAGGGCACGGTGGAATGGGCTGGAGGAGCGACGAACTTCAGCCAGGGCCCGTTCACAATGACGCTCGAAAAGGTGGTGATTGTGAACCAAAACCCGGCGAGCTCGTACACGTACGGCGACGAGTCCGGCAGCTACACCAGCATCAAAATCGACGGTGCCAACTCGACCACCGACACGGTCAGCACGGCCAGAGCTGCGGGAAATTCGACCACGTCGGCGAGCAATGCGTCCGGGACTGCCGTCGCATCGTCTGCTTCGTCGAGCACCGCAGCGATAACCACCACGTCGGCAGGTTCTGGGTTCGTTGTGGAAGGCATGGCCAAGGCCTTGTTTGCATGTGTTCTGGGGGCAGCAGCCTTCTTGATTTAGATAAATGTATACTTAGGCCCCTAGATATCGTAGAGCAACGCCTTTTGAACCTGGCTGGCTTTTTGATCGGATTCCTATTTTGGGATGGGGTCGCAAAAGAGCGCCGTGGCTATCGCGTAGTCCTTGTCGTGACTGATGCTGATTTCCACCATATCACCATCAAGTTGGGATACGTCTTCATCAGAAAATAATTCGTCGCCGTGCGCCCCTGAAGTTTTCTCCTGGATAGCCTGAATGCTCTCCTCGTCCTTCTTCGCGTCCGCCGAACTTGAGCCTGGGCCAGAAGCATCGACTTGCACGCTGCCGCCTCGCACCCGTTCGCGGAGGATGGCAGCTTTGACTCGACCTTTCGACGACCAGATGAAGATGTCTTGAAATGTCGGCTTCCTGTAAGACCCGTCCTCGTTGACGTACGACTGCGAAGCCGCTTTGATGATGGCTTCTTTCGCGGCCCACCTACGACATTAGCCGGGACCAGCGAAGCGAACGGCAGCACCGATCTTACCGGCCAGCGATGTGTTCATACAAGGAGTCGTGGCTCATCGTGTTTGCGACGCGTCCGTACTTCTGCGCCAGCGCGGCAATTTCTCCTGGACGGAACAGTCTGGCCAGGAAGTACGGATTGAGATGTCCGCTCATTTCTTCAAGATACTTGTTGGTCCTATCGTCCAAGGATGGCAGGCCACGGAAGTGCGAACTCTCCTCGCGCGACGAAGCATGGCCACGGCTTCCCGCGCTCAGTATCCGGCGTATTCGCGGAATGCGACAGATGTCGGTGCCAATCCGGTACGGCGTTGGAAGCGCACGTAGGACCATTTCACAAAACCTAGGCTGGGCTCAACAGATAGCGCCGTCCAAAAGAAAAAATTTTTTTTTCTTTTAGTTGAAATGATGACGATCAAGATGATGAGTGTCAAGCGCGTATTTGATGGCTTGGTGCAAGATGATTGACAACCAGTGCGTCGATCACGTTGCGGCCTAAGCTCTGACAGTACATCCTCCATCTTTGCCTTGTTTCGCCGCTGCACGGCTGCTCCATCATTCGAACGCAGAAGATGTGAAAGAAAAACAAAATTAATAAAAAGAAAGAATTTGAACCGAGCCAAGTGCACGTTGCCTTCCTCATGCTTCTGGCGTGCAGGTCAGAGTATACTAAGCTATGTGGTGTCACAGATAATCCATGTCCAACCTCACCAGGCGAGCAGCAGTTACGTTGATCCAGCGACCTCCAGCAGAGCTTTGAAATAGATGTCCAACGACAATCTTCGTAGTCAAGGAGCGGGCAGCTTGCAATCATACGCATCAATAGGATCACAAAAGATAGCATTTACTTTGAAAGCGTACAACGAGCACAGCAAATGACGTCGTCGATGAACAACACGAGCACCATTGTCGCATAGCATACTCGTTGCATGAACAATCTTCCTTGATCTATACCTGTAATTTCTTCGAACCGCCGAGCAGAACTCTTGAAAGGCCATCTAAATAATTTATGCCGGAAACGGTCTCCCGACTTGCTCTGCTGCGAGACTTGTTCATCAGCATGCTGAACTTGATCGATGGAACTCTACGCTCGTTGCTGCTGCTCATGGTTCTCAAATAGAATCTTCAGGGGAGAGTCATGTCTCGTCATTGGCGGCGACTCGGGCATTGGTCTCATCATGGCACAGGCAATGGCTGCACGGGGCTATGACGTCTACCTAGCGTCCAGAAACGCGGACAAAGGCAGGCCAGTACGGCGGACGGGTCTCTGAACATCTTCGCCGCACGGCAAGAAAGAATGAGATTGAGCCAGGTTTCCACGGCCCACTGCTGACAAAAGCGCGAGCGGCCAACACGACTCCTTCAAGTAAGTACGCAAACACAAAACTTACGCAAGTTGCCTGCGCACGGCTCTTGCAGCGGCGATTAGATGCACCGCTGGCAGCTGCCAGGGGCCAAGAGCAAAGTCAACGGAAGGCGGATGAATGTCTGCGCAAGCTTTTACACCAGGAAACTGCGCATCGTCTGTCTTTGCGAAGACGGACGGGTCCAGCCCACATTCTGATCCCCTCTTCTAACTTCTGGTCGTGTCTGCAAAGATCGCTGTACCTGTCCAAGAAGGAACGTATGACTTGCGTTGAGTGATGGTCTCGAATCCGGCAGGTCCTGGTTTCGATGTCCGCCCCGCATCAGCAAGGTAACGTTCTGACAGTCTCCTTAAGTTTGTACCACGGTCAATCGAGTCACCCATCGCCGGCAGATATCATGTCTGATTCGATGCTCGAACGGCTGTGGGCGCGCGGTGGTGTTCGGATGCAGACGTATTGTGGAATTGAATAGAAGTCCAAGTCAAATACTGCGTCGAATCGACATATTTTAATCGTGCTCTTCGAAATCGTACGGGAAGCTCTATGCATCCGATTAAATCGTTTATTCCTAGAGAGCGTAGATTGAATTGGTCACCCTGGTGGATAATGGCCACTTCAGGAACGGCCGTGGAATTGCCCAAGCTTGAGTAGTATTCTACAATGCCCTGGGAGATCTTGCCACAATTATCTCTTAGCAACCCATCTGGGATGAAAAGACCTTCTTCTTTGCAGGCTCGTTTTCCCCCAGTTTCTCCCTTTGGTTTTTCTTTTCTTGGCCGATGAAGTGTCGCCAATGCGCGCGCTGCCAGTGAAGATTACCCAACGTGTTGGTGCATCTTTAGCTTTACATTCGTTACGTGCTGCTAGACGCCATCGTCCGCCTCTGTTTTCATTTTATGATAAACATCGTGGAAGCCAAGCATGCCTCGATAAACGGTGGCATTCGCCTCTTTGGGGGCGCGTCACTGCGTCTATTTTCAAGTGAACTGGAGCAAATCCCCCTGCAAACGCCGTCGCTAATGCCGTTGTCTATACACGCGCGCTCTTCCCCGCTTGAAGAAACTTGAGGCCCGGGACCGGGTTGCTCGGGCTCAGGTGCCGACTGTCAGCGGCGGGCTACACATAGCCCATTGCCGCCAGAGCTTTTCAGCCCACAAATCCATCCTTTGTCCATCCGCTCCTTCTCATGCTCTCCTCAATCGCCTTCCACAGGCCCTCGACAACTTCCCTGTCTCGCCACCTCCCTTTCTCGCCCTGATGGGGCGTCCACTTATCCACAAATGCAGTTCTGACCATGCGCCCCCAGCCCTTAACCGTATCCGGCACTGCGTCGCCGGTCCAGCCAAGGTAGATACCCAGAGCGTGGGAGAACAATTCCGCTGGATTCTGCCATTTGTAACTCTTGAACTGCCACGTCTGGCCCGTGGTGAATACCGCGACAACGCGCTGCCAGTAGTCCGGTTTGAATTGATCCGGCGTATCGACAAGAATGAAACGGAAGGGTCGCTGCGGGTCAATAGACGGCATAAGCCGCGACGTGTACAAAAGATTTGCGGATCCAATGGTGCCAGCCGCAGCCGAGTCCGCTGGTACGAATATTCCGTTCTCGAGGAACTGCTTGATGTTGGACATGCGCAGAAGGGATGACGCCGAGGGAGAGAGCAGAATGATCGGTTCGAGGCGTCGTCCTGAGCCGGGCTTTTTAAGACCGGAGACGAGCGCTGGGTTCCCAACTGAGGCAGGGGTCGGTCCGGTCGGGCGCGACTTCGAGCGGCCAAGATAAGCATCCGCCTGCTTGCGAACGTGCGAGAAATCCTGGAGCATACAGTCAGAAGATCCAAAATGTCGCTTGGGGGGGGGGGGGGGGTGCGCAGAAAACGGACAGTTGGTTTTATGCCCCTCAAAATACTGTTTCGATCACCCATCTTCCTCTCTCCAGCGTAGATCTTCGCCAACTTTGGATCAATGGCAACAGACACTTTACCCGCTCCCGCAGCGACAGGAGCGGCGCCGGGTGCACCGTCGGCCGTACCTGCTGTGATGGCAGCCGCCCTATCGGCTTGGGCGCTCGCCTTCGCAGAGTCCAACACTTGCAGATTCTCGCTCTCCTCGTTCGTGCCATCGAGCCATGCAACGAGGTCCGTCCTGTCTGTGAAGGGCAAGTTCTTGATCTCGACAATGCCTGCTTCGGTAAGAGCCTTGTTGGCGGCTGCGCGAGCGGAGATGTACGCGGTCGTCGTATCGTCTTTGTGAAGCCACACAAAGTAGATGGAGCGTAAGTCTGTGGGCTTTGAGTCCGACATATACCGTGTCTCCATGCTCAACGGAAAGACCTTCTGCCCAGACGGCGTGCCGATGTGAATGTGCGTTGCTTGAGCGATGTTGTCCGTTCCTGTGCTTGCATCTTCCGTGGTTGACAGCATCGGCGTAACGCCAGACGCAATGGCGCGTCGCAAGATGAGGAGAGGGTCATTTTGCTCGGCTTCGGATGCCATTGTGAGTTTGTGGTACGATAGTGGGCAATGTGGTGGTTGTTAAGTGCGACGAACGCCCCAATTCTTCGAAAGTCACTTACACGCTTGCGCTTTGAACTTTCGCGACGCTAGCCAGCCTTATGTAGCACGTGACACAGCCTCGATACGGATCTGAACTTCGGGCAAGAAATGAATAGCAGGAGGAACGACCTATCGGAGAATCTTATCTGATTCTATGTAAGAACAGGAAACGCAAATTTGCTTCGTTGCCCACAAACGCGCGTAGAGAAGCTGAACGCTTGATCGCAATCGGCTACCCGCCGATGCGGAGGTGAAAGAGCCATCGAAAGCGGACGAAAAACAAAAGAGAGAACCATTTTATGCCTTTGCCTTTAACATATGCTCTGAATTACGCCGTTATGGCGTCTAGTTTGTCTCCGAGAAATGCTATGATGGGGCGCTCATACTTTTCGGCGCCAGATGCACGTCCACCCAGAAATAAAAAAAAAAGCGAACTCTGTTGTGTATTAAACAGTACAGGAAAGCAACGAACGCCATCGCCAAATGCCAAGCCGCCCATGGACAAGAGGAGAACGAGCCAGAAAACAAGATTGAACCAAGGGTCTGCGCAGTGCGAGGCATGCATAGTTTACATGCGTCCTCCCATCGCTCTGAACCTCTCGCCCGTGCTGGGGATCGGTTTCTCTGCCCTGATAAGCCACAGGAACCAGTCCTCTAGGGGAATGAATACGTAAAAGATCTTATTGCACAGGAAGCTTAATATGACAAAGCAAAATGCGACACCGGCGTCCATGAAGTAATGGTTTGCGGTCGCGATGATGGTCGTGAGGATGAGAGCGGGATAGCCCACGCCGAACACGAGGAAGAAAAGCTTCCAGGCCTTGCTCTTGCGGCGCTCGTTTCGCTCCAGCAACGGCCCGGAGCGGAAGATGGTCGAGTGCCACACCAAAGTGGCGCCGATGCAGAATGCGTAGCCGAAGTGCATGCTCGGCATCGCAGCAAGCGAATTCACGTACTTGCCAGACTGCCACACGGACTGCGCGTCGTCGTGGCGAACGCTATCCACGAAGCCGTACTCGGCAGGAAGAAGGCGCGGCGGCATACACGGGTAAAAGATAAAGGTGAGGAAAGCGAGAAAATTGGTCAGCGTCATGGTGCGGCGGACGGCCGCGAAGGTCGGGTGCGACGGCGCGGTGAAGTAGTACCAGGCGATGAAGCTGTTCGTCTTCGTCAGTCGCTTCGTTCAACGTTTATGCGATCATTCATGGACGGAGCGCAAAGAGAGCAATACGTTCGGACAGGTTGACGCTTACCCTACTGTGCCGGGAATGTGGATCAGCGCGTACGTGCGGTTCAGCACAGTCAGCGCGTCCTGGTGTCCTTCCATGAACCACTGCTGGACATCCCTCTCTCGAAATGGAAATAGAAACGACAGGATCCCAAACTGCTCAGCTTCCAAGACGGCGATGCCATGCCCCTGCGCGACCTCCCATATGTTCGTCTTACCAAAAATACGTTGCGAAGTGATGCTGGTCATGCGGTAGAAAGCGTAGTTGATAATCCAGTAAAACATCTCGATCAAGAAAGGAAACTTTTGCAATATGCGCGAGTGGATGTTATCCTTGAAGCGGCTTGTGTTAGGGGTGTGGATAAGCAGACCGCACCAGCGCCTTGTCTTGGGTAGGTGCTTTGCGGCCGCAATGGGATCCTGGGCGTCATCCTCATTCTCGGGGTCGTATGGAATCAGCTCGTCCGAGGAGCGCGCGGAGTCTGGGTCGTCGAGCGAAGAGTTGTACAGAGTTTCCCGCCTGCCCAGGATCGAATATCTAGGTCTGCGCGTGAAGTACATGGCTCCAAAAAGAATAGTGGCAACAATCTGGGACGCGCTACGTCAGCATCTTGGCGAATCGTAGTGTATAAAATGGCAATAGGGTATCTTACAACAGGCTCGGCCCAGCCAGGGAGCTTCCACGCGGGCTTCGAATTCCATTTCGGCTCCTTTACAGGTATGGTGATGTCGTGGAGAGTCATGACTGCTTGGATCCGGGCGGTGCAGCCGTCCGGTGTGCAGAAGGAGGGCTTAAGAACAAGAGGGATCGAGTCGAGCGAAAAGGCGGAGGGGAGGGTGGGGGGGGGAGAGGGGGGGAGGAGGATTGTATGTTGAAGATCTGGTCAGGAACACATGCGAACCGTCGAGCAAGGTTGCGCGATGCGGTCTTGCTTCCAATGACGTCCGCAAGAAGCTGGATCCTGAAAAGGTATAACTGACGAAGGACGCGTGTTGCGGAACAAGGGCAGCTCTCAGCCACTTTTGCCAAAGGTCGGGTAGGAAAGCGAATCAAGGAGAGCAATGGTAGACGCAGCGTCGATGCTTTCTTGGCCGGTCGATCAGCAAGCCGTCGGCAAGAAGGCACAATTTGGAACAGAACTGAACGAAAGAAGCGAGGGGGAAGAAGACGAGAGTGAACGAGTGAGTGAATGAATGGGCTCGCAGATGACAAGTCCGAGTCTTTTGCTTTGGGCATGGAGACTTGGCGCATCTTTGCCTCCTTCATTGATCCCCTTGCTGGCGCTCAGTCGTGCCGCTAAGATAAGATTACGAGTGCAAGTGGAGTGGTTTCGCGCCAACCACACGCGCCGGAAACTAGCTTCGTCCGCTTCGCAGAGCCGCTCGTTGCCCCATCAGGCGAACGCTCGTGTGCTATCCTTGGTTTCATCATCGACTGCGAAGTGAATGGTGATGTTTCACTGCGCTGCGCGGCATTCGGGGCACGCCATGCCGGCGTGGAAGCCGAGGAGGACGGAGACGACGAGCACGGCCAAGACAGCCGCGCCGGAAGATGGCCGCCGCAAGAGGAGACGCCGGCAGCCCGCCCTTTTTGTCGCGTCGTCGTCGGCCGGTGGGTGCTGGTCGCCATCTCTCTGCTGTCTTGCACGCCCTGCCAAGTGCGAAGTCAGCCGGCCGGGGTGCGATGTTGGTTCTTGGCTTGGCGATGACGCTGCTGATCCTGCACCTTGCCCACGCACTCCGACGACGGCGCATCTCTCTCTCCGTGCCTGCGTGTGCGCGCGTGCGAGCCTGCGTGCACGACGGACAGCGAGAGAGACAGGCCGAGGCGTGGTGGCGACGATGACGGCGATGATGCTCCTGCTGGCGGAGGTGGTGGTGGTGGTCGAGGCACGGCAGCTTGCCTGCGCCTGTGCTGCCTCTGCGCTCGCGGCGGGCGAGCCGGCGCTCTGCAGTTCCAAAACATCCGGCGGATTCGAGCGGAACGCTTTCGCTTATTCCTTGCTGATGACGACGTCGCCCGGTTAGCTCCCATGACGGCCATGACGGCCTTGCTGCCCTCTCTTCTGTCGCGAAACATCCTGTGCTGATACTCAGGAGCCCCGTTCAATCCCTCGCCGCGTCGCTGCACATGCGCTCTCTTTCTGGGGCTCGTTCTCCGAGCAGCTCGTCCATGCTGGCTCGTCCAGCACCTGCGATCTCCATCTCGCTCGCTACACGGGCTGCCATGTTACCTTCATGCCCAAAGGATCCCTTCTCCTCACCAGGTGCGCATGCTGTTCGCTCGCATAGGGCGGCTGATTTCATTGCGTTCCCCCGCGAACTCGTAGCCGCAGGCCGACGGCGAGGCCTCGCTTCCGTCCCCGTCGCCTTTCTCACGCCCGCGTTGCTTGTGCAGCCCACATGCATGCTGAACACATTGCTCGTGGCCGGAAGCAAGACCGGCTTGAGCCAATGGACCGCATTTGCATGCACTGAGCACGCGACGCGGCTCGAGAAGCTCAATCGTCTTCACGTCTGCAGTGCCGCTGTCGCAGCGCGCGTCCGCCTTTGCACATCTCTCCGAACTCAACTGTCCACTGCTCTCCTGTGCTGTTGATGTAAACCAATCGTTCAACCGCGTCTTAGATCCTGGACGCAGCCCTCGTGCTCAGAAGCTGATGAAGCAATGCCGGTTGACGTCTTTGTAACGTTGTGAGCGATTTCTAGTGCATGCTTAAGCTTTCCTTTTTGTTTCCCTCGTATGCTGGCTATTATTTGCCGGGGCAGACAATTGATGTTCTGAGGGCTGGCGCCTCGCAGCAGATGATGCATGAGTACCTTGTCAGGTAATGGTGCTTTCAACAGGAGAGTCACGTCATTGTATCTCGCCGGATCGTCTCTCGCAAAACCCAGCTCTTTGTGCTCCTTCTGTGGTTCGTTTACTACCGCGAAGCAGCATAGAGCAGTTGTATTGTTAATTTGCACTCTCTGTTCCATTCGCTCTCGCTGTCACCATGGCAAGCATCCTCAAGTCGTGGTTGTGCTCAAAGCTGCATCGCTTTGCTAGTCCTCACACTCATCACCATCATGACAAACATTGTACTTACCGTCACTGGGACTTCGCAGCCATGTCGAGTCACACTAGGAAGCCAATCTTCAGTCCACATACTCCATCAAACAGAACGATCAGCACGTAATGTCATCAAATGCTTCGTTCATATCAGCAGCTTTGAAAGAAACATTCGCGACAGCACTCACACACATCCGTGACTATTAGCAGGGCTCTTACTTTCTATTCTACTTCCTAAAGCCACTTCTCTGTCATAGGAACCACAAGCTTGCATTGTCTCACAATCGTGTAGAGGACGATTATCAGACCATTGACCTCTCCAACCGATTACCATCAGGCTGGGATTCAACCTCTCCATCAAGCTCGTCTAGAAAAACTACCCTCAGGCTCACTTCTACGACTCGAAAATTCACGTCCAACAGTTTTGCGGTCGGTGTTCGATAGCGCAAGTTCTTGAACATAGATCTTGACCTTCCAGCGTATCACGAAATCCACAGACAAACAAGGCAGTTAAACAACTAATTGACCAAATGACGACCCTCACGCCCGCCACGAGTAGCCTTCGTCCAAAACCAAAGCCTCGTATCCTCGCCATCGGCATCCAGGACCGAACCTTTGCCGACTCGCGCATGTACGCTCGCCTGCGTACCCTTCTCCGCAAGTTCGCAGACATCTATTACTGCTCCACTGCCGTTGCTGCCGTCGCCGCGCTGCGCAAGCGTTCTAACCCACCCCTTGCTGTTTTGATCGTGGACGCAGGCATCACACAGCGCCGGGACGTCACAGTCGCATGTGTCGAGTACATGCGGAGAGGCGGCCGTGTCGTGTTCGCGGCGAACTTTGCGAACTATATGCCGCCTACCCAGGACGTGCGACGCTTCTTCTCGTCATTTGGTGTCTTCTGGACGTTTGAGGACGGAGGGCCGAGCAGAGGCGTCATCGCGCGGAAGAATCGGCAACTGCTTCAGGGCGACGAGAGTGCGGCCTGGCGCTGCGTGGAGGACGAGATTGTGTATCGCCAAGCGCAAGTCCTCGGCAACGTTAAAAAGGAGCATGCTGTCTTCACTGCCATGGAGGCGGAGGAGCAGAGCCTAGCTGCCGAGAGTGAGAAGACAGAAAGCGCCGTTCCACTTCGCAATGCAAATGATGGATGCGAATTGCTACCGAGAAGGCTTGGTCCCACAAGGTACAGGACGCCAATTGCGTGGGCAAAACAGAGGTACGGTTATATAGGGGTCATTGGAGACGTGAACGCGCAGCCCGAGAGCGAGGTCCTAGTTGTGTGCATGCTAGGCTTGATAGACACGGTTCAGGTGGCAACCGCTTGAGCTCTGGTTTGATGTTAACGATCCCCAGGCAAGCACTCAAATGCGGAGCAGCATACTCTCTCAATTACCGTGGCATGAAGGTTCTATAGGTCTGCGAATACGGACGATCCAGTACACCGTACAATGACTTGCCCGCACTGGATTTGAGCACATGAATAAAGGCGGTTCTCTGTGTCTTGAATTCAAAGCTACCGAAGCGTCGACACCACTTTTGGGCGGGCAGAATTAGGCATTAGTACAAACTTTGAAATGGAACTTTAAGCGTCTACTCTAAAGTTGGGATGTTGTCGGCTAAGTGAATCCGTTCCGAGCCTAGTGGACTTCTTCTTGTGCAGAGAGGGCATATGATCTACATGCGTGTCGTGCTCGAAGATCCTTAGTACATAATGCATCACCTAAGAAGTTACGTGCAAACAGCTCAAGCTTCACGGCAACGCACACTCGAGTATCTCTCATTTCAGTTCTATGCTGTACTCGAGGCATTAGCACGTCCACTCCCGAACTGTTTCCCACCATCTCATGTGTAAAGAGTGGTCAAGGTCGGCACCGAACGTTCAAACTAGTGACGCTTGCGCTTCATCGCGAATCGACAATCTCCCAAGGTCTCCACGCGGCTGTATCCAAAACCTAACATGGAGCCATCTTTCGTGCCGCAGCAAGCCCAAAGTCCATCGGTACACGGACAAGGGGCGCTTCTCTTCAGATTGCGGTGTGCAGCCCTCACAGACAAAGTGAATCCACGAACCTAAATCGTTCGTCGTGGCGTGAGCTATAGGTGAATAAAAGCATGAGTGACTTTCGCAGGGGCACATCAACGTTCCCGTGTACGTGAGGCAGAGTATGCCGCGTGCATCATCTGAGGCCCCGCTTCAAAGCAAATCGCTCTGTTCGCCAACTACTGTTCACACGAGGGTCGGGCAGCACGCGCTATGCGACCAAATAATTTAATCATAGCTCTGAAGACTTGAGAGCACGAGTCTAGTCAGAGTCGTGCAGCAGATTGGACGATTTCCAGGACAAAACTAGGAAGAACCACATTGGATGATGTCGGAACTGCGAAACGATGGGTGCGAGTTACTCGGAGTGCGGGTCGCGGTGACAGCGCTCTCGTCCTAGAGAGGCTGAAGCGGTGCGACACCATTAAACCTATTGTGAAATGAAAATCCAAATTTGAAGAAGAAAGAAGTGTTCGAGGAAAAGGATTCTTGGACGGGGGATGAATTGGCCTTGTTTTCACAATTGGGCGACAAAAAAAAACTTCACTATATGCTCGAACTGACAATCCGGAAGGAAGCCAATAGAAACATCGACGAACGGAGTGAAGATCCTTCTTCCCAGCAGAAATACGAGGATAGAGCGACGCACGCGAAGCTCAGCGTTCTAACGACGTGGACATGAAAAGCCTTTCGCTGATTTCGTTCTGTAGCAGAAGGGGAAATAAAAAGTGCTTCGTTCGGCTCCCGGACACTTGAGCCAACTCATTTTTCTTTTTGCTCATCAAACGCCGTCGATTCCAGCTTTGTCGATGAAGTGCATCGTCGCACACGACACCGGCCCCTAGGACGTTGACGAGTGTAGTGGAGGCTCGAGGCCCTCGAGGTCGCGGATGTTGACGTGCAGGGTATCTTGTCTAGCTTTCTGCGCTGCCACGGCCAGTCGTGAAGCCATCGCAGAAGAGCGCCGGATGGCGACGCGTAGGGGAAACGGCGAGGTCCAATATGCAAGCTGCGGCTTCGCGACGGAGCGAGCGAGAGATTCGTCTCTCGCTAGTTAGCGGTCAAAGGATTTCAATCTTGAGAGCAGGTTCTGCGGCGGGAGGAGCCTGACAAAGGAAACGCGCGAGGCTGTGACGGGCCCGCCTCATTTCCCTACTCGACGGCCATTTCCAAGGTTTGTTCGGCACCGCAGCAGAGAAGGTGCGGCCCGGGGTTGGAACTGTGGAGACTCTACTGCTTGGTGGAGGTCCAGTGTACGCTCCGCCGTCGTCGATGCACAGGCAGTCGCAACGCTTCCACCGGCGGTTTTCTAATCATTCGTCCCGATTTGCAAGATTCTCAGCCTGTCTGCTACTCAATTCGACGCACTGAGTCAAATCGACCAATATCCACACCTATGCTTGCTTGTGCGAGTCTCGCAATGAAGAACGGGGCTAGCAAGTTCAGCTCAACCCCAGATCGCGATGCCCCAGAACTGCGTGGATACGAATCCCGTCTGGACTCCTCTCTGACTATGGGTCCATTGTTTTTGGACCTCAATCCTCATATGAGGTTCTTCCTTGAGCTCTTGTCCTCGACGTTTCAAATTCTTCACTTATTGTCGAAAAGACCGCCTATACACGATACGCCATTGTGGCCGTTGGCGCTCAGCATTCTGCCAGCTGACTATTGTTAACACTCGGTGCTGTCTCGCTATCAATTCAATAGTCGTGCCCAGCACTCAATCTCCTCATCTCTCCGGTCGTTGCATCGAATATCTTTGATTGAACAAAATGGCTAAGAAGCAGACAATGGCTCGTTGCATTGCGTACCAACGTTCAGTAACACAAGACGAAGGATCTTCGCCTGGTCCATCCAAGGTGCAAGCATGGCAAAGCAGCATTTTTTGGAGAACAGGTGCTCCTTTCTCTCTGCCATTGCAGCGGCATAACACAGAAAACCGACATCAAATAAGCAAATCCGCAATCCGACCCGGTGTGATCGCTTGGGTGCCTCAGCAAAGCTTCGTTCAACAGTTTGACGAACGTGAGCCTATTCTTGTGCATCCAGATTTCAAGAACAAACCGCAGGCATTCGGACATCCTTGTCTTGTCATCAGCAACGCGAACAATGATGGGCGAGTTCTGTGTCTACAGATCACAGCATTTTCAAACTTTCATGGTGGACTGCTCCAGAAATATCCCGATATTTTGCGGTTAGATGGGCAAGTGCAATCTCGAGCTGGTCAGCGGCAACGATGGCTAGCCATTCGGCACAGCGGCCCCACAGCCCTCGCAGCACATGACGGTACGCCGCTGTTAGATGTAAGGTGTGGTGAGGTCCTCAGGGAACAGTCTTACGTGAACACCGAAAAGACGTTCACCATTCACGAGTCCCTGCTAAAGAGTAGCGGAAAATGCCTCACCAGACAAGCGGTCGAAGCGGTCGTCCATCACCATAATCTGCTGTATTCAAATTTTATCTGCGGACTGGAGGATTGGGATCCTGCAAAGAACAAGCAGAACTGCCTGGTTGACCTCCCGTGGCCTCACGGAAAAGAATATCAGAACGATTGCGGCTGACGAGATACCCAAGCTCTTGCCGCGGACTAAACAAAATGCGCCATAGTGCCACGATGTAACTGCGGAATCGGTTCTTTTGTTATGTAACTGGTAACAAGTTTTGTTGAATCTGGAGTTAGGTAGGCTGCATAGAGTTCCGAGCGGTCTGGCAAGAGATAACTCTGCTAACAGTGAAAGCATAGGGTATCTGGTTGTTTCGGAAGACTTTTTGTCACAAAACCTCAGCCATTTATATTTAGTCTAATGTAGAATAATTCTGTCGTCGTGAAAGATCAGCGATAGTGACTTGCATAATCGTCCACGAGTAGCAGCTTCCGCTCAATTCATCAGTGTTGTATTAAGAAACGATCTCTGACTCCGACTAATGTAAAGCATGCCCGCTAACTCTTGACATACTACGAAACTCACTGCATTGTTTTTTTTGTACCATCAGCACGCAGATACCTTTTTCATGCCATAGTCTGAGGAATCTGCAAACGGATTGGCAATAGAGCCTGCTAGAGAGGATATCCGGCTGGTTTTAGCGATATCAAGAATCAGAATTCATAGCAGCCATTTTTAATGCCAGATAATTTCAAGGCTCGTGATTCGGGTGAAAGGCATGGGTTCGGTTGATACAGCTACGACGGGGGTGCTTCTGTGCTGAGTTATATCGAATTAAAACTCACCAGAAATTCCTGGCGTTGATTGGCCAGAAGGCTGGCCAGCCTTCATTTCCTTGATCAAGGTGTCCTGCCTTGAAAGAGGACGCGAAAGGAGGACGGTTGACCTCTCAATCCCACGTCATCTCATGAGAAGCTCCTATTTTCGGACTGCTTACGATAAAAGCACGTGCGCTCAAGCCACTTTTGGCCCCAGGTCACAGGCCAGGATAAGAAACTGACATCAGAAAATCCATCTGAGCATGGGCTAGTGTGTGCTAGTTGTGTAAACCGGGCTGCTGCGGCCTTTCACGACTGCAACCCGCTCGTGGAGGTAGTGCCCGTGACATCGTCGTGACCTTTTGGATTCAGGCAGACGACGGGAAAATGGCAAGTCAGTTCGAGGTTGCGGAGAAAGCTTCCTGGCTAACAAATGATTCGTTGGGGTCAATTAAGCGGAGCTGCCGGTTGACCAATTCCGGGCCGGCAGCTTGAAGAGTGAATGGGCTTGAGGTACTTCATCTCCCCGCAGATCTTGAAGCACAATATCCTTTGAAGAAAGGGAAAAAAAAAAAAAAAACTTCAAGTACATGGTTCAAGAGAATTCACCTGCTCGGAAATAACAGAGGCAATGGCGACTACCTTTGATCCGAATGGCAAAACTGCCATCATCACTGGAGGGGGAAGCGGTGGGTCACGAACGGTCAGGTCATATTTGTGGTTGCATGCTTATCCATTTCTTCTTTATTAGGAATCAACTTCGCCTTCGCAAAATTGCTCCTTTCAAAAGGTTGCAATGTCCTGATCGCTGACTTGGGTCTTCGCCCGGAGGCGAAAGAACACTACGATAAATTCACCTCTTCACCCCGTGCCGTTTTCCAGAAAACCGACGTGACCAAATGGGCCGAGCTGGAGGAGATGTTCAACGTTGCATTCAAAGAATTTGGTCAAGTGGACATCCTTTGCGCCGGCGCAGGTCTTTTCGATCCCAAATTCAGCAATTTCTGGTTTCCCCCCGGCAGTGCCGAGAGCCGTGATGATCCGCACGGTGACCGGTATCTGACCATGGACGTGAACGTGACGCATCCTATCCGCTCAACGCAACTGGCATTATCTCATTGGATGAATCCACCCAAAGGCCAGCCGAAGGCTAGTCCGTCCAACCCAAAGCGAGTGGTCGTGTGTTGCTCAGTTGCAAGCTTGTTACATGGTATCAGCTACCCGTTGTACTTTGCGTCCAAGCATGCTGTGGCAGCATTCGTCCGCTCACTGGGAGACCTGAATGAGAAGCTTGGTATCAAAGTTGGAGGTGTATGCCCTGGAGGAGTAAGATCGCCTATGCTGATGGAAGATCAGCACAAGGCGAGAACGATCGATTTTGAAAAAGACCGAATGGTCACTCCGGAGCAGGTTGCAGAAGTGTTATACCGCCTTTGCGTAGATGACTCGGTCCCTGGAGGTTCTCTGCTGGAAATTACCGAGAATGGAGAGCGAGAGGTTCAAGCATTCGGTGATCCAGGCCCGGCTGGTGGCACGAATATTTCGCACTGGGAAATTGCGATCAACGAGGTCTGGAGTCAGCTTGACACCCCTGGCTGGGGCCAAGTCAAACCATCATTGTAGTTATTCATCGCGAAATTTAAGGGATGATATGTGTGATGGGATTGAGGCATGAGCTTGTTTCTCATGATTTGCGCCATCCGTACCTTCACGCTGCTCATGACATGCCAGATCCCGGCGGCCAACCATACATGCTTGAGCCGCCAGAAAATGCCTGGTGCGGATAGTGATCGTAATTCCAACCAAAAGTCTGGGGATTATAGCTGCTGTTCGGATCATGATGCTGACCGCCACCTTGCCATCCGGCGTTCTCAACGGAATGGACGGCAGCTTGTGATTCATCAAAACCACCATAGGCTCCGAAGTACTGAGATGAGCCGGCATGAGTATAAGATCCAAATTCCTGCAGCGATGCGCTAGTGTTGATACTTTGTGGGAAGCTGTTGGGATCGACGAGTGCAAAGGTTTGATCGTAAGACTGCTGTCGCGAGTTGATTTGAGGTCGTGAGGAGCTCTCTCCTTGTTCTCTTTCCGAGGTAGTAGCTCTTAACTGGCGTTTTATGATATCTACGCTCCTTTTGATGCCTGGGGCTTGTCGACTTTCGGACTCAATTATTTCCAGTGCACTTCTCAAACGAAGTGATGCGACATGCCTTTGCTCGTCGTCCCCAACGCGCAGCAAGGCAATGTCGACCGTAGCAGCGGTGTAGATGCAATAGCTGATCAGGTAGGTATTTTCTTTGATTTGAAATGCTCGGCTGTAAAGAGTGAGCAAGTCGTGCATGATCGCGGCTTGCTCAGCGAGGAGTTGTTTCTTGACTTCCTGAATCGTTGATCCCGAACTAGATGACGTTTGCTGAAAAGGTCTGAATAAGATTGAGAGAAGAGTACGGTAGTATAGATTCAAGCTCAACACATGAGGAGGGGGGCATATCGTCCGCTGACCAGCGTCATCGATGCGAAGCACTGACGGCAGTTGATCATACCAGGACTCAAGGCGGTTCTGAATGGATTCTACTTGACCAACGGTCACACGGGCACGTCCGTGGCTTGCCACTGTTGTCAACACGGGACCCACAAGCTCAAGCAGTAGACATAGCTGCTTGAAAGTTGCACTGTTATACGAACGAGCTGCACGATATTCGCCAGGATTTTCGCAGCCCAGAGGGTACCAGTACTCTCGATCGTCGTAATCGTCGACTGGACGGCGTGTCAGAAGATTTCTCTCATCGACAATAAGTACACCTTACAGATGTCATCCACCGATACCCATAGTTTTGAAAGAGTAGGAGGTCGCCCAAGCGTCAAACTAAGGACCTTGTCCCAAGAATATGCCGCTAGAGCAAGTCTTTTCCGTGCTTCAACGTCGACTGGGGTCAGATTTTCGTATCTGGAAAGCCTTTGCGGATCCAGATGCAAACCAATATCAGTCATCATGCGAAAGGCCTAAATAATGAATACTTAGTTCAGTAACTTGGACGTCAAAAGAATATTGAGACGTGCCATGCCAGAGAATAGCCATCCTTCGGACGTATTTCCTATGCCACATTGTCGACAGCCTAGGATCAGCAAGCCTTGGATAGTTGCGATGGCAGGCCGGGAGCTACCAAGTTCTCGCACTAAAAGCTCTTTAGCTGCGACAAGAAAACGTTCACCTTGATCCTGATAAACGATAGAGTCATGGTTGCAGTGTCGAGCTGCAAGCGCAAATATCGATGTAAGCAGAAATCTAGAGCAGTATGGTCCAGTTCCAGCTAGATCCCTGATGAACACTATACGACTGTGAGTGAACGCTCTCTGTCGGAGATAGAATATTGCGTATCTGATTCACTCTTGCACTACTTACGTGGCTTGTAGACGAAATTGTGAAATGGATTCTGCCAAGTGAAATAGGCGGACAAAAGGTGGATCGCAACATCTGTGGGAATGCCAAAGTCGGCCTCAGTTTTCTTCACCAACAGCGGTTGCCATCGATTCTGCAGATCTTCGTACGTTGTTTTGAAGTGCTTTTGAGAGGATTCTTTAAGCCTCTCCCGAACGATGGCTGCTTCTTCTAGGGTCTCGTCATCGTCATCCTCGAAAGCAGATTCTTGAAAGCGCGAAGTCGGCCCATGATAAGTGATCTGAGAAGGATATTAGTATGTCGCATTCTCTTCTTCCCGTCGTGCACTTTACCGATCCTTTGTCATCGAACCCAACTTGGGAGTACAGAGAATAGTCTTGTTCCGAGTCAGAATATAGTGCCCCAGGAGATGATGCGGGCTGGCTGCCATAAGGGCTACTAGATCGTGCTTCTAGCAACTCAGACTCGAGTTCTTGGATACGTTTTTGAGCCTGCGCTAGCTGCGCTTCCATACGCTTCTTGGGATACTGGCAGACCTCTTCCGCACGGGCACAGGAAGTGCACTCTGGCTGTGCCCCATCGCAACGTATCTTCTTCTTCCGACAGTTGCTGCACGCGAACGCGTATCGCCGGGGGGGTTTCTTGGAGCTTGCTCCCTCTGGTGAGCGCTCCATGACGCGAACATGAAAACAAAGCTTTAGAGAGTGCTGGGTGAAGTCATCAACGGCAATATACGATGGTACAAGGTCTGCAACCGATCCAAACGCACCCCGGCATTTGATGACTTTATATTGACCATCGGTAACTCTTCGCAATGTCGCAGGTAGGCAGTGAAGACGCGGGAATTGATCAGGACCCGTGCGGCGTAAGCATAAGAGATACTTGAAGCAGACACGGCCATGTTTGAAGACGTCTTCGCGTTGCCCGAGGCGATGATGAGCAGCCCTTCTCTACCGCAAAACAGATGAGCCTTCTGGTTTTTGGCTTGAATCGTGCATTTGTCAGTGCGCAAAAGAAGGCTAGCCTTACCGACTCTCCTTGATGCTCGCTGTCCTTGACGAAAGGCCGTTGGTTCACGCATAGACAAGGGGGCCCTGCCGATCTTACATTGCTAGAAGATATCCTTGCAAATCAGCCAAAAGCGTACGCCATCATCAGCCCTACGGTCATCAGCGAGCGCGTGGGTAGAGGCTTTTTGGAAATACAGATGGCAAAGGTCGAGGTTTCTGGAACGATCTGATTAGTGACGCAAGTGCGCGTGCATCCGCCGGCCAGCAGAGCGAGACGACATGCTCGTAGGAGATTTTAGCCCATTCACGTCGGTTTCGAACCTTTGTGCATGATGTCCTACCGCATGCGCCACGTGTGGGTGCGTCATGCCAAAGGACCTTGGTCCGTCTGTTGGGGCGGAGTTTGGAAGAAACTTAGGAAGTCGGCATCCGATGCGGCGCGAGCCGCTATATCGGTGATATACACAAGGCCTAATCGCCGTCGATTCGATTGTAGGGCCTGCTTTGGGGCGCTTTGCAAAGACAGTACCTAGTACAGTCCATTGGGAGAAATAGCGCACGAGGACGTAATTCCCGCACCATTCCTTGCAATGGCCAAAAACGCATGATGCCAAAGGCATACGAAGTTCTTTGTTCTAGAAATTGGGGAAGCAACCTGAATAGGACACAACCAGCTGAGGAGTCTCCGAACCGGGGTGGAACGGGGGGGTTAGGAGGACTGGTATATTTTGGGTGATGAGGTCTTGGGGTCCATACATGAGAGGCGGTGGTCACGCTGCGCCTCGGCATAATTGCAGACGTGAAGCAGACTCAGTTCTTGCTCTCTCGCGTGGATCCAAGTCGTCTAAATTGACGCTCTATGCATGATGAGTCACTCGCGCGGGAACCACCAGGCGTCACCGTCAGACGTTGCAGAATTGGGCGGTCAAGTACCTGGTTTCCAAACAGAAGGCGGGCCGTGCGAAGGCATCTCTGGTCTACAGCAGGAACAGCCAGCGGGATTGAGGTGCTCGGTGCTTCACTTGACGTCTTATGCCGGGATACATGATATTCATTTGGCAAATGAGCGCGGCCTGCGAACGCGAAAGCTGGAGTTCGGCATCTTTCCGACTCGTGCACAGTTGGATGAGTTTGTGGCCTGACAGCGCGTGCAACTGTCCGTCAATTTCAGGCAAGAAACGCACAACAAATGGCTCATTCCTCGTGGATTGAGGAGCTGGACATGTTTTGACAGTGCAAGCGTCGCCTAGACACTGCGTTGAAATGCGCTGTGAGAGCGCAGTGTAAGTCTTTCGACACCTGTGTTTCGATATGGAGTCAGCAATGGATTTCGCCACGTCCGAGAGCGGTCAATTCAAGCTCGGCGAAACGGATCGCTGCGCCATTCGAGTAGCCGTTGCGGTGTCTCCGCAACCTTGCGACGTCGGTCCGTACTGGCCAGACTATAATTCTTCTCCAAAACTCGAGTTGGCTTGAAGTTGAGAGCCATTAGCCCTCGTAAGAAGCTGTGGGTTGAATCATGACTCAATCTGCTGCACGCGTCGTTCCTGGCCGCACGACCACGGTCGCTCGACAAATCGTGCACGAAATCTGGACGCACCTGGGGCTTCCATCTGAAAGTCTCACGTCGTTGGAACTGCCAGGCTCGGGCTTAGGGCTTCCATCATCATTCCAGGTTGGCGCCTTTGCGCAAGCCACAATTGCGCTATCTGCGCTGGCCGCAGCAACTTGCCATGCGCAGGCGCAAGGCATTAGAGTGCCAAGAGTGTCGGTCCCCCTTCGACATGCGTCAGCAGAGTTTAAATCGGAGCGGTTGTACGTCCTTGATGGCAAGACGAATGAGGATCCGTGGGGACCGATAGGCGGCCTGCACCAAACAGCTGACGGCTATGTTCGCATTCACGATGGATTTCCTCATCATCGGGACAACGCTTTAAAGCTGCTTGGTCTTGAAACGACGGCGACTAGAGAAGATGTAGCGCAAGCGGCAAAGGCCTGGAGAGCGCTTGATCTGGAGGAAGCGGCTGCACAGAGCAATGCTATCGTGGCTGCTCTTCGATCATATTCTGACTGGGACGTTCTCGAACAGGCACAGCAGTTGCCAGACCTGCCGATCACAGTTCAAAAGGTTTCCTCCACCCCGTTTCCGCGGCCCGTACAAAGAAAAGCCAGCTCCCGTGGATGTTTGGAGGGACTGAGGGTGCTAGACCTCAGTCGCGTCATTGCCGCTCCTATCGCTGGAAAAACACTCGCAGTCCATGGCGCTGATGTCTTGTGGGTTACATCACCAAACTTACCAGCGCTGCCGGATATCGATTGCGATGTACAGCGTGGCAAAAGAACAATACAGCTTGATTTGAAGAAGGCGGAAGACAAAGCGAAGCTGATGCTCCTTCTGAAGGAAGCCGATGTTTTTCTTCAAGGATACAGACCTGGAAGTTTAGCCAATCTAGGTCTATCAGCTACGGTGCTACATGAGATAAATCCACACCTTATAGTGGCCAATCTGTCCGCTTTTGGAACACGTGGGCCGTGGTCTCATCGACGTGGTTTCGATTCAATAGTTCAAACTTGCAGCGGTATGAACGTGTCTGAGGCCGAGCATTTTGGCGAGGGATCGCCAGCACGACCGATGCCTTGTCAAGCACTTGACCATGGAACAGGTTATCTGCTTGCCACAGGCATCATGGCTGCGCTCTATAGACGTGCAAAAGAAGGCGGCGCCTACGTTGTTGACGCTAGCTTAGCCGGTACAATGAAGTATCTGCGCGATCTAGGCCAATATGAAGGCAATTCCGGCTTCGATTGTGAGGATATAAAGACCAATCGAGATGTTACTGAATTTTTAGAGACAAGAGACACAGAGCTCGGAAAGCTTGTTGCTGTAAAACATTCCGCAAGTATTGAAGGACTTGATGTCGGCTGGCGCATTATGCCCAAGCCCTTAGGCAGCGATGATCCAAAGTGGCTGCAAGCAGAAGAAAGTTATTGAACAAAACTCTCATGGTCATATTTGATTACTACTATGCCTCGTAACTGCTCAACACTGTGTACATTACACTTCCAAGCCGCGTTTCAACCTCTACCCGTGCTCAAATGTCTCAGCCATCACCCAGAAAGTTTTTAAGTGCCTTTTCGAATGCTTCAATCTCTTTTTGTAAAACTCTTCCACCATATACTGGCAAATACGCCTGAAAATCGTCATCAATCTCGCTTTCTGAGAAGGCTGGGTTGTCCACGAAGTCGTCAAGGGCAAACTTCTTGTTCCATTTGTTTCTATTTGCCTTTTCGAGAATATCCATTTGCTGCAGCTCAATAGCCGTATAATTTGGCGAAGAAGAAGGAAATATCTGAATGAGTTAGCCTCAACGTCGAATTTGGTGCAAATCTTCACAGCTACAAGCACTGGCAGCTTACCTTCTTGGCCGACTGAAGGTGTGTGATTATGGAATGAAGCCGTTCTGAGAGTTGAGCCAAAGTTCCATTTGCGAGAATATCGTCGGGTACATCTGGCATTAACTTATCGGACCAAGCTCCGGAGTCTGTTTCTGGCATAGGAGTAGGCGAGTAGGTTGACGCCAACCATGATTCAACGTACTGTCCTTCGGTAGAAATATCCTACATGTGGTCAGATCATAGCGTCAAAATAAGAAATTGAGAACAGCAATTTGAAAGAGCTGAGCAGTCTCTCCACAAGTCCCAGAATGTAGAGAATGGCAATTCTGAAGACCTTATGATTATGTAAACTCTCCATCGTTCTTACCATGTTCACCTCATTGAGAGCGGAACTCTCCTTGCTATGAGGAAATTTTGATTCCGATTGTTTTGCTTGGTAAATAGCGGAGAAATCTTGGACGTATGTCTTCGAAGACGGATACGTCGTTGCGAACGCAGTTGGATATGTTGATTGATTACTTCCACTCGGCGCTGCTACAACAGAGTTCAAATGACTTTGTGTCTCTATTGCCTGGATCTTCTGAAACATATCAAAGTAAAACGAATCATTCGATGGTAAATTTGGCGCAGTGTTTGGGGCCCATTGCGTGTGCTGGTTCTCGGGTACTACAAGAGGCAGTCGAGTAGTCACTGCTATCTCCTGGAGTATATTGTTGAATTTCGACGGAATATGAAGATCAACAAAGTAGGTATCTGTTCCCGGCGTAGGAAATACAAGCGTACTTTGATAATGATTCGCCAGCGCGGCAAGTTTTGCTCCTAGTACGCGTTTCATTGGACTCGTGGAATAGTGTGGATGAGGTGCATAAACTTGTGAATATTTAGGCCAAAGAGTTTCATGCCAGGTCGGGAGCACGCTTTGCTTCCCTGTATCTGGCTGTGTTTCCTGTTGAAAGCCGGAGGAGAATGTTTTGGGCAACTTTGATTGACTCGTGGCCGTCGACAATGGTGGAGACGATATTTTGAACGCGAAGCTGTGATTTGACTGGTCAGAACATAGGACAAAAAAAAACTAAACTAGAAACAACATTACGTACCGATTCTCCTCCATTCTGTCAGGCATTTTTTCTGCCTTCTTCTGCCAATCCTTCAATGTGTTCATTATCTCACTACCATATGTTCGAAAATGCTTCTCAATTACATCATGCCAGCATCCTTGACTCCGAGATTTGGTTGCTTGGACAAGGACATCTACAAGTGCGTGTCTAATGGTCAAGATTTGCACCTTGAGATGGAAGTCAGTTAAAAATGGTTCTCAAAGCTTAAGAAATTAGATACAAAAATGCCATTTTAGAAACTCGTACCTCTGCATTGAACCTCCTTGACTGATCTTTCATCTCGCGACCTTCCCTTCCCGGCTCATTATACCAAGGCTCCGAACAAAAGATCATGGCCTGGATGGAAACTAGCACCTGTAAGATGGTGGATCGATTTGGTTCCCACGATGGACCGCTCCAAGTGCCCAGCAGCGACAGACAAACCTTGCCATCAGGGTACAGATTTGGATTAAAGTGTGCTGTTCCCTTTCCAGTGGTCTTGAAATGCATTTTGGGCGACAACTGGGGATAGTTCCATGGGCACATCATGTCAAATTCAAAGAGACCATGCGCATACGGCGTCTCTCTGGGACCTATAATGAGTACTTTCATAAGATCTGGGCGAGAAGTTGCATATCTAACGAAGATCCCTTCCGGAAGAGCCGACTGTAATGTTGCAATTTCCGTGAGAATTCGTTTCATTCGTCCTTTGGCAGGATGGACTTTGCTCCGTTGTTCTTTTACAAAATAGAAATCATGTTTGAAAGTGTCATCGTCTACAGACTCGACACAATGTTCACGATGCCATGCTGCCATTTGGTGTGCCAAGGTCATGACTGGTTCTGCTTCTGGCTTGCTGCAGGAGGTAGGTGGGATACTGAATGCTTTCATTCTTTCTTGGACAAAATGGAATATCTTGTCGGCATGTTCACAAACTCTAAGGAGTCTTCGGCTTTCAGTGTCGAGAAACTCTTCTTGCATCCTGGTTGCTTGTTTGCGTAAATTAGATGTGGAATGGAAGAATTTGTCAAGGAGCTGTATGATAGGCTGGAAACTCGTCAGTTTGGAACGTTTTGATAAGCCGCTGGAAAAAAAAAGTTTTGACGAGCATTCAAGATTATCTAAGTGCAGCTTGAAATGAAGAAGTACTTACAGCAACTTCATTCGGATCCTGGTTCTTAGGTAAAAGGATATGGTGTGAAAGCAGAGTGGTACTCAACAAGCCTTGCTCTACTGGGTACAGGCTCCTTGGCCCTAAAACAAGTGGAGCCAAGCGATAGTGATCTGCTAGTTTGGCGATAAGGTCAAGAATGTTGCAGAACAGGTCCGAATTAGAGGCGATCTCTTCAAAGCTGTCCGTTCGAAGCATTGTTGCCATTATTTCTAACGCCCGACTTCTTTGAAACATCGTAAAGAGAAGAGACGGTGGTGCCTGAAGGTATGCCTCATTTGCAAAGTGTTCAGAGAGTAGCTCATTAAGCGCCCGAAATAGTCGTTGAGCTAAAATGACCTCTTTGTTGAGCTTTACGTTATTTAGAGAATATCTACCACGCAAACGTGATGGTGACTGTTTGTGAAAAACATGCGATGGGAATTCTTCATCGCTATAATCCGCAGAGGAAGTGCCAATATAGCTGTTGGCGCCACCATACCCTGTTCCGTTGGGTTTCCTGAAGGGGAAGTCTTTTGTGCTTGCTTCTGGACTAGTGGGCTTAGAGAAGTCCTCTTTTGACTGCTTTTTGGTGTCCTCCTTTGCGTGGTATGGAATTTCGGGTGCACAGAGCCAAATCCAAATACAAAATATCTGAGACTGTGGGCAGCAGGAGCGGAATTGTGCTGGCCGTCGCAAGGCTCGCGCACTCATCCCGCAGCCGATACATGTTCGGATGTAGCATTTCTGACACGAAAAGAAGCTTGACGCGTCAAGATTATGTAAACTCTCAGCTATCTTTGCCGCTGAATTTGCGTCTGGAAGAAGGGATGTGCTGCATGAGGAGCAAGTGGCTTTCGTCAGCTGCATGCCGTAGGCTCGTAGCGCTGATTTCGAATCGTCCATAGCTGCGTTCTGAGTTGGTAGCGACAAGATGTCAGAACCGGGCTGTTCTCCAAACAGACACTGCTCAACATTCTGCTCTGCTTTTTGGAAATAATAGGAGGGCAACACGTTCGAGTGCTCATGGTCCATCTTAAAGCGCTTAGAAGGCATCTTTAGCAAAGCGCTGCAGATCAGGTGCCAAAAGTATTGATGTCGCACCCGCTAGTCTATCGGATTGTAGAAAACCTTTGATCCAATGCAGTGGAGATTCACGCTTCTTCAGATGCACACAGTTCAGTCACTGCGCAGGTTAGCTCATCACCAGCCGTTGTTTCCAAATAGTTACGACGTTGTCTTGCGGGAGGTGAACCGCAAATGCGACGCAGAGTAAGGCCACCGAGGTTTATGTGATAACCAGTAGCAGAGATCTTCTGATATGCTTGTTTCTGCTCTGAGGCGACGAGTGGGTGGGTAGTAAAGGAGCAACGAGGGGGTTGTAGAGAAACGGCTGGCGCAGACTGGCTAATAGATGCCTCGCCCTTGAATTCAAGGAGAAAGTTAAACGAGATTATTTGAGTTGAAGAATGTCAAAGTGCTAGCAATGATCTCCTGGTGAGATACTTTTTGTAGTAGAATCTAAAGGGCAAGCAAGATCCAAGGCTGAAGTGGGATGCCTTTATCACATGACTTTGCAGGAACAAGGTGGACGCTATCGCAGTACGAGCACGTCGACTCGGACGGCTTCGGCTGGGAAAAGAGCATCTAGTGACACAAGCGGTTATCTGCTTTACAAGCACTGATCAATTCTAAGGTCTTATCCTGAAACCCCGAGTACGTTGTGTCGCTCTTCACAAGGCGATGACGTGTTCTGCAGCAAAATCCAGTATGCGGTTGTTGTCCCAAACAGCGAACCATTCCTTCGACGCTACGATGCCCTCACTAATTGACTTGCTGCCTACAAGCACAAAGATCGGCTTTTTGTCTGGCAAACAAGGCAGATGCCGGTGAGCAATCAGCACGAGGCTCAGGACTTGGCGCCCGATTTTCGTCACCAAACGTGGTTTAGCTTTGGCATCGAGCTTGGTGAACGTGATGCTGGCGACTCGTCACAGGCGTACACAACGGAGGAACAGTAGCTTGCATACGAATCCATTCTAGCCATTCGTTCAACGCAACCGGTCAAGATCTCATCAACCCGTTCGAACTTGTGACCGCGCCCAGAGTTAACTGTGCAGAAATTTCCTGATTGTCGTGCCTGTTCTTCTATCTGACGTCGATCTCTTCTTCTCTTTCTATTTCTCTATTTTTTGCAGGATGCATCATATAAAGTACTTATCTTTGCGATTTTATGACCATACTGTACGCGCGTTTTATCTCAGGGCTGTTTTATTTTTTTTTTGTTTTTTTTTTGTTGCTCAGATAATCTTGCGAGGCAAAGGCTCTTTCGTCTGACCTATACGCATTGTATTTTTCCGCCTCACAATTTTTCAGCCTTGCGAGGAACGGCGATGGCCGTAGAAGCTCTATTCTAGGTGGCTGCTAACTGCTTCTTGACCTGGTTTGGATCTACTATGGGTGATCTGGTCTTTTTGACCTCCATCTTCGCAGTTTGGATTATGCTTCTCGTTATTTCAGCCTGTAGATTCACTGCTGATTCAATCCTGGCCAGAAAGGGGGATTTCCGTATGGAAGAAATGTCAAATTTTCAATCTCAAGCCATACTAGCGTGCAGGTCATGCACTGTTTTGCCATGACAACAGCTTTCGGGCCTCGATGGACTAACGACGTCGACACTTCAGAGGCTGCAAAGTCTTGCAGAGAAAGGTGACGGTTACTACCCAGTATATGTGTTATCCTTCTGCCTCTACTTGTCGCAGTTCTCATAGGCAATTACGATTCGATGCACTTTACGCTAAATTGCTGGCTTTCATTAATCGTCCATGAGGAAATGCGATTGCGTCACCTCGACAATGCCGGATCCCCACCAGTCGTGTTACACCATAACGCACCAGGCTTGCAAGAGCAGTCTTCAGGGGAAAAAAATATATGCGTGCGGTTCTTGACTATTTTCATCGACGCCACACCTATACCTCCGTTCATGGGCTGAGGATCGGCCCGAGATACACGATGAAGTTTTACAAGCCTCCAGCGGTTGGCTGATCTGCCTTCAAGTGTGAACCGCTTAGTATTCATTTCCCACGCAACGCTTTACCTGCTACAATGCGATACAACGAGCCTTTTGGCAGTAAACCCGATTCGTACATGTCACTCGCATGGGTAGGCTCCCTACATTTTTGTACCTCCGAATCCTAGCGGACGCTGTGTTCCACTGTGGTGAAAAACAAAAGTTTTGTGCGGATAATGCGCTTTTAGCTAATTCAGATTCCCCAACCGCGCTCCTCGAAAATGGGGTTCCGGAATTTTGCTTTTTCCATGTCTCAGCTTGGGTGAGACATCCTTCTCCATTCAAGTCGTTCGAAGAACCGGGGACAAACTCGCTTCACGACAGTCAAAACAGATATGGCCACAACCATACCCGACGATGTGGTTGACAGGTCGCCTGGAACAAGCATTGAGGACAAAAATGGGCCCTTAAAATGTGTTCGCTTGTGCTGAACGCGTTCGCACAAGAAGCAAAAATACTTCGCGTCAACCCTGGTTCCCGGACCATGATCGAAAGCGAACCCTTGTCTCGATGAGTTCACTCGACACACTTTCGAAATAACGGCTGCAAGGTGACCGCGATCGAACGCACCTCTGGCAAGCGGTTCGATCGCGACTCTGATACCGTGGACCTTAAAGCCAAGGATACCGCGGCTAACAAAACCGGGATGGAGAAGAGGCTGGAAACTTTCCCTCTGCCACTGGATCTGACATCAATCCGATAAGTCGAAGCTGCGTTATCGAGATTTGCCTTTTTTGCTGTATATCGAGCGCCACAGTCACATTCGTGTCTCCGCTATGAATTATCAAACCGTAATGCCGGTACCCATTCACTGCAGCTTTCTCACCCATGAGCAAAGCATGAAGAGCGTCAGGGTATCAATTCTGCAGCTGTGCCCATTCATAATGTCCATGTAAGAGCGTCGTGGGATCTCCTTGGCCCCTTTCTCTGCACTACGCTCATTCCCCTCTTGGTTAACCCGTTATCTGTTGTCTTTGCACCTATGCTTTCATATTTTCCCGTAGCCATTAGGTTCCTTGTCTTTCGGCACCCTTACAAACCATTGGCACCCACTACTCTATACAAGAACAACAGCTCCTGCTGCAACATGTTTGGAAGCCACTTCCTTGCCTTCTATAAACCGCTATACTAGTTTCCAATGGACGTCCTTCCCCATGAACGAAGGGAATGGCTCCCTGCTTACTCTCTGGTTCTTGGATCTATAACCACCATCTTGCTAGTCATTCGATTGTTATCGAGAGCTCTATGGAGAGGTGGTGGCCTCGGGCTCGATGACTTCTTTATCACGCTTGGATGGGCGGTGGCTGCTGCGAACACTGGGTTATCAGTGCATGCTGCTACTGAGCTAGGATATGACAGACACATATGGGACATCGATCCCGCTGATGCTCCAAATGCCATCAAGGTGAAAAATGTCTCTGTTATCCTTACAAAATATGCTAAAGAGTGATCAGTACGGCTTTGTCATAAGCATACTGTACGTTTGGTCCACGTCATTGACCAAATTATCAATCCTTCTATTCTACCGGAGGCTGGTCGCTGGGACGTACAGCAAAAGATATAGATATTCTATTTGGATAGCCCTCGCTGCTCTTGTGACTTATACGATTGTCATATTCGCCCTTATAATGACGACATGCTTCCCCCTCGATGCGGTATGGATGAAGGTAGTGCCCGCCTGGGTCAAAGGCCACGACTACCGCTGCGCTTCCAATCGAGCTGTCATCGCGACATCCTACGCCTCGGGGATATTGAGCGTAGTAACAGATTTTTACACGGTGCTGCTACCATGTTGGCTTTTTTTCAGTATCCAGATGGACAAGAAGAGGCGTATTGCGACCATGAGTGTCTTTTCGGTCGGATTCTTGTGCGTCATTGACGTACACCACTGTACTTTCCCGGGCTTACTCTTAGCAGGGTTGTCATCGCAGGAACCGTTCGAACGGTGTACTTGGTCAAGGCAGAAGGCCCCGACATTGACAAGACCTGGAACATATTCAACGTCATCATAGCAGGAACGACCGAAGGCGACTTCGGGATCATGTGTGCGTGCGCACCCTCCCTAAAGTCAGCGTTCAGCTACCACTTCGGAACGCACGGCTTGACTCAAAATACTGGCGTTAGCAATCCTTCGTCGAACAGCTGGTCCACAGATACTGGCAAACGAGCTGCCGTCCGGAATGGATATGTACGGCTGTCGGCAAAGCTGCGAAAAGGGGGCCCTGCTCCGCCGCCGCTGCCACAAGGGGAGGAACTTATTTTGCAAGAAAGACTCGATCAAAGTTACGGAAAGAAAAACTCAAAATCTGATATTGATCAATTTGGCTTTAGTCATGAGGCATGGGCGGCACGTTCGCCGACGAATTCAACATGTGATCTCGAAAGCGGAATTCATCGAAGCAGCATTGAATACGCTCCACGATCACCAATGACATTCAATGAGACGACAAGTTTACGACCACGGGCATCCCAACAAGATGTTTCATGAAACCTAATTTAGATCGATGAAACTTGAGATCAGTGTACAATAGTGATGAGCAATGTGCCGAAGATGATGAAGAATTGGAAGAGATATAAGCAGCAAGAAGCCGAGTAAAGGTTAAGGCTGTCTTGATTGAATACCAACTATTGATTTGGTAGTAACAAGCCACTGTTCCTACCTTCCCGACTCCTCCATCTACAACCGCAGGACAAACACACAACCCAAAAAAAGGCAAACCAAAATCCTCATATAAAAATCAAAGATGCCCGACACCGTTGAGGATGTCGTTGGGTATATGCATATATTACTTTTGCGTTTTTCCCACACCACTCTTATGCAGTTGATGTGACTGTAATGCCTTCGTTATATCATGAGTTTGTTCCGGCACCCGGTTGAAGCGGGCTGTTATTTAGTTCGTTAAGTGCTAAACGACTAGCAAAGGAAATTTATTCGCTCATGTCAAATGTTGAAATGCCAACCCTTTTCCAATACAATGTTGAAGTTATGGGCGGGTTAGACTGCGCCCAGACTGGAGAAACGCCATTGAAATGCTGTAAACATAGCCAATGCAAACGATAATGTGCTGAAATATATATGATGGGTATGTCAATCGGAAGTGGCGACTGCGGACGGCACGCGCGTTTCCCCATTAGCTGTGACCGATTTCTGTCCGTTCGTCGTCGGTTCGCCATTCACCTGACCATTTGTTCGTATAGGTAGGTCCTTCACCTCATGAACCTGTTTCTCAATGTCCGCAACTTGCAAGCCTTGGAAAATTTCGAATACCCCCTGGCTTCGATGGAAATCATTATCAACGACGTTGAGGAGGAACCAGGTATCCACCAAGTCCTCAATCAAGTACCTGCTAGGGCTGGAGTTCGGATGGCACTCTGCCCAATCCTGACCAAGGCGGAAGAACTCGTCCTTCCAAGCTAGGAACGAAATCGTCTCAACAATCGTTGGCTGAACGATTTCCTTGCCTGGGAAAACGCCCCAGGTCACAGCATTTGGTCCATCTCCTGGCGCATTGGTTTTTAGATCTCCCACTTTATTGACGGCATAGTATGTCATGTCTGGATTTCTCTCGATCCTTGTTATGACCTCAGCAATGAGCTCAGGGCAGACCAAAACCTCTAGATATGCTTTCTGGTACACAAAGCCGTTCTTTGGTCCCCAGCCGTGAATAAGATCCGAGCTTTTAACGCCATCTACAGCAGGCTGTGAGTTGATCGTTAATATTCCCCTTCGATTCAGGTCCACAAGATCGTTGCGTATGCAATTGGCTTCCGCAGTAATAGGAGCTTCGCTCCATGGCAGAGACTCCAACTTTCCAAGGACATAGTTTGCAAAGATATCTGCAATGTCCTTCACACTGCGAGGCTCACCCCATATCTTGCGATAGTGTTCGCTGCTACCCTTCAAACCAATGCCATATGCATCCAAGCTACCAAAAGCAGGAGAGCGCGCATCACCCCAACGCCCGTTGGGAAATTCGTCCCAGTCTTGTGTTCGTGACACATATGAGCGTGCCCGATTGCGCCAGAAGATTGGTCGCACGTTTTCTTCCTTGCGCTTGAGACCGAGCGATTGTCTCCAGGGGAGGGGCTTCTGCAAGGGTGATTCAACGTCTGGCAGAAGGTTGAGATCTTCTAGAACCATTCTTGTTGCTTTTTCGAGGTTCATAGTGTAACTATTGTGTAAGTGTCAGCCACAGCGCCACAAGACCAAGCGAATCCTGAGTCATAGAAATACTTACAAATGCAAGTTGTGAATCTCTCCTGATGCAAGGAGCTTCCTGCACATGTCGGCCACAAGTCTCCTGCCCAACTCACGTACTTCAGCATCGTCGTTCTTGATGGGCTCCATAGCCTCAAGCCAGCTGGGTGGAACATGGCAACGCATTGGGCCATTGGCTCGACGGATGAATGAAGCGTACGTGCTTATGGGCATGATTCCTGGGACGATCGGGACCTTGATTCCCTTCTTCCTGCATTTTTTCACCCATTCAAGAAACAAGTCGGCATCGTAGAACATCTGAGTCACTACGAACGTTGCGCCCTCATCAATCTTCTCCTTGAGATGGTCAACCAGCTCATCAACATTTTCGTTGTCGTCACAGCGCTCAGAGTAGCCGGCAACCCCAATGTCAAAATAGTCCCCATACTGCTGCCTGATGTACCGCACGAGATCCTTCGCATACCGGAACCCGCCGCTCGTCGCTTCCCACTTCTCTTTTTCTCTAGGCGGATCGCCTCTCAGTGCCAATATATTTGTACAACCTGCATCATGCGCCTGCTTGAGTGCTTCATCGATCTTACTTTTGGGCATATCGGTGCAGGTCAAATGCATACATGTCTCTAGCCCGATAGCTGTCTGCGCCGTTTTGACCATCTCGCACGTTAGGTGTGCAGACCTTCCTCCTGCCCCCCAAGTGATGTCGATGTAACAGGGTCCGTAGCTGTGCATGCGATCCATACGGTCATATAAGTTCTGAATGCCCTGCGCCGTCTTTGGAGGGAAAAATTCAAAAGAGAAAGACGTCTTGCCAGAGGACTCCGCCTCACGGAGATGCTGAGAGATGTGCATCGTGCTTGTTTGATGATCGGCGTATGCGCTTTATAATCGTAAATTCAGCGAGCGTATATGTCTCCAGATATCCGCGCGTCCTCTCGAAATTATTTCCCTAATTAGTTCTTAGTTAGTAGCCAAACTCGGATCAACACATGTTGAGAGACCTGCTCAAACTTTCTCTACCCAGTGTGTCAGCCCCTCCTCTTAAATCTTGTCCTTGTATGCTATCCGATGTATCGAATGCGAGCCCAACGATCGGCTAGGTCTCGCTGCATGGGCACTGGTCTTCAATTGTGCGTGTTTCTGCGTATAGAAGAAGTATGGCTCTGACGGTGAGAAATTGTATGAGAAATCGAACACTCAAGAATGATTGTTAGCTGCAGCATCACCGATATCGGCCACCACCGTAGGTCCCGACGTCCTGAGGCTCCGGTATAACCAGCAAATTCGTCGCGATTCAAGCTGATGAAATAGAAAGCTTTGGGATACCGCGGTGATTTTTCCTGAACAAAGGCCTCGTTTGCCTGTGTTGCTGGTCAAATGACTACAAGACAGCAATCCTTTCGTTTGAACGTCTGACCTGGCTATGTTGCTGAATCCTCAAAATGCGGATCCCATACTCAGCTGTTTGCTGCCACTATGTTGTTCTTTGAAACGGGAGCGACAGCTTGAACATGTCTATAGAATCCCGTATCATCCAACCAGTAGATTATCTTTGCTAGAGGCGAACAGCTCACAATCCTGCATGGAAACTGTGTTCATGTCTTTTCGCCCACCTGCCGTCCCCGCTCTCATTGAAACATTTACAATCCATGCACGCCACAAAAAGCAATGATAGCAAACCAGCCCGCTCTAGGGACAATCAATTATTCGCAAATACGGCAAACGACTAACCTTGAAAACTGCAGTCCATAGAATCATTTGGCTATACAAGTTTGCCGGAGAAACTCGAATGCTGGGCTCGTGGAGGAAGCCAACAATCATCTGAAGTTTTTCCTTTGGATATGAGCTACGTAAACGGGCTACAGGGTATGACGGCGCGAGTGTGGGATTGCAGTTTGAGAGAGCCTAAGTCTTTCGAGTACCGGCTGACTGAGGCATTATTTGCGTGATCGTCCCTTTTGTCCTGCCGAAGTCACCCCTACGTGACCACTCTTGGCCCTGCTGAACTTGCATAACAGGAATTCGACTCGAGATATGATTCTCTTATGCGTCAGCACCTGTTGCATTTGTATACGCGCTCTTCCGCGGCATCCTCGTGCTGGGGCCTGTTCGGCCAAGAGCAGCACTGCTTTGGATGTTTCACACTGTTGCCACAGTGCCCAGAGGATGTTGATCGTAGTGCGGCAGTGAGTCCTCGCAGATGGCTGATGGATCAGCTGAGAAAACTCGAAACCAGAGGCTCACTGCAAATGTTCGTCCTGTGTATTGCTGCACTTGCAGTCGCTCTCATTTGAGGGCGAGCTTGTCCAGGATAGGCTGAAATCTAGTCCAACAAACTGCAGAGGCTCTGGTGTTTGCTCATCAGTCGCTTTTTGGTACTAAGGAAGTGCTTGCAAACGAAATTTTGTTTTAATATCATCGTATATCTGTGGAGCCGTGAAAAGAAGGCAAGCTGTTCTGATTGTTCTCGTATCATGGCTTCATTGCTGTCAGCGACCAAGTTTATCACTTTCAAGCTTTTGACAATCGATATCGCTTCCAGATACTGCAAGCTCTAGTTTAGTCCAAGTTATTGGCGACTATATAAAAATTCGTAGGGTTCGATTCAGCTTGAATTCCTAAGAGTGGTCCGATCGATTGTTTCAGATCGGCTGTTTAACTCGTCAGCTTTAATACCAGGCTTCTTGTGCTCATGGGCTGGCTTTTCATGTTGAATATCTTTCTAGACTCCCAAACTTTCTGTCATTATTTCTATGCTCTCGCTAATTTGTATTAGCGACTGCTTAGCTTTGAAATGATTATAAAATGTTGATGCAGCGAGGACATCTTGAACAGGCTTCATGTCTTCTAACGGCATCTTCGTCATTTATAGTTCTCATAGGGCTATAGTTTTTAAATTTTTTCCTCTATTCATTAGACAGCATGGACCCAGTGCACGAGATATACAGTCCGAAAGTGGCCAAAAGAACCAAATTAATACATGGAGTCGTGAAAGTTCCGTGCTCTTCGTTCACCTTCGACCTCTGTCATGTTTATGGGTGAAATGGAGGACCAGCACATCACCAAATATGGTACAAACTTTGAATAAAGATCGCCAACGAAGCCAAATCGAGCTGGAGGCAATCCATGGGAAATGCGTGGTACCTTTTTTCTCTCCTTGACCTTTTGATCAAGGGTCTGACCTCTTGCACGTGATGAAGGGATATGCGATGGCGTCCAAATTTCAAAGGCTCCGTTTTACATACAAGCTTCCTTCGTTAACTCTGACCGTATAGATTGGATAGCAAAAAGGAGAATGACGTTTTAATCTGGCTTCTCCGTCGTGCGTATACAGCGATGCTCAGGTATCTCTCCACAACAGGCGTGCTTTGAAGCCTGGCTTGATTCCACCAAAAAGTGGGACACATTGAACTAGGCATAAGTTCGATGGCAATTTACCAAACCGTTGTGAACGGCCCAGTTGCAGGTGTCGGACTTCGAAACAACTCTCCCCGAGCATGGAGCTCACGGATGAACGGATCCAAGCAAGCGCGAGACTAGTAACTACACCTCCGAAACCGGCAACGCAGAAGAGCTTGTTAACCGAACCGTCCACTCTGAATCCTTGCAAGAGCTATTGCAAGTTACTTAAGCGGAGCCTTGCTGAGTCAAATGACGGGACGCCAGCGTCTGTTGTGCATTGCATGTTCTGAGGTTCTTCCAGCGGGGTTGGCGTACATGAATACGAGCGAGCAACGAGCAGAAGGCAGCAGCTCCCTTCTTTTGGATGTTGGGATGCAAGGTCTATCGCGATCCCATCAGAATAGAGCTTGCCCGTCTGATGGACGAAAACGGTGGTGTTATTCCAAGCCATTCCTAACGGTCTTGGTCCGCTGTGCTGCAACGTCAACGATTACGACTCCGTCCGGCTGAACGGCCAAGGGAGGACTGATCTCGTATGACTTCTGCTAACATTGCACTCCTCGATGGGCATCATTGCAGGAGCTAGAGTTACGGCGAGGGAATGTGATTGATCCGTGTTCTTTGCGTTCGGCACCCTGGACGGCGGGGTTAACGTTCGATTTTTTGATTTTTTTTGTTGCGATCGCAAGCCTTTCCCAAAACCGCGGGACTAGATTTTGCGAGAGATTTTTTTGCGGTTCAAAATTTGCTTCGGCGCTTGTTGAATAGCCCTTGGCGGTGATTGAGTGCTTTTTTGGCAATCCTGTTGACGCCCATGGCACGAAGGTACCTGTTACGAATTGCCATGACACCGAACCCGCATTGAGAGAATTACCTCGAGGCGCACGGAGCTTTCAGTCCCTCAACATGCTCTTTTTCTTACCTTGAAAATGATATCGCTTCAAAGATCGTTCCGTTCACATGTCTCTCGTTTCAGCTCTTCAGTGCCCGCAAATAGCTTCCATGCTAGCGTCGGTCAAGTTTTGTTCCAGCCGCCGAAGGACACGACTTTGATAGCCAACATGTCCTAATCAAGGCACTGCTTTGTGCCATGCAATGCACACTCGCTACCAGACTTTATCCTGATTCCTTCAATACGAGACAAGGAATTCAAGAGACTCTTGTACGGCAACGTTACCTGATTTGTTAGTCATCATTTTCCCTACATAGTTCAGTGAATATCGTTTTGCAGTCTGGAAGCGAAGGCTATCCTCTTAGTGTGCTGACCCTCATCCCACCTCCTTGACCACTCCTCCCACCTCATCGCAGTTCCCAGCAAAGCGGCTGTCCTATCAACGACCTTATTTTCCCAACAACAAACACCACTCTACACGCTTCGCACATTTCCTTGTTTGCGGGCCTTGAAAGTTGACATCCTGTGTCTCTCACCTTTAGCCCTTGCAGTGCAGGATGCGTCTCATATTGCGATTATGACAGAAATGTGAGGTAAAGGGAAAATTTTTTCATTATCGTGGTCGCTATCGACGATTGCGGCAGTATCACTGGCAGACCTTGCGTTTTTTCAAAGTCGTACTGTCTTGAAAATGTCAACAAAACCCTGCGTTTGCGCAAAAATGCTCCGAGAAATTGTTGGAAAGCTTCCCAGATGAGTCTGTTAAGCGAATGGACTTTCGTGTTTCTTTTCAGGTGTCCCAAATGTTCTGAGCAAAGATGGGCACGTTTGTCCGGCATGGATTTGCATAGCTTCGATCTCTTTTATTCGCTTGCATGCACAGAAGGCAGCATGGAAGGGGCTTGGAACATGAACGACTGCAACTGCGATTCAAGGCGCCCGTATTCATTCGTGGAATTCGCATAGAGTGGGGGTCTTCGATTTCCTTACATGCAAATGGACATGCAGTCAGGCTTTCTGCTCTTGAAACTATCCGTACTGGCTAATGCACGTTTAACATGAGGGCTGAGCCAGAGATTTAGGCTCCCTGTTGCCTGCTGCATGCAATATGTTGGCTTTTGCCAGCTCCTGTTTTGGGAAAAGGTTGATTCAAAAGTCGCGGGCTAAGATACGGGCGTAAAAGAAAATGTCGAAAAGTGTGATCATTTCAGATATTTGAGTTGATATTGCATTTGAGGCCGAGTAAAGCTCGGGATGAGCACCCAGAAGGTTGCTATGCTATCAATGATTCATTCTGTCAGGCGGAAGAAGGCGGGTTTGATTAGCCGTGAGGCGAGGCTACTAGCCACAATTGTCGAATATCGATCGAGCAATGCAACTTTCACCTATGATCCGTGTGCCATGGTCGCAATTGGGTCGTGAAATCGTCATCAGGATGGCTCGTCAACCCGCTGGTGGACGGCAGCATTAAAGTCAAATTATCCACCGAAGATCGCCGATCGTATGCTTTGAACGCTGGAAAAAAAAAGTTGGTACATGGCACATATACATTTCATCACAATTTATCCTCGCTCTCGGCCTTAAGCCTAAGCTCCCCATGCAGTATCGTCAGAAACTTGCGTAGTGTTTCTGCACTTCGACCGCCGCCCTCAACTTCTTCCTTCTGCGTGAGGATTTCGAGGGTCTTCTGCAGCTTCTCGTATGCGGCAGTAAGCTCTGAGTGGGACGTCTCAAGACTTTGGTATTTTACCGTAAGTTCGGCCAGCTTCTGCTCCAGATCGCGAGCATGCTTTTCTTTTCGCTCGCGGAAGGCACGTTGAGCAGCGCGGTTCTGGGCCCTTCTCCGCTTGACGTAAATTCTTAGCATTGATTGCTGCTTTTGTGACGGAAGGCCACTTACTCCGCTGGTCGCATGTGTTTTCTCGGCGGGTGGGTGGGGCAGGGGATGGGCGAGGGTTGAGCGCGGGCTGTACAACGGACCATCCTCAGGTGATCCAAAATCGCTCGGCGTCAGTGGTATCGGATAGTTGAAGCTCAGGTCATCAGGAATAGGGCTGAAGGCTGAATTGTAAAGCGGCGGGGGATAAAGATCTAACTCCGATATTGTCTGGGTCGGCTGGTTAGAATTGCCTGATAAAGCGAAAGGGCTGACACTTACGGGGGATGCGCTTATACTCGAACTCGAGGACATGTCGTATGTATCGTAGAGATGGCTGCTATGAGAGAAGGAATTTGATGGCGGCCAGAATTCCATACTGATATTCTCCCTTGCTATTTACGGGGAGGCTGGGTAAAGCTCGCACTTGTGCAGATGGATGTGGATGGACCGTGTACAGATTTACGTCTTGACGTGGATGAAGCTTGGGGTAGGATAAGGGTATAGGACTGAAACGTAGCGAAGAGGTTCTTGTCGTTGGAGATTGTTGTGATCACGAAGTCTCAAAGTTGACCGTTGATCGGGGACGGAGATAGCTGTCTTATACAGCTTGTCGAAGCCGAAAGAGCGGACGTGTGCGATATGCATGTGGACAGTGCAGAACTGAAGAACCTGACCACCACCATCGTGGCGGCGGTGCCGCTCCCTAGCTTGCTAATCTTGGGTGCTGGTGGTGACCAATCCAGGGTCATGGTGTATACCAGTGTTGTGAGCGGCTTCGGTGTCCGGGCTATTTGAAGTTTCCAAGGACTCGACACCAGAAAGAGTAATCGAGGAGATCCCCACCAAGGAAAGGCGCCTATGGCATTGCAGAGACAGCGTGGTTGATTGTCGATTCATCCGCCAACGGAGCGATCCCTCCGCTCGCTCTCTGCCGTCAACGCCCTGCAGCGGGCCAAGACACGTTTGGACTAGCAATTGCACCAGCTCCAGGTGGCGGCTTATGAAATGCATGCAAGATGAGTCAACTTGCGTTGAATTTGACCAGGACCGTTGACGATCTTTCTCGAAGCTTGGAAGCTATGCAAGAGAAGATAGTTACGAGTCTTTCACTGGCTTGTCTGCTCGTCCGTTTGATCCTTTGTTGACACCCCCACATAGCTTCTTCGCATTAGTACGAAGTACAGACAGGACATGAGATGCAGAACCCCTTGGACGCGTGAAAGCGTCAACTACTGGAAGACCCAACAGGACTGCACTTGGGTGACATCATTTTATGTTACTGCTACTTCAGTGCGCACTCATTCGGGCTTCGTAAAAGTCCGTCGCAGTCCGGTGAAAAGGCTGTGCTGTTCCTCCACGATGAGAAGCCATTGGTCGTTTAATAGCCTCCTGCGGAATTCAGCGGTCGCTACATCAATTGACAACTCCGCGGCACTTTCTACATTAACGCTCCTTGCAAGCATGTACTCAATATCAAGCCTTCATCAGGCCGCCAAGCTTTGGAGTTAGTCTTGCACTGCGCCATCGGGCACGTTTGGGCTGGCGCGTGGGCACCATGCCATTCAACTCACAACTTCCACCAATCTCTTTCTTACGCGACATTGCTATGCAAGCAAGCGTAAGGATTGGCAGCAGCGGTGCTAGCAAAACCCTTCCTGTAATATTGAACTGGAGTTCAAAACGAGCGTCTTATTTCAACCATGGTTTCATGGGCAGTCGTCTATATTGAAATGGGTTTCATTCATCGACTGGCAGTTCTATAACAGCACTCTTCCGTCGCCAGTTCAACATTCAGCCGCATTGAAGAATGCGCTCTGGCGGTTTAGCCAGGCTAGAGCCCAATAACAAGCTTGCTTTTTCCTGTCGATTTTTCACGAATCTCGCTCACCAATTCTGTCCTTGAGCTGGAGTACATCACAAAGGAATCATTGTAACATCAAAGAAGCTTACAAACTATGAACTTTGTTAAGATAAAGTGTAGTATTTGCTATCCACCCGTTTCAAAAGAGCTCTATTGCAAAACTTCGATCGCGGATCGTATTGCCGTTTGCGGTCTCAGATTGGCAGGTAGATTGGCGATCGGCATGGCATTTTGATTAATGTGCTTTATTGGCCTGCACAATGGCCAGCAATGAAGAATCCTTGATGGCTGAAATATTCCCCGTCCCTGCAAATACCCGCCTATCTCGATGGGATTCCTCAAGGGGACTCATGCTTGTTATCTCGTCTGTCAGGCAAACAAGCACAACGTGTCCCTCGTGCGCGTCTAGTCGGAGCCGAAGAAGCGGTGAACTTTTGAGATCTGTAGTCATATCCAGATCGAGATCCTCACAATTCTGCATTCTCCTAAGGATCCAACGCCTTTTGCTTCTCATGGTTGCACCGTTGGAGGAGCGGTAAGAGTACATCGCAACAGCAGACTATACACATCGGCTGCCAACGTTCGAGACTGCAGCGACAGCGAAGCCTACGAAGACCTTAAATATGAATGCATTGCAATCTCCAAGAGGCTGGGCATGCGGCTTCCAAAGCTTACTGACCGGCAGAAACGTTGTCCAATGCACATGCATGTCCCGGAAGTGTCCGCTGGCATCGAGCTAAAATTCGTCAACCCCTTCAAGACCAAATCCAGATGAATAATCAGCCTTATTTTTTTAAGCAAGTCGATGAATTAGTCATTTCTCTGTCCGCTGCAGCAGCAACCGATCAACAATCCATGGGGGTCTCGGCCGGAACATGGCGTTAAGACAATATGAAACGAGAATCATGGAGCAAGAACCACCTTCTCCGCGTCGAGTGGCAAAACGTTACTCGGATTAAAGAGGTGCGATTTCCACTACTTGATTTTTACAATTTCATTCATCTTTGGCCATTCTGTCTCCAAAGCGATACATTCCGAATGCACGCCGTATAGCACTCACATACGTCCCCTCCGATGACGTCCTCAGCAGATATGATCACATCCAGATTCCCAACTCCAGTCTTTGGCATTGAGCCCCTCGGTACCCGATTGGCCCGTATAGTATTTCTCAATATGTGTTCTGTTTGGTATATCCTATCCCCGATGTCCGAACAGATACGATGCATTGTACGATATCGGATCCGAGATATCATCCCCAGCACTTCCGCTTCTTCATTCCATGTCACTTGTTGGACAAGCCCCGGACAGCTGTGTGCCCGCAACGCACCCAAGTCTCTGATGCGCAGGACAAGGCTTGTTTTCTTCGCGTGACATAGCGCGCTAAGTTATCTTGCAACGAAGCTTATGTAAACAGGCGCTTTCAAGCGAGGCCCCCCACGGAACTATATCTGGATCTATACCTCTATATACCCCCAATGACGCATTTTTAGCCCTGTCAAGTTATTCAAGTTTGAATAAGTCCATGCCCAACTCGATCTGGCCTAGTCGTTTACATTGATCAACGCTAGCTCCAGTGGGGGTCTCCCTTTGATGAACGCACTTACGTTCCTCATAACACGAAAATATCCAATTCAGCACTGACAATTCGATCACTTCCATGTATAAGATAACATAAAGACCCATGAACTCCTCACTGACTTCAAAATTGCACGGCTTCTCGAAAGCTGCCGTCTACTGTCCATTAGAGACTAAATAAGTGCATATGCTCGAACCTCTTTTCAGAGTGTGCATTGATCTCCTGGTTTGCGGCGCCCATACCAATCTGTATGTTGGATGCGTAATTGCTGTGCATAAAACTTTGCATAAGACTGAATGATATTCCAAACACCCAATCGCATATATACAGCTATCGCATACACGCGTATATGATGATAGTTTTGAGGCAATAGTTGCTGAATCAGCAAGATGAATTGATTGTTCATCGCCGTCATATTGATGCTTCAGCACATATTCCATGCGAATTAGTCGTCGTTTTGACGCGGCATACTCAGTACAAACCTTCGACAAGGGCCTTGACCTTGTCGTAAAGTATGCCGGAAGTTTGCCCACCCGTTGCCCTCTCGACAATAATGGAAACCTGGTCTCGACCGACACCCTTCTCAGTCAATGTTGTTTTCAGGCCGAGATCATGTACCAGTTTGAGAATCATGTTCCCCACCATTTCCGCATCTAGGCGATCGTTACCTGTTCGTGAGCCACCAATAAATGGGACTATCCTACTTATTGCCGCCGCCGAAGCCGGGTCTTCTGCCTTTAATTTGACGACATGGCCAAGTGTAAGGCAGCTTGTGACACCGTGTGGAATCTGATAGGGTGAACCCAAGGCGTAGCCTAATTAGCGTTAGTATTTGAACATTTGTAGCTCAGCTGATACAAACCTAAGGTGTGCGATAGGCCAAGTCCGCCCTTGAGATTAAGACCAAGAAAACCCAGTGATGCAAATGCGGCGAGTTGCAAGTTCGTTATGACATTGAGATCCGTGGGATCTTTCTTATACCGTGGCATGTAACTGCCTGAGAGATTAGATCATCTTCACGCATATTGAAATCTCGATATGCTCGCCCGCTGTTGAGCCAGACAGCATGAGAAAAAACCTACACAAATAGATTGCTAACAGCCTGCAAGTTCATCATGTGAGAGAGTTCTGTAGCAGTCGGATGGTACATGCTTTCAACAGCATGATCCATGGCCCTCATTCCGGTTGATAGCCAAAGGTAGGGTGGTGTTTTAAGGGCAAAAGTGGCATCATAGATTATAACGTGAGGAGCGAGCTCTGGATCTCCCACCCCTGTCTTCACGCCTTTCTCATTTGTATATCCGCCAAATGATGTGCACTCGGCGGCACTGAGCGTCGTCGGTATTGTAATGTGGTAAAATGGCTTCCGCCCTTTTTCCTTGTTCCTGTATGAGATAACTTTCGCGCTGTCGATTGGCGATCCGCCTCCAATGGAAATGATGGTATCTATGGAACCATCGTTTTGTGCAAGATCGGCAGCTTGGTCTAGATCCGCTACAGGTGCGTGTTGCCCGATTCTTGAGAAGGTCGCGGCGTGGTGGTCTCCAAGAAGCTTTTCAACGTCGGAGATGAGGGACGTTTTCGAAGCCAACGAACTTCCAGTTATGATCAAGGCTTTGGATGTCTCCGAAGGTAGGCATGATCTCAAATACTTGGCAACACTATTGGGCCCATAGTAAAGAGCTTTTAAGTGTGTTGGCTTCCAGAGGCCACTCAACGGCTGGACTGTTGCTTCAGTCATGATGTACCAAGGTGATCGAAATTTGACGTTGCCACAGCTAAGTCAGTTCGACTTCTTTCTCGTTCACCCTTTTCTACGGTCCGAGGTAAAGCAGCGAGAGGCGGACTTTGATGTTTTGTTCTCAATCGAGACCACTAATAGGGCGTGTTTCCGGCAGCTGACGATGTTAAGTTTGCGAAATCCAGGACACTCAAAATTATGGACTAAGGTTTAGAAATAATGGTGGCATATTGACGTTCAAGTATCTGACTTGCTTCGCAGCCTCTATTGACGCAATGAACTGATTAGCAATGCGGGGTATGCACTAAAGATACTGTTCCGTAAATTCCGCGACCACACCCAGCTAGGGAATAACAATCTTAATTCGATCTCATGGCTTGGAATGTTCGCTGGATATATTTGATAATGAGTATGCTTTATCTTGAGAACTTGCAGCCTCGTCTTCTACTGTTTAGCCTGTCGGCTTCAGCCATGGCCAATCTGCTTTCTATGTAGTGTTACGAAGCATCTTTGAGATGAGAACACCAAATGGAGTGTTGATGTCGCAGACGAGACTTTGACTAAAGCAAGAAAACCAATTAAGAAAGAAAGATGCAAATCCTGTGGCAGGAGGTATACATTCTATGCATTCTCTGATTGGCCCTTTTCAGCAATGCACCGGACTTATCCTTGCGTTGGAGCTGCATCTGATATTACAGCGATAGAACAACTATTCAATATTGAATTAAACACAACCAATCCCACCCTAAAATAACCTCGTGGCTATTCCGGGTCTATTTGAGCCAATTTCGTCATACAATCCGCACAAGTTGACGTATTCGGACCTGTGATAGCTCTTATCATATAATACCAGACAAGAAAGTTAAGCGCAACGATACTCGAATTTCTCGACATCTCTAGTCAATTGCTAAAAGCTATGTAAGGTGACTTTCATATCCTGACCTTCTGCATGTTCAACATAGTTGGAAAGGCCACTCCAGCTGGGGCCAATCACACAGAATTCTGTGAGTTCGGCCACGCGCGTGCTCGATGAAAGGTCACAAGCTAGTCAAAGTCCTGAGAAGATGGTTAATTTTTTTTCGCGATCCCCCTGCATGTAAATGACTAGACCGTAGGTGAGCTTGCCAAGATAATGGCCTCTAGCCTTCGTATGTAGACTTCCAATGCCTCCAGCACGCTGCAAATCAGAATATCATTTTTTCACTCAGGAAGCGTCGGTGGAAACAGAACGCCGACACTTTCTAAGCTCTTCCAATCTCTCCAATGACCTTCCTCAAGTTCTCTAGATCATGAGCAAACCGTCCCAAGAATAACCCATCGACTGCTTCCGCGATTCTTTCGAAGGTGCCAGGTCCTGCGGAGCCACCGTAGAGGATTCGAGTGGTCCCTTTGCGGTTCTTGGTCATTTCTCTTAAGCCCTTTGCGACGTTGATGACGTGGTCCGGATCAGCTGGTTGAGACGCCCCGATAGCCCAGACCGGCTCATAAGCCAAGAGAATTTCAGCTTCATCAGGCACAGCCGACAGAGCAGACGCCACCTGCGGTTTGCACTCTGAGATCGCAATGCCTACCGCTTCGGATGCAACCTTACTGAACGTCTTTTCGCCTATGCAGATGAGCGGAATCATGCTGTGTCGGATAGCGGCTGCCGCCTTTTTTGCGACATGCTCGTCGGTCTCTCCAAAGATCCGTCGCCTTTCCGCGTGACCGATCTCGACGATCTTGACGCCAGCTTGCTGTAGAGTAACGGGAGAGATCTCTCCTGTGAACGCACCAGTGGCCTCCCAAAATACGTCCTGAGCGCCCAGCATCACATCCGTGCCTTTCAGCGTGTCATGGGCCGCAGCCAACGACACAAAGTCCGGAATGACGAATAAATCAACCCCATGCTCTTTTGCCTCGCGATCTAGGTCTGCGACGCCCTTGACGTATTGCGATGTTCGAGGCAAGTCAAAATACATCTTCAGACTGGTCCCAACAATCCGTCGTGGGCGATCGCGTGCGGCCATTTTTCGTTATTCGATCCCAATGAAAAAAAAAACGATAATCTATGCAGAAGAAGAAAAAGCCCATGAAAAGTTCAGACGAGCACTGGGCGTGCAGCTTAGGGAACTCGGCTGACCCAAAGAGGCAATCCGCAAACTCCGTTACTGGTAATTAGCTCCAACACAGATGGGCTTTAGAGCTTGCAACAACGCAGTTGAGATATCGTCAAATATCGGAATCTTACGGGGGGTCATCGCTGGGTTCGATTTTTATATGCACTGAGATATAGTTCTATGCGTTCACACTAAGTGACTGCCAGCCAATCTCGCGTCATCTAACTCTCGAACTGCTTCAACACACATTCCATTTCGCAACGCTCGAGAGATATATCCAGTTCGATGCAGCCAGAGTTGGGAAGACGCGGAAGCGCTACGATAGAGCCCAAGTTTCTGCTATAAGACCGACGAACGCAGTCCGACAGCCCTAAGCCAAGAGAATCGAAGTCAATCTTACCACAAACCAAACCAACTGATCCTCAGCTGTTGCAAGTTAGATCGCCGTCTTCGGGAGAGAAATCGAGTCTTATATTTTCTGGAGCCGTGTTCAGTTCCTCGATATGATGGCGTATAAAGGCGATGCGTTTCTTGACGAACGAACAATCCATAGCGCCAATCGCAGTACAGATGGCTTCGAGGACGAATGATAACACGTCTGGAACCACGGTCATATCTTCGTTCTCAGTCAAGTCCAGATTCTCGGACCAGCTTGTGTAATTGCCCGTCACGCAGTTTGCGATGAAGTTATCTGAGAGCCGGAGCGCGCCCTGCACGTTCTTTACAGTAGTACCAGCAATCCCGCGAGGACGTGTTTCTTGACCCATACGAGCCTAGTGTTCGCAAATGAAGAATGGCAGCAATCAGGAGCGGGAGCGCGCACCGAAATGGCGAATCTCGATTCTCGCCCATTCCACGAATTCGTTGGAGGCCGTCCGTCTTGAATTTAAACACTCGCACAATTGACGAAGGTTGGGAACGATCCGTTTTGCTTGGAGTCATACTTTCTGTGTCTCCCTGCTCACTATCGGTCGACATGAAGCTCTACTCTGGAAAATCTTCTTTTGTCATGACCTCCGGATCTACCATTGGGTGGAAGCTCTTGACTGCCAAAGGATGGAATCGCTCGTGCCATGGTTCAATTTCTTACCCAAATACAATACCTTTAATATGGCCCCAAAGCGAGATAGCATGTACATCGTGCCTCGGCCGTCTATGTAAACATGATGCCCCCACATCGCGATGATCAAGCCGCCTTTCGAGGAAATTGGCTTGAACCGCAAAACGCCAATGACTCTTTCTCCAAAGGAATCTTTGGTAGCCAATGCATATCTTCGTCACGAAGCGCACTCGTTGGAAAAGTATGATCTTTTAGGTCAGAGTATGACCTGTTGTGATACATCACATTGAACAGCCCGCTGTTGACGACGTCGAAAGCCGATTCAACATTAAGGTCGTATGAGAGTGCATGCCAAGTTCGCTTCGCTACCCTTCGTTTTAATATTCTACCAGCCAGGAAGGGCTATCGACTAATCAACGCATTTAAGCTCAGTCGCAAGCATTGTTCAACCTTTTCGCGAGCCTCCGAGCCGATGGCAAAAGCAAAGGAGGTATCGGATATATGACGATTCAACTGTTTGATCTAGTACTGAAAGGCTGATTGCCGTCATGTTTATCGGCGGATAGGAGCAGTGCACTTGCATAGGTACGCTTTCTAAATTTCAATCTGCATCCCAACGTGGTGCTTATAAGTGCTCCGGCCCGTGAACTAAAGAGTGCCATGGCCGGAAATCTGGCGGGATCGATGACTGTACCAAATTTTGCGCACATCTACCAATTTCGGAATTTGATAACCGAAGCCATACAATCCTTCATGACCTATTATTAAACTGCTAGATCAGTAGTGTCATCTAGCCTAGAAGAACGCGTATACGACCCAGAACCGTTCATGAACAATTTGAAAACCAGGGTTTGCATGGGCAAAGAGAAATAGAAAAGACAATACGAGTGCCCGAGAAAATGACGTTTAAGAGGCAACTTCGAAGATTGCTAAGTTTGTAGTAATTGCGTAGGGTCACGATTAGCCGCCGGGATGCATGACAGAAGCTATAAAAGCGTTTCGTCACTTGTACTCCTTGACTGAAAATCGATTGTTTCGCGATTTTTCTCAAGCAAATGAAAAGGTGGATTTATGTTTGACCTGGGTATATAACGCCAAATAAATGCACCAAACAAGTCCGATTTACCAGCGCTAGATCGCGAGCACCTCGAGCTGGGAGGACCAAGCAAATTGTGTATACCAGCTTGGACCAAAAAATTGTCTGTCACCAACAAATGCAGTCGGCATGAGATGCCTTATGCACGAGCCCGCTTTGGCGTCCCGGCTCTGAGCACGTCCGCACCGCTCTTGCCCATCTCAGCCATTGCCTCTTCGATCGTTCTCTTCTTGGTCTGAACAGCCTCGTGGCGCTTCAAGATCTCGGCCTCAAAGCCTTTTGCCAGCTCGCGACGCTTCTTTCTAGCATCTCTCATCTTGTTCAAGATGCTGCCGAACCGCTCCAGGAACCAGTCCCCTGCCTCCTCCCACTCTTCCAGCGAGAGAGACGACATGAACGCCTGTTTGGCCTCATCTGGCATAACCCGTGCAAGGTCAAGACGCTCGGCCACAGATTTAGAGGCGTCCTCCGCAGCGAACACGGATGGCGGTTGTGCTGGGTCTTCGTCGAAGGGCTGCTCCAGCAGCTTCTGATACGGCATTTTGGCTAGTTCAGCCGGGTCGTAATCTAAGGCAAATTCATGTCCGCCGCCTTGTTCCTGTTGGAATTGCTGGCCGTGCACCGCAGTAACCTCGGTGGGGGCCTTCGAGGAGTCACCTGTATTCGATCGCGCCTTGGCGCCAGTAGGCTGCCTTCTGGTCGGGGAACGATCATACAGAGCTCGGGAATCAGGCCGCTGATAGACATTTTGGGCGGGCGGAGGCATTTTGGTAGCTGGCGGGGTTGATATCCTATGTGGAAGCAGCTGCTGGCGCGCGGGAATCTCCATGCGGTGTGCTGCGCGTCCCTCGCCAGTGTCGAGGCGGCGAGGCTGGCTCTCTTGATGGCCGGTGAGATTTGGAGAGTGTCCATTCTGAAGGATCGATAGTTGATACGGCACTGTTCTCTGTACGGGAAGCTCCGGGCGCGCGAAGCTTACTGGTACATGGCCCGCATTTGCTGGTTTGGAATCTGGTTGATCGAATTCGTACTGGACATGGTCGAGTTCTTCCTCTTCCGGTCGACCCGAAGTCGTGGGCGGGTACGAGTCCCCAGGTTGCGGCTGATTGAAAAGATCGAGGTCAGATCGGCCTCGCCTAGAGAGAGAATTATAATAGTCCATGATCCTCTGCGCCGACGACCGATCCGGCCCTTGATCATTATCCTCCGCATCTTCGCTCTCCGAGGCTTCATCAGATGGACTTGAGTTTGCTTCTTCCTCTACAGACTGCTGATCATGGGCCGCAGGGTGCTCCGCAGGCCTTCCAAACGCGTCGAGGTGACTGTCGTCAACCTGTACTTGGCTCTTCACGCTTGTCACAGACGAGCCGTCGTAATCGGTTCCCGCAAAGACGTCTCGCGGAACTGGCTGTCCTGCCTTGGGTAAGCTTCTTCGGTCGTCAGCATGACGCTGCTGCCCCGTATTGGGAGCATTGGTCCTTTCAAAGCGTATCTTGATCCCGCGTGCCTCAACACGCTTCGCCCGTTCTGGATCGACCTGATGTTGCTGGGGCCCAGTGTGGCCTGACGCGCGGCTAGTCTGGTCGTTGACCCATTTGCTCAAATTGTTATTCAGTCTGTCCATGCTCATGAAGCCTCGGCGTCGTTGTCCACGCAAGGTTGTCGGACCGTCTTCGTACGTGTTTCCGGTTCAGCTTGGACGCCTTTTGGCTGACGCGCAATCAGGTGACTTGATTCACTCTCTCCGCCACGCCGATATCGGAAGTGCTCTTGGCTCCCTTATCGATAAGGCACGATCGTTTCCGATTCATCCAATCGTGCAACGCCAACCCTTGATGATCTCAGCTCGAGCGTGCCTCATCTCCCGATGATAGAGTAATCTTGCGGCTCAGTACGTCGGTGAGGTACGAGATGCGCAATTGCCAATTGCTATCCTCTACTTTTCAGAGTCGAAAGTGACCATGGGCGTGACGTATCACAACCTGTACGGTGGTCCTACTAAAGCACCAAGTTCGGCAACGAGCTCGTCCTTCGCTGTCGCCGATGCTGCTCACGGTCCCCGCAGCCATGAGACCACAGGTCCATGCCATCTGTACAGTCTTCCCAACGAACTCATCCTTCACGTGCTGTCTCAATTCAGCACATCCCAGCTTCTCCCTCTAGCGGGGGTATCGCACCGCATGCACGCGCTCGTCGCGCGGCTGTTCCACGCCCGGCTCTTGCAAGCGACGCGGTTCCCCCAAGGCGGCCTGATTCTTGAATGCTACCCGCCAAGCCAGAAGCTGACGGCGCCGGCGCTGGACTGCGCGTACACAGGAACGCCGGGCATCGAGGGCTGCCTTGACGACGATGCCGCCAGCGCCGTTGGCAAGCTCGCCGCCCTGCGCGACGTCTACTCGCGCTTCCGCCCGCGAAGGAGAGAGTCGCGCCGCTTTGGCACAACCGTGCCGGGTGACATCCCCGGCTCGAGGACGCACGCGGCGAGCGCGAACCTGGGCGCGGAGTCGGCGCACGCGCGGCGCCAGGCGCAGCGCGAAGAAGACAAGGTGAAGCAGATCCTGAGCCTCGAAGGCCACGAACGGTTCATCCAGCTGGAGGGCAACCTGCACCTGGTCAGGCGGCTGGGCTTCGTCCAGAACCTCGTGGCCGTGCACGAGGGCTACGTGCGCATCTGGCGGGACTGGCTGGGCCAGCGGGCGACGGCCGACGCCATTGCCCAGCTGGGCGAGGGCGACGTCGTCGAACTCCCGGAATTGGACGGCTCATCCTGTTGCGCGGGCCCGGTGTCGGTCGACGGTACCTCGAGCGAGGACTTGCGCGAGCACGAGGGCATCCTGTGGCTGGAGAGGACAAAGAACGTCGGCCTGCGCGTCAAGGTCCAGGAGAAGAAGTGGCGGAGGCACATGCCCATCCTCGTGCATGCCGACGACGAGGTTGCGGTCTCGTACGAGGTTGTCTACGAAGGTACGTCTCTCCTCCCTCCACCCCCGGGCCGCCGACCGCGTTCGCTGAGATCCTGCTCCCCGGTAATAGAACTCTTCGTTCGCACGGCTCATCTCGTCTTGACGCTGGAGAGAAGCGCACAGCAAGAAGACATGAACTCCGGCAAGGTCGTCGTCTTTGGCTCCTTTCGATGAGCGACGGATCGTTGCCTGTTTCACGAATGATGTGCTAAAAGGGCAAAGACTCTGTACATGCAGAAATGGTTTCACCGTGCAGCTCAAGCTTGTGATTTTCTTTTTTTTAAAGGCGCATTTTGGGTATGTTGAAAGGGCAGCATGGGCTCAATATAGAAACTTCTCTCAGATTGTAATGTCGCATTTCACTTCAGTTTTTTTTTTATTATGCTATTTGTTCTTTGATTTATAATTTTTAAATTTTTCTTTTTTTTTTCAAATATGCTTTATTCTCCGCAATGTAGCAATGTGATTTAAAATACATCACGTAGGACGGCACATTGTGTCTGGCAACACGTCAAAAGGTGACTATGGAACGGCGTAGCAAGTCAAGGACTTTCATAATCAGTCGTGTCATTCATCATCGTTACATCATTGTCTCTTCTGTCAAAAACAAGCAGACGGCAATGTTTGAAGAAAGCCCGCAATCGGCGTTTGTTCGTTACCCGTCATCATTAGGCGCGAGTCGTATCGGCACGAGTCGCACTGGTCCCCGTCGGTTGAGGACTCGTGGTTGCCGGCGTGCCCGTTTGCGTGACGTTGCCGGAGTCGATCGCGCGCGGGTCCCAGATGGGAAGGCCATCAGCAGGCTGAGACTCTTCTCCTGGGCGACCGCGTCCGTACTGGGCGAGGTTTCCGTTTATGCCAACGAGGGCCCAGGCGAAGACGGCGACCTCGCGGATGCTGTTCATGAAGTCTTGCGGGCTCGGGCCGCTCGGCGCCGGCATGGGCTGCACTTGTTGAGGGTGCATGCCATGATACCATCCCGCAAGTGCAGGACGAGGCTGTTCTGGGATGAAGACGGGCTCTGGCGCCCACGGTGCCGCGAAGATGCCGCGGGGATACTGGGCCGGCTGCGGTGCAGTCGCCACGGCGCGGCCCGTTTGCATCTGCTCGGGAAGGACGCCAGGCATGAGCGGGCGTGCGCGGCGAAGAATGACTACTAGGCCGTCGGAAGTGCATGATACGACAGCTTCAAGTTCTATCGGCTCGTTCCGATCGACGGGTGGTGAAGTCGGCGTTCTCTCCTGGCTGGATCCTGCGCCAGATGGCTGACTTGGTCCAGCTGAGCTCTCTGCCAACCCAGCCATGGTCCTGTCGCCGGCGGGCGCACTGGAACTTGAAGCGGAGCTGCCCCCCGCTGGCTGTGGAGCGGCCTCACTGAGACTGCCGCCACCGTCCTCATCCTCCGTCTCCGTCACATCCGTCATCTCCGCGTCCGTCTCGTTCTCAGACTCGCTCGAGGGTGGGACGTCGTCCTGGCGTGGGTCACGGAACCAGAAGCGCAAGTAAGCAATCGAATCATTACCTTTGGCGGTTTCAAGGCACTTGACGGCATCTTCGAGGCAGTTTTCTGCGATACAGTAGTAGAAGCTGCGGCCTTTCATGTCTTCTCCAGAGATGCCGATCACCTGCTCGATGCCGCTGGTGGCGTACATGATGGTGAGAGTGCGCGTAAAGCGGTTGAGAAACAGGGCAGCTCGTGGCTCGTGGGTCTCTTGCTCGACGTCTCGCTGGAACTTGGTCGACAAGTGGGAAAGCATGTGGTAGCGTGGATCCTTGGGCGAAGAAGCAAACAGACGACGCACAATGGGAGCCTCAGCAGCGCGCTCTACGGGGGAGAATTGTAAGTATCGGCCTGTGCTTTCGCGTTCACGACTCACTTTGGCTGGCTACACCTGGACGGTATACGCTGGTGCACACGACCATGACGTTGTACACGCAGGTGAAGCAGCACTCGCAGTTGATCCAGCGGCCATCGCGATGCGCCAGCAAGCAGTAGGCCAGAACGGCAGCCTTGTCGAGCTGGACGCCCTTGGAATGCAGATTCTTGGCGTCTTCGAGATCCGTCGGATGGAAAAAATCCCAGCAGGGTTTATTGACGACCTCGTCTGGGGTATGGCCAAGGATATCGACGATCGAATCGGACGAGTACAAGATCCTGGCCTCGGGCGACAGATCTGCGCACACTTAGAATCTACAGTGGAACGAGGAGGAATGGAAAGTGATTTTTGAGTCAAGCAGGCAAGAGAGAAGCCATCAAGATGGCAATCGAACGTTCGCAACCATACCGTGGATGGTGATGAAGGTAGTCTCCATTGTGACAACGCAGCTTCGAGAAAGTCGATTGGACGATACCAGGCATACAAACGAAGAACTAGACCAGATCAACGCAAGCACGATGAGGGACAAAAAAAAAAAGGCAACCACGCCGTACGGAGACCTAAAAGCCTCTTCTGGGAACAGACCGTGGAAGTGAAAAGGGACGTTGGCTATGTGAGAAGGGTCGTGAACGAGGGATCAAGACGGCGTGCGCAGGACGAGGCATGTATCTTTTATACGGCACAAGAATGGGTGCAGCAACTTGGCGGCGTGGTGGCGTCAAGCATGGATGTCGACGAGTGGAGCGCGGCTGCAGAGCGAGAGCATGCGAACGGCCCATCCCTCTAACGTGTGTCCCACAGGTTCTGGTGTAGAGCTGCGACGATCCGGAGCAGCACCAGAGCCCAGATGGCAGCAGATGCGCGGGAAGGACTCGAACGGAGGCAACCGTACCGTCAGCAGAACATGCAGCACATGCAGCGTCGGAGGCAGAGAAGGGTGATGACTGGAGCATGGGGAGCAGCATGGCGTGAGCAGCGAGAGGGGAGGACAAGTGCTGCTGATTATTCCAAAGGCAATGCTGAGCCTTTTTTTTTTTTCTTTTTTTTCCTTTTTTTCCCTTTTTTTTGTCACTGATCCAACGTCGGGCTGGCCTGGCGGAACGAAGACTGCGGGTTTGTTGCACACGCACAACTACGCGCAACCACTGTGCAGCCGGGACACGGCGCAGGACTGCCGGCGGGGGGAACCCGCCCATTGCCCGCGAGGGGAACCCGCCCCATTGCCGGCGATGCGTGCTCACAGAAGCGAAGAGCGCCCAGCAGCCGCCAATGGGGGCCAGGCTGGCCTCTGAGCTGCGTCTCCCCGCGGGTGCACAACGCAGGGCAACGCAGGCAAGACATGCGGGCCCAAAGAAAGTCCCGACGCTGGCCAGCAGAAGCGCCGCCTCGCGACCGCAAACGAGGACGCTGTCAAGTGACGCGCAGGACGCCTGCGCCCAGCTTCAGCGCATCCGGCTGCCTCATGCGTGCTCTTGGAATCGCCGGAGCGGAGCAGCACCACGCTGCTCAGCGCCCGTCCTTTGACCCAGCAGGGCCCAAGGCGCAGGAGCCAGACACCAATTGATCCGCCTGAAGAGCGGTGCGCCTCGAACGAGCTCTTCTCCTTGCTTCGATGATCGGTGCGAGCAGCCGTATCGGAGCATGAGCAATGACGTTGGCCTGCAGTAGCCCACAGCTCTGGCCCAGCCTGTTCTGACCCGTCCTCGAACCTCCCCAGCTCGCCCGTATCCCACACTCCTCTCCCCTGTGCATTCCGAGATCTCGATACAGCCAAGGCCTGTCCGGGACGACGGACATCCAGCTTGTTTTCTTCAAGCTTCCTGTCTAGCAAAAAAAAAAAAAAAAAAAAACTTCCGTAAAGCCCCCCGCTTTGCTTCGCGATTTGGCCTTGCATGCTTGCGAGGATCCACCTTGCTGTGTGAAGGCCTGTGAGTCCCAGCTGGCACACCCTTCAAGTGCTCTCGCCAACAAGCCTCTTGCTCATACTTTGACATTTCGTACTCGGACTGCCGGAGCCAAGCCCCGTGGTAGTTCTGCATCTGGCCAGGCATCTTCGGCAGGTAAAGAAGACGGCTCAGCTACCATTCTACGACGACGGCAACCTGCAGTTGAAAGAAAGAAAAAAGTCCAATGCCAAAGAAGAAAAACCCTCCGTGCTCGCCGCGTGCGAATTAGTGTCTGATCGACGATCAACTCTTAGCCTGCATTATCAGACCCTCTCACTTGGCCGTTCTTCTTACAGCATCGTGCATGAAAAGCGTGCATGTGCCTGGGAACCGATACCCACACGTCGTCCCTCCGCCGTGAATTTGACCTATCACGGAACAACCAAGGCCAAGCAGTTAGGTGGCCACAGTCATGCCACGGCCGAAGCAGAGGCCGGAAGCTCAGCCAGGTAGGCGAGTCATCTCGCCCTCGGCGTGCATGCAGATCACATTGCAAGTATGCTTCCTGTTGTGCTTAGTCACGGTAACCAGGCGCTAACGAATATCGGTTCAGAAGCATCAGTCGCAGAAAGACAGGTGGAAGCCGAGGGTGGAGCAGGTGAAGCGAAATCTCAGAAAGGCGGGCAAGCATGCGGACGCGAACGGGGTCGGCGTGCCCGGCGAAGACTGCGTCTACGATGTCAAGTTCTGCCCCTTCCTGCCACCGGATGCGCCGCCCATATTCGCATTCACGTCCGGTCAGAACGTCTTCGTCGCTCGCATCAACGGCGACGCGAAGCAGCCGTTCGAGGTGTTGGACGCCATCGAGGACGTCGACGAAGACCGCAACACCAAGACCTTGGGCACGGACAGCTATCAGTCTCACAACAGCCTGGCCTGGATGAGAGATCCCCAGTCGGATGATCCGCTCCTCCTCTTCTCTGGAACGGTCCCTAAGATTCACGTCTACAACGTGGCCAGGAAGGAACGCTTCAAGACCTTGACCGGCCATGGCAGCGGCATTCAGGACATCGTTCCACATCCGACCATCCCGTCCATTTTCGCAACCTGCTCGGACGACAACGAGGTGAGGCTGTGGAACTTGAGCTCCAAGTTCGAGGACTCGTGGTGTGCCGTCATCTGCCACGGTGAATTTGGCCACACCAGCACCGTGTACAGCATCTCATTCACCAAGAACGGTCGCTACCTGCTTTCGGGAGGCCGCGACACGTGGGTGCACTTGTGGGCTCTCCCAGACCGGAACGAACTCGTCCTCCTTCCCAAGGAGAAGGTCAAGAGTAAGCGTATCTACTATCCCCACTTTTCATCGGCGGATGTTCACGCAGACATTGTGGACTGCGTCCGCTTCTATGGCGACCTGATCTTCTCGCGCTCCGTCGGCTACAAGATTACGTGCTGGCGCATCGACGGCTTCTCTTCAGAAGACCCCATCCCCGACCCACCCACCAAACAAGTTCCCGGCAGGCGCACGCGCTCAGCTTTCGGCGCAGGCTTCACGGTCTTGTTCACCTTCAACCACATGGACGGTGACGCGATTCCTAACTACTGGCACCGGTTCAACATCTTCCCGGGCGTTGATGGCAAGCCGGTATTGGCGATGGGCGATCTGAGCGCGGCGAAGATCCATTTCTGGGACTTGGAAAAGCTCGAGCTAGACAGGGAAGCATCGGAGTTCACGGGCGACCCGCTGGAGGCGCTAGAGGCGGACGAGAAGCTGGTCCCCTTCCTTGACAAGAAGAACATCGGGCTGTACAGGTCGCTAGATTGGAGCCCAGATGGGAAATGGCTTGTTGCTGGCTACGATGGTGCGACCTTATTGATATGCTGGAAGTGAACTTTCTTGTTTACCAAAGAAAAAGGGTGCGAGAACGCCAAAATGGGGTGACGGGGTTTTGGAATGCCTTACTCCGTACTTCTCTCTGTATGGAGCAATTTTCCCGCACTGCGCAGCACGAAGGAGTAGGCGAGATTTCATGCATGTGACTGTCCCATTCATGCACTTGGGAGAACGAAGCAATGTTTTTGACTGCCCTCAGTAAATGGGAACAGAATAGGTATCCAAAATCGGGTTGACAAGTATTTCCTGTCTATTGCCTAAGCACAGACAATGTAGACAACATAGTGAATAAGTTGAGATCTGCAAAAGACGAGCAACATCATAGGTTTTGAGCGACTATTTCGTCATGCGCTTTCTTCCAAACATTCAAAATTCACAGAGATAACGGTATCCCTTGAGAGCGAATGCCATGGCGCCAAAACGCGAGAGAACGACCAATGACGCCAGCGTCACACAAAGGCAAAAGAAGAAAGTGAAAAGTGCTACCCCGCCGACCCGTCGTAGTCGCCGTCAGGCTGGCGAGGCGGTCGAGGCTGTTCCTTCAGGAGATATCGACGCTCTGTTGCGAATGAGCACAAAGACTCAACGTTCGATCACAAAGTCGGCTCCAAAGCGGAAGATGAGGGATATGTGTAAAGGAAAAAGATGGCTGATGCTGCCATGTTGAAACGAGAGAATGCTTGCAGGCCATCCACACCGCCGACGCAACCACCATCTCTCTCAGCTCCGGATGTGGGTGGACAGTCACTCCTTGCAGCCCGAGAAGGGAGCCAAATTGTCAACAACACAACCGTTGATCGGTCCACGTTTTGCAAAATCATGGAGACTCACAAGAAGCGGAACGTTAAAGTGACGCCGGAGACGAAGCTGAAGAAAGAACCGCGATCAGAAGGTCCGTCGGATCACAAACTTGCACAGAGCGTCGAACCCGATGCAGGCTGTCCACTTCGAAACAGCGGATGGTCTGACAGGCTCTCTCCGATGCTCAACGTCGAAAGTGCAGACGTCAATGCGGATGACCATCCACACACCGAAAGAACACAGTGGTTCAGAAATGTCCTGCAGTCTATCTCGAATTCAGACCAAAGCGTCCGCGCAGAATTGCTTCTTCTATGCCTCGGCCGCCGAAATCTTACGGTCCTGGCGCTGGGTACAAATGAGTAAGTAGTAGATTTCGTCTTGCCGATCTCGAATCTGGAAACAAGGAAGCTCCCCAAAACCCGAAGACCAATTTTTGAAGCCGTCGAGGATGTCCGACGCGACGAAGGCGGTTTGAACAGCCATCAAAATCTGGGACTTTCTCGGCTCCCCGAACCACGTCATGCGCTCGAGTCTTCGAGTTCTCTCACGCTGATGCGACAGAGAAGAAGAAGAAGAAGAAGAAGAAGAAGAAGAAGAAGAAGAAGAAGAAGAAGAAGAAGAAAGCATACAATCATTCGACGGGGACGGTGATACAAACCCCAGCAGATGCTTCTTCCGGATCGTCTGAGCCAAAGGAACGTGCTGAAAGTCAAGCAGGCGAAGAAACCTCCTCAGCATCTCCCGTGCAACCGATCGACAATAGGCTTAGCGGAGAACCATCAAAATCGAATCTTCTTATTGAGGGAGAACTTTTTGGAGATGGCGACGACTCACCTTCGGCCTTGGTCGAGTAGCAGCCTACTGTTTCCTTGTCGTCCCCTTATCCTGAAATTTCATCATCAGCACCAGTGAAGCAGGAGGAGCAACCGCTTGATCTCATGTCTCTCAGACCTGGAGATCGTCTTGAGGCTGCGAAGAAGGAGGTGGTCCGTCTATCCGGGCTAACTACGAAAGAGTACAAGTCTTCTCGGCATGGACCAAACAGGCTCAGAAGCAAGGCTCGCGAGATGATTGAGGCCGCTCAAGCGGAGGAGGAGAAAGAAGCAGACGAGTTCCTACAGGAGATGGGGTCCAGATCTCACGAGGTTCCTATTCAGAAGGAGGCTGTAAGCGTTGAGAAAGAGAAGGGAGTTGAAAGAAGAGCGATGTTGGACGAGAAGGAGTTGCAGAGTGAAGAGCATTCGGAGAGGACCGCGCGCAAAAAAAAGATACCGATCTCCATCCGAAGACAAACTGTTCAATCGATGGGGCTGTCTTCAGGAGGTCAGGCACGAAGGCGTACAGAAACTCGATAAAGAAGGCGGACCAGACTGTGAGGTCGCTCGTGGGCAAAACAGCGGGACTGGTCGAGCGTCTCTTCGGAGAGGCGCATCAAGAGGCCCAGACGAATCACGCAGCGCAAGACAAGTAAATGCAAAGCACCGACTCTCAGGAGACGTGTGGAAATACGCGGCAGCAAGCTCGACGTGTCCATCCGATCTACTCATGGCACGACTACAAGTGGCTTGTGGCGGAGACGAATGGTTGGTGAGTGGTCAGCATAGGGCATGCCGATGAGGAAAAAGGCAAGCATATGGGTGTCGTGTCTGTCAGGCCTAGAGTGGCGTGAGAAGCGCAATAGAAAAAAAAACACAGAGATAAGAACCATGACGATGGACTAGGCTGGCCGTCAAACGCCCGAGGTCATCGACGCTTATGGGATATGAGGAGGCCATATGGAACTGGTTCATGGCAATTCGATCTTTGTATGTTTGATCGTAAGAGGTCGTCATGCAGATAAGCTATGTAAAAAGTAGACGGAGAATAGTGGCTGAAAGAAACAGCAAACGTTGATGCTATCGTCATGAAGGTTTAAGGTTCAAAGAGCATGTGGCTCCTGCTCGTCGATCGCCGTGTGCGTCTCCTGATGATTCGCCAGCGGAGAGCTTTGGAATCCGCGTTGCGGGCTGACATGATGCGAATGAAGAGGCCCGCCGGTTGCGCCAGGCGTAGGCGTATAATGCCGCGGGACCGCCGACGGCTCCGGCGTCCGGGAGCAGCTCTCACGCGCGAGCGAAGGCGCACTCTCCAGCGTGTCCGTCCTCCGCAGCGAGACCGGTTCCGAGCCTCGAAAGGACAGCTCTGTGCAGCATGAGGTCCTCGCGGGGGTGAGGCGATACGCGACCGTGGATGGGTCGGCGGCGTCCGGGACGAACGCTCCACGCACGTCGGGGCCTTTGCTCGATGCGTCGTCGCTGCGCGGCGTCACTTCTTCCCGCACGTGGCTGACGCTGGAGGCGGCGATCACCGTGCTGCGAGGGGGGCGCTTCGGCACGCGGGGAAGCGTGACGCTGTAAACAATGTGCTCGTCGTCGCTCCACGCCTGGCTTTGGTATCTCTCCCAGGACCTGAGGGTGCGATCGTCGGCCTCGACCTGGAACTCGACAGGGAAGCTCCTCCACGCATCGCCCTTGATCCACGGGCCCTTGTAGTGATCCTTGGTGTTCCTCTCCTCGTCCGGCGGGTAAGGCAAGCTTCCTGTAAAGATATATTTGACGGTAGGATGGTCTCTCGTGACCGCCCGCGATTCGTCCAGTACGAGGAAGAACGGCTGGGCGATGAAGTCCCTCAGATTGTGAAACTCGAGCTGGATCCGCGACCGCATCCGCCACACCTTTCGTCGGAGCCGACACGCGAAATTGCCTCCCGGACGCTTCGCCTTCGTGGCGGGTTTCAAACGTCCTTCCTTGCGTCCGAAAGAAAGGTGCGAAAGTTGCAACTTGGCCACGGCAGCCGCTCCGAACACGAGCACAACGCCGGCCCACGGCAGCCACTGGCTTACGTCGTTGTATGTGGCCGCGTCGGGGATTAAGCGAAGCAGCCTCTCCTGCCATATGATGCTGAAGACAAAGGAGGGGAGGCACGCGAGGTAGACGAAGGCCGCGAAAAAGTAAAACGCAAGACCGACAGCTTGCGCGGCCCAGACGCGAAAGTCGTTGGGCTTCCACCGTCTCTTTTCGGGAGTCATTGCCCGAAAGTCTCCCAGCATTGTCCTGCTCACGAAAAATTTGAATATGGCATCCCTAATCTCTCCGGGCGACTGGCGGCCAAAGCAGATCACGAAGAAGAGCTCGAATGCCGCGACCGGTAACACGCCGTAGTAACCGACGTTGTTCAGTGTGAACTTCTGCCTCGTCCATCCTACGTGCTCGACGAAGCAAGTGTCCGAAATGGATCTGGGGCACTGCGTGAAACATGAAAAGTGGGTTCCCCCAAGGTCCGTCCACGTGAACTGATCGCAGCTCACTCTGGCGATGGCCAAGCCCGCATCTCTCAAGGGATTCTGCTGCTTCGGGTTGTAGCAGGGGGTGTCACAGTTATATCGCGTAATGAAGTGCTGGTCGATAAAGCCCAGGTTAGCAAACGCGGGGATTTGCTCCCTCGTGTTGCACGTCATGATGCTGCCATACGTGCGGGTCCACCCGTCGGAATATTGCGTCTCCTTGTCGCCGACGATGACCAGGACGTAACCGACTAAGATGATAAGAGCCCAGTATATAAGGATGGGGCGGCCATGGACGCGCGACAATGTGCGAGACCAATTGAGGAGAGGCAACGTCATCAGCAGGCCGGCTGCTAAAATGCTCATTATGGCTTCGTTGTCGTTGTCTCCTGCATTACTGTGAGGGCTCTGGATGTTGACGACAATGAACTGTGCCTATTCTCGTTAGTTGCGGTCTCACCAGTCACCTCATATGTGAGGAAAGATATTGCATATTCGATTCTAAACTGTCTAGTCACACTTTCCAGCCAAAAACCTTAACCCTGACTTTATGCTGTTCGCAAAAAGTCTATTGTCTACATGCAATATTTGTCCTCTTCCAGAGAGACGGGTTAGGGTTAGGGTTGATACATACTATGGCCTGGACAGCAGCACATCCTGAATAAATCGTTGCACTAGCCAGCGCTCCAAACACAAGCCATTTATGACGGGGAGCTATCAACGCGAACACAAGCAGGGCATAGTACAGCACCCGGTTCAGAAATGAATAGTTCCGACTGATAGGCAACTCACATGTTACAGGAATTGTCCAGTCCTCGTCCGAGTACGGCGCTACGGACGTGTTCAGATCGCGTTGGAGTCCGTAGTTGACCGCATTGGTGGCATACGTACTGAACGTTCCGTTCACATAGATGAGCGGAGCATAGCGGCTGCTTGAGCCGTTCAAGACAGTCGACTCGGTATTCACAAAGCCTGGGTAGGGCAAGCTGTAAGTTTCAAGAAAATCTCCTGGTTTGTCGATGATGGTGCCATTTCCAGTGGCTTCGAGAATGGTTGTATAGTCCCACTGCGCTGGCACAGTGACGGACCAAGTCTTGTTGTCGTTGTTGTACGTGGCCCGGGTCAAATTGAGGGCGAAGACATTTCGGAAGAGGTGTTGCAAAGAGAACAGAAGCACACAGGGCAAAGAATGGGTCTTCATTGTCTTCGATGCCTCAGCTAGTCAAAGCTGGGCCCGCCGCCAGCGTCGACAAGAAGCACACAGGAACAAAAGGAGAAGGAGGGAAGCGAGCGAGAGATGCGAGGAGCAGAAGATCAAAGGAATAAGAGTAAAGAAAACAGAAGATAACATTACGGTCACGAGCGCAAGACGAGCGAGTTGGTAATACTTGGACGGACCGGGGGCCAATTTGCTTGCTGGTCAACTGCAACATGATCCAAATTGACTTGTGCGTTCCGCTAGGACGGGGCCTGTAGACTATCGGTGTGTATTGCATTCATTGAAGTCGTCAGACAAGGGTGGGGAGATGAGAAGGATGATGAGGTACAAGCCATTCGCACACCTCATTTTCAAAGGGCATGCTACACAGGCAATGAGGCGAGAACTCAAGCATCGTCAGTCTCTGCGACGCGTCGTCCATGTTTCTGCTGCTGGCAAGGATCGAGCGAACAGACTGTGTCTGGCGAACAGGTGGCTTGGGATGCTCAGCGTCGAATGGCTTCGAGGAGAGTCTGAAGAAGAGAGAGAAAGCATGTGGAGAAAGTGCTGAAGTTGAAACTCGCTATGCGTGCACTAAGCTGCAAGAAAATAAGCTCCCGCTCGGGATCGGAAACGCCTTGGTGGTTGGCTGCCCAATGCTCAAGAAGACTCTTGTTTGCTGATCCGAATGTCCGCCTCCTTGTGTCAGCGTGCTTTTCTTAAGCAGGCTGCCGTCGTCCAAGGGGACTTGCTTCTGTTGTGACTTGCGCGCTGTTGCACGCCTCCTCAGACGCTTCCGTCGACGCCGTTCGATGCTGCAAAGATGGCGTTCGTGCCCACGGAACCGAAGTTGCCACTCAAGTTGCAACGTCATTGATGACTGTCATATGCAGGAACTGCCTTTGCAGCGGGGAAAGTCTTCGTAAGCTTTACGAGAGCTCATGCGTGAAATGTTGAACTTCCTATCGTCTGCCGGTTACTGATCATCACTCTTCTCCGTGATTGTTTCGTTGACGCTTTCTTCTGTAGTTGACGACCTGCGCTGTCTACACCGCCATGTCCGGCTTTTCGACGTCATACTTCTCAACCACCGAGTAGAGCCAGCCATACACTGCACAACGAGTCCACGAACTGACATTGCTTCTATAGTCTCCCAACGTTGGCCAGGCATCTTCTGACCCACGGGCCCCGCAAAGTCCTACCTACCCCACGTCGCGTCCGCGTCCTCTTCAACCGCGCATACATTGTAGACACCACCTCTGCGCTGCTCGTATGGGAACACGATGCGTTCCCTCAGTACTACATACCCAAGTCTGCACTGCGCAATTGTATCGTTGGGACAGAAGCGATTGTCAAATTGAGCGACGGGACCGCTGGAGGAGCGATCCTCAGTCTACGTGTGCCGGACGGAAAGGCCGCACCTGAACCGGCGCGCGCCACGGACAGAGTCATTTGCTTTTACGAAGATGAGAAAATAGCCGGCCGTCTCGCCGGACTCGTCCGACTAGAGTTTGGAAGTATGGATCAATGGTTCGAGGAGGACGCCCCCATCTATGTGCACCCCAAAGATCCCTTCAAAAGGATCGACATATTGCCCTCGTCCCGGCAAATTGTGGTCAAGCTTCTTGGGCACACGTTGGCGACAGCAAATCATGCACTTCACTTGTACGAAACCAGCCTGCCCGTGCGCTACTATCTACCCTTTGGCTCCATCGACACAAGCGTACTGAGGAAGAGCAATCTAGTGACGAAGTGTCCGTACAAGGGCGAGGCAGAGCATTTTCATGTGGTGCTTGATGGCGTGGAGCACAAGAATCTCGTGTGGTTGTATCGCATTCCAACCGCGGAGAGCGCGGCCATCGCCGGATCCCCGTGCTTCTACAACGAGAAGGTTGACATATACATTGACGGGGTCCTGCAAGAGAGGCCAAAGACACATTTTGCTTGAGTCTCTTCCTGGGCGTGAGTCTGACTCTCTAGAAGGGTTAGTGATGAACGTAGGGTTACTGGGTTGTTCACCGTGTGCATTCTCGATCAACTACAGAGTAGTATAAGCTTAGGCGACAGCGCACTTCCAGTGTTTACTTGCGTAATTCAGTCACCACTTAATTGTTTTACAAGTCCTGTGACAACGAAGTATCGCGTTGTTCCTGTCCTAACTACTTTTTCGCGTGTATCCGGTCCAGAACCGAGTGGGGCAGCATGACTCGATAGCGGGGTATGCCCCATCGTTATGCGCGTCTTATGTAGTGCTTTGTGGTTAAAGGTTTTGAACAGTCTCTGCGCGCCATGTAACTGGCAACCCCACATGATGAATGGTTGTAGCAAACAGATCTCGGATGTGGATTTCCGGTACGGGGAACCATGTTCGCCCAAGGGCAGGACGGGAATGCTCAACCGTCCAGAAAGGGAGCACCAGCTTCTTTTTAAAGTCCCAAGTATCTGGACGTTGTGACTTTAGCCATCACGGTACAATTTGACGCGCTTGGAAACACCGAAGATCTAGCACAGTCTATACTTTACTCTAGCTAGACTACTGACAAAGGAGTCGAGAATATCAGCACGTGACTGACTAATAAAGAACCACGTCAACATGGCACCCACTGGAACCATGAAGGCGGCTCAGTACGATGCCCGAGACAACAAGGTTCACATCAATGAGGTTCCCATACCAACACCAGGTCCAGGCAAGCTACTTGTTCAGATCAAGTCCGCCTCATTATGTCACTCCGACGTTATGATGTTCGAGCCCAACGACCAAGGTCTTATTCTGGGCAAGAATCCAGTGACTATGGGTCATGAAGCCGCTGGCATCGTCGTGGGACTGGGCGAGGGCGTCACAGACTTCAAAGAGGGCGACAAGGTTGGATTTCTGCCTGCGATAGACTGCTGCTTTGAATGCGAGCCATGTCGGAAAACGCACAACGCGTGGTGCAGGAAAGGGTGCATGATGCAAGGTTTTGGCGAGGACGGCTACTTCGCTGAGTACGCTGTTGTTGAGGCTAGGGGTTCGATGATTCTTCCAGACTCTATTGATATCAGCACAGCCGGTCCGCTTTTCTGCGCCGGTGTGACTGCGTTTCACGGCGTCGAGGACTGCGGCTTGAAGCCTGGTCAGTGGATGGCAATCATTGGCACAGGCGGTCTTGGACATTTGGGTATTCAGTACGCCAAAGCAATGGGCTACAAGGTCATTGGTATCGATCTATCAGACGATCAGCTGGAGGCCGCTAAGGCATGTGGTGCCGATCACATATTTAATCCCGTCAGCGACAAAGACTACGTGAAGAAGATCCTGGAGCTTACAGACGGAGGCGTAGACGCCGCAGTCAACTTCACGGCCAGCAAGAAGGCCTATGATGATATGCCACAGCTTATCAAGCCTGGCACTGGTATCTACATGGTTGTTGGTATTCCGCAACAGCCACTCACTATCAACGCCCTAGACATTGCGCTTGGCCGATTCAAGGTATACGGCTCGAACAACGGCAGTAAGTTCAACTTTGCCTGTCATTTCACTCTTAAACATTTTAACAAGGTTCGTTAGTGTCCTACAATATGCGGCCTGCCATCGAGTTCTCCGCAAAGCACAACATTAAACCACACGTGACATTCTTCAAGCTGGAGCAACTGCCAGAAATGATCGAGATCATGCATGCCGGCAAGACCAAGGGACGACTCGCTGTTAAATTTGACTAAGAAATTCCAATGAACAGAAACATAAAAAGAACTGAATGAATTCATCAGTTCTTTTTTGCTTTGGATACGCACCACCCGGCGTGTGTATGGATATCTATAAGTAGCCTAGGAATATACCTCAAGCGCAATCAATCAAACAAATGAGCCTTTCTCGAGTTCTATATGCTTATATACGCTCCACGAATCTTGCGATAAACAAGTCACACTTGGGTTTGGACCTTCGTTTGTCAGTTGAGCTCCATGCTAACCAGAAATTTGATCAATGCAAGTTCTATAAGACTACCCGGAGGACTAGGGACACGATTAAAAATCCCTCATGAGCTGGCGGCAGCTGATCTTGTCACACGTAAGTGCGGGTTCTACATATAGTTGCGAAGGTGGTCGTTTGGTCGAGACGAGAGGATTGGGCTTTGTAGTCGACCGTGTTCGATACGCGTCGAATAGTTTCGAAGCTGCTCTTCTGGCGTGATTCAGGCCCAAGAAAAATGATTGCTTTTCATCCTGAAGTAGCTGCTTGATGGTGAACAGAGCTAGCCCGACAATGGTCGGTCTAAAACGACAGCCTCTGTTTGTAGATAGCGCTGTTGGTTGTTCCAAATGAGTCCGTTCAATTTTTAGACCTTTTGCAGATCTCCACATTGATTTTGAAGTGTACGTCATGTTTCGATACTCCATTCTCTTATCCGCGACGTAATAAGGCACAAAAGCCTGTTAGTGGAGTCCTTGGCTGCTCACTTCTCGGACGATTTTTATTGTTTGGGGGATTGGACAGAGCCTCTGAAGAGCTCAATACGGGTCCATTAGTTGGTCAGGTTGTGCCTTAGTGCAAGACAAGACGTCAAGAAATTTCTCTCCAGCTCTTTGCGAAGCCTTGTCCTTTCGTCGTGTCCAGAGAATTGGCGAATGGGCCTCAGGTGAAAACCCCGATATATCGACTTTGAACAATTAGGTCGACAGATTTCGCCTTTTCTACTATCGTCATCCCCTCTTTGTGTTTGAATTCCGTTCATTTATTGCTTGAGTTACCTAAGGGGAGACGAAGTGTGGACCTCCAACTCTTTGACTCCCTCAACTCGGAGGGCTTTGCATGATAATGCACGCGAAAGTTATATATATGCCTCATTTTGCTCTTATCTTGCAATTTTAAGTCATTTCGTGCTCTTTTCTTGTACTCTTGCCCCATGTCCTGTATTGAGAACGGCTGTAGCCAAAAAGGCAAGAAATGATGGCGTCCAGCGCCGATTCACCTGCTACCAAGATCATTTGTCTTCAAGACAAAAAGTTCAATCAGTATATCATCCTGTGTACCATTAAACACGCAAATACCTTGGTACAGATTAGCAGGCACAATGGCGAGGAGAAGATTCTACGGTAAATCTTACGCGACCAAATCTTGTATTCATTGCCACTCACCTTATCCATCACTGAACAGATTTTTAAAGCTTCTCTTTGGATGCATTGGAACGCTTGTTCCTTCTCACGCTCCGGACCATCAAGCATTGTCTTCGCATGATTTAAGCAGTACTCTCTGCAGGTGCCGTGCTTCTTCGATTCGTATCGTGGTCAACGCTCGAGAGGATTGGTCGGCTTCGACATTCTGTCCTGCAAATATTCGTCAGCCGTCTGCTTCACAATCTGATATCGAGGTCCAAGACAGGCAAAACTGATGATTGTAAGTACTATTTCGGCAAGAGCTGCTCGCCGAAAGGAGATGTTATGATACCGGCCAAGACTATGGCGTGTGCAATTAAAACCTATGCTTTCCGTTATCCCTGCCAGCAATGAATGCCCTTTCCTTGCGATAATCTCCAGATCTGAACGTATATTGTCAGTCCAATGGTTGAGAAACATTCACTCTCCGTTGAGCCTTCAGCTTGTGAACGTGGAATTGCGAACTACTTGAGCTACATTTCGCTGTCTCTTAGAGCGAGATCTGGGATCAAGAATTGGCGGCAATCGCGTCAAAAATTAAACAATTGCTCAAGCCAATTTGAGAATATCTGTTCTCGATGACAACATGTAAAATTTAAAAGCGAGTCCATCTGAGACCGGCCTGAGAGACTACAGATACCAATACTCTTAATAACTTCAGTACTCTGTGGCCTTAACCAACAAGAACTTCCCTCGAAATCGTTTATCGTCGCTGGACGCCTGTCTACCCTACCGCCGATAAGGTACAGTGGGACTCAAGACGTCCTAGTCCAAATAGAAGGCACTTAAGATAGATGTTTCAATTTCCTACCTCATAAGGATTACGTTCACGCTTTGCGAAATGTGGCATGTGGACATAATTGGAATGTCATCGCCACGCTCAGATCATCTTAGCGCCTCAAAATTTTTCTCAAGATGAGAAGCAACAAGGCGATGAGTGCGAGTATGATTTTCACAGTTCTGAGAGGATGGCTCGAAACACATCAAAGGGAGTATACTGCTGCTCTATTGCCGTAGATGCCGACATCCGTCTCTCTGTTGTAACTTCGTCCGCATGCAGAATGCACATGGCCATACTCGGGAGGAGACTCTGCCACACTGCAAGGGGCATCCTGACAGTGGGGGACAGTGAACACCCACCGCTCTATTTTGCCGCGTATAGATCGTCCTCGCGGCTACGAAGGCTCCCATCGGAACCAGAGTTCCACCTTTCCGCTGCATGTGCTCGGGCACTACGATGATGACCCTCGTCGCTACCAGGCCACAGGCTGCGTCCTATGGGAGTTGCAGTTGCTGAGAGTTTAAAATACAAGGGCAGAGATGGAGGCAGCATTAGTGGAATCGAGAGGGCAAAAGACTCCCTATTTGACTTTCCTGCATGCGAGACTGACGGATATTGCCTACGTTATGTCAACAGGCATTTTCTGGTCGCGGAAGCGCAGTGATGGATATACCTAGAGCTGAAAGGCTGCTAGGAGTTACTGAGATGAGCGGCTACATGATACCTTGACTCAGGTGTCGATACATGGATCAATGTTCAGCGGTCCCTGGTCTCAAGGCATCGAGTTCGCCAACACTTCTTCTGCTAATAAAGATCTGTTCTCCGCTTGGATGTAAGAGGCAATTGCACAAGAAGCCAAAATAGTCCGGGTGTTTAGCTTGCTCTGTGATGGGTTGCCAACGATTGACTGCGAAAAATGTAGGATAGAGCATGTCTATGAATTTGGACAGGTAATCGCGCTTGGATGTTTCTAGTGATTCCTTCCAGCGGATTTAACGTTTCTTTGCGACAATGGCTCCAGGAGAGATAGCGAAACCAATCGCTTTGACAAACCGCGTTGGGAGGGCTGAAGGAAGCCCTTCCTCATACTGGTCTGGAGCCACGGAGTGGCAGTAACAAGCCGAAGGACTCATATCTGCTTACGACGGTAGAAACACATTGGTTGAAGTCGCAAGCAAACGAGGTGGGGCGGGTAACCAACAGACGGCCCAACGGCGGCTTTTTATTTTATTTTTTTTGTTCACCTTATTTCTTTTGGCTTCTCATTCTTGAGTCGCGCAAGACTTCGCCCCACTGGCAACAGCTCGCCGTCGTTGGGTGACATCGCAAGTAAGACTGGGCAGGAGTAGGCATCAAGTCGTGGCGCAGTCAAGGGACACGTGAAGGCATGGAACTGCTGGCCTCGGCAGAACTGCCGTTTTGATGGGAAAGCGCGGTTCCTTAAATCCGCTGCTAATTCCCCGACAGGGTTGGGATGATCACGGTGCCAACGCGTGTCCATTTTGATTATCTCGATAACGCTTGGACACGATGGATGTCAAAGAGGTTGACGGCTTGGAAAAGGAGGACCAACGACAATTTGATGATCCAGCGGACGCAATGGGCCATTCCCTTTCTGTTTCACCCTTGTTCCTTGCCGGCCACGAGGTTGGCCCGTCTTTCGGCACTTTTGCCTCGCGCCGACGTCGTATGAACGATGAATCCTAGAGATGCACACAGTGTAACGTGCGGCGCTCGTAACTTCTTGCCTCCACACCCTTTGCGTTTCCTTCTGCTTCGAATCAGGGCGCCGCCTGGCTCCATTGCAGTGCGCCAGTCAAGCCGAATCCCGCAAAGCGACAGTCCGCAGGCCGTCCTTTTCAAGCCATGTCTTGCAGCGCAGCAAATGAGGAAACAACACGGAGCGCAACGATGAGAAACTTTATTTAGCCTGCCGGCCTAAACGTCATCATTCATTCTTCCAGACGTCCACCACTGCTTTGTTTTGCCAGCCCAAGGATCAGATCTCCCCAGGTTTGCAGTCCTGCGGCGCAGATCACGGGACTCCCCAGGAGCGGCCACGACTCAGTGGACCTTCCCCCACCTTTCCAAGAATGTCTTGCAACGCCGAACCAGTGCGTGAGACGCCCGCTTTTCACCGCTGCAAGAGCAAATGCTACTGTTCCTGCGAGCTGCAGGTTCAAAGCTGAGCAGTCCAGCCGGCTCAACCTAAAGTCCGCGTTCATTCGTCCACTATCGTTGCGAGAATGCCGTCGGCGCCCACCTGGCGTGGACATTGCTACAGCACGAGATTATGCTGTCGCAAAACACCAATTGCGAGTTGGAAATGAAATGTGAGCTGTACGCTCTGAGTTCATGCATATGCATGGCTCAACAAACCGACAATGTGCCCAATGGGAAGATTACGCAGAAACATTTTTATTTGCCCCTGTGCGTCGACACATGGAAACGGGGGTACCCTTTATCATCTGAATGAGGAACAAATGGACGAGACGCCTCATGAAATAAATGCGTAGTCGTCGCTATGCCGTTTTCTGCACAAAATTGCCGTCATGGCAATTGTCTGATGCCAGCAACGGGACCCATAAATAGCCCAGTGCGAAGACTTCACAGAGCAGTGGGACGCAAGGACCGTGACACCGCAGCCGCGCCGGGGTCTTCCTCGGAATCGCACAAACAACCACCACGCGGCTACCATTTTCTCCAGCGAGCTAATTCCCAGCGCCTTGGAAGCTAAATTGGCCGCTGACCGTCAAAGCCGCCCGTTTCCATCATGACGCCCAAAGGCATCACCTCATCATAAGTTCCGATACTATGGATATGCCGGCTCGATCGTCAGGTCTTTCTGGATTCGAACTATTGCAGGTTCGGGGTCCGTATCTCGATATTTCGTCATCTGCACCCCGCAAGTTGCCTTGGACGGCGAAGACAGTCTGCAGATTGGCAGCCGGCGTCTGAAGATGATAATTGCCGAAAGTATTGTGCAGGTTGTTTGATGTGGACGTGCATATATGCCCTACTGCTGTAGTAAATGGACGTTTAGTCTTGGCCGATAAGCTCGTTGCAGCGTGCCACTTGGGCTGGACCTAACTGTTTGACAAAGTACCGTTGAAAGACGTGCGCCAGGGATCAGCTGCTACGTTTGAGATGCCTGTGCGGAAGGCGGGAAGTTTCTGTGTACCCTTGCCTTGGGACAGGCATGGCGCTTTAGTACACACCAATTGATCCGTGGCCGGACCCATACATCTACTTTGAGCCTTTTCTCTTTCTCGACAGTCTCTGATTATCGCGTTTCCTTCATCCAGGGCTCCGGACTTAGCTCTTTCTGGCCTTTCGTAAGTATGTTTGCCGTGTTTCGTCGCAAATGTCCTTGATGTATGTCGCAAGAACTGCAAATCTCACATTTCAATAGCGACGCCCACGCCACTATTCAGTGGGTCTGTGGTCTCTGCGCTGCCGGGGTTAATATATTCGGCCTCGAAGAACAGCCCACGCATTCAGCATAGCCTTGAATTATTTCTCCTTCAGCAGTCTTCATACACCCTTCAGATGCTGTCTCTGAACTGGATGGACTGTCAAAGCAGTACAGCTTCGAAATCGAGCAATATTCAATGATCCTAACGGGCTCATCGCTTGCGTCTTGAGGAAAGCGCGAAATTTCTCTAATTCATTCCATTGCTGGATGGGTTACAACATCTTCAAAGGTGTTTGCTAGGGACCTTTGGGTGGAAAATGGCCGGGCCGTGGCAAAATTATCCGCAAAGTTTTGGTGTGTACCCAAGCTACTATACGACTTCGCAGAATGCGCCGGACTTCACCCCAACCGCGGGGTTCTATGGCAATGTGTTGCCTTTCCAACAACCCGTTCTCGAGCGCCTACACACAGGTATCCCGGAATTTGAAGATTTGAGCCGTCCCGTTATACCACCTCAGGCCTCAAACAGAATACGACGAAGGGTGAATGCGGGTGGCGAGCATGTCAAATTCAGGCGGACAAGAAGCGGTTGTTATACTTGTCGCAACAGAAGGGTCAAGGTATGTGAAAGCACTTTGATCATCTCATAGACAGAGTAAATGACTGTTGATCGTAGTGTGACGAAACCAGGCCGATATGTGAACGTGAGTGTCATCTCCGCTTCTTCCCACATTCTGACGTTTCACTAACTTGAGAAGGCTGTCGGAAGGGCAATCGTGATTGTGTTTATCCAGAGCCAGCATCGAATACAAAGGCGCGAAGAGATAGCAACAAGTCTAGGTCAGCAAAAGAAGGCGATGGTTCGTCGCCAGATGCTGGTGAGTTCGAGGATTTGATCCACGAGGACGACGATGCTCCAACCTCCGCCATCGATGAGCCTGATAGCGCGACAAGCAACGAAGGTCCTATAGTAGAACTTAGAGCATCTTCTGATCCTCCGCATCATGCTCCTGTCGTCAGCCCCTCTTCATCGTCTGATGGCCCCAATGCACTTACGCGGGCGCAAACCAGCACACCAGTAGGCCAATCTAGTCGAAGTAACAGTCGCCCCAGAGCCATAGCGGAACTCAAGATTCAGGAGCTCCCGGAAGATATCAGATTTTACCTACAATATGCCAGCACCAAGATGTCTCACCATCATTGGGGTGTGCGACTCGACCATCAACATTTTTTTCGACGGACTATGATAGAATTAGCTTTAAGATATGACCCTTTGCTCTACGCATTTGTCGGTTTCGCAGCATACCATTGTACCATTGAAAAGCCGGACGGAGTATTAAGAGACTTCTTGGGCTACTACCAAAAATCAGTCACACTACTTAGACAAACTTTTAAACAGAAGCCTACAATTGCTACTATTCTGACCATACTTCAGCTTGCCACAATTGAGGTACGTTTCAATGGACGCGGACGCACCGTTGACTGACAACAACCAAGGAGTATCTAGGAGACTGGGTCAACCTCATGAACCACCAGACGGCAGCCTTGACGCTCATCACCACACTATACACGCCCGAGAAAATGTGCGCGCACGAAAGTCTTAGAAAAGTTTTTCAATGGTACGCACGCTTTGACGTGTTTGTGGGAATACTGTCCGGTGCGGCCTCACAGCTGGGAAGAGAGTGGTTCGCAAGTCAACTGGACTTCTATCAAAAGCAGTGCGAAGAGCATCCAGAATCGCTAACATGGAAGTACGAAGAGAGGTACGCATGGGCTAGGTTGACCGGCTTCGACTTGCGTGCTTTCATGAGGAAAAAAGCGCTTGGGGAACTAAGCGAGGAAGATTTTACCAAGCAATTAGCTGTTTTTGAGGATCAGGTCGAAAATATCTACACAAACATCCACCCGATGCTGAGAGACGATAGCAAACGTCTTGAAGACATTTCGGAAGGGCGCACGAAGAGCCCAGACGACATCGTAGACCCCTACGAACCCAACGTGTTATACGGCGGCGAGTTATTCGACACCAACTTAGTGATTCACGACATGATCAGCTTCGAAATGCTCTACAAGAACATGATAGCATCTACCACTGGCAAATTTGATCTTGGCGAGATACGTGCGACCTGTTTACGAGAGTGCCAGCTCTACAAAGCTGTCACATTATATTCTGGTTCCCCGCCAGGAATCAGATTCGGCATGCAGGCGGGACTTGCGCTCTGTATCTTGTTTCTACGGGCAAACGAGAAGGAGATATGGTGGGCTCGGAAACAGTTCGCCGAGATTGAGGCAAAGGGGTAAGAGCTGCGCAGCCTACTTTCGTTGTTAACTCTGCTAACCGGTATCACAATTCAGATACACGTATCCAGTCGGTCTTCGAACACGGCTAGAAACGTTGTGGGGACTCGATCTTTCGAACTGGTGGCTGCCCGGAGAGCAGCCTCGACTTGTCAAGCAGATTCGAGAATTTGTACGATCGGAGCCGAGCGGCGACAAAGAAACGAGTTTGTACGAACTGAGGGGAATTTTTACGGCCCTCCAACTTGAAAATGCCTCCAGTCCTGACAGTTTGACTGGAACCAGCCCCTTGATCAGCGAAAGGCCGGGCATTGGTCGAGCGTCATCGGCGCGAAGCATGGCTGCCTTTAGCAGCGCGCATTCAGATGATGCGCAATTCGACTTTGACATGCTGGCCGCGCATGACCGCAACCAAGCCCTTGGAGAAAGTCCGGATTTTGAATGGACATGAGCGACTTTGATTCAAAATCTCCTCACAATTGTACTATTCTAGGAACATGTAAGATTATCAAGGATAGGGGTTTACCAAGAAGCCCTAGCATGAAGCACATCATTTTGCGATCGTGAGTTGCGGTAGCCTGGTCTCCCTCCCCCACCACCCCCTTCCTTCAAGGGGAGATGCGTGTGCATGAGGGCAAAAGCATGAAGGGAAAAAAAGGTTAGGTTCGCGAGATGTTTCTCTTGAGTCGCATAGCTGCATCCGAATCCCGCTCTCTCATGAAGTCTGTTTGGTTGACAGCTCGAGTAGAGATTGGCGGGAAATTCGACCAACAATATCCAGTGCCATGACTGTCCAAGTGCAAATCATTCTTTCGATCGACCGCACGCAAAAGGCTAGCCCATCCAGAAGGGCGCCGGCGAGTTGGGGCTCACGGGGGCCAGGGTGCTGGTCTCACCATGCAGCAGTCAGTGCTTCGAGAATCCGTGGGGCGTACAAGGGCTGCTGCTGAAGAACGCAGGCTAGAAGGTGACCACAGACGCAGCTGTGATCAAGCGTCAGAAGAGGGTGACTCGAGGCGGGACCGGCGGGTGTCAAAACTGCAGAACCGTTGGGGGCAACAATTTTTGGACGATTTGGCAACAGGTGCCGCCCGCAGCGTGTGCGCCACAAACAGTCCCGCCGTCGGTTGTCATTCCGCGTGGATTCAGAATGATAGAACACTATTTGTGGAGAGATGGCTGCATGGATTCCTCTTGGATGTTGCCACGCCTTGTGGTCACCTTACACGGAGGGGGGATTCGTTTTGAGTATTGGCGTATCAGCATGTTGGAACGGGTACAGACCCCAGACGGCGATGGATGATTTTTGGCAGGGCTAGTGACGAGATCATGATCCGGCACCAACCTTCGATGGACACAAGGCATGTCTCACCTCACAATCGAGGGATATTACGAGATACGAGTCGCGATTGCCCGTGACCCGGAGAAGCACTCCTAGCAAAGAACAGTCAAAATCCCAATCGTATTGGCCACGCTCTTGAGGGCCCTAACAGGGACAGCTGTGCTCGAGACGTGGTGGCTGCAGATGGACAGCCTTCTGCTGAGTTTTGCGATGGAACTATCATCGGCGTGGTGACGGCCAGGTCCTGTCAAAGATGCGCCCACCGCGGGGACATGGTCAAAGTGTGGTTAGACAGCTTTCCATTTGGCTGGGCCACGCACCGCGCTGGTTCGAGCGTGCGCCATCCAAGGAGAAGGGCCGTGCTTTGAACTGAAAACGGCTGAACGTGGCAGCCATGCCCCTTGCACTCTCTCGCGCCATACTTGTACCCTCCGGTCCGGGCGGCCTGCACTGGCCCTTTCGACCAGAGCTCAGTTGTCCGGCCAGGGCGCTCTTTGCTGAAAGAACAAGAAGGTTACGACAATCCCCGTCAGAGTGTGCGTCCCATCTAGGCTTGCGGACGGCGGGCGTGCTTCTGTGATCTCTGATGCTCAGGGTTGGCCTCCCCCCACCCCCCCCTCCCCAAGTGAGGTACCGGAGGAATCTGAATAATCTCGTGTGTGCTTCGCATTTTTTTCCTCCCGTTGCGTCGTTCCATGCCCGTCCCCCCCGGGTCATCGAAAGAAAAAAATCTGCTTGTACCCTTGAATAATGTTTTGCCCTGCGTGTTTCCTTCATATCGAACTGCATCTGCCTTGTATCTCTCCAAGATTGCGCTCGAGCGGTGAGCCGCACTTTCGTTTCGAAACGAGAATCCCCCCGTTTTTTCTCGCGGGTCGTGATGAGCATGTCGACTCAAGCGCTTCTGGATCGGGTAACTTAAAGGGAACGTCGCGCTAGGCAAGTAATGGATAACCCCGGCAGGCGCCCGCTCGGAGAGAAAGATCGTCTGCGGCACTGTTCGTAGCAAAATCCCTCCCCCATGATGCAGGACAATAATGAGTGATCGCTGACGGCAGAAATGGGTGCCCGGACCAATGAACAAAATTCCCCCAGATCTTAGCAACAATGCGTGCCGCGAGTAACCATGTCTCTGTGCTGTGCCTGTTGGAGGTGCAAACCAGGACCCGGCACAGCAGCTGGTGTCTGACGAATGTCTTTAACACAACCGCGGCCCGTCTGGGTCTCTTGGTTCAACGTCGGGAGCAGAGACTGCAGTGGGTTGACTCAAGCATCCGAGTTTACACCGATCATGTAAAACACTCTTGGCCTCGAGGGCCCAAAACTTTTTCAAAAAATTCGCCAGGAGGTGCGAAGATGTAACTGGCCACGTAATCTGCACCATCAAAAAAGAGCTTTGGCAAAAAACGAAAGTTAGATCGTCATAGCGACCAGCACGGGACTGCCCAATTTGTTAGCATTATTATGCAATTTATGTTCTTGCGTGAACGCTACTAACCTCGAACCCGCAGCCTTGTCCTTACGTCCTGATGGGGCATAGGAGGGACACGCGCTACCATTGCGCCAACCGGTCGGTCGGAGTTTACCGGAATTTTGTCCTTAGTCACATTATATATGTGCTCATATTAATAGAGGTTGGTATTTTTCAACCGTGGGTGCACAATACGACAACGATGTCATGAGAACCGTCACGCACATGCGTACCGAAGCATCCCAAACGCCTTTTTTTTCTACTCAGTACGACCCTCTCGGGCGTTTGGGGAACACGCCAAAAACTGTCGATTCGCGAGCGGACTTTCACAAAGATGGGTTCAGCAATCGTGGAAGGGGAATTACTGCTACTACACATGGTAATTTCGGCAGACTTTTGTGCTGCCGATCTGGAGAACGAGGAACACGTCTGTTTGTTTTACGCAATTTGGAAGGCTCGGAACTATGATAACTCTCTACAGGATGCGCGTTTCTCTCGCCGTTGCCCCGTTTAATCGCGGCGTTTTAAGCCAAATAAAAAGGCTTTGACTCTGCTCATAGATGGCGGGCCCCGTAATCACGTACGTCGTTTGGGGTGAGCGTGACGGAACGGCGCTGGAATTGTCGATCCTCTCCGCGCCGCCTCTGGCAGCGCACGTTTGTCCTCTGACCACCGACGTGTGGGGATCTCATCCTCGAAGGAAACACGGGACCTATTCATTGACCGCGCGAGCGGAGGGCAATGCCGTGTACAAGCTGGCAGCCAGGGACACGGAGACGAGGCATAGACGCCCACCGGGACCGTTTCTCGACCCTCTCCAGAACGGAAACGGGAGCAGGAGTAGACCAACAGAGGCAACAAACGCGAGGAGACGTGCGCGGGGAGGGATTTCAAAAGAAACAAACATAAACGAGAGGCCCCCCTTCCCCCTCCCCCCCCGCACGTTCAAAACCTCTTCTCGCAGAAACTGTGCGTGGCGGGCCCGTAAAGCGTCGACTCTGGCGCGAGAGAGCCAGGCCGCGTATGCGAAACGTGGCGGCTGTGCTCTGTTCTGACAAAGTGAAAGCGCGGGTGAGCGAGGCGGTGACCTTTTTCTGCCTCGAGACGCTTCCGTGGCCGTTGTCGACGAGGACGACGAGGACGACGATGAAGCCGGCCTCTGCCCCTTTCCCTCGCTCCCTTCGGATTGGTTTTGTCTTTTCATTTTTTTTCTCAATTTCTTTTTTCCATTTCATTAGGTTTTTTGTGACTAGGTTCGGGACAGTCCCAGCAGCGGAGCCAGTGCTTGTCCTAAAGGTGATTTTACGTTGTCCATGGCCTGGCAGAAAGAAAGAGAGGCTCGTAATTCTTCTTATTGTCTAGCTACTCGTTGTACAGACCGTCCCTCCTAGACTGCTGCGAACCCTCCCCGCTCCACTGCCGCATGCCATGAAAGAAGACGACCAAACTTCGAAACGCCCCAGCGTACAGCGACGGCGCTGTTCGAGGTTCATGACGGCGAACACCAGCCTCAGTTGCGACGTAGCGGTTTCGGGAACGTTCTTCTTTGTTATTATAAAAAACTATATTATTTACTATCTCTTTTCCCTTGGAACCTTTCCCCCAAAAAGAAGAAAGAAAGCCTAAAGCAAAGTCCCACTCGTCGCTCGTCGAATCAATTCACTAATGCGCTACCATTTGAATTGACCCTCACACGACGCATTTTGAAACGCCCGGATACAAAATTTATGATGCCTTATTCTCTGTGTCGGCTGCTCTGCCAGCTGCCGTGAGGATTGGTTGCACACACACAGAGAGAGAGAGAGAAATTCGTTACGTCGTGTGCTTTACCTGCTCGCCCGGCCCTGCGTCCGAGTGTAATGTGATAACCCGCAGCTCAGTAATACAAGTGATAGAGAAGAGACGTGTGGGAATTAAAAACAAAAAGATTACTCAAGATGGTGCACGTTGCTGTGCAGTAGAAGGGGTGGTGAAGGCTCTGTCGTCTTCCTTTTTTTTTTTGCACCTTCCCATACCTGTGCTCAGATGCTTCTCTTATCAATTATGGCTGCAACCACAAAATGCGGGCGTCAGATCAGTTGCGTGCGTATCCCGGCGGATCGGCGGCGTGCGGCGGCGCCGCCATTCCCGGCCCTGCACTCCTGTACTCCGTCTCCCTCCGCATGGCCTCAACGGTGCGCGGGAAGTACGGCTCGACGCCAAAGTTCCTCAGGTACGCCGCCGTCTTCTCGATCCTCTTAATTTCTCTGCTGACGTTCCATCCGGCGCTTTCGTCGCCCTCCTCTTCGAACCTTCTCTTCACGACGTTGACCATCGCGTCGTCGAGCTGTGCGTAGAAGTCTCGCCGCGCGGCAATGTCCTCGGGGTCGGAGCTGTCGAGACCGCCGTGTGAGTTGAGGTTGCCGCCAAGTTTGAGGATGAGGTCGAAGGAAAGCTTTGGCCCGCCAGGGAGTGCCGTCAGACGCGCGATGTCCGGGAGGAACTTGGCCATGGCAGACGCAAAGTGCGCTGTTGAGATGGACGAATTGAGGTCATTCTGTAAGCGGTGCAGATCGAAATTCACAATGGTGATTTTGCGGTCGAGCTGGGCGTTGAGTGAAATCGCTGCGCCAGAGCCCTGGTCCATCTGTGAGGCTATTGTAGGCGGTACGTCTGTCGAACGCCGTGTTAGCACGACAATTCACAAAATGACTCCAGCGCATGGGGCTCGGGGTCAGGACAGATTTGTGGTAGAAGATCAAAAAGGGAAAAAAAAAAAAAATAAAACCTACCAGGTCGAAGACCCCTCTTGTCTATCCAGGAGTGCATCTCCGCTCTCTCCCTCTCCAGCTCCTCAATCCGATACTGCATATCCGCCACCTGGGCCTCCAGCTGCTCAATCTTCTCCGTGTACGGCCTGACCGCCTCATTGAACGCCCTTGTCAGCAGATCAGGCGCGGCGTCCTGCTTGAAGCCGCCGGGCCCATGACTGTCGACGTGCATGCTGTTCCTGCCCGCGGAAATGCCATTGGCCCGTCCATCGAGTCCTCCGCCTGCGGCACGCGAGTACGGGTCGGCGGGTGCCTGCGACTGTCGCTGGGTTGCGTACATCCTGTTGTGGTTGTCTTTGGACGAATCCGGCCGCTGTGACTCCTTGGTCGGCGACAGCGGCGGATACGAGTTGTGCTGCGGCGTGCCCTGGCGTGGAGAATCGTGGATGCTACGGTCCGATGCAAAGTGAGGGTCCTGTGCAGAACGGGGCGAATCGAGATATTCGTTTTCGGCGTATGAGTTTGAGCGTGAACCGCGTGACAGCCGCTTAAAGAACATGCTTCGGTGGATGTGAAGATGATCAAGGTTCACAGTAGATGGGAGCGAAGAGGAACAAGAAAAGAGCGAACGACGGAGAGGCGGGAGGCAAAAGTATATCAAATGCCTGCGAGCTTAGTAGTTGGAGAGGAAATTTGGAAGTGGTTGGGTACACGAAGCGGTTGACGATGCGGGTGGTTAGCAAAGCGCCTTTGGTCAGGTCGTCATAAGGTTTAAGCTTATGTGAATGGCTGGTGTGGAGCCGGAGCACAGCAATCGCCCCTTTTGTCGACTAATGTGCTCTCCTCGACGGGCTTTCCTTCAGTCCAATCGATGTCACCGGACGCAGGCAGAATGCGGTGAGTCCTGGCAATATATGTCTCAAAAGTCTTGCGTACGCAAGGGACGGCAGCGGCAGTGTAACTGTGTACTGAACTACCAAAAAGTGTTGGGGTACGTGGACGACGTGAGGGATTGTGGGCGCTGGCCTGCGGACCAATCAGACGCCGCCACAGCCAGCCACTCAGGCTCCCAGACCCCTGACAAGCCATGTGCGACCTTCCGCGCTGCTTCTTCCCCGTACAACCTCATCTCTTGCACTGCCCGAGAGCATCGGCTGCGATTCTGCCACGACGGCCGCATCGATCCTTTGCATAGACACTGCTAGCAGCAGACGCATTGTTTTTTTTCACTCGTGCCTTTTCTCCTTTTCCTTTGTCGTTCAATGCTGCAAGCTGGTGACAGTCCGTTCGATTGGATTCACTTGTGATTCTACGCTTCAATGCAGTCGTACTCCCCATCTCAATCCCGTTGTTCACTTTTTGCGTTTCCCAATTACGCCAAATGTTTCGTCTATGGTGCCATCATCACCTCTACTCCGCTTCCTCTTCCTCCTCTGGTGTGTCCACCTCAGCTGGTTCTTCCAACGGCTCAACCTCTTCTTCTTCATCCGCGTCTGCCTCAATATCAACCAATTTAACGCCACCTTCCTTCTCGATCCGTAGCCACTCTTCCCACTCTGGGAACAATTCCTCGTCTGCATCTAAGCCCTCGGCCCCAGGTGGAACGCCAATCACTCTGCTAACCCGGCCTTTACCCTCTTTTTCCAATGACTCCTTCCAGGCCTTGACGAGCGCTGGTGCAGCACTAGGCTTATACGTCTGAGCAAAGAGCACCGCTTCCGAAATGCGGCCCGTGTCCTTGAGTAAAGCGATGCAACCTTCGACATCACCCAGCAGCCAGAGTGCTTCGAACTGCACATTGTGCGCCGAGGCCTCTTGCGCCGCTGTCACGAGGCGGCGGAGACCTTCCGGGCTGCCTGTTGCGCTGTAGAGAAGGAGGAGAGAGCCCAAATCCTTGGACGCCCAAAATGCTTCCTCAGCTGCATTAATGTTCCACGCAGCCAAGGCGCTGTCACCAACTTGCCGCCACTTGTGATCTGAATTGGCAAGCTCCGTGGCGATGTCCAGACGGTTAAGCTCGACCGCCAATTCGAAGCGGTGGTCAGGGTCGGTTGACATGGCCAGCGCTTCCTCCTTGTATCCTTGGCCTTCTAAGAAACGCGCGACTTTGGTCTTTTGCTGCTCGGGGATTTCGATCTCTTGGGCCGCCTCAAATTCTCCGCGGAGAACAAGAGTCTGGAATTCAATGACGGATAGGTCGAGAGCATAGCTGCTCACGTTAATATCTTTGTCAGCGACGTATGCCCTGCCATCGCGTTGAAGGTAGCCGAGCAGGAACTGGGAGTTGTCGAACGTGGCGATGGGGTACGTTTTCTCTCCAACAAGATACGACAGGCGATTCGATGCGCTGGTGAAAAGCAAGACTTCACCAACCCACGCCGCGCTTGTGACAACTTCCGACACATCGGTGACAACTTCAAACGCAGCTTCCACACCGTCATCCTCAACTTGGCCAGCAGCGACCGCTTCCTCGAAGGCTGCTCTGTCGAAGCGAAGGACGTAGACAGACTCTTCGGTCGCGAGAGCGACCAACTCTCCGGCCTCGTTCCAATACACGCTTCGAGGCTCCACCTCAATCCGGCGGACAAGTTGGCCGGTTTGCCAATCAAAGAAGCCGATGCCACCAGCCCCCTTGACACCTAGTTGCGGCTTAGTCACAGAATAATTCGTTCAAGGCGTAAAAATAACACTCACCAATCAGTGCACCACCAAACAAACCCTCCGCCGAGAAGCCAACATCAAGTGACTGAGATTCCTTGAATTGTTTGAGAATCTTTACGCTTGCTGTACGCTTGTTAGCAAATTCCCAAACTCGACGGGAAGTAGTTGAACTCGACTGCGGCTCGAGTGAAAAGGAAATTAACAAGGGATTCTGACTCACTCGATGATTGTCTAACAGCAGAAAATTTATCGAGATCCTTGGTAGCCTGAGTTATATGATCAGTTTTCAGTCGGGCATGAATAAAACATAACAAGCCGTACCCAGACATAGTCCAAACCTTGGCCGAAAGACTGGTTACGCAGTGCCAATGCTACTCATTGTTAGCATTAACATTCAAATGGTATGCCGATGCTTGACGTACCCGTGTAGATAATATACTCCCCATCACCTACGACTGCAACGAATCGCCCATTGGGACTGTGCTGTACAGACGTAGGGAAAACCTCCGTCGAACCCAATTCTTTTTTGGACAAAACAAGCGCTTGGCCATCTGCCACGTCAGCGACATCCTGTGAGCGAATAGTGGCAGTGAGTATCTCGTTATTGCGCGCTAAAAACGGTTAAGTTAGCTCCGCTGACTTTCAGCTTGACGCATTAGTACGCATACCAAAGATGAGCTTTCCAGACGGGTCCATTGAGACTCCTGGCGTATCTCTTCCAAGCTTGAAGACCACCATTCCGTCATCAAAGCCTACGGCACAAGCTTGTTTGGCCTTTTGTGAAGCAACACACCAAGCACGCTCGAGACCATAGTTTAGCTAGTCCTATATTAGCAAGCTGATGTGAAGAATTCCGCAGGCCTTGCCACGTACAGTCTGTTCGAGCTTGAATGTGGCGCTGTTCCAAAGTTTGACTGTACCATCTTCTGAGCCGGAGATGATTAAAGGTAACTCGGAATGGAAGGTCGCGAAAGATACGTTGCTACTATGTCCCTATTCTCGGGTTAGGAGAAACAAAATCAAAGAATGCGATCAGGCTACCTCTAGGGTTGCGATCAACGCTTTTGTAGTGTAATCAAACACTTTCACCGTCCGGTCATCAGAGGTGGTAACGATGTATGGTTTATCGCTGTGCTGAAGATGGCTTGTTAGCATTGACTTAGCTGGACAGAAATATAAACAACTCACAGGATAATATTCAACCCAATTGACGCCCTTGGTTCTGTTCTTCAAATTAGTTATGACTGCAATAGTAGGCACAGTTGGTTTCGGTCGATTCATACTCATGCGCCTCAAGCGTATAGTTCGGCTGCGATGAGCCGAGGGACTGGACACCATGTCAATATCAAGTGTTTTCATCTTTAATTCGGATATCTCCCTACCCAGACTCTGACAGTCCGATCAAGACAAGCGCTGGCAAACGTGTTCGTGTCTTTCGGATTTATCGCTACCGACATGACATAACTTTGAGAGTTTGTTAGCCATGAGCATCAAAGATCTAGGTGATGTTCCAATGCTTGGGATCAGAGTAAATTGAGGAGTAGCAACGGCACGTCTCGATGAGATCCGACGAAAACGCCGACGTTAAGGGTTCGAGAGATGGTGTTACTTACTGTGCATGACCTTCAAATGTTCTTACACTATCAATCCACTGTCAGTCTGAACCGCCTTGACAGCTTGGAATATGGACGATTTACCATTTCCATGAGTTATCAAAGTCCCTATGACTTAGTTAGCGGCAAGGATCCCGTCAAACGCGATTCGACTCACCAGAGTTTGATGGTCCTTTGCGCTTATTAGCAAAAGTGAGAGATAGAATGCCAAATCTTGAAGATTTCACTAGCTCAGAAAGCTAACTGAAGCTTCGAGATAGCTTCCAGCAACAGAGTAGGAAGCACTCTGACCCATACGGTCAGCATAGCATATGAACGAAGCTTTGGGGAATTCATACTACATATCATCGCTTGCCGTGAGGACGTATGGCAAGGTTGGGTGAACTGCTATCGAACGAATGTAATCTGGATGCTATGTGTCGCCGTGTCAGTCGCCATTTGCACACTCCTTAGACAAATGAACGATATCACATACCGCTTCGAAGTTGGCCACCTTCTCGCTGGTGTTGTCTTGTGAAGAGTGAGCTGTTCAGTTACGAATTTTTGGTGTCCTCAAAACACTCACAATTCAGGACACGCAGCTGGAAGTCGTCTGAGCCACAGACTATCCAATTCTTCCTCGCGATGAAACGGCCAGCTAGTTACCTGTCAGCTCCAAGACACATGTATCACCGCTATTCCCTCAGTATACGCACCTCTGACAGGAACGTCGCACAACTCGAACGACTATTGTACGTTGTTAGGGAAAGCCACTTCATTCACGCCAGAACGTCCCGTACCTTGACCACGTTGCCCGATTCGTAGCTCCAGATATTCGCATGACCACTATACAGCGTCGTCTGCTTCAAATTAATACACATTCCCTCGTTTCTAAAGCGTCTCCCTTGCTCACCAAGATCCATGGCTCGATCGGGTGAAAGTCAATCCCCTTCACACGTTCGCCTGAGATGTGTCAGCATCCATACCGTCAGAGACGTCCACACAATGCCACGTTCTCAAAAGACCATAGGTCCTCCCAGTACAAAATCACCATTGAGCGCTTTCAACTCTTGCAATGTAGGTAAGTCAAAGGTATATGGACGGTCACTCTGCCAAGTGTGTCAGCTCCAAAGCACAGCACCATATCTGCAGCCTCATTTGCACATACCACTTCTTGCAAACAATTGCCTCTGGCATTCGAACGACTTGTCAGCCTCGCATTCCACATTTCGATCCATGACTCCACGCGATCAAAATTTGCAACGATACGGTGTGTGTGTGTGAGGGAGAGAGAGAAAGAAAGAAGATAGAGGGACAACCAGAAAGAGCCCGGCACGAGCAGCAGCCGTCACAGCAAAAGCAGGATGCGCGACCAACATGACGAACGAGGTCGCACAAGTCTTCCCTCGCTTCAGTCCGTCTGCTGGTGGAACCGAGCTGCCCCTCTCCCATCTGGCACGGGTAAACATACCTTCACGTCGAGCTTCATTTTCGCTCGCAACGTCTCGTTGCCTTTATGCTACGTGTGCGCACAGTCGGTGTAGGGGGTGGTGGTGGTTTGGGTAGGAAGGGGAGCGCAAGCTCCAAACCGCAAGCGTGCCCAATCGCTCTGAGAATACGCGGAGCGGCTAGAGAAGGTGGGTTGGTCAACGACGACGGAGAGCAGAGCTTTGCGCCGTTTCGTGCGTGGCTCGTTTGGGTCAGATTTCGCTTGTTAAGGTATATGTTCCTGAGCGGTCGATGTGGGGTTCTAATTTAGTACAAGGGTATAATGTGAATTGTGGCCTCAGCGGCTGTGCTTCTCGCAGCGAATAAGCAGACGAAAAACACTGGGCGGCCTTACTCGCGGTCATTCCCTTGCGATATGGTGCTGCATCTACGATGTCTAGACAACCCGTCTCATTTCGAAGCTGCTCGCATAGGTGAACAAGAAAAGGAAGTAAAAACGAAGAGGCAGCGTTGTGTTGCACTTCGTGACTACCCGCTCCGTCCAACGATCGCAACTGACGACTTGCATAGGAAAGTGAATAGGGCGCCACTAGAAAATGGGTAGTAGCAATCAGATTAAAACTACTAGGTCGTTCCTTCCTATCTGCGCTGGAATACCAGCGCCATATATACAAAAAGGGCTGGCCCGCTTGTCGTCCTCCGTTCAATCTCATCAACAACGCACACATATCAACAGTAGGAGCAACAAGCCACTCTTTCTACAAGTCAGCATAACAAGCTTGGTGCTTCTACTGTCCTCTTTGACTTGCTGTTCAAATTCTCCTTCCTTCTCCTTCTCGCCAAGCTCTCTCCTGCCAGGTTAAGACTACACAAACATGCCCAAGATAACAACATACTTATAGTCAGGCAATGTCTATATATGTATATATGTATGATCATGAGCAACAGATCACGTCGTAATACTGAGCAAGGCAGTGGTATCTAGAGAAAGAAGCAGACAGAACAAAGTTATATGGTATGTCGAAAGAGGTGTATTTCCCAAGCCACAAAGAGAATCCACGAGCGTTGTTTCCGGACTCGTTACTCAAGTCGGAATCATAAAGTAAAAGAATGCCCGCTTCCAAAGAATGGTATATGAAGAGTTTTGAGAATCGAATAACAAATCAAATAGTCCGCCCGCAGATCGCATACGGGCAGCAAGAATGGAGGTAAGGTTTTTTCTGATGGTTGAGAAACATCCCTGTCTTCATGTCGAGTTGTGAGAGAGAATTGAGTTTGGCCGTGACGTTCCGAGATATGAATACACCGCCTGTCATTGGGCCAGCTGAGGGAGTGTAACGTCGCCCTTTTCTCTCCCTGCTAGCTGAGCGAGAATCGGGCGGCTTAGTTCCAGCCGAGCGAATTCTCCGACATGACGGGGGCGGAAATGCCCTGTGATCGAATGCTGCGACCCTGGCTTGTACCACTACCATGGCTGTGTCTGCTGTATCCGGCACCAGACATCCACCCAGGCTCGCTGCCTGTGAGTGAACTGCTGCGGGAATGTGCGGCCAATTTCTTCTTACGGTAGCGGCGGGCTACAAGACCCATAGCAGCACCGTATAGAACGACGCCGGCCGCAGCTGCGGTGCCAATGGCAACAGAAGACGATTTGACAGATTCGCTGTTGCCAGAATCGCCACCGAACGGTGCGCCCCCACCTGAAGCGCCTACCGTGGTGGTCTCGGCGGCCGCATCACTGCCAGAGTTGGTACCATCCATGGGCTGACCAGCAATAAGCGGGATAGCAGGGTTGATGAAGGACATGAGCGTGTTGATCGTCGAGTCAGGATTGTTGTACACGGCGGAATTCGGGGTGTGAAGGTCAACCGCTAGTTGGTTGACCAGGTCGGTAGGAATGTACATGAGTGCCAATGTCGTAATGTAGCCCAAAGACTTCGATGTGTCATAAGGCTGAATGTTGAACATGGTCGCGCTGGACTGATCAATCAAGAGCCCGTACGAGATGCCTTCTGGTAAAAAGGTGAAGATCTGCTGCGCCGAGGTTGGATTCGTCGACACAAATTGATAGTTCAGCTCATGAGTGAAACCAATCTGGATGAGCGTCGTGTTCTCAGGCTTGGCCACCGGGCCACCAGGAGGAGTAATAACCTTGGGCATGTTGGTTGGAATACCGGATGCAGTTGCAGTTTGAGTGCCAGACGGCGCTGGAGCAGCTAGAAGCGAAGTCCCTGGCTGGCTTTGAGGAGTGTTGGACTCGGCAGGCGCCACCGTCGAGACCGGCACGTACGAAGACTGTGGAGACGTGTCGTTTGGCGAGGGTGTGGGGGAGGAAATGGCGGTTCCTGGGCCAAAGATTCCATCGCCGGACAGTGTGAGAACGGACTGGGACGTGGGCTCCGGCAATGGGTTGACATTACCCGAAATGACCGTGGAGAGACCAACCATGATGCTGCCAGGGGCACTAGTTGGCTCAGTTCCGGCCACGACTGATCCCGTAGCACTTGAAACTATACCCGGTAAGATTGTAGTGGGAAGAACGCCTGTGGGCGCGGCCACATCCGATGTGACGGGAGCAATTGCTCCTGTAGCGACGACCGAAACGTCGGAGGTGACCGCAGACACAAGAGGACCGACCACACCTGTGGCCACAGCGGAAGCGTCGGACGTGACAGCAGAGACAACGTCCGGAACAACGCCCGTCACAACAGCCGGGACAACGCCGGAGGAGCCCGCAACACCAGAGACAACATCAGGAACCACGCTCGTGACGAGCGGAGCGACGACACCTGATGTGACCGCGGAGACTAAAGCCGTGACCACGCCAGATGAGCCTGCGACGCCGGAAACGACGTCAGGAACGACGCCAGTTACGACGGGAGCGAGGACACCAGACGTGACCCCGGAAACAACGTCAGGAACAACACCTGTAGCGAGAGGAGCCACGACACCTGACGTGACGGCAGAAACGAGGCCATCAACGCCACCAGTTGTAAGTCCCTGAACCGCATCACTAACACCAGAAGTAACGCCTGCTACGCCGGACACAACCGGAGTGACCACACCAGTTGCGGCGCCAGATACAACGCCGCCTAGGTCAGACGCTACACCGCTTACAACGCTGGTGACCGGAGCAACGGCGCTGGTGACCGCAGAAGCAGCACCAGATACGACGCCACCGACGTTGGACACTAGGGGATCTGCGACTCCCGATACAACGGGACCGAGAACTCCTGTGGCAGCGCCGAAAATGCCAGCTAGGACGCCGCTATCTGGAGCCGTCGACGATGTAGCAGAGGCGGCATCAACGGAGTCAGACGAAGACGAGACCGCTGCTGGAGGATCCGACGAGGAGCCGCTCGACGAGGTATTGTCGGTTGCCGGATCAGCCAAAGCACTTACCAGGGGATCGGTAGCTTCTGGAGCAGGCGTTGTGCTGTTCGGGAACGCGGGAACGATCTGTCTCTTGATGTGGCGTGGGAAGTAGTATTTGGGTCGCTGAACAGGGGCAGGCAGGCCGGGGGCAGGTGCTGCCTGCGCCATGGTAAAGAAGGAGCCATGGAAGGTGTCTGAGCCGAGCGCAGCGAGTAATAATACGTTTATCGTCCTCATCTTGCCTGTATGTTTGAGTCGAAGAGCAGAGAAGAATAGGCGATTCTTAGAGGGCTGGTCTGGCGTATGTGTTTCGTCAGCCACGCGTGTTCTGCCAGAAAAAATTTGAGCCGTTATCACCTACTGTCAGGAATGGATATAAACGAGTGTACTTGACAGATCGGTGTCTGCAAAGGAGCGAGGCTTGAGTGTAAAACGTTAGCAGCATTTCACACCACGAACGAAGAGGCAACGTACATGCGAACTCACGAGGATCGCGTTTTTTTTTTTGAAAACTCAAATATGGACCACGATAAATGAGAGACAGTGAAGTTAGTAACACGACCCACAAAAGACGATTTGCCAACGGTGCTTCAAGCTACCATCTTCGAAGGGGGTCGTGCGAGTTGTGCAAGGCTGTGATGGTCGTAGCGGCGCTGTATACGTCCTTGTGGATGCGGCAAACCCAATCTTTCAACGAGATATCCTGCTCTTAAACCCAAGCCCCGAGGAAACACAAGATAGGCACGGCAACCAGCGAACACGGTCCTTTCCTGCCTCAAGCAATCCGGCACACGTCTCGCGACCCGAAGTGCACGAAGAAGGCGTGGAAGAAGTCTGCTTTGAGAGAAACGAACGGCAACCGACGGGTCAGGCCAGCGAATTGGCGCTTTGAGCAAAGGAAGAGGGGAATCTTCTCACAGCGCGACCAAGAGATGGAGGGGATAGTCGCGCGTCTTGCGTGGTCAGGCCTGGCGGGCAGATTAATCGTTCACCGAAAATGAGTGACGTTGAGTTGGTCGTGCTGGATTCCGGCTCCTCGGGCGATCCGCGTCGACGAAGGCAGGCGAACTGCGGATTCGGCGAAAAGAGCGAGCGCGTCGAAAGCGGAGAAATGTCGCTAAGAAGGCGAGATGATGGGGGGAAAAATAAAGTGCAGTGTGAATGAGCGTGGGTTGGTCCGAAAGGGGGAGGACTGCGAAAGGGTGACGAATCGAAGCGGGATCAGCAGCGAGAGATGGGCGGACGAGAAAAAGACTGCGACGGCGGCGGAGAAGGATTGAAGGCAGCTGGAGGGAGGAGACAAGCTCTCAGCGCCTTTACCGGTCGATAATGTTGTCGTTAAGGGGGGAGAGGAGAATAGGACGAGAGTGAAGAAGGATGGAGGATGACGAGAATAGCGCGACAGCAAAGGGCGGGCTGCAGTAGTGCGGGAGAGATGAGCGAGCCTAGCCAAGGCTGACTACAACTGTGGCATGGAGCCGGGAGCTGCGCGCTGGGGGCGCCTCAGCAGCAGGTGGGCGGATAGATGGGAGCTGGCTGCGCTCCTCCCTTGCGGCGCGGCACTACTCCAACCGACTTTGCGCTGTGCTGGCGGTTGTCCGCGGGTGGTGCCAGTGGTGCGAGCAGCAGCAGCGCCAGCAGCAGCGAGCCTCGAAGCCGTGCTAGTGCCCGAGCCCGCGCTGGGTTGCTGGTGCTTGTGCTTGTGCCCGGCGCTGCGCATCATGGCCGATCCACTCTTCTCGTGCCCGCAGCCGAAAAAACGACCGCCCATGCCCCTGCAGGGCCCCGTGCAAGCTGCCCAACGGCGTTAGTCCAGCCGCGGGCCCTGCGCGCCTGCACGCTCGGAACGGTGGCACTGCATCGTCAGCGAGCACAACAATGGGATTTCCGAGTTCACCACCTCGACGGCACAAGAGAAACGAGTGGTGCACAACACACGCTCTGAGCAAACTCCGCCTGATCTGGTCTACAACCACGAGTCGACCGCGGATTCCTGTTGCCCTTCGCCTGCTGCCCTCCTCGACCTTTCTCCTCTTCACCACATTTCCTCACCTTCACGCGTTGCCCGTGCTCAGACCGCGCCTCGTCAAATCATTTCATGGCCTCGACATCCGGGAAATTGGCATGTGGATGGCCGCTTGACGCCTCCAGCTGCTCTCCACGTCCGCTTGGAAAGGCCTTTCGAGACAGCGAAGGCCGCCGCCATCGCGCTGCGGCGCAACCACCAGCGCCAAAAAGTTTCGCTCCGTCACCACTTTTGGCGCTGGCCGTTGTCGTCCTACCGTGCCCTAGCTACGACTGACTACTCCTGTTGCTGTTGCTGCTGCTGCTGCTTGGCTCCTTACCCAATGCTGGGCCACCGCCGCAGCTGCTTTGTCGCTCTCTTTGCCTCGCCGTCCCCCTCGCTGGCCACATGCATCGACCGTACAGGGCTCAGCGTCCAGGGCTTTACGTCCGCCTGCAAGGTCCGCCAAAGCACTACAGCACCACCCTCGTAAGCCCTGGCCCCATCTTAACAGGTCAATTGTTTCGAATACATACACGCTTGTCCCTCCCCTCCCCGTAAAGTATCGCAAGCATCGAAAGGAAAACACAACGTAGCAGCGGCACTGTCAGCCCCGGCGGGCGGCGCAACCCTCGCACAAGGGCGTCCGCCCCTTCCATTGGCTGAAACACGAGCACTCACGCGTTTGATTTGATCTCGGACCCGGTCCTGTTTCGAAGGCGAGGAAATTTTTTGGGGGGGGTTCCTAGCGCCTAGGGTGGACACGGGCATGCAATTGGCCCTGGCCATCTGAGACAGCCAGCGAGGAATGTGGGAAAGTGCTTCATTTTGAGTCTTTCGTCGTCTCTTTGTCTAATTTGTGCTAGGAGAGAGGAGAGCGAGAGCGCGACTATCGTTGCTGCTCAGGTGCACGTTGGCTTCTCCTTGGTCCATTTTTCTTCCATCCTTCCATTCTGTTTTTAATTTTTTTTTCTCTTCTTTGGCGTACCCACCCGCGGCAAAACCAAGGCAGAACGAAAAGCAACCCCTGGTAGAGGTGACGAAGAATACAAAGTTATGGGTGACCAGACTACGTTGCTCCACTCGCAGGCATGACAGTGGAAACAGGCAGCGAGCCGGGAGAAGTTGAAGATGCAGACTCCGATCGCCGAAGAGCATGAAATAGCCCCCAATGCAGATCGTATCGAATCTCGTTATTGATTTTAGAGAGAGAGAGCGCACATGAGACGGTTCTACAAAATCCAGTCTAGCCCGTCTAGAAGCAAAAATGCAGTCTTACAAGAACGTCCGTTCGTGGTGCTGTCTCGCAGCCACTTTGCCACATCCAATTTCCTAGGCGGATGGCGTCCTGCACGCCCGCGTCGGACCAAACTTGGGCGCAGCAGGAAAAAAATAGGTGCGACTGCATAAGGCTACGCGCGTCGCTCCCATCTCCAGGCACAGCGATCATGAGCACCAAGAGATCGTGCACGCAGGGAGGATCTTTTGTCTTTCTTTGCGGGCTCTTGGTCGCTTCTGTTTCGCTCCCATGATCTGGGAAGCAAGGAATCCTCCCTGGACGCTTCGAACTACAATCGGCCTGTGCCGAGACACATGCGCATGTGTTGGAAAGTTTGCTTTCTTCTGTCCATCTCCCTTTCATTCTTCATCACCAAGCAGTAATGATAACACGAGCGCCGTGTCGTTACGAGGCTAGATACAACGCCTTTATTTTCTCCAATCCAGTGGCGCCACCGGCTCAGATGGCCGTTGGTCTACCACGCTCGTGCACCACAAAAAAAAAGCTCCGGCAGTTTTGACTCTGCTCCCGTTCATCATGCTAACGTGTGTTCTAATGATTGTTCCCTGAACCACCAACGGGGCGTGGACGCGTGGCTTGGCTGATCTCCGAGTCATCGGGCAAATGAGAATAGTCAATAAACAAAAGGTGGCAGAAGTCCAAAGATTGGGATCCAATTTAAAACTGGGGAGCCGATGCCTCGTGCATCAAACGAGCGAACCAACCACCCACGTGATCTGGCTTTTGCTCTTTGCGCAAGCTCCGTCTCTCCACGTAATTAGCACGTCGTCGCTTCCTAAGACGAGAAGGAAATTGAGTCCCATCGCCGTGCCGCTGTGCTGGTTCCTGGCAGCTGTTTTCTGCTGCCGCCATCATCACTCCGTGTCGTCGTGGCGGGCCCATCGTTCAAGAGACTGGCCTGGCGTGGTGTCGTCCCAACGACGATGACGGCGACGACGGTGCCCGTCGAACCAAGGCTTCCAGACGTGCCTGAAGCAGTGACGCCAAAAGACGGGTCCCCGTCGTCACGTCCCGACCTGATGCAACGGAATCGTGAACGGCGATGCGGCATCTCGGCCATTGACTCTTTGCCTCGCCCAGAAAGTAACCAAGTTTGCCATGCGGACTCGGCCCGCGTTCATCGTCATCGTTTGCTCCCTGCGGGTCCCCCGCTCTTCCAGCAAACAGCGAACAGCATTGGGTCACCCGGCGATCCGCTGTCTCTGTTTCTCCTCAACGCTATCATCATCATCATCTTCTTCTTCTTCTCCTTCTTTGCGCCGGCCTTTCCTTCCGTGCAATAAACGTGCTCCCGTTGGCTGTGCTGGGTGTGAAACAGAACGGAGATGGCCCGTTTGGGAAAGCGATTGACGTTTCGTCGTTTCATGCGACAAAGAGGCTTTTTTTCTTTGGCGTTTCTTCTCGCGTTCCTAGTGGGGAAGGACAAAGGACGAAAGGCTTCTGGATCTGTTCCTTTGTCCTTCCATGCGTGTCGCCGCCTGCTTGTCGCACCGCGTCCTCGTTTCGTGCCTCCTAAATGCTAAACGCAAACCTTGGTCCCGATGTGGCTTGGACAAGATCCTCGTACTCGACATGCTGCGTCGTTGGTTGCTTGTCGCTGCGCGGGGAGGCCGTCAACCGTTTCGTGGCATACCTGAAGCAGCTCGCCGATGCATGTCACCGAACGATGGACCTCCACCACGCGCCAAATCTTCGTGGCGATCAACGTTCGCCTGTCGAGCCGTAGAAGTTGTGAAAGTTTGCTTCGAGGCGTATGGACAGCGCGATCACGTGTTAGAAGTATGCGATGGAGCACCATCAGAGAAGAGCTTGGTTTTCAAAGAGAAAAAAAAAAAATAAAAGACAATATCGTTAAGATTTACGGAACTTAATTGCTAGTTTACAAACGGCTTCGCTCTTCCATCGTTCGCTGCTTGTTGTCCTCGCTCGGTCGCGTCAACCGTCTTTCTTCGTGTGTTCTTCCTGGTAACCAGCACCTCGCTCCTCGCCTGTGTTCTGTGGTCTCTCGTCGCCATCGCCATTCCGCCGTTGCGCGCTCGACGCCGCTGCCCGCGCGGCCTGTACTTCGCGTGCAAACGCAGCGTACAGCGTCCGCAGCTGCCGTCTCTGCAACTGGCTGATCGGGAAACCCTGCGCCATCTGTCTGTAGTACGCGAGCTGCTTCGTGAGCATCATGCCCTTGGACTCGACGTTGTACTTGAACGCCTCGAAGTTCATCAAGGCCTCGAATTCCAGCCGCGCTCGGTCGAAGCTGATCTTGACCTGCTCGTCCGAGCACGCGGCGAACTCGGGGCTGAGCAGCTCCATGTAGAACCTTCGGAAGTAACGCGAAGACCCGTCGACGACGTTCCTGTACCGAGCCGGGAGCTGCTGCTTGCTCCTGTCCGCGTGGAGCACGCGCCAGACGCTCATGCAGTCCAGGTTGGCGAACTCCTCGTCCGCCAAGACGGTCGGATCAACGTAGTCGCGCTCGCTGGTGTCTTCGTCTGTGTCTTGATCGTCGTCTGCCCGCTCGTATGAGCTCGAGGACGCGCCTGCCTGCCCGGACTGCCGAGACGTGGTCCCTGTCGTGGACTCGATGGCGAAGCCGGCCTTCACACCCACGCCCACCAGACTCTCTTCTATCGCATGGTTGAGCTTGATCCCTTCTTCCAGCGAGCTCACGTTGCGAATGTCGTGCAAGTCCGCAAGGAGGCCGAAGCGCGGGCACTGGCCTCGCTGCATCTGCGGTAGGGCGAATCCGTAGCCCACCAGATAGCTGTAGATCAGGTCCGAATCGGCGTGCCCCGCAACCACCAGGTTGACGACTTCGGCCGCCTGCGTGTAGAAGTGGCTGGCCTCGCTGCCGCGCTCGAGGACGCGGAAGTTTGGATTCGGCACCAGATTCATGGCCACGGTCCAGGCGTTGAGGATCGTGTGGAGGCCGCAGGCCCAGCCGTTGCCTTGCTGAGCGACGCGCACGTCGACCTCAGGCCCGAAGACGACGTCGCCGCCTTGGTCGCCCGGGTCGTCGACGTCGCGGAACCAGCCCACGTTGGAGACGAGCGTGCGGATGGTGTCGCCCACGCGCCGCCACTCGTCTCCGGACCGAAAGGGCAGGTCCGGGTAGCTGTCGAAGAAGCGGAGCTCGCACACGTCGAGCTGCATGTGGACGAGGACGAGGAAGATGTGCGCCTTGCGCCTCTGGCCCGCGCGCTGGATCTCCTTGCACGCGTCCGCCATGGTGTCCCCCTCGCCGGTCTCGCCGCGCTCCCGCCGGTACGTGTACCTTTGCTCGACCGGGTTGTACAGCCAGGGGAGAAGCAGCGGCCGCCGAGGACGCAGCGAGCGGATGTTCTGCCGCTGCGGCTCCGTCAGGCCGTCGAACTTGGCCACCTGGACCCGCGACTGGGCCGTCACGTCGAACGCGTGCGCGCCGCCCCTGTCGCGGATCGCCTCGGTGACGGCCATGATGGCCACCACGACCTGGTCGTCGTTGAGGTCCGCGAACGGGCTCACGAACGGGTTCGCCTCGTGTGCCCCTTTGGACGAGCACCGGAAGTGTCGGAGCAGCACCGCGAACTGCTCCGCGGCCTCTCTCTGCATGGTCCCCAGGATGTTCTGGCTCGAATACGGAGCCCCGTCCTCGCTCTCGGGAGGCTCTTTCACTCCTTCTCCGTTCGATTCGCTTGCGTCCGGCTCGTCTCCGGATTCAACTCGTCCAGCCTCAGCCTCTGGCTGATCTGCAAAGCTGTGGATTCTTCGTCTTTTCACATTCGGCCTCGACGGACTGCGTTCGTCGTCGTCCTCATCATGTGGCGTACCTGCTGCTCTCCGTCAGCACAAGTGGTATCGTTTCAGCCGCAGGTTGGAATCATTGGCAGCGCCGCCCCCCTCCGTTCAAAACCAGCCAAAATGTTGAGCGGACATCTTACCTCGCTTGCGTTTGGCATCCATTGCTTTTCAAAATCTCTTGAGATAACATGGTTCTTCCGCGGTTAAGGCGTGGGCTGCCTTTTATCAATACGACCACAGGCCTGATCATTCCTTTCGTTCCATGAAACTGCAGGTGTAGACTCTCCGGTCGACGACAAAGCACTGCTTCTGCAAAGGAAATATTGCGCGTCGCCGGAAGTGGATGAAAAGGCCTCTGTTCATTTTGATTGTCACTTGATTGAGAGCTTGTATAATGCGATGATTGATTCCTCTTCATTGAACGCATCCTGACTCCTCATGGGAATAACAAAGGCAGCATTCTCCTCACATCTTGATTCTAAGGATTGTAACTCAGATCCGTGGATGTTCCAACATGGAAGCAAACAAAGGAAGCAAAGTAATCGGGCTACGAGAGGTGTGACCGAATAGAGGTGGTGATTGCACAATAAAGGGGAACCGAATTATGTCCAATTCAGCAGTTGCATTCTTCTCCAGAACTCCAGCCCCATTGCAAACAAGATTTGCGTTACGGTTTCTCGCTCCTCATGCTTCGTACAACAGCTGAAAACATGATTAGCAAGCCCTTTTAGGCAGCTAACGAAATGTGTGATGTGGTCCGTCCGAATGAACGATTGATGACAAATGTGCGGAAATCGTGCGCGGCTGACTGAAGCACACTCAGCCCTTGTGGGAGTAGCGCAAATGCGATCATTTCTAAGCCTCGTCATAAAACCAAGACCATGACGAGGCTATTTCTCCTCATGAGGAAATATTCGCTCGTGCACTACAACTTTAGGTCCAGATGGCACAATACCTCGCTATGGCTTCGGCATGCGAGAAAGAGCCGATAGCGAGGAGACAAATGAACATAAATGGACGGATATTTTTCCTGTCTTTTGGTATTTGCGAAGATAGCAGCAACGCATTACAGACACAGGAGAGACGCGAGTTCTGAAAGCGCCCGAAAACAGCTTGGATTAGACCGAACATCTGATAGTCTCTGCCCTTTGCTTTTGATTTTACTACAGCAACGAGATGACCGTGATCAAGAACGTGGCGCTCATAGGTGCATCGGGTAACCTTGGCCCGTCTATTCTCAACGCATTCCTTAAAAATGGGAGCTTCAACATCAGCGTCTTATCTCGCCAATCTTCATCGGCAACTTTCCCGTCCTCGGTGAAGGTCTTCAAAATAGACTTCAGCTACGATTCACTTGTGTCAGCGTTCAAGGGACAGGATGCTGTCGTTTCAATAGCTGGTGGCGGTCAGCTATCCGACCAGCAGAAGTACATCGACGCTGCTATCGAAGCTGGAGTAAAGCGCTTCATTCCTTCCGAGTTTGGCAACGACACTACGAATCCAAAAACAACAGAGCTGGTGCCGCTTTTCAAGCCCAAGGCAGCGACCACGGAATATCTTGCCTCAAAGGAGAGCGAAACATTCAGCTGGACTGCCATAGCTACCGGTCCCTTTTTTGACTGGGTACGTTCGAAACGATGGGCAAATTCTTTGCCTTGAGACGTCACGCTGACAGATGCTCCGCAGGGTATGAAGGTGGGATTCTTGGGCTTCGACTTGAAGAAGCACACCGCAACGATCTGGGACGACGGCAGCGCTTCGTTCTCGACCACGAACCTTGCCACCATCGGCGACGCCGTCGTTCGCTCCCTTCTCCCGGAACATGTTGAGCAGACAAAGAACAGCCACGTCTACGTGCATTCCCACAATACCACGCAGGGCCAGATCCTGGCCACCCTCGAGAAGATCACGGACGAGAAGTGGCCGGTGCAGAGGAACGACTCGGCTCCTCTGCTCCAGGAACTGACCGCCAAACTCAAAGCTGGGAATTTCGGGCCCGAAGTCATCTACCCTCTCATTCAGACGGTTACTTTCGGCTCTGGACTGGGCAACCTCGGGGATCACAGTACCAAGTCGTGGAATGAAAAGCTTGGTCTTCCAAAAGAGGATCTGGAGGCAAATCTGAGGGAGCTATTGGCAGCATAACAAAAGAGAGAAAAAAGGCCCAGAAATAACAAGTGACGTCAACTTAAAAGCTGCCATGTTTTAGACGTTTCTAGAGTCATCAAACTATCGTTTGAGCATTTAACATCTCGTCCAAAATACCATCCTGTCTCTGTTCGTCGTGAATTCGAATCTACTCCCGTCGTCAGAAACGGGGAACATTAGCGGACTTAATTGTCTATGCTGATTAAAGGATTCAAAAAAAAAAGAACCTCGATCCTTTGTGGTTTGAGTCCTATGCAGAGTACCTTGGAAAGTACCGAACGCATTTAGTGATGTGAAACACAGATCACTTAGAGCCGGGTCACGTTTGCATTCCTGCCAGATGTTGCACGATTTTTACGACGGGAGTTATGGATGAGAATGCCACCGTGACCGTGCCAAAAAGTCCCAGCGCTAGGCTCGAGAAGGCGGCGGCTCTCGGGTCGGTGACGAGGAGCAGGGCAGTGGCGATAGCTGAAGAATTACCGCCCAATGTGACGCCTCGAGTGATGTAGTCGTCTATACGGTGTACAGATATTAGTATCAAGTTTTTTCTGATGTTGCACGTTAATCTCTCACCCGGAGGTATTCTGAGCAGATCGAGAAGCTGCTGTCCAATGATGACGCCCATTATCCCACTTAGGATGCACAACACAGCAACGAGGCTAAGGTCTCCACCAAGGTTCTGGGTTGCAGGAGTTGCGAGTGCCAATGTCAGGCTTCGCGACGGGAAGGACAATGCGCGGCTGGGAGAGATACCAATGGCGTGGCAGACGATCGGGTAGCCAAAGAGAGAGAGTATCGCTATGCTTATAGTCGGTATGACAATGGGAAAGAACTGCACATAATCAAATAGTGAGATGATGGGCTCAATTGGAGGTTTCGTGAAGATCTTACGGAGCGCTTCAACTCAGCCCGGTGTTGGTACATCGGCATCGCCAACGCCACGATGCTCACGTCCAACACACTGCTCAGAAAATCGCCGGCTCCCGGTTTAGGTGCTCCGGGCGTGCCCTTGAAAAGGATCAGATAATTGGTCTTCGTACGATAGTCTAGTAGACCCTCCCTGAATTCTTGACCGTAGCAGGCTGTAAGAATATAGATCCCCACAATGGTGATCACCGACGCCACGAGCGCGGGATGCAAATAACGTCTCCAAACGGGTGGAAGCTCGAGCGCCAGGAAGTATGCCAAGATAGTAAGGGCGAGTTGAGCAGGCATGGCGTACCCCGATGTGAGATAGATAGGCAGGCCGACCACGAAAAAGATGGTAAGGTACGTGAAGATATCAATGCGAGTGTTGATCACAGTGGCCCATCTTTGTGCGCGTGTTAAAGGAGCTCCACTCTGGCGGGTGGTTGCTAAGCGTGAAGAAACGGGTGCAAGGGAAATGTAGTCAGCTTGTTCGTGGACTGGTGGTCCCCCCGTCCCAACGATTTCCATCGGGTCTTGAGCGCGCTCCGGTGCTTGAATCTCGTCAAAATTATCACTCCGAAGGAGCGGCACACTAGACGTGTTTCTGGACTGCATTGCTCCGGTGTCTTCACCGGGCACCTGCGGTTCTGAAAGTGGAATGTTTTCGTTTCGAGCACCTAACTCGTCGGCTCTTTCGGCTAGAGCACGCTTCGAGGTTCCAAATATGAATTGGAGCCCTCGTGTCAAGTACGCCGTGAAAGTGAAGACCACCAAGTAGCCAATTACTATGCATATTCATGTTAAATCTTATCGAGCTGGGCCGAGAAACAGCCGAGAGCTTTACACCTACAATAAACGGCAACAATCTTGCCTATCTCGCGCCCACTAATGGTAGGTCCAAGAGGAATGAGTACAAATGCTGGACAAAACAGGACGTTGATATAGCGAAGGGCAAAACCTCCCTGCCATGCGATCAGCTTGCATCCATCACAGGCGGGAACTAGGCTGCAGACTGGAATATCAACAAGAGCCACCAGTTTCCTTGCTTTTCGGTCTCCTAGAACAATACTGCAACCGAGAAGAATGAAGAAGAGTAGGATCATGCACGCAACAGATGCCGGGAATGAGACATGGCTTATGGAGATGACCGAATTTACACCGAAGCAAAACAGCAGGATGATGATGACGCCGATTGGGGTGTAGATCCAAGCATTGACTTGTCGCTCCCATGACAGACGAAAGACCTGAGCATAAGATTAGTATTTACTCTTCGTTCCGTTGCCATTCGCCAAGCTATTACTGTTGTTGCAGCCTCGACAAGGTCAAGTAGAATAGGCTGCTCCAGCGCCATTGGAGGTAAAGTAATGATTACACGAGCTGTAGCGAGTTGGAGAGGATAGATTCACAGTACCGATGATGGCTACGAATAACCCATAGGTCCAAGGCGCAAGCTGTTAATTGCCTTCAGAAGTCGTGTTTGAAGCTCGTGGGACCAGTCACATAGTGTCCTAGAGATTATAGTCCGGGGTTCAAGAAGCATGCGTTAACGACAGCACAAAAGAGTATACCTGAGCACGAGCTATCTTGCCGTCGCTAGGGAGAGCAAGTCTTGGCGGATCACGACGGGGAAGAGCAGGGTTGCATGTGTCTGCGTGGTGACCCTTAGGATCCGTGGCTTTTATTCGATCTGGCGCCATCTCCACACATAACATCCCTCCTTATTCGCCCTGCCTACGCTCTTTTGTCTCTCTGTGAAGTCTGCAGCCATGGCTCTGGCTAGCAAGGCGGAGTCGAAGAACATCTTCGCCAAGCTTAACACCAAACCCGCAAACAAGGTTCGTTATGCCACCTCCGGCTCACCGTAAACTTATGGATATGCGTTCCCAACTGACCCCCGCTAACCCAATGGCAATGGCAGATCTGCTTCGACTGCGGCGCAAAGAACCCAACGTGGACGTCGGTCCCCTTTGCTATCTACCTGTGTTTGGACTGTTCGGCAAATCACCGTAACTTGGGTGTACACATTTCCTTTGTGCGATCAACCAATTTGGACAGTACGCTACTTCGCACCCATGCTACTTGGACAGCCTTGTGTGAGCATAAATTAACGGATTTGCAACAGCATGGCAATGGGACCAGCTCCGACTTATGAAGGTTGGAGGCAATGAGTCCGCAACCAAATACTTCCAATCGCATGGCGGCTCTGCGGCGCTTGCTAGCAAGGATCCCAAGACGAAATATACGTCCGCGGTAGCAACCAAGTACAAGGAGGAGCTAGCACGACGGGTCGTTGCCGATAAGAAATTGTATCCGAACGAAGTCGTCATTACCGATGTCGAGGAATCGCCAGGCTCAGGATCTCAGACTCCTGCCGGCGAGGCTCCAGAAGATGACTTCTTCTCATCGTGGGACAAGCCGACGATCAAGAGGCCTAGTAATCCACCTTCAAGGACGGCCACGCCGCCTGTAGTTAGCCGTACCGCGTCTCCCTTCTTGACCGCCGGCGCGAACGGGAACGGCTCTGCGAGGCCAAAGTCACCTCTTAATGCTGATGCGACGTCAGCACGACCCACCACCACTACCACTACGGCTATCCGTAAGACTGCCTCAACCACCTCTGGGCCCAGAAAACCCAACATCCTGGGCGCAAAGAAGAAGGGTCTTGGCGCGAAGAAAGTGACAGCAGATACAGGACTAGATTTTGAAGAAGCCGAACGCAAAGCTAAAGAGGAGGCCGAAAGAATAGCTAAGCTAGGCTACAATCCTGATGAAGAGACACCTGTTGCGCCGGCTTCAAAGTCGGGCGTTAGCGAGGAGAGTAAGATCGTTTCACCAACTCCGCTGAGTCCTTCGCGGGCAGGCGGTTTCGGTAGCACAGCCAAGCCTCGTGAGAGGAGCGATAGCGAGCTGGAGCGATTGGGAATGGGAATCGGACGATTGGGCTTTGGGCAGACAGCCGGTGCAAAGCCACAACCCAAGAAGATGGGCTTCGGTGCTGTCTCGCGTGCCGCAACAGAGGATGGTAACGAATTCCCCCTCCCCCTCAAAATCTCCTTCTTTGCTCGATCCTTTTCTAGACGTATGTGCTTTGAAATGGATGCGCCGATACTAACGGACTACCAGACGACACCAACCGCTTCGCGCGCGATAAGTTCGGCTCCCAGAAGGGCATCTCCTCGGACGAATTCTTCGGGCGTGGCAACTTCGACGCCAACGCTCAGGCCGAGGCCAAGTCACGGCTGCAGAATTTCGACGGCGCCACCTCCATCTCCTCCAACGCGTACTTTGGCAGGCCCGAGGACGACTTGCCTGCCGAAGACTACGGCGACTTGGAGACCGCCGCTAAAGACTTCGTGCGGAGGTTTGGCCTTACCGCCGGGGATGACCTGGAGAACCTGACGCAAGTGCTGGGCGAGGGCGCGAGCAGGCTCCAGGGTGCTATACGGAGTTATCTGAATGGGTAGACGAGCATGTGTATGGGCCTAGGGCAGAAAGGTAACTGGTCGTTTTGGGCCGGATTAGGGCGGATGGCTCTTCCTGACGAATGCGCTGTCTGAAATTTGAACGTGTGAACGATCCATTTGGCTATGAATGCATGCTTATAATCCGGTAGGGGCGAGGAATGAAGTAGCGGCAGCATAGAGGCAAACGTTGGTATCTGAGGCATTGGGAAATTTCAAAAATATATACATATGCGTTTTTATCCCCCATTGTCAAACTTTTTCTTTTTGTGACCGATGCTATGCAAGCGTACGTCCTTCCACTTTTGTTTTTCATTTGTGTGATGCATACCGGACATGCGACAACGCTGAACCAAAATGCAGAAATTAGGTGATGACAAAAGCGCCGCGCAAACTTCATGAAGAACGGCTCGACGGACCTTCGCTGTTTAGATTGAGGCCCTCAATTCCGTCAATCGTTACCCGGACAGCACCGGCCTGCACAAGCGCCCTTCTGAGATCGTCGATGAGATCCTCCGGGTCCTCGATTCCTACGCACAGTCTGATCAGATCCTCGGGCATCTGCCTTTCCGCCCGTGTTTTTGCGTCAATGCTGGCGTGGCTCATGCGGCACGGCATGCTGATCAAGCTATTCACACAGCCAAAGCTTACGCTGATAGCCCATAGCTTCGCTGACTCCACGATGCGCTCACTGACCGACGTGCTGCCTGTCTCAAAGGAGAGCACAGCTCCTGCGCCGCGTGCCATGGACCAGTGCAGCGTGTACTGTGGGTGCGACTTCAGGCCTGGGTAGCGCACTTTGAAACCATGCGATTCGAGAAATTCAGCGATGCGTTGTGCGTTTGCCTGCTGCTTCTCCATGCGCACACCCAGAGTTTTGATGCCTCTGAGGAGCAGCCACGAGTCGAAGGGAGACAAGCCGCATCCCGAGGCGTTGATGGTGAAGTACAACTTCTCGCCAAGGGACGTGTCGTTAACGGCAATGGCACCGGCCATAAGATCATGGTGACCGGACAGGTACTTTGTGCCAGATTCGTACACAATGTCCGCACCGAGATCGAGAGGGTTGAGCAGCATTGGCGAAAGCATGGTGTTGTCCACGACGACGAGGGTGCTTGCATTCTTCTCGTGGGCCGCAGCGGCGATTGTGGGGATGTCCACAATCTTGATGAGGGGGTTTGTGGGCGTCTCGAGGAACACCATGGCGGTCTTCTCGCTGAGGACGGCCTTCACCTTGTCCGGATTCGTCGTGTCGACGTGATGCACAATGATGCCGCCGTTGGTGCTCAGATATTTGAGTAGCCGGTTCGTGCCGCCGTACAAGTCGTCTCCAGCCACAACTTCATCTCCAGGCCGGAGGAGTCTGCTAATGACGTCCATGGCTGCCATGCCAGACGAGACAACTAGAGCTCGCTGGGCGTTCATGATCTTGGCGAGGTGTCGCTCTAGATGCGTGCGCGTCGGGTTGCCTGAGCGCGTGTAGTCATATTCCCCGCCCGAGCCATCCGCTGACGTCTGCTTGAAGGTAGCGGACTGTATGTCAATTGTCAGCCGTGAAACACTCCATTGTTAGCAGGTGAACGTACCTGATAAATGGGTACGCTGGAGGCATTGTATTGGTCGTTGCCCTCGGTGAAGACCAATTCTGTAGCCAGAGCGTACCGTCTTCCGTTTCTCGGGCTGGACGGCGCGGGGGAGGGAGGCAGGTCGTGACCATCAAGATCTACCTGCTGCAACACCCTGCTCTTCGGCTTCTCTGCACCATTGACTTGTTGAGAAGCCATTGCGACTGCGTAGTGCGTCTGATGCTGGGTCGTTGGACGAGCTGAATGGATGTGCGAAGGTACGAAGTCTTGACTCAGATCAAGACCTAGCGCAGGGAGAAAAAACTTAGGTGAATCTTTCAGCTTGTACTGTTGAAAGAACAATCAAGCCCTGTCGCCCCGGCGTCGTTCACACCAAGAAGTTGGACGATACGCAGTCGTAGTAGCAAGGCAGCATATGGATAACGAGGTGGATTTCGAAAGTGTGCGAGGATGACACTCGGTCGGTAAATGTCGTAAGTCCTGTCAGGTACGGGGATACAGGTCCAGGTGGAGCGATTTCGCAGCCGAAATCTATTGGCTGCTGAGCACGTCAGAGTGGCGGTCGAGGCTTTGTACGAAGGTGCCTTGCTTCCTCAGGCGCCAAAACGTACATTTCTGAGTCCAGCGTACGACCCGCGGGCTGGGCTCTGTGCTAAAACCGCCTCAGCAGACCTGTCGTGGATAACATTCCTATATTTGGATCTTGGGAGAGCAGTTCGAAGTAACGGATCACACGGAGCATACAAAGTCGTCGCGCTATGTCCGCCGACTGCTCCACTTAACCCCTAGCCTCGTCCTGTACACGGCACAGGATCAGAACATATAACGTGGGGATAGGACAACCCGCGCAGGGAAAAAGATGCAGCTCCGTTAGAGCAGTCAGCTTCGAGCAGTCAATGTGTGGTCAGAGCTGGTCGAACAACAAAGGAAAGGAGCCTAGCGTTGCGCAGTTGTGCTTGCTCTTGCAGTTTTACACTTGCTGGATGCTGCAAAGCTTTGCTCTACTCATTTATAACTTGACAGCCTTTGTCGGGACTAGCGTATTTTGAGAATGTGCGCGAAGAAAAGTACGGTTATCACTACTTCGATTCTCGAAGAAGAAGGGAGGTACGACTTGCTAAGATTTGTATACTGGTCGGTGTGAACCCTTATATATCCGCTTACGAATGCCACTCAAACATGGCAGGACCGCACTCATATCGTGCCGGATTATTGTGTCGCATTAAAAATAGAGAAAATCTACCTTTAAAGAAACCAACTCCCTTTTTTTATGAGCTTGTTGAGGTTAAACGACTCATTACATCCGACGTCCTGACAACACCCTAGGCTTTTGTCTCAAGAAGAAGAAAGAATTAGGGGAAAATTCAAACGTCATTCTAATGCCAAACACAGTCGCGATTTCATTCCAACGTTCGTCCTTTCACGTTTAGGAACCCCCCGCTCCGCGGCTGGCGAGGAACTTTTGGAGTTCCTTCTTCACGAACTTCGTGCCCTCCTTCTTGATCGCCGGCATCGCATACGCCATGAACGCCGCCCCTGCCTCCTTTTGCCAGTCCTTCATTGTGCTTCCCGTGGACTTTCGCCGGTCGTCCCGTGGTCGCGCATACGGGTCTCGAGAGTACGGGTCTCGCGCATATGGGTCTCGTGCATACGGATCTCGCGCGTATGAGTGTCTCCTGCGATCATCGTAACGGTCGTCGTAACGGTCGTCGTAGCGGTCGTCATATCGATCATCGTAGCGATCATCTCTGGGGTACCGTCTTGGGTCTCCTCGACGTGGCGCCCGGTCTTCGCGGTGGTCAGAATAGTAGTCTTGCGGTCGCGGGCGTCCTCGCTCCCCTCCCGAGCGATAACCGCCCTCGTCTCGGCGTCGAGGACGGTCATAATCATCATAGTCATCATAATCTCTGCGTGGTCGTGGCTGGCGGATTGAGGAGCGTCTGCGGATGTTGTCTGAACGATAACCCGGATCGTCAAAATCTAATCTGCGGCGGTCGGGGCGCCGAGGACTGGGCGGGTCATAATCTTCGTAGTCTCTACTGCGGCTGGAGGGGTCTTTATATGTGCCTTTGAAGAGAGTTAGCCGGTTGGTCTTTGCTCTGCGGAAGTGATTCCAGAAGTTGTCGTCACTGCTTGTATATGATCGAGCGACCTGCGACAGTTTGCGACATCCCATGGGATCAACCGCATGGCGTGGAAGAGGGTTCCGTACGTCGTCTCCTAATGGGAGGATCGGCAGCAGGTACCGCATCTACTCCGTACTCGACTGCATCCCGCGGTTTGCCTCTCAACGGCAGAACGTGATCTCGCGGTTTCGGCCCACCATACTCCTCGTCATCGTCTGGGTAGGGCTTTGTGGACGGATGTGCCTTCCTTGCCTTCCTCAGATTCTCTCCCTCATCGCTTTCGTAGCCATCTCGCTTGGCCCTGAATTTGTGATGATCTTCTCCGGTCTTGTTCTCAAGATCATGCTTTGCTAGCGGCGGGGCATGCCGCGACCGTGTGTATCCATTTTCGTCGTCAGAAGTCTGTAGGCGTACGTTAGAATCTCGCCTTGGTCGGCGGCGTTCTCGCTCGCTGGGTGTTTCTTCTGGGTCTAAAAGGATGGAAGGGCGGCGTACTTGCGCAGGTGGAGGAGGCGGTGGTGGAGCGGCGGCGGCAGGTACCTGAGCTGGGGGAGGAGGCGCGCGTCTGTCGTCGCGATGTGGCCGTGGTCGGGGTGGTGGGTAGTCGTCTACGTCTGTGTCGCTCTCGTCGTCGTAATAACGTGGTCGTCGATGGCTGTAGCGGGGTCTGTCCGCCATTGTCGCTCTCCACGCTCAAATTCTGCCCGCAACTTCGAACGGAGAGCAAATGAAAAGATGGGGGTTTCTCGCGGGCCAAAGAATAAGAGAGAACGTTGAGAAGCGAAGACAGTGCGCAGCAATAAGTATCATGCGTGGTTAAATCATTCAGCACACAGGAGGGCCTCAGCCGCCAAATCACAGGGTCCAAGCCTCGAGCACGGTGAGATCATCTGGTGGGGTTGTCTTGGGCTCAATGTCCCTCCTTCGGAGACGAACGGCTCCGGAGGTGGCCAGCAAGGCGAAGCGCACGCATGAACACGGATTTCCAAAGCTGTCGTGACTTGATCACCCGTCACAAAACGTTGAGCCAACGTCGTGCGACCTAGCTTGATGAGCGTGGGGAGAGCTCATGTGCCTCTACAAAACAGTCCTGTATCAGACGAGCGAGTTCGGGCGATTCCGCACCCACCCCAAGCCTATCTTTGATGTCCAAAACCTCCCTTTCGCCGTAATCGCAGATGGATCAGCTCCGTCTTGTTCGTATCCATCCACTGACCATAGGTTCAGCGCAGGCAAACCATCCGATACGCCAGGACAACACGCCGAAAGCAATCTCACGTTCCAAGCGATGGCCGACACCATCGAACCGGTCACGCAAAAAATTCTCGCTTGTCAGCAGCTGAAGTTCAATCTAAGCCTCATCTCTGTGCACTCTCTTTCGTTGGACTCCACAGCCACACCTCGAGCTCCTTCTCGTCCAAACCTTGCGGCTTATCTTCCACTTTCGTATGCCACAGGAATGAATCACCATACAGCGTGTGACATTTAGGATCGGCCATGATCCTTCGCGCTTTCGTTGTTTCCGGATGCCGTTCTCCTTTGGACCTGTTCGTCATTTCATGTTAGGTGACCATGTGACAAGCTCAGGCAGCGGCCAGCAAAACGTACAGGCTCAATTGTTTGTAGCATCGCTCCGCAAATATGCTCGCTCTTGCCTCATCTGCATGTGCCAGTGCGATCTGACACGCGTAGTAATAACCTTTGCCTTCGTAGCTCCCTCCAATGTTTTCCTCTCGGAGAAGATCGATATAGCGCTTCGTGGCAAGCAGACAGCTCGATGGATCGTTATATAACTCCTTCGCAATCAAATCCTCGAACATCTGCAATTTTACACGTCTTATATCGGAAGCGCATCGTTCGTTCATCGGCACAGAGCACAGGGGGCAGTCACAAGTAAAACCGTACTCATTCCGAAGCTGAGCTTGACGCTCTTTGTAAGTGTCCAATGTGTGGAGATAGTCCTGTGTTATCCTTTGTTCATGGTTAGCTCCACTTCATCCTTCAATAATAACGTGTCTTAACGAACTCTTCCTGCGCAGGAATGTCTGAAATGGCATGCAAGACCATGCGCTGTGAAACCCCATCCCAAGCGGCCTCAACATTGGGTCTGCAGGAATGATTGATCAGACATGCGTGGCTGAATACGCCCAGGCCTTCGTCATCAAGCACAAATGCGTTCGTTCTCACTATTCCCACAAGCTTTGGGAACTCCTCTGGAAATGCATTGTGCATATTCGTCACGGCACTCGCATCGTCCGGCGACACATCCTCCAGCTTTTTGGCAATGATGTCCTCCAGCTTGTCAAAGCTTTGAGCTGCCTGCGCGAACTTGAGGATGAGGATTGGCTTCTCTGAAAGAATCCGTGTGCCCCTTGCGATGGGTACTTGGGCTCGAATCCCTCTGCCTTTATTTGGGATGTTGACAATTGCATATATTGGTGTCGATGCCAGAGTTTCTGTCTTAGCATCTTCCCGCTCTGAACTTCCCTCAAATGGAACTAAAGATAGTCCCGGCATCTTGGGGCCCTCCAAAGAATTGAACTATACAGATTCGACTCAGGAACCTGGAAAAAGAATGGTAGTTTCTTAATGTGCTAGTAGTGATCGTGCCGTTCCTACGTCCGCCAAGAATGTGAAGAATGGTGTCATGGTCCTACAGGCTTAGGCTTTCTGGACTTCCTCTGCGATTGAAAATGAATAGACTATGTCACATCATGAAGCAAGCACGGGTTGTGTAGTTAAAATGCTATTTGGGTGTCTTATGACGAGGGATAAATTGCTTTCTGTGAATCCAGAGACTGGTTGCGGTTCTTTCCGTATCGTACCGCGTCGAACCTTTGCGAAAAGTGAAGGTACCGTCGAAGCTCAGCCCAACGATATCAGGCAGCGGTCTGACGGGATCTCTTGCGGCATCTGAAAACGTTTTGTGGTGACAAAACGTCTAATTACAAGCCACATATGAGGCGATTATTTCTCTGTGAAAATTATTGGCCACAAGTGTGCTAAGCACGATTGAATACGAGCTATTTTAGTGTCAATCTCGCATTCATCACAGGGCTACGGATATTGATGAGTGAAGATGTACAGCATAAAAGACCCAGCTACATGATATGACACAGACTTGTGGTTTTCAACAGCTACATTCCGCTCTCGATTATGACGCGCTTGTAGTGACAGAGATAGACCTTTAGAATCTCTCAGCTACAACGAAGTAGAGCAGAGCAAGTTCGTAGCCTGCCGTGTTTAGCAAGATACAATGGAAGCAAATGAAAGCTGGCCGCATGGTTGTCGTACCTCAGTAAACTGAGTCGACCGTAAAGCCGCTAGCTCCGGGTGGCGCCAAGACTTCCCACCATAATTCGCCCCAAGTCAAAGTGAAGGCTTACTTTTGCTCGCAAATCGAGGCCATACCACACCACCAAAGCACATACAAACACATAGAGCAAGTGAAAGCAATTTTTCAATATGTCTAAAGTTGCAGGGTATGATGTGCGCGTCCTTCTAGTCTAAATACAACTAACGAGCCATAGCCGCACCGACTGGGCGGAGGAAGAGGACGACGTTCTCGATCTTCCCGCACCCCAGGTAACCAAGAACAAGGACGGCACCGAGACGATTGTCTCATACCGGATCAACGACCAAGGCCAGAAAGTCAAAGTCACACGCAGAATACGAAAGAAGGTTCTGAGAACCGTAGTGAACCCTCGCGTTGCAGAGCGCAAGACATGGGCCAAGTTCGGCGATGAGAAGGGCAAGCCGCCGGGCCCGCAGACGGACACGACGAGCGTGGGCGAGAACATCGTTTTCAGGCCGATGGTCAACTGGAGGGCGAGCCAAACGGCGGAGGCAGACCCGATCGAGCAGAAGAAGGCGACGCTGAAGGACACGAAGATCAAGTGCAGAATCTGCTCGGGCGAGCACTGGACGTCAAAGTGTCCGTTCAAGGACACCATGGCCCCCGAGGGCGAGCCAGGCGTTGGCGGGGACTTTGGCGGTTCGGCTGGCGATGCTCCCGCAGCAGCAGGAGGCATTGGCTCGACCGGTGGCAGCTACGTGCCGCCGCACCTGCGAGGCAAGGCAGGCGTCACTGGCGAGCGCATGGGCGGAGGCAAATTCCAGGATCGCGACGATCTGGCTACGCTACGGGTCACGAACGTGAGTGAGTGGGCAGAAGAGCAGGATCTGAGGGACATGTTCTCGAGGTTTGGACACGTGCAGCGTGTCTTCTTGGCCAAGGATAGGGATACAGGTAGGGCGAAGGGTTTTGCGTTCATCTCCTTCTCTGACCGGAGCGATGCGGCAAAGGCGTGTGAGAAGATGGACGGCTACGGTTACAACAATTTGATTTTGAGGGTGGAGTTTGCGAAGAAGTCCGGCTGAGTGGGATCGGAGGCGATCGTGCTAGGCATGTGAGATAATCGCCGTGGCTTCGCAATCGATAAGATTGCGGGCGTCTACAACGACAGATGGATAGAAGCGCAGGCTCCATAACGTGTGTGGCATGCGACGAGCTGGACTGGCGCTGAAAGGCGTCTTCAAAATGGGGGCTTTGGGGGAGGAAGCGAAAAGGCGGATTAGCCACCCGTTACGTTTTCTTTAGCCTTGCCAGCATACGGTAGCAAATAGTTTTTTGATGAACACCGGGACTGTACCACCACTCCAATCTTACAGGCCGACTCTGTGTCCCTCCAGGCTGTCAAATGTCTCTCCCAGATGCCATCCAGCAACCGAACGAGCTGAGCGACTCAAGTCCCTGCATGCTACTCCCTGCACGACTCAGGGAACGGCTCCAGTCTCAATCTTACCGCAGCCGCGTCGAAGCTTCGGCGCAGACGTTCTAGAAAGAAAAATCAACGACAAGCCTCGCACAGCACCCAACGCTCGGAAGCGAGAGCCATGTGCGCAAAAGAGACGATGACAGCGGTCTTTGCATGTGCGAGCAACGGCAAAAAGGCCCGAAAAAAAAGGAAAGAAAAAACGGATAACAAGATCAATTAAGGTGGGCGGCGGCGACAGCGAAAGGAACGGCGGCGATTGGCTGGGCGCAAGACACCCGTGCGTGCGAGTGTAAACGGCATAGACTTTTGCGAAGGAGGAGAAAAACCCAATCTCTCCTGAAGCACACCTTGCGGCCGATCATTGCGAAGAGACGACAATCTCCCAGGGATAGCAGCGCTTCGCAGCGCTGGACTCTGATGCTCGTTGCGAGGGCAGACGGAGCCCTGCCTTTTGGGCCTGCTGAGCGGCGGAAGACGAAGCCAGAGTTGCTGGTTGTCTCGCCGTGGCATGTAGAAAAAGGCACCCGACCTGCGCGTGTTCGTCCTTTTGCACAACCTTAATCGTAATCCTCTGTCCTTTCGTTTTGGGTGCTGGTGTTTTGCTCGACTCTCTCTCTCTCTCTCTCTCCCTCTGTTTCTTATTCTCCCTCTGCCTCTCCAAGGACACAAAAAGTGCGCTGTCGTGAACAGCCGCCGTCGTCATCGCCTACCCTCCCCCCAATTCCCTCTTTACTTCTTCTGTGCCGACCTTGCTTTGCGCGACATCCGCGACTTCGATTCTCGACCCTCGCTTGGCCAAAGAGCAGCCTTTGTATTTTATTTCTTCATTCTAAAGTTGCGAGGTCGGCACCGCGTTTGGCCATTTGCCCTTGGCTATTGTGCGCGCTCACAGGAAACGGGTTTGAGGTTTCCCACGCGCTGCACAATCAAACCATCCACGCCGACCCACTTTGTGCGGCTCCCCCTTTGGACTTTCTGCACACGTCGCAGTCTGAAACGACCGCCAACTCACCCTTTTCTTTCTCAATGAGAATCGTGGACATGGACGAAAAAGAGAGGCCCTCGGGCGATAGCCCTCGCTTGAATGCGTCCTCTTTGTTGCCTCCTCCAGCGACCGAGCAGCAAAAGCGCGCTCTTCGGATTCCGTCCGCCGTATACGTGACGTAAGTGCAAGACCCAGCAAATTGAGTCGACACCCATTGCAACGGCTGCAGAGTGTTGCGCACAAGTTCTACAGAGCAACAATTATGTGCCATGGCATGAACGAGCACTCGTTACTCTATAACATCCCGCCTTGGGACGATGCAGCGTGGCTTCAATGCAATGATCGATCCTCAGCGCCGCGGCTAACAACCGGAGCAGTGCTTGGATAGCAGCGAGCAGCGGTACCATCCTCTACAACAAGTGGCTTCTGGACACCCTCAACTTCAGTATGCATGCCCCTGAGTCTGCGTTCAGAAATGCTTGCTAACGAATCGCGCAGGATACCGTAAGACCTGACTGCACGCTGCCGTCCGCTGCACAGCGATGAATGAACTGACCAGACGCAAGCGATCATCCTCACAACATGGCACATGCTCTTCGCAACGATCATGACGCAGATCCTGGCGCGGTCGACCAACATGCTCGACTCCCGCCACAAGCTGAACATGAACAAGGACGTTTACATGAAGGCCATCTTTCCGATCGGCTTCTTCTTCAGCCTGAGCTTGATCTTCGGCAACAAGGCGTACCTCTACCTCTCTGTGGCTTTCATCCAGATGCTGAAGGTTTGTCGACAGTAACGCAGCGTCAGCTGCTAGGGCGGAGGAAACTGACAAAACCCATGTCTAGGCGACGAATCCCGTGGTGGTGCTCTTGATCACCTGGGGTCTCGGCTACAAGCCCTTTGACGGGAAGACACTCGCCAATGTGTCCGTCATCGTCATCGGCGTCATCATCGCCTCCTACGGCGAGATCAAGTTCGTCCTCGCCGGTTTTATCTGCCAGGCTCTCGCGACAGGCTTCGAGGCCACACGTCTCGTACTCATCGAGCGCCTCCTGAGCGCGTACAAGATGGATGCGCTCGTCTCGCTGTACTACTACGCGCCCGTCTGCACGGTCATGAACCTCGCTGCGAGCTTGTACTTTGAGTCCCCGACCTTCAGCTGGGACCGGGTTACCGAGGTTGGCTACTTCAACATGATCGCCAACGCCGGAATTGCCTTTCTCCTTAACGTCTCGCTCGTGCTCCTCGTACGTTCTCCCAAAAAATTCTAAAATCTTCCCCGCTCGGGCGATGTACCGTACTGACAAAACTTGCGCGTAGATTGGCAAGACCTCCTCGCTCGTGCTCACACTGTGCGGCGTTTTGAAGGACATCCTCCTCGTCGTAGCATCTATCCTGATCTGGGGCACTCCCGTCACCGCGACCCAGTTCTTCGGCTACAGCATCGCGCTGGGCGGCCTGGTTCACTACAAGCTAGGTGCCGAAGCCATCAAGAACCACATCATGGAGGCAAACCGCAACTGGCAAGAGTTCGGGCAGAAGAAGCCCGCCGCCAAGCAGGGGATCATCATTGGCACCGTCGTGCTCACCATCTTCATCATGGCTGGCGGTCTGGCGCCCAGCTTTGCGTACAGAAGCGGCACGTACGTGAAGAGCTTGTTGGGAGGGAGCCAGGTCAGCTCATGAGGCTTTTGTGGTCTGGGTACTAACGCGTGCGGAAGAGAGTGGCGCAATACATGTTACATCAGATTTTCTTCTTCTCTTTCTTCTTTACACGGGAAACGGGAAATGGAAAAAAAAGTCGATAGAGCTGCATCACTACTTCCCAGTACAAATTTTCCCCTTCAGGTGGGGTTTTTTTTTCTCGGTGTTAGCCTGGAGTCCCTATTAAGAACTCTGGCCGTGTAGTTCTTTCTTTTTCATCAGTGAGGATAAGAAGAAAAAATAAGAACAAAAAAAATTGCAAAGCACGGACTGAGCCATAAATTGCTCTCTATGTGAACCTAACGAAGAAAAAAAAATAATAAAAAAAAAATGGAGTGAAGCCTAAGCCCAGTTTTTCGAGCCGCGCGAAAGAGTTTCCGCTCGGCCGGTCTGCTTCTGCCCCTCTGCGAGCTTGAATCGCGGCTTGGTGGGGCAAAAGGAGTCTTTTGATGATGCTTTTCAACGAATTTGCGGAGTGCGGCCTCACCTCATCCGACTTTTGATCAAAGAGGATTCTTGACAAATGAGAATAGAAATTTTTTTTCTTCTTCTGGAGGTCGGTCTCACACGAAGGCGTTTCTCGAGTAACAGGCGGGATGGCGGGTTCACACAGCTTAACAAACGGAGCTTTGTCTTCATGCTACGGAAGCGCATTTGCGCAAATGTGCGCGGGTCAAGAAAAGGGAGAATAGGAAAGAAAACAAAGGTTTCGGCAGCATGAAGAGAAGTTGAGCTCTTGTCATTCATTCGTGCATTGTGGTCCCCAAAGGCCAATCACTCACGGCTATGGCCGACGTCTTGATAAAGAAAAAAAAAATTTTTTTTTTGTGACCGCCCAATTCTTGTAGTTGTACTTCATTTTTGTTTGAGTGGAACCTCCCCCGGCTCGTCTATCTTTTTTTTCCCATTCATCCAAAGGGGAGGGGAATATGCGGCCGGCAATGACGACGATGACACAGCGTCAACTCATTTATTTGTGGCCCTCGCCGCAAGAGACGATCTTGACGGTACCTTTGGGGGTACCGGAAGCGGAGCCGACACTCTCAATGTTCTTGACGTGCTGCATCGACGTCTCGTCCGCGACCTCGCCAAAGACGACGTGCTTGCCGTCCAGCCAGCTGGTGACGACGGTGGTGATGAAGAACTGCGAGCCGTTTGTGTTCTTGCCGGCGTTGGCCATGGACAGGAGGCCAGGGCGGGTGTGCTTGTACTTGAAGTTCTCGTCCTCGAACTTCTCGCCGTAGATGGACTTGCCGCCGGTGCCTTTGGGCACGATACCGTCAGCTTCGCTCTCAAAAGGGTTGTACGAAAGGTGGGAGGGGCCTTGCGTTCGCAGGGACAGAAGGCTTACCATTGCCGCGGGTGAAGTCACCACCCTGAAGCATGAACTGGGGAATGATGCGGTGGAATTTGGAGCCGGCGTAGCCGAAGCCTTTCTCGCCAGTGCAGAGGGCACGGAAGTTCTCAGCTGTCTTGGGGACGTCCGCGCTGTACAGGTTGAAGTTGATGGGGCCCGAGCCACCCGGGTACTCGACGATGAAGTGAACTGGAGTAGTCATCTTGGGAGATTTCGCGCGAGTTGGAGGAGAAAGCAACGTGTGGTTGGGGGGGTGGGGGGCGGTGCTTGCACAAGGAATTGAGGTTGAATTGGGGTTGGGGGGAAAGATGAAAAGGATTTGCGGGAAAATGACGACGTTTTATAGCTCCAAGTGGCATCAAGTGGGCTGGCAAGTGTAAGTGGGAACAAGGTACGGGTGTGCCCCTCGTTGCCCCTCCAGGCCAGACGCGCGCTAACCCCGATATGGATCGTAGATGTTTACTTGGCTCGGGAGTGTCAGGCGCCGTCGTCTTGCCATGCTTGCGCGTTTGTTCAGCCGTACGACGAGAGCGCCAGTTTGCTTCGCTTCTGTTGCTTTCACAGCCTCGTCGCGCGTGCCGTCGCGGCCACACATGCTGGGCAAGGAAAGCTGCCTGTTTGGACCTGTCGTGCGAAGCGCTCACTTCATCTGTCTGGGACCATCTCCAATACCCCACCCCCTGCACCAAGACAGCAACAGAAATAAGACGTTTGCCAGCTTTCTCTCACAAGGAATCCAGCTTTGTGAACGAACGACAGCCTACACACACGTGTATACATACATATTTCTTGCTCGATCTCGTCCGTGCGTAAGGAGGGGGTCTTGTACAGCCACTTCACCCAGCCGCTCATCGTAAGCGCGAAAGTTCACCACGCAAAGAACTGGTCCCAACATTCACCAGCCGGGCTATCCCAAAGGATGACGTCGCATCCGGCAGCAGCAGGCATTCTGGCAACTGTAGAGAAGTGAGCTGCCCGTCAAACTGAGGCTAGGTTGCGTGCGTTGACCAATGTTCCAAAAAGTGCCTTTCAGAGCGGGGTCTTCTCCGATCTCACCATCCAGTGCCACGGCCATGTCTTCAAGGTTCACAAACTCGTCGTCTGTGGCCAATCTGAGTGGTTCGCAAAGGCAGTGAAGCAGGATGGATTCCAGGTCAGTGCTCGCCGTCTAATGTTCCGTCCGACTAGCGATCTGTAAAACAGCAACTGAAGATTCTATCCTTCTTCTTGTTCAGGAAGGCCAGACAAACGTAATTAATTTGCCATTTGACGACCCTCTTGTAGTGAAGGCGCTACTGCAGTACCTATACACATTCGACTATACCGTTCCAGAGGATCTGGAAGCATCGATTGTTTGTAGTCAAGCGCGAACATTACAAAAGAAGACACCAGCGCGGTCGCAGTCCGGAGACACCGAGCGGCAGGAACAGCACCATGGCCAAGATGACTCTGTCGTCGGCCAAACAAGCCCTTCTCTTACGTATGGAACCGATACAGACCTGACCGGAGCAGCAGTCGAACCTTCAGCGCTCGGTATCGGAAGCTACAGGCCCGAAAGTCACGTACATTATCTATGGAGAATGTACCGTCGCTCTCTACGTCCAAGAATGGACGCTGAAGATGAGTTTGGGGAGAATGTGGATGACGCCTCGACTGCGAAGATCGAGGCCTCCAGGGCGGAGTATGATGATCGTGCGTTACTCACCATGCTTTTCCATGTCAACGTATATGCGTTAGCAGACAGGGTCCAAAACAAACCACTCAAAATGCTGGCAGAGCAGAGATTCGAAAAGCTGGCAAAAAATCAATGGAAATCGCCAGACTTCCCAGCCGTAGTTCAGGCCATATATGATGTTGTGCCTCCAGGTAGGGAGGGGGACTCTCTGCGTAATATGATTGTTAGGTTGGTCGTATCGCACGCCAAAGAATTATTCAGTCTCGACCGCGGCTTTACCGCGATGCTTCAGGTTACGCCAGACTTTGGGACGGACTTAGCAAGAGCGCTTAGCGGCGCTGGTGTGTCGACGAAGGGACCAGAAGCCAACGTCGACTTGGAGGAACTGTGCTGCAGACAGTGCATGTTCACAATGAAAACCATTTTGAAACCTGCTATGTCAATACTTACGTGCCCCTTATGCAGATGGCACGGCAATGTGGAGGTCTGGAGAAATGGGTCGAAGGAATAAGGTGTCCTGGAAAATGGACGGACAGGTCTCCTACCCTGGTGGCGATTGGGAGCTCCAGACCTTGGAAGACTCGGCTTTAGATTTAGTAATGTGAGGGTTCGACGAATGCGCTCGCTGTGTCGATCATGCGTCTTGCGAAAAACACGGGGAAAAACCCGACCATGCAAGCCTGGAAAAACAGATCGGGGTCAAAAGCCATGTGAAAGGGAGGGCTACATGGGCCGTCCTGATTAAGTTGGGTTTGTGGCGACACGAAATGGTTCATAGCGTAAGGAGCGGTCGTTGATAATGATGGGACAGTTTGAGTTTCTACAGGATGTCCGAACGGCAATATTGCCATTCTCGACGACGCATGGATATGCGGGAGGACATACGGTTCGGACCATGCGTTGGAACATACCAATCGCAAACAATCCTGATTCCGCGTCGCAAATCCAATCAAAACGTAGAAATGCGTATACGAGGATGCTCCCCACACCGTACACGGCGGCTTAAGGTGGAGCATTCCTCACGTCAAGATCGGAGGATCTCCGTTAGTCACGGATCCTGGACTGAGCTCATGGCCCAATCACGTACAGGCCGCAGTTCTGAAACTGTAGTTCATTTTGTCTTCAGATCAGGAGAAAAACGCTCTCACGTTCACGCACGTCAGGATTAGGCTCCGTTGTTGGGGAGATGAGCGACAAAGTGCCGGCGAATGTTACTCTGGCCCTTTTTTGGGCCAGTGCAAACGTTAAGCGATCGTTGACCCGTCGATCCACACTCTTCTCCGCACACGAGGCGAATCATCGACATCGAGGAACGGCTCCCTGGTTGAGCCACACGCTTCCGGTGGTTTCGTTGCTCGACGGTGAGTGGCATCCTCACCGTCTTCGTGACGGGTCGATTATCTTTTCGAGTCCGTCGGCTCAAGTTCTATGATTAGAGCTTAGCTGGTTACAGAAAACGATTGTGGAAGAAAACTCAAAAATCACTAGACTTCTCGCCCTGCGCATGGCCTAACGCCCTCGTTCGAACGGTGCGCATTGTGTAGAAGATTGAATCCCTGGATCTGCTCCGTCTGCTCCTACTGGCCGGGAAACCCCATCAAACAGCACGTCGACGCCACTGCTCTCGCTCGGCCTCCGCTTTGAACTGTTCGATGCCAAACCCCAATAGGCAAAGGGGCCATATAACCTGCGTTTGCGGAGCATACCATCCGCGCAGCCACTCGTCATCGTGCTGAGGGCAGCCTGTCAGATCTTGTTCGGAGCATTTCGATGGCTGCAGCCATGAATCCAACCCCTGGTTCCCCTTGACTCGCGGCACGGGCTAATATGGAAGGACGGCAAACGCCTTTCCACGACCGATGGTGTGTGCTTTGACTGCAGGTCACCACAGGACGCTCCTGGGCTGGTTTGGTGTACAGAGACACTGAACGCTATGGACAGCTCTTGCTCCCATCATGCTCACGACGCAGCCGTGTTTGAAATTTCCACAGTCAAAACAGATTTTTCTTTCCCTCACTCTTGCATCTTTATAGTCAAGCCTGATCCTGCCGCCAACTCAGTTCGAATCGCCATGTATTCGCAGATGCCTGGATGACCGAACTCCAGATTTGCCCACCATGGAGGCAGGGAATGTCCCTTCGGCGGGGCTTCAGATACGCTCGATATTCCAGTATACCCCAGCAGTCCTCGCTTCCTATCCACCCCCAAATTATGTCAATCCAGCAAAAAGAGGACCTTTGCTCTATATTCTCAATTCAATTTTCTTCACGTGCATGATAACGTGTGTCACGTTGCGCTTCTATGCTAGACTGTTTGTTCGGAAATGGTTTGGCCCGGACGATGTGTTCATCCTGTGCGCTGTTGTACGTCGGTCTCTGAGCCTGACAGACCATACTCTGATCAGACTGCGCGGATTTGGTTGACTGACGGCCACTGACTCTACATTTAGGTTGGCGCGATCGGCGTCACCGCCGTCGTTATGTTAGGTTTTCACGAATACGGCTGGAACTTGCACGTCTATGACATTCCACCGACGAAATTCGCGGGTAGGCAAATCTTTCTGGCTCTTGCTTGTATTGCTGTGTGATTGACATAGTTGGCAGGAGCGGCACAGGTTCTCTTTGCCTCAAAAATTCTATGGTCGTTCACATCGAATTCCGTTCGAGCGTCGGTAACGTGTCTATATTATCGACTCCTGACTCATGTTGGTACGGTCCAACACCGCTGGATATTGCACGCCAACAGTGCGTTCATTCTTCTGCTCTTTCTCACCCAGCAGATAACAGTCGTGTTCGCATGCTGGTATGTGGCTTTTTGTTTTGCAATAGCGAAGACGATTGCTGACAGCCCCTAACTTATAGGCCAATCAGCTTGAATTGGACGATCCCCTTCACCGCAAAGGGCGAGGTAGGTTCGATAGGAGCACAAAGGCGACAGTGCTAATGACGGATCAGTGCTTCGACAATGGCATGGCTTTGTTCACGACGGCGGTTCTCAACACCCTTTCCGAAGCAATCGTTGCGGCTCTACCGCTTCCCATTATTCTTTCACTGAATCTCAGCCGTCGTCAACGCAGAATCACTATCGGAATGCTCTGCGGCGGGTTTGTGGTCGTTATTGTCGGTTGCGTGAGGGTATATTATCTATGGGTTCTACTTGTAACGCACGACCCGTCATGGTGGTCTCAACCTCATTGGATCTGCAGCGAAGTAGAGATGGATGTCGCCATCATCTGTGCCTGCGTGCCCGCCATAACGCCCGTTCTGAGACGCGTGTTCAAGGGTGGTTGGCACGCCGCCAAAAGAGTCAATCCTTCCTTCTCGATGGCTCGCAGCGATCTCTGCGCACATCATGCGCGATCCTTGTTCAGCAGGCTCAAAGACCATAACTCTTTGACCGGCCTTTCCGAAAGCACAAGCCGATCTAATCGATCTCGTCGATCTAATCAAGCCTTGAGCCTCAGGCACGAGATCGATCTTGAAGGCATCAGTAATGATGGCTACGGATATTCCGTCACCATCACCACTGGACGAGGAACGAAAGTTAAGCGACGATGGAACATTCGGAACAGAACGTGGCACTACTACCCAGAGGAGCCCGTGTCCGAGGCCGAGGATGAGCGCTCTTCTGTGCAGGACTTTAGAAAGAAGACCATGGTTTCTCGAACCAATAGCAAGGGGGAAATAATTGAATCAGAACATGACACAAGGAATTCCGGCAAGCAAACTATTGAGGTCAGAACAGAAACGGCATTTGACGTGAGGGAGAGCTTTCATTCCGAGAAATTCGACAGAGGTTTTGATTTCAGAAATCCGTACAGGAGCGCTATGCCGGGAAAACACGAAGAAGATATCGAGATCGCACTGCAACTGCCTGCGGCTGAAGCTAGCGACTGGTCTCTGTTCGACGGCGAGGTCAATCGTCTCATGTCCGCACGACTACTCCCTGAGGAATCGGACCTCCGCAACAATATGGACAGCCAAATGCAAGACATTCCGTCATCACCTGTTTTGCCCGAATCGGCCCGATCGCGCCAGAGGACTTCTCCGTACGAGTCGCGACAGTATTTTGGGCGACACAAGAGGCGAAGCTTGGATTCCTTTGGACCACAGTCTAGTTCGACACGAGGTTCACAGGGCCACCGCGTCAGCCACAGCGACCACGATGCCCATCCTGGAGGTCCACTCTCACAGGGGACGGCCAACCTCGAGCGAGATGTGAAGCTTCACTCAGCGCTACGAGCCCTGGTCAGTCCACGTCCGACTCCAAGCCTACCTCCGCCTGCACGTATGTCGCAAAGATCACGAGCTCTCTATCCGATGAATTCGTCAAGGATTTGGACGTCCGCGCCTGCTTCCTCGCAACAGGAAATGAATTCCGTAGAGCGCGATGTCTCACATTCAAGCAGAAATTCGGAAGGCAACCGTCGTACGGGCTCTGTCAATCTGGAACCAGCCCAATCCCCCGAAAGAGCTTGTTCGAGAGGAGGTAGCCATCGATCCAGCTTGAGGGCTGAAAACGGCAGCGGAATCAGCACTAGGGTGCAAGACTTTCGCTTCCGTCCACCTGCCCCGCAGGAGAGGGACGAGCTTAGCGACGAAGAATTCACCCTGCCGCTGCAGAGACCGAGCCCGAGAAGTTCGAGCTCGCATCAAAGACACCAAGACCTCCCGCCGATTGTTCCTGAAATACACATCATGGAATGCACATGAGGATATACAGTATGTGTAGCTTTGCGCCTTAATGCTTTAATGATACGCACAACTATAAATATTATAGTTTAAATCAATGGGGTCTACTCTCGCGAGCAGGATTTGCTATTGCCTTGACCTGATAAGGCGGCAGATACAGCTTGGCCCAAATAGCGAGTGCACAACTCGTTACTTCATCTTTTCCTTCTGATCCAGTGCAATATGTCGAACAAGCACATGACGTCGCTCAAGTTCATGTCCTGAGCCTCTTTGTATCCATCCTCTCAGTGCTCGATGTACCTGGTGTAACTTCCTGAGTGTCATTCGACGGACTCCCCGTGCTTTCCTCGGTCAAGTATGCCGCACGAGCTCGACGAATTTCGATTGTCGGATGCGTTGCACACACCCTAAGCGCCCAAGCTACAGCATTGTCGCCGTAAGGTGACGAACATGCCCTGGAAGACCGAGCTTTATTAATACACACACGAGCTCTAACCAGCGTGGTATTTACGCTGGAATGAGGACCGAGCTGCTGGCATAGGAATTAACCGTCTCCGCTTTTGAGTCGCAAGCTCCTTCCAGAATCCCGACCGCAGTCTGTCTTTCAGGAGTTGATAGAGAGACTTTTTCCCTGTTTCCTTCAGCGTCCAAAACCTACTGTGCAAATTGGCCATTATCGCTTGCTGCATCCGGTGCTAAAAACATGCGAGTATGTGCTTGTACTGCGGCTCAGAGACGTTTCTGGACAGCTACCAATTCTCAGCATTGCCATGCTTCTAGCTGCGAATGGGTACAATGCATTATCTTTGCCTGCGATGATATCGAAAAACTTGGTTTCTGTCATGCTACTTCGTGCTTGAGGCATAAATTCGTCTTCGCTTTCCTTCGCAAATTTCTCTCAAATCGCTATCGTTTTCCAACGTTCGAGGGATCAGCACAATGGAATCCCTAGGATCCCCAATCGGTGTACTCTCGTATTTGTGAGAGGTTTACTTTGATCTTCTATCGCGTAGTAGTATTAGGGTTGAAGCAAAGGCTCAAGTTGATACGTCTTGACATATGCCTCTTTGACGTTCAAAGTTGGCTACAGTTATCGTGGCGCAACTCTTCACGGGTTCTCGTGCTGGCTACTGGGCGAGCCTGTGGAAGTTGACCCAGGCACGTCACGTTTGGTTCTTATGCGGCTTATATTACCTCATAATCGGTCTGCACTTCAGTTTGTTGGCTTAGCCGTTTCTTATGCTTCTTCGCGAAACGCTCGTGTTCTTCCCTTTTAGGCCTCTCTTGTGCCTTTGAAATCTTCTCCAGTTCGTCCATCACACGTCGTTCCCGTTCTAGCTTATCCTGCCCTGCCCCTGTAAACCTCTCACTCGAGTCTTTCCAGCTGCTCCATTCCATGCCTTTCCTGCCTCTCGTTCTTGACGTGACGAAGCTTACCAAAGAAGGCAAGGCACGCGGGTTAACCCAAGTTATAAACAAAGAAAAGACGGTAGTGCGTCCACTTCTTCTCATCAGGGCTCTGCATCTCCTTTTGGAAAAGCGACGATTTATCGCCCTGCTAAATCAGATGAGCCAGCTGTCTGAGTTTTTTCTGGTAACTGCGGGAGGTCGAAGAATAGCAACAAAGCGCAACATGATTTCTTCACTCCAGACCCAAAGCTGCTGAGCTGCTTGAGACAATAGCCTTTGAGAAAACACCACAATGATTGGTCGAACATCGAGGTGGAAATACACGTGGCTTCTTAAAATACCTGCCTTTTCTCCACCATTTCTCAACTCATTGAGAAGCCGCGGTAACCCTACTGAACTCATCCATGCAAGTGGGGCTGACAAAATCGCGGAGATCCACTCCATCTCTCGCAGGAGTGCTGGATCACACAAACCTCCCAACGGAATGAGGACAAGTGGTTTCCGAGATAATTTGATATCGTGGGCTATATCAAGAACTGCTCACTTGTAATAACCCCTCCAACCTTTCTCCATTCCCCGGTTTCCCACCCTTTCGAAACTTGGTGGAGCCGGAACTACTACCACGACAATGGCTCTTTGGACAGAACATTCGTTTACATTTGACAATGGACAGTCGAAGCTACGGTATCTTTCATCTGGTCCTGAAAACGGACCGTTGATTATTTTCATTCATGGCTGGCCTGGGTAGGTTCGAACGTTGTCTCCTGGTCATACAGCATCTTCCGTATCAAATGCGCATCTTCGCATGCACTCTGAGATGAAGCCTCGAAACCGCCTTAGCAGAGAGATCTTGTTAATCACCACTAACTGTCAGTTAGCTGCGCCGAAACATGGAAGCCTCAGCTCCAAAGCTTATCTACCCTCGGCTTCCGCGTCGTCGCACCAGACATGCGGGGTTACGGCGGAAGCACGTGTACGAAAGAAGTCACAGACTATCGCATGGAACGCCATAATTTGGACATGCTCGCTCTCATCCAGCATCTTAACCGCCCAAATGCCGTTTGGGTCGGTCACGACTGGTTAGCGCGACCGCTCATGGTGCTTTGCTCCTCGCTGATGGTGACAGGGGTGCGATCCTCGTGTGGGGCTTTGCAGCCCATTATCCAGAGAAGTGCGTCGCCGTGTCGAACATATGCGTCCCGTATCGAACTTGCGAGTTCGGGATCGAGCATATGATCTCCCTTGTGAACCGCGACGTCTATCCCGAGGACAAGTTGCCCAACGGCCAGTGGGACTACGTCGTCTTTCACAACGAGTCGCCTGAGGAGATGGTGAGACAGCTCGAATCAAACCCTGAAAATGCGATGAAAGCACTGTACGCGCGGGGTCACCCGGAGCGTGTGGGAAAGCCGTCCATGACAGCGTTCACGAGGGCCAACGGTGGCTGGTTCAAAAACGGCATCCCCGACATTCCTCTCGAAATGACTGTTCTGAACGGACATCCGGATATTTTGGAGGCATTAGTAAGAACAGTGACCATGAATGGAATGCAGGGCCCGGATGACTATTACCGCAACTTCGAGCTGAACGCGGAATATACGAAAAGCCCCAAGAACGGCGGCGTGCTGTCGTTTCCTGTGCTGTTTATCGGGGCAACCTACGATTCCATTCTCGACACGACGACGAATGCAAAGATGGTTGCCCCTATGAGAGAATACTGCACGGATTTGACGGAAGTGAACATCGACGCGGGCCACTGGGTTGGACTCGAGAAACCGCTGGAGACAAATGCGGCGCTAGCTCGGTGGCTAGTAGAAAGTGTAGGCGATTATTGGCCTGGTGCAGCTTTGGTAAGAACTCTTAAGACCAGAGGTGGCTCAAATCTGTAAGGGAGTTGGAGAATATTGAATACCTAAAAGCTGCGTGACTCATGCTATTGTTTTAACTGACATCGACAGGGGTAATGTGCTTGACGGTGCTTGAAGAAAAAAAAATATTATGAAGTTAACAATGAATGCGTTGGTGTTTTTTTCTTTTCGCCCCCAACTTCCTTAGCTGAGATTGAATGGAAGGAAATTAACTAGGTGTCCAACACCACCAGAACGCTCGAAAATTGATGCTCAAATTGATTGATCAACGAAAATCGTCCAGAAGAGAAGAGAGCTGTATTACCCGTACTAGAATAAGAAAATCTCCCCAAAAATTTCACCCTGGAGCTTCCAATTTTTCTCGGCAATCTTGAGCCAGGTGTCTTGTCGTTATGCGGTTCGTATGTGTGTGTGAATCACGCATTCTCACCCCCGAGCAATGGTTCGCGTTCACGGTCACCGCCAGCGCCATCGGCCCGTTTGAATGGATCCTTACCGAAGATGCCAGGTACAGCTATCGCAAGCGAGCCGAGGAAGAGAAGCGCCATGATGATGAAGGCCTCGATCCATTGCACAGCAACGATGACGGTGAGGAACTGAGCAACGCCAAGGGCTACATCCTCGTTAGCGTTGTCACATTAGCTGTTTTGAACAAGGTGAATGGCGCTTACCAGCGGATAGAACGGAGAGCGAGAAACCCAGCGCCCAGTCCTTGAAGACGATGAGATAGAAATATCCGTAGACGAGCCAGGTCCAAACAAACACGTTGGCTACGATCCTCGCTGCCAGGTGCTTGGCATGGACGGCAACAGCACCGGTCCAGTACAAGCTCACGAAGGTCCAGGCAAGCGGTGCTGCGACAACGGCAATGTGGGTCAGCTTGGTGGTCTTTGGATATTTGAAGTAGGCGAACGTCAGATTGAAAAAGTTAACAATCTGTAGGAGCAGGGCCCAGCCGAAGTAGGAGCGGCACCACAGGTGGATGAAGCCGAACTGCAGGAGATTGTGGTACGTGAACGTGCTGGCGAGGTTGCAGGCTGTCGTCAGCGTTTCGGAAGCCAGGTCGGCACTGTAGAGAGAGGCGATATATGGGATCTGGAGAATGTACAGAACAATCCTGGGAGTATGCATCAGCTGTTGTGGTCATCGCAAAGAGTCTCGCAGATCGGGACGCACCAGTAGATGCTGACGATGATGGCGTTCAGAGCAAAGGGAGTGTGGTGGGCCCAGTTCTGGTTCCAGATCTTCCGCCGCTTGTACTGGCCTTCGTGGGGCTTCTCGAAGGCATAGTAGATGCTGGTTACTACGAGCACCAGCCATGATACAGTGGCGACGATGCGGAGAAGGATGACCTGACCGCGAGAGTACGATCGCTGCTCATGATTGGGATTGACTGTTGGACTGTCAGCTAAGCGGATGGCTCTGCTTGGAGCTTTGGGAACAGGTGATCCGTACGTGCATTCGCATGCTCCTCGATGTGTTCTCTGACCTCGCTCGACATCTTGGCGGCTGTGCTCTCGGAGTATAGAGCCCAGTCAGTGGTTATGAGCCCACGGCCTTGGTCACGTCAGCAACCGAATGAGAAGAGCGAAAAGGAAAGAAAAGGCGGCGAAGAAAAAACGTCGGCGAAAAGACGTAGCTAGGCACCAGCACTTTAAGAATGAGGGCACCTGGTTTCCCTTGGCCGCGCGAATGCAGGTTCTACTTTAAAAGCGGGTATCCCAAGTGAACGTCTTGACCCATAGTTACGTTACGTCACCACTGCGTTGCACCGTCTGCGCAAGCCATTGGCCAGCGCCAAAGAGGGGTCGATTGTGTCTTCGGCGGCACGAGGCCCTTGGATGGCGCGCATGGAGGATCGGGACGTCCACTATTTTCTTTTCTCCTCTTGCGTTTGGCGCCTCCAGCTTGGTGGGCTCTGCTTGGGGCGCTGCTCTGGTGGTTCGATCCCAGCTTCTCGCGGGTGCGAACGCAGCAGGGCAACTGTGGGGTAAACATGGGAGCGAACGCCCGTTTGGTCGCTACGCATGACCTGCTTTTTGCTCCCTGGTCATGCAGGCGATCTCGTTTCGATGCTGGAGTTTTCCCGATCCTGCCTCGCTCGTCGTTGCCAGCTTGGCATGAGGGCAAGAGTCCAGTGTTCATGGCTTCCCAACGTGAGCGGTGCCGTGTGAAGACGGATTTCGCAGGACGCCCGCTGACGGCGAGCGCGTGTGGGCCTCGCCGAACAACCGTTCGCTCATCGTGACCACAGCTTTTGATCATAATTTCCGCGTCTCCGATGATGTCCTTCGACGGCCCGCAAGCACGCAGCAAAGCAGGCTGGATTCTCGTCGGCTTCACGATGCCGGTTGGTTGAATGTACGTGCTTTCCGACTCGTGGCCAGGCATTTGGATAGCCGAACCTCTGGGCCATTCTCGTCGCTGTGAAAAAGCTTTCGATCAACACCGCGGGCTAGTACTCGTTTTGTCACCGACATTCGTCGGTTCAAGTGCACGTGGTCTGATTTGCTAATACCTTGGAAAGCTTGGGAGGATGCCAATTCATAATTTGTCCATCATCCTGTTGGGTCTTTGCAGATCTTCTGCACCTCAGGTCTTCGCATGACAGCGCGGGTTTATGCCTGGTTTGAACATGAAGTATACACGGATTCGAGAAGGGCGTGAGAATGTGAATTGCTCATCTTCCGCTGTTTTCTCCGTTGACCTGCACGTCCCATCAGGTCTCGTGCATGAACAACAGTCGCGAGACCCCTGTTGCTTGGATGAACATACGATAACAACGGTTTAGGATGCTAATGTACAGTGTATCACCCCCAAAAAGGGTATGGGCCACGAGCAGAGATTGTCCATCTTATCTCTTTTCTAATTCTTCTGCAGTCCTACATCTGTTGTGAGCGCTCCTGACTCGGGAAGGCGGGATCCAAAGAACGCCATGCTTCTATCTGATCTTGACCTTCGCCGTATGGTCGTCGACGTGTTTATAACTCCTTCTCCTTAACAGTGCCATGTGTACTGGTACCAGGTCGTTCCCCCACTGCCTCCGGACCTCCTAGTGCCCTAAATGCTGTATGGAAGAGCCATTCCGTGGCGTGTTCCACAGGCTGATCAAAGAGGTACGGTAGTGCCGGCACTGCGGAGAGACCGAGCTATTACATATGTTAGCAAATTCACTTTCTAACCGCTCGGAAGAGACAGCGGAGGAGAGGCAGCACGTACGCCAATCGGACCCCACGTCCTCAGCTTCACGTTCTTTACATTCCTCATGGCCTTTCCGCTGTATTTCACGATACTGTGTATGGTGAAAGCCGGCAGCCCCATACTCGCTATGCTTTGAAACACCGCTCTTTGCGCCATCACAGTCCTGTAGTCGTCGATCGCTCTGACCTTCCCAGGAACGCCCTGGAGCGTCCCCGTCCCCCCCACACTATGCTCTAGCGCCGGTTCAGGCACCTTGCCACTCATTTCAAGTTGCACCTCGTCTTCAACGGTACGCTTCTCGGGGTGCAGGATCTTTTGATTGCGGACGTATGCCTTGTATCCCTCGTGCAAGACATCGCCGCCGATGTACGCCCAGGATATTCCATATGCAGCCCGAACGGCAATTGGGTGGGCAACAGGCCGGAAGGACTCGCCTATATCTGATGTGTAGGCCACATAGCGGTGGGCGGCAAGAAGTATGGTGCGAAAGCGTGCGGCGTAACCGGCGTAGCGGACCGAAGAGTCGGTCGATTCACCTGCTCTGTAAGGTGTTTTGTTGTTAGAGAGGGTGACAGCTAAGGTTGGATGTGTCATCTTTGGCCAGTCTCAGATGCGCATCATGTTTGTGAAATGCGATATCTGGCTGAGGAAATACATGCTATGGTAAGCAAAGAGGTCGACGGAAACAACATACCTTCCCTCATACACAACCTCCCACAGCTTCTCATCGTCATCTAGTGTTGCCTGGAGCTCTTTGGGCAATTTTGTCCGCGGTAGCGGCTCGCTCAAGCTCTGCGGTCGCGGTTCCTTGCGAATATGTTCAACCTCAGGGTCCCATGGTTTCTTTTCTCCACCGTTCTTTGACATTGTGAGCGTGCGATCAGCTTTCACAAGCCTCAGATCTCACAAGCGAAGGCTGATGGGAGGCGGTACGGCTCAAAACCGGAGTGGACGAGACCAAATGTCGGGTAATGACGCTGAGTGACGAACCGTGCACTGTGAACGGCTCGTGAGGCTGCAAGGCAGCGAATCCGTTCCAAGCTCGGCCGGGGCAGGACCCGTTCGGAGAAGTTTCGCCAGCAGCAGGTGGACTGTATACAACCGATCATCCATTGCCATTGTGCCTTCATCTCCTCGAATTCCCATCGTCTTCTCCTCGAAAACCGCCATAATGGTTCAGATGTACACAATCGCCGGCAGGCAGGTCGGCTCCCACGTCGTACGTCCTTTTTGCGTGTTTTTGTCGCCTTTTCGACTTCATCCATGCTCCAAGCTTCGCGCCATCGATATGAAGATGTGGATTGTTGCGATGGAGTCCTAGGATCTTGAAGAAACTAATTAACTTTTGCGTTTCTGCAGCTCGCCATGATCACACTCGGCACCACCTTCGTGACGGCGGGATACTTCATGCGCGGCAACCCGGCGGACAAAGCCCAAGGCCCACCAATTGGAGCTTCAAGCAAGGAGGAAGAGAGTTTCGTGAAGTGCGTTTTGAACTAAGCTGTCAAGGATTACGAGATGGAAAACTGCTAACTGATGAGACAGGGAGTTTATCGCAAAGGCAGAGGATAAGGCAAAGTCGGCGACAGGACACTAAAGAAGGTGATGAGGAAACATGGCATATCGCTCAAAGAGGCGACATGAAAGGTGATGCATGTATAGAATGGTCATGTAGCTCCGCCTGGGGAAGCTATTGTACAAAAAATGCATGATTTGCTTGATCCAGTCGGCCACGGAATCTTCTGACGCGCTCGTTCAACCCGCAGCTCTTCTGTCTTCTGATGCATCATACCATCAGCGCCGTAGCCTCGTCATGTCCTCGGATTGCTCCTGACTATGACTTTTGCTGGAAGCGCTAAAGACTTTCGTCCTCTGAAATTGTTAACCAGCTCCATAGCATCCTGTCTGACAAATGAAGCCGAGGGACTTTAGAGACGTGCTTGGCCTTGAGCGAAATCTCGATTTCTCCTAAGGACTTCTAGGAGGGTTCTTTCCTTATCACCGAATAGAATTCAAGAAACCTGTACATAGCGTTCATCAAAGGCAGCTGCACTAGAGGGAGAGGAAGATGAGCATCAGGTCGAAGAAGAGAATCAGAGCAAGAGTGCTTTCGATGACGACATTGACCTAATATTGACAGGAAAATGTGGCTCCCTGCAAGGTAGCGATTCACCTCAGCATCGTTCTTTCTCCTTGAGAGTGCAGAAAATATGACAAAACTTTACACAGCCATGCGCCTACGGAACCATCCGGGTTTAGAACAATGCAATAACATTAAAAGTCTCAGAGATCAATCGGCTTACGAGTCCAACTCTGTCCTACGCCTATGTTATAGCGGCTGCCAAAGGAAGAGAATGCCCGGTATACATGAAAAGCCCCCATTTCGAGCTTCTGGTTCAACGTGCAGAAGGAGAATAGATCATCGACTCAGAGGTGCTGATTTGTTCATCAACGTATAGGGGAAGACCAGGGGGACTGAGTTAGACGACGGGTATGGAAACGGCGGTATGTTATTAAATTCACCAAGGAATACATGAAGTCTCATGTCTGGAGTTCCAAGCACCGACTGAGGAGCTAAGTCCACATTTCTAACCCGAGCCTCACTCTACCGTCTTCTTAGCGGCTGCCTCTAGCACAAGCAATCTCTTGCGAACGGCCTCACCCTTCTTTCCACTCCCATCGGTACTTTGCGGCTGCGCATTTTTCAGTGATTGCTAGTCAGTCGAGCCACGTAGACGATGAGGCAGTTGCAGGGAGGCTCTTGCTTTTCTGAGCTCTTTCTGAATGAACAGCATACACCTACAGTTCTCGAAGAAGACATCTGAGTGCTCTGTGCTCAATAAAATCATGCAGTACATATTGGTGACGCGCAGCCACGGACTGGCCCGCTTCGCCGATAGTGTTCTCAATGGACTCGCGACAGCCGATCCTATCAAAGTTGCCCAAAGAAGCACTCCAGCCATATCCCCGTGCCAGCAAAGGGCTATATCAGTTTTTACGAGATAAGACGACATCGTCTCAGCGACGTCTGGCGCAATTAATACGGAAGCCTCGGCGAGCGGAATCCGATGTAGAAGGGAAGTCGCATACACAAGGGCGGCCAAACGTACAATCTCGTAATAAGGGTTTCCAGAGTTAGCTCGTCGTCGAAGGAGTCTTGCTTGCACCGCGGCAGCGCTTGACTGGAAGCTGAATGCTTCTCTCCTTGGCTCTTCGTTTTGTACGACGCAGAACGTCTCCAAGAACAATCCCGTAAGAGCCCTGGCTTCGATCAAGATACCGCGCATTTCTGGGCTGCAATGCTTTGCGCGTCGAAGAGTTGAAAGATCCTCGCTCTTCCAATACGCGGGCGATTCGGGAACATGCTGGCACAGGTTCGGCAAGTGTGGCTGAAGCGAGAATGACGCATTCAAGAAAACGTCTGGGCAATCAATGTCGTAGCTTATTGCGACGATCATGATTTTCCTGCTTGATGTCAGGTACTCACCCGGTCACAAATGTTGCTCTGACTTGTCAAGTGCTTACCCTGCGGACATCGCCCCCATCTCGTCACTCCAACCAATTTTGCTAAGGCCTCCTCTGAGATTCACGATGCTCAACAAGCCATTCATGTGCGTCACAGAGACGTCTCGGTTCCCGAAGACTATTTCGGCAGAGATCAGCTGAGTGATCGCAATATACGTCATGTCCGATGGCATTGCAGCCTCCTTCATCGTCGAGTTGCGTATCATCTGCAGCACTTCGCACTTTGCGGCAATTGTGGCAGCACTTTCCACGTCCAGACCTCGAAGAAGATCAAGATGTGCAGAGGCTAAGGCAAGCGAGCTGAGGAAGCCGAGCTTGTCTTCCGCGATCCGTTCTACCCAAGCCGGAGATTTGCCGACACGGCCAAGGGCTGTCAGACAGTGATGATAAATCTCAGTAGTATCGATTCTTCGATCGCGAAACCTGTGCAGCCTGGTAAAAGGATCGACATTCCACCCCAAGCTTCTCTCAACTTCCACGAAATGCAAGACCGGATTTGCTCCTAATCTGCCTAGTTTCTGTGAGCCTGTCAACATGTGACGGTCCCCATAACCGGATTTAGCCCCAGTCTCTTTGGTATGTTTGAACGCGTTGCAAGAAATATAGCTCGACAAAGTATCCTGAAAGAGTTGCAAGGCCTCGACACCTCTGGACTCTTTTTTGAGAGAAGATTTGGATGGGTGCTTTTCAGACACGTTTGATTCAGAAGCCACCTGAACATTCGTGATAACTTTGATGGGCACCATAGAATAACCCGGTATGTTGTTGGTCGTAGCAACTCGACTCTCTGGTTGTCCATGACGTTTCTGATGTTTTTTGTACAGATCTTCTCGGAAGAACGGTCGACCGCAACCTGGGTAAGGACAGATAAGCTGAAAGCTGTCATTATGGCCAACCTGATGTCGTCGTAGGTGTTCAGCACGGGAAAATGTCTGTAACCACAATATGTAAATGTCAGCTCAGATATATCACTGCTTAATCTAGAAGGGTAAATTGACGAGGCTTAAATAGAGTGCTTCCCGAGGATTTGGATGGCGAGCGCGGAGACTTGGCGGCTTGTTATGCACTAATTAGTGTGAATCTCGTCGCATCTTTCATACTCTACCAACTAAGGAATCGGTCGAGTTGATGTTGAGGAGTTTAACCGATTAGGAAAAAAGATGGGCTAACCATACCTTTCCACAAAAACATGTATGAACCTTTAATCCTCTTTTTGCGGTGCTGGCCTTTCCCGTCCTTGTCATGCCCTGGATTTCGTCCGAATTTGTAGTGGAGATAGACTGAGACCTGACCATAATTTTATTTTGGCCTCGTCATATACATCTAGGCAGCTTTGGATCAAAGATGGCGAATATCATCGGGAGCTCTGAAACGAATCCAGATCCCTAGAAGAGTATTTAAGACAATCTTGGGTCATTTTCAATTCGAACCGCCGGTTCTTGGCTCTGATATCTGTCAAAACGGGGAAGCCTGATCTTCAGGCGTAACACGCGCCATGACATCGATGTCTTCCAGCGGTCAATCATCAGATTTGCAGAAGCCATCCAGTGAGGAGGCAACCTGTTCTGCCATTGTCGCTGTTGAAGGACCATGCATCCTTACCTAAGATGGCTGAGATTGGAAAGGATCTTTCCTGACAAAGCGGTCCTTGAAATCAAATCGGCGCAACGAGCGAATCACAACAGCGCAAAAGCTCCGAGAGCAAACCAGGTTCGGCCGCTGCAGGCGGACTAACGTAACTTTTGGAACGTGCTTGAACAGAACACCATGCATCGTTCTGGAGAAAAGGGAGCACCGCCTCCTCCAAGCACATTCGCAATCTGGTGGTTGATCGCAGCAATTCGGACGGATTTATAAAAAGATCTTTAGGCCGTGGTCGCGTTGAGCGAAAATGCTTCTTTTTCGTGGATTTTCTAGCCAGCGTCGACAGCACAGATTTCTCAATCAACACAGACTTTGTTGTCCTCGTTGTTCTCAGACTAACGACGCAGAGAAACCGTTGGAATTTAAGATGTCTTGAGCGTGATACAAGAATACATGTGGATATTTTTGATGATGTTGTACATTTTGATATTTATCTTTTTCGCAAACAAAGCTTGTCGAGTTTTCATCCTCCAACTTTGCATTGCGCTCTCTTTTTATGCGTGAACAAATGGCGTGATCAGGGATTTCGAGATCGGCCAAAAACCTCCGTATTTGGGGAGTGATGCTTCATTTCCAATGCCAACGTGCGGCATCATCAATGCCATTCGACGTCAATGTATATATTCCCACTGTGGTTCTGTTTCTGAGACCTCTCAGCCATCTTGGAAATGTGTGAGTGTAGAATAGCCGCCCCATAAGAATTCATGTTTTGGATGGCTCTAAAGCTTTCCAATTCACTAGAGCGTGCATGATTTTCATCGACTGGATGTCTTGAATCACACTAAACACAGAAGCCTCACACGATCACTCCCTGATAAAAGGGTCGAGGCTGTCAGCCCTTCGTTGGACAATCTCAATGTCAGCCACCGCCCGAGCTTTGATCAAAACTTCCTCCCATTCTTTTTGCGCGTTGCTAAGCCATGTGATCGCACCACCAGCTCCAATGTTAAGATCATTGCCGGTTCGGACTACGGTACGGATGATAACGGATTGGTCTGTTGCTCCACTTACGCAGAAATATCCTAGGCAGCCGGAGTAGATACCACGCTCCTTTTGCTCCAGGGTGTCCAGTATCTGAACAGAGCGAAGTTTGGGTGCACCGGTCATAGACCCTGGAGGAAACACACTTTGGATCGCTTGCACAGCGCCGACTCCTGGTCTAACTTGAGATTGGATGGTCGTGACAAGTTGGTGTACGGTCTCATAGCTCTCGACCTGCATGAGTTTAGGAACCTTGATAGAAGATGCATGTGAGATTCCGTGCAAGTCATTCCTGATCAAATCGACGATCTGTTTTCCTGTATTAGAGGAGATGTGCTAAATTATGATATATCGCCTTACCATGAGGTTCTCTGCAAGCTCTTTGACATCTGTCGCGAGATGATGCTTTTGAAGCGCGTCTTGCTCAGGATTCTTACTGACCGCAACTGTACCTTTGATTGGCTTCATCTCAACGGCACCCTGACCACTGATCGAGATGAATCTCTCAGGTGACGAGGACAAGATGGTGACTTCTGTGGCGGGGAAATTCATGAATGCCGAATATGGCGCAGGATTTCTTTCCCTGAGACCGCGGTAGAGGTTAAACGGGTCATGGCCATTTAGTTGTGCCCGAAATTCGGTTGTGAGTGTCATCTCGTAAGATTCGCCTTCTTTGATTGCCGACCTTACTCGCGATATAGAGCTGATGTAATGGTTCATGCTATCGGCGGAAAGGAATTTTGGCAGTGTTTCTGAAACCTTCCTCGGAAATATCGGCGAATTGAACAAAGCTTTCGCGCTTCGGATATAGGCATCCAACTGTTGTTTATTTTGCACGATTGGAGATTCGAATTTAGTGTAGGAAGCAATTGGATCTGAGTCACCCAGACGAACGAGACCATAAAGCCTCCATTTTTTCTCTTGATGGTCGAAGCGTAGCACATTTTGAGCGAACAAAAATTGAGCATCTGGATGGGCTTGTTTGGCGCTTGAGTCGCTGGGACTCCAACAATAACCGGCCAATGACTCACGCTTCATCTCATAGCCAAAATAGCCGATGAAGCCGACCTGGAGAGTGGCCTTGTTATGATGGTCTTGCTCCTCGTGGGGTTTGTATTGGGTGTTGCACCGGATTTCCTCTTGGAACGTGTTAAACCATTGCCAGAATGAAACATTTAATGAAATTGGGGATTTTGGTGCACCATCCCGGAACAGCGTCACGGTTTTTGACCGCGTTGAGTATGACAGCGAGAAAATGCCACTTGCCAGATAAGAATAGCGAGAATGCTGATCCCGATTCTGGCATTTTATGTTAGCTGAAGATCTCATTGAAAGGCTACCACCGCCTTACTTTGGCGCTGTCTAGCCAAGCTTCTCCATTTTGTGATGAGTTCTTGATCAGGGAGTCGAAGACTATCTCGGGGAGAAGATCCCCGTCTAGGTCGACAGACATAACGCTATAGGCGTTCTTCGTTGTAAGAACTTGGCTTCGGTATTCTGCTTCTTTTTCTGAACTGTGGCTGGTTTTCGACGTGATGATAGTTTCGGAACCGATTTCACGGAGCACATGAGTTTGAGATAGCCTTGAAGCCCGCCTTCTTAGCCTGTCAGGATCCAAATTCCAGAAATTCATCACGATGCTCCTGAAGTTTTCCATAATCTCGTGGCCATACGTTGAACATATGCTTTCAGGATGCCACTGGACACCGTATATCGGCTTTTCACAGTGCCGAAGGCCCATCAACACTTTTTCTGAAGCATCTGTTTCACATGATGTCCATGCAGACACAACAAGGTCGCTTGGTATGGCTTCGATCCGTCAGTAATTTGATGTCTCAACCTGAGCCATACTAACTATTCGGATCCAAAACAAGGCTGTTATACTGGACTCCTGAGATGGTCTGTGGTAGGCCTTTGAAGAGACTGGAGCCATCATGTTGAATCTGGGACACCTGGCCATGCTTAATACTCGGAGCATGCACGATTTTTGCACCGAGAGAGGCACCTATTCCTTGATGGCCCAGGCATATGCCCAGAATAGGCACATCGGCCTCTCTGATCAAGCGGCTGTTAAAGCCGAAGTCAGCTTCACGATCTGGTCTACCTGGTCCCGGTGACAGAATTATAGCATCGAATTCTGGCAAGACCGAAGTGGTGAATTCGCGCCTACGTTAACTCATGAGTCTCACAAAATTAAAAGTATTGTGAAGGACAGCAGATAGTAGTACCAACTGTACTCGTCGTAGCGGATGATGACTGGTTCCCATCTTGGCGAATAAGGATCGTTCCTCGCCTGGAAAAGTTGCAGGATGTTCTTCGTGTATGAGTCATAATGGTCTATGATCAAGACCCGCAGAGTGGACTCTTCAAATTTCTGCATTTCAACCAACTTGGTCTCGTAAAAAGAAATTTCCTGCGAGAGGGTAACGTCGAGGATCTAGAACGGCAGGAGATAATAGAAATTTCTCAGCCTGGTCTGCGTAGTGCTGAGCACACCCCTCAAAGTAAGGGTCGCACTAAGCCCAAGTCAGCTCTCAACATGCGCACTTTTTTAGCTTCTGCATGAGCGGTAGATCTCCTCAACCATGCATCTCCGATTTCTCCCTGCCTGTTAATCTCATTGCTCCCGTATCTAGGCGAAGACCTTGTCATTCGAATCTCTCACAGACCCGTTGTGCGAATTCGCTTTTGTTGATGAGGTCACAGGCCCTTTCTCAATCTTCTGTTTTAAGAGCAGCCCTCAGACCAAGAATCAATCGTACCGCTATAGCAAAGTTTAGCCCGATCCATTCAATTCGCTTGTGCTCCAAGATGTCTGATAAGCAAATCTCGCAGTACCTCGAGCAGTCGCACGACAAGATCTTCGAGGCCAACAAGAAATGGGTCGAGGCAAAGAAGTCCGCCGATCCAGCTTTCTTTGACAAGCTCGCCGCTGGGCAGTCGCCAGAGTATTTGTACGTCTTAGAACAAAAGCTCAGCCAGATCACCTGACGCTCACATCACAACAGGTATATTGGATGTGCCGACAGTCGAGTGCCTGCCAACGAGATCATGGGTCTCGATGCTGGTGAGGTGTTTGTTCATAGAAACATCGCCAACTTGGTTCCTAATACAGACCTCAACGTCATGGCCGTCATCAACTATGCCGTGCGACACCTTCACGTGAAGCATATCATTGTGTGCGGGCACTACAACTGCGGTGGTGTCAAGGCCGCGATGACCCCTGCAGACCTGGGAATCCTCAATCCATGGCTGCGAAATATCCGTGACGTGTACAGATTGCACGAGGCCGAGCTTGATTCCATTGCGGACGAAAGCGAGAGATACAACCGACTTATCGAGTTGAATGCTATCGAAGCAGCGCGGAGCGTTATCAAGACTGCCGCAGTGCAGCAAAGCTATCAGAAGAACGGCTACCCTATCGTTCATGCCTGGTGCTTCGATCTTCACGATGGGTTGCTGAAGGACTTGAAACTGGACCATGCGACGGAGCTGAAGAAAATCCAGAAAATCTATAACCTTGGTCCTGAGGATACAAGTAACTCAGTCTAAATGGTTAATGGACCTTAACATCCATTAACTAGTCGAATGAAATACTATCGGGTAAATGCGCGTCGGTAAAAATGGATAGCGTGAAGAATAAAATATTTTGATCTAGCGAGGTTTCTGATGGAGTGAAGCTGCTTTGGACACATAGGGCACAAACAAATCATACGTTTCACTATCTTGCAACCGTGAATTTTTCTACCAACTAAATCCCTGCAACTTTTAATTTTGAGATCGGCTGAAAAGATTGAGTACAAGAGTCAGACCGTCCCTGTTGATACAGTGCTTCCAAAGCCACCTCCGCTGAGTTGACGAGTTCTGCCATCCACAGGTGTTTGGACTTGTCAAGCTATCAATACCAATGAGATTGCGAGAATGAATTTATTCTTCTGATAGCTCGCTGTGATCAGATTGGTATCTGAGGCCGCCATCCTTGCTGTGCTGCTTGAAATGGGATTTCCACTTCAGAGCCTTGCGAAATATCGTTCGTATACATCAGAGGCAAAACTCACAAGGATAATCCGCCCCCCAACACATGCTTCCGAGGCGTAATTCATGGGATAGATGGGCCTGCGGTTATTTGTGCTTAACCGTAGCCTCACTAACAGTATTCTAAACGGAAGCCGTGACATATGCCATACTCTTGTACCCTATGCCGCAGCTGTGCCTACTCAGTATCCGTACTTCCATATCTCTTCCACATATCCGTCTGTCAGCTTTTCATCTTTCCCATACTTCTCTTGCCACTGCACAAATCCACCATCCAATACATAAACCTTTTGTTTCCTTGGTCTTGTCGCTACAGCTTCTTGGGCATCTTTCACCTCATCCTCCGCAGCCACTTCTGCAGTAGCAGGATACATTCTTTCCATCTCCCTCAGGTATCTCAGCGCTGCACTAGGACCTCTCTGTTGGCTCAACGCACAGTGAAAAACTACCTTTTCTTTGTCTCTTAGCTGGCGAACCAACTCAGGCATCCTCCAGTCAAGTGTTGGGGTTGGTGCGTGTATTGAGCCTCGGATATGGCCACCAACGTGGTCGGAGTCTCTGACGTCAATAACTGCTATCTTTGACTCTGATTGAGGGCTGAGAGGGTTTGCGAGAATCATGCCAGCAAGATTTTCGCGTGTGATGCGGGGGAGCGTGGCTATTGTTACGTTGGACATTGCCGCGGTGATATGGTGCCGAAAACAGGAGTAAACTTCAGGCGTTTTGGGGTTAGCGTCTCGTAAATTATTTCATGAAAGATGAAAGGATCAGAATGCACTGCTTGGAGGGTAGAGATAGTATTTACCGTGGTTGTTGAAAACCATCTTCGCCGCTGGTTCGCTTAGTTGCGGATGCTCTGACGAGAACATCAAAGATCACGTTTTTATTTAGAAACTGTCATTTGACATTAATCATCTGCATCCACCACGCGTAAATAACCATGGATATAGATGAGGAAGCGCCACCATTACTTGTTGCTTCTGATGATGCTGCTTCTGATGTTCCTGAACTTCTCAATGCTACAGTTGAAAATCTTAGCCTAACAAAGGTCCCCATAACAGTGGTAACCGGTACGTCTTAAGGTAAACCAGTTTTAATTGCAGCATGATAGAGTCTATTGACACCGTGAAATATATGGTTGTAGTTTCATAAATATAGAAACTCCTTCAGTTCTGCCATTGAATCACGGTTGGCTAATCAAACATTGAAGGCTATCTCGGAGCAGGAAAGACTACGCTGCTGAATTACATTTTGAACGAACAACACGGAAAAAAAATTGCTGTGATATTAAATGGCGAGTTGTGCAAACGCGATAGATTGCGAGAAAAAAACAGAAGCTAACCTATTGTGTTTAGAGTTTGGCGATTGTGAGTGCAACAGATCTACATGGCGAACTTGAATTTTTACTAAAAGAAACAGCTGCTGATATAGAGAAAAGTCTTACTGTGAGCAAAGATGGCGAACAAGTCGAGGAATGGCTTGAACTTGCCAACGGCTGCATATGCTGCTCGGTAAAGTGAGTTCTTATGTGTTCGCCTCATTTTTGAGTGTTACGCTGATCCATCAAATAGAGATCAAGGGGTCAACGCCATAGAATCACTTATGGAACGCCGTGGAGCATTTGATTATATCCTGCTTGAAACCACTGGTCTCGCGGACCCGGGAAACATCGCGCCTATGTTCTGGGTAGACGAGGGCTTAGGAAGCACCATATACTTGGACGGTATTGTAACCCTGGTAGACGCGAAGAACATCTTCAAATCTCTCGATGAGGATCCGTCTGAATCAGTCGATATCGCTACAGCGACCCATATTGGGCCCGAACTCACTACAGCTCATCTGCAAATCAGCCATGCTGACGTTATCGTCCTCAACAAGGCGGATCTTGTAACGGAGGCCGAACTTAACAAAGTGAAGGAGAGACTTTCGACTATCAATTCCTTGGCAAAGATACATGTTACATCTCATAGCAGAGTACCGCAGCTTGAAGGTGTTCTGCTTGATCTTCACGCGTACGATGCAGTCTCGGAACAGGATCTAACTTTTTCATCCAAAGGCCACAGCCACCTTGATCCTACAATATCCACGATTTCAATCAAGTTTCCCATCATAGGAAATGACCAGCTAAACCTCTTAGACTCGTGGCTGCAGCAAGTGCTTTGGGAGTCCGTCCTACCTGGTGAATCCAACGTGGCAGAGAAAAGCTTTGAAATTCATCGTACGAAAGGTCGAATCTACACGAGTGACGGAAGAGTCAAATTACTACAAGGCGTCAGGGAAGTCTTCGAGCTGATAGATGAGGATGCAAGACTGGGAACTGTTGCAAATGCCGGGCTAGGTGTTGTCCCTGAAAATGTGTCAAAGGTCGTCCTCATTGGACGTGGACTAGAAGGCGAGGCCTTCACGAGCAGTTTTCATAAGTTTTTACATATTACTTAACTTCGACTTAAAAAATACTGAACATCAATTGTTAAGTATCTTCAGGCATATGTTATGCGACATATAACGCCTCTATCTTGATGTCCGCTCATTAGACATGCTACGGAAATGATACAGAATTGTTACAAATACTTTAGGCCAAGAATATAAAATGTTAAAATCTCCTCAGCATGGCGCAAAGAGGTCAAATTTTAGTTTGGACGCCATCGTATATGACACAAACTCGCTACACTCATACTACGCATGCGTCCTAAGCAATTGAATGCATTCAGAAGCACCTCATTTTGGTGCATGAAGACCACATGATGTTCATCACATGCACACATGTATAGCTTTAGCTAGATTTGTGGGGTGAAATAAAAGTGTACGGAATACTTATTTGAGGTATGTCGCCTCCCACTTAGAACTAACTGTGTGCGATCTACGTATGCATATTTAGCATCATTGAAACTTTTAATATTTTCATTTAGATTTCATCAAATTCATTACTAATAATGGAATATGAACGTTAACTTACTAGGGAATAGAAATTTGGGATGAGCGCTACGTCAGCCACGATTCTCCATGCCCAGGCTCTCCGTGCCCAGACATCATTCAACGTGTCAAGGATGTGTGCCAAAGTCTCAACAATGCAGAACACTCTGTAAATTTCCAGTCTGGTAAATTCACGATCTTCATCAAAATCCCACGTTCACGTGGTCCGTATCTGAGAAGTGAAATGCCTTCAACCGGTTCTCGGGGCGCATCGAGCGCTCTTTTCGCCTGTGTCTTCGTTCTTCTTTCAGCTTGGGCTGTTCGCGAGCTTCGCATCGGTCCAGTAGGAAAGAAAGCCGGCGAACTTCTCGAGCCGGTTGTCAACTCGAAAATCATCGAGGAGTACGGCAACACGGAGCTCAGATATGACTACACCGGCATCGCTGGGGTGGATTTCATCTTGCGATTTCTAGTTGTCGTATTTCTTCCCGGAGCTCTCGGCATTGATCAGGGCATCAAGCTCCAGGCAGTTTACTTTCTGCTTTCGTTTTTCCCTGTTGTTGCAATCATGAGCATTGAGGCCGGCCGATTGCGAAATAAATGGTCATTGATTTATTTGTAGGTTCGCTCCCAACTCTCGTGCCGGTGGAGTTCTGACTCTGTTTCTAGCACGTCGGTTTGGGCTGTGCTTTATCAGTCAGTCGGCGGCGCAGTCATGATTCCTCTTTATCACTTGGCGTATTTAAAGTCATCGTCAGCACCTAACTACTGGTCACCGCCATCCCGAGCCGTATCACTTCCATATGCGCAAGCTTTGTTACCCAGCCTAGTTCTTGGTTATCTGCTGCCAACGATCTTGGTCTATTTTCCACAAGGAAATGTCTTCGTGACCCAGGGATATATTGCCATTTGGCAAATAGCTCCTGTCATTGTCAATTTATTGTTATTTGTCCTTGCTCCAACATACGCCGTTGGTCAGCCACGTACCAATCGGAATGAAGAGAACTTGGACGGAGACGTTAAGTATTTGAAGCGAGTCTACATGCTTAGCTTCTTTATCGGGGCAATCTCACATTGGGCAGCTGCTGCGATCTGCTTTCTGTCTTCAGACCCCAACTTATCGTTCATGCATGCCTTTTGGCCAAGAGGTGATCTCTTCCTCGGGCAAATGAGCGCACTAACTTTGTCTGAATGCGTACATTACATCTTTCAAATGGACTGTTGGATCATATTTGGTTCATGTCTAGTATGGGCATATATGGCTGTTTTGGACATGAATCGTATATCAAACCAGTCATTTGTCCCACCAGCTAAGGCGCTTGCCGTCATGGCATTGAATACTGTTCTGTTCGGACCGGCTGCTACTGTAGCAGCAGTCTGGTACTCGAGGGAATTAAAAATGGCAGGATTGGCAAAGGCCAAGGCACTTTGATCTACATAAACTAACTGGGGAAACGTCAATCTCTTTGATGCGCCTGATTCTGTCTCATTCATGCAATCATCATATAATCCAATTTTGGATCGTCTACCATGGCATATTTACCATCCATGACATCATGGATGTAACATTCTTGTATCAGCTTCCAATTTGAGTCACTTTCATTCTCCAAGGCCAACTCTCGAAAAATAAACGGAACTGGAGAGCCTGCAATAACGACCACACAATCGCCAACCTCTGCTCTACCGGGTACCATACCCATCATTCCCAGCTCTTTGGTCACGCAAAATTTTTTTGTATACATAGTATTCTGTAATGCCAACCGATAGGGCAAGCTCTTAGCATCTGCTCGTCGATATTGTGCCGTCTCATCATATATCATGAGTTTGCTTTCGTCCTTAATTCTGCCCAGTTCGTCCTCTACAAATCGTTGACGAACAAGCAAATGTTCGAAGCTTCCGGCATACTCCGCTGGAGCAGGTCCATCGTTATGGGTTTTGTTACATATCAAAGTTCTCCAAAGACTCTCCTTGGCCTCTCTTTTTTCTTCATTGAAAAAAATCCCTGGCCAGACAGCTTTTGCAATGTCAAAAACTTCACGAAGCCACTTTACAACCGCTATACCGTAATAAAGATCGTCATGCTCCGTTTGCGTATCTGGCCTAAACTCTGATGACAGGTGAGATATACGATCTACGACCTTGCCGCGAACACGCAAAATTTTACCCTCCAATTCAACATACAATTCTAAATGATCTGCAGCGTGATACCCGGCAGATTCTGCCAACCCTCCTAAAGGGGAACCAGCTCGTCTACTCGTCCAATCAGGTATCCATGAAGGCAAATCCTTTTTGCGTTCGTTATGCGCTGTCCCTCCCTCAAAGAGTAGATCAAGCGTGTGCGATGCTTTCGTTCGAATCATACCTCTTGCAGTACGAAGAAAGAGCGCTGACAGAGACTCATCATCGCTATATCGAACGTCGAAATCTGGGTCCTCGTGACAGATGTCACCTGCAATTCCTAATATTCCGAAGATTTTGTCCTTTGGTTCAGAACAATTAACAAAGCGTGCCAGCCATAGGAGAAACCCAATCTTCAATGGAATCCCTTCATGGTACGAAAAATGACATTTATACAAGTTTCCAAGCCCATTTTTGCCCTGAACAGCAGCCAGTCCGACGCGAGGATCAGACATCGCCCTATTTTCTTCGCCGATTCCGTGTTTTTGCATTCGGGCGCTTATGTGATAAAGATTCCACCAGGGAAAGTACTTGGTGCCATACATAATATACAATGGGTTGGACACAGCAAACTCTTGTATCTATGGTCATTAGCCTCTGTCGATTCTTTCCCGTCGAGAGGAAATCATACCACCCACAGTCTTGTGAAGTAAGGATTGGCGAGCAGCTTTTGCCACATGAACCAAGAATTATCCTCAAGCGGCGGTAACCCAAGTGCAGGAAAGTCTGATGCACGGATGACACTTGCTTCTTCCTGCTCTTCAAATCTGTTCAGTACACGATCAAGACTTATCATCAGTTCGAAAAGCTTATCCTCGTACTCCACCTCACTTTCCGCTCCCATGTGCATCCAAACAACTTTTGCTTGTTTGTATACTTGTAACATCTGTTTGACCTGAACCGCTTTCTCGTCATTGTCGCTCTGGTTGATGCACAGTGCATCTGCCCAGATTCTGTAGCGCTTGTTTTCCCTTAGCCGACGTAGCGCGACGTAGAGGTTCCTGGTGGCTCTAAAGGAAACACCATCACAGAAGATAGCCTCAGTATCGCCGGGATCCCCCCAGGTGTAGGAAAGAGCTTCATAATAAACATTAGGATCATGAAGTGAAGCGCTTTGCAATGATAGGATAATGTCGCTCTCGAAAGCACCTGGTTGGATTTCAAGGATCCTGATTGCGCCTGGGTCCTTCGCAGGCAACGACGCGTAAAGTTCGTCCATGTATAAGGTTCATGCGTCAAGGAAGGTACGAAAGAGAAGGTCCGAGTCTTTAACAGTCTTAGCGAGATGTCTTTTCTTATACAGCCTTCTAGTAATCATCTCGCGAACGTGGGCTGGCAATGTAGCCCTGCAGCGTTTACTCGTATCTAGCTTGGTCCAACACCCTGGCCAGTTACGTCCTTGCAAGACTCGCGCCGTGCATAATGTCTTCAAAGGCAAATCACGACGTCGTCGCATTCTGAAATGTGTTAGTAGACGAAAGATCGATTGACTTTGAAAACCTATTAAGAATTCCAAGAGTGATCAAGACCAGCCTGTTTGTTTGGCACAGGCTTCATGCATTAGTGACAGGAATACACTAGCATCTGTAGACAAGCCCTATCATCTTCTCTCTGAACCAGGCATACTTCTATCACGTAAAAAGAGGATATGTTTCCAAAGACCAGGCAAAACGAGCATCAAGAGAACCTCCAAATCGCGAATGAAATCGTTGCACTTAGTCAGAGGCTCGTAATACGGTCATACCATTTACCGATCCCGGCATTTACGCTGAACTGGGGAAGAGTCTACTAAGTTCAGAAGACAGAGGGAAGATAAACGGAGGATGCACACTACTACCATTGCCCCCAGTTTCATTCAGCGATCATGGTCAGTAGCTTGAGCACTGTCCGTGTGGACATACACAATTTGATTTCAGGTTGCGCAACAATTCTCAGCAATGAAGATACTCAAGCCCCGCGAAGCAGATACGTGAACGGTCACCACATGAACGAGATTGGATGAGCTTGGGTGGGAGATGCCGCGAATGAATGCCTCGTTCAGCTGAACAGTCATCGCCGATACCGGCCATCTCAAACAGGCAATCGGAATAATCCCCAAGGTCAATACCGTCTACTACAACACCATTGTTCATAAACGAGCTAACCACACTCATTTTTGCCCCTGCGACCTCAATGCACCCATCTGGGGACCACAATGCCAGATCGCGGAGGAGCAGTGGGGCATCAGAGCCGAGGAGGTGAGGACTTTATCGCGAGGTTACCACGACAATACACGAGCCCGAGTGGAGCAACACCCGCAGAAGCTTTGCCAAACATGCCTCATGTGGAGGAGCCCAAGAAGATAGGGGCGTGGAACACGAGAGACCTGCCACTGAGGATCAGTGCAGATGCGTTATCAGCCGCCTCGGCGGGCTTCTTGGTTGCTCCTATCATCACGATTATCGATCGGTAAGAAGCTTTGGGCTACGGTTATGAACGCGGTAGGCTAACAACTTCGAATCAAGAGGAATTATAGAGAATGCAGCTGGCAAGCGGACGCTAGGCGCGAGCGTGAGGTCGTCCTTGAAGACGCTCCTTCTACGGCCGCACTCGTTCTTCTTCTCCCGCCCCTTTGCCCTTATTTTTGTGAGATTCTCTGCTCTTAATCTGCCATACGTGTCAAATGCTGACAGATTATTGCCCGCAGACACTGTATTCGGGCACCTATATGTCCGCCAACACCATTGACACGGCGTCGTCCACCCTACGCAACCGCCCTTCAAGTGAAACAACGCACGGCACCGCTAAATTCGCAGCAACCTCTGCAGCTAACCTCTCCCTCTGTCTGTGGAAGGACTCGCACTTCACGAAGCTCTTTTCCCCGGTTCCACCTCGTCCCGTCCCAAAAACAACATTCCTGCTGTTCGCCATGAGGGATTCGCTTACCATTGCCGCTTCCTTCAACATCCCACCGATTCTTGCGCCGTATATTCCAAGACAGGCTCTACCGACAATAATGCAGGGCATTAGAAGCGAAAGTTACGCGCAGTTTATCGCTCCTGCTGCGGTTCAGGTGTTTAGCACGCCTTTACATTTGCTCGGTCTGGATTTCTACAACAGGAATGGAAACACCACGCTGGCAGAGCGATGGTCCATGGTTAGGCGAGCTTGGGCGATCAGCACGCTAGCCAGGCTATGCAGAATCATTCCTGCATTTGGCGTGGGCGGCGTGGTTAATGCTGGTGTGCGGCGGAACTGCATGCAGAAGATCGAACAACTGGAGGAGGCTTGAACATGCACTCTGATGCTATTTTACCGATGATTTATTTGCGAAACTAACGAGCAATCTTCATTTCTTTTTTAGCAGCGGATCTGGAACAGCACACTCTCCACTCAGTAAAATTGAATAATTGGGATACTGGATGGACGAAAAAAAATGGCACGACTGGCTTTCTTTCCGGGGACGACGGCGCATTTTGTTTGATAGACTTTAGGACCAATGGCTGGTCAGGGTAATGTGTGTATTTGATACCCGCGTAGATGTTCTCTTCATATTGAGATAGAGTATAACATTTGTACACTTTTGACGCTACCAGTGCTCATGATAATCTTCATCTCGATCACGTCTTCACATAGTTTGACTAAGGCTCACAAAAGAATAGTATGCTGATGTCAAGGGCTGTCGAGACATGGATTCTTCTCTGTGAGCGGCACAATGAGCAAGGGTTGGGCAGTCAGTAAGCATTCTTTCCATCTCATATATTACGTCAATTAGGATATCCCTATCTAGTAACCGAAAGACAAACCTCCGTCATTGGTCTAGTACATGGACCCACTCTTGACGGGAGCGTTGTTGGTATGAACTCCATTGATCTCCGGGTCGTACTCGAGAGTTAAGCTCGTTGGGATTGGATTCTCCCTCGAGCTAGCGTCTAGGTAATACCTGACCTTTACACCGCTCAAATCCTTCTCGACAATTGAAAACTTGCCTAGCTTTCCCTGCGCGCGTCTCAAGCCCTTGAGCTTGAACACCTCCCTCAGCGTCGCCGCAAGCGCCGGACCGGCCAACTTTTCGCCGAAACCAGAGTGCATACCCGCCGTAAGGATGGCGTAGTCGCCACGTGGACGGAACGGGTTCAGCTTCTCAGGCTCGGGGAAAACAGTCGGGTCGAGCGCTGCCTTTGAAGTTGCGGCTAGAACGGTGTTGCCGGCCTTGATGGGAACCTGACCACGTTCGCCGTCGACGACGACTGTGCCCTTTGCCGCAACGCGTGCAATACCGGGGACAGCGGAGGCGTGGCGCATACCCTCGTACACGAAGCCCTGTAGCTCTGTTTCTGATTCCGCAGGTGACATATGCGCGAGCTGTATGATGCGATCTTTGTAGGCTTCATAGCCCGGACTCAGGAACAGATCGATGAGCAAAGATGCTTGCTGAGTGAGATAACCGATGACTGGGGTGCCTAAACTGATGCAGTCTGTGGCTAGATCCTTTACAGAGCGCTTGGTGTCGCGCAGGGCATGGTAGAGGCGGTCCGCATTGGGACCGACTTCGAAGGCACTACCTTTTGCAAGCCAGTCTACAATGCCCTCCTTGATTCCATTTCCTACTTGAGTCTTGAGATGCGCTTCGAAAATCGATCGAAGTGGCCCAGCTGCAGTAGTAGCTCCTTCTCGTAGCTGCCAACGCGCCTGAGGCGTGATGTCAAGGTGCTGATACATGAAAATGATCATATAAGCTGTGAAGGTCTCGTAAATTGTAAGCACACCCTTAGGATGCTCGGATGTTTTGAGAGGAAGCGCGAACCGGTCTGCCAGCCAGAGAATGGGTGCAATGTTGGTGACGTCTCGAACAATGTCGATCTGGTTCTTTTTACGGAAATGCAACGAATGTTTCTGGATCAGCTTCTTCACGGTCGCGCTAAAAAACGCAGAGGCTGATTGCTCAAAGTTGCTCTCAAAGAGGATCTTTGGGTTCAAGCAGGAGGGATCCACCGTTGGACGCACAACGGGCTGAGGCATGACACGGAAACTGTCGCGATCTTGGAGAACGGCCCTGCAGCCCGCAGAGGTCTGAATGCTGACGAGATCGAGATCATTCGACGGTCTTCCGAATTCGTACTTGTCGGCTACTTTGTTGCCCATCACAATCCCCTTCGCTGCCTCCGGCGTGTAGAATGGAAGCAAGCCGTAGGTACCAGTGCCAGACCACTCTCCCGGTAGAGCAGCGAAAAGTAAGTTAGGAAGCACGCCACCGTATGCACCTCCATGTGCAGCATTCTGCAACTTCGCTGCGCCCCACTGGGTGAGTGTGTTGCTGTTGAAATCGTAGCTGAGGAATCGATCACCACGGACAAGAGCCACAGCGTCATCGAGAATACCGCGACCGGTGGTCTGACCAGGACACACTCCACTACCTGGCATAGCAGGTTTTGTGCACTCGGCCATAAGGCCAGGGTAGAGTTCGAGGTTGTCAATGTGACCGTAGAGCAGTTCTGCAGCACGTGCAACTGCTGGGTCCTCGTTCCCTTCAATTTAATGTCAGCTTGTTCTCGAGGCGAAAAAAGTTACATCAGTACCTACACTCTTCAAAGGATTCGTAGCTCTTAAGATTCAGATAATTACGGAACTCATTCAACGTGCACACATTGAAGTGCTCTCTCGCCTGAAGTTGGCCAAGAATATCCACCATCTTCAAACTCTTTGGTGTCCCATGCGCACCAAAAGCGTGCGCTGGTTCTTCGATGCAATCTTTGATGATCTTGGCCAGGTCGTCGTTATTGAACGAGCCATTCGCACCGCGCTTCAAACCTCCAAAAGTCCAATCCTTCGGCTTGGTAGTCATCAGCTCGTGGCCTTCCTTCATTAGCAGCTCGTAGAACATTTTGGGGGTTAGGGCCTCAATGTCTTCGAGATCTGGAAAATGCTTGTGAATAATGTCCTCCATCCATTTAGCATCGGCATTGGAGAGCGCAGCGTGCCAATGGTACAAAACACAGAATTCGACGGAGACAACATTGCCGTTACCTCGCTCCACGCGTTTACCCATTTGCTTGATTTCTTTACCAAGCGCAAGATTCCATTCAGAGTTTGCACGAGGTGTGTTCAGAATGGCGGACACGTAGTCGCGCAAGACCACGGAAGCGAAGAAGCCCACGTTGATGTTACGGGCAAGCTGAAAGATATCCTCGTCTTGCCTGCGTTTATGCTTAGTCTTTGGATAGAATCAAAAAAATTTTATGGATAACTTACTCCTTTTGACCTTTTTCATCCAGTTCGTCCCACGGCTTATATTTCCCTTGTTCATTAATGGACAGTAGATCAGCAGCAATGGTATTGTGGTTTCTTGAAAACAAAAGACATATAGCGATAACACCCGGAGGCATCATCATGATTCTCTCTGAAGCAATAGAGTCCGGGTAGATTAGGCCATTCTTGTAGGTGCGGACGCGCGGTTGTTCTTTCTCCGTGTTACCATAGAGCGTGCTCAGATCAACATAACTCGAAGTCTCGTTGATCCAATGATCAGTCCTGGAGGTCTGGAAACATTCATGGATAACCATTGTGGCAAACGAGAAGAAAAGGCGATTCAAGCCTGACGGATGGGGCTTGAAAGGTCCATCGCGCCTCAGAAGTGATTCGTACACGGCTTCAACATCTGGTAAATTCGGACCCTTCGGCTTCGTTGGTGGCACGTTGCGCGCGTAGGGCATACCAGCCTTACCCATCTCCGGGTTATTTGGGTTGTTGTTTCCACCATCATGTCGTCGATATCTTGCTGTAGGACCAGAATATGTGACTACGGGATGAGGCAGATCATTCCAAAGCATAGAAATGAAGCCATCTGAGATCTTCTCACTCAAACCGCTGTTGAGTGGCATGCTTTGAAGCATGGAGACGCCATGTTCAAGCAGTAATTCTTTGTCGTCCAACGGTTCACCAGAAGCAAGCGTTGTGATTGCCTCAGCAACGGTGCGTGTGTTCTTCAGGCCAAGAGTGCGTACATCATGAGCTATGGATGTCTTCTTCACCTGACCGCCTCCAGACAAAACTTCCTCTGAGCGTCCATCTGCCGCCGAGGTGGGCTTCTTGCGGATGGTGCCGATGATTGAACGAAGCTGAGAAGGCATTGTGGATTCTCCAAAGACAACATCCGCAGCAAAAGTAACAAAATAGAATGCCAATGTAATCGGGAGAAAGGCTGAGAAGATAATCGCCCGGCGGAGTATCTCTGAGCTCTGAGATATGATGGCCATTGCGCTGATGATTATTTTTTATTTACGCTCGGATTTCAGCCAGGTCACGAAGAAGGGGATAGTTGAGGCTAGAGATGAAGGGTTTTTTTAATGGCTGAAGTGATATTCGTATGACCATCCCAATCCGGGTGGTCGCTTCAAAGAATTTGTTGACTGATAGGCTGCGGCCTGGGTGGAAGGCGAGCATGGGATGGAAAAATGGCTTGAAGGCGCTGTGGAGGCATGCAGCGCGGACATCTCATTGATCGGGACGCTGATCACAACGGCAACGCACACATTACGGTGAGGGGCGGGGACAGCTTCGACAGGTGTCCGTCATTCGCAATAGCTGCTCGTGACTGGGTGCAGCGCTTCAGTCGTGCAGCAGCACAGTAGTACAGTAGAACGTTGGCGTATGTGTCGAGTGTGCTCGGAGACTACCACTCGCCTGGAGAGGGAACGATTGGAATAATGCAGCAGGTCTCGGTCAAGGCGACTTGTGCATGCAGTCGCGATGAAGTCATAAGTGGCTAGCGATTTGAGGCAGCTGAGCGCTAGTTCTAGTTCGCGCTATGCAAACGGCGGTGGTTGGGGTTAAAGAGACGATAGACGGTGCTGTCGGATGGTTCTGTCAGCCCAGAGTGATTGTCCCAATCATCACGAGCACGTCGCGAGAGTTCGGGCTCCCAGATCTAATTCGGCGAGAGGAAACTAATCGAGAAGCCGTTGTGGTTGTGGTTTTGCGGAAGGAAGCGGAGAGCTCTGCCCAAGCTCCACCAAAGCTACATCTTTTCACCTCCAGCTGGACTATGCAGGGCAGCTGAGATCTACAAGTAGCTATCTTTCTGAAGACGAACTTGTGGATGAACAGAAGCTCGTGCTTGGCAGCTAAAGAAGATCTTTGAGTGGCGTTGCTGAGGGACAGGTGCGGCTCTTTGATTGGGAGTGGAGTTGACCCGATCCCTATTTGTGCAGTCCGCTTTGGAGGGATCCGCAGCACACTAACGCGGAGGATGACGAGGAGCCCGAATCAGTTTCGATCTTGCATTTCCAGGGGCGCTTTGGAAAGCCATCCTCCGCGCTAGGAAATGGTGGAACGGCCCGAACGAAATCCTTCGGAGGAGTGGGTACGAGCCGTTCGTTGCTCGAGCACGCTCCTTATTATTCAAAGCTTGTTGCTGTGAAAGCGTCACACCACACCGCGTCGTGCCAGGCTCTCATGATAGGACAAGGGCTGGATGTTTGTGACCGTCCAAATTCTGTGCGGAAGGCCCTCGGTGCTTGGTTTGCAGAGAGATCCGCAGATACGCGAGGTCGCATGCAAGATGAGCTCATCCTTGCAACAGCATATCCACAATTCGATGGGCCACCGCTCTCCCAGAAACTTGACAAGGATAGCGGACTGGTGGCTAGCTGAGACGTCAATCGGCGCATCGCACTTCACCCGCTCGCACTTGTGGCCGGAGCAGCTTCCACAAAGTTTGATTGTTTAGGAAATGGACGACTCAGCATGGTCGTGCCATGGCGTACACCATGTTGTTCACAGGCAAGATCATCGGTCGGCCAGTATTGGCAGGAAATTTGAGAGGAGTATCTCCGCAAGGACATGGCCAGTCGTACCGTCGAAACTCGGTGCTTGTGTGCCTTCGTGAGTTGGCCTGTTGCATGGTCCGTAGACTTCTCCAGTTGTGATCTTGTTATTGCAGTTCCAATTCCATCTTTTACGCGCTGTCGACGCTGAAACGATAGCAATTAGCTATGGCTGCCAAGTCAACGAGATCTGGATCGTATCCCATCCAGTCGCAGGACTACACTCCGCATCCAGAGCCTGGGCCGCCAACAGTTGAGCAGGAAACTACGTTTCCAAGGTCGATACGCGCTCTCCGTAATGCGGATGAGGCCGACGACCACGGAAGGACGCTTGTAATTTGCCTGGACGGCACGGGTGACCAATTTGACCATGACAACTCAAACGTTGTAAACTTCGTCTCGTGCCTGCGCAAACACACGCTAGGCAAGCAAGTTACATATTATCAGAGCGGCATTGGTACATACGACAAAGGAGGTAAGTTACACTGGTGTTGGCAAGACGAAAGTTGCCAACACGTACGACTCTGCAGAATGAAAACCGAACCAGGTGTATGCTAACGTTTCGATCGTTCCTACTTGAACAGGTTTGAAGAATGGAATTGGCGCAGCAGCGGACATGGCCGTGGGCAGCGGCCTGGGCATACACATCAAGGACGCCTACCGCTTTCTCATGCAAAACTACCGAGAAGGTGACAAGATCTGTTTACTCGGATTTTCGCGCGGCGCATACACGGTACGATGCCTCGCAGGCATGCTTCACAAGGTTGGCCTCCTCCCTGCTGGCAATGGCGCGCAAATCAACTTCGCCTACAAGTACGGAGCATAGATCCTTACTGAAAGAAGTCCGCATGCTCACATGTCGCGATGCAGGTTCTTCAAAGATGATTCTCCAGAGGGGTGGAAAATGAGCGCCGAGTTCAAGAAGACGTTCTGCACGAATGTGGATGTGTATTTTGTCGGGTTGTGGGATTGCGTCGCCAGCGTTGGGTTCATACCGCGCAAGCTTCCCTTCTCCAAAAGCCCCACGAATAGCATCCATTACTTTAGACATGCAATGGCTCTTGACGAACATAGATCTAAGTTCAAGGTGTGTCAATGGCAGCACCAGGATCCAAATCTCAAGCGAAGCGCGACGGTGGACCTGACGCCCAAGGCGCAGGTCAAGCGGGGCATGAAAAAGTCGTTCCAGTTATTTGGGGTTGGAAAGACCAAACAGAGCAAGAATGACGGACATGTCGCGAATGGAACGGTCAATTTGAATGAGGTGAATGGAGTCGGCGGCGAGGGGACAGAGGAAAAGGATCACTTTGATGGTGGAGTATCCGAGGACTACAAGGGCATGACGAGGAAAGACATCGAGCAAGAGAAACTGGAGAGATATTTCGAAGCGCTAGATGCTACAAGGAGAAAGCACCATGCAGTGAAGACTGATGTGCTTGAAGTCTGGTTCATGTACGTGTCTGCAACCAAGATCCACCATCATCTCAGTGAACCTAACAAAGTACGCCAGGGGTTGTCATGCAGACGTCGGCGGCGGCGCCGTCAAGAACGAGGAAAGACACAAACTTTCTAACATCCCGCTGCGATGGATGATCCGCCAATGCTTTGAATGCAACACAGGCATCCTCTTCGACACCGCCGCTCTCGCCGACCACGGCTTAGATATGCATTCACTTTGGCCAAAATACGTTCCACCTCAAGAACCAACCATGGAACCCGCTCCGAGCACGATCGACATGTACAACAAGTCCGCTCTTGCTCCGCTGAATCGCCGCTCAGCCCTGCTCCGCATTGGGACATATCACCGTCGCGCGGACGAAGAGGACTTCAGCGCCTTCCGTGAAGCACATCAATCGGCGCTTCTGCCCGAGAGCACGGAAGACTACTTCGACGCGAGGGCACCAATCAATGATCAGCTCAAGCAGGCGAAAGGCTGGTGGGTCTTGGAATTCTGGCCCATAAAGGTGAGAGTACTGGCGAAGTGTGGGCTGGGATGGGAGAAGAAGGTGCGCATGAACTTGGGGAGGTACAGGTCGGTCAGGGAGAAATCGCCAAAGCTACACTGGACGGTACAGCACATGGTGGCCGAGGGAAGGTACAAGATAAAGCCGAGGACTGCGCATGATTGCGTCTGGGAGAAATATGTCTGAAGCTTGGCAATGTTTCCTATTTCGCAAAAGTCTTGCTGGACTATGCATTGTGTTGTATTCTCGCGCTGCAGAGTTGAGCATTAAGCATTGTAATTCCACCAACAGATTCCCTTTATCAACAATTCTTACTCTAATATTCAAATCAACCATAATTCAGTCCATGTTCACCAATACTAAGACAAAGTTCGAAGGTTAAGCTAGTTATCCAAGATTTCGTATAATCTATGCGGCGAAATCTGCGCAGACAACATTCAAGATTTCAAAATCGAGAAAGGTCTTTTATCAAGGAGAGCGAAGACGCTCAACTCAGTATCGACACGTTATGCTCTCAAAGAGAGTGAGGGCGGATTTTTGAGATAATTTGAATTCGTTTCAACTCGAGGCTGGCTGTAAGGCTGATGAATTTTCCAGGGTCCATGTACTTGTACATTGTCCAAAGCCAAATTGAGGATCCTTGACTTACAAAAGGCCACCAGCTCGTACTGTCCTTGTGCCCGACCATTGAAAATCAGCGGCGTACCTGCAGATTTTATTTGCACTTCGAGAGCTCTTAAGCCATTGTCTTTTGATATATTCTAAAACAATGGCCTTGCGTCCGCAAATTCTACGACTGCTTGCGCGGCCTGCGACAAGCACTCCACGGCCGAATGTCTGCGTACATTGTCGCATTCGCTGCTCGTCGACGACAACTACGGCGCCATCTCCCACACTCTCTCGCCTAAGAGAGGACCTCAAGACAGCCATGCGCGCCAAAGACACCGTCCGCCTGGGCGTTCTCCGCGCCGTCCTCGCCGACATCACAAACGCCTCCAAGACATCGTCACCAATCACAGACGACCTCTCCCTCCTCGCGCTACTAAGGAAGAAGATATCGCAAACGCAGGCATCCATTGAAGAGTTTTACCAGGCAGACAGGAAGGACCTTGTTGCGAAGGAGAAGGCGCAGTTGGACATTCTGAACGAGTACGTCGGTGGTGTCAAAGTCATGGGTAGGGACGAAGTGAAGGACGTGGTCTTGCAGACAATTGCAGAAATCAAAAGTGAAGGTCGGCAACTTGCCCTAGGCGATGTGATGAAGAGGGTTACAGGGCCCGGGGGAAAGCTGGAGGGAAAGATGGTGGAGAAGAGTACTGTTGTCAGCGTGATTCGGGAGGAGATTGGCGTCAAGAAATGAGACCTCTGCTTCACCTGCTCAGATTGAAGGAACAGCAAAGATTCCCTTGTTTTAGTTCATACCTGTATAATAGTGAAAAGGCAGAGGAGTGCGTGCGTACAGAATACGATGTTTAATGTACTCCATGACTTCACGTGAGGTTTGAATTTGTTAAGGTGATTTCACGCTACAGTCCTGGTGTGTTAAGGACTCGCTCACGGCGTATTTTGATTGTTTTGGCTGTGATACCACTACTGATTGTACGCGTGGTTTATTCATTGGCGTTGACAGTCGAATTAATTTCAACGAGACTGAGGTAACTCACGGAAATGCTGGCTAGAATACTACGATTTTAGAAGTTGTGGCGATAACTACACTTCCGCGATAAAGCCGCTTGCCTAATTAAATAGTTCCGCCACGTATTACTAGACTGTTTGGCGCAATTTCCAACAAATGGAAAAACCGCTTTAACCTGCTTGTGACGAGCATGTGGTGACTTGGAGCATGGAATGTTCGAAATGAGTGATCGAGTGAAAGCTCATTATTTTACCAGAAAGGTTAATTAGTGAACACATGGGAATGCGTTCACAACAAAGGTTAAGGTCATATACTTGGGCCAAGTTGAATCTCGCATCTCTTGAGTCTGTTAGCTTCTACGTTAAGTCGTTGCGGAGAAGATTGAGCTACCTTCTATCAAACTCATGACATCCTCCAGAGCCTTATTAGAGACATTTCCTGCTAAGATCTCGTCTTTCGCGCGTTCTGCCCTGTTCGAATTTTGACCTCTGATGGCCAGCAGAGATGGCAGGAGAGTCATGTCTACGTAAGGCTTGAGATGCAGCATGTCCAAGGTTCGTTTGAAATGTAGCTCCGTCTTTTGGTCAAGCTTTGGCGGCGTATCCAAAATATCGAAGAAGGTTAGGCTGTTGGAATGGCCGACGGCATTTGGAGCATCAATGAAGGAGGTTTTGGTGCTGACACCTTGCATTTTACGTGCGTGTAGGAGCGTGAAGAATGGTAGAACAGCCTTTGGCCTAAAATCTGCATTGAATTTGCCAAACCACCAGCGCGGCTGATAACTCACGCCCAGCTGAGGGAATATTTTAGCGATGTCTTCGGTCACGATTTGTGTAGTGACCAAGATACGTAAGCCAATGTCGGACTCTAGTGTCTGTATGATCAGTTAGCCTGCGATTTGGACACCATATAAAGGATGAATCAGGTTGCACTCTAGCAGCCCATAAAGCAGACTGGGCAGAGTTTTCAAAAATCTTATCTCTGTCATATTTGTTCGACCAGACAGCATAATCATAGTAGGAGTGAACATTCAACTGATGCAATTCCATAAGCTGGTTTGGGTCGTACGCATCCATATGTTGCTCGACCAGTTGCAGGAATCCCGGATCTCTCTCGTTGTACGGAACGCCCAATGTGTTTGCTACATCAGCGCGAATCCGCTCCTGTTCTGCTTCATCAAGGTGGAAAAGACGATCACATTTACCGTCCTTGCACATCTTGAACCTATTCCATTCTTTGGTCTGGATTTTAATTTGCAAGGACATTTGCTCCACGACCTCATCAAACATCTGTGCCGTCCATATGCCATGAAAGTAGTCTGCACGCTTTAAATGGTCCGTTGGAAACATGTTAGTGACGTTCTGTCGTACAATAGCATATGCCTTAAGCGCGGGAACAAGTTCATCGTAGTCGACTGGAAGGGCAAAAGTAGACACTCTTGCTGTTTCAGTCATGATCGTATTGGTGGCCGAAGAGCTTGAGTTCGATATGCTGAGTGTCTTTTTTCGTTGATCGGACCTTTTGACTTGACTTAGTCTTCGACTGAGGTATAGACGACATACGGAGAATGATTTGGAGTATGAGTGGTGAGAATGAGGTCCGTCCAGCAACTCGAAACGATATTTCCAGATATAAACATGTCGGTTGAATTCAAGGAAAGAACAATTGAGGCCCTCTGCGCACAGATCTTCGAAATAAGTCTTTCAATACAGTTTGATGAAAGTCCATCTGCTTACTTTGCTCCTACTTTCATTCAAACAAAATAAACCAGAGCAATTGCTCAAAAGTTGTATATTCAGCACACCAGATCATTGGTTTTGGAGAGGAGAAGCAAAAGTTAAAAGCACAGAACTGTCGAAATCTTCTTTCAGCTTTCTGGGCTGGTGAGTAGAGGCAGTATCGCATTAAGAATTGTTAGTTATTGGCAAGTGAGAACAAGTCTTAGAAAAATCTGTCAATGGACAATAACTGTAGAGATGTATTTACACTCCGTAAACAAACTCCTGCTCTTAGTCGCTGTCTGACTCTCTATTCTCTCCCAAGAGGGCGCTCTCCTCATCTACAGCTGAGGTCTCCGATGACTTGATTTTCGGCTCTTGATGCTTCTGCAGCGCCGACCATAATGTACTTGCAATGACAATGAAGCCACCAATAATGCTCCACGTGCCTGGAAACATCCCCCAGATACCCCAGTCAAATAACAGTGCAAAAATGATTTGGGAATACATCATGCTGGTTGCCTTCGTCCCCCTGTCCAATTGGAGCCCGGCAGTGAGGAGAAACTGTAATATGAAGCCCAAAACACCCAGGCTGGCTAAAAGAGCCCATTCTCTGACGTCCTGAGGAAGCTTAAATCCAATGTTTGGGGTCAAGAGAAGTATTAATGTAGACCCGACCGTGCTAACAATGGCAAAGTAATTGACGGATATAAGAGCATGAGCTCTATCACCTATGACCCTGATCATGGTGTACGCGCCCGACGCACCCAGGACTCCAAGAAGAGATACCGCAATAGCAAATAAGCGCTGTGCCGGGGTCACTTGGTCGATTTTGTTGCCACTTGTGGCCAAAAAGAGCAGATCAGATGAGTCCACGAGGTCGTTCTTCGGACCAAAGATCGCCGCTGGTTGGGCGATGATGATGACGCCGATGAGAGCAATGAGTCCTGCACAGAGATCTTTTCCGGAGAAGACCTGACCCAAAAAGATCGAACATGCCCACCCGGTCACTATGGGGACCAAAAATCTAAAGACCGTAGCCTCTGCGAGGGGCAGGAATCGAACCGAGTCTGTGTGTCTCAAGTCAGACAAAAATTTTTGCAACCCATGTGCAAGCCGCTCACAATAAAGACACCAAAGTCCAAAGAATCCAAAGAGCGCACGAATGACAAGCAAGCCTCTGACACTAGGTTTCCCCAGTGGAAAGTCGGGCACTTGGTTCCACCACATGTATATGGTACTCAAAATGGTGGTGCCAGCCATGCGAGCAAAGATGATCTGAGGGCTCAAGACGAGTTAGTAACGTTGGTAGCAAGGCGAACTTGGGCGAGAACGTGTTTGGCTGAGAAATCATACCTGATACGGGTGTATTCCTCGACCGCCTTGTTGAAGGAAGCGGACGATGGCGTCCATGGACGAAGCGACCGCTTCTGCCAGGAGAATAAGGAATGCACCTTTGTTTTGGCGATACACTCGCTTCCATGCTTGTTCCTGCTCCGAAATATTCGGAGTATTTGCTTCGTTAGTCATGATTCTCCTTATATTTTGCGAGTTCGAAGTCGAGATCCCCCGTGATGGTCAAATACAACAATTTGAAAATTGCGTGCTCGTGACCAGCCCGGCCCGTGAACGCCGGAACCGGGATGTAACCATAGGCCATGACAAGGAGATGAAAGGAGCTTGAAGAATTAAAGTAATCCTCACGGGAGCTTATATTGATAAAATCGATTGTAGGAGGGCAATTTAACGAAAGGAATCTAGTATTCATGGATCGTTCATCAAAGAAGTCTCAATATTTTCATATGTATCTTGGTTAGGTATAACTTTGCATGCGTCTTAAATGGTCTAGCGAATATCCTATTTGCTAAATTGCCTCATGCAAGACCCATTTCTTTGTAGAAAGCCTCGGTATTTGGTTTCCTGCCCAAGAAGTCTTCCAGTGTTTGCATTTCTTCCTGGCTACCGCCTCGCTCGAGAACGGTGTGTCTATACCTGCGACCTTCCTTCCCATTCATTGGATCTTTCTTGAAAACCGTATGGAACATATCCGCGGAGTAAACTTGAGAGCTACAAATATTCAGTTAGAACACGACCGGTATGCCATTGAATGCATAGCGTCGAACATAAGGCATAGACTCACCTTAGGTAACCATAATATCCGGCATCGTAGCCACCAATCAGATGTCCAAATGTAGCTTGACCATGACCCCAATCCCAACTGGAGCCCAGCACCTCGGGGCCATCTAGCTTGCTGATATCCTTACGCAGTTTATTATACAGTTCGCTGATCTTCATATCTTTGATCTCCTGATGATCTTTTGGACTATGAACTGTCATATCAAATATGCCAAAGTGCAGCTGTCTCAAATTGAAGAGAGCATCGTTGACATGCTTGGTCTTGATGATACTGTCAATCAGCTCGTCTGGTATCGTCTCGGGTGGCTGCGAGGTATTGTCCGGATGATCCTCTTCAAATGAAGCCTTATACTCTGGAGAAAGGTATGAGTAATGCTTGCTCAGACTCTTGAGCTGCGAAGGAGTCCAGCACCAATTCTCAAGCATCTGGGATGGCGCCTCGACAAAGTCACGGACCGTGTTTGTACCGTGGAAGCGCGAGTACGTTGTGCGTGAGACTAAATCATGGATGCCGTGGCCAAGCTCATGGAATAGAGTCACAACCTCATCATGCTTCAGTAAGCTGGGTTTTTTGGCCGTGGGCTTGCTGAAATTGCAGACAAGAGCGGTAGCCGGGTATCTTCGCGTGCCATCCTCTTTAATGAAACCCGGCTGCAGATTAAAGTTTGCTGCATGTCCATACTTGCCTTCGCGAGGGTGAAGATCGAGATATAGATAGCCAATGAAGCCATCGCCTTCACCTGCGTCATCCCACACAGAGAAGACCTTTACATCCTCATGCCATACGATGTCATCGCCTTTACCCGTCTCGGAGAGTGCGTCGCGGTCTGCGCCTGTGATCTCGACAAACACCATGCCGAACAATTCTTCAAAGATTCTCAACATGCCAGTGATCGTGGGCATGAGCGGAAAATACTCTGCGATCTTGTTTTGGTCAAGCGCAAAGTCCTTCTCCAGCATCATGGTGTCGTAATACCGGTGATCCCATAGATAATAATGACCATCATCCTTGTCTGTCTGATTTGTCTCTTTCAAATCTGCTTTCTTCAGCGACTTCAGCTTTTCGATTTCCTCCAGGCCGCCCGGTGCAAGCCGGTTCCGCAGATCACCGAGGAAATCGTTCACTGTCTTTGGTGTCTTTGCCATCTTGTCCTCAATGCGAAATTCGGCATGATTGTTGTAGCCCAACAATCGCGCCGCTTCGTCCCGCAAAATTACAGCTTCTTGGAAGAGCGGTATGTTCTCATTACACTTGTTTTCATTCGCAATGAAGATCTTCTTGCGCACTTCGGGATTCTTAGCATACTTCAAAGCCGGGAATAAATCTGGGTATTTGAAGGACAAGCGCAGCTTGCCCTCGTTTTCGCCCTCGCCCTTCTTCAATGTCGATATGACATCCTTCGGGACGCCAATCAGCTCTTTCTCCGTGAACCACAAGCCACCATTCTCTTCGTTGAGCGTCTTCTGGAAGGCGATACTCAGCTCACTCAGCCTCTTCTTGATCTCCTTGAAACGGTCCCGCTTCGGTCCAGACGGTATGCCCAAGCCGTTCCGGATGAAGCTCTTGTGATCCTTTTCCAGCCACCGCTGGGATTCCGGATCCAATTTTTCGCCCTTCTTCAGCACCGCGTCCACAAGAGCAAACACATCTTCGCGCATAATTGACTCAATACCAAACTCGTCCATCATCTTTTCCGCGTCGGAGGAGGCATCGCGTAGTTCTTGTGAGGTCGACACAGCTTGGTAGAAGCCAATGATGTGCGTCTCGAGAGCGCCTATATTGTCATCGCGGGCACGTGGCAGACACGAGTTCTCGAAGGTAGCATCCTCTGGTTTAACGTTCTTCACCAGCTCATCTTGGAGCTTCTTGCTACGATCAATCTACGGCCAGTCAGCAAGTAACATTCAGTAGCCTGACTGTTGTCCCATTACAATACGCTTAGTGTCCTCTATCAAGCTTGCCGGCGTTCCCGTGAACTTTGGCGGTGCTTGAGGAGGCTTTCGGTACTTTTCCGGAGCCATTGACATGTTCGTGAGAGGCCTCTGGCCGCCAAACGCCGTTGGACTGAATTTAGGAAGCTGAAAGTTGTTCAGCAAAGTCTTGACACGAGCCCCAAAGCGAGCGGAAGCCAGGATGCAGGCGATGGAGATGAAGACTATGAGGCTCGTGACAATGAGTTTCAGGTTAACTTTGGCCGCCGTGGTGAGCGGGGGAAAGTTGTGAGGCTGGACGAACGAATCGCAGCCCCACAGCAAGAAGCGGTGTACGTAAATGTAAGGGTGCGTGCGGAGTACGTGGAGAGACTAAGAGGACGGCGGGAGAGGACAGTGAAAGCGAAGAGGATCGTGTAGGAGGACAAGTCGTGTTACAAGTACTAGTACAGTGTTCTGTTCGAGGGTAAACTAAGACAGATACCCGGACTCATTGGTTCGAGCCCTGACACATGAACGCCTTGTGTCTCGCGAGGCTGGGCACACGTGATCTAAGCTTTTGCGAGGAGATCATGGAAACATTGGAAAGGCGTCACTGGATCTCCTCCGCGATAGGCTCAGTCCGTGACTGGTCGTGAATAATAGAGCAAGTCTGTTGAAATCACACATGACTTGGCGGCCGTAGCAATAATGTGTCTACTTATGAGCCGCGACAATCGAGGATTTCTTCAGCCTTGCCCAGTGTTTTGCTCATGATTACGCAACATGCAGTCTACGTCTCTGGGTCGGCCAGATACAACGTATTAGATTGATGCTATAATTTATGACTTGTTATTACGTGGCTCTTTCTGTTTGACTTCTAGTATGCCTCCTCAATCTCATCAATGTTCCACCGTTGAATCCAGACTTGCGTCGGATATTATCGAAGAGAGACAATTATAAAACGTCTTTGTTCATGGTGCTCAGATACAAATCACACCTTCATTAATAAGGCTTCAAGCAGCCTGCTTCAAGATTGTTGCTGAATCTTGCATGTCAACGACCCATGTCCACAGCTTCTATTAACCAGGTGATAGATCACTTGATAGCGCAAGCCTCGCCATCATTCTTGCTCTACCTATCTTTCACTCATGTACAAAGTATCAAAGAATTATGGAAGGTTGGATGATACAGTACAGAATTTGATCAAACGATTAAATAATGTTGTTCGTACCGTCCGTATTCTGGGTTACAGCTCCGTCAAGAACCCAGTTTTGTCTCGTGAGACCTTAGGCACCAATCCATTATAAACAGTAGCACTGGACGGGATTGTAGAAATTCTGTGATCTAGGCCTCGAAACTGCTGTTCTACCTCTCGAAGCAGATTTTGAAAGGACTAAAAACACGTTTAATTACAATTTGACATGAAAGGAACAGGTTCAAATTGATCAAATATGTACCATCGAGATCTCAACAGCACAAAGTCAAAACTAGATCACGGGTTTTATACCACGGCCTGTTCTTCTTTGCGGCTGAATTTGACATCACCAAATTCTGCCCTACGTATAGACGTGTGGCGCGCTCTCATATTTATGAAACGTCTGAGCGCAATGTCCCAATATCATTTTCGCACCGGTTCTCTTCTGCAGCATCCTCATCTTTTGGTGGCTTCTGACCCAGTCGTCGTGATCCCTAGCAAGCCAGCCTTGTGGTACATTATCCTCCCAATTCTCGTGCACGTGATACATATCGGTAGTGAAGATCCACGTCCCCGAGTCTTTTAGATTGACTTGCATACCTGCAAGTCCTGGTGTGTGGCCCGGCAACTTGTGCAGATTGATTCCGGGAGCAAGCTCCAGGAAATCACCTGTCCAGGCTTGCCAGTTGAGATCCGTGAGGGACATGTAGTGAGGGAGATATACACCAAGATCAGTCTTTGTAGCCACGCTAAAAAAAGCGTGTTTGAGCTCGTCCTCGTGCACATAAATGGGCACATCCGTCTTCAGGAAGTTTTCTAGCCCACCTGCGTGATCAAGGTGCAAGTGGCCCATAACTACAGCCTTGACGTCCTTGATATCGTGTCCCGTTTTCTTGATCTGAGCCTCCAACTCGTGCTCAGGCGAGTAGTCTACACGGGCAAAGACGTCATTAAGCGCGTCTCCCCAGACCTGAGGGTAGTCCTTCCCACCACCCGTTTCGAAGAGAATGAGGCCTTCGGTTGGGTGAGAGATGAGGGCTGAGATTATGACCAACTTTCTGCGCTCAGGCTTCGGGGCTGGATTGGAAACCGTGGAAACACCGCCACCGCGCTTGAACCAACCTTCCTCTGCTTCAAGGTTGCCACAGTGAAGGAGCTATTGTGCACCAATTAGCTTTTGACCACGGTGATACATTGTGTGGGCCTTGCCCAAAGTTTGGTGCCCTACTTTTCGTCATTCTTCTGTATCATCAACATAGTTGGCCTTGTACTTACCTCAGGCGCCTTGTTGATGAGGTCAATGGATGCCATTTTGTTTCTCCCAATTCACGTCGTTGGATTCGGAAGACAAAGCAAAAGAAGAACGGAAACAAAGCTTCGTTTATGCTTGGCTGGGAGATGGTAGGCGCTTATACGTCCTTACGAGAGGGGTTTAATCAGCAGGCCCATTTCTAATCATGCTCCATCCCTCCGACCGTGGGAGCGGGGACACGATCTCCGAATATGCGGATTTGCTGCCAAAGCGGCTCCAAGCACCAGCGTAATCAAGAAAGGAAATGTATTCGGAGAAGGAACGTAAGTATGAAAACATCGTGCCAAGAGTCATATAGAAGATATGCAGCCTATCATGAATTCTCTGCATGGCGAAGGAATGACTCAAGTTAGCACGGGCGACCAAAACAGCTGGGATGTGTACTGTCACATTGAAATTTTAGTAAGAAGACGCAAAGAGAAAAGTCCCCCGGTATTCCAGTATACTGCCATGCCTGTGAGACTGTTGGAGGTGGTGTCAGACCTCGCCAGCTGGGAGCAAGCGACGATGAAGAGGGCAAAGAGAGAGAGAGAGAGTGCGCGAGGAAGCATGGGGAGGGTTCGCGCTTGTTGGAAGCTGATTGGTTGGAGCCTTGTGCCTGAGGAAAGATGCCTCAGTCGCGAAAAAGAACATTGCAAGGCCGTACGCGAAGCTCAGGATGAAGAGTAAATATGGTTGCTATCGTAGCCCTCCTCAACCATAGCTCTGTCTTCCATCTCCTGCAATTCCATCTCCTCTTTCTCATGCGCATCTGAAACTCATTGCGCTATTCATGTCTAGTCTGCGGCCATCATTTTCTTCGTGAATCCCCTTCCAGCCTCCTCCAGTACACGACCGTTCTCGAGCGCATCATAAAGCGCATCATTCACCTCTCACTTTAACACGCCGTGTGGCGCAACACAGACGTGGCCTCTGGCACAGGAGGCGGCCAAAGACATGTCGTATCCGCCGGTGACGCCGTTACGGCCGACTCCTGGACTGTTCCCAAACACTCCTGCGCCTGCGCGGACGCCCTCAAATGCTGGTCTCGCTAGACCGCCTGCCTTTCGAGCTCCCTCATTCTCAGCACCTGTGGCACAGCGTGTAGGCTCTGGTACGAATCTGGGGGGCAGTGTCGTGCAGCCTGCACCGCAGACACCAGCGCGAGATTTGACGCCCGTCGAGCGAGCGGCCGATATCATAGAGCGACAACTGAAGAGAGAAGATGGTTATCCTTCTCTGGAAGCGTTTATCACGCGTAAGTTTTGCTGCAGCGCATACGTGACCAATGTCTGATAGTCGAGCAGAGGGCGTGTCAGACTCGTACAGCATGCCCAGCAATGATGCGTGGGCGCCCTACCAGAAAGTCAAGCAGTATAACATCCCCGATCGCGTGTTCGAGGAGTACAACAATGCCGAAATGCAGACGATGATGGGTATATTCGCGGAGCTCCACCACGCTTGGGTGGTCATCGACAACGCACTGTACCTTTGGGACTACACACATCCGAATCCCGAACTGATTGGCTATGAAGAGTTGACGCAGATAATCAATGGGGTAGCTCTGGTCAAACCAAGAGCTGGTGTCTTTGTGAAAGAGATTACCCATCTGCTGGTTGTCACAACGCCATCAGATTTGCATTTGATCGGCGTGGCTGCTTCGCAAAATGCTGCAGGCATCACAAGCCTTTCACTTTATCAGACAGGAATGTCTGTCTCGATGAAGGGAGTGTCGGTTGGTTGCGTTGCGGGCTCCGATGCGCAAGGACGGATCTTTGTGGGCTCGAGCACATCAAATGACATTTACGAGATCACATATCAAAAGGAGGAGCAGTGGTTCTCCAGCAAATGCTCAAAAAAGCTCCAAACAGCCAGCCAGAGCTTTGATGTCTCTAAGCTGTTTTCATCTTTCTCTGGAAAAGCTACGGTGGATGGTGTCGTTCAGCTTACCGTTGATGATTCGAGAAGTCTGCTATATGCACTCTCTAGCAGCTCAACAATCCGTGTTTTTCACCTAAGACATGCACAGTCGTTGCCTTGCCTAATTACAAAGACGCTATCTGAGGTCACTACTGCTATAAGTCATATGAGACTACCGCTACGGTTCACGGAGGGCCAGATGCGTATTGTTTCCATCTCTCCGATCGCTGCAAACGAATCCGAGGGCTTGAACTTAGTTGCGACAACCAACAAAGGCATTCGTATCTTCTTCAGCGCAACATCAGGATACATGCCGATGGGCGTAGACCGAACGCCAAATAGCATGCAACCTCAACACGTCCGATTACCTCCATCTCCGGAAGGAGCAGAGCCACCACTGTCTGCGCCGTCCGCGTCGAGCTTACAAGTTGGCCCTTACCAAGGAAATGAGAACACACTAAGCGCGCCCATGCCGACTGAAAAGAGCGTGCGCTTTCCGCCGGGCTACTTCCTTGCTACAAGTCCAGATGGTGATCTTGACAAACTGTTTCTTTCCGCGCCTGAAATTGTTCCGACGAGCAGAGGCCTTGAGCCCGGGAGACTACAGCAGTATGCCGAAACTGGCCAGTGGATTGCCCTGCAAAGTAAGACACAACAGATTGGTCTCATTGGAAAGCCTTTTGCTGCCTCCTCGCGGCCTCTAGGCTTTGGCAATGAGCTTGCTGTGCAGTTCGATGTGGCTGCCACTGAGGTGGCTGTCCTGACAAATACCGGCGTCCACACTTTCCGGCGTAGAAGACTAGTAGATATATTTGCTGCGTCGCTACGCGCGGCCAATATATCCGAGGAACTGGTAAAGGAGGAAATTAAACACTTTATCAAGCAATACGGTCCCCGAGAGATATCAGCAACTGCCCTTGCTGTGGCTTGTGGTCAGGCAGTAGATGTGACAGCTGATTCCCGTGTGGCAAAGATCAACGATGACGACGTGTTTCGTAACGCACGGAAAGCCTTCATCGATTTTGGAGGACAGCCCAGATTAGAAGAGGCTGATGTGACTTCGAACGGTTCTGCGATTGACAGTGTCAAGCCGTCGTACCGCGCTGACGGCTTGACAATCTATGTTGCACGTCTCGTGCGATCGCTATGGAGAACGCCCATCATGAAAGAGACCGTCAATCCTCAGGGAGGTATGAAGATCAGTTCGACTATCCCAATTTCGAAACTCCAAGGTGTCCAACAAGATCTCAACCGTCTCCAGGAATTCCTAGAGATGAACAAGACTTACATCGAGGGTCTATCTGGGCCTGAAGCACTCAGTCGTGCAACCTCGAAGCAGGATGAGATTGCACTTCAGGGTGAACACAGAATTTGGAACTCTATGATGAAAACAATAGCAAACATAATTGAGGGACTTGCGTTCGTTATGGTTCTATTTGAAGACCCTGTCGAAGAAATCGTCATGCTGGTTGCCGAAGAGTCCCGCGCAAGGGTCAAAGCAATGACCTATCAACTTCTGTTTTGCTCTCCGGAAGGTCGAGACCTGGCCAAGGAGCTTGTCAAGGCTATCGTCAATCGAAGCATTGCGCGTGGATTGAACGTTGACACTGTTGCCGAGGCTTTGCGCCGGCGATGTGGGTCTTTTTGCAGTGCTGACGACGTCGTTATCTTCAAGGCCCAGGAACTCTTGAAAAAGGCATCGGAGGCAGGCTCGTCCTCCTCCTCGAGTCGATCGCTTCTCAATGACAGCTTGAAGTTGTTCCAGAAGGTAGCTGGAAGCCTGACAAACGAAAATTTGACGAAAGCCACAGAGGCGTACATCGCCAACGGCTTCTATGCTGGTGCAATCAGACTTCTCCTAACCGTAGCGGAACAAGTTGATCGGGCTAATGCAGCGTTATCTTGGATTCGAGATGGCCAGCCTGATGGAGACAGTCGCCAGGCAGCATATGAGAAGCGTAGAGACGCATATAGACTCATCTGCCAAGTTATCACGGCAGCGGACCAAGCTTTCTCCCAAGCAACCAGTGCTGATGAGTTCACACTGTCTACCATGACGACACGCAAACAGGAAGCGTATACCGAGATCAATCAATCGGACGACGAAGTATTCCAAACTTATCTCTACGAATGGTATCTCAGTCAGGGCTGGTCTGAACGACTACTGGAACTGGACTCTCCACATGTGATCAATTATCTCAAGCGCAAATCTACTGAGAGCATTCAGCATGCGGACCTGCTCTGGAGGTACTACGCCCGCTACCACTCGTATTTTGAGGCTGCCAAGGTCCAGCTTCAGCTTGCCAAGAGCGAATTTGACATCAAGTTGCCGGCGCGAATCGAGTACTTGAGTCGTGCGAAGGCCAATGCTAGCGCACGGACGAATGGGCTTCAAGAATTCGGCCGAAGCAAGCAGAGTAGGCAGGAAGTGGTGAGAGATATCAACGACTTGCTGGACGTTGGCAATATACAGGAGGATGTATTGAGGAGGCTTCTCAACGACAAGAGGTTGATGGGCGATGAGGAGAAGAGGATGGAAGTTGAGAGAGAGCTGGATGGACAGATCCTGAACCTTGATACCGTGAGTGTCTGGTCTTTTTTTCACTCTTCGCTGCCCTAACGACTGACCGACTTTTAGCTCTATTCCGACTACGTGGATCAGGCGAGCTATTACGATCTCGCTCTCATAATCTATGACCTGGCAGATTATCGAAATGCGGCCGACATCCGTCGCGTGTGGAACAGCCTTGTCAAACAAGTTCACGAGGATGCTCTAGAGTCTGGCCGTGCATCACCACGCGAAGCCGTCGCTGAATACGTTCGAGATCTTGGACAACGCCTCAAGTGCTCTGTCATCACATTCCCAATCCGTAAGTGCTTCTTTCCTTGAAACTTCGATGATTACAAGATTTCTAACTTTCGACCTCACAGCGACTATACTTCCAATCCTCCTCCAGTACTCACTTGAGAACCGCGACAGCTCCCACGACTGGACCACGGCTCTCCTTCTCGATTTAGGTATCCCACATGAAGCTATCGTGACAACGCTTGAAGATCTTTTCTACAACCAAGAACCTCCTTGGCGTGAAAAGAAGTACAAAACTGCCGTAGCGAAGCTTCTGGCGGCCGATCTGGCAGCGTGGTGCGAAGAAAGCAGGAGGGGTGGCGGCGTGCCATTCGGCAGCGAAGAGAATGGCGCTGTGGCATTGAACATGGTGAGAGGGATCCTTGAGGGAGGAGTACTTGTAGGCAGAGATAAAGAAATGATTGAGAGGGTGAAGGAGCTGGTAGAGAGAGTCGTGTTCTAATGGAGGAAGCGTGGAAGAGATATTAGCCAGGACGTGGGCACGCAAGCAGGCTCACATCGTAGATGCTTTTGCCAAGCTGTCCCTGAAAGACTGAAGTGACGCTTAAGATGAGACAATTCATCTCGTAAAGCAACATTGACACTGGGATGGATATAACAAGGCAACGGGTTTGAAGAAGAGTAGGCTTATGCATTTTGCATTTGAGCGATTGGTGTTTCGGGCGCGCGCATTTCATATGGATAAAGCATTGCGAGGCTGACCTAGGCCCCAAGCCACTGCAACAACCATGTACGGTGTGAAGCTGCTGGCTGGGCATTAATCGATTAGACGATGCACATTTGCGGGATACATGCTTCAATTCAGTTTCTTCGCCTCCCTGTCCCTCATAGACGCATGTATTATACTGCTCAGGCGCATGAACATGTCTATTCCCATGAAGATAGCTGTGCAAATAGTTAGCGTTGGAAAGTACAGCTCTATGCACTCGGAATGGCTGCTTACAGACGGCCAGATACGGCAGGTACAGTCCCATCAACGCATTCTTTTCGCTGCCGGAGAGACCTTGCCAGCTCAATGCCTCAGCGATGCACGTGGCCGTCGTAACGCCCGTCTGCACGGCATAGATGAGCAGATGCAGCGGGACGAGGGGAGCATCTGTGAGCAGGCCGTATACTGCCCATGCCGATATGGGAAGATGGTAGACTGCTTCCATGCGGACGTAGAGATGGAACCATGCCCTGTCAAATGCGTTGGCGACCGTTTGGATGCGGCAGGCAGGAGGGGGGAGTCGGCCAAGACTTTGAGGAGTTTGGCACCGTAGAGGGGACTGACTTACGGGGGATTGATGAAGAAGATGTCCTTGTAAGTTGCGATGTAGAACTGTCGCAGGTTCGTCATGAAGGCCGGAATTCGCGCCGGCGGCCACAGGATGTACGAGTCGACCACTGCGTTCAAATGGTGGTCAATGCAAGTGAACGTCAGGTACGCTTGACAAGAAGCTGGGCTGGGGACAGAATTGCAACGGGCGTGATCGTCTTTATACATATTGTTCTGTTTCTTCCTATTTTTCTTCTTGCGTATTGGTTTGCCCTTTTCGCGTCTTTTCACGTACATATCACGACGGGAATGTGTATGGCGAAGAAGATCAGGTAGATGAAATCCATCTTCCTGCCGAGGATAGAAGTCGCCATTGTACGGGATGTGGTTGATTCGAAATGAGAGAGGGTCGCAGCTTCCGGATCCACGAGAAGACAGAAGTTAAAGGAGGTGCCGGTCGCGTTGCTTCCGCATTCGTGGCTCGGTCGCTCGCACGTTCCTTATCGGGGAAAAGGGAGAGACAACTGCGTTGCGTCCTCAAGGACGTCGCTTTACAAACTTGTGCTGTTCTTAACAGGTTCACAGCAGTTATTCTCGTGTAGCATATCATGTGGCAGCGGGCATCACGAATCCAAAAAGGAATGCAGTGTGTTTTTGCTTAAAATCGTGATATCACTAGATATACAAGAACGCTCCTGCCTTCTGTGTGAAGAGAGGCAAACGAAATGGCAGCTGTGACCCAAAGCTCAAGTGATAAAGCAACCTAGTTTTTGACTCCCTTCATACCGAAAATGGCAGCAAATATGAGACGAACAATGAACTCCTATCACGCCGCTGGAGTCTCCACATACGAAACATGTGAATCAATGTTTGACCTTTCCTGCCGTTCGCTCTTCGTCTTCTCCTCTATTCACCGGCTTTCTTATACGCTGCATCGACTTCTTTCCTGTACTTGTTCAAAATCTCCTTTCTGTTAAGCTTCTGAGCCGACGTTGTCAAGCCCTGCAGCACGATTCATGTTAGGAACCTTCTGTCCGCGCACAAAATCGAAGACGACTGGAAACGGCGGAAGAAACTTACATTCTGCGGCGTCCACTCCTCCTCCGCGAGCACGACGCCACTGATGATCTCGATACCACTCAGACCTGACTTCTTGCCTGCGTCCTGAACCTGTTTCAGCACAGCACTGTTCAACTTGTCGTTGTGAATAAGTTCTTCGATGTGATCGCCCTTGATACCAAGTTGCGATGCGAGGTCGAGTAGCGGCTTCTCAACAGGCACGATGATTGCAACCGGCTTGGCCTTGTTAGGATCTGCGTACACGCAGATGTTGTTGACCAGAGGCGAAGCCCTGTACCGGGACTCAAGCTAAGGCAGTTCTTATCAGCACACACGTGATAGCGGTGAAGTCTAACGGAGCCGCAAGATGTCTTACCTTCTCGATGGCAATGTACTCGCCGTTGAGCGTCTTTACCAGATTCTTCTTGCGATCTATGATCTGGATCTCGCCTCGCTCGTTGAACTCGCCAATGTCACCTGTCTTGAACCATCCATCGTCCGTAAAGCTCTCCTTCGTTTCTTTTTCCAGATCGAGGTATCCGCTCGCCACGCTGTTGCCTCTAATCCAGATCTCACCTTGGGGAGGCGTGTTCTTCGCCAGGTATCCCAGATCCGGCACGTCAACGAGCTTCATCTCGATGGAACCGGGCATCTCGCCCAGCGCATCTGTTGACCAGTTCAGCGGATCCATGATGGCGCCGCATGCAGCTGTCTCAGTGAGGCCGTAGCCGCTGATCATGGGTGTGATAGCGAACGAGATGAAGTGCTGCGTTTCTTTCGCGATGGGCCCGCCACCATTGAAACAGATACGCAGCCGACCACCGGTCGCCTCCTTGAGTTTGTTGAACACAATGGCATCTAGGATGCCGATGCCAGGGAGACCTGTTGCAACCAGGAATTCCTTGGCCTTGAGTGCACCCCAGAAGATATTCCTTGTGAGTGCGCTCCCGGAATTGACCTTTGCCATAATGCCCTTCTTGACAGACTCCCATACTGCGGGCACACCAACCAATATGGTTGGCTTGAATTCGCGGATGTCGCCCTTGCAGTTTCGGACTGACGAGTCAGACAATGTGCGAGGATTCCCGTAGCCCATGGTGCCTCCCCAGAAAAGTACGGCGTTCTCGAAGACAAATTCGAGAATGTGCGCAAGGGGAAGGTAGGTAAGCAGGCCGTCACCGGGACCGAGATACGGCCCGACGATTGTGCCGATGCCACCGACTGCAAGATGCCACATTAGCCTCCTATCGGAATGAAAATTTCAGGCAGATGCACGTACTGGCTGCGACAACGTTCTTGTGCTTCAGCATCACGCCTTTGGGCGCTCCGGTCGAACCGGATGTGTACATGACACAGCACAGATCATCCGGATCCGGGAAGACCGGGTCGATCTTGTTTTCTTCGCCGAGCTTTCGCAGTTCCTCGAAGCTCAAGATCTTTAGCTTGGGATGTGCGTCCTGGAGCTTCTTAATGTCGGCTTCCTTGACCTCGCTGTCTGAGTTGTAGATGACGAAGTCGAAGCTATCAACCTCTTTGAATGGGTTGATTACTTTTGTGAGCAGATGGGGGTCGAGATATATAGCCCTAGCAGACGTCTGCTTCATCGAGTGGGTAAGACCATCCTCGCCTAGGGTGTCGTACGCAGTTACGATGGCCATTGACTGCGACATGGCACCTGCATGACAGAGTCAGTAAGCTGCAAACATCGTTTCCTCCCATCGTCTCGTTCGCGACGTACCGTGCGCCATTCCTAGCCAGTATGGGCTATTCGCTCTTCTTGTTAGCAATGCACCGCTTGGCAAAACTCGAGCGGGTGTTGGAGGAAACTCACTGCGTCGCCGCAAACATGTGCAGCTTGTCGCCCGGGTTCATACCCAGCTTCCTTAGCCCGCAGCCCAGCTCCAGGCATGACTTCTCGAACTCGGCAAAGGTCTGGTACTTGTACTCGCCGAGCTCGAAATACGTCCACTTCTTTTCTACCTCGGTCTCAACGCCGTCGACCATCTTCTTGATCTTTTTGACCTCGTTGTGCGTCTTGATCAGCTTGCGCGAGCCTAGCGCCTTTGCATTTCCAAATTTGGCCGACGAGTACTTGAGAATGTCCGGAATTGTCTTGATGGCAGACGGGTCGGGAGAGGTGACCAGAGCATCGGCCGTCCGTATGTTGCGACGCGGTTTTGTCTCGCCCTCGACATCAGGGAAGCCAGGCGCTTCCACGGTTCGCGGACCTGGGACGTAAATTTTGGGCAGCGGCACGGCCGTCTTGAGATCCTTTGGCACCGTCATTGCGAGCCGAACTTGTGCAAGCGTGCTGACGACTTTTGTTGGGAGTTGAGGAGGGTTGGATGCTAGAGGCAGCGAGAGAGGCAGCGGAGCGAGGCAATTAGGACGAGTCGTGCCCAGGCAGATGGCTTGCGTAGTAAGCCAGCGGAGAGGGCGGAGCTTTTCTTTTGGGGGGGGGGGGGGGGGGTTTGTTGAGATGATGCTCGCGCTGGAGTGCGATGATGTATTGTATGGGGAAAGCTGGCAGGTTAGCGTTCGTATCGAGCCAGCTTCGTTTTAGCGTCCAAGCTCCCGAGCAATGGGCGGGCGGCCGGCAGACGCAGCGTGTGGCTGGGGGCTGGACAGTGGACGCGGCCCTGGCCACAGGCTCGGCGCAGAGGGGCGGCGACGCTTCGAGGGGCTGCCCGGGGCTGCCAGGCAACCCGTCGATGCCGACCACTGCGCCCGGCCTGGGCAGCGAGCTGGGCAGCCAGCACGGAGCGTGTGCTGTGGTGGTTGTGTGCGTGTGTGTGTGGCACGCGCCCAGCGGACGGAGACGTGCGCCTTGAGCAATCGCAGACGGGACGGGCGGAGCAACCGGACGCTTCCTGCCACGTCGCGTATCCCTTTGCTTGTGCGCTCTCCATGGCCCGCGGCGCCGTGAAGAGCAGCAAGATTCACGTTCTGCGTGCTCACTGCCCTTGCGTGCCGAGCCGAGTGGAGGTAGAGGCAAACGCTGTCCCGATCCGGCTCAATGCCAGAAATTGCGTTGCCTTTCATCCATGCTACGATCCCTCTTTGTCTGAGACGGACTCGACTTTGGCGCCCCCGAGACCTCGACCAAGCCAAGCGGCAAAGCACCCACGACGCATCTACGCCGCTGGCGCCCCATGGATGCGCTGCTCGACGCTCTCGGCGACGAGCTGGAAGATGCCGAGGAAGGTAATTCACCACCACCCGGCACCTGACATGATTTGCCATGACGCGTGCTGCCTTCTGGATCCTGTGTGCTAAGGCGAACCTGTGTGTCGCGTGAACAGAGGCCTTCTTGCTGTTCTCCCAACAGATCCCCTCGCATAACCTAGGCTTCGTCGACCCGAGAGCAGACACTTTGAATCTCGTCCTGGCCGGCAAGGACGTGACCATCCGCCAGTCTCCTGGCCTGCTCGAGTCCAACCGTCCCGCGGGTACCACTGGCGCAGGTGCGTGGTCAATCTATCCTAACATGCTCAATTCCTTCCCGTCAAACAGTTCTACAACCCGTCCCGTTCTGCCTTCAATTCCCCACCCCTTTTTTTTTTTAACTTTTTTTTTTCGTTCCTTCACGCTCCTGCCCGCTCTGGCTAGACAGCCTGGCATCTCGCCCCCGACAGAACGAACGAACAAATTAAACAAAATCAGAGGGCGGGCCGTACCTGCGCTCGACGTGCTGCAATCGGCATCCTGCTGCGACAAGGATGGAATGCTAAGGGTTCTTCGGCAGTGCTCTGGTCCATCACGCCGCTGTTCGCCAATTGGGTCGCGGCGCCAGAAGCGCTTTTGACGCGCTGCGGGGTGCTGCGAAGCGGAGCCTGTGCGCTTGAGCTCGGCTGTGGAGTCAGCGGACTGCTCAGCTTAGCGCTGGCGGGCCGAATTGGCAGGTACGTCAACACCGACCAGGACTACGTGCTTCGACTGGCGAAGGAGAACGTCGAGGCGAACATCGCCGCCTTTGTTGCTGCACCACCAGCTCATCCTAGAGGCAAGAAAGGTAAGGGCAGTGGCAGTGCTGGCGCGTTGGGATCCAGACAGCACAAGGCTGTTGTGCGCGCGACCGAGGACGATGCGGTTGCCAACGTCGTCATGCGGCCTCTGGATTGGGAGAAGTCGGACGTCTCGACGCTGTACAAAGACGTCGGTGTCTCGCACATCGACGTCCTCTTCTGCTGCGACTGCGTCTACAACGAGGCCTTGATCGAGCCTCTTGCCACGACCATGCGCGACATATGCAGCCTTGCCGACGACGATGCCAATCGAGCGACGGTGGTGGTCGTGGCACAGCAACTGCGATCCCCCGACGTCCTGGAGGCTTGGTTGAAGGCGTTCTGCAGTTACTTCCGTGTGTGGAGAGTGCCTGACCACGAACTGGGCGACGCGTTGGGGGAAGGGAGCGGGTACGTGGTTCACATTGGGATACTCCGAACGAAATGAGCGTCGAAGGAAGCTGGCGAAGAGAGAACCCTTCTTTTTTTTAAAAAAAAAAATTAAATAAATAGATAAAAAGATTAGAAGAACGAGATTGATGAACAAAAGGACGAAAAGTCTTTCCACGCATGCGTCGAGATCATGTTCTGTGAAGCAATGTCATAGCGTACTTTGTGTAATCCAGTAAGCTGCTATATCTTTGCTCGTCTTCGAAAATCGTGATAAAAATGTTTGCTTCTCTCAAAAAATCATGGTCATAAAAGCCACGAGAGAAATGTGAACAGGCCATGATCCCCTTTTTAAATAAAAGACGAGAAAAAAAAAAGGAACCATACCAACCTTTCCACTCTAGTCCGACGCCAGTATCTTCGGAAGCAATACGAAAAAAAAATCAAAGGGGCTATGAAACGACTTTGTCTGTAACTCGAAACGCCGGGCAAGCGACGTCGACGAACCGGTTTCCCACGTCGAGATCGTTCGCGGGCGTCGCCCCCCTCCCTCTTCCAGCAGCCACGCACCGGCTTGACCGCTGACGACCCAACGCTTCGAATGTGAGGTTCTGTAGGCAGGTGCGTCGCAGGAAAGAGGAAGAGAGCGGGAGGAAGGTAGGCGAGGTGACGAGGAAGAGTCCCTAAGAGGATTAAGGTGGAGGAAAGGATGGGCATCCTGCCACCCGGAGTCGACCTGCTGTGCTCGTAGAACACGCCCCCCCCCCCCCCCCCCCCCCCCCCCCCCCCTGGCAGAGGGAGGTGAAGTGCGTGGTAGGCTCTTAGCACGCCATCTGCTCTTGCCTGTCTTCGCTCGTGTCGACGGCCGGACTGGCCTGGCTGCCGCCATCGACGCGATCTGTCGTGCTGGCATGCGCGTGAATGTTTCGCACATGTCGATTCATGTTGTCCCACCTCGTGAACTTCATTTGGCAGAGGTCGCAGTCAAAGTCACGCTTCTTCGTGTGGCGCGTCGAGTGGCGAGCGAGATCCTTTTTGCTTTCGAAACGGGACGGGCAGCGAGGGCACACATGCTTTCTGAGCACTTGCCCTTTCTCGTGTGCTCGCTTCCTGTGCAGTCTTTCGGTTTTTTGCGACTCTGGCATAAGCAGTGGTTCATACGCTTCGCTAGGGCTTGATGTCCGACCTACCTTAGACCGTTTTTGGATCTAAATGATTTTCCGCACAGAGAATAATCACAGTCGTACTTCGCTGCCTGGTGATTACCGGCATGAGCTGCATCTACTGCTAGTGGTTCCTGTTGAATGCACATTTGGCCTGCATGCTCTCCGGCTCGAAGTTGACTGGAGCTGTTCACGTAAGAAGATCCAGGTCCAATATTTGGGAAGTAATCCCCAAGACTTGAAGACGTGGGTGGACACTGATAAGCGTTGTAGACAGCGGCTACTCCATAAGTAACATGTTCATGAAGCACGCAAGGTTGAAATTGACGTGCTGGCACCATGGTGCCGGGCTGGGGACGGTTCGGCAAGGCGGCGAAAGACGTGTCCTGGTAAGGTGATTCGAAAGACTGCCGTGGCCGCAACGATGCAAAGTCTCCTGGTCTCATCTTTCCTCGCGAGACAAGATAGTCGTCGTTATGACTGTGGCTATTGTATTCGAATTCCACTTCGGGTCTAAGTGTTCTGGTGTTCTGGAACAGAAGAAGCCAAGATGCTGCTTGTAGTCAGATAATCCGTCATTTGAGACGTCAGTTGTGATAACAGAAGATGGCATCACAGACCTGAAAAAGTGTCTTGTTGCTGCTGCTTAAATTCGATGGCTAAAGTGGATGCAAAGCCAGCAGTTGGAGTATCGTGTGTTCGTTCAAGCGAAGGGGGCCAATCAATCAGAAGTATATTCTATCTTTTAGAAGTATAATGAGTCTGCTATTAGACTCAAACTTACAGATTAATGTGATGCTTCTGTGTTGTATAACTTGTAACGCTTTCCTAATAGGCCTAGGGTGCGGCCTCAAGACATATACCCGAAAAAACGGGCCTTCCCTGCTTGAATGGGTCAGGACCGAGCAAGATTAGTGTGTGTTCTCTTTTGAGACCACTCGCCCCAGTGAGGCAATCTGTAAAGAAAACTAAGCCTTGGAGTAGTGTTAGTGCTATACCGTGTCGTTAAGCAAAAACATGTTAACTCTGTTGAAACTGCTTGACTGGCGAGCAAGATTGGCCGCTAGGCTGGAAGCTGCCACGACCTTTAAATACCAAACAACGACATGGTGGATTACTGTAGGCAGTTGTGGCTTAGCTCGACGACTGAAGCCTCATACTATGTGCGTTCAACTTTACAACATGAGCTAGACATGCAATCTGGTCATGAGAGTTGCACAAAGGCCTTAGGCCCTCACTCTACAGGTCCAAGCAGCGGTCAGCTCTGGAGCCTCTTGTGCGTAGTGAACATATTGTCGAGTGGTAAGGCAGCCTCGAAATCAAGTAAAAAATCAAGTCTGCTAACGAGTGATTCAGAGTACATCGACAGCAAGATGGAACAAAATCCGTCGAGTCTGAAGTAAAAAAATAAATGAGAAAAACCACGACCGTTTAAGCTTGCTAACTATTTTTGAGCCGCAATAGACAACCACGACACTAAATATCTGCGTGGAGCGACGCCAGGTAAGCGCCACCTCTCTCAGCTTTCTCGAGCGCTAGCGAAAGACTACGGTAATCCTTGGTGCCCGGCAATTGCAGCATATGCGTGGCGTTGATAAGAAGGCCTCCCCATTATAGACGGGTTAGTGATCCCAGAATACGCATGTTGCATAAATCAATCTGTCAGGTTGTCAACATGGGTGAGCTTTTGCCGAGGATCCGCTCCTGTCTAACGCGACGGTTTCTTCATCCATCATTGGCCTCAGTGCGTTCGAGCCAATCATGCTCTTTTTTTTCCTTTATAAAGTGTGCCACACCAAAAAAATAAGTAAAACATGGGGGAGTTCTTTGCGCGGGTCGGATCGCAGCCCACGTTGTTGAGGATTCCGCTTTTGGCATAATATCTCGCTAATATTCCATGCCGGCTTTCGCAAGCCAACGTGAGCTCGGCTCACAATAGACCACTGGCCAATCGCCGCGACCCCTAACCACCCATTTCAAGCGATTAAAGTAAATGGCTGAACTATTCCTGGAAAAACACCTGCTAGCTTGGATCCGAACTGCTGTTTCCATGCATCCATGTCTCCTTTAGCAGTAAAGGCCGGAATGGTGTACTTGACTTGTAGTGCATGGCGCATTTTAGTGGCGGTCCCGCATCTGATCCGCGATGGTGATGGTGTGAAGACCGAAAGAATAGAAAAATGTAAAGCAGACCTGGCAAGGCCAAACTCATGGGCGCATGCATTACGAAAGAATTGCTTTCGTGAAGCCTCTGTTATGTGACGGTCCCCGCGTCTATGCCTGCTCTGCACGCTGTCACCACAAATCGAGTGGACGGTCATATTTCAAACTAGCTTTTGATCAGGCGTGGTGCCACAGATTTCCTCTCATATTGTAAGGTGATGCTTATCCCTGTTCGTCTGGTTCTGCACGCGTTTGGAAGAAAGTCGATATCGAAGAGAAGAGCGCTGCTCAGTCAAAGGCCAAAGGATCGCGACTCCTTGCGTTCAAGTATCTGTATGCTGTGCCCTGCTGTTCTTAACAAGTCGACTGCTATTGTTTACAGGTCAATCATAACGCTCATTATTGTAATTGCGCCTATATCAGGTCACATCAATCCGCGGCTAGGAAGCCCAAAAAGCTGCGTAACGTAGGCCGTGTCTCTATGTCCAGGTCGTCGAATTTCGTTTGGGCATCGCGTCATTGACGTGAATTTCGTGGGCTCTCCTCTCTCGAAGAAACGCGTTGTCATCTGTTGTTCATCTCGATTGTAACGAGGAGGTGTTGACTCCGCCTGTCTTTGGCTAGGATTGCTCGGCTTAAATTTGGAACCTACAAAATAGGAGCTAGGAAATTGCTTCGTTTCAGTCAGCCTTTAAATGAAAAATAAGAATAACATTCAACGTCGATGCATTAATGATAGAGAATATTTTTTAGCACTTTGCTCTTCATGACATTTCTGATGAGTTCAAAGGTCGGTTAAGCTTGTCTTTCACGTGGCTTCTCTTTCAACCATTCGACAGCAGTGTTCTGTGTAATACCTTCAACGCAAGTAATGCTCAAGTGCATTCACTTAAGAGAGCTTCCACTGCTTGCTTCCTTGCGTTAAATCTGGAGGACCAATTTCGTCATCGATGTTCTCCGAGTCGCAGAGATAGCCCTTTCATATCAAAGTAAAAATTTCATCCCTCCGTTCTCGAGTCCTTAATAACGATTCCAATATGAGCTATAAATCGGAACTCTATCGTTAAATATGAGATAATGTAAGATGAGGGACCATGGTCGCTTACGTTTTACTATTCACGCGAAGTCTTACCCTTTGTCCAACTTAAACTCGGCTCGCACGATTCTTTCTGTAAGGTCGGCACCACGCGAATATTTGCTTCGCTTCCGACTTGACGCAAACGGCAAATGCGAAGATTGTTATTCTCAACTTGCATGATATTTTGCTCTGGCGTGAGGCCAAAACGTTGATGAGATCACTAGCAACCACGGCTCAAGAAAGGCCCCGTCTCACATGTTGTTCCTCAACCGTGTTGTACTGACAGCTAATTTTCATACAGCGATCAAACTGGATTGGACACTGGTTTTGGACATCCTCTGAAGTCTCAATGAAGAGAGCCATTGGCCGCTGTTGTGATCTCAGGGCTGACCTTGACAGGTTATTGTCAAATTGTTAGAAACGGCTGAAGCTGTCGAAATGGGTCTCCTCCCAACCTGTTTTTTCATCATATGGCGCTTCCAGTGGTCCTTACGCTTGAAAGCTTTATTCTCGACATGATTTGGACACTCGGGAATTGGGCATGGAAATGGCCGATGGCCGTCGTGATGGCGCTCACGTGACGAACGAGGTCTTTTGGGCTGCAGAATGCCTTCGAGCATCCAACTCGATAGATAAATGGTCTGAATTAGCTCAGGTTAGTCATTCTAGCTGACCAAGCTTAAAACGAACAGGTTTACGCATCTTTCTCGTCCTTGATCGCTTGCACCAGCGTCAGTATCGTCTCTTTTTCTGGTTTCTGACCGCACAGAGCTTATATTAAGGATTTCTTCCTCTTGATCTACCTCGTTAATTGAGTATCCCATTAATGAGTTATTCTGACGGTTCAATTCTCCCAAAGCTACAATGGATGGTTCCTCGGGAGCCATATAGCAAGGGATTTGAGTACCTGGGTCGAGTTCAGCACAGCGAGATCTGTATCTTTGAGTTTTCTACACACTTTTTCGAGTAGGGCAGGGAGACTGGTACGCCGTCAATTCTCTGTTCGGCAAATTTTGGTCATGACAATAGCTAGAGAGCGCGTTGAAGGATGGCGTTGCGTTCTAGTTCCTTGAGGCATCATGACATTTTTCAGACGCTTCAAGTGTAGAGCTAGTGATTGGGTTCAGACGCAACTACTCTAACAGCCAACCTCTAAAATTATTTAACCGATACGTGAAAATGTTCTCTGCTCTTTAAGGGGTTTACTTAGCTATTTATGGGCCCTTATTTCTGCACAGCGCTTATTGATCTACACAGCAGCCTTTCTTTACCAAAGACTTAAAAGCTAAAGAGCCGGAATTTACTACGGACACATTTGACGTTCTCTGGTTTAAAACGAACATGTTTCGTTATGAGTCTTTCTGGCAGAATTAAACTACTCTAAAACAAGCTTCACGGGCATAATTCGTTCTGTCTCAGCGCTATTTCGGCTGCCTAGAAGGCGAACAATGCAAGGACTTCCAAACATTTGCTTACCTCAACAACCAAGTCCGGCGTTTTAGAGAGGTTTTCAGCTCTGCGCGAGGCTGTCGATCATCAGCCTACAGTTGGAATTTCCAGCCCCGTCGAACTTGTAGTCTTACGAATGAAAGCCACTCCAAGTACTCTATAAATTACACGTCGCTAGGTATTTACCTGTCAGGAGATAATGGTCAGGAGAGTGCGAGGGTGTGGATGAAATAGCAAGGCTTGTTTCATGGCATATCTCCTTCTAATATTGCACGTCCTCAGATCTACTTTTAATCCAACTCTTAAGTTCGTTGAGAAGCATCAATCCAAAGATTACTTTGCTAATAAGCAATGGGACCTTAGAGGCTACGCGATATTTTGCTGACTTTTGAATTCTAAGGAGCGATATTGTGAAGATGGTCTCGCGAGATCGCCCTCTAAACATAAGAAGATTAAGCCTGCTTGTTAACACCTGGAGACACAGATATTGATATAAGGTACTCGTTTGTTATGCTGCAATACTGTAGTGCTTCTTAATCTAAGCCTCATATTGGAATGTTTATGCGTAGTGTGGATGCTTTTCAGCACCTTGCCATCCGAGAGTTCCGTTGAGGCGCTTTTGAGTTGCCCTCCGCCTCACAAAGTTCCTGCAGTACGAGTCGAAATCACTCGAGCGAGCGAATTCAAGGTCTTACCCCTACAACGCTATCAACGATGCTAGTTGAGGGGTTTAAGACTATGGCTCTGGGAATCAAAGTAGACTCTATTGAAGTCGTTCGGAAATCTAGAGGTCCGGGGGTATCATCCCGGTGATCTCTTCTGCTACAGTCTTCTACTGAGTCCAGAGACGATTCTACAAAGCCTCCGAAAGGGCGGCCACTGCCTCCCTTTCGCTTAATCGCTGTTTACACTAAGATCATATCAACGGTTATTTTTTCACAAGCATCATCTACCATTATTTATTGCTTCATACATTGGTGGCATTTTATATTCAACAGAATTTGCGTCCCTCTCGGTTCTGGAACGGAACTCGTATTAGAATTCTGTTTCACCCCGTCATTGGCACTAACGTGTAGCTTATAGATCTAGGCTCAAGATTGTCGTGTTGAGTGCCCGTAACGAGCCTCGCATAAGGCTCTCTACCCTTTAGAGCTGTGAGATCAGACATGGACAGAAAATTAGACGTTTTCCATCTATTCGAATGAACTATGAATGAAAGCTAGATCTAGAGCATCAAAGAGTCAGAAGATGCATATCCAAGCAGATCGCGCGCAACTTTTCGATACATGCTGCTTACTATTTTATGGATATTCCTGACCATGCAGTATGCCTACAACGTATTGAGAGCTACATGTCAGGCGATTGCTAACAGATTCGAACAGTCATTGATTAGTCATTCCCTCGCAGGTTTCGAGATTGAGCAAAGGAAAAAGAAAGATCTGAGAGAGGGGGAAAAGACGTAACTACAAGAGGTGAAAACAGAGACAGAAGTCTCCCAAGAAAGAATCTCGGCAATAAAATATGATTAGAGCGCTTTAGTATGGCGCTGGGCGATTGTCGGGTTGTGAAGAAATGTGGTTATCAGCTGCAGTCAACGCGCGCTGACTTTGTGACTTGGAACACACGCCGTGGCTTGCAGAGATGGTGTGAATATGCTGGGTTACATCAGCCACTAGCCTTCTCATCGGAATGTACTTCCAGACATGTCTCCAGCAGCTAGTTCCGACTCACACATATGTAGTACGTATCTCGGCTACTGTTTTGGGTTCGATTCAACAGGTGTGGTCCGATTGGCGATTGTCGTTTCGCGAGAACATGATCAAATCCACGTGCGCTGAGTTATTGTTAGCATGCGGATTTGGTCAAGCAAGCGATCAAAAAAGCCATCTGATGCATCTATTATTATCACATAAGCTGGATTACCGCCGGTAAGGCGAAAGTTTGAAACTTGATGTGCATTTGGACCTGGATGCTGGTCTAGGATTAAGTTGACACCTCAACTGCATTTTTAGCGTCCTGGATCATGCACGCGAAGTGGAAAGCCCTACTGCAACCCCATGAGCCTGACGAACCATCTCCATTTGGAAATAAGTGCATGATGCTAACGCACGACCATTTCGGCTACATTCAGAATTAAAAGGGTTCCTGAAACAGATGGCACTCTAGGAATCACTGGACGCCTTAAAGTCGACAGGTTCCACTTGTAGAGTTCAGCCATAAACCCCATTCCGCGGCCACTGGACAACATCTGTTTGCTCAACCTGGAATGGCTCTCTGTGTTTTGCTTTTGACTTCCGTATAGTGGCTTCTTTTCTCTAAGCATATTAACTGGAAATTAGACACATCGTACTTATGCTGCACAATTGATCACAATCCTTAGAGGAAAAATATGCCAAGTGTACCGCCGTCCGGCGGTTCCGATAATTCCACTGGACTCATTCGCTTTCTCCATCCTCTACCAGAAGCCATTTGCCTTTGGAAGCGAATACAGCATCGTACGATGACATGGTTCCTGTTAATAAGCCCTCTAGCAATCAAGAATTTATCACTTAAAGTCAACCCATATTTACGAAAAAAGGATGATATTCGGAGATTTGAGAATGCGAATAGAATAAAGATGCCGTTCCATCCGGCGATAGCTGTATAAATGTCTATCCTCAACCGTAACGAAGAGTCGGGACCGTGATCAACCTCCGTGAATCAATATGCACAACAAGGTATATCCATGACAATGGGCCCGCAAGGGATGTACAGTACGCATGTTATGGTTTCACTGTGGGGCTAAGAGTTAGATCTCAGCGCGGTGGATTCTTTCTCCAGATAATAGATGTTTGTGATGTCATTACTTTGGATGGCTCGGCAGACAGAGAGGGCCCTACGTGATACCACAATATGTGGATACCAGCAGATTCCGCAACGAATAGAGGCAAGAACAGCACAACTTAGTCATTCAGCTTGGTACTTGTGGCGAATTGAAACGACCCTGGGATCTCGTACCATGATTTATGAATCGGATAAAAACATTTATATGATTTTTTTCTCAACAATTT